AGAAAAAGAAAAAGTTAAGACAATCTAGGACTAGCTTAAACTAAGAAACCTTAAAGAATTATAATTATTTATTAGACTGATCAATTACTACTAACAATATATCTAGAATTATATAAAAATTATAGAATCTATATTCAGACTATTAAAAAAGGACTAACCATATAAATAGAAAATAGAATAAAGAAATATATTTAAAGAAATTAAATATAAGATTATAATAGCACTAATATTAATATAATATAATCTARAAAAGYTAATAATAATARAAATARATATATTWRATTTTMTAATTAGAGCAGCTATAATATAATTARATAAAAATAGAAAACTAAGACTAGTTATTTATTATTTAAGAAAATTGATTGATGTAGAACTAAACTATAAAATATATAATAAAGAATTACTAGTAATAGTAGTAGTACTAAGATATTAGAGAGTATACTTAGAAAGAATAAAATATTTAATATAAATTATTATAAATTATAAAAATCTTACTTACTTCATAATAACTAAAATATTAATAAGAAAATAAGTAAAATAATTAGAATTACTTAGAAACTATTACTTTATAATTAAATACTATAAAAWAATARAAAATAAAAAAATAGATATTTTTAATAGAAGATTAAACTATAAAGAAGAAATTAAGAAATYTAAATTARTATTACTATAACTTAATAAAGAAAAATACTTAGAGTATAATCTATAAATAGCTATACTTATAATAATAATAAAAATAATAATAAACTCTAAATTATAAGACAAAATTATTAAAAAAATAGCTAAAAATAATATAATTTAAACTTTAATTAAAAAGGAAGATAATAAGGTTATAATAATAGAAACTAGACTAGTATTTTAGTATAATTTAATCTATATCTTAAAATCACTATAAAATAAAATTATTTAACTTAATTATAATACTTTAACTAATAGTCATCCAAAATAGATAAACACTATAAAAAAAATTATTAGAAACTATTACTAGCTAAGAATAATAAAAGATATTAAAATATATATTAAAGAATATAATTTATATTAGAAAAATAAGATTAAAAGACACAGACTCTATAGATTACTATAAGAAATTAAAGTACTAGAATATCCATAGTAATAGATTACAATAGATCATATCACAAAACTACTAGAATTAGAAAAATATGATATAATCCTTATAGTAATAGATAAAATAATAAAATACATACATTTTATATCAATATTAGAAAAAATAAATATAGAAGAATTAGCATTTAAGCTAATAAATAAAGTATTTAAATACTACAGAATACTAGAAGTTATAATATTTAATAGAGGACTAACATTCTTATTAAAACTATAAAAATCAATGATAGACCTTATAAGAGGGGAATAATAACTATTAATAGTATATTACTCTCAAATCAATAGTTAAATAGAATAAATAAACTAGACGCTAGTATAATACCTATAATATTACGTCAATAATCACTAGAGTAACTAGGCATTATTATTACTAATAGCATAATTAGTATATAACTCCATACAATAATTAATAATAGGAATTACACTATTCTTCGCAAATAATAGAAAAGAATCTAGACTATTAGGACAACTATAATATTAAGAATCTATTAATGAAATAGCAGATAGATTTATTTAAAGTATAAAGATAATATACTTCTATCTTTAAATAGAAATTATTAACTAGAATAAATTAAATGAAGAATATTATAATAAAAAATATCTAAAAGGATCAGACTTCTAAAAAGAAAAGAAGATATATCTTTTATAAAAAAATATTTAAATTATAAAACTAAGTGATAAACTTGATCACTTATAAATTAAACTATTTAAAATTGAAAAAAAAATAAGTGAAATTAATTATAAACTTAAACTACTGGATATAATAAAGATATACTTAATTTTCTATATTTTATTACTAGAACTAGCACTATAAAATATAAAAATATAAAACAATATTATTATCGAACAGGAAACCTATAAAGTCAAAGAAATATTAATAACTAAAATAGCTAGAAACTAGAAAAGATACTTAGTAAAATGAAAAGAATATAACAAATTAGAAAGTATATAAGAAGTGATTAAAAATCTTACTAGAGTATAAGATATAATTAGAGATTACTATAAGAAGCAGCACTTATTAGGAAAACATCCTATAATAAGAGATTAGACGATATAAGTAGTTTAAGATTAACAAGTAATACCTTAATATCTAAGGATTGTTCAGACATAGTATTCAAATACTATTCATTAGAAGGAATTAAGACCAGATCTTCAAGATCCTTCTTATCAAAGATATCTAAGACATTCAAATCATAATCTAACATTTTATCATCACAATCTTTAAAGAGTTTTTATTATTTGCATAATTAGATAAGCTTTGTAATAGCTTTCTATTACACCTAGATAGAACATTACTATTATAGAAATAACTCTTATTATAATCGTAAAGACTCTTTAAAGCTATTCTCAATAGATTCTATATTAGTCTTAAGTTTCTTTTCTATATACTATAATCTATTCTAATCTTTTTTACTATGAAAACAGTATTCATATTTCTTATTATTCTAAGTGTAAGAAGCACAATTATGACTCTTTAAATCTATTATATAAGGTAAATCTTAACAAATATAATAAGAACATAGATTATTAATAGAAAAGCTGTTCTAAATAATATAATCAGCCTAATAATAACACTAACAGGTTTAAAAGAATAATTTAAGTATATTAATATATTTTAGATACTTACTAAAGAAGAAAGTAGGGTTACACTAAGAATAAGGGCGAGTCTTTCTATTTAAATCTTTAGAACAAAGATCTCAAAGAAAAGAAGTAATATTATAAAATCAACTTATATAATACTAGACAGAATCTAGTACTATTAAGAGAAGACATTTGTTATAGCAGCTAACACTATATCTAGTTATTTCTATAACTAGGTACGCGGGCGGTCAGCTAAAGATATAAATTTAAGAATAACTAATTAAGAACATATAACACAAAGTATATACTAAGATATGCATAAAAAAACATTAGAAAATATATATAGAGTATACACTTCTAAGAATATATATACTAAAGTATATACTAAAAAGATCTATATAAATATACTTATTTATTATATATTTAGTTATTTTTCATAGCTCTTTAACATAAGTTACTTAAATACAATAGTGAGAGTCAATAAGGTATTCACACTTGTACAGGTACTAGGCTATATAAAAGATCTCTTCTATCTTAGTTATATTAAGACTTCTATCTCTGATCGACTATTGTTATCCTATTCACTTAGCCTACCATATCGATGTTCAATCCCGAACCTTTGTGTGGTTCAGCAAAGCCTAGCGTACCTCGACACAACGCTGTTTAACTAAGGTGGATCCAGGTCCGTGACAACGCCCATATACATATTTTGGATAGGATAAGGGTATTTGAATAAGAATTTTTGGACTTAATGTCCTCTATACAGTCTTATGTAGATTATAGCTATATCCCAAAAGTTCCTAGCTCTTATTGAATTTTTGATGGGACAGGACACGCTTCAAAATATTGCGCTGCTTTTGTTCATTTATTTTTCGCTGTAGATATTGGGTTCGAAGCTGCAACTCTTTCTTATCCTTCTTTCATTGATGTCTCTCCTGAACCAATTGATCGTTCTCATTTTCCTACCGTGACAGTTCTCAGAGCTCCGGAGGTTTGATATGGCGCCGTTGGGGGGTTGACCGGAACAATCCGCATGTAGGGCAAGGACCCTAGGCAGTGCCGAAATGAGAATCTCCTCAGCGGTGCCATATTGGGAAATGGCAGAAGAAAGAGAGCACACACGTAAAAGAGCCCTTGGGTGAGGGCACTGAGGGGTGTTTGGTTTCTTCTCTGTTCCCTCCTCATGTTCGATATTCGCTGTATGTAGGCACCTTGATAGCTAGAACGGCCAACCGTCACACATACCAGTAGTATATACTCAAGTGAATTACACTTAGGCATTTTACTATAGTAAGCACTAGTTCTAATGAGATGGCTTTTTAAGCATTCAGAGCTAATTAATATATAGTCAAATATGTTATACAAAGCTACTTAAAATTTAAATCAAAATAGAATATCAAGTGAATCTTGATTCTTGGATAAAAAATGGTTATTAAATATTAATTAGATATATACCTAACTTTTGAATAAAATGTATATCTATAAATACAAAAAAATAAATCTTAATATTTTATAAAAGATAAATTAATCTATGGTAGAACGTCATCGCCTAGATGCCCAAATACCAGTGGGGTTGATTCGTCGCGATGGTATTCCCATCCAGATTGATATGCAAGTGCGACATAATCCAGCGATCTCTGTCTTCAGTATGACCGCGGTCCACGTATCGAGAACTTATGGCCAACGTACGAGCTAGCCAGGCTCGGGACCGATCCAAAAACCCAATTCAAGAGTAACTTTATTGCATTTGTTGTTCGTTCCTGTTGTTCTGGGCTACCACATATGATGAAGGCTTAGTTCCTGCTTAAAATAGTGACGACGGGGCATTCTTGTTAAGATATCTGTGATGATCTGGTTTGGAGTTTTCTTTATATACGCATCTGTCCCTCATATACACATAGTGCATCAATTTTAGAATTGGAATTAACTAATTGATCAGTCGTGTCTTTGAAACCGTTATTTCGCTTTTTTCTTTTGAATAATCAGCTGGCTCCTACTACTGATTCAATGAACAAGGTATCCTCAGTAATAGGGTATCAAGGACTCACCCGTGGACAATAACGGGTTGAATGCCCTTTCTATATACTATACTTCGTAGTACGGGATATAATTGGATCGAATATAAGTTATCTGAGGTGTCATTCAGGCTTCATGAAGTCTTCAAAGTCCCACATCGTTTGAACTGCCCTTACGCTGTTTACACATATCTTCCGGATCAGATTTCCTTTCGACTATTGAACGCATATGAACAAAGTGACATGACGATTTATAAGATTAGCAATAATGAGAAGGCAGAATTAAAATCCGTCCAATCCAGTTTTGATAACCGGCAATTCATCATGGCTTTTCCCTCCTAGCCACTCACTCAATGTTTTACCATTTGAATTATAGATAGGCTTCTCGCCGAACACCGCTGTTCTCTTTCCTTCCCTTTCTTCCGTGTTGTATCCCCCAGGGATTGCACGGTGGATGGCAACACGATTGTCCCAGAATGCGACGCTGCCCGCCTTCCAGTGCCATCTCACACTCAAGTCATCGGCCGAGTGAAGATGTTCGCGGAGAAAATTTAGAGTATGTAAGGATTCATACCCTTTAAGTTCGGCAATATTGATTACGAATGCGGGGTTATAAAACAGTGCCTTTTGTTCGGTTACGGGGTGGGTACGGACCTGGTCGTTGTGTTGGTATCATAGTATCCTTTTGAGTCCATATAGAAGCCAGATAAGAAGTAAAGACCTACTAGAGGATGCTCTCTGCGTACGGGTGACCGAAAAGTCGTTCCGCCACCGTTGATAGTGTTGATGAAAGTATGCTATACTGAATTCAGCGAATGGAATGTATACGAGTTAAAGGTGACAGTGCCTTTAACACTGACCTCAGAGCTGTGGACCGCATGAAGACCTTCAAACGTTTTTTGGAAAGTTGGGCTCAATTTATCGAACAACGCTGTCTGGCTTGTCCAGATAGTGTCACCACCTAGTGCAATGTTAACACCAACAATAATGAGTTTTAAACATGGGTGAAACTCAGAAAGCAGACGTGAAAGGGTAATCCTTTACCGTATTCAGGTGTTCTAAGCATTCGAAGCAATGTATAAGAAGGCGGGTTGATTTCGAAAGAGTGATCAGAGTGGAACTCGGCGAAGGCGCTACTGGCATGTTCGTAAGATCGAATGTCGCTATGGGGTGTTCAAGGTTAACATCGAAGTTGAAAAAAAAACAAGGACACTAGAAATTTTCCAATCTTACCCTCCGCGTCCAAGAATAGTGACATGGCGTGGGTCGACTTGGTTTGGGTCTCTGTCTTGCTAAAATGAGCAGGCCATTAACATTCTCAACAAACGATTGGATTATAGAAGGCAAAAATCAACTCTTACAATTCCGTAATGTCTCGTGAATTCATGTTGCCCTTCTAGTGTAAGGTCTTGGTCTCTGAAAAAGACAACCCCTCTCTACAATTCGTTAATCTTGAATCAGGTGTTTATTAAGGCCTATGGAAGAAATACTAACTTCAGCAACCAGCAAAGCCAGTTCATCCTTTTGCTTGGCATCCAATTTACTCAACTGTACACCTGTCAACTCCGTTCCTATATACGGCGTCAAATGCTTGATATTGGTGACCGCTGACAGAAGAGCCTTTTTTTGCGGGTCAGCAAAGAATGCACGATCTTTGGGCGGTTGGATTTCTTCCACTGGCGGGTCGATCGCTTTGTAGGCGAGGACCTTATCGGTGAGGCCTGTGTGAGCCCCGATCATTTTTGTTTCCTTTTGTTTCTATTACCTGATATGAGGTCAATTGTTGACTGTCTATATTGATGGAAATGCGCTATACGTTGAAGGTTTCGCGCTACTTATATGAATATCTCGAGAATAACAATCGGAGAATCTCGATTATTAGTAGCACTTGCATAACTACGTAAGCCGCAATGAGCATGCAAGGTTGACGAAATATCAGGCTTTTGTGGTGTAATTCCAATGAGCTATAATCTAGGCAATCAGTTGAACGGCTTGAAACGATAGCCATCCTTCCGTTAAATTGACCAATAGAAAATTCTCTGTGACAGACGAGCCATGTGTAGGTTTGTTACTTACTTTATAAATGGACTGTTATGGCGACATACATCTCGTGTCTTGTAAATTGCGCTAAGTTCACGAGTAAGCAGAACAACAGGAGCGTCTTATCAGCTAGTCTAGCCAGCCGGTGAAATAACTAGTTGGTGAGTGGGGGAGTACGACTTACTAAGACCACAAGATTGCCATCTACGATCACATCATTGCTGTCTCGTAATACGGTATCTGAAAATGGACGCCTCGGATTTACCGAGCTCATCGATCGCGTTCCAATGGGACACATCCTATATCCGTGAAAAATCTGTGCGTATATTCCTGACATAAACAAATGAACTACATATATAGACTTGGGTGTAGACTAACTGTATATGCGGAAAATCGTCCTCTAGCCGCCAATATCCCATTCCATACATCATTTCAATCCTGTCCTTCTGTCACAATCTTTACTGAAGCTAGAATCTAGCAAGCATTATGGTTGACTCTAAAACCGCAGTGTCCGCCAAGGTGGATGGATCTGACAATAATGAATCTTGTTCTTCACAATCCACCGGCCTTGATCGTTCCATTGATTTGCATAAAGAACTCATTGATACTACGAAATTTGACGATGTGTTGGCTAGAAAGATGGCTCTAGTGAATGCTGCGATCGATGAGATTGGCATGACCCCTTTTCAATGGAAACTGTTTTTCTTAAATGGATTTGGATATGCTGTTGATTCAGTAGGTTTACTTTCATTTTCTACATATGCTATGTTTACATGATCTTGCTGACTGAATAACTATAGCTCCTCGTAGTCTGTCAATCTATTGCTCAGCCAGCAGCCACACAAGAGTTTGGAAATCCTAGCCAACATGTCGCCGGTATCTCCCTGGCTTCACAAGTTGGCCTTCTTGTCGGCGCTGCCGTATGGGGATTTTCGGCGGATGTAATTGGACGAAAGCTTGCATTTAATACGAGCTTGTTTATATGTGCTGCATTCGTTCTCATTGCAGGTGGAATGCCGAGTTATATATCTTTCTCTGCCATGTTTGTTCATCCACGTTCCTGCTCTGAGACCAATCGATGAGCATTGAGATCAATTTCAAATGCTAACTTTTGATAACCTGCTCTGATAGGGTCGCCATATACTCCGCTGGAGCTGGAGGAAACTATATTCTTGATGCGACCAATTTCCTCGAGTTCCTCCCTGTCTCGCATGCCTGGCTGGTGACTTTCCTGTCCGTATGGTGGGCCGTCGGATATACTATCACAGGTCTACTGGCATGGGCATTCATGAGCAACTTCAGTTGCGCAAGTGACGCAGTAGAATGCAATCGAGCAGACAATATGGGTTGGCGCTATCTTCACTTCACTTGCGGCGGTTTGGTTCTGGTACTTAGTGTTGTCCGCTTGTTCGCTATCCGCATGGTCCAGACGCCCAAATGGCTGACTAGTCAAAACCGTGATGAAGAGCTATACGCAATTCTCTTAGATCTATCAGAGAAATACAAGCGTCCACTCACGCTAACATTAGAAAAACTGCAGTCGCAGGGACGCGTCCTCCATACGGAAAAATCTGTCTGGTCTGGTCTGCGTCTGAAAAGTCATTTTTCAGGGCTGTTCGTCACTCCCAAACTAGCATATTCCACAGTCATTATTATTATCAACTGGCTACTCATCGGAACTGTCTCACCCCTATACAGTGTGTTCTTACCTTACTACCTTGCGTCTCGAGGTGCCGATACTGGAGATGGCTCAAACTACACGACGTGGCGCAATTATGCAATCAACCAAGTAGCTGGTTTGCTTGGTCCCATTATCGCCGGTTTTCTGGTTGAATGGCGATGGTTCGGACGACGAGGCACCCTTGCTGTAGGTGCAGGAATTACCACTGCGCTACAGCTTGGATATACTCAAATCAAAACCCCAGCACAAAATGTGGGAGTGTCTGCAGCGATTACAGCAGCTTCGAATATCTATTATGGCACAATTTATGCTTATACCCCAGAAATCCTGCCAAGTGCTCATCGTGCCACGGGTTATGGGCTCTGCGTGGTGTTGAATCGTGTCGGGGGGATTGTTGGTGTACTGGTCGGAAGCTACGCGAATGTAGAGACGGTGGTCCCGTTATGGATTTGCGCAGGGCTATACGGTGCTTTGATTTTCACGAGCTTGCTATTGCCCTTTGAGAGTAGAGGGAAGCGGACCGTATAGCCCACGGTCTGTAGGTTTGGTTTTTACTATAATAATCTGATGCGGAACTTTCCACGGGATTCAAATCCTATTAGATTATTAGTTTGCCTTTTCTTCATAGATCGGCATATGCTCCAAGGAGGTCATCAAATCAAGATTGGTGTGCGTAATTAGCTTGCTGGATGTTGCATCGATAATAATTGCAACAGGTGACTGTGTTATGCCTTTGTAAGCGTAGACTTTCGTATTATTGTTAAGAATGCTATATTGATTCTATTTTTTTGCCTCATTCAATGTTTGGTCTGATTGATCCCGTTACGTACCTTGTATCTTTTAAGTCTATGACTTTGATAGCCTATTGTAGGACTGCAAGTAACCATTCTTTTAGTGCCTTGTCGTTTCTTCGAAACTGAATTAACCTTCAATGGTCTCTTTTGTAGTAGTTTGGGAGAATCCCACATTCACGGGGTGTACCACAACGATTGATCTTGACATGTGTATGTTGGCATAGATGAATTGAGAATGGAAGACTCGGTAGTCATGTCATCCGTACCATATACATTTTCGACATCGTCATAGCATTTTCTACTTTAGATACGAACCACTACTGCTAGGAAAAGAGGACGTCGTAAGTGAGAAAAGGAAGCTCCAGGGAGCGAAGCTTGCGATGGAATTTCTACTTAGCGCTGCATTTCATGGCTTTGCTCACCGATTTGACGTTTTACGCTGATTATCCTGGCACTCTTTCAATGTTTCGTGGCGGAACGGAATGTTTAATTTTATTTCGTCTATCTTGGTGTAGCGTTGATACTGTAGCTGAGTAGCATTCTGTATCTAATGGTTGGCTCCTGGTCATCCACTTTGTGGGCTGATCGAATTACTCCCAAGGTCAAGTATCTCTCAACATCAGTATCACTATCGCACCGCAGATACAGGAGTATATGTGCCTATAACGATGGACAATGACGCCCTGAGCTCTTGGTTTCAGTACTCGGCGTTAGAGCTTGCATTGTCGCGATTGCGTTTCTGTGGTAGGCATCGAATGCCCAGTCAACTGTCCACTGGACTACACGTACCGCCGCATGCTCTGTTCCTCACCATGGTATTATTATTCTCTTCCTTGGCATGAATCTCAAATCTTCCAGCCGTCCACCTGTTTCACTAACATCACCCGCAAGAAAAAAAAACAGACTGTTCCCGTTGCCACAAACACAGCACTAAATAGCTGCGCCTTCCAAAACTCCGCCTTGGCCAGATTCAGAAGCGTGGACGCGATAGGGGTGCCAATCAAAAATCCGCACCCGGCAAACATAAAAATCATGCCTAGCCTTGTGCCCACGAGGCCCATATTTGGTGACATGCGTGTCAGGATTGAAGGCGGCAACGATACAATGGCACCCGAGGCGTAGCCGTAGAAACATGCAAAGACGACAGCTCCAGCGACATCGCGGACACCGATCCACACAAATGCCAGGACAGTCGCCAGGAGACTTATTGGAGCGAGCGTGTTGAGTCCACCAAAGTGATCCGCCAGGAGACCCGGGGTGACGCGACCAAGAACGGAGGTGGCGTTCAAGACTGAGAAAATGTAAAAGCTGAGGCTACTGTCGTTGTAAAGATAGGAGGTAAAGAAGCCCTCCAGATAAAAAAAGGGGAAGTACAGCCCCACAAAGCAGAGAAAAAGCCCAAAAGCAAACACCAGGAACGGCGCTTCCCTCAAAGCACTCATATCGAAAAGTGAACGTCTTTCCCTCGGCGGTGGTAGTCGTCGTTTCAACACAATCAGTGACACGCTCAAACCTGCTAGAGCCACAAAACCCATGATACGCGTTGTCCAACCAAAACCGACCTTATGGATTAGTTTCTCGAACATAATGGGATAGATAACGGCGCCGATACTCCCGCCGGACGCGGTTATTCCCGTCGCAAGTGCACGACGTGTGGTAAAATATGTCGCCACAATGGCAATGCTGGGCAGGAAAAGAAAGGCACAGCCGACGCCCACACTAACTCCATGTGCTAGAAATAGCTGGTAGTACTCTCTCGATAGAGATGTCATCATCATACCTAAAACAACCAGGAAGGACCCGATAGCGACCAGGCTTCGAAGATAACCTTTATCAAAGATGGGCCCCACGATTACGCCAATTATGAAGAGGAGGAAGCCTTGCACGGTACCGATCCAGGCGATAGAGGAAGACGAATGGGAAGCGATAAGATTGGATTCGTAGTAGCTTTGGAAGACTCCAAAAGAATTCACAAGGCCCCTGGAATAGGTGAGATTAAAACACTTTCTCTTCAGATTTTACATCAGGGACCCTCACCATGAGTTGAAAAAAAGAAGGAAGGCTCCGAGGACTTGCAACCAAGCGGTCAGACCACCGTCTGGTGGTTCGGAAGATATGTCAACCGGCTTTGAAGACGGTTGTTTCTCAGTGTCTGATGTATCGTGCTTGCTCATCAATACAGTAGACGGCGCAGCTCTTGACTTGTCAATTGAGTCCCTGTTTATTGGAGAAAACATGGTCCCAAGCTCAAATGGTACATAAATGGTCCGATTTTTCATGTAATGGGCGACACAACGACATCAAGATGGCACTGTAACGGAATTCTATTTTTCCTCTTCATGTTTTATATAGAATGGAATTAAGATCGACCTATCCGTAACGAGTTAGGTAGAAGATCGGACTTGGAACTTTTGGGGCCAAATATCCATCTTGTTAATAGTAAGCAAAATGGGGCACAATAAGCAAAATAAAAAGAGTATGAATGCGTTGAGAAGTGCTAATCGTTGCGTTTTATCTCCGCACGGAGAACAGGGAAGACAAGCAATAATTTCGAGAATAGCTGAAGCTCCAACTATTTCTACTTAGTAGACAGGGGCCAGGGTCATCAAGTAGATCTCAAGGCCTCACAAATGTTGCTTCATATTTCAGGGCAAGTTAATTCATTCACAACTACTGTCATTACGTATACCACTAAATGTGCTAGAACGACTAGGGTTTGGATATTTCAATTTCTCACGGCTTCAGCCAAGTCAACTGGTTAAAAGAAGGCAAAGGATGATGATGTAATAGTTAACAGGTCACGTATTTCGACACTTCAATAATTAGAATTCAGGGTAAGAGTAAACAAAGTTATTTCAAAAATCTTATAGATTGAAATAATATACACCTGCTCTTAAGATTGCATATAGGGCCGCAGCATGGATCTGTGGTTTTTAAACATAAAAACCACGGCGACTAAGCGGACTAATCATGATCACTAAGCTGAGTAAGATGAGATGTAGTCAATGAACTTAATTATATTTGCGCACATAGCTTGTCAACTCCTACCCAATTAGGCTTGCATGGTTGGGCCTGGATGTACGTTTGGACTTGTGGATATACAATTTGGGGCCGTATCTGACTTTTACTAGTATGTCCGAAAGTACCTTGTGGGTCGATCTAGTTAATCCAACCAAATTACTAAAACGAACCATATGCCGGGTGAACATCTCCCTGACATTCCTGAATGTCAACCTTCATATACCAAGACTATCTTAGGCTGACCAACCGATATTTGTGTCTGCTTCCAAATAGCGTTCTGTAGCTGTTTTTCAGAGGATTTCCCCCATTGTACGTATTCCAATGCGGGAGAATTGAGGAACCCGCGAGCGAACAAGTCCCCAAACCACTCGAACATTGCGGTCTGTTGTGACAAGTTTCGTTTGCCCAGACAGTCACTCAGCCTAAATGCCTTGAGGGCAATGTTCTTTTGCCACAAAAATTGGCGCAACTGTGGATTGGATCGAGCCGTTGCTGCCCCTAGGAAGCCGACAGTGAGTAGCGTGGCCCCCGGTATCAGGCATGTCGCCATTTTGCACGTTAAAGCATCGTCGCAGACGGAGTCGACAGCCAAAGCAATATTTTTTCCTTCCAGTGCAGTGTTCGTACCGAGTTCGTCCTCCGTGAGTACCAAAGACGCCCCGTGAGATCGCAGGGACCGCTTTGTGCGTTCGAGTTCCTCTGCACTAGAGCGGTTGCGAATAATGCTGATGACTCGAACGCCGAATAGCGGAGCCAGTTGGCAGACAAAATGACTGATGGTGCCCGTGGCCGCGTTCTGGATGATCCAGTCACCCGGCTCGAGTCCGTGATACTCCCGCAGAAGGAAATACGCAGGAGCCACGCCCATACGGAGCAGGCACCCAAGGCGAGAGTCTAATGTTGACGGAATACGAATCAGATCATCCTCTTCAATGACTGCATGGGTCCTCCAGGTGCCCCGGCAATGCGTGCGGAGAACAACAATATCTCCAACATCCAACTGATTCACAGCCGAACCGGTTTGTATAATCCGCGCGGCGCCGTCAGAGCCAGGAATGGCAAGGGTCTCACCCGCCTCGTTTTTGTAGCAGCTTTGAAGTTTCACAGGATATTTGCCTTCAATCACGACGAAATCCAATGGATTAATGGGAACTGCCAGAAACTTCACCAAAACTTGCCGTGGTCCACATTCAGCAAGAGTGCTTTTCACAAGGTGCAAGCTGGTAATTGGCTTCGAGCAACCAACGGTAAAGGCAAGTGCTTCAGCCATTGTGCTGAGGGCAAAAGAACATATTTCAAAAGACTAGTCGAGGTGAAAATTTTGATTTGACGTAGGTAGGGACTATGGATCCTGCAAGCCAGTTGACAAGCTTTACTTAATGACTCCTAATTAACAGTACCGGAAGAGCAAGCGTCCTAGTCCAAGCAAGCAAACCTTTCCATAAGTACTTAAGTATAGCCCCAGAACATACTAAGCCGTTAGGTGCGCGAAGCCCTAAAATGTTATAGGCAAGCAAATCACCTAGTAAGCAAAGCACTCGAGTAGGCAAAGTTCCCGAGGGTAAGGCCCCCACCAAATGTATAGTTAAGGTCATGGCTTACTTGAGAGATTACTAATAAATCCTTTCAAGTGAAGCTCCCTCGGCATTTCTCCCGAGGGGCTTACTCATTGGTTTGCACATATCGTACAGATTCAGACACAAGTGGGCACATGTGTACCTGGGCGAGCTTGCTATGGGTATTAGTCTGACTTGGCCTTCAATTTTAAGCAGGTACAAGTACGCACTATAAATAGTACTGAGTAATGTTAATGACCTATTGCAAACCCGTGATGGGATAAAACTCAATATAACTAGAAAAAAAGTCTGTATGGTTTCTGTAACACTTGATTACGGTTCCCAGGCGTCATAATGGAAATCATACTTTCATATATCATTCCGCCGTTAGAACCGTCTTCTTCGTCGTGGTTGTGGGGGTTTTCGTACATTAACCTCTCCTCTTGACTAATAGATTTAGATAGATGCCTGCTAATCTGTGGGCCATCCACCGCATTGTGAGAGAAGTAGGCGGATTCCTTACATTGAATCTCAATGGAGCACCGCAAATCTCGTTACCGTGTTGTGTTCGTTGTAATTACCTCCTATGTCTGCGTATACAAATCGCCTCAAGGGCAGAGGGCGGATGGAATGATACGTAGTAACTTAATCCTACACACACGATAAAACTGATTGTTATAAATATCATCATTTAAGCTTCTCGGGTTTAAAATTCACACTATTGCATACCGCATATCCCCGCGATCCTTCGGCCCCAAAGTAGGTGATACAGTCGCGCAAGAAGTTGCCTCGATTATTGATGAAGGCGTTTATTCTCAAAGACAAAATCCAAGACGTTCCACACTTTAGACGTCCATCACGCGCTCATTCTTCCTGACACCACTAACAAAACGGGACACCTTTCAAACTACGGAGCAGATATCTCTATATTTGATACGGATATTGTCAGAATCATCAACGAGCTATTATGAAATGATAGCGAGTACTGAGTACAAAAACACCACACTATCTGAAAACTGTTGAGCATAGGGATTGAAGTTTGATCCTTTGTACGCAACTAGTACCGGCGATTGTGGGCGCGACTGCATCACCCTATTGTCTTACCCCTGCTCTTGTTTTGACCACGGCTGATCATGGCCCCTATAGCTACAGCATATATCAACGACTCCATGCTCAATACACCTGTCAATCCTTTTTCTTCCTCTATTAAAGCCCCTTCTCCTCCTTGCTCGATCACCGACTTCATTAGTTACCAAGTAGAACAAAACCCTGATGCTTTTGCGGTGCATGTGGAAAACGAGACCCCATACACATATGGCGCGCTATGGCAACTTGTTCAGCAAATCGCGTCCACAGCGCCTTTTGCTTCGGGCGACATTGTCCCAGTTTGCATGGACCTCACAGTCGAATTTGTGGCCTCATTATTGGCCATCATGGTCACCGGGGCTGCATATGTGGTGCTCGACCCCAATGGCTCTACTGAGCGCAACCGAGTCATCGTTGAAGACTGTAATGCAAGAGTCGTCATTGTTCATGAAAAATATAAATCGAACTTCTTGCAGGCTCTGCCGATAGAAAGAATCATATCCAATGACGTGACTGAACCATCTCAGAGTCTGCTCTTACAACGATCCGTTGGTAGTCAATCAGATCTTGCATACCTGGTCTACACTTCTGGTGAGAAACTCCTGCAACAACTATCTTTCTCTTTCAGCCTTCTGTGTCCTAACAACTCAATCAGGTTCCACTGGAACTCCCAAAGGAGTACTTATAAGCCATCGTGCTGCGTCACATGGAATCAAGCACTTTGACCTGAACGGCCACCGGCGCTGGTTGCTCTTCTACAGCCCTGTTTTTTCCGCCGCGCAGCGAACCATCCTTGCGACACTAGCTAAGGGTGCTTGTCTGTGCCTTGCTGACCGGAGTCGTTTGGCAACAGCTCTACCGGAGGTTTTGATTAACCTCCAAATTGATGCCTTGGGGATCACACCGTCGGCCCTATCATTACTGTCCCCAGATAGCGTGCCACGCTGTCTCAAGCAGATAACCACTGTCGGCGAGCCCTTGAGCCAGGGCCTTGTGAACCTGTGGGCGGATAAGGTCAAACTTCGGGTTTCATATGGTCTGAGTGAATGTGCCCAGTTGAACTTTTCCCGCCAGCTACATTCTGGTGATGACCCTCGAAACCCTGGACAACCAATGGACACCACTACGGCGATCATCTGCGAGCCTGGAACCACTGGACAGCTACCTGTGGGTGAAGCGGGAGAGCTTTGCCTTTCCGGACCTCAAGTCGCCAATGGTTACCGCAATCGCCCAAAGGAGACAACAGCTACCTTTGTCAAGCATCCATCAGGGTCGGAAATTTTCGTTCGAACTGGGGATTTAGCCATTCGTCTACCAGATAATAATTTCAACATTATAGGCCGTATCGACCACCAGATCAAAATTCATGGTCAGCGGGTCKAACCTGGCGAGGTAGCAAGCAAGCTTTACATTGAGGATTGGGTAGCGGAGATTATTTGTTTTGGTGCGCATATCAACGAGAAGATGTCTCTAGTTGCTGCCATAATTCCGCGACCGAAGACGAAATGGAGTAACCTAGTGAAACGTCTCCGGGATCAAGCACGGCAATCCTTCCCACCATATATGATACCCAATTTTTGGCTTCAATGCCAATATTTTCCACTGAGTCATAATGAAAAAGTGGACATCAAAGCCATCCAAAATATAGCAGAGTTAGCAGATGTTCAGAGCCTGCTTGGCCGGGATGCGATCCTCGAGGGAAGAGATCACATGTTTAGTGAGATCGGACGCGAAATCGTTAAGATATGGGCAGATGTCCTCCATCTCCCCAAATCATCTATTCTGCCCTCGGATTCCTTCGTCGGTCTAGGTGGGACTTCAATTGAAGCAATAAAAACACTTCGGGAGCTGCGCACTCGGGGTTTTCATATAGAGCTGGCGGATCTGCTGCAGTCTTGGAGCGTGGGAGATATTGCCGAAGCAGTCGAAGTCAATGGTAACAATACAGCGCACCATGACTCAAAGACTCTGGAGCCATTCTCCCTCTTATCAGATCAAGGTATCAAGTTAGAGCTTATGGCAGATCGTGAAGTGGTTGATGCATTCCCACTCACAGGCCTGCAGGAAGGCGTCCTTGCCAGCACGCTTCAAGGAAGTAAAGATTATCTGTACCAAAGAGTCTTTGATGTCAGGCATCTCGATCTTATCAGGCTCCAGCTTGCATTCCAAGTGGCTTTTTGTCTCAGCGACACTTTTCGATCGACCTTCATTACAACCAGCAATGGCTTTGCACAAGTTGTGCGCTCGAACTTATCGCTCCCCTGGAGAACAGAATCAACATCTCTTTCAGATTACCTTGAGGCCGACAAGAGCATGGGTGTCACCCTCGGAGAACCATTTATGAGAGTTGCACTTTTAAACGAAGCTATTCTTGTTGTCTCTGTCCATCATGCACTGTTTGACTACTCCTCCCATGGCTTTCTGTTCGACGATGTTGCTCGACTATACTATGGGCAAGCCCCCATTCCACGTGTATCTTGGAGGTCATTTATAGGATATCTGCACAACCAGTCTCAGACGCAATTGGATGAATTCTGGAAAAAGCACCTGGCCGAGGCTGTGCCTACCATTCTAAATGCTTATCCGATTCAACGGACAAATTCTGTAACGAAAACGCTCCGTCTGAACCTTAAATCGGCTTCAGGATTTCTACATACCCCTGCGAGTGCAATTATCTACACTGCATGGGCACTAGTCCTTTCTTCACATACAGCATCAAAGTCAGTCACGATGGCAACGGCGGTATCAGGGCGGGATATACCAGTACCTGGAATCGAAAGACTTGATGGGCCTACTCTTGCTGTGGTACCACAAGCTGTGGTAATCGACCCAAAACAATCTTTGGCAGAGCTGACACAACATGTCAACAAAAACCTTTGGGAAATTGCCAAGCATTCGCAGCACGGTATCCGGAGAGCTCTATCCGCCGCCGGCCGCCAGGGTGGCTCTCCCCTGTTTGATACTATGGTCAATATTCTCGTTCGAGAAACGGAAAGGGATGAAGTCGCCAGAGAGGTTTTTCAGGCAGTGGACAAGCAGCCGGCCTGGAAAACCGAATATACCACTTTGAATGTTCATATGGGAGACGATGATATCGAAATAATCCTCACAGGTGCTATAGAACATCGTCGACTAGGGTTCATTATGAATCAATTCTGCTGTGGCATTGAGACGATCGTCCAGAATCCGCGAGTGAATATTGAATCTGTCAGTCTGATGAGGCCAGAGGAGTTGGAATTCCTGCTCGACCGGAAAGAAGAACCACATTCTACCACGACCCTCCACGGTGAATTCGAGTTCATTGCAGAGAAGTTTTCAACTAATGTCGCTCTCAATTATCAGAATGAGCAAGTTCTCCACTACGCTGAGCTAGATGAGGCAACTAACCGAATGGGCAACTATCTCTCTGAGCGTGGTGTTACTGCGGGTGATATCGTTCCTGTCCTTCTCAAGAAATCACCCTTATTGATAATTACAATCTTGGCAATACTGAAAATCGGTGCTGCTTATGTGCCTCTCAGTCCTGAAAACCCTGTCGAACGAAATACTTTTATGGTTCAAGACGTGCGAGCAACGTGTATTGTGACAGAGACGGAACACGCTTCGTTCTTCGATTCCAATGCCAAAAGTATTCCCCTCATCTTGGTCGATACTCCTAAGTTGTGTAACTATTCAAGTGACAAACCCAGAGTCGACGTCTCACCCGCTGATTTGGCGTATATTATCTATACATCTGGCAGTACTGGTCATCCGAAGGGCGTTATGGTCAGCCATAGGTCCTGCGTAGCTGCCATGCGATCCATTATTGATTTTGAGAAAAGGCAGAATAGGCAAACCAAGCATCTCCAATTCTCCAATTTTATTTTCGATGCATCTGTGTATGACATATTTGCGACATTACATAGTGGGGGAACTTTGTGCATTGCCTCCACGGAGCGTCTTCTTAGTGATCTCACGGGGGTCATCAATCAAATGAGCGTCGACCATGTCTTTATGACTCCCACTGTAGCCCGGCTACTGGATCCCCGAACTGTCCCTACGCTCAAGTCCATGGTAGTTGGAGGSGAGCCATTGACCCCGGACGTTGTGGCAACCTGGGCTTCGAGGATCACCCTGATTAATGCCTATGGGCCCACTGAGACAGCAGTGATGGTAAGCATGAAGCATGTCACCAGCAACATGAGTACAGGAAATATCGGAACGTCTTTTCCGTCAGTTGGCGCGGTGTTACTCGAACGGGATGGGGTCCGACCGGTGCCATATGGAGCAGTAGGAGAATTGTGCTTCTGGGGTCCTCAGCTATCGTCCGGCTACCTCAACAGGCCTGAGGTGACCGCTGCAGCCTTCGTCGAAAGCGATATTTGTGGCGGTAAACGATTGTACCGTAGTGGTGACCTCGGAAGGTACATTTCTGGCGGTGATATCGAATATCTTGGCCGCAAAGATGACCAAGTCAAGATCAACGGGCATCGGATCGAATTGGGAGAAATTGAACAGACAATCCTTCGAACTGGCGTCGTACGAGAATGTGTTGTCACCGTGTGGAAGAAGAACAACACAGCCCATCTCGTTGCAATAGTGGTTTTCAATCACGGGGAACAGAATTCCGTCGAAAATGAGAGACATTTCCTACCCATGGACATGTTCACCGAGAAAATACAAAGGCTGAAGACCAATCTCGGCGGGKTAGCTTTCTACATGTACCCTAAGTTTATCCTTTCCCTTCCTTCCTTCCCTCGGCTACCTTCAGGTAAAGTGAACCGCAAGGAGCTCAAGGCGCGAGTTGGATCACTGAGCCAGGTTGACCTGACTCAATACTCCTTTGAAATTGTCGGCAAATCACAGTATACAGACATCGTCCCTGTGGTGTCGGAGGAACAGAAGACTCTTCATCGAGCATGGATCGAGGTTCTCGGCTTGCACAATGATCAGTTTGGCCTAGAGGCCAATTTCCTCGGTCTGGGCGGCGACTCTATCTTTGCCATTAACCTAGTCAGCTGGCTTCGGCGGAAAGGGCTCAGCATTACGGTTAGAGACGTACTCCGGTACCCCATTTTCGAGTCGATGGCGGAGCAGCTCCATCGCCATGGTGACAACGAAGCAGCAGCAGCACCACGACCTCTCGTCTTTTCGCCACCAGCAGAGTTTGATTCCATCCTCTCCTCTAACGGTCTTGGGCCCACTGATTATGAATATATCTACCCCTGTCCCCCTGGTCAAGCCGAGTTCCTATCACAGGGAGCTCGATTGGAACGTTTCTGGTGCTTGATGACGGTACGATCACTTGGTCAGAGCAGCGATCCGAGTAAATGGCTTGAGCTTGTCAAGAAATTGACGGAGACCAATGAGATCCTCCGTACCACCTTCCTCAAGCACGGCGAAAAATGGTACGGAGTCGTCTTGCCTGATCCTACCCCGATTGTAGAATTCTATGACATCAGGACCTCCTCGGAGCGGAAGAAGATCCTAGACACAATCTGGAGCGAGAAGTTTGTCTTTGGAAAGCCCTTCATTCGCTACGCTATCCTTCGCCTCGAAGATGGAGAGCACCAAGTCGTCAGCAAATTAGATCACGGCCTCTATGACGGCACCCTTCTCCGTATCTTCGATGCGCATCTTCAGAAATACCAGCGTGGTGAATCCCTGGATAGATTTACTTCATTCAGAAATTTTGCTTTCCACGTCTGGAAAATCAACCAAGAACGACCAAACGTGGCCTTCTGGCAGCAACCAGACAAGCAACCGATTCAGTTTCAATTAAAATGCCGCCAGGATTCCAGTCAGCTACCGTCGCCCGGGCCTAGCATTGACGCGTTCGCAGTCCATGTAATCGAGCACGATCATTTAGAAAGCTTTAGTCGCTCCAGCGGCGTCACGATCTCCATCCTCTTCCAGGCCATATTCCAGATCTGGCTCAGCTACCGCAGTACCCAGCGAGATGTAGCATTTGATTATCTCTACACGGGCCGCAACGTTGATCTCCCTGACCCGCAGAACATCAATGGGACCTGTGCCAATTTCCTTCCAATGCGCTCGCAAGTGGACATGCAAATGACCGTCAAACAATTTCTCCAGCAAACTCAGGACGACTTCTGGCAGTATACAGAAAACAGCACTGTTTCGATCGATGACATCTATAGAAGCTGTGGCGATGGGCTTTCCCGCGACGATTCTGCGAACCAGGCCATGTTTCTCTTCCAGCCTTTCGAGCCTGCAGCGTCATCGCCATCTTCGGGGAGGGTGGTAGGAGAGGAGCTTCAACACTGGCTGGTGATGGCGAAGTCAGAAATCACCATGCCACAGCCGTACGCGGTTGTGTTTGAGGTGATCCGGACTGGTTATGCGGATAGGTACAAGTTGAAGTTTGCGTATGACAGTTCATTCTGGACGAAGGAGGAGGTTGAGAAGGAATTGATGATTGTTGAGAAAATGGTTGTGCATGCCGTGCAGGAGGCTGATACTTTGGTTGGCGATGTCTTGCGCGATTTATAACATGATCTAATGTAGGCATTATTTTATTAATAGATGGGAGTTGGTTGGTTGAATCGAGAAATTGCGTCTTGGATTCTTCGACCAGTGAACAACACTAGTTGACTAGTGTCGAGAGAATCGTTACCATCACGTTACACATAATTACTTCGATTCCGGTGGCAAATGGGCTGTGCTATTCGTATTGGGCCGTATTCTGTTGTTTAATTACAGAACATGACATTTCCCTATAGATCACAGCAACTCCTTGCCGGTTCCCTCACATCAGAGAATCGTCATGGTACCGCTTTTGGTTTCTTTGGGCGCCTTGACTGTGTGTCGCTCCTCGCTGGTAAGCAATCATGAGGCATGCATACAATATCCAAGGATGTTTCTCCTGCGAGGCATTTGATTGCCTGCATATGCCGACTCTCCACCTTCAACCAGACCTCGGTACATCCAGCACAAATATAAATACATATTTCCTTTAACATCCATGCCCCTCGGTTCAGTACGAATGCTTCCAAGACTATTCTCGTGCCATGTACATCGCTTCCTAGGTAAACCTACGACTGTTTCCAAGAGCTCTCACGAATATACTTTTGATGATCGCAGATCAACCACCTCTCGGAAGTCCTGCAAGTGCATTCAAGACTGGGATGGGAAAACCCCCATTTCCTAGCGGAGAACTCTGCAACAGCATAATTCTCTCGCACATGCTAGATACCTAGCCTGATTTCCGTGATGTAGGCTACTAGGACTAGGCACTCTATTCCTGAAAAGTCTTGCCTACGGAATTTTAAGTCAATTGGGACTACTAATATTATCCTGGACTCCTAGGGTTCTGGAAACCGTGGCACGCGCCACACAACCGTACGCGTGTCCAGCACTGCGAGCAGTTCAGCCAGCCACCGAGCTGGTATGTAGCAGGATCGTCAATACATGGGCTTTTATTGGATAGGCACTAACACTTTCGGTTGTACTATCTATACGGATATTCAGTGGTCATGTTCCGGACACTCTCATGAAGACAATAGGCTGTTATCGCATGCTGCAACTGTACTAAAATACCTTGTTTTACTCGCTCCACATATTTCAGACGAACTGAAGGCTGTGTTAGATAACGTATCGCTAGACAAACGCCGGCAGCGAATATAATGTGCGGGGTATGCGTGACAACTGGTTACTTATATTGCGGTATGTTGTATGTAGTGGAAAGATCCCTTCGAAAAGAAAATGTTTCACAGAATCCGACAAGTGTAGGTTAAATGAATTGCAATTCGGACGAACCGCGCTGCATCTCATTTCTTGCACTGTTCATTGATAGATCTTACTTTCATAAGCAAGCACGACTGAATTCTTCTTGAACTCGCTCAACCTGGTTACGAATATTGTTTTTGATACGGACTCTCACGGTTCATCGTTCTTCTACCTGTATTTGTGATTGAGATATGCCGTCAGCAAAAGATTTGACTTACGCCTCAATATCGGTTGAGCTTGGATCTCACAGGCGCAATTTGATCAAGCCGACTCAGTGGGAGCCCAGAATAGAGTCATTGATTCGAGAGATTCAAGCCAACGGATATGTTATTATTCCACTAGCGTTTGATAAGACTGAGATTGAAGAAGCAAAAGCCGAATTGGCGCGTCTGGCAAGCAGCGGACAAGGTGGTCCTGCTGGCACTAAAGGACGTAACGCGTTTGAAGGGTTTAAAACCGGTCGGATATATGCTCTCTTGGACAAATCTAGAGTTTTTGATAAATTTGTATCACATCCGGACGTATTGGCCTTGAACGACTATTTTCTGGACCCGGGATATCTGATCAATGCCTTTCACAGCATTTCTATTCAACCAGGGGAGCTACCTCAAACTCTCCATCATGATGATGGGCATATCAAAGTGCCACGGCCACATGTGCCGTTTGGAACGGCAAGTATATAGCATATATGGATTTCAATCGTCAAATCTAATAAAATATGGTATTACTAACATCAGAAATCACAGGGCGTCATGGTAGCGTTGGACGCTTTCACCGAGACAAATGGTGCCACGGCCATTGTACCAAAGTCCCATCTCTGGGGCGAAAAGCGCTTGCCCACTCGAAGTGAGACATTACCGGTTGTGATGGAAAGTGGTAGTATGGCATACTTCCTAAGTACACTCTGGCATGGCGGAGGTCAAAACAACTCGAAAGAGGAACGACGCTCTCTCAACATGCAATACTGTCAGCCATGGTTACGTCCGTTTGAGAATCATATTCTGGCAGTGAGTTGGGACAAATTGAACCAAATTCCTCCAAAGGTCGTCGATATGATGGGTTATAAAGTTGGAATCCCAATGGTCGGCCATGTAGAGGGCTCCACCCCTCTCAGGGCAGTTAATCGCCGACTCAAAGAGTACCGGAATGAAAAGCTACGTAATAAGACAAAGCTTTAAGGTGGATGACTTGGACATCGTTATTATCATTATTAGAATATTTTAATAGCGCTTATAAATGAAACTTAAAGCATACACTGTTTGGTTCTCTGGTCCTTAGGACGAAATGTTTGAAAGTGTAAGAATTCAGCAATGAGTTTTGCGTAGAGATTGACAGAACACTGAGGCAACTGCTGGGAAGCAAAGTTTTGGACTATAGAAGATGTATCAAAAAGCAGATACGCTTCCAAAAGTTGAGTGACTGGGACGTATCTAGATAGCTTGGCTTATCAATGTTGCCAAGTGTTAGTATCGTTCATCTGAATGATTATTTTCTCGTTATAAACACCATTATCTCTTGTATAATACCGGTAGTTTCGCCTCCGATGCTCACTATTTCGTATACACTATCTCATACGTGATTCCGCCAAACGCTAATCTTACAAGGTATACTAATCTTCTAGTCGGTCCAGCTTTGTGGTGCCTTGATCAAGGTCATCGCACCATATAATGTATTAAAGCTCCCAAAAAGTAATCTGGATGCAAAATGGTTGAGAGTGATGTACAAGAAATTATTGAGTATTCAATATGATCTTGGGAAAGCTATTTTCGCAGAATGATCTTGTGTAGCGAGGTGCCGTGTACTGATTATGCAATTTAAATTATGACTAAGCCAGCATCCTGTGTGAACATTCCTTATGAATGAAGACGAGAATGCTGACATTGATTGGATGCACCGCAGGATACAGATGAGGTACTCGATGTACCGCCGCCCTTGAAACGTATTTTAAACGTCGGAACATCCATAGAAATCTATCCAGTCTTTGTGTGAACTCCTTGCTCCTCTTGCACCCCAGCGCTTTCGATAGACGAGGTAGAATAATTGACTGTGGTGACCTCGTCGAGTTTGTTGTCCTCCGTGATCATAGTCCAGCTCACGTAGAGAAAACCCGGGAGGCTGGCTAGAAAGGTGATAACATTCGCCCAAAGTTGCCATTTTAAAGTAACATTGCAGGCCCCGAGAACGAATGCCAATGTTGACCCGAAAGAGCCAATTCCGGTCCTGGAAGCAATGCGAAATTAACAAATATTCTCCATCGTATAATTATCGGTATACTCACACCAACCCTACGAGTGACGCAACTTTCCCTGGGTCCAATCCCAAGGAACCGATGATCCAGTAAATAACCATCATACCCGAATTCTCAATGAGTCCGTATAGTATAAAAAGTAGGGATGATTTTATAAAGACCGGATCGACGATGTCAATAGCTGTGGATGCCCTTTCATCGTACTGGTATTGCACGATTAGACCGTAGATCCCTAGCATCAATTAATGTTTATGACTTCATCTTTGGCGATCAGTTCTACCCACAGGTCAGTGTAGTGACTACAACGTAAGCAGTCATTCCATAACGCGCTCGACTTCGGCGACTCCATTGTTTCCTATCTAGGAGCCATCCTTGTACCGGACCAATAATGCTAGGCCCAACTGTATAAGTTAATTGACGAATATGGTAAAGGATATTTAGCAATCAGCAGAACTGACCTAAGTAGAAGAGAGTACTAAGCAAAGCTCGAGCCCTGACAGTATGATAGACCGCGTTCCAAGTCCACATGTAGGATAGATCCCATTGCTATTCCTGTCATCAGCTAGCGTTGCATCAGATATATCGGTAATAATATCCTTACACAGTACAAGGCAAATGGGACTAGCAAAACAAAGCTTTTAAGCGACAGAACGCTCTTCAGGCTTGAGAGTTCCTCGTTCCAGGATTTGAAGCGATGTTCGACAACTTGTGTTCCATCGTTTCGCTTAATTTGTGACGGTCGAGGAATTGTAGCTGCCAATGGCAAACCGATACACATAATTGAAATGAAGGCAAAATAGGTGGCTGCACATCATACCAGTCAGTGAGTTCATCCAATGATACCACCAGGTTTGGGCAGCCACCTACCATCCGAAACTCTGCCGGCGTGGTTCTGCTTGATATTCAACCCGAGTGAGATGGCACCACCAATGAATCCTCCGATATTTTGAAAAGCGAATTTTGTACCAACTGCACGTCCACGATGATGTACGACAGGTACTTTTATCCACATACTCAGTTATCCAGTCTCTCGTACCTCGAGGTTATCTTTTGGTACTCACCAACAAGGTTGATTGCACCAGATGCAGTCCACAAGAAGACGGCACTAATACCGCATGTCGCAGCTCCTAAGATGGGAAACCACCTACGATAGCTCGTCAGCGGTTGAGAACACAGGTTTGATATATTCAATATTCCTACTTATTCCCGAAGGCTGCATTTGTATAGAGGGCAGCTACTCATGGTCAGTCGACTTATCAAATTAAACCCAAAGAAAGTCTCGAGCTCACCTGCGTATGGTGCATAGCCTAATGATCCAATGACCAGAGTCCAGCGAACGCCGATTCTGTTACATACCATGCCTGATATAAAACCTAAGACGGTCATGGTACCGAAGACCACCGCATTAACGACATTTGAAAGACTGGTCGATTCTTCTCCAGCTCCCTAAGTCTACTTTGAGTATGAGAACTTGGCGAACCGTCAGAAAAACTCACTCCGAGACCCTAGATGAACCACATCGTTACTGGATTGTTGTTACCGAAGTAGATAAATAAGGAGACTCACGTTCAGTGCTGAGAACATGCCTGGATGGCAGAATGCTGTCCACGCTACAACCAGCACACTGTACCTGTTTTTGTTGAAAATCGTGATGTTAGTCAACAAAAAACAAAAGACAGCTTGCATATGAATATTCCTACCATGGTTGGAAACGAATACTGTGCATTTTTAGGGATACCAGTAAAAATGCCTGGAGTAAAAGAGTGAGGAACCTGATCGTGTACAAATTGAGGACCCCATTCTGCAAAAGGAATTTGAGGCCTTATCAATCATTCCCACACGCTCACTAAATGCTAGAAAACCTACTTATTTACCAAATTGTGGATAAGTATCGATCAACGTTCTAGATCTTCGGATGCTGTTCCGTCTCCAAGGCAGATGATTGGTGATCATTCTTGGATGAGCGAACTGACGTGATTGAAACTAATGCTTGCTAAGTGAAAATACGTTTGAAGTAGTAGTTCTATCCGGGCATTTTGCGCTATTCAACGGCTGATAGTTATGATTCTCCATCCGATACTCCCTTAGTGCACGCGCCGCCGAAGGTAAGGACGATATATCGTTTTATGAAATAGATTGAAGTTATTCATTTGGTCCGTCACAGTTTTTGTTTACCTTTATACATCAGGCTTTGCATATTAATCATGATAACCTGGAAAAATTGCTATTTGTGTTCCCCAACTCCTGACCATACTTTGTTTTGAGGAAAAATGAAACAATCTACAAATGAGACCCTGACTCTACATTAGGCCCGTGCTTCTTCCTAGAGTCTTCTATTTCAGCAGCCTCAGTCCACACATTTTGTATCTAGAAGGCAACAGGGTTAGTTAAATGAAACAGCAAAAAGATGAATCGAAAGATGACATACATCGTAATCAAATAACCATTTGTATTTTCCATGCCACTTATTTCGAACTGTATGAGCGACTCCTTCGTCAAACGAAAAGTTCCCTGCGTTCAGAATTCTGTCTGACGCCTTGAAATCGTCCAGGATGCGATACTTCAAAACCTAGATCTCAGTTTCTCACTGTTTCATGGAAAAAGCAAACATTCTCTAGATGACTGACCATGGACTGATAATGCGGGGATCGTACACGATCATACAAATTAAGCCCATCTCGTAGTTCATGTCCACGACTTCTCGCCCAAGCGACGGATTTCACCAACGCAAAAGCGTCTTCTAGAGCAAAACCAGCACCAGCGCCTAGGAAATCAAAGTCAGATAGAACACAATGAAAATATGACGTTGAGTCTCTTACCAAATGCGCCCGACAATGCTACCAGAATCCGTCAGTATACATAGATTGGATTGCTGATACAGGACTTACGATGAGATGCGTCTCCAACTAAAGCAATCGAGCCACGAGATACGACTGATTCAAGTCTAGGACCGGCGAAAAGGGCAAACTTCTGAACATCCTTAACTTTGTCGAGGACTTCATGAATGATAGGTGCAAATTCCTAACTTATCAGCTCCTTCACAAGGACGGAGGTAATGCCTACCACTTACTTTCCACGGCCGTTTGAACTCCTCAAGGGTAGCCTTCTCGCCCCAGCTTACTTTAGCCACTTCCTCAGTCTCATCAGCATTGACTGTTATCTCATATATACCTCCGTTCAAGTTGCAGGTATACACCCAATCTGATGGTCCATGCCAGAATGTGACTGCATCTGGGAAATTGGGTATGCTGAGTATTTTCTCCGTCGGCACAAGTCCACGGTATGCTGTTCTTCCCGTGTATGCAATTTTATGATCAGGAAACGCGAAACTCCTAACAACCTAGAAGGCAAGTTAGCCGATAGTTTGAATGTTGTCTTTCTGAAAAGGTCAGACTTACAGACCGGACACCGTCGGCACCCACTAATAAGTCAACTTCATCTACATGCCCGTCTTGGAAGTGAAGAATATATGTTTCCGTAGGTGTTTCAACAATTTCTACAAGGCGAGATCCCAGCCGGAGGTTTGACTTATCAACGTTCGAAAGAAGGGCTTTCTGTAGAACCGAACGAAGTGCGCGTGCATGGAAATGTTCGGGAGGACCGTCTAACAGACCATCAGCCGTTGTACAATAAACCACGGCGAGGATTTACCAACCATTCTGCTCAATCGTGACAAGAAGCTCCCCAGTACGTCCATTTCTAGTGATACGTCAGATTTTAACAATTTTCTCCATTTTCAAGGCTCACGTTCCGCACCGGTGTTGTAACGAATGGCCATCGGCGGGACGAAATATTTCATTGGACTTTATATTTTGTGATGCACCTATTGCATCTAACATCCGCCATGTGTTCTTCTGAATACTTATTCCGGTTCCTATCTCACGAAGAGCTCTTGCTTGGTCGTATATTTTCAGATCGACAAACGGCAATTTCTGGAATTCGATGGCTGCACCTAGGCCAGCTGGCCCGGCACCAATGATTGCTACTCGAAGTTTGCCTGGCATTCCGTTCGAGCTTGCAAGCAAGTACGGCACTTATCGTTCAGTGTGATATCAATGATTGCGAGAATCCTGTGCAATAGGTAGCCTAAAATAATAATAAACGAGCAGGAGATTCCTTCAACGAAATTTTCTGTGCATTACTTTGAATTTGTACTTGACTACCGCCTGAGCAACTATTCACTAGCGAGTAATGACCGTAGTCAGTGGCACAAAGAGACGTAATCTGATACAGGTCTTATCGCAAAACATTGAGAAGACTTTTGGCATGCTTCCAACAACCGGGAGAGTTCCGATGGCAGCCAATAGGAAAGAACGAAACTTTTAATGCATCTTAAACAAACAGAATGCGTGCTTCTGAGCTGCGAATTCGCAATATTTTAGTTAGGGCTTAAGTGGGTCTCTAGGTATTGCATCATGTTGGGTGAATGAATACAATCTTTGCGTTTTCGATTAGCATCGGAGCAAGCCAGTTGCCCGATAACGCCGTCCATTATATATCCGGAACTAATGCATTCTTTTCATTGCTCAAGAGCAATTCGTGCCCATCGCTCAGGCAAGTCTCATGTTCATCCGGGCAATCCATCCTTATTATTGCATAGTCCAAAACTTCTAACTTGCTACTGATCAATTGGCTCATTGACTAGGGCAACGCTGCTTTTGTGCTCGACGTTTATTGTGAGCAAGGGGGTAAGACAGACGTATTCCTTATTCCGATCGAAATAGTTCACGAAATGTCGGCGGAGCCGTTAGAGACGCTGAGGAGCGGGGCCCCTTCTTCTGGTAAATACGGCCAGTTGAAGCGCTTACAGCCAAGTCAATCACATCGACATCGACAAACGCAGAAAGAGAAGGACAGGTATGATGGGGGTTTGAGCAACAAGTCATTCCTGAAATCGAAGTTTAGGGAGTCCCCTTCATATCCGCGACGCCTCTCGCGCGCTTCTTCTGTAAGCTATAGGCCACCATTTGCTGATTCATGCTTATATTGATGCTATCCCGAGGCTTGTGATACATGTCGACAGAAGAAGGTCCGCTGCAATGAAGGAAGACCTAGTTGTGACTTCTGTGTCCAACACGACTATCGTTGCAATTACCGCCCGCCGCTCGAAACTGCGTACGAGTGATATCCTATGGACTGCGAACGAGAAACGTCAATTGGGTAGCTAACATGTCCAAATAGTGCAGAAATACAATTGGCAGAAATTATAGAGCAACTAGACGGTATACGAGAGTCAATTGACGGCATATCTTCGATAACACAACGGCATGATTCAATCATATCTACGCTTCTAGCTAGAAACGGGGTTTCTGTAGACACAGAAACAAGTCTTACCCTTCAACCCGCTGCCGCGGCTTTGTTGCAGATTAATAGACACGATTTGTCTTCTTACAGTTCTGACGAGCCGAGGGCAACGTCCCCAGTAAACGTCGCATTCGACCAACATACCACACGAAAGACGATCTCATTGCCCGCCTCGATCAATAAATCATATAAAACAACACCATACCCTACTCTTACAAAGATTTGCGATTCCACCTTTCTAGTACAACAGTTTTTTGATAAAATTTGTCCATTGTTTCCAATAATCTGTGACTTGGTTGCGATGAGGACGGTTTCAGATGTGATTTCTAGCGGTTGTAAAAATGACATCGAGACTTGTCTAATATTGTTGCTCGTGGCAATAGGTAAGGAGAGCGATGACTGCAATAGCAGCCTCGGGAACGATGATTTCCAGTGTGCTCTATCGATTCTCACGCGAGTAGAGTATGACTTCACCTTACAGTTCGCACAAGCTGAAATGCTTGCTGGGATTTATTTATATCGCAAATTCAAAATCTTAGAGTCCTGGAGGCACATACACGCAGGTTGCACGACGTTATACGTCTTAATTGAGCGGTAAGCAAACAGGTCACAACCACTTCTTTTCGAGATGGTAAGGTTCTACCTGCTAAAACTTGTTATAGGGACCTGGTCAATCAGATCGAGAGAGAGAATTCAGAAAGAAATACCATTCTTCGCTTGTACTGGATTTCCTTGAACTTGGAACGGTACTTGACGAAACTCCTCAACATCTCACTGAAAAACTCGCTAATTTTGATTAGAGACATTACAGATCGTGTTGATCACCTTCCAAAAACATCGCTTTCAAACCTGCAAGATGTTTTAACACTTCCTCTTGGCTGTGAAGAGTCTAACACAACACATCTACCAATGACAACACGGACAATCTACACGTTCTTCTTAGCAGAGACCGGCCTCAAGGCTATACTAGCAAGGATTCGGCAAATGAGTCAAAGAAACGACAAAGAGACTCGACACAGAGAAAGTCAATATCATGCACTAGATTCAAAAAGCCCAGTGACTGAGGAATTGGAATGCCAGCTGTTAGCCTGGTTAAGTGGAATTCCTGCCTTTCTGAACTGGTCACCGAAACCTGGTCAGGGTACACAAACGAAAAATGCAAGCAGACTGAAACTATTGTTCTGGTTTGCGAAGATTTTGTTACACCACTATCCAGTCGAAACTGCTCTTGCTCGACAGGATAGTCGCTTCACCATGGCTGGCTGGATGATATTGCAAAATACGTTGCTCGCAACCTACAATTTGGTGGAAGTATTCGTCCTGGAAGACCTCGATCCAGACCCAATTCTTTGGGACCAGTAAGTATATGTGTCTTGACCTTGCAGTATCCATAAACCTGACGTTCTATCCCAGTGCACAGTTTGCGATAGCTCTTCTAAAGGAAGCCACAACCATGGATATACTTCAATTAACACACTTTCCTAAATTGGAAACAGTCGTGCAACAGGCAAAGGATTTGATTTCGATCACAAGACCTAACAAGCAATAAGTCCATATACGGTCAGGCGATCAACACGCTGCTTTACTATATACAAGCGGTACAAGGAGAGCTATTTAATGATTTGTGGTGTCATATGTTTGCAGCCGGATTCTCGCTGGACGACTGTGCAATCTTACCACAGCCTTCACTTATTTTCGTTGCTTAATACCGTCGTTGGGGACAGCATATATAATTCAATATATCACCAATGGCGATGGTCAAGGACCAAAGTTTCATCGTGAAATGATACCACACTACCATAGGCCATTACAGGAGCGGTTTCATACTTGCTGGGGCTACGTTGCTTTCATCCGTTGTAGCCCACTTTCAATATCCGGAAATCAAGGGAATAACTGCACCTGAGGGTGTTTCTGCAAGAGCCTTCAAACGCATGACATGACAAGAGCTATAATCGCGGGAGTCGTGTATTAACTATTATCAGTTTTTCAGACCACATGGGCACTGGCGTACACGGCGCCATGGAAGTCGAAAACTTCGAGATGATTGGAATGACGAAACAGTAGATGATGCATGATGGAATAAAGGCAATGGACAAATGAAGACGGTTCATAGTTGTTTGGAAACACTTGAATGTAGCCAATTCAAGTCGAGGATCTATAAATTCAAAGTCGTCTGCCAATATGGCATGACAACATTGTCCTGGCCCCAGAGGGGGGAGGAAGGCGATGTGTCTCGTCCGGCGTTGTATATGATGAAAAGAAATGTGTAATATATAGATACTAGTTGGTTTTGCTTTATGCTTAATAAGGATTGGATCACCACTCAATCAATGAGAAGAGATGCTTTGCAAAAAAAAATTGTTAGCTTCAGCAATCCTTTGGCTTCGAGAACCACTGTGGCACCGCTGGAAACGCCCAATTTCTTTGCCCTCCAGCCATGAAGGTCCAGACGAGATCTTTCTGATCGTGAAAACATGTGCACTTGGTTTGGTTGGTAAGTGGCGATTGCTTCGTTATACCCTTTGACTTATGACGCAAGGGCGAATAGGATATCAGAGAAAAGGTGGCGAGTGGATGATAACTGTTGTCCATAGATGCGGATTGAAAGACATTACCAACCTCGGTTCTTGACCTGGGCCTGAAATTTCTGTCTTAAAAACCCACAAGGTTCGAGAATCTCTTTCAAAACGGGTCTCCACTAATCCTCATGCCCGTCACAGATTTCCATTGCAGTCGCATATTCCATGTACTTTGGGAAAAAGCCGCTATGTTCCCAGTCTAGAATTCCTGTAATTTTGCCGTCTTCCACCATGATATTCCGTGCCGAAAGATCACAGTGAGTCAACACAAAATTCGAAGCGGATGAATCACGCATTCTGGGAAGAAGGCGTTTCCACACCGCTCGAGAGAACGACGATCGGACACGTTCAAGACACCAGTTATCAAATTCTTCCTCTGACTCGAATGGACCCATGAATTCATATCCGGTACCAAGTCTCTCATAGAAGTTTGATGTCTCGTGATGGCCAATGCGGCCGATAAAGGGCTGCGTACAACGTCTAAAGAGTTGCACTTGCTCCTTGAGTTGGGATTTAATCGAATCACGTTGTTCCTTGGTCATCGAATGCCACGCTTTGTCTAGTGATACACCACGCACAAGGTCGGTGACGATCACGATGTTAAACTTTCCGACCCGATAGCATCCACGATAACGAGGGACCAGGAGGCTCGGCTGTTGAGACGCGTATTTCAACATGAGAGCTTCAAGTCTGATCGCTTTTTTTATTTCTCTTGGCTTGACCTTCACAGCGACAAGGTTTCCTTCCGACGTTCTCGATTCCACTACACGGTTGCCAAAGTAGTTGTAGATTTCCCGCCCGTGGATCGGGTCCGCTTCCTCCTCGTCGTTTGGCATGATGGGTACTCGCGTCGAGCGTCAGGCGCGGCGGTAGTTTGGGAGCGCAAAGAGCGAGAATTGGTGTTTGAAGTTCCATCATACTCGGCCAGCGGTGCAGACTGCCATGTCGTGCCATGTACTGATAACAGCTCAACATAAACAAACAGCCAAGTCAGGCAAAAGTGGCGGCAAATCGTAAATCCGATTCCTGCTCTTGGCACAATCCGGGTCAAGGTTTCTCAGGTGTGTCAATTAGCACATACACATAACTGGCGCGAGACCTTCTAACTATCACCATACTTCTATATGCTACGAGATGAGACATCTTTTGGGAGAATAGCTACGCTATTTGGGGAAAGGCAACAGTAGGCTTTAGTCCATTGTCATCTATGTCAATCCTCTTCGAGAAAGTCGCATATTCTCTCAAGAGCCAGTCAAACTTCTCATTTGATACCTCGTATACTAGAAGATGTGTGCAGCAGTTGCGAGGCAAGTATGTGTTTCTGTATCTGTATATTGCTCGAACCTTTATAACGAATCAACCCTAAGTTAGTGACTTAATGACTTGAGGTTACTTGAAAACGCGCCTTGACTCAAGAGTTCTGTGAATTTATGAAGCAGGTTCAATTCCAAGCTCAAAGAGAAGCAATGATAGCTGCGATCAATACTGTATGATGTTGTACGTTACTCTAAAGCAGCTTAACAAGCCAAGTACCGTATTTTATTAAGTCATGATATTTCTAACCTCTAGGCTGGAACGTATTGTGTAAGTCTCGTCACATAATATAAGAACGCTTTGTTCATACTGTACTTATTTTATAGAAAAAAATGTTCAAGTGTTCAAGACTAGTAGAGTTTATAGCAGTGGTGATTTGATGAGGAGGCTCCAGCCCCGTCGTTCATTGGTGGACATATCGTTCTCCAGATTCTCCGCAAATCAATGTCGGGGTCATCGCGGGTCGTTTCATACATCCATTTAGTGGCCTAGAGGAATATTTATCATTGATGGAATTAGTAGTGGACGGCCAAATCTGGGGAAATTCATTACCATAGCTCCACAGTCAACTCTATTGGTAGTTGACTTCAAGTTCGCGAATGGGCATGGCAACTCCTATCAGTGTCACAGCGGAGGAAGACTCAATTTATCAACTTTTCGGGAGACCTTGTTAACAACTATAAATTCAACAATGGCGCCCTCTACGAAAAGTCATCGAACATCAAGAATCCCCGTCTCGCGCATCCGAGATGTTAGGCTTTATCGTTCTCGCACTCACGGCGTACTTAGCAGTAACTCGGGCTCTGCCTGAACATCCAGTCCCCGAAAAGGCCACCCCTTGTGGAAAGTCGAATGACTGTTCTGCTAATCCATGGGCTAGACTCTATCCTGCACCCGGTGCCGTGGTGGTAGACAACAGCGCCAATCCGCACAAAGGATCCTTCACAACAGTGCAAGCAGGTGTTAACGCTCTCAATAGTACCACTACTCGTCCCCAAGATCTTTTCATTTTCCCCGGAACGTACAAAGAGCAAGTTTACATTCCGAAATTCAAGTCGAACCTGACTGTGCAAGGCTATACCCGCAATTCGAAGGGCTATGATGAAAACACCGTAACAATCACTTACGACCTTGCTCTCATCAATACGACGAGTGATGATCTGACTGCGACTCTTCGCTTGTGGAATCCCAACACTAAAGTCTACAACCTGAACGTGGTCAACACCTTTGGGCATATTCCCAAGAACGGCCAAAATCTGGCTGTTTCTGCAGAGGCCACGGGCCAGGGCTACTACGGTTGCCAACTGATCGGATATCAGGATACTCTGCTTGCCGAAACTGGACTACAGCTCTACGCAAAGTCTCTAATAGTCGGCGCAGTCGATTTCATCTTTGGCCAAAATGCCCTTGCATGGTTTGAGAATATTGATATCCGCACTATTGCAACAGGCTCTGTAACTGCTTCAGGTCGCAGCAGCGCTACAAATCCCTCTTGGTACGTGATCAATCGATCAACCGTTTCAGCTATCAACGACACCATCCCAACGGGCGTCAACTACCTTGGTCGTCCTTGGGGCTCCTTCGCACGAGTCGTCTTCCAAGAGACTTATCTAGGAAACATTATCGCTTCTGCGGGCTGGTCGCAATGGTCAACGAGTACGCCAAATATCGGCAACGTCACATTTGCCGAATACAATAATTATGGTCCTGGGTCAGCTCTTCAAGAAGGGCCAAGAGCAAATTTTAGTGAGCAGCTTMCCCAGCCAATTTCTATACGGTCTATCCTTGGCGAGGGTTTTGAGGATGAGTGGTGGGTAGATACCACGTATATCGACAAGAGTGATCTCAAGACCGGTAAATTTACGTCAACCACAATGTCCATTGCTCCTTCCAGTTCGACGTCTACACCCTCTCCAGTCTCAACTTCTTCATCCGCTACTTCGATCACTGTGTCTACTACCACAACACTCACATCTTCCTTAACTTCTAGCACTACCTTGAGCGCGACACCAACATCATCTGTTTCTGTACCTTTGACAACCGCAGCTGTTACATCTTCGAGTCAATCAGTGTCGTCCTCAGCCACACCTTGCACATGCACGGAATACTCTCAGATATCCTCCGCCGTTGCCTCCTGTACTAACATTGTCCTGTCCAATATCGCTGCTCCAAACGATTCCGCAATCGATCTCTCTGGTCTCCAGGCTGGAACTACAGTCACGTTTGACGGTCTAACTACCTTTGGATTCACAAATTCCTCCACTTTCAATCCTTTGACCATCAGTGGCGCGGGTATCACCATCACCGCCAATCCAGGAGCAGTCATCGACGGCAATGGCCAAGCGTACTGGGATGGTCTAGGCTCCAATGGGGGTGTCCCCAAGCCTGACCATTTTATCGTGGTTAAGAAAGTGACCTCAAACTCGGTTTTTAAGAACTTGTATATTCAGAACTGGCCGACTCATCTGTTTTCAATTTCCAGCTCCTCAGACCTCGTCTTTCAGGACTTGGTTTTGAATAACATTGCAGGCGATGCGCCCAATTCAGTTAGTGGAGGACTTCCTGCGGCACACAACTCGGATGGGTTTGATTTAAGCTCATCAAACAATATCGTCATTGAGAGAAGCCTCGTGTACAATCAAGATGACTGTGTGGCAATCACAAGTGGTGATAACGTAACGGTCTCGAATTTGGAATGTCACGGTGGTCATGGACTTAGCATCGGTATGAAACACTCCTTCTAAGCCAGATGCTGATTTTTTCTTACTGAATGAGGATAGGATCTGTGGGTGGCAAGAGCAACAATAACGTGACGAACATACAATTCGCCGATTCCTCAATCATCGATTCTCAGAACGGTTGCCGGATCAAAACCAATTACAACACTACCGGTTACATCGCTAATATCACATATGCTAATATCGCAATTAGCAATGTCTCTATCTACGGGATCGACGTGCAGCAGGACTACCTCAACGGTGGACCAACTGGGACACCTACCAATGGGGTTTTGATTCAAAATGTGCAGTTCCTAAACGTGACTGGAGCAGCTGCTTCATCGGCGCAGGACTATTATATTTTATGCGGTGATGGATCCTGCTCGAATTTCACGTTTAATGATGTTCTAATATCTGGTGGTGGAGTGGCTAGTAGCTGTAATTATCCTTCAAGTGGATGTCCTTCGTAGGGCCTCACAGTCGACTCGTCGGTATTTGGTCGTAACTTAGATGATGTACTCAAAGAAGTCTACATAAATCGGTTGATCAATCCTTTGTGGTGGCCAAACAACCTGCAGCATTCATTGTTAAGATAAACCAAATACATATTATGGCATACGAGAACTATTACACGGGGGTATGTGTAGTACTATTAGCTACGTACATACTTATTTTCAGACTACTGGGGGTATGAATATATAATTAGGTGCAGATAGTACGTAGTTCTGACACGTTTATAATTGAGTACAGCTCAATCTGTACCTGGACCATGTATTGGGAAACTCATAAGTCTTCGTGGGAATCCGTATATATCATAGCATGTTGTAACGCAGGTTTCATCCAAGTCATTAGAATTTCAATTTCTTATTTCCCACACCAGATCATCGTTCATGCTTTATAGGGTGTTTCATACGGCCGCTCTGCCTGAGGTGTAATCCGTGCCAAATGGCGACGTTCGCCTGTAGTCCAGTCAAAAATAGCCGAGTGTGCAGTTACTCGATTCTGTGTCATTATTTTAGTTCATGATCTCTGATATGATATGATGTTTGATGTCTCGACTTACATCCCATACAACAACCGTCTTAGGTGCCCATCGGACGCGAGCCTGATAATCAATTCCGCGGCTGATATGATTCAACAGAAATGCCAACAAGGCTTCACTTTCTTCCTTCTTGAGTCCAACAATACTTCGAGTGACTTGAAGAATGTCAGACCATACAAACCAAAACTCGATCTTGGAGTCACTTACAGCCGCCATTGACGTACAAAGCCTTCTCGCCGGTTGCTGGGTGCGTACGGACAAGAGGGTGCTCGTTTGAAACTGGCTCGCGCCTTACAACACCTCCGCGACTTTTGCTGAATTCTGCTTGTTCAAAACCAGAATGCAAAGCTGTCAATCCGTGCAGTCTCTCTTGAAGAGCTGGAGAGAGGCGGTTATACGCCTCAACCTGGTTCACAAATGCAGTGTCACCGCCGACTTCTGGGGAGTCAAGGATATAGAGGAAAGTTGTCCCAGGTGGCTGTTGCTCATATGAGACGTCAGAGTGCCACTGCACACTACTGTTGCGGCCGGCAAAGTAAGCCTCCACCTCGCCGTCTGATCCATTTCTATACACGATGTGAAGCTCGGGATGTCCTTCAGGGGCACCGCTAGTGGGATGAATGTGATGGCGCCCAAAATAGCCACCAAATTCCAGAGCATCTTCAATAGGAATATCTGCGAGGTCTTGGTCCCGGAAAGCGACAACCTTCCGTTGCGCCACAAGAAGTGCTAGCTGGTCTTTGCCTGCAGCTGACAGCTTGCTTAATTGGACGCCATGAACTTCAGATCCAATGGTAGGAGTAAGCTTCTGGATAGTAGAGCCTTCAGGTAGCAGGTCCTTGAACGCCGGATCTGCATCGAGACCATGTTCTACGTGGACAAAAGGTTCTAGCGGCGGATACTTTTCCCCGTGGTCCCAGGTCGGAAGGTAGTTAGGATACTGTGAATTGAATCAGGATCGCGTCGAGTTATTTGTCAGTGACGTCAGCGAAAAGACACTCACGCTAGCAGGAGTCTTTCCTTCTCCTTCTTCTTCAATTATTCTCCTGACTTTAGGCGCAGTCTCTTCGGATCCAGTCGTAGCCTTCACAGGTACAGTAATGGACGAAACTTCCTGTTTCTCGGATATCTCAGCAATGGAGGGTGCCATATTGATTATTTCTGCCCAGTTCCAGCACTCGCACTCTTGACAATGTGATAAGAGAAACCTGTGTAAATTGATGTGAAAGTACTATTGAATATGAATATAAACTATCCAAGGTTTCAAAAGAAGAACGGCGCGTTTATACATATATATGTCTATCAATTTATACCCCTCATCCATACCCGGATACAGAAATTGATTGTCTAGATACCTGTTGCCTCTCTTCCGGGTTTATTCCAAGGATAATAGCAAGCACACCTTCCGGTGACTGAGAAAATATCTTCTGCGCAGTTTTAATTCGATTAGGATGAATGAAATTGCATGCTCCTGTCTAGAAATTGCGTGAGATTGGAATGAGAATTCGAGCTTTATAGCTTATTACTTTCTGCATTTCATGTGCTAAACAAGTGCGGCTTGCATGGCTCCAGTTGGCAAGGAACACGCAGGAAGGGCCGTGCTAACCATGCCGGTTATATCGGCAAGTAATATAATCCATAATTCGTATGCCACCAAGGGCCGCGACAATGGCGTTTGCACTCAAATAATCCAAAATCGGTAATTCGGAACGGCGACGCACCACAGAGCTACAAGGAAGAAAGTTATGAGGTGCTTGACGGCCTTGATATCGTCACCATTATAGAACATATCTGGTTCAGCCGACAGAAGTGCGCTTTGTCATTGTGTTGCAGTAGAGCACGTCAGGTAGCTTATTTTCGATGTGATCACCCCCAACCCCGCACAAGTTCAACGATTCAAAGCTTGGATGATGGTATCATTTCTGAGAAAGAAAGGCAATTTCTTGCGACCGTTCACCAATATCAAGTGAGAATGATAAGACTTTGGAAGATACTAGATTAGGAGGAGGCCACAGCGCTCTGGTAGATATCGTAGTTCACCATGCTAGTCTTCTTCCATGTTTCTATGTAGCCTGCTTATCATACAGACTCGCAATGCAACTACAACCAAACATAACCAGATATAGGAAGGATTATATCGACTAGGTAGTATCTGATTTAGCGTTGAATGGAAGCAAATACCCAGGTATTCTACTCGATCACATCTTTCGGCAACGTCCTATCTTATTTCACAAGCATTTATGCATTTAAGTATATAATAACAATGACTGTGTAAGGAGTCTGACTCTTTATGCGAAATATATAGTAGTACGACTGAGCTCTTTGGAAAATGCTGGTTTCTCACCAAATTTGCAAACCAACGACAAAATATCCATGGTTCGAATAATTATCCATGTAGTACTACTTCGGTGTACTTATATTCATAGTTCTGGTCGAAGCTTCTCCTCACGATATGGTCAGCAAGGATGCGATCAGCTCCCAACTCAAGATCTACTGAGCATTCACCCCTTTCCTAAAGAATTGGCTGATCGAAATACCACTCGGTGCTAAAAGACTCGCTAAGAGATTTGTTTGCATGATTAATAGTCATGTCGATTAGGTCACGACTACTATCTTTTTATCTAGATATCGGCTATCAGATTATAAGGATGATGATGTCTGTTGTCGCTCGCGTTCCCATCAAGCTTTCTATCCTTGGAAGATAGGTGTATGTAATAGATAACATAGCCTTTCTCCTCCTGCAATGAGGAATAAGAAGAGATAATTCTAGTGGCTGATTTGAGCTGGCTTTTCGAAAGTAGTGGCGCTGTACTGATGGTATTCATCTTTGCACGTTGCCCGAAATGATTGATTTCCTCTAAATCCTTTGCATATATCTGACTGTTGAATATTCTCTCTGGCTCTATCTTGCTTAGTTTGTGGGCATACCAATCTATTTAATTGAGCATCTGAGAGCAACATTGGCCTGCGAAATACACTAAGGGAGAGAAGCCATTTTTCACTGATTTGCAGTCATGATAAGTCTGCGTTACTGTCTGCGTTACTGTCTGCTGGCTTTCATTCTTGTCAGGGCTTATAGTATAGGGGCTGAGATTTGTTAGTAAAAGTTGCATTTGTTGGTTGAAATAAAAGTATGCTTTCATTTCCTGATCGTGGTCATTGTTCCCACTAAGAATACTCATCGATAATTTGGTACACGCCATATAGAAAGTGTACAGAGATAATATCAGGCGTAAAAGGGTTAGGGCTAGTTGGCAAGCTCTTTAGTGTGTCAGATTGCATTGTTGGTATTCTAAAATAGCTGCATCGTCATTTGAGACAGAGTCAAAAAGAAGTGAGCTATTGGTAAAAGTTCTTGTAGGAGTAATCAAAAAGCGCGCGGTTATTCAATACCTATAGCGCAAAGAGTGGAGGACCTGTAGTTTCTCATTTATTGTGACTGCTCATATGGTTTACAGCTATCATGGCATTTAAAATCCGTGGAGAATGTAGCGACTGCGATGATCTCCGTTTATAATTAAGCAACTAATTCAATTCAGGTATGCACTTAGAACTGTCGAATAAGTTTCAGGTCTCGTAATGTATGCCTGTGCTTTTCCTCAGTAGAGCGAACACAGATTTTTCATGAATGCCAGATCGGAAGCATCGGTAAACTCGCTAAACTGCTCCCTTTGATGGGAGAACGCGGCGACTACTGAGGAAACGATTGCAGGTGCTAAGTCTAGGTAGATTCATAGATATTTATAGTGATTTGCGTTTCATATATCAAGCTATTTACACGTTGATCTGTTTATCCCATAGCACATGGTCGGGTGCTGAGACTATGTCGAAATATTGGTTGTGATTTATGAAGCATAGGTAAGAGAGAACGACACACTTTTGACAGACTCGTAATCATCTGCCGAACTTTCATCGCCAAAGATCTTTAGCGCGCGGAAGAGAAAATAGTAGTCTCCGGGGGGTGCGAAAGTGCCATCACTCAGTTGACCGTACCAGAAAACATGCCACGAACCTCTTCCTTGTTCATAGGCTGGAAAGTTCACAATCGAACCGGCTATATCCACCCCAAGAACTTGAGTGGTGTTCACTGTGCCATCAGGTTGAGCAGGGACTAAATCAACACGAAGAACTCTCGTGCCAAATGAATCAAGTGAGACCGGAACAGGAATGTCGTACTGCTCTTTCTCTTCGTCGGTGCTGTTTTGAGGTGGAAGAGTGAATGCAAACCCGTCCGGTACAGCAGAGACATTCAAGTACCGAGATAAGTAGGTCATATTGTCCGCGCTGTCGAATATCACGGCGTCCTTGAGACTTGATGCCACTCCCATGTAAGGAAGAGAAAGTGACTCATCATTGGACCCATTTAGAGTAATATAGCCGCTGTAAACAGGTATACGAGATGAGGTCAAGTCCGTTGGGAGAGACGCTATTACCTCTACAGAAGCAGAGTCTCCCGCACCGACCGTTACAGTATCGGGATGCAGAGACAGTTGCGCACTAGACGTGACAATCTCAGGTGGAGACCCAACGCTAAATGTTGAAGGCACTGGGTCTCCATCAGAAGGCAATGTGTAAACGGTTCCACTGGAAGAATAACTGATGGCATAAGTAACACTTTCATTGCCGGTGTTTGTGATTTCGAACCACGCAGATTTCACGAAATTTGCTGTGTCGTTGAAAGATATGCTGGAGACGTTCAAAACCCCTACTGCATGTGCCGCATTATAGACATTCAAGAGCCCACCTCCTTGCTGTGCAACCGGGGCAAGGTATGAGTAAGTAGACTCGCCATCATTGAATGCTTTGGGGTCAGCGCTCGCTGATAGAATATTATTGATTGTGGCTGGGTCGGAATTCCCACGTGCTTCGATAAGAAGAGCGATAGAGCCTGCAACAAATGGAGTCGCCATAGATGTACCAGTATCAACCATATATCCACCGAGCGCCAGTGGATATGTGGACAGAATAGAACCGCCAGGTGCGGCAAATTGCGGCTTGACATCAACCTCAAATGTTGGCCCCCAGCTACTGAAGTAGCTGAGATATCCACCAGTCACATTATTAACAGTGTTTTCTACCGAAAAGTTCTCGTAAACTGGAGTTATCATATCGACTGATACTTGAGATCCTCCAGCCATGGCCTCGATCCATTGCGTTGCAAGGTCGGTAGTCACCATCCCGAACGAGTCAATCCCATATCCTGTGCCGTTAATGGGGTATATTTGACCAGCCCTGGCAGAATACCACATTATGTACTTACCATTAGCATCTGTAACTATCTTGACCATACCAGAGCCGTCAGTACAATAAGTATCATAGGGTATCAGGGCAATTTTGCCAGTGATATCAGGAAGAGTGAAGTTGTTATTGCAGGGAAGCGAGGTATCATTACTGCCGTTGAGAATATCGTAAAGCAAGTAGGTACCGTTTGCGATATCGGCAGGAATATACGGAATCCACCCAAATGTCCGAGCCGCTGAGTTGTTAGCGGACCATGTGGCATTCTTCACCAGGACCGGCGTCACGACGTTGTCCACGGATGCTACTGCAGTGACCCCGTTTCCAGTAGCCGCAGCAGATGCAACAAAAACACCGGTTCCGCCGTCGTTACCAACAGCGACTGTACAAGGAATCCCGGCTTCTACAATTCGAGATACAACCACAGCCCAGGGCTCTTCGCTCCAACCTGAGTTGCCTCCAACTGAAGCGGTGATTATATTGGCTCCAGCCTCATAAGCCATCAAATATGCCTGAATCAAAACATCATCGCTGGTACTACCGGCGCAACCAAAGACGCGGTATATTCCAAGAGTCACATTTGGAGCAACTCCCGTGAACTCTGGGGCAACAGAATCGGCGGCAATAATTCCCGCGACATGGGTGCCATGACCGACACAGTCCATGGGATCATCGCTGGGTACAGGGGCATTAGTTCCGGTATAGTCATCACCGACAAGATCGGTTCCAAAAGCGACCTTGCAGCCATTTCCAAAGCATCCACCTAGAGCAGGGTGGTTGTAATCGATTCCCGTGTCGATAATTGCAACCTTGATGCCATCACCGAGAAAGCCTTCGGCTCGTAGCTTGTCTACCCCGGTCATAACATGTGGGCTAAATGTGTCCGGAGTGGTGTCCGACAATTTGGAATCAATAGTTGCAGACAGTGTACGAGATTCGCGTGGTATGAAACCAGATATTTCTGGGATTGAGTAGGCGCGGACTGGATACACACTCTTCACAGAAGGCAAAGACAATATTGTCTGTAAAGTCGCTTTTTCATTAATGTCACTCCCTAGACTAAAGGAAGCGCCTTTGAACAAGGAATAGTCCAGAGTTATGAGTGGTGTAGCTGCGATAGAGTTGTCGGCAAGTGTCGAAAAGAATGAATAAGAGGTCTGGCAACACATGGTCAGTAGGCCCGTCCTGAATCGAAACAAAGATATTCCGAGACTTACGGAGGTGTTATCCTCAAACTCGACAAGATATCTACCCGGAATAAAAGGGCTTGATGAATTACCAAATCTAGTTGCTCCTATTACCGAGTTAAAAAGACATGCCGACAAAGCCAGGAGCTTTGCTCCGCTTATCGTGGGGAACATCACGAGATCTAAACCGCCTTCTATCAAGAAGTTGTATTTTTTCGAAGCTATATATTTCAAAGGACTATGGCAAACTAATAAAGCAATGAGTGAAACAAACTAAATGAAGTTCATGTTTAGGTGATTTGGTACTACCTAGGTAGGTGCTTGTGATCGAGGACTGAGACGTGGCAACCAGTTGGCTTATATACATGACATTCCAGAGTCATCAAGAGTGGGAAATGGGCTGCATTTTTCTATGTTGCGCGACCTTATACAAAAGTTTGAAAAACACTCTCGTTGTACCGTTCAAGGTCATGTTACATCTCTATTGCTTGGATTAAGTGACGGTCATCAGGAACATCGATACTGTAGCGATGTCACTCCATACCAGCCTTGGCACTTTTCTTGGTAGCGACGCTATTATAAATGAAGAATTCTACAAATGGGACATGTAAGCACCTTTGCTTGTTGCTCGTACGTTGAAGATCATTAATTAGTCCGAATTGAATGTTTCCAAAGATAGCAATGACTAGGCCTTGGACCCATAGCCTCTTCATAGATCTTTCCGTCCCTGGTCTAGTTACGACGAAAGGAATAAAGTCATATGCTTGGCAAGTTATATGGTAGCATCGTTATTAATGCTGASGAGCCGCAAAAATTTCCACATCTTTCAATTAGTGTGCAGTAGATAAACTCGACCGCTTGGTAGTAGAAGTCGTTGAAGGCAAGAAAGTTGACACAACCACGGTTAGGTTACATTTTTTTCTTCAAATTGACGAAATAAACACCCTCAAATTTTCAAATCAAATTACAATACTCTATCTTCAAGGGAAAGTACTTGGCTTTTGACCAGAGTATGATGATCATGAACTACTCTGAAACATCAATGGTGACTTTGATTTGTAAGACTTGTATGTTATCTTTGATAAGAGGCGCAAGTTAAGTAACATCCATTCCATTGCCAGTCTCTTCATACACTTCTTGTTCGTGTGAGTATCACGTATTCGCTGATCCGGGGCTCGCGGAATCTTACCGTGGCCCCCATCCTCTCAAGTAGAGCAAAGTAGTACCGGTGTTATGATTAGGGGACCGAGGAAGCTTCCATTAATGTTACATTGGCATGATAATCATGTCGATGGTTGCTCCTATCGCATAATAGCCTGGCCCCGAAGTTTTACCTTCTACACTTGTTACAGTTGAAACATTGCTTCCGTTCATCCAAATTGTGATACTCCATTTTAGGTAAGATTGTCGTGCTTTACTAACGCGCCTATTTTAAGAAGAACGTATATATCAATGACCTTATCTCTTCCTTGTGTTACGATTATGATTGAAATGTGAGAGGTCACAGATATCATTTAAAGTAAGACCTGGTTGGATGAAAATGGAAACTCGAACATTGGCTTCACTTCCCATCATATACATCGTACTTGTATTGACTGCCGGTATGGTCATCTCTCAAAGACTTCTGTCCTTCTCCATATATTTTTTCCCTTAGAGTTTTTCCTGGTAAAGGGTCATACAGCCCCCTTTTCCTTAATTCTGGCACGAGTAATTCAGTCACATCTTCAAATGAGCCTGGGGATATGATATAACCGATATTGAAACCATCCACGTCTGCCACATTCACCCATTCTTCCAGAACATCCGCTACTTTTTCCGGCGTTCCAACAGGAATAGGTCCGTTTCCACCGAGGGCTATCCATTTCCCAATATTTCGTGGTGTCCATGCCGGAATATCAGGGCTGGTGTTCTGAAGTTGACTTAATGCCGTATGCACCCGGGCATCCACATGGACATCGGTTGACTTGATCTCCTGATCCAGATCAAATTGGCTCAGATCAATGCCACTACCTCCAGACCAGAACGCAAGACCCGCCTCGTGGTTGGCATATTCCAATGCCTCTTTGTACTTCGCTTTGGCCTCGTCTTCTGTCCGGCCAATGATTGGAGTGATCACGGGGAATACCTTTATTGAACTTGGATCACGACCTTTCTTAGCAGCCTCCTCGCGAATCAATTTAACTTTAGGAGCCACGGCCTCTGGACTAATACCTGCAACAAAAATTGCTTCGGCGTGGGTAGAACCGAAGGCAACACCAGCAGTGGAAGTCCCGGCTTGAAAAAGGAATGGTGTTCTCTGTGGAGATGGGTCCAAAATATGTATCCCATCAATATTGAAATTATCTCCATGGTGATGCACGTACTTGATACGATCCGGATTAGCATATTCAGCTGTCTCTACATCTTCTTTCAGAGCATCATTTGCCCAACTCCCTTCCCAAAGTCTAAGATGGACTCATTAGCGAAAGGCTACATAATGAAATATCCCAAGAACCGAACCCACTTATATAATACTCGCAAATATTCGTCGGCAATTTCATAGCGTTTATCGTGCTCGACGAGAGGGAGTCCCAGCTATGCAGATTTAGCATCGTACCACGAAAAAGAGCAAGGATTAAAGTGTTGAGACTGACAGCTTTCGATGCAGATGCCTTCCAAGAGGTCACAATATTCCATCCGAAGCGACCCTGGGTCAAATGATCCAAGGTTGAAAAACGCTTTGCAACAACATACGGTGCCTCATAAGACGTAGAAGTAGTAATTGCAAACGATAGATTCTTGGTTACAGATGCCATTGCGGTGACTGGCTTCACTAAGTTAGCCTTTGGGTGAATAGTATACTAGATAGAAAGGTTTACAATGGAAGGATCGCCCATTGGTACTTGAGTGCCATATCGAATGGCTGGCTCGGCGCTCCCTTTGTAGGTGTCGTATATTCCATATGTATCTGCGAGAAACAGTGCCGTGAATTCCCCTTTTTCCAGTGTCTTTGCTAGGTCGGTCCAGTATGATAGATCCCGGCGCTTTGTTTTCGACCGGTCTTTGGGGTTCCGCCATTGTCCGAATGACAAATGACTGACAGTAAACATGTCGAATCCATTGAGATGAATTCTCTTCTTCTTACGGATTTCTGTAGGGGCAGTCATTTTTTTAATTGTCTTGTATTGTAGAATGGACAGCGATGCAATAGAGAGGCATTTGACAATCAGCTCTACTTATGCGTTGCAAGTATCAAAATACTTATCATTCTAATCATATATAATCTATGTTAGCGCCTGTTGCTATACTGAGGCAATCGATTCCCAAATTGGCGTGCTGGTCACGACATCGGCCGTCAAAAGGCTTATCCGCGCCATACAACCGAAAGTCCGTGACCAACTGACTCGTTTTTTTGTGCATCTTGCTTGGTATACGTAGATCAACATGTCAGAAACTCCACATGTACAAACATTATCTTTCAAGCGCGCACACTAAGGAATATTGCGTGCTCCTCACATCAGCAGCCGTCATTGATGCCGGACTGGTGTCCGATGAGTCCCAATTTTATGCCTATTCGGGTAATAACATGCCAGAATTCCATACATAGCCTACAACAACTCGAGTTCCAAGTAGTATATAGAATCCAGTGCGTTTGACACTTTACTGGTATACTAAATTTTGAAACTATCAACAATTTCGCTTTGTATCTCATGATGAAGAGCTTCTTCATTCGTATTGGCGATGCCGTCCACTGGTACCCAAAGGGCATCACGACTGAGGAAAAGATCCTCATATTCAAAATTGATCTTCTTGTTCTCGTTTATGCATGCCTTGCTTTCTTCACCAAGTACCTCGACATAAGTGCATTGAGTAAGTGCTAGCTAAATTGTGAAGGTGTAGCACTATCACTCATTGCATCACAGCAAATGCATATGTATCTGGCATGGAAGAAGATCTTAATCTATTCGGTAATAGATTGAACTACATAAACGCTGCCTGTATGAACAGAACATACTATATCACTTCCAGCATACTGATTATCTCTAGATGAAACTGGATATGTCGTTTTTCAGATTCCGAGCAACCTTTTTATCACCAGATACCCGTAAGTACATGTCCATATCCTAGTCAGGCATCTGAAACTAACGTCCAAATTTACTGCAAGGTCTCAGTATTACCTTCCGGCTGCCGAGGTATTTTGGGGTCTTTTCACTCTTGGTACCGCCTTCGTTCAAAATTATGAACAACTTGTCGTCATGCGATTCTTCGTCGGTCTCAGCGCGACCTCCTGCTATGTAGGCCTGGTCCATATCATCAACTCGTGAGGAAAACCTTCTCCCTGGAATGAATCTACCGCTAACGACCCTGCAAGGTGGTATCGCAAGGAGGAATTAGGTAGGAGGAACGCATTGTTTTGGATATCGAACCCCATCGGACAAATGTTTGCTGGCTACTTACAAGCCGCGGCATACACCAACCTGAACGGTACAGCGGGGCTACAAGGCTGGAGGTAGAGTCACACTCGCCATGGGCTCCCCCTTTGGGCGGAGCAAATTCTCGGCGATGATCTAACTGCGTAACCTTTTAGGTGGCTTTTCGTCATTTGTACGATTATAACGATTCCCGTGGCCTTTATGTATGTACCGTGATAGGTCGTCCTGTATCAATAATTGAGCATTGCTAACGGTGTCATGCCTAATATAGCGGTTTCGCGTTCTTCCCTGATGTACCGGAAAGGACAAAATCAAGATGGCTAACAAGTGAAGAGAAGGCACTCGCCAAAAAGCGCTTAGAAGAAGAGGGATTCAAACCTTCAACCGGAATCAACCGTGCTCTGTTTAAAAGAGTGGCATCGACATGGGAGTTCTATGTGTTTGTTTTCTGCTTGCTTCTTCTATGCAACGCCATCTATCCCCTTGGAACTCCTTTTATTCTATGGCTCAAATCTCAACCGGACCGTTATTCTATTCCGCTCGTTGACGATATTGGAACCATAACTAATGCGGTAGCTGCTGTATCGGCATTGGTCAACGCTTATTATACTGACCTCCGAGGCAAGCGATGGGAACCGATTATGTTCTCAGCTTCCTTGGCAGTTTTTGCAAATCTGCTTCTTGCAATTTGGAACATACCCAACGGTCTGAAATTCTTTGCGTTTATCGCTATTGGCTGGGCCGAAGGAGTATTACCAATCCTGATCGCATGGACCGCTGAAACACTGGCCGGCGATCTCGAGCTGCGCGCCATCACTTTAGCAACTTACAATTGCTTGGGTGAAGTCACCAGTCTGGTAGTTCCATTGGTAGCATGGCCCGTATCCAAAGGTCCTCGCTTCCTAGGCGGTTACATATGGGTAAGAATGAGTTTTCAATCCCCTCCTATAAGACTTTCAAGGGACTAACATTGATTCATGCCAGGCCGTGGTTATTAGTTTCGCATATGTGCTAAATGTTGTGTTAATTCTCGTGTTAGAGAAACGAAAGCGCAGGCAAGATCAACCCAAGACCGTATTCGCCAATGAAGAAGTCGTAGGGGAAGTCGTCAATCAAGAGAGAGGCCCGAAGTCCGCTGCTGTGGTGGAAACAACGACAGTGAAACAAGAACTATCCTGAGCTATCCTTTTAAAGAAAAATTTGTTGACAATGCCTTCGTACCTTTACCAATGTTGGTATAGGTAGTAGGTATCTACTGGTCTTCAGGATGTTAGATAGGATTTTTGTCATTCCCTAGGAGCTTATCAAATCTTGATTGATACTCGGGTATCGCGGAGTTCAAGTGCATCGATTCAATCACCTGGAGATCAGACTGTCAAATATGTATCTGGTGAATTTTTAGGCAACTACCACTTTGGGAACAGGCAACAGATATCCTATTTTTTGAAAAGTCTGTTACTTTATCTATACATGACTGAAAGGCCGAGTGAACCTGCCAATGCCTAACCCACGTAGGTACTACCACCCATAGAAACGCTTTCGCTGATAGTTACGATATATTTTCATCAATAGCGACCACTATTGCGTCATGCGAGTACATAATCTGAGTCGTTGAGATCGTGCTGGTCCGCTGATTTTGCGGCGCCGCGAATGGGTTATTTTGACTCAACAGAGTATCAATTATCAACTGTACGGTGCAGAACAACTTAGTCAATTGCTTGTCAATATTACCATACTTTAAAATATTCATTTAATGAAAGACGCCATTCAGACTAAAAATGGATCATGCTGCTTGCTGTACATTGCGTGATTTTGTATAGTGGGATGCTGCATAATATTTCCTTAGACTCGGGAAGAGGTCCGAGTCTTAGATTTTTGATCATGTTCGCCTTTCTTTTCATTGTTTTGTTTTCTTGAATTTGCTTTCACTCTATAAGCGCAAAACTAAAGATTGAAACTAGCATAATCTATATCGGCGAAGCTAAACACGACGCATCATTTGACTTGGAATTAGATCGACACGATGGCACGAGCTCTCGAAAGACTGAATCAAATACAAAAGACTATAGCACCGCCATCCATAGCTCCAGAGGGCGGTGCATTGAAGGAATCAACGGAAAAGCTATGGAGACCGAGAGATCGGCCTTTTGATTTAGCTCCTCCAGTCAAGGTGAAACAACATTTGGATATCTAGATCTTTAAGAGTGTGGTGACTGACCGAGAGGCAGGTGATCATTGTTGGTGCAGGAATCGCTGGCATTGCTGCATCCATATTACTACCTCGAAAAGTCGCCAATTTGACTTACAAGGTCTTTGAGAAGCAAAATGCCGTTGTGAGTATTGACTCCCGATTGATAGACACTAAGACGATCTAATGGCATCTAAGGGTGGTACTTGGGCACAGAATCGCTACCCTGGTGTGCGTTGTGACATTCCGTCTCACAGTTATCGTAAGGACCCTTTGACTAAATTTAGTTCTCGTATGAGCGTTTGGTTTTCTCTGATCTAACTGCAACTTGGTAGAACTCACGTTCGCTCCAAATACGCACTGGTCCGAGTATTATTCGTCTGGAGATGAGATACAACAGTACTACGATAGGCTTGCAAAAGACTTTGGAGTTGAAGAACATCTGAATTTTAAACATGAGGTTCTGTCTGCTATCTGGTCGGACGACGTCAAGCAATGGATTGTGAAAGTCCAAAATCTCGCCACAGGAGAGATCTTCACTGAAACATCAGATTTCTTTATTTTGGCCGCGGGGAGACTGAATGTTCCCAAATATCCGAAAATACCAGGCCTCAAAACTGTTTATCAAGGTACTGTGGTTCACACTGCGGAGTGGACAGAGGACCTCACGAACAAGCTCAAAGGTAAACGCGTAGCGGTGATAGGCAACGGTGCTAGCGGACAACAGATTCTCGTCAACATACTAGAGGACACCGCGCATATTGATCACTATGTCAGGTCCCGGCAGTGGACCGTTTCATCATTCAATCCTAATCTCGTGTCTGCCAAAATTGATTTGCCCGGAGCACACATCTATACTGATGAGGAGAAAAGAAGATTTGATAAAGATCCCCAAGCATATTTGGAATATCGCCGGGAAATAGAGCGGTATTTCCACGGAAGATACGAGGGCACGATTTCCGGTAGTAAGGAAAACGAACAGATACGGCAAAAGTATGAGGAGGAATTATTGACTCGACTTGGTGGAGATAAGTCCTGGTTCGATCGTCTCGTCCCCGACTTTGCACCTGGATGTAAACGACCAATTCCTTCCGCAGGATACATAGATGCGATCCGGAATTCAAAGGTGGACTACGTGGATAACACCAGAATCACACATGCCACAGCAACGGGACTCGTAACTGACGACGGAATAGAGAGGCCTGTCGACATTATCATTGTTGCGACTGGGTTTGAAAATGGGTTTCGCCCCTTATTCCCAACAATCGGGAAGAATGGGGTAGACCTGAGCAAGCTCTGGGCCGACGATGGCCCAATCGGCTATCCAGAGACATACTTTGGCGTCATGGCTCCTAACATTCCGAATTACTTTGCAGTTACTCAGGTCAGTAAAACCAGATATTCGTAACACAAACTCATGGTACTAATAAGCCAAAGGCAAATACCAACGGCCAGGGAGGGACATTTCCTCTTCAAACAGAAATCTCTGCGACGTATATTTCCAAGGTTATTCGCAAGGTTCAGAGCCAGGGGTACCGGGCCATATACCCATCGCAGGAGGCGACGGATGACTTCAACGAGATTATCACAGGGTATTTTGACGACAAAGTGATAGGCGATGATTGCGATGGTTGGTGGAAAAGTGGGTTTGGTAAATCCCGGCCGTTGGTCTCATGGCCTGGCACTGGCCATCACCGATTTGATATCAGTCGAGAGCCACGTTGGGAGGACTTTGTCTTTGAACGATCGGAAGAAGGGAAAAGAAATCGGTTTGAGTACTTTGGCAATGGATGGACTGAGCGGGAGAGAACCGGTGGCAATGCTGCCTTGACAAGCTATCTTAGAGAGGTTGGGAAAATTGATATTGCAACTCTGCACGAAAACTGGAACGATTGAGTCCAGCATTTATTACAATGCTCATCGATTTCAGGTTGCATCAGAATACGAAATATTGTGTAGGTAGTCGAGAGATTACCTAGGTATCTCATTTGAGGACGAATGGAGCCATGTCATTGCCACCGTTTTGTAGTCCTTGAATATATACGTATATCCATTCAGGCTTCTACCTGCCTAGGTAGGCACGTTCTTTGTGACGTGAATTGCCAACTGTTAATCTACCTCATCTATTGTCGAAGCCGAGTGACCGAAGATACCGATTGGTAGTATGTAATTCTGGGCTGTGTTTCCTATTCCAGCCACTCAGGCCATGTTATTCTAGGGCTATGTTAGGGTTAGATACAACTGCCAAACTGACGTACGCAGGCCAAATAGGATTAGCGCAGGCCGACCGATCTCGGCAGCGAGCCCTCCTCGATTCGGACTAAAATATGTAGCGTGACAGGTCACCTGCCTCAGGAATCTTCTCCGTTTCTTGGTCGTCCTTCGCTTCCAACTAATCTTCACGACATCCCGAGGTCTTCTCTGAGCCAGGCAGGCATGATCCAAGGCCACGATGGCGTCCGGGCATTCGTCCGCCTTCTTCGACCTGGAAACATTTGATTGGACTCAGACTCTTTCGGTATCGTCCGATGATGCGGTTGCACTGGAGAGCGATGGTACTAATGGATGGTTTTCGATTCATACCGCGCCGGAACATGGAATAGTGCCTGTGATGACAGCTGACATTGCTAGCACATTTTCACCACCGCAAAGTCCTTACTCCGTCCCGAATCCACTGCGCTCAGAAGCTCATCCAAAACTAGTCAGCAAGCAAGGAGAAGCGATCGCAGAAATTGAAGATGTTCTACATGATCACGTTCTTGATCCACGAACTAACTCCTATCGGCCCCCCGTGCCATGCGATTACTGTCGAAAGCATCGCTTACAATGCCTGATCATTCGTACGACGAAAGCAAACCCCAACCCGATCGCCGCATGCTCCAGCTGCGTCGCCTTGTTTAGGAGTTGCAGCTTGGCAGACAAAACAAAAAGGCACCCTTCGGACTTTGAGACAAACTACCCGGTTGTCGGTGGGCTTCATGGTATCACAGAGGCAACTGCATCCGCCGGCGGACTCATGCAATCCTCTTCAAAATTGATGGGAAGCCCAGAAGATGCGTGGAAAACCCAGCCACTAGCGGAACAAGGCTGTCTACTCCCAAAAAGAACAAGCTCTCGCATGAAAGGCCATACGAAAGCCCTACGACAATGGTTTTTTGCCCATTCGGATCACCCTTATCCATCCGAGGAAGACAAACAAGAACTGGCGCATGAGACGGGTCTTACGAAGACACAGATACAAAACTGGTTCATCAATGCGCGGAGGCGGCAGAGAGTTCTTGACAAGAGTCGCAAGTCTAGTATGACTCGATCGGGCTCGCCAATGCCTAAATCATTACTCTCTGACATGACACCCTTCCAGCGATGGCGTAGTTCTCCCCCAGAGGATGACCACGCGCCTCTAGATCTGGTCATGCAGGCTGCGACATCACAGCCAGGAGCCTCGAATATTGCGTTCAACGACCAAGCTATCGATCAATATAGACCGCACAACTCCTTTGATAGCCGCTCTACTTCCACATTCGCATCATCTACTACGTACTCGGATTCGAACGAGTCTATCTCCTCGTTCGAGACGTTTCTGTCTACCGACAGTCAATCAGCGGAACATGGCCTCGGCTCAGTCCCTGGTACAGGACTGTCAATCTCGAGATCCCCAAGTAAATGCGGTTTAATGAGGTATCAGTGTACATTCTGCACGAGCTCCTTTAAAAGAAAGTCCGATTGGTGTCGCCATGAAGTTTCCATTCATGTTCAACTTGATATGTGGGTCTGCCAGCCACAAGATTCAACCGTGTGGAAATTCGATTCTCTTCACCAGCAATGTAATTACTGTGGCATCGAGCTGCCTTCTCAAGAACATATCGCATCTCACGATTTCGAATCGTGTGCAGAACGGCCACTTGGAGAGAGGGTCTTTGCTCGTAAAGACCACTTGTTGCAACATTTGAAAAAGTTCCACGGCTGCCATAAATGGCCCGGTCAGGCTCTGAATCTACGTCGTAGTCGACATACGATACTGAATAGTCGGTGTGGGTTCTGTGCCGAAACATTTGTCACATGGAACGAACGTGTGGACCATTTGGTGCGTCATTTCAAGCAAGGTTCACAAATGAAGCAGTGGATTGGCGACTGGGGGTTTGATCTCGCTACAATGCAGTCATTAAGGCGCGCTATATTGCCTGTCGATCGGTCAGATAATCTGGCCGATGCGCAAAGTGTATCAGATGAGTGGTTCAACGAATATCTGGTTGATTGAATAGTTTCAGTGACTGTATGGGAGAAAACTACATTAAGCAGTACATCATTGCTTCTAGAGCACAGTTCAGAGCCAGGCCATTTCCGATATGGAATTGGTTTCTCTCAAGCGTTCTCTGACCAAAATCTGACATCTCTCATATGGTAGCTCAAGACTAAAGGTTCTGGCGGAGAGTTTCGTCATTCAGCATCCGCGACTGCATCACATTCAATCTCCACGAGCATATGTGGATCGCAGAAACCGCCCACTATCACCATAGTCGCAGCCGTACCGATTTCGCCACCATTCTGTCTTCCAAGAATATCCCTGAAAACCTCCGCTACGGGAGAACAATCTTCCTGTCGCTGGACGTACATTTTGGTTCGCACAATGCTCTCAGCACCTCGACCGCCTAAGGCTCGAACAGCGTCTATGATCTGTTCGAGTGTATAACGTGCCTGCCGTCTGGCATCGCCTGGGAAAAGAACTTGTGGTGCGTCGGGGGCTGACTTAGGGTCGGCTGCGGTAGACCCAGAGACGTAAATTAATTGGCCGTGGCGAACTGCTCGATAATGACCAATGCTCAGTTCCCATGGAGAGTTGGTGCCGTAGAATTGCTTTTTCGTTATCGAAGACATTTGATCCGAACCTGCGACTGATGTTGAAATGACCGATTCAATTCTTCAATTGACTGACTGCTTCAAGGTCTCGCTTCAAAATAAATAGCCCAGGAGTCGCCAGAAGCACCTCGACGATGTATCAATACTGTTCGACATTGCGAAAACAAGTGAACATGGAAACAAAACCAAATTCTCGTTCTATGACTCATTCTCCTAATTCCACGTTGCGATTCCCCGCCGCAGGGTTAGGGCAGGAATGGTATTCTGACCGTGCACCGTCTTATAATCTCCCTTAACATAGCGACTTTCCTTACAGATATCGCAATCCTATCCGAGGTTGAGATCCCTGAGACAATCCATGGTCTCCCAACGTAAAATATTTTGAGGTTCACTTGTAAAAGTGCACCATTCTAATGTATCTCGCTCGTCTAGAATTGCACGCGTAGGGCAAGTTCACAGCGATACTCTCATTGCTCGGGCTGTCTTTTTGAGTATTGGAGCTGTGTCAAGAGAAATAACTTGGTTCAATGCGAAGCTTTTTGTATTTATCGAGAAGAAACATCAGTGATATCGCCAAACACAGCATTTATATCCCATCCAGTTTAGAACAAGCTTGGAATAATACCACGGGGTGAAAACGCCTAAATGAACACATGCGATTGTGGCTACGCGTACAATACAAGCATGCTTAATGGCTGTTTGTTGCTAAAATGCTTTACGCAAGTACAGTAAATCCTTCCGATTTGACGATTTTCTAATCAAGCCTCGGCACAACGTGGATTAGTAAAAGGTGGTGATGAGCTTTCCACATTTCTAGGTTCTTGCCATCTTCAGATTGAGCTTCGCATTGTGCCGCATAAGACGCGCAATTAACTACCGGGAAAATAGAGAGTGGGTTAGCGAAAATTCCAGAGTTGAGCCGTACATCACATTCAAAGGCTGTTGAGTACTTTCCCCGCGGTCGGCCTATTGCCTTGATGTGGTGCACCCCTTTGAGAGTTTGGTCATACTTTGTGGACTCCGTGGAGCATAAGGGACTCCGATTCTGGTGCGAAGCAGGATTGCTTGCTGTCAATGAAGTACCGATAGTCATCTTCAGACCGACAGGCATGGGTCTCCACGATGATGAGGAATGGGTGGATGTGAAAAGCATTCGTAAGACGGAGAGGGTTAGTCTCATTGGTGGCTGATATTTGTGGATAGCTCCATGATAGCACGGTCTCTATTGGTCTTGCATTGGCCCTTTACTATATTACAGTTCGGGTATCAGATGCAAAAAATCAATTAGATTAAGAATTGGAGGAAATTTCATCGGGATAGATCCAGCGGTAGCCAGAGAAAGAAACTACAAGCGGGATCGATAATGGCGTGATTTTCGTTATTATTAGCTCCATAGACGACGAGATGTAACGTTTCTTCATACTAATCCACCTCTTATCGCCCTCCCAATTACAATATCGATTCAATTGTCTTCCTTCCACTCCCAGCAAGGCACCCCCAAGACCTCATCTCTCACTACAAACAATTTACGGACACCGGACAACCGCCAGAATGGCGGTGTTCGACGATGTCAAGGACCCAGCACACGCGGACACATCAGTTGTTGCATCGCGACGCATTTATAACGAAGATGTGCGATTTGTCGATGAGCATGAACGGAACGACTTGGCCAGAGGACTGAAGCAACGACATGTGCAGATGATCGCTATTGCCGGAGCTATCGTATGTAATAGTCAAATCAATTCCTTCACTGCTCTAAATTGCTAAAATATAATCTCCCTGAAGGGAACAGGTCTTTTTCTTGGGCTAGGTAGCTCCATTGCAACTGGAGGACCATTGGGAGCGCTTCTGGGTTATTCATTTGTCGGCGTTATCGTTTGTGCCGTTCAGTTTGCCTTGGGAGAAGTTACTGCCCTCTTCCCTGTTACCGGATCTTTTGTACGACACTCCGAGACACTCGTGGATCCAGCTCTAGCTTTTGCTATAGGATGGAACATTGTGTATGGAAATTTTTTGTCGGTTCCCAGCGAAATCTCGGCGGCGGTTGTGCTTATCCAGTACTGGAATGATACAATCAATCCGGCAGTTTGGGTAACCATCTTCATTGTCCTCTCCATTTTGGTCGCGGTCATCTTCATAGGTGTCTACGGCGAGGTCGAATTTTTCTTTGCCATACTCAAAATCTTGCTCGTCATTGGCATCGTGATCATGGGTCTCGTCATTGACTTGGGCGGTGTTCCCGGACAACCCAGGCTGGGCTTTCATTACTGGAAGACGCCGGGCCCGTTTGTCGAGTATATTGCTGAAGGCTCATGGGGAAGGTTTTTAGGCTTCTGGGCCGTCATGTCTAACGCAGTCTATTCGTTTGCCGGAGTCGAGTCCCTTGCTATGGCCGCTGCAGAGACGCAGAACCCGCGCCACAATATTCCCAAGGCCTGCAAACGTGTCTTTGCCCGGGTTACCATCTTCTACGTTCTTGCTATCCTAATTGTCGGAATGCTTGTTTCCAGTGACGACGATCGACTCAGTAATTATTCCGGAACAGCTGCTCAGAGTCCCTTCGTCATTGCAGCTAGTGATGCCGGTATCAAAGCTATACCTTCTATTGTCAATGCGGTAGTCCTGACATCTGCATGGTCTTCGTCAAATCAAGCTATCCTCTCAGGAACCCGCACCTTGTATGGGCTTGCAGTGAAGGGCCATGCACCCAAAGTCTTCCTTCGGACTACGCGATATGGAACACCTTATATGTGCGTGGCCTTGCAGGTCGCCTTTTCTTTCTTAGCGTACATGTGTGTATCTAATGATGCCCTTACCGTCTTCTACTGGTTGGTCGATTTGACCGCCGCTGGCGTCCTAATCAGCTGGATTACGATCTCTTTGAACCATATCCGTCTGATTCAAGCACTGAAAACACAGGGCTTTTCCCCGCATGCATTGCCCTGGCACAACTCGTGGACACGTAAGTCTTTCCAAGCTGTTAATTGCTTCTAATATACTGTCGAGTTGTTAGTTGACATTCTTCCCAGCTTATGGGTCATGGTTCGCACTTATATCATGTATAATCATTCTTTTGACAGGAGGCTTCACTGTCTTTACAGCCGGAAATTGGGCACCTTCCAGCTTTGTATCAAGCTATCTGTAAGTTACCTTCTCTCGATCTGAGGATTGACCATTCTGACATTCACCTTTCCAAATCAGGGACATCCCTTTAGTACTCGTGGCTTTTGGTGGTTACAAACTTCTTCGCCGAACGAAATATGTCTCGTTGAAAGATATTCCCATTGCCCAGGCTCTTGAGGAAGCACAGAATGACCCAGAAAATGTACCAATTGGTAAGGGAAGGTGGTGGCAGCGATGGAATTTCCTGTGGTGATACTCTTGCGGTTAAATCCATGCAACCTAGATTAAAAGAGGCAAAGAATTCAAGATGTGTACCTATATCCACCTGCCGTCTAGACAATGTTTTTTTCAGGGGAGAATGAGAGACGTGAAAGTTTGGCGCATACACACCATTTCACCTAGTAGTATTCAAATTAGATGAAAGAATGTACTATATATCTACCTCAATGGATTCAGCTTAATGCCCTGACTTTAAACGGTAAGGATAGAATAATCGCCGCATTGTTTGGGAAACAAAGAACGTCTACCCAAAGTGAAACCCACCAATGACGCATGATAGCCTAGCAGGGTACTTACCCACCAACAGCGCTGCAGGGGTACAGCAAAGTCTGTTTACCACGTCCAATTCAGACGTGATGCAAGTGTTAATCAATGTTTAAAGGTGGCCTTGACTCTGTAATGCGAAAGCATGTCTGCTAAGTCCCCATCGGGTGAGCACCTTGAATTTCATAATTTGGCTTACTGTCCTTTTCAATATTTAGTTTGGAATGAACTTGAACTTGCCTAACGAAAACATTGCACATCAATCCGAGAGTCTTTGTTTCTCGCTTTTATCTCCCCGGAACGCGCCGAATGTAACCACGCGACTTGATCCGTGTCCAGTCTTAAGCCTCATGAACGCGCTAGTTGAGCCTGAGGCAGATAGTCCAACATTCATGGCCAATGAAGTTCGTGAACCATTAAATTGTATGTCATGGCTTCAATCGCCCGTAATTAGCTTCAAAATGAAATGTGATTTGAATGGTTGATTTCGCGCATGGCGCATGATTACTTACTACGTCCTAGGTAGTAGCAGAATAGAGCTAGTTACACGTCAAGTACCAGGTAGGTAGTATTTAGCATAGCTAAGAAAGCTCCTTAATCATCCAAGTACCCGAGAATCATATTCTTCGGACATTTTCCGGCATAGTTTTTCAGATATTTCCATTCCCTTCTAGCCGAATTACCTTTCGACTTTAGATTTTACAAAGCACAACATGAAAAATCAAATCTGGGTTCTTCTCCAGCTATTGCTTGTTGCTGTCATAGCAAGTGCGCAGACACGAACGCAATCTTTCGGGTAGGCGCAATTCCTAAGTGAGAAAAACGGGTATCTAATATTGGTCTAGAAGCTCGTCATGTCCTTTATTTGAGGAGACGAATCACCTTGACGCAATAGAATCAGATGATTTGAATCAAGCCTTGGAGTCTGCAGCAGATAGTTTCAACCAGAACCCTACTCTTTCAGCAGCGAATGCCGCATTCGCCTCGGCAATGGAATCTTTCCCATCATCTGTGACTCTCTCCCTGTATTGCTCAGGCTACGGCGGAATTAATCTCAACTCGCTTCCAGTGTGGCTCTCAGCTGTTCCAACATCTTATGTCAGCGATATTCTCCAAGAGCAATCAGCCTATTCATCAATTATCAGCTCCTTCGTTGCCAGCGCCGCTACTGCCACGTCAACAGGCAGTCTGACAGCTGCAAGCAGTGTGACTACAAGCACACCATCCAGTACAGTTGCTACGCCGTCGTCTCCAATCCCGGTATCTACACCCGCTATAACGTCTCCAACCTCAGCACAACAGCCAAGTCCATCTCATTCATCGGGAGGGGTACCAGGAATACCGACTGTCAGCTTGGTCGCTATTCTAATAGTGGCTGCGTCAATTGTTGTGGTCCTATTATAAAGCTTGATTGGAGAATAGGTCATTTGTTAAGGCGTTTGCCATCTTTTTGACCCCTTGTGAAGTGATTGCATGTCCTTTTGATATTTTGTAAGGCTTAGCTCTCTTCCCTACTGGACGGAAAATTGTCATAGATGACGTCAGGATAAATACAAGAAGCCTTACTATTGACTGTATGTAAGATACTGGATAATCATGCTATGCTTTTGTTAGTGGCAGCTTAATGAGACTCTCATTGACTATCGATCATCACTGCCCAGCGGGGACTTCTTAAAGCTGCAGTCGAAGTCGAATCACTTATTTCCCCAGTTCTTCGTTTAGCTGCCGTAAACTCGGGCCGTGGCTGGGGTTGCACCTGGGTAAAATGAGTTAGGAACGGTCGGGATGGCAATAGGTGTTGTAATTCCTAAACCGGCGGTGAGCTGCCCAGGCATTGTTGTTGCCGAGTATCCTGAAGGTGCAGAGGTGACCGTGGATGTTACAGTACCATACTCCGTGTGTTGTGTTCCTGCATGGAGACAATAACCTGAACCCCAAGCATCAGCACATTTGTAATACTCGGTGCTGCCTGATTCCGTCCACATGTCAAAGTTCTCAATGATGATATTAGTACAAGGGTTTGTCGAAGGGCATAAGGCATAAAGTGGAGGCCGTGTAGCGCCATTCGCACAAGTTCCTTTCCAGTTATTGACCGTGATGGAATTGTAGAGAACGCCAGCTCCGCCTTGGTTAGCCAGGTCAGACCAGTATGCATTAATGTAAAACGAATATGCGTTTTCATGTCCAATGAAGTTCTGGAGTGTGACCTCGGTGACTGTCCCAGGATGATATTAGTAAAATTCTTTCGCATTGTAATCCAACTAGATAATGCATACCTTCTCCCGATCCACCATTACTCCTATTACGAAGGTCAGTCTGTGCCAACCCACATGAATGCAAGGTAAGACCTACTTGAACATAAACATTTGATTTGAATTGACGGTGTAGATATTGTTGTAGAGGATCTTGGAGATATCTTGAAGGGCGATGTCAGTCGGTTTCTGTTCATACTTCGTTAACCCACTTACTAGTGTCATTGCCCAAGGAGCCCATACTACAACCACCAGACCAGTTGCAGTAAATATTCTCCACCTGGATATGGTTCGATGGGTTTTTAACAGTGACACATTCATCCTTATTGGTGACTTCAACATCGTGCACCCAGATATCAAATCCCCACAAATCAATTCCATCAAGACCGCCTTCGTTGCCGCCCCTAACGATCATGTTGTACACCTCTCCCTGGTTGCAAGTGTCAAGAGTTAAATGAAAAGCAGGGGAGTCAACAAGAGCAATGTCATGGATGGCAAAATTCGTTACTGTAGATTATTAGTCGACGCATTTTCTTTACCATCAATGCCCACTCACCATCATACAGACGCAAGAGACGTGGACCATATTCTCCTTGTTCGTGGAATTGGTACCCGTAGCCTTGGATTGCACCCACGCCACGGGAAGAATAGATTTCAAAATCGGTACTGTGCTCAATGTAGATCATGTTTCCACCAGCAGTGCCGGTTCGCACAATAATTCCTTCCAGGTTGATGGCCCATGCAGTTCCACCACTTAATGTAACCCAAGTAGCCATAGCAAATGTTCCCAAAGGAATATTGACTACACCACCAGAAGCACACGCCTCGAAGGCAGCAAGAATAGCTGGACCGGCGTCGGTTTCGCCATCGGCTACGGCTCCATATTTTGTGATATCACAGATTTTTGTTGCCCATTTGTCGCTAGATGAAGTCAGAGGACCAATTGGATAGGCTGTAGTGTCTGCCAATTGTCCGAGTGCGACAGAGGCACAGCTCAGTGCTAGGATGATGCTTTTGATATGCATCGTGTTTTGGCGTTTACTTCTAGCGACCAAATTAGGAAGGTGTACTGCAACCGATCTAAGTACTTGCTCTACCAAGATTGGAGATTCCCATATGTCATCTACTGGGTCACGCACAGCTTATATAAAACCATATTCTGGGTCACAAGACATCGCGTGTCGGGTTAATCATTCTGACCCAGGACATGTTTATCCGTCTTGGCTTCACTTAGTAGCCTCCTGTATATCTCTTTATGAGAACAAATAATGCAAAAGTAATTACCCGGCCACTCAATATAGATTAAGCTCTATATCAACCTGGCATATGATATAGAAAGTCGACACATACCGGAGATTGCGGTTCCCAGCACTACACATTGAATCATTCCTTGAAGAAGGAACCATTGGCACCATGACATAAGACTATTCTGTGTGTGCAAAGGAAATAGCAATAATCATGGTACTGTCAAGCATTGAGGCATTCCTTGGGATTTCTGTAGATCTCCCAGCAATTGCGGAGTATCGTTCCCACTCTGTGTATATTGTACAACAGGTCGGTAAATGCTAATATGCATTAAATAATATCAGCCACTCGGCACATTGGAAGCCAGAATGAGGGTAAGCTTTTAGCTCCCGAGGCCACAATCTCATTCATGGGAAATTCGGGGCATTGCTTGATGTTTCAGAGTTACATCGCCTCAAGCCACGGCGCACCCCGGTTATTTATGAAAAATGACGATACTTCTCTGAATAGAGCCTCTTGAAGGTTGGAAGCCTTGTGCAGCGGCCATGTTCCTCGTTGCCCTTACCTCTCGCGTGCGTCGTGACCTGTCAGCACTTGGTCATGACTTCGGCATGTATCTGAATGTGGCGGAGGACAAATCCATGAAGCACTTCTATTCCCAGCATTGCGTAACGTTATGTATTCTCATTTGTCAACCTAGCTCATTTAGGGCTAAGACTCAACCAAAGGACATCTGAGCACTCGATACTTGAGGTTTCTTAATGGAGAATTTCATTCATTATGAAGAGGCTTGATAAAATTTTGACCTGAAATACTTCGAGATGACACGAGTCATGTATATCTTGAAGTGGTAAATCGTCGTTTTGATCGCATTTTCGTAGGTACGATATTAGAGATAGATACAACTTGACACCTTAAAATGTCTCCAGATTACCTCCTCGTGCAACTCACTTGAGTTTATCCTGACTTGACTGACTGAAATAGGAAGACTTTAGGGTTGAGACGCGCATGTGATATAGATAACCCTCTTCGGCAACAACCTCGGCTCATAGTTAAGTCCTGAGGTATCAACCAACCATTCGTGGCGCCAGGATGGATCAAGTTGTTTCTTTCTATCAACAAACAACCAGCAAGCAGGTATTTGGAGGTGTAACAATAACACGACACAATCGCTATGTCTTACAGCTCTCCTTATCGCTTCTACGCGAGGCGTGTGAAGCTCCTCCTACGGTTGCGCCCGGGCAGACTGTTTTGGCTGCTCCTGGCAATTCTGAATATCAAGTGTCTGCCCTTCGTATGGCATGTAAGTGCTCAAAAGCTATCATTCTCGATCCAACGCGAATTTGGTTTCTGCTGTGGGTGGATATTAATTAAGTGATTTCCGTATAGTATCGATTCTTCGCACCGGTCATAGCAGCCGCGCTCCGTAAACCGATAAATCAGTCCATGCTCCATCGCCGAAAGGACGAAGTACCGTTGGTGTTTCTACCGATAATTACCAAGACAAAGGTCCCCATACTGGAAGGAGACTTTAACCTCCACAAATCAAACAGTACTTACTTTACAGATCTCGACTCGAGTCGATCGCTTCTCCTGTCATTTCTTGTCTTCCATGGAATGTCCAAAACCCACAAGGAGCTTGCGACTGAAGGAAAGAATGGTATCATGACTGCGATGCTAGGATCTACATATACACACTTCAAAAGAGAGATACCAACGGGTTACCCCTACGAAGTCTGGTCTCGGATCTTGACTTGGGATCAGAAGTGGTTATATATTGTGACACATTTTGTTCAAAAGGGCAAAATTATTCCCAAGGCGTCAGTAACCGAAATCATTAATGATCGCAAACCCGACGCAAAGAACGTAAACGCTTCGAACAGGGCTTTCAAGGTGCCGAAAGCATTGTCTCAGAGTGACGTCGAACACTCAATCTTTGGGACGTCAATATCTAAGTGTGTATTCAAGAAGGGACGCATGACGGTTTCTCCAAATCGCGTACTTGCTGCATCGGGATTGCTGTCCACTGCAATCACAAATAAATCTGAAATAGATTTGACTGGGTCGCAAAATAGCATAGATCCGAAAACAAAAGACTTGTTTTCGAGAGAAACGACGACTCAATATAGCAACAACGAGCTTGATGAGCACATCGAAGAGGAAAGAGTTAAAGGAATGAAATTTGCCTACCTTGTATCGGAGTTAGAGGACCTGCAGGGACATCTGCTTAAGGACCAAGAGCTTTCGGACGGTGTCATTACGCTGGGGACCTTCAGCGAGCTAGGTCACAGTGTCTCTTTGTGAAATTAAAGACCCTTTTTAGATGATATAGAGATGATAATTTAATGAAGACGTTGAATAGAACGGACTTGTCTTGGACTTTTTGTGATACGACGTGCTGATCAATGTTTCTGCCCAATGTTGGACAACCTCCACATTCAGGTTTCGGATACTGATATTCTAACAGGTGCCAGATCTCCCATTCTTTAGCCTGTAAATATCACAATGCCCTCATTAATACCAGTCTGTTGACAAGACTGGCTCAAAATTAGATATGTGTGTCGAAATTACCTCTTTTGCGAACAACCCGTGTGGCCTTCCGAAAGACTCATACTTCCGCAATGTCCTCCGTGTCGAGACCATCGCTGGCCGTACTAGACGACTATCTAGGAATTTGAAAGACATAATTTGCTCATATTTTACCAAAAGGGTCGTCTGTCACTTCCCTCAGAGGCTCACTCACCCTCTACACTCATCCGGAACCAACCAAAGCTCAGAAGGATGCTCTTGTGGAACGTCTAAAGCCATTTACATCTATTTCGTCTACGCGTTAGCGCACGTCTTTCCCGGGAGAACTTCTTCAAAACTTCCAAACTTGAGACTGCTTCTGGCCACTAGCACACAATTCGGAACATTCGACCTGGCAGCCGCCAAAGAGCTCGGTATAACGGTGGTTTCAGCTCAAGGAATAGACCGCACGGGCGGCAAAAGCAGTAACCAGCCTCTACGGCCCAAGATTGATACAAGAGAGGAGACAGTCATCCCACCACACAACGAACGCGGGCTTTAATACTTGCCCTTGCTTGAAATGTCGCAAATGATGACGCCGTCATGAAGAGCCCCACGGTGAGTAGATGGCAAACGCAACTTGTCAAAAGACTTAGAGGAGCAACACTTGGAGTTTTGGGCCTGGAAGCTTGGGAGCAGCTGTCGTTCGCATTGGCGCGTTGGCTTGGGGCATGAATTTATCTGCTGGAGCGAAAGTCTGACCCAACAAAATCAAACCAGGAGGCCGAAGAAGTAGTCCTTCCTAGTACTGGCTGGGGACCAAAATCAGATGCACCCGTGTCCAAAGTTGTGAAATCACTTTGAAGAATGATACAGAGCTTTCTCACCGCGTGACCACTCAATACAAGTTGGCTCAGACTAACGATGAAATTCATGTTAAACAACTTGAGCTTTTTCATGGTATGCCACAACCCACAAATAGGCCCTCGTGAGAGCTAGTTGATGTACTAAATAAAATATAGAACCCTGAACTGTTGCTAGACAAAAGAGCTAGTCAATAGCTCTTGTTAGAGGATTGAAGTAGCCATTGCTCAGCCCCTCACTCTGTCTCGGGAGATGGCTGAAATATCTAGTTTGCAACAATGATAGAATAGGTGGAACCCAGATAAAACCGCAGCGAAAAATTCTGATGAAACAGCATGATAACTACATTATGTAGCCCGCCATCCTCAGGTCCAGAATACTGTTTTCTTAAAAACCAGCGATGAGTTATTCAGTCTATGAGATTCGCCTAAACATCATTATGCTTGCTTGCAAAAAGACCCGGAGAGTATGAGAGGTTGATGAAAGAGCCTGATTAAAAGTTGATGAGCTATAAGAGCAACCCCACATTCACGTCTGAAACGGCCCGACTATTTTCCCCTCCGCAAGCCTCCGTTCGAGCACCACAAGACTGCGGTAGTCCCTTGTCATTTCTGTTATAACTCCGGCTTATATTGAGTACGAAACAGCCAATATGGAAAGGACGACAAAGACTTTCCAGTCTGAGCGCTTCAGTCGCAATTCTCATATTCCCGCTGTACGTGCTGATCATCCCTGTGGGGTACGCATGTCCCATAGTAGCTGAATGCCATTTAAATCTAGTGCACAGAGTGTCGAATTCGCAAAATCAAGGTTTGTGCGGACTACCGGGTCTCTGTATCTCTTGACATGTTACCAATTTATATAGTGCTCCAAAAGCCGCCCGTCGTGTACAAATTGTAAGAGTTCTAACAGGAAATGTGTATATTCGGCAAAGCCAGATCGAACGCCACTAACACGCGAGTATGTGATTGAAGATTTCCAAAATATGGTTATCTGACTTACATAGGCATCTTACCGCCGTGGAAACACGTCTTCAACTTCTCGAAAATGCTCTCGAAAGCTTGTTTCCCGATGGCGGTATGCAAGACATCACTCGATTGCTCCTCATGAATCGGGMCCAGCCACAACATCGACGACCTAGCAGTGGGTCTAGTAAGCATACATACTTTACAAATTCATCTCAGTCAAATGCCATGTTACAAGATTTCTCAGATCATAATATCGAAGGGTCATGGCAAAGCGAATCGCTGGATCAACTGTGGAGAATCACCTCCAGTCAGCCTCCTACTGCACTCGATAATCTCGATTTTCCGAGCCCAAGTCATAACGGGGCTGTTCATGAGCCAGTCAGTGAGCAAAGAACTTTCATTGATTCTTACTTCCAGAATTACCACAAGAATAATCCGCTAGTACATGAGCCTACTTTCAGGGCCGAGTATGAGAATAACGTTCCTATTGCTGATCTGAATGCATGGCCCATTCTTGTCAATATGATCCTAGCTATAGGTGCATGGATGGTAATAGACGGTCCTAGCGAGAAGGCCACAAAATTTTACGAGACCGCAAAATGGCATTCACGGCAACTCCAGCCTGTCGATGAATCAAGTTTAAGCATGATACAAGGGCTGCTGCTATTAAGTGACTATGCTCAAAAGGGAGGTAGGCCAGAGGAAAGTTGTCACGCGCTAGGAACCTCCATCCGCATTGCTGTAAGGATGAGATTATACCTAGAGCCATCGAGCTCAGATCCCGGTCTTTCGCCGCTGAACAAGGAAATCCGGAGGCGAGTATGGTGGACGCTCTACTGTTCTGAGAGTTGCTCTGCGAAAATCTATGGACGGCCACTGTTGCTCCCGGAAGACAAGTTGATAACTGTGTCAGCCGTTTCAAATATTTCCGAGATGGTATGTATTTCTTAATCGGTATTTATGAGTGGCCTCAACTGAGTACTGGACGACAGGCTCTTACTTCCTCCACTACATCCCCGCCAACAATCTCGGATGGCCCAACAATCTACTCAGGACTAATCCTGCAGTCCAGCTATCATCGAATGGCGAACAATATCTACCGTCGAGTACTATCAATGGCGAATATTACCGCACAGGATGTCTGGAACTTCGAACAGACAATAGATAGCTGGCACACGGAGTCACCATTTTGCTCTCAAGAAGTCGATGTTAGGCCAACGCCCGACTGGTATTTGATATCACGTGATCGCCAGACACTATGTGATAGAAGTCTTCGGCTTCTAATCCGTCGACCTTTGCTTCTACGATGGCTGAAACGTTCCCATTCACTCGTGAGCTGCCCCAAACAGCCTGAGCAATCTGAGACTACACAGTGTCTCCGCCAGGGCGTCAGTATTGCTCGAAGCATGATTGACTTTATCTCTGGCTTTCTCCACGGAGACCGTTGTCCGAAAGTGTTGTTGCCATTTATTTTGTATGGCTGACCTCCAAATCCATCTTACGGGACCTTATCAGGAATTTTTGGTATTTCCATGCTAATTCCTCAGTACTAGATACTCACTTTTCCATGCCACTCTTGTCCCGGTGATTCATTTTAAAGCAGATCCATCCTCTCCCGAATCTATCTCATGTGTGCAAGATGTCGAGAGAGTGAATGGACTCTTAGAAAGTCTTCCAAGCTATAAAGACGATCTTTCCCTGTCGTTCTATACAGTTCTCAAACGACTCCGCTCCCTCACGACGTCCTCGTACGATGATGCCGTAGGGAACGTATCTCAGGTGTCAACCTCCCAGAATCCGAACAATGAGCAAACGTCGATGAACAATATCTTTGGAAATCAAGAGTTGGCCATTCTCGAGAGTCATGTTTCAAGATCTCAATCTGAGGTGAATTTCTCACAGTGGTTGAACACATCTTCACTGGCCGAGGAGAAGATATGATTGCAACTGGAATATAATATTGAAGGATCTAGTATATGCTAATCCTCTCTACAATACAAATGCACTTCGTCCAAGCTAATCGAGCGAGATGTGAAAGGTCTAGCACAGGCGCCTGCTTATCAAGCAGTCATGTCACTTGCATGGTGCATCTCTTGTACTAATGCATAGTACTCATACGATCTGCTCAAGAAATTTTAATCTTGGAATTGAATGCAACCTCTGTGGAGTAAGTTCAAGCTCTGACTTTCTCTCTTATTTCTACCTCATTTGTAGGGTTTTGCCATTCATGATGTTCAACAAAGTCGTAAAGACTGTGTATTACTTTTTGTCACATAAAATTCAACATGGTAGTAATTGCAGAACTGGACCAAATCCAATAATAGCCCGCCCTGAGTCGTCTTTCTAATCACGTTTTCCCGCGTTTTGATACGTATCCGCTAGGTCCTCGAGTTTGTGGCTGTGTAAAAAGTCCTCGAAGGTGACAGGCTTGACAGAAGGGTATTTTGCATTATCTAAATCTTTCTTGAGGTATGTCTGCCCGCTCTGACAATAATACTGGTAAAACCTGATTGCACAACAGGTGAGTGACCATTATGACAGAGAAAAAGAGAAGGGGGAATAGCTTACTTGGCCAGGTAGGCATAGATATTCGAACGGTTCTCTCTGTAGGACTGTTGCATTGAATCATATAGATCATCTAGTGTCCCCAATCGCTCCAGGTGGATTTTGCGGCCATAGACTTCTTCACAGATGGCAGCAATCTGGCGTATGGACTTTCTATCACCGAGAACTATATATCTGTAAGCTTCATTTGTTCCATGTAAAACAACCAAGTTGTACATACAGTGTTGCTCTCCCACTGCATTTCCGTCCAGAGCGACAGCGGCGACGTACTCAGCAGCAGTCCCATAGGTAGTTGACTCCCAAAGCTCGTCTCCAGAACCATAGAATGAGAACTTGTACTCATCTGGATTCCATACATCGAAGTATTTGCTCCAGAAAGTCTCCATGAAAATTCCAATAAGAACATGGACTCCCTCAAGTGTTTGCTTTGTTTCTATGTATTCCTTGACAATCTTCATGGGGTCCTTAGCAGGGAGCTGACCGTATTCCAATTTGGTGAAATCAAGACAGTAGTCACTCGCAATGTATCGACGGACACCTTCCAGGTCACAAGCATCTACCAAAAGTTTCTGTCCATTCGTCATGAGTTCGTCGTCTCCAAGGTAGCAACATATAATGACATCTGTCCCTTTCACGAAGGATCGCAATGCCTTTAAATCCTTTGAGTCGCCTTGAATGACATCAATGCGTTGTGATGTTTGAAACGATGGAGGAAGCTTCGAGGCATTCCTACAGAAACCTCGAACGGTCACATTTGGCTGTTGGAGGAGATTTTCAACAACCAAATTGGCAAATTTTCCTGTGATGCCAGCAACTCCAACTATGATCGCCATTGCGGGTTTATTATATATTTGAGGTAAGGCAGCTGAGAAAAACCAGAAGTGATGCAATTTAGCCCAGCAACATCAGAAAACAAAACGAAAATCATCAGACCTTATATATGTGATCCAGGGTGCAATTGCCACTCTAATGTCATGACATGATTGATTGCCATGTATCCACAGTTCCGTAGTTATTGTAGCACATTCGGATGCGTGCCACGTTCTGTTCCACTCCCGGAATACTTTCAACCGAGACCATGATTGGTTGGGGAGGTTATTCAGCCCCATTGAATCAGTAGTCAAAGGAATGTAGTCGGGACTACTTCAGTAATGTAAAAGCTCCAGAAGACTACTAGAGTAGATTCCACATACAACAACTATTTGGTTTGTAACATAGCTTGGTCCATGAACTCGAAATGACAATCGTGTTCCTACAAAGAGCAATTCAAGATAAGAAAAGAAGGGAGGGTGAAAACCACCCGGTCACTAATAACCACTTCTTCCAAGAAAAATACTCTTCTCTATATTCCTGTACAGATAAGACCTAGTACATGGTTCTCCATGACCACACGTTAATCAAGTATCCCCCATGCTAGATTTTTCGTGTATTGTAGCACTACGTAGTTATTGAATGGAAGCTGTTACATCAAAGAACAGAGGTGGGGAAAATAAAATAGAAGGACATACTGTACTACAAGAATTCTGATGACCAATTAAAATCCCGGTCAATTGTACTCCGGTTTGCGTACAGGGAAGACTGGTCAAAGTTTTATGTCCGACTAACATGCTCGATTTTGTATTCGGGTGGCAGGCATATTTATTCCAAACGAAAATTGCATAAAAAAGCTTTCGCTTAATTAAACATAGTGCACATGGCACAATACTCTTAACAGTACAATAACGAAAATGATGCCAAAGAACAAAAAATGTAATCCCTTAATATGAATTATCGTCAAGCATCATCGTGGACAATAGTCATTCCTCCTAGGCTTTCCGTCAATCGTGCCCATCAACTTGATACACCCATTCTTTAAAACCATCGGGCTTTTGGCAAAAACATCCCCCTGATCTGTATTCTCAGAGAATATCAACAAGCCGTTTGGCATGAGCGTCTAGATTCAGTAAATCCTTTTGTACGAATAGCGTGGCAAGATAGAAGAACCAGATGATATTTTAGAATTGACTCCTGGAAGCCTTTTCACCGAATATTATCATGCAAGATCCATGCTATTTCTTCCGGTTGAGATGTCTGACCGGATTGCGGCATCGATACTTTCCGCTAGAGGGGTTCTAGGGTCTACTATCAGATTCATCACCGGTGGTACCAGCTCTAGCTTCTTAAAACTAACTCTAGATTGGCAGAATTTACCATGTATTTAGTATCATTAGAGGCCTGGGATTAAGACCGTACCATAGGGCCGACCAATCGGATTGCCGGTACATTCTACTCCGGACCGATCTTTTGCAGATGATCAATCAACAGCAAAACTTACTAAAGCTAGCTAGCCACCGATTTGCACGCAATGGATAATGGGTTTATGAAATGGGTTTACAGTATGCAATTCGTCGACCCGATCCAGGCACATAGGCATAGTCTAGTAGATCTGCGCATGCTTCGTATATAAATACTACCATGGGTCCATCCTCTTCTCGAACAATGTCTTATCATTACAATCATCATACAAGATGTCGCTATCTCCATTATTCTCCCCCCTAAGGGTTGGCCGTATGACGCTCCAGCAGCGTATCGCTATGGCGCCAATGACTCGCCTACGCGCCGATGTCAATCACACACCTCTATCATCTGTCAAAGAATACTACCAGCAGCGCGCCGTCGTGTCGGGTACACTTCTAATCACCGAAGCTACCGTGATCAGCCCTCGACACGGTGGATATCCAAATGTCCCAGGAATATATACAGATGAACATATCGCTGCCTGGAAGGAAGTAACAAAAGCTGTACATGACAGAGGCTCATACATCTTTCTTCAACTGTGGGCTCTCGGCCGTGCGGCAAACCCCAGCTTTCTCGAGCAGCAAGGCCTCAAGCTCCTCTCCAGCAGTGATGTTCCCATGAAGAGCACCTTCAGTGATGAAATGCACCACCCCACCCCCCTCACTGAGAATGGAATCCAAGATGTCATCACAGACTTTGCTGCCGCCGCTAAGCATGCAATGAAGGCCGGCTTTGACGGCGTGGAGATCCACGGCGCAAACGGATACCTCGTCGACCAATTTATTCAAGATGTCTCAAACAAGCGTGTTGATACCTGGGGCGGCGACATTGAGAAGCGTTCCAAGTTCGCAATTGAAGTAACTAAAGCAGTTGTGGAAGCTGTCGGGCCCGATCGCACGGCAATCCGACTGAGCCCCTGGAGCCGCTATCAAGATATGCGCATGGAGGATCCCATTCCGCAGTTCACGGACATCGTTAAGAAACTGGCACAATTCAAGTTGGCTTACTTGCATCTTTGCGAGGCGGATAATGTCGAGACTGACGGTCATTTGGGCTGGCTTATTGACGCCTATCAGAATGCGGGTCCAGTCATCGTTGCTGGAAATTACAACGGTGAGACTGCCGTGAAGGCGCTGGAGGAGCAATATAAGCGTCATGATGTTGCTGTTGCCTTCGGTCGGCCGTTCATTGGGAACCCAGATCTTGCTTTCCGTATCAAGGAGCGGATCCCTTTTGCGCCCTTTGATCCCAAGACCATGTATGCACAAACTACGGAGGGGTACACGGATTATCAGTACAGTCCAGAGTTTCAGACCGTGACTCCATCGGCATAGAAATATATTATTAGATCCTATCGTATCCATTTTCTATATTGCATGAAGGGCCTCGGGACAGTCTAGCTTCTCATCCTGGGGGCTTTCTCTCTACTTTCTAAGCAGATGATCACTCAAGTTAGAGGAGCATTCATTCATTTAGTCATTCTATTCTTAATTTTTTCCCGCCGTGCTTTTATCATTATTTAAGAAAGAACAAAATATCTGCTGATTTATTACGTGACTTCTGCACAAGTACGGCATTTCTAGTTCAGTGCATCCATTGAAGCCCGTGTGATCTAAATTAAGCGGAAGAATATTCTGAATGCTTAATATAAGTTTCAATAAGGATTGAATGAAATTATCAAATATTGGAATGTCAAGCCGGTAAAGCAACAGACACACACCTATGGATCAGTTAGCAGAATTCTACAAGTCACCTCGTATCAGTTTCTTCACTAAAGAAAGGAAAGCAAACAATGTTTGCAAGTAGACGCATTTGAGAGTATTCTTCCCCTACTACAACGTTAGCTGTAAATTGAATGAATTTCAACTGTACTAAACGTAAATTTTGCAACTGCAGATAGATTTAGACGGTGCTGGAGTCATTAGCTATGACGTTTGAAGCTTCGCTCAGCTGACTTGAGTAAACAAACATCCATTTGACCATAGTTCTGTTAGCAAGATTCAAACTTACTTACCACTATGATTATCCTATGAATTGAATATTAGATTAAGAGGAAAACTACGCCTCAAGTGTCGTATTTGGAGGCAATTGGGTCGCGAATAACCTTGGTTTATGGAGGATACAGAATGGTAGTAGATTGACTCAGAAGCAGTCTCTTTCTGGAAGAGCTACTGGCGGATTTATCGTAGTCCAAACATCCTAGATCCGTCGGATTCAATTCCTATAAAGTATATGCGAAGATGTGGAGAGATTGTCGGGTACATGGAGGAAAGGTCGAATCGCTTCCCTGTTATCCCTTCAGGTCAAATCACTCCACTTTGGTATGCTCGCGGACAGAGCCCTTACTTGGGTTCCAGATATCAACTTCAGCGACAAAACTCTATCAGTATTCCAGCGGGGCGCCTTGAAAGAAACGCAAGTGAAATTGACGGATATAAATTAAACCATTTCGCCGTGCTCGATATCTACTGTATTCATAACCTTTGCTCCAAGCGAGAGTACCAGTAAGATCTCACCAACGTTCCATACCTTGGTTAAAAAAGAGGAACAAAGCTACAGAAATGGAGGTTCCCGGAAATATTCTGGAGGCGTGCAACCTTTCTACTGGACGCATGAATTTGATTCCAAGAAAGGGAAGCGCCCACCAGTCGTGCCGAACAAGAAGGAGGTCGCTGGTGGAATTTATATCACCTAGGACGTTCCTGTAAACATGGGGAACGGCGTCAAAATATACGTGGATGTCTTTCGTCCTGAGGGTGCGACAGAAAAGCTATCAGTCATTTTTACATTCAGTCCCTACGGAAAACATGGCCTGAAAACCTTTGAGATCTTCCCTGGAGCCGACGTTCCCAAAGCGTTGATTTCCAAATATGCTGTCTGGGAAAGCATTGATTTTGTGGTTTGGACTGAGATAGGATATGCCGTGATCAATGGTGATTGTCGCGGCTCATGGGGATCCGAAGGTGATCAGGAAGTTTTCAGCTTACAGGAGAGCGAAGATGGCCATGATTGCATTGAATGGGCAGGCAAACTACCTTGGTCTAACGGGAAAGTTGGTATGATTGGTGTTTCCTACTTGGCTATTGTACAATGGGGCATTACGGCGCAGAAACCGCCACATCTGGCAGCCTTTTGCCCCTGGGAGAGGTTCACCGACTTCTACCGTGATTATACCCACCATGGTGGCTTTCCGGACGGAAACCAAGTTCCCTAACTTCACGGTGTGGTCCTGCCGCTGCGGTGTAAACCTTGTCGAATATTTGATTGAGAATAACCAAGCACATTACCTTGATGACGCCTACCATCGGTCTAAGTGTGCCTATCGGAACCTGAGCAAGATTATCGCACCGGCTTATATTGTCGCGGACTGGGGTGACCATAGCATGCATACCGGAGGCACTTTGAACGGCTTCATGGGTATCAGCTCGAAGGAGAAATGGCTTGAAGTGCATGGACGCAAAAAATGGAGATACTTTTTTGAACAGGAAAGCGTTGCAAGCCAGGATGCTTTCTTTAAAAAATACCTAAAGGGCGAAGCAAGTGAGATCGATCGTCTCCCCCGTGTGCGCTTAGAGATTCGGGATCGTGCGTACGTGGGTGAGTTCGGGGCTGGAAATGAATGGCCCCTCGTACGCACAAACTACCAAAAAACATATCTCAATGGAGCATCTGGGCTTCTTGTGGACGAGTCTCAAAGATCTGAGTGTCATCAGTTACGAATCGACCGTGCAGGATGACTGTGTTCGCTTTTACCACAATTTCAACGAGGACACCGGTCTCACGGGAAACATGTGAATGCGCTTGTAGGTGTCCACTGATCTCAGCAAAATCTTGAATCTGATTAACTTATTCGAGCCATATATCCATATTAGATCTTCGCTATGCTTGAATCAATCGACCGATAAAACATATTATAATAATTTTCCATCTTGCATCATGAAATAAGAAGCCAAAGGTTTGAACAAAGAGCACAACTAGGTGGTGAGCCATTTTTCAATCCTCTTGGTAAAGGTTACGCAGCGATTATCCACGTATATGGTATAATAATGTGACGCCATGATCACAAGCGGTCCGAGAACCAATCCTGAAAGCCACCAAGTCAAGTGGAAAGCTACAGGGTCAGCACCCACTGTGCCAGGATATGGGCTCCCTTTTATTGTTAGATATATCCAGTTTCTGATCGGTTCCCTCAACAAATGATACATCGCCTGATGAACCAGATATAAGGAGAAGGATATTTTGCCCAAGTATTGGACCAACCGACTGTTCAATGGTTGCTGCAACGTTCGTGAATTGCTTATCGCCTGGACAAGTAAAGCTGCGCCGACAGACTTCCAACACCAATGGTAAACTTGCCAGTTGTCTTTCCATTTCGACGAGTTGAATACTTCCAGCCACTGGTACCCCGGAGTAAGGTGACCATCGTCTCCGAGACAGAGAAGATGAAACCCCATAATGAAAACGACCCAATTCAGAATATTAGACACGAGTCTCATTCGACTTGCTGTAGCATAATGTCGCCAATAATACTGGCCGGGAAGTCGATGCAATGGCAGTAATTTAAAAGAGTCGCCAAAGTCGTCATCTTGAGAAATGTCCACATCATGCAATGTATGCAACTCATGATCAGTTACCCTATGATCCCCAGAATCATTGCTACCAACGGTTCTCTCCGCTAACCAGAGACCCCAAAGAAACCCGAAGATATCCCAAATTCCATACCATAGAAAATAAATTGCCAAACTAGGCAGAACCCACAATCGAAGATTTCGTTTCCAGCCTGCCAGGCCGATCACGAATAGATAAATGACGCAAGATCCCCGGTATTCGACTGGCATTGTCCATAACTGCCCGTTGAATCCTCCATTGTATTCAAAGGCGATCATGTTCATGCTGTCCATCATGTAAATGATCAACCACTTTATATGGGCCCATGGAGAAGACCAAGGTTTAATCCCTCTGAGCACCCCCTCCTCAAAAGTCCAATTGTACAGATTAAAAAAGAATAGAAATTGGCTGATGATCGAAATGACCAAGACAGGAAGATAAATTCGAAAAATCCTCCGCATGACAGCAGAAGATAGCCGATTGAGAAATGATTGGCCTCTTTGAAGTGTATGGTTGTGTTGTTCTCTGGCTCTGATGAGATTGATGGAAATTGCATACCCCGAAATGACCATGAAAAGAGTGACCATTGCATGTGCTGAGAAGAGAATGCGGATAGGAGGAAGCTGGATTAATCGCCCACCGTCGTCCGGCGCATCAGCCCAAAAGGACAAAAAAGGCTGCCAAATATCGCCCATGAAAAAATGGTCAAAGGCAACGATGGCGGCTGCAATGCCGCGGAGGCCATCGAGCCATTTTGTGCGATCCATATTCTGTGTTTGTGCAGGTGACTAGTACTGAATATTGCGATGGATTGTGGTGTTTCACCAAAAACCGCATTTCATCTTCGGGAAAAGAAAAATTATCGGTCAACCAGTGCTAAAATATGCTGGTAGTAAGATAAAGGCGGTCCCGCGTACGGCTGAGACTTTGGCTTATTCAAAAAAAAATGATCTGTTCGGAGGCTGCGGGAGTCGCCCTCTTAAAGCGCTGGCTGCGTTGCCGCTGCAACTTGGGTCGCCCCTGAATTACTATGACTGCGCAGTAACTACAATAAATCGCTCTCTTATTCGGTAACATAGAAGACGATATTCTTATTCTAATTCATTTTTAGAAAATATGAAAGACTACGAATATGTCCGAGCAAAAGGCGATCTCGAACGATTTGTTCGGCTATCGAAATTCAGGTAAATGTCCCTTGCTAACAAATTTAACAGGATGCCCTGGCTACTTAGCTATTATTTTATGGTGGATATGATTGTTACGAAAGACTTTGTGTGGAATTTACGATGGACCTAATGTTCACAGGACCATTGCTCGATCCGTTTTGAAACCCAGCCACTGGTTGTCTTTAACGCTGTGAGTCTCCTTGGGTCTGTCGCCGTGTAACCTGTTCCCAAGACAACACGGTCACTCATTTTGCAGAGATCCTCGTAGAAACTCCACTGGACACACTCGGGCCACGATAGACAGGCTGCCTCGCAGTCGTCTACTGACTGCCAGCTCTTCAGCCAGGAAAGTCTGGATTTCACCGAATCAGGAATCCACATGTCCTCACCAGCTTTCGCCTCGGATGAGGTGATGGCGTGACTAGAGGATCTATTGTCCCACCATTCCATGCGTCGTCGGACGACCGGCGCAATGAACGTGTCATAAACGTCACGATACCGCATGAGGCCATTCTACATCATCACAGTAAGACAGTCGAACCCTAAACATCGGGCAGAGAAGATGAAAACATACCTTGGTAAAATTCCAAGCTTTTTCCATGTTGTAAGATCTCGAGATATCCTTTAAATGCATGTGATGCATGCTAAATATAGGTTTGCACCAGTTTGCTTGCCCATACCACATGTTCCAGTAGGACTCTGGGTTGAATCCAAATGTAAACTGCTCTGCTTCATGGGTCTCGCCAAAGGGCACTCCATAATCTTTCAGGACGTGACCAAGTACATGATCACCACATCCATGAGCTTCAGTGAAATTCTCGTATTTTTCGATAATGTCGCTGTGGGTGCCAAAGGTTTTTTCCCAAGCGCCTCTTGACAAGGCAAATCCAGCGCCCCCATGAGCAAAGATCTCACCGTGTTTGACAGCTAAGCTACCAATATACCATGCATCCTTCCAATCAAAAGTGGCAAGGTGATGCAATAAGTTGGGAAGAAATATGAACGCGTCATCTTCCATGTAGATGTACCACTTCGCATCCGGCTGACTGTGCCCGGCATGGTTGATAAGTGGTAAGAATTTGTATTTGTCTAATTTCCATCCACCGATTGGACCTGCAATGTCACCCTCAATCCATCCTTGCTTGGCGTCAAAATCTTCTTGGAGTAGGTATGGCTGGAAGTCCGGAGACTCGAGAACAGCTCGTGAGGTGGTATTGGCAAGGACATCCACCAGTTGGTGAGAGCCGATCACGTCAGGGACATCGGAGTAAATAATTGTGTTCTCTGGTGCGATGCGTTCCGGCGCAAGGCTCGTCAATAAATGGATTGGTAGGCGTTTCCATACTAATGAGGCACCTGTCTTCAATAGAAGAGCGACTTCGCTTGTTTTGAGTGCTCCTTGGGACGGGTAATCGGGAGTCGGTGGCGTATAAGGTGAGGGAGAAGTATGAGACGGAAGACGAGATGAGACCTCGGGTTTAAGTTCTGGCCCCCTCTGGTATTCTTCGATCTGGAGCTTTCGTTGTTCTTGCGACACTTGTAGCAATTCATAAGTTGCAGATGAATCGTCTGTTCTAGAGGAATGTTGTTCAGAAGGAATGTCGAAGTTGCTCACGGTCTCTTTGTGGAGACTTAAATAGTAGAAGAAGAGAGTTGTGGTCAGCAACATAAATCCCAATGGGATTTTGCGATTGTCTTTGTAGAATTTTCGAGGAAGCATTGTGTAGTTTATTGTGAATGAATGACACGAGCGAACGAAAAAAATTTGATGAAAGTGAATGTAAATGCAGCTTCGCTATCCTTTGAAACTGCCCATCTCGATGTGCCTACCACAACACATGAGGCAACTTGGCAGTCGCTGGATACCGCCAGGTAGCAGTTGTATGAACTAAATCCCACGGTAGTAGGGATTTTGTCGAATGTCGATAGGAAGAGAAACGATTGCGGCTCTGCTTCCAATCTCAACCCTTGTACGAAGTGCCTTTGTATGTACTATTAATGTACGTGCTAATTTTGTCCAAATGAGAGTAAGAAAAGACTAAAGCCCCGCTGCTGATACAAGCGCAGTACTTGTAAAACTGGATCTCGAATTTTACAGCTCAACGGCTTAGCATCCATCTATAATAATCAATTATCATACGGAAGGGTGCGCTAGTATGTACGTACTTCGCTGAATGCCTATGTTGTTCGTAATTTCAAATTTGACGAATTCCTTTCAGCCATGAGCACGGTCTAGACCAAAAACTCTGATGAATATACTATCAAACCACTCAGTTGTCAATATCTACATAGTAGAGACTCTAATCCTGAACAGCGGGCGCAGAGACAGATCCAATGTGCTCCGTACCGCTACTGGTATGCTGGTTACATCTAGCGTGACTCCAAACTTTCGTGTTTCTACGGAGCATCTGGAACTGATCCACTTGCAGGCTTTTTTCCTTGGATTAATCTTGGCGCGCTCGAATTTCCCACTTCGGATAAATATTATTCATCAGGTTCAGAACATAATGTGACAGGCTTCTTTCACCTGTGAGACATGCATGATTAATGATTACGCGAGTCAGCTGGGAGCAATCAGTCATCACACAGCGAAGCAAGTCGACGGCTCAACCCCCCCCGGCGAATGATTCCAGAAAGAATGCGGCTCTCACCGGCAAGCTTCGTATCGGTCCCACATGATTTCAGGTTAGCTCGTGTTTGTATGGAGTTATTTTATGCATAATCGCGATTTCTACAACGACGCCCAAAGGCGCCGCCACGGCTTGAGGTCAAATCTAAGTTGAGTCGATTATTCACGGGAACCAATCTGGGATTGCACGACCATGGATGTTGATGTTGGTTGTTGGTTTGTTGCGAGTGCCGAGTATGTACGTGAAAGTGTTTTCAAGCGTTGAAGAAATGTGCCAGGGAGCTAACCATATCCGAAATTACGGGTGGTCCGCGTCCTCGTGCTAAAGGCAGCAAGGCCAAGTTCACTAATTATCATACCACGAAAGTGGGCTGTGCAAAGGATGAAAGAACGAGCCTGTCTTTTTTTAGTGGTTGCTGCTGAGAAATAGGGGAAGTAAGGGGTATCACTTCCGTGATACCGACGCTTACCCCGTCGCCTACCGAATTTTCTCTACTTGGCCCCTCGGCCTAGACCGTCGGATTCGTGATTTGCTCCGTCTATAGAATACATATTATTCACATTTACTTTTTGTAATTCTTAGCATTTACTACGTAGTACCCAAGACTCACTCGCAGCAACTCACTCGCAAATTACTGCTTCAGTCGGTTTTCATAGTAAGCTTGGTCTGTCCACTTGAGCAACTGACCCATCGTCTCATATTGGCCCTTGGCAGCCTCATAAGCAAGAGCTGAACCGCTTTTGAGGGGCGTAATAAGACCGCGTAATCGGTAAAATATGCAAAAAAAGTGTGAGACATCACAGCTACTACTGCCGTCTTCTTTAATTATCATTACTATAGTCATCTTGACCACCTAATGATGGTGTTACAGCCTCAATGTCTTTCATTAGTGTCAGAGAGCATTGCACGTTCCAAGAACCGCATGAGCAATCTCACTAGTCTTTGTACTCGGATCGGTTAAGACTGGACACAGCACCTTATTTGGCTAGCCGTGTATACTAGTATGTACTTTGTATACCTAGTTTTACGCAATGGATCGATTGTATGTAATCGCCGTATTTTATACGGGGCTTTTATGGAGACTGAATCCGCAGTGGAAAGCCTAACAGGGGGGCATCTGATGAAATAATACAGCTCGCGATTTAAATCGAAAGAAATTGGTAACATTGCAGAGCTCCTAATCCGTATGCGGACAGATGTATTTATTGGTTCTGCGATCTATCTCGAGACTTTTGAAAAATTCTCTGATAGTCAAATATCTCGCTATGGCCGTTGGTCGGTAAAAGACACCAAGCCAACACTGAACATTCGTTTTCTTCGACATTGTCGGAAGTCCATTCTTTTATGAATTGTAGAGAGCCTTCAGTCAATATTCGCACATGATATTGTAGGTGATCGACACCTAAGATGATATTAGCAGACGATCCCCAGTCCCGGCTGCCTTCGTTCCATTGCCGGGGCCCTTATGTTTCTTCAATCCGACAGTTCTTCAATTTCCTTGGTTGTCTATTCATTATTCCTGTGTATTATTTTATTACAGGATGTACCAAATTTCCTTTAACCCTCGACCTTATGATCAGTATCTTCGTGGCCGAATATAACAGATGGGCAAATGAAAAACGAAGATCGAAGCTTCATGAAACACCTCCCTCAACTCCTACCGGCGATGTCGAAAAGGCACTCATGGCAATGCAAAATGGCCCCCCTGGCGAGATTACCAGGTGCATGGCTGCGATTGTTGGATATCGTGAAGATCCCGATCTCTTCTACCGCGCTTTAGAAAGCTACAAGGCGACAGAAGGCCTTGACTTCACTTTAGTGGGAGTGGATGGGGATCAAGCAGCCGATATGGATATGGTTCGCGTTTTTCAAATGGTCTGTCACTGTTATCGTTATTATTTGAAATAAGGCGCTCATGCTAACAATGTCTCTAGGTCTATCCCAAAAATTCCGCAGTAATCCACCTGGATGAGCCATTCGGTGAAATTGCCATGCGAACATACAGCAAGCTTGTTGACCCCGACATGTGCTCACCAGAAGATATTGAATATTGCAACGAGCTTACAATTGCTCATTGCTGTCAGCTTGCTCGCGAAATCTTGCGCGAGCACGATATCCAATTAGACAAGACTCAGCCAGGCGGTGGAATCACAAAACTTTGCATATACGAACCACACATGCACAAGAAAGCAATTATGTTTACGTCGTTTATCTTTTCAATTGTTATTTCCGAAGTCTTAGACGTTGAATTCATGTGGTCCTCGGATTCCGACACTATTGTCCTCCCTGATTCACTGCAAAAGACTATTGCGACGGTTGCAGGAGATGAGAATGCCGGAGGAGCCAGTTCCGGTCTGATCGTTCACAATGAGCACGACTCTTTATGGACTAAGCTTGGCAGCGCAGTGTACTGGTGTGAACTATATTTGACGAGATCTACTTCGGCTTCATCAGGGACGAGTGATTGTCAGAGTGGACCCAGTACCGTATTCAGAATATCCACATTGCCTGGAGTACTATACTGCTGGTATACACAAAAGGTCTTGGGCAAACGGATGGTCAGTGTTCATGCTTATGACTTTCCTCTTATATCAATGTACTGACACTGCTGAAAACAGATTGTGAATGAGGACCGCCATTTGACGACTAATCTTTTACTCCGTGGGTGGACTGTTACCTATGTATCAGATACCCTAACTGCAACCGATACGCCCACCACTCTAAGCCGATGGCTTCTTCAGCAGGTAATCTTTAATGTAAAATTCATCTTTGGAGAATGATACTGATGCAAGACAGGTCCGCTGGGGTCGAGCAACCCATATCGAAACTTTCCAACAACCGAAAGTCTATCTTTTGAACCATCCCGTTTTCTTTTGGGCCGCCATGAAGAGAGAAGTCGGTCCACTGATCGTCTTTTTCTCAATCTTGTACTACTTGATTACCGGCCATCCCTTTGTCTACTTTTGCTGGTGGGATTTGGTCTTCCGTGCAGGCTACACTATCATCTACAACTGGCTTCGCAATCCTGACCGTGGTCCAACAAATGGTTTTGCCTGGATCGTACCTGCCCTGTTATTCTACAACCTACCTCTACCTGCTATTCAAGTCTGGAGTATGGCCACCGTACTTGAAGGCGGATGGGGCACTACCATGCGTTCGAACGGTGAGATGTCCAAGCAGAACCAAAGCCAATTGTGGAAACGATGGCATGATCTCGGGTTTTTCGTTCTTTGGATGGGTGTAATAGGTGGGACTTGCACAAGAATTGCAGGTGGATTACTTTCTTGGAGCGATATTGCCATTTTTAGAGCCCTTTGGGTGGGAATATTAGTCCCATCAGCCATCACGTTTTACGCATTAATACTGAGTTGATAGATTAATTCTTCATTCTGAGCTTACTTTGAGCGCGCTTCATATTCAGTTCAGTTTCATTTCAGCAAGACATTTCTGTGGAAGAAAGTATGAATGGATGCAGAGTGAGAAATCCATAGAGTGGGAAAAGATCCTTCGGTTCAGGAATGGTGATAAAGCACGGTGAAGAGTCTCGCCCCCGCATCGACGTGGTGTCAGGGGCGATATTGATGTTGACAAGCTTCATCGATTTGTTTCGGGGTTTCCACACAAGGTGCGAAAGATCAAAATCTACATATCGTATCCCAGTCTTCTCAAGCGCCTTGGAATTCGACTCCGGCGCCCTTTCAAATGCCGAATACTGAAGATTTGGAAGGCATGAGCGACGGCTATTCCTTCCCTACTCATGATCAACAACTTACCAGTCGCCCTCCCGTTGTATATAAGGGTAGTGTTTCTAGAGACCTGCAAGTCCAACAGACCCACACAGACAAGGATGCATATCCCTTTTAATGGTGTGAGGCTTATATAGAGATCAAACTCGAATTGCAGCCGCTGTTTACCATGGCTTTCCGCCACCTTCACCAGGAATGAGTTACCAAAATCCTCTAGGGTGCCCCTGAGGAAATGATTGCTTTCCGACAATGTGCAAGGGTTGAAGCTCAAACTGAGGCGACTGTTAGGTGATTTGATCTACTATGTTGTCCATGAATTGCTCTCCACTAATCTCGTGGTATTCATCTCCGTGGTCACCGACGTTTGGACACACGGGGTCTAGCTTGCCTCCTCTGAGGAGGCTCTCAAGGCATCTGGACGTGCAGAAGACATTTGCGGGATAGTACCGCACAAGTTTGGCTCGACTATTTGTGCCGTGACCGCATGGCTGCGCAGGGTTTGATTCTAGCAGAGACTGCCTCATGATGTTCGTGGAATTGATCCTGCATCGATCAAGCCTCATAGCACTAGTCCACCATTCTTGAGTGGGTGTGTTGTCTAACAAGCTACTGAGTACCAATGCAGCATATTCTCCGACCACAGTGTTTCGAAATTGACTTCATTGTCACTGAGCACCTCATCTCGGGGAACTTGGTGGTGTAGCTTCAATGTATTCCAGGTTTTCTTCAAGACCTTCAGAAAGATCAGGCTGACGCCGATATCCACGATTCCACGCCGTAGCCCATAGTTAATTATTTCGGCAAAACCCGTCAGGAATGGGCTATAAATATGGCCGTGGAGAGGTAATTTGTGGTAGTCGTCCCTCTGATTATGAACACCATCGATTATTACCTCGAATGGGAGATGTTGTGTAGCAACATAGTGGACAACGAATAAGTGAATCTCCTGTCGACATATTGTTAGGAAAGCGAAGCAGCTGTGATTTTCGCGTTGCATTTTGAAGCTGATGCTAGAATTTTCGTAGCAAATCCAGTCCACCAGCTTCTCTGGGAGGCTGTCGAAAGATCCTGGCCAGAAGTTCTCATCAGACATCAACCCCTCCCCATATTCGACTCACAAAACGGTGCGCTGTCAAATGTCTGGTTGTATGGACATCCTGGGAGTTTTTCACGGGCTGGCTTTCCTCTAAAGACAAATCGCACTCCCATGACGAAGGAAAACGTTTCTGATCCCGGCGCTCACATTCGTCGGTCATTATTTCCCAAAAACTGTTGCAGACTTCTGTGAAATGCTTCCACGCCTGAATGTGTTTGGGAAAGGATATCAATTTCGTGTCTCGATCGTCGGGGTCTTTTTGGGCGGGCTCGCTGACAGGAATAGCAAGTGAGAGTCAGTGGCACTCTTTCAGCAGTCCCAAAATATCTGTTCTTGCGTATCTAGTCTCTGATTCATCACTTGTATTTGTCGTCCTGCGCTCGCAATGCGTTGGCCAGACAAACAGCGCGAACAAAGGCTCTGGCTGAGGTTTTTTTGAAGCGTGCCATGGCGAGGTGATGGGGGTTGATACTTGATGACTTGATGACTTGATAGCTTGATAGCTTGATAAATCCGAGATGGAAGACTGGTTCAAGGAAGAAAAAAGAGTTCTAAGACTTTCAAGGTCATTGTGGGTTTTGTTCGTTGTCGGTGTCAAAAGAAGGGTTACTATCAGCGTTTCCCAGCACTTCTTGTCACTGGCCAGCACAGTACCAATGACGACTAAGCAAGATGTAATAGAGATATATTCAGAGTTTTTCCATTTGTTCATTGATATCTTAAATCAAACTTTGTCAATTTGAATGTGAGAGAAAACTCTATCTTTACACTTTTATAATCGTATATGTTGAAGAATTGTCCATTTGATTATAAATAATACGCAAGATACAGGGAGTAAATTTCACATCTAAATGGCACAACAGAGGCAGAATTGATAAACGAATATATTTTAAGGAGGCAAATCATTTCCAGGTAGGTATCGATTGATCAAATCTCAACATTGAAGTCCCATACACTCGCCAAGGTGGAAAGGTCGCCTCGAAAAATATTCGTGGATGTTCCGGTGAGCGAGGGGGGTACATATTCAAGCAGTTTAGCCTTGTATCCAGTGTGGGCATTTCCACTTGCTTGCCTGTGCTAGGCATGATGAGTCCCACAACATGTATGAGTATAGCTGAGGATTATCTTCCCCTACTGAAGCTGTCACTGCGTATTGTGAGAAGAAAAGGGACCACCGTCAATATTGCAGAGGTCTAAGGGATGCTCTTACGGCCAGAGGCTGCTGCAATTATCCACTATTCCTAATCAGGACTAGAATTCAATTGAGTCGTGTCCTTATCGTTCAGGCACCTGCAGATGGAAGCCTCAGTCCGGCGGTCTGCCTGACACCTTGGCAGGAACAACATGTCTCACCACGTCCCTTTTCGAGCAACTCGTTCTTCCACCAAGAAGACAAAAAACTTCCGTTCTATGCCACACTCCCTTTCCTGCTGGAAGAGAGTGAAAAACAGATAATGATGGATCCCGCGCCCAAGGCTCAATCTTCTAGCGTAATGCTAATGCAAAGGCTCTCGTTTTGATTCGCTCCCCTACGCGAGGCGGATACCAAAATCGCTCAGCCTCCAAATCTCTGGTCGGAACTCAGATCTTGAGATTCAGGGATAAACATCATTGTATTCCATCGGAGCATGGTCATGATGAACCCGTCTCCATCTGTTCCATCTGGTACCTGCATCTTCACTCTAGTCGCGCTGCTGTCCGTCGCACCCCGGTGCGCAAAAGTCGACGAATGAACAACGGGACTTCAGCAACCGACATTATCACCTATATCGGTATTCCACTCGCGGTACTTGGCGTCCTTCCGATCCTATATTCGTTCATTCGTGCCATAGTCGTTCAACGTTCGATCCGGCGCACCCTATACCGCCATGGCTTGCTCGATTCTTCCATCACGCGCGGCAGTTTGATGGAAGGTATAGTCGAAGTCGAACTTCCGCGATGCACTATTACTCCATTAGATCGAGACGAGGATCCCGAATACTGGAAGTTGAATTCGCACCAGGTATTCTTAAAAGGCGGCAGTTGGTCCGTATTCAACTGGAATACCTTGGTTACTGGGAGACAGCTTGTGCGATGTCAATACAAAGACGAGCTCAGAGTTCCCGAAGCGGACATTGACTTTGAAGATCTGATCGCCTTTCTGCTAGACCGTGGAGCTATTCCCGACCCAAAAGGATGGCGCCTGCTCAAGTCGATAGGCTTGTGGACACCGACCGGTACTGCCTTGCTTTTACCACCCAGAGGAATGCCAGGGACTGTTCTCAAAGTCGCAACGCCAGACAACGCGGACGGTCTGTTAAGTTTACAGGTCAATTGGAAAACAGAGTGGGACACTAGAGGATCTTTCAGTTTACCCCCGTTCTGGGTGAGGTTGAAGCAACCTGGTTGCGGCAAGTTGTTGGCCGATGGAAAAGAAACAATGGGCGAACCTGAAACTTTTGAGATTCAGGACGACCTTACGGAATCCCAAGAAACTCATGAGCCTCGGACCCAGGACATAAGTCGCGACAGCACACTTGTCACCGAAACCGAAACAACGCCGGAAATATCAGCCTCTCAGCCCCTTGTCAAACTGATTGAAGAAGGGAAACTACACATCACCACAACACCTAATGATAGCTTCCGCTTCAAACTGGATGGCAACCGTGTGCAAAAAGTTCTTTTTGAAGATGAGGAATTACCTACGGGAGAGATCCGCGAAATGGCCAGTGCAGGTGACACAGCCAACATATGGTTCATTTCCGCTGCATCGTCATTGAGCCAAAGCCTGGAATGCGAACTCTGGAATTTCACCATTCCGAATCAAATAACAAGTTTTGTCAAGCGCAAGTCTGTGCCCTGTGGTGTGATGGTGCTTCTGGGCATACTTAACGACGACGACGTGCCTCCATGGTCGTCACCGCCGCCTTCCCTTCACGAAAGTGCACATGAAATGGGCGAACGAATGCGAAAAGACATGTACGAGCGACAATTAGAGAGCGCTATGCCTCCAGCACAGGCTGCTGAGGCACGCCGTGTCAGAATGATGCGGAGCGCCAATGAATTTCATAACCAGCATATCGCTCGTCAAAAGGCCTTGCAAGAATATGAGGACCGACGGCTAATCGAAGCTATTCAATCGTCACGCTTGGAGAATGGTACGGTTGCGCAAGCTACATTGGCATACCTCGTTGCTGAAAAGGTTGTTCCTGAAGAATACACCATTAAGGATCTCGCGATCGCCGTTCTATACCTCATGGTTGTCGATAACGCAAAAGCTAAGCTCATTGGAGATATTCTGGAGCGGTGGGCTCTCTGGAGCCAATTCGGAGGAATGCAGAAGGTACAATTGGAGCTTCTGATCAAGAACAAAGTTGCATTTTGTTACGCGGCGGCACTTGTCGCTGTTGTTTACCACGCAGAATCGGGAGATAGTAACCCATCAACGGATATGCTTGAATGCCTCAAATCATGGAAGAGGGTGAGGCTTGGCTGAGGATCAGTCGATCACTGCCCATCCAGTTGCCCAACGCCATACAAAGAGTTATGTATCATACGACCATTATTTTGCATTTCTCATGACTTCTACCTTCTGTATTTGTATTGACGAAAGAGTCAAGACCAAATTTCGACCACACTTTAATTGACTACGTTTTCGGAACAATGATTGTATCACACGTACTGCTTCATTTCACAAGCACATTGACCTAGCCTATTTCAGATGGATTCACTACTATGTCTGCGTGGCCTATAATCCTATTCTTCATATACAATGTAACTACAATTGAAGTGCCCCGGCAAGTATCTCGGTTAACGCCAACACTTTCTCCTCTTGAAGACGCCTGGCAACCACCTGGACACCAACGTGTGCCCCGTCATAAATTTCAGGGTCATCTGACGACCAGAAGCATTTGTCATCAGTATCAGCAGATTATATAGGGTCTATTGACTCACAGCTTTTCCAAGCAATCTCATCCAGCTTGTTCCGTGGTTCATAGTTTGCCTCAAATCGATCAAGATCTTTATCGACTGTTGTCACTGGCAGGGTACAGGCCGCATAATCCAAGAGATTAATGATGTTCGAATATCCTGCCCCATTGAGTCAGTAACCGTATAACGGATCAGCAATCGAAAAATGACAGCGGAAGCGACACTGACCGTAATAATTGTACAATTTAGGCCTAGCAGCTGCAATTGCTGCCACCGGCATGATGAATCCGTCAACTGGACGTCCGGTAGCAGTCAGCTCAGATGTACTATTCCAGTATTCCAGGTATTTCTTCTGGTAGTTTCGTTTCTCAATGTTGATCGCAGCGATATGCGAAGCTGATTTCTCAGCAAACGGCGCCTTCCCATACATGGATGCAATCTGATCAGCAACGATTTCCCCAGATAGCCCAAACGCTGCATGTACATCATGACCTCCATCCAAGACGTAGACTTCATTCTGCTCACTAGTCAGTCACCTCCACATGCGTGGAATTGAGTAGGAGGAAGAGCATACCGCCAACCGTGTCCCCTGAGTATGAGATGGAGGATTCCATTCAATCACTTTGTGGCCGGCTCTTTTGATAGCTTTGATAACCATGTCCACAGCACGCGCAACTGGAGGATGAGGTTTGACCACGCCATCATCTTTCAAGATGCCAAATGTCAGTGGAGTTCCACTCAAATCGGGCGCATTTTTCCAGGGAAGTTCGAGAACTAATGGGTCGTATAGCCACGGCTCTTGAGACAGTAAGCTTTTGACAAGCAACTTGAGAGAACCAACACTCGTCGCTAAAGGACCGACAACAGACAAAATGGAATTCTGTCCATCCATGCTATTTGCCATGCCCTCATAGGGCAAGCGTCCAGCAGACGGTCTCAAACCATATAATCCATTGAACGCGGCTGGAATCCGGATACTGCCTCCAATATCGGTGCCAAACCCTACGGGGCTTCCTTTGAGACCAATCAGTGCACCTTCACCGCCCGAACTGCCGCCTGCCGACAAGAGCCTGTTCTTAGGACTCCATGTATAACCGATGATATTGTTTACCGTCTCTCCGGCCATCAGTGTATGCGGCACTGCGGTTTTGCAATACAGAATGGCACCGAGAGAGCGTAGTTCGCGCACCAACTCTGATTCGAAGACGAGTTCTTTGCCAGTGCCTCGATGCCCCTCAAATGTGCCCATCCAACCTACATAACCCATAGTTGTTTCCACCCCCTTCACATGAAACTGGTCTTTAAGACTGACAGGCAGGCCATGAAGAGGCCCAATCGGCTTCTTGTGTGTTGCAAAGTAATCATCCTGAGCTTGAGCCTCGGCCAATGCAGCGTCAAAGAAAATCTCGTGTAGACAATTAGTCTTTTTTCATACAGTCAGTAAACAAGCACGGATTGGGAAGTCGGACGAATTTATAATTCATACAAGTTGATGTGCCAAAGCTGCTCGATGGCAAAATGCTTTTGCAACCTCATACGCTTTCCATTCACCACTTGCGGTGCGCAAGACAATACCGCAAGCATCTGTCTCTGTAATATCGAACTCTTTGCTAGTGAGAAATTGTCTAATATATCCGTCCGTTACGTCCTTTTGCTCGGTCGAAGATGGTACAGACGGAAGACGCCAGGCTTCGGGAATAAGCGCATTGACGCTGTCTCTTTTGGTTTTGGCTTCTTGTTCCCATAAAGACATATTTTCGGTTTGATCTTGAATAGTAGGATTAGAATCGTGCGGGTTTAGTACCGTGATGACTTTTGGGAATATTTCTTGTATTGTAGGTGTTACAATGGTCCTGATTCTGTCTAGGTCAAGTAGAGCGTTGTTGAGACTGACAGTTATCACGAGGTTGAAATGCTGCTATGTACTCCGTGGTTGTAATCGTCTTATGCATGACAAGTAATGATTTCTTATCTCTCACATGCACAATCATTATCAAACCCCGCACAGAAAGAGGGACTGGGCCCTCCGCCATGCCACTAAATAATCAGACGAACTACGCAGCTTGACAAGAATCCTATTTTGATTGGTAGTGACAGGCAAGTGAATTAGTCTCCAAAGTTGGACGCTGGTATGAAAGTCAATTTGATCTAAAGTACGTGGTTCGTATGACCATATATCGTTGTGCAAGCCACAAATGGCAAAAGAACGAAACTAAAAACCTATTTGTCAATCAAACATAGGACATGTCAAGCAAAACCTCTCGCTTCTCGTTTACTTGATGAAACTTGAAGTATCTCTCGCAGTTGTAACTATCATACGAGTCAGTATGCTGCGGCACGATATTTGCAACGTAACCATAGGGATCGCCACGGTATGACCGGGAACATAACATACCTCCAGTAAGCTGTGCCAATGGCAAGATCACGACAACCGACAATATATGTTTGTACGTCAGCATCGAGCTTTGCATCTCCGGTCTTGGGTACACGCTGCTCTGCAGCTGTACAGAGATCGTAGTGCTCGCGAATCAGATCCAGCATGACATCGAGCGATTCCTCAAGGGTAAGCCCTTCGTGGTACATGTAGAGAATGACCATGTTCTCGAGTTGGCCCACGCGCTATCCAACAAATGGTGATTAGACTTTTTCTTTTCTTGATGACTGAGAGCATCAGTTGGTACTTACGAATTCCTTTTGTAAGGAAAGGATATCATTAATTCTGTCATGCCCATGATTAGTCACCGCAGCTGATGCCAAAGTATTCCCGAATCACTTACAAAATAGTGAGGCGAGTAACTTCCTTGATAACTTCTTGCATGGCTTCATGTTCGTGTATCCATTGAGGCAACTCAAAGTCCATTGCATATCTGCCATGAAACCATTAGTGTGGAACTTATTGATCACCAACTCTACACTTATTGATTTGACGTACTCGTTTTGAGTGATACTAGGAATGACACCTACGTCATCGCATCGCATCTTGAAAAGCTCAGCTGGAGTCGGTAGGGTCTCTTTCTGTCGAACAAATTGCTCCCGGGAGACACCATTAATATAATCATGAAGCTCTTTGCGTAACCTCTCAATGGAAACTATTTCGCCTTCGTTAGCCAACATCCACTGTCTCGCTTCAAAAGACACGCAACGGATATAACTGACCAGCACCCATTGACTGCCGGAACTCTGCCAAAATAGGGTAAAACATCTCTACTGTAGGACGGGACCCGGGTGGAGGTGTGAAGTTGGGATTAGGACCGAGACAGTCTTCAACACATTGGTTCGTCTCTTCACAGCACTTGATTGTTCCTTGTCGATCCTGGGTGAGCTCACCGCCAGTATCGATCTCTGTGATCAAAGTCATATGTTAGAACATGTTCATGGTGTAGGAATATCCTCGGTTATGCGAAGCCGGAAATTTGACAAGGATTAAAATATTCGATACGAGGACTGAACCATACCATCATCCCAGAAGAAAATCTATCAATTATCATACATGTCTGTTAGAAAAGTCTACTTGACTGTATTATGTAGCACGTTCATGATTAGAGATACGAACCCAATAGAGGAACTGTGACAAAAGGAGTAACTTCTCCTTGGGTGCGTCCGAGTAATATGTTGCGGTGAGCCAGGTGTAATTGCCCCGAGCTCTGTGTTTGATCTTCTTAACTTCCTCGACTTTGACCCTTTGTTGTGTACCTGGATCAGTTACGGGATCTATTGATGAACAAAGGGTTATCGAAGGGTAATTACGTTTTCAGCCATTCGTCGAGCTCCTCATTCACGGAATCAACATCTGGATGCAAGCCATATCGCCATCCAGGAAGAAGTGATATCAAATCTGGAACGAGAAGTTTCTTTCCCTCAAGACGCGAAAGCAATTCCCGCTTCTCTGATTCTGAAATAGGCTCTATCTTGGGGCTCGACTTGACCGTGTAATTAGACGCAACCTTTGAGGACTGCACTGGAAGCCCTCCTGTGACTCTGTCAATATCGGGAGCCATGTCGTATAGTTTATCGGTAGATTGAGGAGTAAGATTATTAACAGGTTCAAGATCAGCAGTGGAGGTTACTTGATTTTTGAGTGAATAGCCAGATTCTAGGTCGGCTTTATGGTTTTATCTTCCAAGTTTATGATTTCTTATCATCAGCTACATTATGGCGCGTTTACGTGATCCTCGGGTCTCTTTGCAATCTAAACGATCATTCCATCCATTCACCGTTGCAATATGGCGTACCATCAGTCAGCATACGTTAGAATTTCTTAATCGGCTTGTATCAAATTCTTCGTAGCTTCACTAAAGCAATTTATACGAGTTCATTACCAATGTAACTATCCAATGATCATTGATATTACCTAGTTTGGAAAGATCAGTATATAGAAATCTGTGCCTCTTTGGTCGATATACATGTTGATCTCACATACATCAAGTCTTCGATAGTGGCAAATAGGGCTTTTAGAAATTATTCACAAACACGATTCTCATAGGTGCATTCTTTGGCTTCAGACATGATAATATATGGGGAAGATGTACGAGGACAAAACAGGGATCAGGTCTAACGAATAAGGCCCACTCCAAATGTAACCAGCAAGAAATCCTTACTGAGCCTGTAGCTATTAACTAAGATGAATAAAGTGACCAAAAGTTACTACGAAGTCATAGTGCTGTTGTTATTGCTACGTAGTCGCAATTCAAGAGAAATGGCTTTGGGGAACATTAGGTAGGCGTTGTGAACACTAACGGAGTCAAGGTGGCTTGAATTTTAGGTGCTCGCATGTTACATTAAATTTTGCTATTATGTTCGTCGTTCTAGTATTTCTTGTTAGAGTAGCGACTCAGCTCCCTTATTTTACCATGTCTGACGTGCTTGGCGTTGGTTACGTCTCGGAATCGTTGTTGGGGGAGCTTCATTGATAAGTTAGACTTTTCTACTTGTGTGGGAAATAAGTGTCGCGGACCAATGGATGTCTATGGAATCTTGTCCTAGATATTGTACAAGAGCTAACATTGGTCATTGTACATTGAAAATCACTTTCCATTCAATCGTCGAATCTCCGCCGAGGACCCCGCTGGTTAAAACCTCAATTTGATGAGGACCCTCTCGAAACGTCCGATACAAACAGGTGAAGATAAGTGGATACAAGCTCTGATGTCTTATGTTGACCAGTTTAGGAGACTTGACTAGCCGACCACGGACCCCAAAGGTGTCTTACTTGCAGAATTTGGGGCAGTGTTTGGGGCCAGGATATGGCCTAGGCTCGGAAGTCTCGTCATTACAAAGCATTTAAGAAAAATAATCATGCGTTATGCTACCATGCTTTAGTCATGCTCGTATCGACTTTCGACTTCAGCCAACACACTCACAAGGGTACGTCAATTTCACCTAGAACGACCATAGCCCTACCCGGACCGAGCGAAATGCCGTTGTAGGACGGAATCTGCCAAAGCGGAACTTAAGCTTCCAGCCCGTCAAATTTAGCATATACATAGTCATGTAACATCCTGATAGAGGAATGACAACCATATGATAAGAACGAAATCGATTACAGTGAGTAGGTGAAAAAATCTCAAGTAGTAACTAAATACTTTGGAAAAAATGCATATGCCCCTCACGGGTTCTATTATCGCTCTTGATTCTTTGATTATCAGCTGTATATTATGTAAGAGTCTATCGATTTCACCAGGCTTTTTGAATGTGGCCTTAATGACTGCGTTCCCTCGAATCGTTGGTAAACTAAACTAAATCCTTCGTTTCAACAGTAGCTTAGCCGTTGGGTCCGCTAGAACATTGACTTCGAACATAAAATTCTTTGGTCGTCCAGCCTCAGGATTCTCCAAAGCCAAATCATAGTGGAATATCAAGTGTGCAAGAATGATCTTGATTTGGTTCGTAGCAAAGAACCTTCCTGGACAGGCGTCCTTGCCGAGACCGAATTCCATAGACTCGAGAGAAATGCTAGGAAACTGATATTTGTGCGCGTCTTCAGGCTTGCTTCTAAGCTTGTAGAAGCGGAATCCATCGAATGCATGTGGATCTCCCCAATTCTCAGGGACTTCGTCAAGAACACCTGTATTGCACTGTACAATGACGCCCGCGGGAAGCTCAAGGCCATTGGATAGTTTGATAGGAGTTAAAACTTTGCGCTGGAACGTAGCTGTAATACTGTTAGAAACATTTCTTTTTGTCGGGGTTAAGGTTGTTATTAGACTGATAATACACACCTAACGATGGAGGATTGTGTCGTTGAGATTCTTTCATAAAACTATCGAGTTTTTTTAGGTGGGTAAGAGTTTGCTTTGTCAGAACACCATTTGTCTCGGCTAGAACCTCTCGTAGCTCCTCTCTGAGAGGATCTATATACTCCGGTCTCGCTGCTAAATCGAATAGGACGTGAAGGGTAGCTAGTCGGGTAGTATGTATAGCGGCGGTTGCTGTCAGTAATTGGATGTTTGCCTGCTCACGATAGTCCACCGATTTGTCGTTGTTCTTGGTAGCTCTGGCTCTGACCCATTCAAGCATGTCATTTGGCTTCTTGTGTTCATCCCCCAAGTTCTCTTCAGCCCTTTCTCTCGCTTCCAGAACAGGTCGCAGCAATTGATATGCTTCCTCATGATCTGCTTGAATTCTCCGAACTTCAGGAATGAGGTACTGCGCAATTGGACGAAGGATTGGACGCCAGGCTTTGAGCTTTTCGCCTCCGATCATGACATCTGTTGCGAATTTTTCGCTCAGATCTAACCATTCCTTATTGCGGCTTAGGGACGAACCGACAAAGATTCTTGCTGATGCCTGAGAGATGATTCGAAGGAGTAAGTCGTTCAGATTGACGGGTGTCCAGTCTTAAGAATGTGTAATTAATTAGCTGATGAATACAGAGTTTCAGGACAATAGCAGATCGCCTACCTTTGCAAGCGGGAAATGTAGCATCAATAACGTGAGCAACCTCATTTTGAACGTCAGTCACGAATTGTCCTAAGCATTCGTAACCCTTCAGCTTCGTCGCTATATATCTCTCATGTAGTCATTGGTGTGTATATACCTAATTTTTGGTTCAGATCAAGCTTGATGGCATTCAACATGTATGGACTTTCATGGTCGATAGTGGTATATTGGCCCAAATGGCGCTGACTTGCATGTGAGCCCTTCTACTCATCTACATCAATCTTCTCATTTTGTACTCACATCTGCTAGTGCTTTCATGCCACTCAGCACTTCTCGATCGTACCCCTTGAGTTCTTGCGCATATTTTCGAGGCAGAAACAATCGAACGCCATCCGGCGTATACAACTGGAAAATACCTCCTTGAAACTGTCAAGGCATATCGGTCAGCTATAAAGCTCATACTAAATTGATTTCAATTTTTGATGGATTCGATCAACGTAGTATCAACTGATTTGAATACCTTTTTATAAGCATCAACTAGAATAATGTCTGCCTGATGTTGAAATTTCTGCATCAAACTACCTGGTTTTTCATTTTCCGCGCCGTAGATGGGAAAGTCGAACTTCTTTGGGCCGGAATAAAGGAAAGACCAGATTGTTACCCCCGCCAGCAGCACTGTTGTTATTGTAATGGCACCAAAGGCTGACCCTAGGGGATTTTCAAGATCCATGTTAGAATGATATGGTTCCGTCAAGATTTGTCGATTAAATTGTGAATACTTGCGTCAAGCATTCATTGACTTTTTGTTCTAAGACTAGACTCTCGAACAAGAGATAACGAAATCTCCCTGAACGTAGAGACGGTTAATTGATTCTGTCGAAGAGCAAAACTTAGATAACATCACGATACCTAAGATCCCCGGAATTACAGAATAATTTCCGAGCACTTTGACTCCTACCTTATCGGCCACTTCTTGAAGATTGACACAGCTATATGTAACGTAACGTGGGGCTGCGAGCTAATTAAGTTCAGATAACGATGTTAAGTTGCTTACTTACTCTATATTGCGGGGATACGTGCATTGGTCGTTCAACTAGTCCAAGTACTAGGCTGAAAGAGATAATGGGACCCACGGAGGTACGGAGTTGCATCGTGAATGGAAATGTTCGAGTCAGACATTAAATATTTTGTTACGTGTTTTTTGGTGAGGATTCGATACCTTTCGCCAACGCTCAAGACAGTGAGGCTTGTGCTTAGCATTTGCGTGGCATCATGCTGCCGACGTTGCATTCTGACCCCAATGAAATTGCTTACTGTCACATTAAGTGCGAACGCGAGATGTTACACCTGAGTAGTATAACCAACCAATCGGTCCATCAGAGGGCCAATCGATCAGGTTTGCCGATCATGGTTTCAATGTTACGATTGGGATCAAATGTTTGTGATAAAATGTGTAGTAGTACGAAAGAAATTTCGACTAAGGCCAAGAATATTCTCGCCAGCCTGTGTTCGATCTACGTCTTAGTTGGCTGGGTAGTCAGGGATATTTTCGTTAGGTGAATGAAAAGCTTGAATACGAAGCTACCCGTGTTAGGTATACCTATTTGATCTCGAGGGGCTAGGATGTTGAGACTCATCTTCAAGCAATTCTCCACCCCATCATTTTGAGAAAGACAACCACTTGAAATCGTGCAAAACCCACTGGCTTTAAATATTTCTACATACTTTGACGCTCTACGTGATTTAGATACGATACAACATGTCGAATGAGGTGACAGTAGACTCTTCGCCAGGTCCCGGCCTGGTGTACATCTCAAGATCGAAGCTCGACCTACGGTCCGACGATGAAATTGCCACGCAACTTAAATCTTATAAAGAGGTGACATCCTCAGACAAAAATGTATGGGCCTTTTGGAATACTGGCTTCGATACAATGCACCCATGGACACAGCGCAATGTCATAAACTGGGTTCGACGCTTAGGACCTTCGTGGACAGTGCGCGTCTTGGACAAAGTGCCTGGGTCACCGGTGCACGTCTCAAAGTTTATACCAGCTGAACAGCTGCCAGAACCTTTCAATGCTGGTACGATGACAGGTCCAAATGTCGGACCACATTCCGGAGACATGGTGCGTTTGCCACTTTTGTATCTGTACGGGGGAGTTTGGATGGACGTGGGAATGATGCTATTTAGGCATCTGGATGATACTTGTTGGAATGCCATTGAAGATTCTTCAAACTCCTATGAGATGGCTGGAATGTCTATTGAGATCAATCCTGGAGCAACGAACATGCTCAATGGTTTCATTGCGGCGAAACGTGGCAATGGATTCATTAAACGATGGCATGATATATACATGGAAATATGGAAGGATGGCCGAACGGAGCAAACTGGACTACACAAACATCCATTACTGACTCATCTTCCTATCCTCTACGCGCCAACCAACCATCTCAATCTACCCGGTGCCTTGAAAATTGGACCCGAAGATTTCACCGACTATTTGGGCCACTTTCAGTGTTTTGAGCGTCTACGAAAGCTTGTAGACCCTGTAGATGGGTTTGATGGACCAAAGTACCATCGTGAAAATATTTTTATGCTTCCGGCCATGACCGAAACATGGAAGTTCCAACTTCTTACGGCATGGAACGGTAAAAGACAATTCGAGCTTTTGAGCACTAAGAAAAATGTCAAAGATGACTCCGACAAGACGGAGCTCTATGAGGAAGCCAATGGCTTCGTTTTTGACTTGCTTGCCAACACATCAACGATGAAACTGTCACATGGTCCCCCGGGGGCTCTTGATTCTTTTCTTGCCGATATATGGGACCACAAAGATAATCACGACAAGGATATTGAGCCTGGAACTTTCGCTGAGTTCCTTCGTTATGGCAGCGTTCACTTCGATCAGACACGTTTACTAAATCCGGCCCCAGTGCCTTTGTCTGACGAAAAAACCTTCAACATTTCTGTTTTACAGCCGTACACAGAATAACCATTATTACTTGACAAAAGATGAACGAATGAATGACGAGAAAATCTATTAAAAATCTTCGGCACCTGGGAGGTTCATATTTTGTCCGTCGCCCTTCCTTCCCAAGTAGCATGATATAATAGTCACATAACCTAGAGAGAACTTGATATGAAGATACTTGGGATCGTTTATAATCATTTGAATTTGAGACAAAGCAGAATCTTCCAAAATGAGAAGCTGCTGGCTAGGATTTGATGATGTAGTATCCAAGCAATCTGAAGCTCACACATACTCGGCTTGTATTTCGAATAAATAAAATTGAGTGTTATCGTGAAGTTCCATAGAAGACTCCGAAGGTTTCCTGCGGCGTTTGCATAAGAGCTTTTCTATCCTTACCTCCCTTCTATCAATTTAGCTCGCGCATAATATTAGTCTAGACATTCTAATTATGCATTCAACGTAAAATAAACAAATAGAAAACACTTTTGGATATCTGTTGGTCCAATTCAGGTAATCCATCACGAAAATTGCCGCTATGAGACGTTGTTAAAAAGATATGAGACGGATTCACCATTGTGTGTTCTCCGTACAGCCTGCGGTAATCGTGATTCTGGTTAGTATTGAAATTACAAACATGGAATCATTGCTCAATAGCTTGGAGAAGCATGTTTACACTCACTTCAGCCAAAACTCCAGAAACATCAATCACCTTAATTTTCGGGCATCTTGCGATTTTGTCACCGACTAAATCGAGGTCATAATTAGTGTCCAATATCGTAGTATTATGGATGAGTCTGAAATCCTTACGGGGAACGGCTGATAGCAATTCAAATGGTTAGCCTCATGCTCGAAGTATTTAAGATGCGCGAAATTTGTTTTGAGGGGAAGGATAGGACGTACTATTGGTCACCACTAAGCCCGAAAGGCATGAGTTATTAATCGTCTCAATTGCCGGTCCGCTCAAGACTCCGTGAGTGACAATGGCGTATACGTCCCTTGCACCATGCTCTTCAAGTGTTGAAGCGGCCTTCGCGAGCTATGAGGTGTGTTAGCGGATTGACGATCGTTCCTGTGTCTCTATCATAAGTACCGTGCCACATGTATCTGCCATGTCATCAATGAGGATAGCAGTTCGGTTAGAAACGTCTCCAACCAAAATCATGCGTCCGACAACATTTGGTCGTGGCCGCTCTTTGTGAATAAGGGCGAAACCAACCCCTAGTCGGTCTGCTAAGCTCGCAACTCGTTTTGCGCCGCCCGCATCTGGCGAAACAATCACACAGTTATCAGGATCGAGGTTCCCCTTCACCCAGTCCAAGACACATGGCTCAGCGAAGAGGTTATCAACAGGAACATTGAAAAATCCTTGTATCTGGGATGCGTGCAGGTCCATGGTAATCACATGGGTCTGAGGAGGAACATAGAGGTCAGGAAAGAGTGCCTCTTCTTTTTAGCAAGAGTCTACTTACAGCCCCTGCTGACTGCAACATGTTTGCCACCAACCGCGCAGAGATCGGAGCACGAGATTTGTCCTGAGTGTTGCATAAGCAACAATTGTATATAATTTCACTCGTATAAAAGCGACAATATCATTGTCATACCTTCTTATCCTGTCGTGCATAGGGATAGTTGGGAATGAGAGCAGTAATTGAGCGCGCTGATGCTGTGCGGCAGGCATGTATGAGGTTGAGCAGCTCCATGAGGCCATCATTGACGTTACCAGGAGCAGTGGATTGAAGAATATAAACTTCATTGATACATTAACCAGGGTTTAGGCAAGAGTGGCTCAGCGCTCGGCCTTGCGTCAAAGATGCGTACCGTCATCACCTCGGACCGACTCTCCGATACTGACACTAATTTCACCAATGGATGAGGGCTGGCAGAGCGTATTGGTAAGACCGATACCAAGCCTGGTAAAAAGAAGGGGGAGTCAGAAAAGGGAGCAAGATTGTGGTTTGAGCTCGAAATTGCATAATCTTTCCGATGCCATGCTGGGACGTACCGGTCTGCAACCTTTGCACTGAGATCAGGGTGGGACGTCCCAGAGATTAACCTGATTTCGTTCATGATTAGGCAGTAGAAATGTCGTATAAAAGCTACTTGTGGAATGGCGAGGATGTCTTTCCCAATTGAAAGGGCAGTTTTTTCCACTTCGTAGTGGGGTAGATGGTTGGAGAAATTGGAATACTGTTGTCATCCACGAGCGGAATAAGACGAATATATGATGCCCATACGTGTGCTAGCTGTGACTTGATCGTAGTGAAGAGCTTTTCACAGCATGACTCAGTTTCAATTGAGTCATCGAGGTTACCAGAAGAACGAAGCTGACGTCGTTCCGGAAGATCGCAAAAGTATTCTGCCGCTTTGATAAACCTTATCAGCACGTGACTTAATGACAGCATAGGCGGTGAATATTGACTCTACCAGGGTTAGGGCTGGCTTATTCTTCTTTTTTCTTGGCAGACACCGTGGCTTTGCACGTGACTTGCTGACTGCTGAACAGCCAAATGGGGTTAGCGTACTGCGGTCACGTTCCTTGACGCCGTCCAACAACTCCCATTTTTTGGCCATTGGAGAAGCTGCGTGACGGACCCAAATACGGTCTAAAAGCGCCACAGCCCCTGAATAGACACTCTAACAGCCTCATGGCCACCCAATTTCTGTCCAGATTGCTACTGTAACATCTGATGCTCATGGCTCTTGATTCAATGTTGACTTCCAGACTACGAGCATCATTTACTCGGTCAGAAATTTTCCCTTTGTAAATTGAATAATATATACAGACGAGAGTGTGAACAGGCAATCCCCGCGTTTCCGGCATCCTCAGGAAAGCCTAGCGCGATACTTGTTCATCGACGCTGAAAGAAGGCGGCCCCGGATCGGAATGCTTGCCAATTGTGAAAAGTACTAATTTTTGGACCAGCACTCATGACTTACTCGACAGAAATAGCTGCGACCAGTGCACCCATCGCCGAGCTTTGTGTTGAAGCATCAGCGGGGGTGTCAAAAGGTCCTGCCCAGTCCACACCAAGTTCACCAGTCGTGGAATCACGGTCGTTTGCCCAAATGCTGGCGGCGCAGGCTTCAATGACCTGGCTGTACAGGTCGTTTGGTGACGCTCGCTGCAGCAGTAGTAGGTTTCGCATAAAGATTCCTTTGAATTGAGTTGCATCGGGTTCGCAGCTAGGCTCACACGCGTAGTCATGGATAACATGGTTAGAGTCCGCGAGCGCGGCAATGGCTGCTTGGGCAATACTGTTGGCCGATTCGATGTATGACTCATTGGGCGAAATTCTGTTAAGCTCAGTCAACCCGCCGAGGATGACGCCTTGGTTGTAAGACCATCTATGCAGAAGCGTTAAGTTTATCTCCTTTGTAAAATTAACTCGTGACTCGAGGGACCTACACTGCCTGTCCGTTGTTGACACAGTCGGTCGTTAAGCCATCATTGATGGTGCCATTTGCATTGATCATGCCAGTGCTTGCGAACCAGTTCCATGCCTCTTCGGCCCAAGCAATATAAGTCGCTGCATTGGCAGGCACGCGGTTGGCAAGATGTGCAGCCAGTGAAATGAAAAGTTCGCTAGCAATGGCGTTCACATAGTGGTTCGTCGTCTCCCAGTAAATTCCACCGTTTCCACAATTGGTTCCCCAGCCGGCAGCCTATGGTAAGGTTAATTCAGTTAGTATTGATATTACCTCTAAAAGAATGCCACCGAGTGGCAGCAGTTAAGCTCACAATCTCATTGAAAATGCCCTCTGCCAAAGTTAAGTATGTTTCGTTTCCGGTAACATCGTACGCAGCAATCCAGGCCAACCCCCACCATTCGGCATCATCGTTTGCACCGTCCAGCCAAACTGTAGGATCTGTAGGATCCTTTGTCGCTCGTTTACTGATTGTTTCGTTAGGCCATCCAGCTGGGTATGATGTTTGAATAAGCCCATTAGTGCCTACACTCTTCTCAACGCCGTTACTAGGATTAGCTGATGGTGCAACATTAAAAGTCGTCTCAAAAATTGAGGTTGCCTCCTGCACAATGCTCGCGTCGACTGCTGCAAGTTCTGCGATGACTGTCATCGCATTGGCACCATTCCACCATCCGGCGGTATTCCACAATCCAGTCGTGGGATTATACCACTCTTGAAGTGTTGCCAATGCTGCTTCTGCATTCGCAGTTTGGGCAGAAACCCTTGCTGCAAGTAAGAGCAGGGCAGAAGCTAGAGTACCGGTCTTGAAACCCATTGTAGTCGTTGATGATCTTGCTTCTGGTTCCCCGTTCACCTACAAGATTGTGAGACCGGCAGTAAGAGGCGATTGGACCTATTTATATGTGATTCTTAACAGCAGCCCATTGGGACACCATGGACATAAAATACAGCCTTGAAAGACTGTGTTGTGATGAAAAATTGATTGCATAAACATGGCATGTTCCGCGTCACGTAGCATAATGAATGACAGTGGCGCATTCCAAGCATTGCTTCGGACGGCCCGTAAGGAGTGTGTGTTACATTCCAACACTATTTCAACTCCTTTCGCCTGACTAGAAACCAGATGAGGGCGAGTAGGAGCAGAGCATAACAACCTTGTGTTCTAGCACAGCAGACAAGGATGACACTCGTGTGCATTAGCGTCAGGTACTAACGTTCAGCCATTGGAGTTGCGGCTGGKGGCGCCCTTGCGTAACTGGAACAATGACCCTATGCCATGATCTTAATCTACTCGAACGATGGGGAAACTCAAGCGGAATCAAAACGAGAAACAAAACCAAGGGGATTGTTGGCGATGATTTCGCGGAGTGTTTCACAAATACAAATGGGGCTAATGCGCCGTATTGGATATCCAGATATAAGCCAAGCCGTGTACGTCGTGCTTGAGCATTGGTGACAGAACCATTTCATAGTCTTAACCAATTAAACATGCAATTTGAAATCGTAGAATGACAACTAGCTAATTCGATTCGCGAACGATCCTACCTACACACCTAAATAACACTAGTGAACTTGACCTTGTGGGGACTTGAAACAGGCCTGGGGACGAATCCTGTCATGGATTCAAGATTGCAGATGAATGTGATATATCATTGTCTATGCATTGTGCTGATTTTAGGCACGATGACCAACACCTATCTCTTAAGTACTTAGAGTGGCCTCTATGGACACTTGATTACATGTATTGCTGAGAAATGACATGGCGCAGTGTAACCGACGCATCCGAAAGACCATCTCCAAGCCCATTGACTACAATTCTTTAAAGAACCTTCATCACTACGGATCTAACATCCTCACATATCAAGTTTTCGGGATTTTTCATACAGATGAATATATAAATAATTTTCGAGAAAAGTTGCATGTGGTCTTAAAATGGACAGCTTCTGATTTTCATCGTTACTGAGGCGCCGGGGGGTTACATTCACGAATGTCGCGTTGGTGGCCACTGTTGGTTAAATGTTGTGGTTTGATTAGGCTCGTGTGTAGTCGAGACCATTAAGACCCGGCCTATATCTGGACGTACGAGCCTCTTGTTGGGAACTGTAAATTAGCAACGAAGATCCTTGAGCTTATTATGTATGCCCTAACCCTTGGCCACATCTCTTGGTTTATTCAAAGATTTCTTGGGGATATATTATTTTATTATGAATAGGCCCACGTAGAGAAATAGTAACTCGATAGATTGGATCATTTTCACCACGCGGTAGCTTACAACGTACTTTACAAGAAGGTATGGACTGGATAAGTTTTCAAAGACATTAACATCTGTTCATAATTCGCTACATAAACCAGTACTTGAGGCATTGCTATGGTGGTGCCAGTGGGTTACATATCGTGGTAGAATCTGACAGGTATAATTTACGAGTAGTGAGAAGTTGAAAATGTACTTGTCGATGCGCTTATACCTAGCCAGAGACTCGAGACGTAGACGCTGCTTCATTTTAGACTGTGAAGCTCGAATCGGATCATGAAGAAGATCCTTGATATGCTTTGTCTTATGTGAGGTAGCATTCAGCTATCAAAAAGAATATCTAAATTTTCAATGATGAATCGCACTGTTAGTATCAAGTTCATGACAATAGTTCATTTTATCCCAGCACATGTCTATCTTCCAAGGCTTATCGTCCCAGAATGAACCCTCGAAAAAAAAAAGGTAAAATAAAATGAAACAAAGACATTAGATCCCACCAAAGCATATCCGAGATGAAAGGTTTGGCTAAGCCCTTATTCCCCAATCCCCTAATCCGGTAATTTCGTCTCTTTGTTCATGGCACTAACAATAAGCTCCAAATGCCCCAGAGAGACGTCGAGTGAATACAAAGAATATCATACGAGCATGAGGAATTGTTATGTGAGTTTATCCTTTGTTTGGCACAGTTCAGAGAAATTAGAGTTGAGTCCCCGTACCTGGATTCAATACGTGCACTTCGAGCACAAAGGACTCGAAGCCAATAGAGGTCCGATGAGCAAGACGAAACTTGTTCAACGTAGTTAGATTTATAATCATATAAGACGATTGGTATTCAGACTTATTGTACGTACGCCTCTTTCTACTATCGCTATTTCAAGAATTACCATCTTTACAATTGTCTGGTTCTATCTGATATTCAACGCCTTTATTTCTACGTCTCACTTTCAAAAAGTCACCTTAGACTAACTTCATTTTTACTTCTTTAAACTATGGAAACATGGAGTTCCATTCTTGTGTGACCTTTTTTTTATACTTGTATATACTCTGGCACGGCAATTGCACAAGACTCGGTTCCCACCGTCAATCTTGGGAATTCGATCCACCAAGCTACTTTGAGTGTACATTTCTGACAAGTATCTGGGAGTAACCAAATTGAATCGTAAGAGCCCTTGACTAATTTCAAAACATTCGTCTGTTTAGGGAACAGCCAAAATTTACAACTTCTTAAATACTTACTTTGCGTCGGCACCTCTCTTCTCCGAGCCACGCCCAGTAAACACGGTCAATCGTACGGTCAATACAGGACAGATAGCAGGAGTATGTGCTCAAAGCAAGCCATGGTGGTTGATAGCATCTGCGCAATTTGCAGGTAACAGTAGTGATGCCGCGTTACAACTGTTAAGCAAGACGTATGGGTCAATGGAGTCTTTGTATAGCTCGGGAAGTACTTCCCTGGAGTCACTCGAGCCATATGATTCTGATCCTCGCACAGTATAGGAATGTTTAACTCCGGATGTTGCTATACCAGAGGGAATATGGGATAGGAGAAATGAATCTAGGACAAATAATGGTATGTACCTTGGATGCTATGATAGTATCTTAATCTACTCACCCGCACTAACAACCACAGATAGCGCCGGTAGTAGTTTGGATTTATGGAGGAGGTTATGTATCTGGCGACAAGAGCTCGGCTCGAAGTCCTTCCACACTGGTTGCCCAATACGTCGAAAATAACGATTGTTCTGATGGTGTCATTTTTGTTTCGATTAATTACCGATTCGGAATGTTCGGTTGCCTGTCTGGACCCAGTTTTCAGTCACAACGAGACACACCCCATCTAGGACTGCTTGATCAGCGTGCTGGATTGGACTGGGCCAGAAAGAACATCCATCATTCCGGCGGCGACCCAAACAGGATTACTATAACGGGCCATTCTGCAGGTGCTGCAAGCATGTAGTATCACCTGACATCTTTGGGGGAAGTGGAAAAGCCCTTTTGAGCAAGCGGTCATCCAGAGCCTTGCCCTTGCTCCTTATATGGTGCAAAACATTCAAGATAAAAACTTCCAACTAACCCTCAAGTGGGCGAGTATACTCAATGGCAGTGAAGTCGCTACATTGCATCAATTGAGAAACATTCCATTTGATGATTTGCTCAAAATCAACCAGCTATCAACGTCAGCATTTTGGGGAACTATGACCTGGGCTCTAGTTGTGCACGGAGTATATGTGCTAAAGCCAGCTGGTCTAATGTTGAAACACGGTCTGTTCGATCATTCGGCCAGAATAATCACTGGATACAATAGCAATGAAGGGTCTATATTCGGTCCACCAATTATTGATAGCGAAGACGAATATCTTGCTTACCTCCAACAACTGATTCCGGATGCGATAAATTCGACCATTGAACATGTGGACAATGTCCTGTATCCACCGATATTCAAAGGAAGCCAGCAGTATCTTACACAGGGCGCCCGTGAAGTTCATACTATCACCGATTCAGCATTTTTTTGCAACACACGGTACTATGATCTTGCATATGAGCACCTTGGCGCAAAAGGGTATTTTTTGATGTCGCCTTAGGTTACCATGTACAGGATCTGGACTACACGTTCTTCAATGACGGCGATATTATAATAGGGGCATATGAAGCTAAGATAACTCTAGCGCAGCAGATGCAGCGACTGTTTACCAACTTCGCCAAGACTGGAAGCCCAGATGGCGAGAGTGTTCCAACGCTTCCTCTATATGGGAAGAATTCGACATTGTGGTCGATTCAAATCGGTGCGCCAGTTTTCGACGATGCGGCCACCGAGCAATGCGAATGGTGGCAAGAAGCGCATTACCTGCCATGGTGGTGAATACGGAGCCTTCCAAGGTTGGAAACATGCTTTGATTTCATCGACCCCGCGTGTCCAAGATGCTGTAGATGTATACTAGTAAGTCCATATAGCGATTCTTCTGAGTAGAACCTAGCTATAAAAGGCAAATGAAAAACAATCAAATGGGAGTGTTGGTTGGTTGGTTGGTTGGTTGGTTGGTTGGTTGGTCGCATGAGTCAATTATAGTTTGTTGGGTCTTAGGGCTGGCTGGTTCTAGTGCCGTTATGCAGACTTGTCGCCCAGATTAGACTCCGTAACTCCTTTAGGGCCTAGATCGGTAGCTTTGCTGTTGTTGAAAGGGTCGTGCAGATCTCGCTGCTAAATATGACATGCTCGTAGCGCTTATCAGGGGTGCTGTAGGTAACGCTCGCTGTGGACAGGAAACATGTCACAGTCAGCAGGACTTCATAAATAAGATACTCCATGTTTCTAAATCTCCGGATACCGACTTAAGGGTTTTAAGGAGTATGTCTTCGTACCCAAGATTTCCGCCCTTGAAAGCGCGGAGTGGAGACAAACACTTATCGAAAGTTGGGGCTGGAAGCTTCTTGGCCATTCTTAACAACACGTGTAACGTTACAATGTTGTATGCTTACTCGTCTCTGCACTTCAATTTCTGATTAGCCTCTGGGCATTCTTTGACGATATTTATGAGTTGTTGATTTTTCATAGGCATCCAGAACAAAACATGGACTGTACTACATTACACTTTTGGCCGGGTCTATGCTTACGCATCTCCACACTGTTTCGGCTTGTGTTGGCCCCATACGGAGCATGATCCTTCTACCATCGGCCAATAATGTGATCGAATCCGAGTTCAAAAACCTTGGGAAAATGTTAATTTGGTCACAGATCGGGGAAAGAGGTCTAGCTTCTGGCTGATCGTTGATAATTGTCCTTGATAATATTGAGTTTGTCTCATTTTCTAATGGAGTAACGAAGAAGCTACGTAGGTAGTAGACACGATAGAATCATCAACATCCATCCGTCTTCCTTACTATAAATACCACCCATCTTTTCTGGTCGACGAAGCTTCATTGAATTGCCTTCCCAGCAGAACAAGTCTCCGGAATCCGACAACGCACCACATAAAAAGCCATCAAATATACACCATGAAGACGTCCATTTTATACGCTGCGTGTCTCGCGTCTCTAGGCGCTGCAACAGACATTCTGTTGCCTCTCTATATTTATCCCGTGACAGGTGCTTGGGATGCGATCTATAATGCCGCTGCGGCATACCCAGATGTGACATTTCGTCTGATCGTGGACCCTGACTCTGGACCAGGAGCCGGCCGTGAGTAGTCATTTATTGCAATTAAAAATGAGCGAAGTGGAGTTTGTATCTGACAAAAAGCCGTTACGGCGTGGACAGAGTACCCTGACAGCACGTACATCGCCGCTCTCGCGAAATTCAAATCATACCCTAACGTGCAAACAATTGGTTACGTACACACAACATATGCCACACAGGACATCAGTGTCGTTGAAACTAATGTCAGCACTTACGCTGGCTGGAAGGACTACACTGCTAGCAACATTGCGGTTGACGGTATTTTCTTCGACGAAGCGCCCTATGCCGACAATTCAACCTATACAGAGTACATGTCCAGCGTCGCTTCGTATGCCCGTGGCCTAGGATTGGACTACATTGTCTTCAACCCTGGAACCTTGACCACTGCCACCGCGTATTATGACGCTGCTGATCTGATCGTCAACGCTGAACTTTATTATTCATCATACTCCGAGTCCGGCACGGTTGATCCCATCCCGAGTCAATACAGAAGCCAATCCGCGATCATTCTGCACGATACTCCATCCAGTGCCGATATATCGTCGGTGGTGAGCACCATGGTTAGTGCCGATATTGGTGCATTCTATGCAACGGAGGATTGCTGCTATAACGCCATTACCACCTCATTGCTGGATTCTATTTCGTCTTCTCTGGAAAGCGCATAAACGTTGTCCACTTGTGGCCTCACCAAGACATTGAGCGGTATGAAGTAAGAAAAAAAAAGAGAAATAAATCTGAGTTTGACCGTCCAAATTAAGGGTAACTACTGGTCATTGTACGTACTACGCAGTTCTGGCTATCGTCGTACGTTTTGGCCAGAAATTGTTTTGGTTGTTTCATTGCTTCCGCGGAGTTAGCACGGAGCTAGTACGGAGCAGCAGCATTCCACCAATCAGACCTAGATAAAAAGATCCACTCTCAAATCCAGGACTAGCTTAATAGAGCTCAGCCAATCAATGCACATTCTTACCGGATAACAGTGGGCCCAGTCCTTAATATGCCGCAGGGTTAGCCTTCTCTTCCTCAATTTTCGCAATATATTTAGGGTAATGGTCTCGAAAACCTTGTCCATGAGACAGCGTCGAATATGTAAAATCTTGTCCTGAATAGATCAGACGGGTTTTATATACGTTATTTCTATCGACAAAAATATCACGCCCTTGCGAGCTAGCCACTATCCAAGATGCAGCACTGCTCGTCCTATAGAGATGGCAAGTAATGTACCGTTAATGCGGGGAAGCAACCACCACTTGATGGGATATCATAGAACATATCTGCACGCGCGGTCTTAATGGATTCCACGTCTCTTAGCCAGCGTATCATCATGATGGCATACGTACCACTAACTAGCGGGTGGCTGATTTAGCTTACGCGGCTGGACTTTGCCGAATTCGTTTGTGGGAAGCTTGTTGACTTGGAACTTCTATCACCGTGATAGGAGCTAGACGAACATCCTATGCCATCGTATGGAGGACTGCTTCGGCCATTGGTCTACATTAACTACCGGGCTGAAGTATTATATCTATGCTGAATAGTCGGAATTTGTAAACACACGTTACCCGTGTGAGAGGTCGATGTCTACGACGTCTGTTTCCGCATTACAAGAAGACATGAGCCGTCTTGTACCGAAGTTTCATTGATGATTTGATGACATAGCAGTTGCACTGCTAAAGTCTGAAGCACCTTAGTCCACAAGACTGATGAAGCCCACCCGGTCGACTGAAAGCTCGGAAGATCGGATCTCGAGCATGGTGAGTTTCTTGAAGCAACGTGCGAGATTGGGGCTATTCCCTTTGCCCATGCTATGAAACGTTTATGAAGGAGTATAATTGATACAGTCTGCTTTTGGAATAGCCAATCTATTCTTAAGTAAGGTAAAGGTGCTATGTATATGACTGGACTACATCCCCTTGCTCCCCCGCAAATCTCCGGGGTCGACCACAACTCGTGGAAAATTGCTTTCAATGTTGAACCAAAAGTGTCAGCTGCATAACTACCTTCATCAATCCATTTGACGTTCTTCGAAAGTGGCTTKAAGAGTATCCAATCGGCATGTCGGACGCCYGTTGCTTTATCTCGCTGATGATCTTTGAAGCAACGATGTTGGCTGTATGTCGTCTTAGATATGCAGAGACCACAACCACAGCAGTGAGTGAACAATATTTCTTGTGTCTACGTCTAAAGGCGGAATATCGGAGAGTGCTAGAACGGGGAGTCTCGCTCTGTTATAACCTCAATGAAAGGGTCGACATAATCATTTCAAGTTGTTTCATCAGAATGTGAAGTCAACTTCGAGATGGGCCACCACGAAACATGCCACAGCTCGCAGCATTCATCGCGGGATGGATTAGGGGATTGAGGAGGAGTGATATCTCCTTCTAGAGATATAAAAAGCCGTCAAAATGCCATGATCTGTTCATGATTCTTCAGCTCATCAGCAAGTACTCCGAATACGGGCATCCAATTGACTGAGATAAACACAAGCAGATAACAAGAAAGCGTGACTCAGTGATTACTCCAGAATGCTCCGAGAAGCCGTCCTTCTATTATTGTCACTGTTCCTCGCTGCGCATGCGCAGCAGGTTGGGACACTGACAACTGAGACCCATCCCTCTCTCACCTGGCAGAAATGCACCGCAGCCGGCTCTTGCACCACCGTTGAGGGTAGTGTGGTTATTGACGCCAACTGGCGATGGGTCCACTCTGTCGATGGATATACCAATTGCTATACCGGCAATACCTGGGATGCAACTCTGTGTCCGGACGACGTGACGTGCGCCGTTAACTGCGCTGTCGATGGAGCCGATTACAGCAGCACCTACGGTGTGACTACTTCTGGTAGCGAGCTAAGAATCAATTATGTCACGGAAAATTCCAATGGCCAGAACGTTGGCGCTCGTCTGTATCTGCTTGAGGACGAAAGCACATATCAGACCTTTGATCTCCTCGGAAACGAATTTACGTTTGACGTGAACGTGGCTAATCTGCCCTGCGGGTTGAATGGTGCACTTTACTTCTCCCAGATGCCAACGGACGGTGGTACCTCTACGTATACCAACAACAAGGCTGGGGCTAAATATGGTGTTGGTTACTGTGATTCTCAATGCCCTCGCGATCTGAAATTCATTGATGGACAGGTATGACTGGGCCATATAACTAAGGCTCCCATTTCCCCCCCTCCAAATCACTGACAGATAATACCATAGGGCAACGTCGAAGGATGGGTACCGTCAACCGTCGATTCAAATACCGGTATCGGAAACCATGGGTCCTGCTGTCCTGAAATGGACATCTGGGAAGCAAACAGTATCTCCTATGCAACCACCGCTCATCCATGCTCGACTCTCGGCCAAACCATGTGTGAAGCAGACGCCTGTGGTGGTACATATTCAACCGACCGATATGCCGGAGTTTGCGACCCTGATGGTTGCGATTTCAACCCATACCGCTTAGGAAACACTACATTTTACGGCCCGGGCTCGAACTTTGTTGTCAACACTGAGAGTACATTCACCGTTGTCACTCAATTTGTGACTTCCTCTGGTACCTTGTCTTCTATCAACCGTATCTTTGTGCAAAATGGCAAGGTCATTGCCCAGGCTAGCTCAGATGTCTCCGGGGTCACCGGTAATGTCATCACAGAATCGTTCTGTGAGGCACAGAAAACCGCATTTGGTGACACCGATGTGTTTGATAAGGATGGTGGTTTGTCAGGCATGAGCTCTGCACTAGCTGAAGGCATGGTTCTGGTCTTGTCACTCTGGGATGATGACTACGCCGACATGCTATGGCTCGACAGCGACTATCCTACAAACAAATCTGCCTCAACACCCGGTGTTGCTCGTGGCTCTTGCTCTACCTCGTCGGGTGTGCCATCTACCATTCGCACACAAGATGCTAGTTCATATGTTACATACTCGAACATCAAGTTTGGCCCAATTAACTCAACTTATACGGCATGATAAGTACCAAGGTGCCGATCGTTGGCTGCGAGGACTTGCAAAGTAGCATATATGAAGAGAAATTGGTTCTTGGTCAAGCTTAAGCCGTTTTATTGACCATCCGAAATGACTGACCACATTCATTCGTTATCATTTGTTTTATCTTTCCTATAATCGCAATGATAAGTTTGCAGACTTCGAAAATGACATATTTTTACGTGAGTCACGAAGGCAGAGCTTCTATTGCTTGACCGCCAGACTAGACTGTAACAAAATTACAAACTACATTGCAAACCCATTACAAAAACTCGATAAGTTTATAGTTCATACTAAGTACTCTATAAACATTAGTTGACTACCCATGTTCACGATTGTGCATATAGTACAAGATGTTACTTAATAACTGCTGGAAATTAGGTACCTACATAGGTATACTTGAATGAGCCAATATAACCCTTGCTCATAATTGACAAGGTATTGATGGCAACGTCGAAGTGCACGGAATCCAACTGCCCATCATTCAATCACCCAATCATAGCCACACAGCGTAGGTGTGCAATCAAACGATTGAGCGTAGCAATCTCTTGGGCAGGGCCTTGGCCCAGGCGCCCCAGGTCTCGTACTTGACACGAGGCTCGATGCCAACATCAAGAGCCGTGTCACGAATTCCAGTGAACACGTCGATCTCCTCAACTGATCTCCACAGCTTCCAGCCACGCTTCTCAACTTCGGGGTTTTTAGTAATGGACTGGTAAATCTTCCATCCCACGTATAGGGCGATGACAAGAGGTGCAGCAAGATAGTTCTCAAAGAAGTTCTGAACATCCAATGGCTGAACGGAGACGTAAAACTCGGCGATCAGACAGAGGATGTTAAGTCCGAGACCAAGATAGCTACCGTAAACTCCCCAAGGCGCAACGTAGGCCAATTCGTCAATACTGCGACCGTTGTGTTTCCACGCAGCGCGGAAACGAATGTGTGCAAGGCATACTGAGCCCCAGACAAAGAAGTTGGAGATACCAGATAGCGCCAAAAGCCAGGTGAAAATCTGGCCACCAGTGTCGGAGGCTTCGTTGATGAAAGCGAGGAAACCAAATGCGATCTGTAGCACGACACACCAGATAGGACGACCGTGCTTGTCGACATAGCCGAAGAATTTCGGCGCCATTCCCTTCTCTGCCATGGCCTGAATGGTACGCGTAGAGCCAAAAGTAGCAGAGTTGGCGACACTGATGACTGAGATGGTGATGACAGCATTCATTACTGACGGCAAGCCACTAATACCAGCATTCTGGATTGAAACGACGAAAGGCGAGTACGAGGTGTTGGCTCCACTAGCTTTCATCAGATAGTCAGCATTGTGCGGGACAATCAGTCCGACAATGAGGGTGCCAACGACGTAGAAAAGTGTGATACGCCAGAACACCTGTTTGCAAGCCTTGGGAATTGACTTGGCGGGGTTCGCGGTTTCGGCAGCAGCAAGACCAGACATCTCTGTACCTCCGAAGGCAAAAGCAGCAGTGGTAAAGACAGAGCAGAAACCAACAAAGTCGGTGAAAGCACCAGGGTCGAACCAGTAATGACCACCGATGTATCCGCCCACGGGAGCACCGCCGCAGTCAATCACGATTCCGAGAATGATAAATCCGATCACAGCAGTTATTTTGATGATACTGAGGACAAATTCCACTGTTTATGACAAGCAAGATTAGCGGCGGTCAATTATGTGATGAAGTTTTGGCAATAAAAGAAAACAGAGGCCTTTTCTCACCTTCACCATAACCACGCACGCCAAAGATCTGAATAGCGGATAGAACCACAAGGAAAACTGCAATCCAGATACCAACGTTTAGATCATCGCGCCAGAATCTAATGGTGATACCAGCAGCAGTGAGTTCGAAAGGCAGAATGACAAGCCAATTGATGGCATAATCCCAACCCATGGCGAATCCCCTACACCAAGCGGTCAGTTGTGTCAGTTAAATTCTGCACATCTAAAACTTACCATGACGGGTCGATGAAACGAAGACTGTAGTCGAAGTAAGCACCGTTAACCGGATACATGACAGCCAATTCTCCAAGCGCCCACATGGTTTGCAGAAGCATAATACCGACGATGCAGTAGCAAAGAAGCTAAATAATCATTAGTATTGTTGCAAATGTACCTCATCTCATGTCTAATGGTGTTGAATTCGTTTGAATTTCTTTCCAATTCGATTTATACATCGCGGTGAAGACTTACCAAAGCACCTGGACCACCAGTACGCAAAGCACCTCCAGTACTGACAAAAAAACCAGCTCCAATAGCACCACCAATGGCGATCATTTGCATGTGCCTATTTTGAAGATTCCTCTTGAGAGGGTTGATCTGACCCTCCGCCGACTCGACATCGCTATGAGGCGACTCGTTGACATCCTTAGTATCATACACCGGGGGCTTTTCGTGACCCGTTTGAACTTCCGACATCTTGAACCAGATGGGGTGGTGATTGGAGGGTGAGTAGTTCGGGAAGCAAATATCAAGACGAGAAAAGAAAATATGCAGAGGTTAGGATGCCGGGGCCTGCCCTCTTAAATAGACGCAAGGTTTTCCTCCGTTGAGCCTTGCCGACGAGATACTTAAGTTGGCCTGATAAGACTCCAGCCGCAAGGGAGTATTCACCACGAGCGCGATAAAAGAGGCGGACCAGTCAGAACGCCCAGACAGCACTGCGAACTCGTCTTAAATTGTCAATACAGCTTGTCACGCCAATGGCAAGCTAAGAAGACGCCATAGGGTGGCAATTCGAGCAGGGATAGAGAAAAGCTCCAGCTACAGATAAGGCTAATCCCATTTTCACAATCGCATGGCACTTGTCAAAGAAAGACCGCGTGCTCGAACACGACCCAAGGCCAACCTTTCCTTTTCAGGGAACCTTCCGGAAGAAATAAAACAAGCGACCACAGTAATTTGGGGCTTGATTGGCATTCCTTCAGAAACTCAGATCGGTACGATTGTGGTGTGCCAGTTAGGGTGATACATACTCCGAAATCGTATTAGCAAGGGTGTGCTCTCTGTACTACAGCCCGTGGCGGGAAAGCGCACCCATGCATGATACCGTCCTCTCGTCCAATACCATTGTGAATTGACAGAGTACGGGGTTTTGGATACGTGTTAGCCTGATTCACAACCTGATCCTCGTTATAAGCACCGTTGGAATGCGCATGTGGACGACACTCGGATCCCCCGTTGTCATCGTACTGGTACCACAACTCTGAAATGCTTAAGACGGTCAAAGTTTGACCCTGTATGTATCCAAGGTTCGACTTGATGGACTTGAAAGTTTTTTGCAGTCCATTTTCGTAAACATGAGACGCACATGGAGCCCAAGATTGCCATGCTCTTTGAGATTGCGAGATAAGGATCATGTGCTAATTGTCAAAAAGTGGTTAGTAGATGCTAGACACAAACCCGTCTTCTCCATATTTACCACAATTCGTCCTATGGTTGATCGTCCTGACTAGCAACAAAGCCAATTGTTTATGCTTCAGGGTCTTCTCCGCATAACTCATACGACATTGAATACGCCACGTTGGGGCCGTAAAAGCTGGTACCGAGGACGATAAAGAGAAACAAAACTCCGTACGAACAATGAAATTCCGGATAAATTACCGTCGGATTGCTGCAACACACGGTTAAAAAAAAAAAAACGGGACAGGAAATAGTACACGGTAATAATCAGGTACGGGATAAAAACACACCAGAAAATAAATATAGATATGTTAATCTCCTTCGGCGTTCGTAGTTGGGTGGGATCCTCGGTCAGAACAGCCCTGATAAGAAAACTCACCGTGTTTGGCTGCATCAAAGCCCGCTACTATAGCTCGCTCCATAATAGCCAGACCTCACATGATAAGGAATTAAGCAGCCATGGTACGACAGGCCCATGCACCACACATACATAGAGTAGCATCAGAATGGCACATCTGGCAGGCTCTAGTGCTACACGCTTGCTGTGCTTAACTCTCAAGATAAGGACTCAATTTATTTTCGCGCACCTCCGATAGTCCACAATGATTTCTCTTTTAGGGCAATCGCCAGATCGTCGTCTCATGGTGGTTATTATCAGGCATTGATCGGATTTCGGTGTTTATGTTATTCCACAAATTTTCTTCCGTAGGGTCTGCTGTCCACTGTGTCCAGAAGCTTTTGACCTACCCAACTTCGAAGCAAAGTTACCAGGAGACCTCACAACGATCGCGCCATTTGCAATTCATACGTGTTAACGCCTCCTGATCCTGGGGGCGTAAGCGCATTGGCACGAAAATGTTCGCAATATTGGTAACTCGACCTCCTGATCCAGTCTTATCGACAGCTAGTTATATGGCGACGCGGAGACGCCGATGCTAAGCGATCCTTTATCAGTCTCCGAAACAGATTAAAGACTACTCCGTAGTCAGCAGCGATATGTCGCGGCTGAATAAAACGATTGAATTTTCGCACTGCGTCACATTGAACGAAAAACTAGGTTGGCAGCGCCACCAGAACACAGCAAGAGTCCTTAGCAATATTAGCAATGTAATTTCCTGCTGATTTAAAAAGGCAATGTTCTCGATATAGACCCCTCGTTCGTTATATTGCCCGTTGAAATGATTGCAACTTTGTCCTGTTGGAGTGTTAGCGATCGAAATCGTACTGAAAGCTGAGAGCCGGAAACAACCTGCAAGATTGTCGCAATCTTACTTACGCACTTACGTACTAATTCACTAGTGCTAGACTCTGCACTTGTGGCTTTGTACCTAACCCGCCTGGGTAGGTGATCCGGGGTTTGATTCAAAGATGCCCGTCGAGGCTAAAGCGACGCTTCAACTGGAAAAGCTCCCAACCGGCGCAGGGCACGCGTCTCACCATTTCTATCGCATCGCATCCTATGAAATGCGTGACCGCGCGAATCCCGCGGCGGCCCGTGTCTTCTAGTGTCCTTGGACAAGCATTGAAGCGCATATCGAACCCGTAGTAAGGTAAATTCAAACGCAGTCCACGAAACAGTTCGTGCGATCGGAACGTGGTTGCAGGGCTCGCGAAATTGCATTAGCTCGTGCCGATTGCGTCCTTGGATCTAGCTGCCAAAAAGAGAGAGACCTGAGACAGTGGATACCAGTATGTAGGCGTTCAAGAGCTAGCGATTCATCATCGGAAGTCCTGGGTGCTCGAATCTTGACCGAGACAACGACAACCAGCACAGGCAATGGCCTTGTTTTTGTCGGTTCTTCCATCAGGACATTGAAATTGATGAGTGACTTCTTCCTATGGAGCAAATTCGTGCGCAGATCAGCCTGTGCGAATTTAGTCGTAATCAGATAATAATACAGAAGTACTGGCAAGTACTTCGACCCCGCCTAGGGTGTGCTTTGCTTCTCTCGACTATTTCACAGTCGTTCGGAGATACCATGACTATCCATGCTGGGGGTGGCTACAACTGTTGGTGCATGCGCCTGCGTATGATAAACCGAGTATATCATAATCTCTAAAGCGCCGTCGCCTGTAGATCTCGAAGATTGAATTGAGGCTGGATTGCAGCTCAACATGAGAATGTGTCGCTCGGCAAGATGAAAGCGTTGCCTGTACCGCAATTACTATCAAATATGTGAATCGTTTGAAAAGGATACAGTATTTCCTTAACGCTGGTGGAGGGATGGCTCTGAATTATTTAATATTGAAATTTCACGATGACTCACTCTCATAATACATGACAGTTGGTCATCTTACTATAAAGACGCCGTCGCAAAAGGTCCACTATGGCCCCACCCTGTCAAGCAAAGGGCGTGGAAAACTCGTCTAACTGGCGCCGGTGGAGATGGAAATCTGTACATATTTACACGATATTGCAGATACATTTACATCCAAGCCGACCGCGTTCTTTCGATCAAAGCCACCTTACCGGGTCAATGACTTCAAATTCCAGGACGTCTCTAGCTTTCCAGCACGATGGGAAGCTCCAACACGTTGAGGCGACCGTAATATCAGTTCGTTCTTTCAGTGCTCTTGAAGAGTTGAACCGCCAAGTATTCAAATCTGGCACTGACGAGGATCATGTGGTGGTTACCGACAAGACGATATTCCATCCGCAAGGAGGCGGCCAACCGTCTGACACTGGCACGATGACAGGAAAATCAGGCCTCACTTTTACAGTAACGTCTGTTCGTATGGATCTTGTCCGTGATGGCCAAGTCATGCATCTAGGCCGTTTTGCGAACGAAGATGCTGCCAGTGCCTTTAATAGTGGAGAGACCGTTGAACAAGCTATCGATGCAGATAAGCGGCTACTATACTCCCGACTTCATACGGCAGGGCATGTGCTAGGCGCATCTGTCAGACATCTTGTGAAGGATGAAGTGAAGGATTTTGCAGAGCTAAAAGCATCGCATTTCCCTGGCGCAGCAGCTTGCGAATTCCAAGGTCTCATCGACGGCAAATGGAAGGATGCAATTCAGAAAAAAGTGGATGAATCTATCGTTGCCAAATTGCCAGTCACAGTGGAATGGTGGGATGAGAATGACTTTCGCACGAGAGGACTGGATCACTTAATCCCAGACAGTAGTCTAGTTGCCCGGGGCGAGAAGTTTCGCATGGTCAATATTGGTGGCTTGGATGTGTACCCCTGTGGAGGAACACATGTTGAGACGACAGATTTGTGTGGCCATACCACGGTGAAAAAGATAACTCGGAAGCAAGGGCAGTCCAAGGTCAGCTATTCTATTTCTTAGGGCTTATGCTACACAGATGCAAGGTATGAATAATGAAGGCTATCTATCAATGGTTTCAATTTTCGAAAGTCTCGAGACTGGTGGGACTGGTGGTGCATTCAACCAGTGTGTGCTCCCCTTTAACAAGTTATCGGTTCCTGAAAGAAGGCTTGATCGCTGGGGAAATTTGAACATGGTGAGTTCATAGTACGCTATACTAGGCCACAAATCACTCTTATATGGTCAACTCCCAGTGTTCACCTGTCAATGCAACGCCGAATGACTCGTGTTCCTCTGACCGTATCAACTTGTATCCTTCCCTTGTGTACAATCTTCTTGCAGGTAGTAGTATGCTCTGTGTCCATAGTCCGATCCGTGAATAACCTGCCTCTCGCGCAAAAAGTGTACACTGTCTAACCAGTGCCTCCCCCAGTCCCATACCCCGAGCCCCTGGCTCGACAAACAACAGACGAAGCTTGGCGGTCTTCGAAGGATCAGCCGATTCTCGATCTTTGACGAGCATTATACTGCCCAAAAACGTTCCGTCACTTTTACTTTCCGCAATCCAGCAGCATTCCTTACTAGGTTCATAAGTTTCGAAGAAATCGGCAACAATTCGTGCTACAACAGCCTCAAAACGGGTACCCCATTGATACTGCTCGTCGTAAGAAGCCCCATGTCGATGGACGATATACCCCAAGTCTCCAGCGCGAAAAGTTCTTAGGACAAAAGAGGGTGTTTGTATGGCTCTTGATATATCGTGATTCTCTTTTATTTCCGTGGCTTCAGTGGACGTGGGTTGAGCCATCTAATAAAATCACACCGATCTGTCGATGTGTATATCTGAATTCTGCAGGAACCCAATGTCGAAAGCGATGGGCGGGAAGTAAAATCTGTAGTATTGAACAAAATGAATTGCCTGTGCCGAAAACAACTCATTTTTCATATTATATATAGACGCGGACTGGACTCTAGTAGAGTCAACACAGGCATCAGGTGCGGAGTTCGGAGATGCCATAGGGCGGATGTTAATTTCAACGCACCAACGAATGCAAATATTAGGCGAAGTTGAACTATCTGCACTATCCACTTCCGAGATCGGAATGATAATCTTTGTGTCACAATTATCGATGTTTACCATGTATGTATACATGGATAGTCAGAGAATATTTACTTGCTATTTGAAATGCAACTCATATTGGGATTTGATCTACCCTACTACTTCCCGGATTCGTGGTCATTCATCCAGCTTGCCCACAAGTGAAGCTGCTCCATAACAACAATAGGCTAATCCGACGACCCATAACGCTAGGCGAGAAATCATCCATATATGTGGCTTGCGGCTCTTCTACCTACTCGATGCCATGCTACCAAAATGAGGATGAGCCGCCAAATTAACACTCATCAGAGCATATGAAATCCCCTGAGCACATGAGGGAGAGAGAGGTTGTTGATTCCCCGGAAACGTCCGCGCCAGGGGTGAGGCAGCCGTTTGGCGCACAACCGGCTTCGCCTGCACCACCGTTCAGAGCGGTGCCAGAGCCGCACGAGTCGTCTGAAAAAAGTTTAAAGGAGTTGAAAACGCAGTTTCCACCGCATGGGGGACATTGTTGGCCGCCGTCGTCGGTTATCTCATAGCTCCCGATAGTAATCGGAGCTACTTCGCAGCTAAGTATAGTTTGAAAAGTCAGCAATTGAATCCACGATCTACCACATGTAGAATGCAGACCGACCTGTCCCAGACGGAGCCACAATCATAAGTGGTCGGTGTACCCGAACAGTCGGTCGAAGAATAAATGTTGATGGTTTGTGCGCCAACGGCCGCGATGGTCGCGAGCATAGGAATAGCGATAACCTTCGTCATTTGAATTCTATTTGTAGTCTGATCTTTGTTTGAGATAGTAATTGAATTGAATGTTTGGTTTCCTCGTCTGAAGGGTGGGAGATGAGTAGCCTTTACTTATACTTTTTTCATTTGGTGACAAGCCCGGCATCCTTTATCTTTTTTGTTGCAACTACAAGCTCGCAGCAGTCATGATCTGCCTCTTTGAGCACTCAAATGAACTTCAACAGGATACTTAGCAAGGAGAGGTAACGACGATCATGACTATCTTTCATACCAATGGCAATCATTATACTTCGTAACATGGTACTTGATCAGCATTTCGCCCCTGAATCAAGCTACCGTCGGATATTATACAGAGCCCTGCAGCGCCGCTTTTTGTAAATCATCAACACCAGAATCCAGCATGTCGACGTCATGTTGTTGGTATTTAGACCAGGATGCAGAACTGATCGTCGTATTTGCCGACCTGCGCCGCAGATTCTTTGGTAATCCCGACATTTCGACTTGTTTCTTGACGTAATGGTGGATTAGAATGTCACGTACATCGTCGCTGGTCCTTATCGCGATAGGTAAAGCTCCTCAGTGCGAAGTTACCGGAAGTTGATGATTTTAGGATCTTGGATCAATGGCCCCAATGCGAAAGATGCTGACATATTCAGTCAGTCGTTGGATATATACTTGTTATCTGGCCTCAAGCATGATCTTGTAGCTTCCATGCTGTTACTTCTGGGCTAGATAATAGACTTTATAGTATAGATAGACATGGAAGTAGTTCTTACCAAATGAAATTCTTCTTATCTTAGCATCAGCGCTTATCTGTGAGCATCAATTGGTGTGATATGTACAGTTATTGACCAAGTCATAAAAGACTAGAACTAATAAAGTAACAATTTTTATTATTCGTTTATGTTCGTGTGCATACCTAGGTTTGGCTAGTCATGTCATTGGTTGAAATATAAGGGCCAATCTATAAGCCATGACACATGATGGGTATACATGTCATAGGAAGGCCGATGTCGATGATGCAGAAAGTATTTCAGATCCTCCACGCGAAACTACTTCAAATTCGTATTTATGGACGTTGACTTTATTTTCTCCTAAGAAAGTTTCATGTTACCTAATTCATGGAATGAGCCTGTTGCGCCCTGAATGTGTCCCCTTCATCGTCTAGAATTTTGACTCGTAAAAAGCAATCAGGCGGCCTTCGGCTGTCCAAATGATCACACAGAGGGATAGTATTAATTGCATCAAAGTCGCCAAAGTTGGCAAAGTCGCCGGGTATAAATCAAGACCTTTCTGCCGAAGTATTAAGGCAAAGGGATTACGTCCTCTCACAAAAAGGCGATTGTTTAGCTACTTGCCGAATTGGGCACAGGCTTCCTAAAATAAACAAACCCTAATCTCATCACATTCGACGCACTATATTACCAGAAACTAATCATGAAACTTCCCCTTTCGTTAAAATTGTTTTCCGTGGTTGACATTTGACAGATGTCGCCAAAGTCAATATCAACGAAATGGCTGCACACAGTTGTATTGTCTGTACTCGTGTGTAGAAAGTTCCCTGAACATCGCCCTCGGAATGATCTGATTCTCAACACCTTGATATTTTCAAAAGTTGCATACAGGACTGGCATCTTCTGGGGTAATTAGCAGTGCATATAGGTAATGTCCTGAGATTCAAGGGAATATGTGCGATAAACTTATGGGAAACGTTCCTGTCCCTGCTCAGTACAGTGATAAATAAGGAATGCGATCGAAAATATTGCACCGTTCAAATCTTTCAAAGATAGTCTTCGCAGTATCTTCCATCCAACTCAATGGAGGCGTTGAATGGAGACCTCGTGTACTATGGATTTTCTGGATCGCACTGTGCGTGCAATCGAATGAAGCCCTTTCTGAATTTTGGAATTTGTAGAGCCTTTACAGCATCCGAATCTGAATACGCTGAATACGAAAACAAGATAATGCTTTAGGATCATATCTGGTATCAAATAGCGATAAATATTTTCATTAATGATTTATGAAAACCATGATTCCCAGTGCACGACACCTACAATCCGGCAGGTTTCGAGTAAATAGAGAGCAACAATTGATTGAGTAGAGCAGAAGTATAAGTTCAAAGTAACGTAAGAATGTGCACTGTGATTACTTAAGTGAATATCGTTCCTTGTCTTCATACTTTCTGACTTGTCGTATCCGTGATGCGTTGACCGCTGTCGAAAATTCCCGAGAAAACGCCGATGGCGACATCATACGATGGAAGACAAAATGTTGAAAATAATCGACGAGGAGCAAGCGGGGATTCCCTACAAGTGCAGGTGACTTGATGACTCATATCTTTTATCTTCTTATAATAAACTAATGTCAGCTGAACGAGAAGATTTCGTGTACAAGTTGTAAAGAAATACTTTTGTCGTTCCACGAGATGAGCTTGTAAGCCTCGTAGTATCCCGTGACACATTTTGTCTGGTTCAGAATTTGTAGGAGTACCAAGTGGCAATGGTGCTACCATAGTTCGTAGATGGAGTATAACATAAGCCGTCAGGGTAATGTTGATATCATATGGTTCCATATTTCTTCGGGATAATATCGGTGTACTACGATCTCAATTCCAACGTTCGAATAAATTGCTGGATGCCAACAATTCGATAGATTTTCAAAATTGCCTAGTCAGAATATCTATTTACAAGAACGCACAGTTGATACGGTCAAATTACAACCGATTCAGAACTGACCATCAACCGAATGACCATACACGATGCCATTCTTGACATACCCCGCTGCCTTAGAATTGCAGAAGGAACTCAGAGGGACAGACGCAGAAGTCATAACCCTTGCAGATGATGACTACGTGGAAAGCCTTGACCGATGGAGCGCGACCAGCGAAAAGGAGGCCGTATGTGTTTCGTCACCACACCAAAGCATTCATAGTTTACTTGCATCCATACAAGAGCATCGCTTGACGTATGCTGACACAACCATGCTGATAAAGGGAGCCATAGTAAAGGTTACTACTGTGGAGGATGTTTCTACTGTCGTGGAATTTGCTACGAAACGATACATTCCTTTTGTTGTTCTCTCTGGTGGTCATAGCACGAAGGGAGCCTCATCGACTTATGGAGGAATTGTGATCGACTTAGGGAGAATGAACCATGTAGATGTTCATACTTCTTCCAACACAGTATCGGCCGAGGGTGGTGCCAAATGGACAGATGTTGACTCGGCCGCCGCTCAGCACGGTCTTGCTGTCGTTGGACCGACAGTTAGCCAGCTTGGAGTGGGTGGTACAACACTCGGAGGCGGAATTGGCTGGCTTACTGGGAAGTACGGACTAGTCGTGGACAATCTCATAGAAGCTCAGATCGTCCTAGCGGATGGCAACATAACCACTGCATCCGAATCAGAGAACCCAGATCTGTTTTGGGCTATCCGTGGAGCTGGTCAAGACTTTGGTGTTATAACAAGATTCACTTTCAAGGCTCATCCACAAAAGAATGATGTCTTTGCCGGAACTTTTTATTTGGATCCAGATAAGCTACCACAATTGGTGAACTGTGTAAATGACCTCGACTCCAAACTTGATGAAGACCAAGGGTTGTTCTTTGGATTTACGAACTCCCGCGGTAAGACCATGATTGTGGTTATAGTGTTCTATAACGGCCCACAAGCCCAAGCAGAGAAGATTTTTGAGCCCGTGTTGTCACTGAGCACAGGCCAAGAGGAGATAGGAATGATGCCTTATTACAAGACAAATCAGCTGCTCAATAAGGTAGCAGTCAGTGGAGGACGAAAACGACTAAGTGGCACGAGTGTCACGTTACCCCTCGACACAGACTTTATTCAATCAGTGTATCAAACATTCACCCAGATTCTGAATGATTATTCTGAGGATGCTGAAGCTCTATTGTTTTTTGAGATGTTGCCCTACACCAAGGTTATTGAAGTCCCGAATGATGCCACAGCTTACGCAAATAGGGGGCCATACTACAATGTGTGCTCTATATTCAACTGGCAGGACCAGAAAGCAGACTCTAGAATTCGCATGCTACAGCAGGGGATTATGAGTAAGATACGTGATGAGCACATTATAAAGGGAGGGCTTGGTGTGGGTACTTATTCAAATTATACCGGTCAGTCACCACACTCTACAATTTTCTTGGCCTCGAATAATTTAGCTGACTGCTGAGTAGGATTTGATGCTAATGCGAGAGATTTGTTTGGGAAGAATCTTCCTCGTCTCAAAGAACTTAAGAAATATTATGATCCGAGGAATGTCTTTCGAAAATGGCATGACTTGCTACTTCAAACCGGAGCATCAGTGTGAAAATCCATTGAGGACTATCTTATTACATGGCAGGCACGATGAGAGGGAAATTTATACAAAGGATGTACTCTTTTGCTATCACGAAGACTTTTATGAATATGTTATTTTCAAGCAACGTATCTTTTTCATATTCCTCTCTGTATTTATGCGGTATTGCCTCGACCCTCCTTATACTTCGTGTCAAATTGATTGTCATTTCTCCTCTCCACAATTGGCAATGAGAATCAACATTTCCTGGGCGGAGGAGGGGGCGTCGGGAGGGGAATTATTCATTTTTATAGGGCTCATTCGTGGAAGTGTAGGAAGTTCGCGTACCTAAGTAGACCCCTGGGCAGTCGCCATGAAATTCATGCCATAGCAAGTCCAAGTCACAGTAGACTCGACGACCCGAATGCTTACTTTTATCTAATGTTTTCAACTAGTATTGGAATCGTCTGCGGTAGCCTCGATCTAAACGATTATTCGGACATGTGAATCATGACCTGATTTATAAGCCCACATTGGTACACAGATGTTGGCATGCAGATTGTATTTTCTAAGGCCCAGAAAGATTCTACTGGCTATTCGTAAAGTGGGCCTTGCCCAGATCTACTGCCGCCTATGTCCAATGGTCATGGGGCTCGATCTCATCTTGAAGTATGAAGGAAAGTATAATCCAATTGTGGACTGCTTGTACAACATATGTGTTACCTAGGTACTGAGCATCAAACCAGTTTGACAATCTTGAGGTCTGCGTAAGGGTGTGCTATTTAGTAGAACTTCCATGGATACAGGCACATATACACTTAAAACAAAGTTATCGACAATAAGAATAAATGCTACGAGAAAAACACAGTATCACAGGTCCTTGGTACAAGCAGCAAGTAATAAACCTAATACTAAACTCCAGAGTCGATATCCACCAGATGTGTAGAGTTCTGCCAGTGATCCCAAGAATTACATGTGTGGGAAAGAGTGTTATAGTCAATTAGGCCCCGAATCTCACTATACCGTTCGACAAACTGGATGGCAAGACCTCCGACTGTATGAAAGCCGATGTGGCAGTGCATCAACCAAGCCCCAGGATTATCAGTCTGGAATGCTAAAAGAAGGTAACCCCCTGCCAAAAGCATGGCGGTGTCTCGGCGCGCTGGGTTGTCGAATTTACTCACAGCTGTACTTGGGTCGTAGGTTCCGGTTCCCTGAGCAAGAACAGAAAAGTCATGGCCATGCAAGTGAATCGGATGTGGGACACTTAGGCTACTTTGTACTAGGACATAGACCCATCTGTTGGCTTCGTCGACTTCTATGACTCCTTCGGTGTTGGACCAGTTTTTTTGGTTATTGTAGACTTGCAGCAGTGTAGGGTTTTGCCAATCAACCAGCATTGACACGTCGTTAACTTGCCAAATAAACAGCCCTGCGCTGTCGGTGCCAAGAGTCACTGTTTCGTTTTCGTAGTATGCAAAGTCTTGAGAAACAGTTTTTGACACTACTGGCGTCAGACTACCTGATTGATCGGTACAGCCTGTTGTGGTATTATAACCAGTGGTCGACGGGGTGCCTTGTGCATTGCCATAGTAAACAATGCCCCGAATGTTATCGGTACTGTTGTTGCTCGAACAATCAGTCTGGGGAACTGCACGCATCCAGAATTTGTTGGCAACATGAGCTTGATCTGCCTTGACAATGACATCGTATCGTTGCGCTATATACAAATTAGCAATTTCAGCAAGTTAAGAGTGTGTCTACAGATGTTTTATCTTACCAATGCCTATGGGGAGAACATCTGTAGTATATGGCTCAACTGGAACAAGGTCTGCCGCAATTACAGTCATAGTATGGTTGTCGATAGAAAAGGAGAAGTGAGTGTCAAGGGCAGTATTGACCAGGCGAAGACGGTAGGAACTACCAGATTGGAATTTAGTGGTAAAACGTTGGCCAACCTGTTGATGACCATTGTTATAAATATTGATACCATTTATTAAACCATTCTCCAAGTACGGAGGGCCGTTCTTTTTATCGTAATAGTACAGCTCGTCTGCTGTTTTATGACTCCAGTCAGTCAAGACAATAGCGCCTACATCCTCATCGTAATTTGCACTTGCAGGCCCATCAATGACAATGGCTCCAAAAACACCTTCCCAGGCTTGCAGGGAAAAATGAGAATGATACCATGTAGTTCCGTACTGAGTGGCGCGCCATTTGTAGGTGATTGTATTTCCCGGAGCAGTCGGACATTCGGTGACAGAGACAACACCATCATTCTGGTTGGTATAATTTTGCCGAATACCGTGCCAATGGATACTGGTTCCATTGGTTGAGCTCGAAAGATCGTTTCTGACGTGGACAACCACTTCGTCACCCCAATTGGCGTGTATAGTAGGTCCTGGTATTGAACCATTGATGACCTGCACATATCGAGAGACCCCGTCAGGGGCCAAATGTTCCTCGCGGATGTCGAACCAATATTCCCTAGTAACGCCAGTGTTTGGTACCACATTGTAGTAATCCGTATTTATATCGTAGTTGCACCACTTGCTTCGATCTTTTGCGGTATTGCCAGAGCAACGTTGATTTGTAGCTGCCCCCAATACTATATGAATGCCAATCAGAAAAGAAATGTATAGAAGGAGGTCTTTCATGGCCATGGTAAAGCCTGATTAAGAGGTTTGACTTTGAGATGTAGTCTAAAAGCAGTGGAATAAGAATTATCGACGTATTTAATATATTATTGTATCATTCAAAGAAAGATATCCCAACTTGTGAATACATGCGGTGGGCTTTATATCATAGGCTTAGACCGTCCGAAATTCTCAAAATATCTGACAACTCTCGTTCGAGTAACCCTATACATGCATGGTATACGCCCTGATTCTTGTGGATCCTTTCAGATAGTCATGAGATCTCAGGCGAGAACAAGAACTATCTTACATGTATGCTGCTGGTGTAGAATACGAACCCCCTCGTTGCTTTTTCTTTCCAGTATCTTTACATGACATCTGACCTCAATGTCACCTTAGACATGATTGAAGCTGAAAACATCCCAGTCGTCCGGTGAAGCAAGTAACTAAGGCATCTGAAGCCATTGGTCTAGTTCTAAGACAGAATATACAAGCGAGTGGCTTGCTTGACAGTAAACATCCTAGCTGAAAATTGACATACTTGGCCTGGTTCTTCAAATAGACAAATCCATGTGCGACTAGCGTCGATTGTCAGATCTGAGGCCATGCGGTGTCATCATCAAGCGAAAACACCAACGAAAAGAGTCATCTATTGGGCAGCAGCACTGCATTCTTGAGTCACCTGCAGTGCCAGTACGTAAGCTCCAGATCTGCCTCCAGACTGAACCCGGCCTCCTCTTAAGAGCTGGATTTCGCACAACGGTACAAAGTACGAATTTGCTCACCCCGTCCTGAAAACCCGTGTATAGTTCCTTCTACAGCTTGAAAAGAGAGTATTCTTACTATCTAGAAATATTTCAAGCGTATATTCCCTTTACGTAGGAACATCAATTGGGACGCTCAKGGTGGCTCGTCCTTCCAGTGCAGATGTAAACCCCTGCATGTATCCACCACCAGCACACTTCAACATGGATCGAGAACAGCTTGGTAAGACATGCTTTTATTCGATCTATGCACAATCCATGGAGCGGAGCCCTTAACATAGGCTTTTAAGCTTTAAGTTGCTCCCGAGTCGCAATTTTAATCCATACGTGATTTCAGTGCAGACCGAAAGCCACATGTCAAATTCAATTTGTAACCGGGGCTGAACGAAGATGAAAGAGATTACGTACCAGCAAAAAAGATGCATTCTACGCCGAGTCTTCTGACCCATCAAGTATCTTGTGGACAACTAAAAATTTGGTTGGGGAAGCGCTAGTTGCGTTTGCAATCTACGCAACAGGTCTCGATCATCAAACTAGATCTAGAGATAATGACTGAATTATACTGTTGGCTCTCGACCATTGAATTGTTACTTTCGGCCTTCTATTCGGTCACATAGCTATCAGCTGGACTTCAGATCCGTATCTCGAATACTCGGATTCGGTCTACACTAGCAAGGGTCATCAAGTCCATGAAATTACGTATGCTTCCAAGCCACAAGGTCGAAACTAATTGTTGCGGTCCTAAAATTTCAAGAGCAATTAATCGTAGCTTTTCATAAATGAATCTTTATTTACCAAGGTTTCTGCCGAGTCAACATCTGTTCACATCGGATTCAGTAACAATCAGACTCTTCCATCCTGTCGAGGCCACATTCCAAAGCCTCCTTCAATTCTCTTCATTATGCTCTATGATAAACTATTCTTGCCTCTGCTGGCAGCTTTCACAGCCCTACCTTTGGCTCTAGCACAGAATGGCAACTTTACAATCTACGGTTATGGCACTGGTGTCCTTGGCTTGCCATTGTTCTATTCTGAAGGTAGCTGCTCTCCCAACTTGTGAGACCATTTTAGAAGACAGGCCTAACAACTTGAAATCTAGGTAGCGCTCAGCTCGGAAACGTAAGTGCTGTTTCGGGTCACAATGTGTCTAATGTCTACTGTAAGTTCCGATATCTTACAGTTTCTATATGGAACGACAAAGAACTAAATGTATCGGAAACTACCGAAGTTTCAATCGAAGGTGGCGCACTACTTGCCTATCCGAATGCTACCAGCACTCAAGCGGTGAAGCACGATGCCAACTACACCTGGTCAAGTCTTCAACTAAAAATCCCGGTGAACGGTGGGTCCGACAACAATGTCACTTTCGTTCAAGATGTGGATTCAAGTGGCGCTCCTGGAGAGTGGACGCTCTATGGGCCTTATGTTTTCCTCTACGATAGCTCAAAGCAACTAGTCTCGCACTTCTTTGCTGAGCCCACCAACGACAAAGGAGTCTTCAACCTACTGTGGAACCTATCCGAAGAGCAGCAGGCACAGAATCCAGATGCGGTCCCAGTGTCTCTTAGGACCATTGCACCTGTGGATGCAAATGAAGCAAGCGCTTGAAGCTCGACGGGATAGTCAAATGCAGTTCAATGCAGCCTGACTGTACAGGTAGCTATTTACTCTTTTGTTATGTGGTATTCTCTCTAGTTTTTGTCATGTGGCTAATCATTGATAACGTCATTGTTTGACTTATGCCAATCTCACCATGTCAATCATCAAAGTTATTTCGCATTGAGCACATGTATTTACTCAATTTAAATCAATTGTTTGACCATCTTAGACTAGACAAACCTTGATATGAACTAGMAAGCCATAACTCTCCTCATTTGGATCAGAAGGGATTCTGCTGCAGGTTCACCATATTCCTTGGACCGAGAGGATCTAGGATGTGTCATATCCTGAAATTGATTAAAATTTGTAATTCAAATTAGCCAATAAATGGGCATCGGATCTTTGACTGAATGGTAGATCCATACCAAGCGGACTTCGTGGCGCAGACTCCAAAAACCAATTGCATAGGATGTTTACTTTTCTCATCCAATGGAGATACCAGAAAAATAAACTTCCGGATATCTTCGATTGGCGCCGGGCTGTCCATCGGTTCACCAGATTTGCACAAGATCGGCGACATTATGCGGAGAGTCTCCATCCACTTAGTCCAGACCAAAAAGAATACGAACCTGTCTTATCAGTAAGGCATCAAAGATGATGCACTAGAGTGGATATTACCAATGGGCAGAGCAGATTTTCGCATCTGGTTGATTCAAAATTTGTTGCGTTGCGTTTGTGTTTGCTGTTTACCTCTCGCTCGTTTGCAAGGCTGATAACCGCTGACTCCCACCAAGTCAATAGATGGCCTGATATCAAAAGCGAATACGATGTTTTCGTCACGCGCCGAGACAAACAACATCAGCGAACCTTGATTTGCACGCGACATGTTGGGCCTTGTTCAAGGTTTGATCTAGGAACAGCCCATATGCGTGCACACTAGTMAATCCGTATCATAATTGGTTTTTATTCCCGGTTGTTATTTGATTGGGCCTTCAGGGGGACAACCTAGCTCGGTCGAGTCTTTGTATACTTCATATTAGAACGTATTATAGCTACTTACTGTTTCGAGTAGGTCAGGACCGAATTTTGGGGTCTTAATAGACATTCGTTAATATGTTGCTTATCCGATTAAATGACAAACAGCTAGACTCGTATTACTTCGGGGAACAGACAGGCACAGAAAAGAGACGTAATCAGCCTATTCTCTAATGCATTAATGCAGTCACCCAGCACAGCTAGAAGCGCTTAATTGGCCTATTCGTAAGGAAGATTGCACGCACGCCAAGAAAACCGGCCTTGATTATGTTGCTGAAATCTGCTCCTTGCTTAAGCAGACCGCAAGGAAGCTCAGAAGCGCCGTCGTGGCGGTGGCCAGATTAAATGCTGGTCTCATCCACGTGGACCAAGTAATTAGCAAGAACTTACAAAGGAGATAGTCGATTAGCATATCATAGAAGAATATTTACTCCGGATAGCTCAAAAACTTTTGCCGTTGGCCGAAAACGATCCCTCAATGGTGTATTCGTTGGCGTGAAGTCAAGGTCCCTGGTCGAATTAACCACTAGTTTCAGTACCCCCTTCAAAAAACTGAACCAGCAACCCGAAAAGTACATAAAATACACCAGGATAAGTTGATCGTTTGCCAGCAGGCCTACCTGATTTGTCATTTAAAATTAGAATGGAACAGAAGATCTGGTTTTCGGCTGTAATGAGCCAAATATCATTGTTCTTACAATTAAGATGGGGTTTCAAGGCTAGGGTCCGCTTGTAGTGGGTATAGTCTCTACCATTTCATTGAGTCTATCAAATTAGAGGACAACAAAATTTTGCCGGACAGAAGTAGTTTGTTCGTTATTCCCGCGCAGAATTTCCTAGCGGTACCCTAGTTTCATTCGACAACCTTTACAGATCAGGTTGCAGCAGCTGACATGATTCCCTGGCCTTTCCCTTCAATCAAATAGCAGAAGGGCATGTCGAGTAGTATCGGAGTTGGGCATTCTTTCCATCTATTACACAGGAAAGGCTCCCACATCCGGCCTCAGCGTCCGCTGCGACCAGTCGGCGATCATGCGATCATAGGAATGGTCCCTGGTCGTTGTTGTACTAGGTCCAACATTGGAGAGAAAAGAGCTATCTCCAATACATCACTATCTTGGGCCTGATTCTGCTTGTCTATAGCGGACTGAAGATTCTCCCAGCTGAACCAATCCCAACTCTCGCATTTGTGCGGCTCAAGCACTTGCGCGGCTTCTTTTTCGTTCTTCCTGGCGCATACCATAAATAGGGTTATGTAGTGTTTTCCATCAGCAGGCATATAATTATTCGTAGCAGTCAGAAACTTGGGTTCCGATATTTCCAGACCGGTCTCTTCTAGCACTTCCCGAGCGGCACAATCCTCTAATGTCTCCCCAAATTCGAGATGGCCCCCTGGCAGGGCGTATGTCCCTGATCCATGAGAGTTGAGGCGTTTGCCCATCAAAAAGCAGGGGTTGGTTGATGATTCTTGCAGCGAACGCAGGATAAACACTGCTACGCCAACGCGAACTTCACGCGTCATTTCTGATTTTTATAATTTCTTTTCTCTCTTATCTTTTCTTTTCCCTGCTCGCAAATAATCCTATTGATGGAATTTATTTCTGTGGTGTTTGACTCTGATTCAGTAGTCCTCTTGGCAGTCGGTGTGCAAGCATTCAACTATATGGATATCTCGCGTCCACTGGCTGTATCTGATGTGACTCCCCACAGTCCTGGTGCAGAGGAGGCGTTCTCGGGTGGGGGATATAATAGCCCTAATTAATTACGCGAGTGTGCGTTAGGCTAATCTGAGACGTGATATTCTTGATATTTCAAGTCGCCAACTTACCACGGAGAAAACGTGCAAGGCTGTGCCAAATCTCGAAAAATCTGATCTAAATCTCGATCTTGAGTACGCCACTTGTAGATCGTATATTATATACAAGGTTGACGTGGTGCTCGGGTACCGCTAATGTAACTAATTACCCCCCCCTGAAGGATGAGTCAGAACTTTGGATGACTAACTACATGTCGAAGCGAAGAGCTGCAAGATAAACCAGTGTACAGGGAAGAAAGACACACTTCTTATTGGCAACCACATGCAACAGTAACAAGTACAAATGAGGCTTCGGATCGGACGGCAACTTCATACATCCATGTCGGCATTGCTGTCTGAACATACTGACCCCATGACCTAACTCTATCGAGTGAGATTCTTAATGAGAATTGGAAGGAGGCCTCGTGAGATGTGGGCTGAATTACCCTAACCATAGTTCAATACTTTTACCTTGGCCCAGAATCGGTTCGAAGAAGATGGTTCGATAGATAGGTATGCTTAATGTATTTTTTTGGACAAGGATAAAACAAACAATGTACGTCATACGTGGATACTTGAAAGGATGTTTTTGTCGAAGGTATGCTGGCGGTCAGTATGTACCAATAATTAAAACCAAGCCTTCTAAATTTCAATTTATAGCTTGCAAATTAAATATTTTGAGTATATTGCGGATTACATTACAGAAACAGTCTTCGCCAGTCAGCGTAGAGAAAGATCTTAATATTACGGTTAGGGTGCACTTTGAGGGTAGGAATATTTGGCAGATTGTTTCCAGTATCTTGAAAGAGTCGTCTGTTCTTCCTGCAAGCGTCATCCATGTTTGATTGGCTTTATCGCTGATACGATGTAGAAAAGCTTCAGTGTCTGACAATTGTCGTCTTGGGACAATCTGCTGGAAGTCTCTCAAGCTGCACCGCATAAGTTTCGGCAAACTCTCGAGAATCGTACAGAGAGTTAGCATGTTCATCCAACCCTCAGAACTTCAATGACTCGTTGATAGATTTTTATGTGGAAGCAGCCTGTCGACAGTTTGAAAGGTCGAGCAAGCTCTAAACCCCTAAAAGAAAGAAAGAAACACACACCATTGGGGTTTAAGAATCGTGGGACCGTTGGAGCCCGAAGTTGAACATTATCTGCAAACCTCCTGCTGTATTATTTTGATCTAGTTAGTCACCGAGCATGGGTCAAAAGTTCATAATAGAAGGTGATCAAGACTTGGTCGACTGTGAGAGCCCGTGATATTAGTGATAAGTGGTACTGCTTTGGTACTTGGAGTCTTAGGCTCAATAGGATCAAACTGTGCAAGTTTTGAAACCAAGAACATCTTCTTCCAGCCGCCGTATTAAAAACACGAATAGGTGGACTGTCAGACCACCGAACTATGGCCGGCAGTCATAAGCCCATCTCGGAAAAGGATTCTTAGCAATGAAGTCACACATAAGTATAGTATTGTGAACAGGCAACTATACAGGCAATCAACTTGTCTTCACTGTTGAGACGAATATCGAATCTGGATTCTATACAAGGCAATGCATGTAACAGAACACGGATCTGGCGACTGATATCATGAAGCATGCGCTATCCTCGCGGGTGTGAGATATGATTGTGGCTGACATAAAAGTTCTGCTGCCTTGTTGGTGCGAAATATCGGGGAAAGGCCGACAACTTCGCTAGCTTTGGGGTTGTGTTGGTGCCGTTTTGGAAGATGAGCAGTGTCTAAACTCTGATCGGGAGAATATCGTTTGTACCTAGATAGATACAAATGACTCCAAGAAGATTTGAGTGGAGTGTTCAATGCCATTCATCTGACTTCATTCCTGGTCAATGAGGCGTTGTTGCAGCAATACATATGTATCATGTAACATCAAGTGAACGTCGATTGCCCGATCCGAAGAAAAATAAAAAGCAGAAAGCTCTCGCTTTATGCACAATCGTAGCATTTCCTGTGTAATTACCAATCTACCGGCATCGGGAGCGCATATCAAGGCATTGGCCACGTCTCTTTGTCCTGGTAATGAATTAGCGTAATAAGCAACTTTTACCAGTCCGGTCGCTCGAATTAGTTCAAGCGTCCCAGATATCGCAGCCATCGCAAAGGATTCCCTTTTATAGAGACGAAGGTTGACTGGGAGTTGTCCGCCGCCGGACATGGTGGTCTCGAGAATCTTTCAACCAAACATATATCATCGTAGAGCTCGGGATATAAACATGGAACTTGTCAATAAAGCAAATCAACAAAATCGGTCGTGTCAAAGGCTACCATTAAGGCGCTGTATCCCATTGCAGAACTCATACAGCGCATACCATGATTTTTCCTTTGCATTCTTCACCAAGTCTCCGTAACTCAAGAGCGTGCGTCTCATCACCAGAGAGCAATGCGCGATAGTCTGCAATCTAGACGCGTGATTGCAGACTCATATCCCGGGTATTTCAGAAATGGTACCCGAAGAAGGGAAGAAGTGCGAGAAGAGACCGTCAAAATAAACAGTAGAGTGTAAAATTATGATTTGAAAAGGCAAAGTTTATATTCTAGCGGATGTAAATGATAGGTGACACGTAAACGAAGAATATTTGCAGGATTCGGGGTCGCCGCAAGCGATAGAAGCCCTATCCAGATCGAGTATCTCTTGGCGAGGAAGACCAAAAGTCAAATGCCGTAAATCGAGATCTTCGAGAAGCGCGAGATCTAGTACGTACCAATTTGTCGCCATTCGAGCCGAAATACTATCAAAACAAGTCGAGCAAAAAAAAGGGAAAATGTTGCAAGAAACTGATGTTGGATGTTGTCAGGCAATATTAATGCGGATCCACGAATTGCTGGCGCATCGTCTAAATGTTCCGCGAGGTGTTCGGTAAATTTTCCTTATCCGAAGAGGAAGGGTATGATTTCCGTGTTAAGTAGGGCTAGATCTACAACTTTTTGGATTCAGCATTGCTAGACCAAAGATTCCGCAATCTGTTGGAGGAAGAAAGTAAATAGAGGTGAGTTCAAAAGGTCGGTCAAAGAAGCCGTAAAACAAGATATTGTACGGCGATGCTTCATTGATTTCTTTCAGGTTCGCTCTAATTATCCGCCAGGGCTGAGCGCTTACACGTCCTAGGTCTCAGACTGAGAAAGCCAACACTGAATTAGGCCTGGTCTATAGTGCATGTTGCGAATAATAATGCTTAGACTGGCCTATACGACTTCTCACTGGACAGGGAGAAAGCGCACCTTTTTAGTACAACCCAACGGTTCAGCCAGCCAGTGGAGTCCGACCCACCAAGTGTCATATATCTGGAAGAAATATGCGGTTTTACATATCAACTTCCTAAAAGATCCTAAAGGAATTTGCAAGGCTTGATATGAATAAGCAGATCTCGAATTGGCAATCTGTGTAGCTCTTGTAAGTGGTCGGTACTAATACCTTTTCTTGAGATTTTTATAGATTCACATTGCACAGTATCCACTGCACAGCTCGTACGGGTCGAGCTGTAAACAGTCATGTATACATAGTACGTACACGTCAACGGTATAGTTAGTAAATGACCACTTGTAGGTTATACGGTAAAAATAGGAGAGGGCGAAAGCATACGTACGTGCGTTGTTTTCAAATTACCATCTTTAATGTCCGTGACTGGTCGGGCTTTCTTGTTGATGTAAACTTTGACCTTTTTGCACAGCGGAAACTGGCATATTCGAGCGAGGACGTTTGCGTTACCATGTTGGATGTCATCTTGTGTGTCTATAACTAGTCCGCGCAGCTTAAATCCCCGGTGAGAATCAACACCTGGCACTATTTAAAGTACAACAAGACCACGATGCCTATCATATAGTTCTCTTCTCGACTCTGAGTTTCTCTTCCCTTCGCCTTCGGAAGTCCCCTTTGAACGAGGACCATTTCTCTTGAACACCCTCATATCCACATCAAAGTCTTTTCGTTATCACCATCACCATGCAGGAAGCAAAGTATGCAGATATGGAGGCTGTCGTTGAGGTCGACGAAGCAGTGACTTGGGAAGCTGGTCGTAAGGCGTGGTTGATCGTCCTGACCTTGGCTTTTGTCAGTTTAATCGTGGCACTTGATGCAACAATTTTAGTCACAGCTCTCCCGGTAAGGAACCGAACATCGTCTAGGTATTGACATGTTTCTGACTTTATATAGACTATATCAGAGGACTTGAACGGTAGCGGCAGTGCATCCTTCTGGGTGGGCACATCATACCTCCTTGCGAGCAGTGTCTTGATGCCTTTCATGGGATCTCTATCCGATATACTAGGACGCCGAGAGATCCTAACCACCGCCCTACTTTTCTTTACCATCGGCAGCATTATAGCTGGTGTTTCCCAGAGCATGGACATCCTACTACTTGGTCGCGTTTTACAAGGGGTAGGGGGCGCCGGAATTTTGCCCATGACCCAGATCGTTCTCTGCGACATTGTTCCTCTTCGATTTCGTCCTAAATATGCATCGGTCGCACAGTTGGCATGGGCAATAGGGTCGATAACTGGTCCGTTGATTGGAGGTCTCATGGTGCAGCATGTGACTTGGAGATGGATCTTCTACTTGAACCTACCCTTTTGTGGAGTGGGCATGATCATCGTCCCTTTCATCATCAGACTTAAAACAAAACAGTCATCTATCATGACAAAGTTGACACGCATCGACTGGATTGGGGGATTCTTGTTCATTGGGAGCATGACTGCCTTTTTGATGGCCGTTACCTGGGGTGGTGTCGACCACGCATGGGATAGTGCAGCAACTCTAGCTCCATTGATTGTCGGCGTTGTCGGAACATTTGTGTCTATCCTGTGGGAGAAATGGGGTGCCCGTGAACCGTTCATCCGGCTCGCCATCTTCTCGAACCGATCTGCCCTTGCCGGCTACTACTGTGCTATGACACAGGGACTAGTGGTAAGAATCCATTGCTTGATTAACATGGATGAGAAATGCTAATATGGAATTTCAATTGCTCTCAGCTGTTTATTCAACTATACTACCTCTCGTTGTACTTCACCTCGGTCAAAGCATTCTCGCCCGTACATACGGGCGTCGCCGTAATCCCTATGAGCAGCGTCCTCGTGCCAACCGGCGTCGTTGTCTCGCTACTCATCTCTCGGACCGGTCGTATTCGATGGGCCCTATGGTCTGGCTGGGTATTTGAAATTCTTGCATCGGGCCTATTGATCTTGATGGATAGCTCCATCTCAACTTGGCGATGGGTTCTCATTCTAATGACGGCTGGCTTCGGACACGGCTTGCTCTTACAAGCGCTCACATTTGTGCCTCAGACCATGGCTAAGGACACAGACGAATCTTATGCAGCGACAATGTACAATTTTTCACGTACATTTGGAATGGCTTTCGGAGTTGCTATAGGGGGTACAATGTTTCAAAACCGATTGAAGCAACACCTGGCATCGGCTGGTCTTGATGTTACTATAGCTAGCAACGCAGACCAGTACGTCGCTGTGCTGAACACAATGACGGATCAATCGCTCCGAGAAGATATCTTGGCGGCGTATGCAGCTAGCTTCAAGAATGTCTTTGAGCTTGCTCTTGCTCTTACAATATTGGGTGCGCTTGTTTCTTTGCTAATTCGCAAGTCCGTTTTCGATCGCAAGCATGTGACGGAGCATGTACTTGAGGAAAAACGTACAAGCAGTCTCAAGGATACTTCGAGTAGTGATGATTCTGTTTAAAACGTCAAAAGGATTTTCTTCTGCTATGATTTTCTTTGTTCTTTTTATGATATTCCTTTTCTGGTTTGATATGCGTTTTTGCGTGATGCATTGTGGGCGGCTTTCATGATTAGGACTTATTCGCTCTTGATACACGTGTCTCTTAGTTATAGAATCTGTATATATCTCACGTCTACTATAACAAAATTGATTTCTGATTCCATTTGAGGTAGTGTCGTTCCTCTGGAAAAAGCGAAATATGAAAGCAACATGTTCCCGACCGAGCAATTAGGGCTAGTCCCCCCACACCCCCTTGATAGACAAGACCGAGTACCTTGCAGTAGTAAAAATTTATGACGACTGGACATATGCTCGATTCAATCTTCCAGCTTCACTTTGCTTTGCTACAATAATTCTGTTATTCGAGCCAAAGTATAACAGGGATAAGGATAAGATCAGAGCCTAATCAGCATGGCTGGTTGCTTCCAGTGATGTTCACTTGCAAAGTGTATTGGTGTTCTAATCCCGAAGACTTAATTCCTCAACCTTCCGCTAGAGTTTTCTGCATCTTGAACGTAATAACATATCGCCTATCTGGGAGGGCAGAGTTGAAGTCACATCCACATGTGTGATCCAGATATCTTTCCGAGGTTGACGAGGTTGACGAGGTTAAATTACTAACATTGTTGTCGATTTTCACGAGCATGATATCCACCGGGGAGTGTTGCACGCACCCTAACCCTAGCCAATATCGACACCTAAGGCAGAAGCGACCTAAACTAGAATGCCAAGACGCTTTGGCGGTGCCAAGACGCAAGCGTCCGCTTTCGATTGGCCGGCCGCATCCGGCAGGCCAATGATGTCATGCGGTGACATGCACAGCCATCCGAGGGCTTGGCATCCACCAATCAGGGGAAGTGCCAAGACGAAATTAGAGACATTCCTCCCTCGGCTGTTTGGCCCTTGAGTGACTGTCTTAGTCCAGAACAACACACATCTTTGACTCGGAATATCATCAGGTACGGTGATTCTGTTGAGGAAGGCAAAGATAACAAGTAGCATGTCCGTCATCACAGTCAGTAATCCAGGGAGCGCCTTACTTGCGTCCTGCAGTCGTCGTGGAGCCGCCCTTGGAGCCGCGATTGAGCCGCTGGAGAACCCTAGCATGACACGCGCGGTGATTGGCTTGGATCTGTTGATCCTCCCTGCTAAGTCCCGCTTTCTCCATTGTAAAACATATAACCCTAAAATTATTGAATCAAGCCAAAATGTTTCATGATGAGAAGGACAGGTCGCAGGCCAGGCACGCACTGTATGAAGAAGCAATCATGCTTAGCCAGTGAATGGTCTGGTCTACTTTGTATCTTTTCATATTCAGAGGATAGGGCAGAGAGAAGGAAGTAACATGGGGTCAGCTGATCCGCGCTAGACCGTGTTCGGCCGGGTGACAGTGGAGTGGACAGTGACACTGGGCAGTTGCCAGGTGCCCCATCGATCGCTCCTTCTTTTCTGACCATCGCCGAGACTGGAAGCAGCGAACTCTCTTTCTCTCTCCGCCGTCATACATAGGACGTCCCTTCTGTCACTCTCACCACTGTTCCTCGCAACGCCAACTTTTCCAAGACTTGCCCAGAAACGGTGCTTTCGAGTAGTCGCTTGCACTGCCACTGTCTCGTCTCCCGTATTCAGTCAGAAACAGCTCATCCGGATGATCCCTCTGTCATAAGGAACACCAATCACCCGTTGACTTCGTCCGCCATCTCCACGGGCATTTTATTTCGATCCAATGCTTTGAATGTAACCATTCTTGCATTATTCACTCGTTTCTGCTCTATTCTCGACCTATCTAGCAATAAACTCGACACTGTCGCATATACTCGTTCAACAGCCATTCAGGCTCGCTCTTCCACTTCGTTGATATGCGCCCGTTTCTCGCCGCTTCAGTCTTGTTTGGGCAGCTGCTCTCGACCCTGCCTTTCGCTACCGCTATCACAGTCAACGCCAATGACGCCAATTCGTTGAAATCAGCTGCATCCACTGCTGCCGCCAGTGCCGTTAACTACTACAACAATCGTGAAAGCAAGCTCATTCCCGGAAAGTTCGACGGTACCTGGTGGGAAGGCGGTGCATTCTTCACCTTTCTCATCAACTACTGGCACTGGACTGGTGACGATCAGTATAACGACTTGGTCACAGAAGGTCTGTCCTGGCAAGGAGGAGAACAGAATGACTTCTTTCCATCGAATTACAGTAGTTATTTGGTAAGTGATTTCTGGTCTACTCAGTTATCTTCAAAAAGCATGCAACTGACTTGTCTGCTTGTCTAGGGTAACGACGATCAAGAATTTTGGGCTCTGGCGGCCCTGACCGCGATCGAACAGAAATTTCCTGATAATCCTGGACACGCCTCGTGGTTAGAATTGGCGCAGGGTGCTTTTAACGACTTTGTAGCTCGCTGGGAAGTGGATAAATCATCTTGTGGTGGTGGATTGCGCTGGCAGCTATATCCCACCTTGGCCGGCTACGATAGCAAAAACGCCATCTCGAACGGTGCATTTTTCCAAATCGCCGCACGTTTGGCTCGGTACACCAATAATGATACATACGCCACTTGGGCAGAGACCGTGTGGGATTGGAGCAGTACTGTACCTCTTTTCGATAACTCCACCTGGAAGATTTACGATATGACCCGTATCTCCCAAAATTGCAAAGACCAGGACATCATGCAATGGTCTTATAATTACGGTTCTTATGTGACCGGCGCCGCTTACATGTACAACTATGTAAGATCTCCCTTATTTTTTGCGACTAGCAACAGGTCGAAGATGAGCTAACTTTGCCAGACAAACGGTGACACGAAATGGAAAGATGGCGTTGACGGTCTTCTAAACACAACCTGGAACGAATTCTTTCCATCAGAGTACGGCGGCAATATCCTATCTGAAGCGGCCTGCGATCCTATTTTGACTTGCAACCGTGATCAAGTTTGTTTCAAGGGTCTCATGGCCAACTGGCTGTCAACTATCGCACTCATTGTGCCATATACATATTCAACCATCCTCCCTAAGCTTCAAGGCTCTGCTGTCGGTGCAGGCAAGCAATGCAGTGGACCTGACTCGGCTTGTGGGATGCAATGGTTCAACGCGACATACGACGGCACCAGCGCAATCGAGCAGGAAATGTCTGCTATGAGTATATTCGCCAATACTCTAGTTGCATTCTCTACATCCAGCTCTACAAGCAGCAGTTCTTCGTCGTATTCGGCTCCAGACACTCCCGCCCCAGTCACTGCCAATTCTGGTGGTAACAGTACCAGCAATCCCACTGGTGGCCAGAGTAACACAGGATACCAGCCACCAAAACAAATGAACATCACTGGTGGTGACCGCGCCGGTGCGGCTATTTTGACCTTGGTGTTTGCAAGTGCATGGATCGGTATGATGGTCTGGCTTGTCCTTGGCGGAGCCAACTAGCTTGGTCGTCAGGTACGAAGTTTATAGCATTTACTTGTTTGGTTCAAAATTATGTACATATCGTGTATCATTCAGGGATAGGCCGGCGTCGTCGCCTCTGGCGTTTGGTATTTGTTCAATATTGGGTTTGGGATACGGTACATGTTTGCTTGGTGAAACTAAGTTATTTAGTCTATTGATTCAAAGTAGCCGTTGACGCATACTTGTACCTATGTGATTACCTAGACTTGTACTAAATAGACGGCTTGAATGCTGCTCTAGAGCCCGTATGCCCTGTATTAGTACTATATAAGTCGATCCATGGACTCTGAGGTTCTCCGACACGCGTAACAACTTCGAGATGGGGGTCCATTTTCACTTCATAATTGTATGTCGGGAGTTGATAATGCCCGGTTGACTTCAAGTCGGGGGTTCGCCATGTCCGAAGCATTTCCTGTACAGAGGCTTCTATCATCGTGGTGGATCAATATTTAATTTTGCACAAAATTTGCAGACCTTGACAGTCCATCGAGGTGCCACAACGGAAACCAGCTAGCCAATTGACTATCACTAAGTGGGTCCTGATTCGATTCCATAGAGCGAAACATTCAAGTTTTGCGCACTAATGACCGCCGCAAATTTTTAGCTCGCTCGGTGGCTTACCTTGGCTATCTCGATCTCCTCATTAGATTTTAGTGTACGAAGACGTTGTGCAGTACGGTTGCTATCGTTCTTCACCAGCTCAAAAAGCAACGTGATGTTCTCGAGCTGCCTGCTGTGTATAAAGCCATGGCAACCGCGCTTGCTTTTCGCTCGACTACGTTTCCAAGTCAAACTGCATTTTCATTTTCTATTTGTTCCATCAAATGCCATCCTTGAAAGTACTCATTTGTGGCGGCGGTTGCGCTGGTCCAGCTCTGGCTTACTGGCTCTCCAAATGCGGACACAATGTCGTCGTGGTCGAGCGTTTTCCTTCGCTCAGAGCATCCGGCGCCCAGATTGATCTCCGTGCTCAGGGAATCGAGGTCGTCAAGCGTATGGGCCTGCTGGATGTTGTTCGCAGCAAAGTTGTTGATGAGGTTGGATTCTCCTTTGTGGATTCCAAGGGCAAGTCAAAGGCTACTGTCATGGCAAATAAGTCTGGTAAAGGCGCGCAATCTCTTACGTCGGAGTTTGAGATTATGCGGGGTGATCTAGTGAGATTGCTGTATGACGCTACCAAGGATCGTGTCCGGTACGTCTTTGGTAAACAGGTCATAAATTTCGAGCAGGATGATGAACAAGTAATGGTTCACTTTTCAGATGGGTCTTCGGATTCATTTGATCTACTTGTTGGAGCGGATGGGCAAGGGTCTAGGGTTCGGCAAGCTATACTACCGTCAACGATTACGGATCCATATAGGCATCTCGATGTACATATGGCATACTTTTTCGTACCTCGTGTGGAAGGTGACACCGACATTGGCCAAATGTACCTCAGTCCAGGCGGTCGAATGGTCATGCGACGAAGTCACAATCAGCACGAAACTCAAGTTTACTTTATGCTGCGAGACGAATCCAAGGAATTACGAAACCTCCCAAGGACGCCCCTCGAACAACAAAAGGAGTTTTGGTCAACAAGGTTCGCCGATGTTGGTTGGCAAACTTCTCGCTTTCTGGAAGGTATGAAGACTACCGAAAACTTTTATAGCCAGGAAGCGGTCCAAGTCTGCGTCGACTCCTGGCACAAAGGACGCGTTGTACTACTCGGTGACGCCGCTCACTGCGCATCTCCATTCAGTGCCATGGGGACAACGGGAAGTTTTGTCGGCGCCTACGTTCTTGCTGGTGAGATTAATCGCCATTCAGACGATCTCGCACAGGCGTTCGCCAATTACGAGAAGAAGTTGCGGCCGTTCGTTAACGAGCTTCAAAAAGTGAGTACGACTTTTTTACGGCTGTTCATGCCCAAAACGCAGTGGGCGATTTGGATTATTCATTTCTTTCTTGGTCTGCTTTGTTTCTTGCGTGTTCCGGAGTTGTTGTCGAGGTTCTCGAGCGAGGAACAAGGGGGCTGGAAGCTGCCGGATTATCCTGAGCTTTATACGCCTTGAGGTTGATTTATTTGTTTCCTAGTTATTATGCCGTTGTAATTAGGTATCTCTGCTCTTGTAAATTCTCCTCTATTAGCTTCAGATGCACATGTACTAAAATAATATTGGCCTATAATTGCATGATCGACACACTACTAAGTTTTCTGGTCTACGCATCTATTATTTTCATAGTCTTTCGTCCCAATAGTAAAGACGTCACTACATCACATGGGAGACAGCAAAAAGAGATATGTGCGGTAAGTAGTGTGGGCTTCAAAGAATCCTGGGAGAAGTGCTTAGTTACCTAATTTCCTATTCTATGCGGCGCAGGAGGTTCTGTTGAAGCTAGATAGGCCAAGTCACATAATCAGTCTGGATTTCCCTCTCTTCCCTGCCATTTATAGGAGGAGCTCATCTCATGGCCGACCAATTGCAGCAGTTCGATTTCCAGACACGCGTTAGTTCACATCCTAGTATTTAGCGACCAGCCTTGATTAGCTCTAACTTCCATAATCCTTGACAAAAATGCTGGGATGTGGGATGTCTCAGCCTCCCAATAAAGGGAACAATGAATTTCATTTGCAAGTCATTATGGATCGAATCAGTCCGGCATGGGAAAGTCCAACTCAGTAAATTAAAATATGTCACCGCTTATCACGGGGTCACAACTAGATAGACGCCCGATTTCAGCTCGGAAGGTTATCCAACCCATATTTTTAGTACGCATTTGCCTTACTGTGGTATCTATGCAGCCTTCGTGAGTATCTGTTCTCTCCATGCTTGATCGTGTCGCACCTTTTTGTCAGCTGTTACCTATCGCATCAAATTAACCGTCTAGATGGCCATTCAGAAGTACCGTTTGACTATTCTCGCGGCGTTAGTCTTACTTCCCTTTGTTATTGGTATGTATCCACTCGAAGTATTTCTCAACAGACTTGACTTATTAGTCTAAGGAGCCACCTGCGACAATACCATTTCCGACATAATTGAGATTGGGTCGCAGATCGATGCAGACGACATTGCAGGTTGTGGTGGTACTATCGATGCAAATATCGAGATCTCGAAGGATTATGCAGGTGCTCTCATCCTGAATGGGATCACGACGGCGGCTAGTTCCTTGATCTTTCAAGGAGCGACGAATCTTACTTCCTTTGCGGCTCCTGATCTTCTCGCCATCAACGGGAATCTGACGATAACTTCGTGTATCCTCCTGAGCGATCTGAATTTGGGTGAGCTCATTTTGGTCGGGGATATGATGCTTGAGGATCTACCCAATCTGCGAAGTCTAAACTTTACAAGTGGTCTCAGGACTGCTAGAGGTATTTCGATTGTTGGCACTGGTCTTGAAACTCTGGATGGTCTCGAAATCAGTTCAGCAAGTGACGGAATCAACATCTCTGCCAATGCTGCGTTGACCGATATCAACTTTTCAAGTCTCACCAATACCAGTGGTCTGTTTAGCATTCAGGCAAATAACCCGAAAATGAAAGTCAATTTGCCCAGTCTCGCCGCTGTACAGGATTTCACAATTGAAAACGTCTCCTCTTTTTCGATGCCTGGTCTATATCAAGTGTCCGGGCAGCTATTGATTGCCGGCTCATCGATTGACAGTTTCTCAACCGGTACATTACAGACCGCGGGCAGTATTATGTTTACCGACAATCCACTTTTAAACAATATATCCATGCCAGAATTGACCTTCCTCTCGGGTGATCTTGTAATCGCTGCCAATGAAGAACTCAAACAAATCACCGAATTTCCCAGCTTGACTGAAGTCCAGGGTAACATTGATGTCTCCGGAGACTACACAGAGTAAGCCTCCTCCGCTGGGAAACTATGTAGTAAATTGTGCTTATGGTCTAAAATAGATTTACTCTTCCTGCGCTGACTGCCGTCAAAGGTAGCTTTAATGCTACCAGTCAGTCAGAATTTGGTGGATGTGCTACATTTGACAAGCAGAGAGAGAGTAATGTCATTCAGGGCAACTATACATGTTCATCTCCGAGTGGTAGTCCTACGTCTACGACTAGTTCCACGTTAAGCAGCAGTACCTCACCTGAGGTCACTAGCACCCATTCAAGTGGTGGTAGCTCCTCCTTGCTTTCAATCGGGGCCAAAGTAGCGATTGGGCTCTGTGTACCGGTGGCCGTCATTTCTTTCTCGACGTTGCTGTTTTTCTGGCGGCGCCGCAGGCGAGCGAATGCAAGACTCGCCCAATTCAACGGTACACAAGTTCATGAGGACCTCACTCCCAGGCCTGAACTGGAGGGCAGCCCTGTTACGACAAGGCCTTCACAAAAGCAGGAACTCGATGCTCCAGGTACGATTAGTACGAGACATTCAACAATATTGGAACCCATTGAATTACCAAATGAGTCCGAGAGCATTGTATACCACGAGATGCTTGGTGCACCGAGAGAAATCGAGACGCATCAATAGCAGAGGATTGGACCACTGAAAAGGCAATGTATGCGGCTGCATCATGGAATCCACACATAGACACTGAGATGCTAGCTTTTAATGACACCCTCAATTTTAATAATATGATTTATAGTTTCCTTCTTATTTTGACATATGAGGTTTGTATATCTGACACTTAGCATCAGACATATAGTATGATGCTGGCCCAGTAATCTTTCGACAGAGAATAGTTATCTAGTACGCGCTCAGTCTGCATGAAGTCTTCATATTCAAGCCAAGCCCACACTCTAGCTGCTATACTTAACGAAGAATTCGAGACGAGGATTCACCTCTCAGGATTGGCCATTTTCGGCTTGAACGCCTGGACTTGATCACACGGAATATGAAATACCAAGGTCCTTGGCAATGATAGAAGCCGCCTTTTCGCCAACGGCGAGAGCGGTGGCATACGTGTTTGCAGAAACATTCAGTGGGCAGATCGACAAGTCTAATAATATCAAGTAAGATGGATATACCCTCGTAATCAGGTATGAAATTGCAACTTACCAACGATCTTGAGACCCTCGACACCGTAAACATTCAGATCACGATCCACGACTCCTCCATTTTCTCGGGGCTTCATTGCGCATGTGCCCATGCTATGCCATGTGGTGTGGACTCTCTCTCGGATAAAATTCCTGATAGCTTCGTCCTCTTCCGCGGAGTACTCAATAGGAACCAGCTCTCCTTGCACTTTCGATAATCTATCCACAACATCATATTTTGCCTTTGATCCAGCTGGGAAAGTTGGGTGACCATCCGCAAGTGGACCACGGTAATGAGTCATTCGGCGAGCAATCTCCCTTTGCAACTTGTAGCCCCAAACCAGCTTCTCCAGATCCACTGGATCCGACAGAAATCCGCAGTCAAAATCAGGCTCGTCAGTCATTGACTTCCCCGTGATATGAATCGACCCTCGTGAGTATGGGTAAGGCGTATATGGACCACATGAGAAGTATTGTCCTACATCAACAGCGGAGTGATCACCGACAAATCCGGCTATAGTTGCAATCAACATCAATGGTTTCTCCGGCTGTGGCTTKAAATCTTCCTCCCAGGCCTTTTGCAGCGTAGGATGAAGGGATGCAACTTCTGTGGGACGGAGTTTTCCTACACAATCCAACCCATTCCAACCTATGACATTGCGTGCTGGGTTTGCCTGCTTCTGTTTCAGGGCTTCCTCCAGTGTTAGTCGACCACTCACTACCCCATCAATCGTTTCTTCCGCTCCGGCAGAGGAATTGTAAGGATAGAAGACGACATTGTGGTCTTGGTAATTGCTGCCAACGCCGGGTAGATCAGATATGACTGGAATGTTCAATTTTGATAACAGGTTCTTGTCGCCAACGCCGGACCTTTCAAGAACTTGTGGAGAGCCCAAAGCACCGCTGGCAAGTACAACGAGTTTGCGTGCTTTGACCATTGTTGGGGTACTTCCACTTACCGTGTACTCTACACCGTTGGCTCTGTTGTTGTCGTCGAACCTGATTCTATTGACGCTGACATCTGTCGCGACCTGAAGTTTGGTGTTACCCTCGTCAAGTAATGGAAACAAGAGACAGTGAGCAACGTCTTGTCTGAGACCAGTCTTTTGATCTATCCACATGTTGAATTTCTATAATGGTGATTAGTACACAGAGGGACCCACAAGGATGCAGAAATAGATGAAAGCTTACGCCAACTGCATTTGCTGTACGAAAACTTTGAACGTCTGCCGTCGTATTAATCCCAACATTCGAGCAAGCTTTGAAGAAGTCTTCCTGAAATGCCGGCTGAGCATTGGTTCCTGCAGATACACTAAATTCGCCATCGTAGCCGTGAACACTGGAATCAATGGCCGGGTCTGTGTCTTGGAAGTTTTCGTACTACCAAAATAGTAAGCATACCGAGATTTGATTTCCTTAGAACAAGCTTCATGGGCTCACCTTTTTGAACATAGGTATCATGTCCTTGCCAGTCCATCCCGGTACATTCCATGCATCGAAATCAATTGCTTGCGGTCTTGAATAGACCATGAAATTTATGGAGCTTCCACCACCTAGACACCTTCCCGTCGGAACAATAGACTCTCTCCCAGCGAGCTCTTTTGATGGCTTGGATTTATAAAACGAAGCTCGTGGTGAGTTAGGGGCAATGTTCATCAGATAGAATGCTGGATTCACGACCAGGGGGTTGTCTCTTGTATTCGGTCCATGTTCAAGGACAAGTATAGACAGGTTCGGGTCTGCTTTTGCTAGGCGTGTAGCAACCAGTACACCGGTTGTTCCTCCTGTAAGTGTATGAGTCGTGGAATTATTTCCAAGTAGTGAACTGATAACATTCTCAAATCAAAATACTACTTACCGCCTGCGATTACCACATCAACCTCTTCGGGTATGTTTGAGTGCTTTGACATTGTGTAAATACAGTGCTCAATGGTAAGTGGCAAATTTGCTCAAAGTAAGAACATAAAGCTATTTCATAGGGGTTGAAGAGCAGCCGAGTTCAAAAATACCGCATCTGATAGAAAGTGAATGAGCGTCCTCAATAAAGAGCGAAACAGTTATTTATGTCCATTACAACCCTGCAGTATTCATAGACTCAAAATGCATGCTTACTCAGTTCTGGACATGTTATTACTCCCTGCCCAGAATGAAATGCATGAATCCCCCGCACTTTATCTCCGCATTTTGACCCAAAGTCTTCAAGACCGGCCACGGCGGAACCAGAACCGAGATGAAATTTACGAAGTTCCGCTCTTTTGTCGCACATTTTGCAAAGCCGGAAATAAGATAAAAGAAGAGATGGGTCAATTTGGCTTGCATTTGTGACTAGTTTGATGGATTGAGCATGATTTACCTCACTGCGGCGCAATGAAAGTTGTTTCACTCGGCATAATGAATGGTCAAATTTGTGTTTTGTTTTTATTTCCTAGACTAATAAGACGTGCAGCAAAAGCCAGGATGTACCCTGCAGTGGCTCTCCTATCATAACAGTATTCGCTAGTATGTAATGCGACAAAATTGATTTGTTGATTGGCATGTGTAAGTCCTGATTTGAGCACTGAATAAGTACCAGTCGGATTCCCGTTCCGCTACATGATCGATAAGCTTCATTGTTTCTGGAATAAATCTTATAGGTCTATTCTTTTCCTATCACATGACAATTATCCTGCAGCAAAAACTCGTCTAGACATTTCAACATCGACCATTGTCTACACAGCTACCGTCCCTCTGGTTGGGCACTCTTGCTGAGTTCGGCCGCATTTGCAAACTTTGCTTCAGGACTGACAATGACCTCTTCAGCACTAGCCGAATCAACTTCTGGCTCGTAATGCGAAGTAGTCTTTCCATTCAACTCGCCTGGCTCATGTTTGTGGACAACGATCCATGTAGGTATCACACATAGACCTACCGAAGTTAGTATCAATATTAATCAGTCACAATAGGAGAGGACCAACCTAGCAATATGGTGTTGACAGCCATCGGTACACGACCGCCATACCATTTCTTTGAATTGAGACCATAAGAAACCGCCTGACCAAAGCTCTCCTGACCCCTGAGAATACCAGTCAATCGCGTGAGTTCCGCAAGATTATCCGTCATCGAACCGACAATATAATAGAGCCAGTTCTGTGCCGTCTGCTGTGCGAATGCCCACAGCCAGACTGCAAACGCGCCCTTTACAAATCCGGAGGTCTTATAATCCAGCTTTGGAGGGTGGGCGCTAAACTCTTCTTGAATAACCCATACATAGATCCATGTGACGACATGCACCAGAACGACCCAATACCATCCATAGACAACGCGCTTTTTGGCAGATGTGAACTTAGAGTCAAGCCAATGAGACATAGCTTGAGAAGCGACGATTGTGACAACATCAGAGACAAAGGCCATCAATGCCCGGGCCCGCACTCCAAAGTAGTAGGCCTTGAAATTGCCGGTGTATTGATTGAAATATACTGCCCAGAAAATTGGAAGCAACAAGATGACCGTACGATTCTTGCATGTGCGCCACAGAGCCTTGAACTCATCCTTCCATGACTTTTCAACCGTAATGATGATCGGAGAACCATCTCCTCGTTGTACTTTGGCCGGCGATGTCAGTAATAAAGCCACGGGTACAGCGAGACATTGCAGCACAATGAAAACGAGATAGGTAGTATGGCTGACACTTCCTATGCCGGCAGCATTGATATTGAGACCCAACACGATTGAATCTCCAATAAGCGGGCCTAATGTCCTCCACCAGACCCAGATATTCAGATAGCGAGCCCTCTTGGAAGGTTCGGGATATCCAATAGCAATGGCACCTTCACTCGCCCAGAATAGGCCAGCAGAGATACCGCATGCAGCAGATCCAACTAGCACTAACCAAACAGTTCCGAATCGATTGTTCGTGTACAATCCAGCAGAGTAAATAGGATAACCGACAGCGCCGAGAAGCAAGGTCCATTTCAGTCCGATGCGATTTGCGATTGGGGCGCCGAAAAGACAAAAAAATCCCATTAAGGCGAAAACCAGTGAATTGGCAGCATTGACCAGGAATGGCTTCTCTTCACCTCCCGCGCCCAAGGAGTTCATGGCATTCCAAAGGCCGGGTGCAAGGAAGCCGACGGCTCCAATCACGCAGGCATTGAATAGTGTTGAGCGGTACCAGATCCGTTTGACTGGAATAGCCCCAGGGCCATTTTCAATGTTATGGGCCATTTTTGGTAATGAGGATCCGGCACGAGAACCACAGGGTATAAACAGCGTTTCCTGGTGTTCAATATGACGAGAACAGGTGCCTGCGTCACCCGGGATTCAACTACTCTTATATGCAGAAAAATTCACATTTCCCTGCAGTTCTTGCGGAGCATACAAACTCCAATCATGCCTCGTTCGTCACATTATCACGTAAATTAAACCAGACTTCGTCAATCTAGAACTAAGACAGAAGCCGAAATGAATATCGGCCGTCTTTTAATGACCGGATTTTGCCTCCTTTCGAAGGTTTGATGTGTTTTGTTCGCTGCTCAGACGGTGTTGCAAGATGTGCCCTCAATGACGAATCGCTTGTAGAGAAGTAGTTGCGCCAATGGTAAGCTCGGGATGTTCGTGCAAAACGGGTCGACAGACAACAACTTCCCCTTTCGGAAGGTGAAATAGAATCTTGGCGCTCTCCAAGAATTAATTGCGCGCTTTTAAGCTCCACCGTTTTACCCTGGGTGGAGTCTGAAAAAATAAAAAGTATGAAAATATGGATAACCTTTCTTTAGTTCCGGGCCACAGTGACTAGCTGGACTCTTTCTTTGATTCCTATATAGCTAGGTACCTAGTTGAGATACGTAACATATATGCCATTGTGCTGATTTAGCCAACGATGACACTTTTAACCGCCATATACTCGGCTCTTCTAATGATGGCTTCCCTCTCTACCAACACCAGACTCTTTGATACCTCAAACAGTGTTTCTGCAGCACTGATCTTGCCTGTGTTGACCCTTAGCATACCAATTTTGAGTCTTTTCGCGACTCATTTCACCCGGTCAATGTCCTTCGAGAAGAACTAGCCGGCTAATCCAAAAATCCGTGTCGTTTGCAGCCTCAATCACTTCCGTCTCGGAAGAAATGGATATAACGTCGCAAAGAGGCCGAAAGCCTCATCGGTCGTCACTACTCATGTCTTTGGTGCAATTTGTGACGATTGTGAGCTCATGGAAGAAGCCATTCCCTTGAAGTTCAACAGCTTTCCACCATATACCAATTTAGCTCCCATTGCGAGCGCGTCTTCAATGTGTCGATGCAGCTTATGCACTGCTGCTCTGTTGACCGGGGGACCGTGGGTGACGGTTAGATCGAGACCGGAACCGCATCCGAGAAGCAGCGACGTAAACTTTCCGAGAACATCCTGATGAACATAGATCCTGTTGGCGCTATGAATGGGAGAACTCATTAGCCTTAAGGCAAGTACCCAGGGTAGAGAGTTGATACCAACCACAAGACTGTCCTGTACATCAGTACTGGCAAACCAAAACACCATCGATTGCTTTCCCCAGATCGGTGTCTTCAAACACAATAAATGGAGCACTTCCTCCTAGTTCCATGGGTCATGCAACTATTTGACAACTTGATCGCCGTGTTCGAGAGGAGCAGCAACAGGACAAAGCTCCTATACCTGTGAGCAAAAAATACCTCTGCAAATCATGTAGCAGTTATTGCATGCCCGCTTGGGGCAGTGCAGCTCTAATACTTTTTTGAAACCGGCCCCGTCATAGGTAGTGCCGCTTATGAGTCTCTACAAAATCATTCTACGCTTTGGACATTATTCGAAGTTCCGCAAGATCTATTCGGTTACGGACTCACCGACATGTCCAAGCTAGGTAGTCGGCTGGACTCTCTTTGTCTTTGTACATCATGAGAAACTTGCTCGGCTATATGATAACTAAACATCCAATACTTTTGCTAGGGACGTAATATTCCAATTTTTGATTTGTCAGCATCTAACTTATGTAGTTAGTTACACAAATTACCTGAATAGTCAATCTGCTCAACCATTTATCTATTTTCATTTCTCAACCTGTATGTAGCTTCGATTTGTCGTTTGAGATTTTATTTTGTGTAATCTCTTAGAGTCAAAAGAGTTCGTGAAATGTCGGCTGGCACTTACACACTTTTCGATATTCCTACCAAGGCGCCACAAGTGTGCTGGTCAATGAACACGTGGAGGAGTAAGTCCACCTCGTCTGCATTGTATCTATCTGTACTCAGACAAGACAAAGCAAGATTACTTTTGAACTATAAGGGTCTAGACTACAAAACCGAATGGGTAATTCCAAGCCACGATGATTTGGTCAACGAGCCTAATGTTCTCAGGTCGAATATCCTAATATCGCCCCGCGACTCAATCAGCAGTAAGTACAAGATGGATGAAACCTTGAACAAAATATTGATGATATGGCGGCTCCAGTGTCCCTCCCAATGAAAACGGTGCTTCTTTTACGCTTCCTGCGATACAACTGCCCGACGGCTCTTACTTTATGGACTCCTACAAAATCGCCGATATTATTGAAGAGAAACATCCAGAGCCAAGTGTACTTTTAAACACACCAGTGCAGCTCCGGTATAGAAAAATTCTCATAGAGTTCATGAAACAACTCACGCCAATCTATGTGCCAGGAGTAGCGCAGCGCCTGCTTGGCGAAGAGAGCCTTGAATATTTCCACACCACACGCCAGAAGGATGTAGGCATGCCACTCGACGAGTATCAGAAGAAGCATGGTCCCGGCGCATTTGAAAGAGCAGAACCATTTGCACGTAAGATGACGGCGTTGTTGAATGAAAGTTCAGGTCCGTACTTTTTAGGCGATACTGTCAGCTACACTGACTTTATGTGGGCGGCCATCCTACTTTTCTGGAAGACACTCGGGGACGACACTTTTCAAGAAGTACTAAAGATCACTGGAGATGCTAAGAAGCATACAGATTTGTTGGATGCATTGAGTCCATGGACAGAACGAAATGATTAGGGTTATTGTTGTGGGCTTATCTACGGAATTCGGGCTATTTGGCATTGCTTTCAACAACTTATATTGGACACCAATTCTGGCATTATCCCATACTCTTTCTGCAGGGTTTCGTAGGACCAAAGCGAGTAGCATGTCTTCCTTTCAGCAGGAAACAACTTCAGAGCATGCATGTCATATGTAGGAATGTCAGAACAAATACACTGTCTTCGGATCATGCTTCCCTGTTACTTGATTTCACGACAATAATCAGTAGAGATATACCTTGCTAAAATCGCCTAAATAGCTGCGTACATGGTAGGAAGCTGGACGATTCGACCTCAATTCCGAATATAGCCACTACCCTCTGAATAAGACTCCTTTAACGTGGACTATTAAACTTTACAGGCTTCTAGATTTTTCCCCGCATCTGACTATAACAAAAGCTGTAGCACGTGAGAGCCAGCGAGCAACTGAACATGCGAAGTCATACATTACAGATAGCTCCCCTTCCAAGATTCACAAAATCCTTGTTCCAACTTTCCCTCTGTGATGCAAACGTCGAATCTTCGACCCTTGCTATCTAGACACTTTGTGGAAGGACAACCTGGAATTGCCAACGGAAAGGATAGTAGAGTTCTATGAAGGTTGTCTACGAACCTCGAAGCACGACACCCCAGTGGAATGCCGTTGTTCTACCGGTTTTAAGACAAAAGAATTCTTATCGCCAATCACCGTCGTTGGCCAAAATGGTCAGACAACATTGAACGCATTGGCGCTCACCGCTAGGAGCGCAGGTATACAAAGTGAAGTTTTTATCTAGTTTTCTCAACTTTGATATTGTCTTTGGACCAAATTCGCCATTGCTGCTGCTGAAATTTCTGATATAGGCATTTCGGCTTTACTCTCAAAACCACCAATCAAACACTTGAAATAGGTAGCGAGGGATAAACTTCATTTGTCTTGAAAATAGCGTTCTTCAATTGGCTAGACCAGGTTTATTGTAGGCTGAAATATCGACAAGCATCAAGCTATGACTGCATGAAACCCATTATAGATCTTTCTGACTAGCTTCCATCAATATTTCTCCAACTACAGTAAGAATATTGGAGGACTACCGAATCATATCGCAATTGGCTGTAGATAAACGAATCGAAGTCACGTCGACCTTGGTAAATACAGTAGAGAAAGTTTGAGCTATTGATCCGCTGTTTTGTTCCATCAGCTCCCCAGAGTGGCCACGATTGCTTTCCCCAGGATTGTCGGAAAGATCTCCCGAGCATCAGGAGGCCTGAAATCAGGGCAAGCGGCAATAAGCCCGTATAGCCGAGCTTCGCGGTCGCTGTGCTGGAGTCCAACCCCGCGTTTTGCGGTGTGTCAAACGAGGGAATAGATGACCCATAGCAGGGGATTGCCATGGCTAACTATCCGAAATTAGTTCTATCAGACAGTGTCGAGATCATCGCAATGTGTCACTTTTTCCGACCAAGCGACTCTTGTCTTTGCGGTCATGCAGAAGCCTGCGTGCTATGACATCTGTGCAGGCCTTAATATTCAATGTGGCTTTATATCAGTCTTCCTACACACCACTTGCCATGTACCAGCATCGGAATACTTCTTCATCGACGTCTTCTGTTTCTGGCTTCACCACAGCAACCGACAGCAGCCTGCACCGAGCCAATGAACTGTACCTTTCGAAAAAGTACCCGATATTTACTCCTTGCAAGACCACATTATTGACATTAATGAGGTGCTCGTGGTGTTGGGCTTACCCTAGCATCTGCCGTTGTGGCAGTTGAAGGTAATATTGCTACCGTCGATGCTGCTGCTGAGCCGCATGAACATTATCACAAATTGAAAGAGATAGCTTCTGGTGTTGAGTATTATAGGTCAACTTTTTCTCGGAATACGTCTAGAAAAAGAACTAGAAGACTGGAATCTGATTATCATAGATCCGACGTGACAGACCACAATATTCTCCGTCAAACTTTTGACGACATCGCCCGAGCATACATAGCTCTCAAGTCGATGACTATTTGTAAACAATATACATATTCTAATGATATTCAAATAGCATCGCAGCCGCAGCAATATGCCCTGATCAATTTTACATACAACTAAGATCACAAGATATCAAACGATATTTTGATATCAAGGTCCTTGGAACATATTTTCTGCGCAATTGACTGCAGAACGAGTAGTACGCGGCTTGTCATTCGCGCCCTTGTATCTCCCTGGTTTCAATTTTTCTCTGTTTATTGTTGTTTCGATCATTTCTGGCAGGATATAGTTATATCGTATTCCATATTTGCCAAAAGCAGTTGCAAATGACTTCGACGTGCCTAGAACGGCGGCCTATTCAGGTACATAGTGGCAAAGCTCGATGAACCTAGCTGTGACGTTATTGATGAAATGTTGATGAACTGCATCCACAACCATTCTTTGAGATGTTTTCATCGTCATGTTGGACTACCATTTATTGTTTTGCCACCTGGGTAGGTAGCCATGCTGCCGTGAAATGGACATCGGTGTGTAGCTGGAGCTTTTCGGCAGTGACATTGAGGGCGGGGGAGAATCGGCAAATTGCCAGCGTTATTGACCAGTGTGTCCAACCTGCCGAATGTGTTCACCGCATCTCAACTATTTTTTGCGCAGCACTTGATGAGGTCAGATTGAAGCCAATCGTTGTATTCTTTACAGAATGTTGTTCTGGCTTATTTCTGGTTGATGGGGAGTCTCGGATTTCTGAAAGTAGAGACTCCGCATCTAGAGACTCCGCATCTCTCTCGCTATCGCGTGCCCTAGAAAATGGATCAAACTTGATACTCCTTGGCTTGCGCATTTGAGTGCGATCGCCCGACCAATGCCGGGCGAGCTCCCAGTTATTGCTACTACTCGGTTGCGTAATAGGCTCATAGTTCTATCTATATACAAATTCGCTGAATCTACAGACTGTAGGTGACAGGTATGTCCTTTATTTGATTCCGAAAGGACAGAGTACTAGCACCTTTTCCTACTTGCAAGCTGGTAATGAATCTATAAAAACAGCTTCTGGATGGATGTGCCGTTGGAGAGCCGTTCGGCTATATTGTTCAACCCCGCCATTGATATGACCGGTCTCTAGGCCGATCCACGTACTCTGGAGGAAGAGTATAACCTTGCATGAAAGTTGCAATGATATAGTGATGAAGCTGAGTCTACTTTAGCAGAGTGTTTTCAGAGTCCAATTCTTGACTCGGGCGGAATTTGGATGGGTTCATGCTACGACGTTTTTTGTATATCCAATAGGGCTATGGTAGTGCATTGTGCAATGCATAAAACCTGATTCCCTTACCTCATGAATCCTAAATGTTTCGATTACAAATCTTTGGGAACGACTCATCACAAGATATGATATTAATACCGGAGTCCTTACACAATACAACTGGTCCTGTTTATTGCAACTAAACCTAATTACACTCTGTTTTAAACCTCAACGAATTCTACAGGAAAGTATGTGGACCTCAGTGCTCGCTATATACAAAGTAATATCTGCCATAGATAGCCTCTTGTTTTTTAACAAGAAGGTAATATATATCCTAGATATTCCCAGGTATTTCTCAACTAGTCGCTTAATCTTAATCCTTAATGCTCCAGGGGGAGGCGGCAGTACCTGAAACCACGTAGTAAGATATCCAGGGTCATGTGAATGTACACAGTATCCTGATTCAGAATAATCAATGATAGTATCCAGTGTTATATCTCATTTAGGTAAGCGCCACGCTAATCTTCAGATCTACCCAAAGTGCCGACTCCAAACGAAACAACGTTTATTCATGACCCCAGAAAATCACCGCGGAGTTGCGGAGGATCAGTTTGCACGATGCACAGAACCAAGCGCTGGTCATTTTCTGGGAATGGGCCGAATGTCAGTATTCATTGGTCAGAGCTATACCTGAATATGAAGTAATTTCCGGCATGCATACATGGCAGTAAGCTTACCAGAATCAAGTTATTCCTCAACCTGTACCCTATACTCGGCCTGAATATTGTGGGATTCCCACACAGTGTTCAAAGCACGGTTTAATTATTTAAAAGACAGTCTGACGTTACTTCGGACTGGCCTTGTGTTGAAAGCAGTTAGTAAGGTTCAAGTCTGTTGCCTGGTCATCAAGAATTGCAATTACCCAGCCCGATAATCCGCGATGATAATGTGGTGGCTCCAAGGTCGTATTTATATTCACTCAGTTTCCTCGAACTCGAGATAGAATGTTGGAATCATCGCATGCCAGACAATCAGTGAAAAAGCGACAAAGTAAAGCCATTGGATCCTTTCGCAACTATGTTGAAATATCTTTCCATCGTTGCCGCTACGGCAATCCTGACCGGAGTGGAAGCTCAGCAATCAGTCTGGGGACAATGTAAGAAAATTCTTGAGAAACTTCAGGTCTAAGTTACTGTGTAGTTATTAACATAAATTAGGCGGCGGTCAAAATTGGAGTGGCGCGACATCATGTGCCGCAGGTTCTACATGCAGCACTCTTAACCCTTGTAAGGTGCCAATTGATCCCGTACGTTGGCTTTGATTACTGACACCGATTGCTCATTCAGACTACGCACAATGCGTCCCTGCCACGGCTACTTCGACTACATTGGTGACAACAACATCTTCCAGCAGCGTCGGAACGACACCACCGCCCACAACCACGACGAAAGCTACCACCACTACTCCTACCACAACGAAAGCTACTACCACTGCCGCTGCATCTGGAAACCCTTTCTCTGGATACCAGCTCTATGCCAATCCATTCTACTCGTCAGAAGTATACACTCTTGCCATCCCATCATTGACTGGTACACTCGCCGCTGCTGCAACCAAAGCTGCCGAGATCCCATCATTCGTCTGGCTGTAAGTTTCTCCCATTGAAATCCAATTGAAGGAATAAAAAATATGTGGGGCTTTTTCTAAACCTGTATAGTGATACGGCAGCCAAAGTACCTACAATGGGTACCTACCTAGCCAACATTGAGGCTGCAAACAAGGCTGGCGCCAACCCACCTATTGCCGGTATCTTTGTTGTCTATGACCTGCCTGACCGTGACTGTGCAGCTGCTGCAAGTAACGGCGAATTCACTGTAGCAAACAACGGTGTTGCAAACTACAAGGCTTACATCGATAGCATTGTAGCACAGTTGAAAGCTTATCCTGATGTACACACCATTCTTGTTATTGGTAAGTTCTTTACTTTTGCAAATTGGTGCAATGAGATTCAAATAGTTCAAGGTTTCAAGTCTAACGAATCACGGTATATAGAGCCCGATAGCTTGGCCAACATGGTCACCAATTTGTCCACTGCTAAATGTGCCGAAGCTCAATCTGCATACTATGAGTGCGTCAACTACGCATTGATCAACCTCAACCTGGCCAACGTGGCCATGTACATTGATGCCGGCCATGCTGGTTGGCTCGGATGGCCTGCCAATCTTTCACCAGCGGCTCAACTCTTTGCAACAGTCTATAAGAATGCAAGCGCTCCTGCAGCTCTTCGTGGACTGGCCACCAACGTTGCCAATTACAACGCTTGGTCCATCAGCAGCCCGCCCTCATACACATCTGGCGACTCCAACTACGATGAACAGCTCTACGTCAACGCTTTGTCTCCTCTCCTGACATCTAACGGCTGGCCCAACGCTCACTTCATCATGGATACTTGTAAGTGTGCTGCATATGATTTGATCACTCAATTCACTAACCAAAATTGTTTTTTAGCCCGAAATGGTGTTCAGCCGACCAAGCAACAGGCATGGGGTGATTGGTGCAATGTTATCGGAACCGGCTTCGGCGTCCCTTTCACAACCAATACCGGTGACCCACTTGAGGATGCCTTCGTCTGGGTCAAACCAGGTGGTGAGTGTGATGGTACATCAAATAGTTCCGCACCTCGTTACGATTATCACTGTGCCCTCAGTGATGCACTTCAACCGGCTCCTCAGGCTGGTTCTTGGTTCCAAGCATATTTTGTCCAGCTTTTGACCAATGCCAATCCATCTTTGGTCTAAATCAGCATTGAAAGCAACATATTCCTTTTGAGGGTACTTTATTTATATTGAAATCACATTCCTTCATTCAAACATGTCTCAAGCTTCAATATATCGCAGATAATAGTATGAAATGAGCTGTATTAATTCCGGTATTTCTAGCTAAGATAGTAAATCATTCTATTTCAATATGCGTCCAGCCGAGAAGTCTAGCGGCCTTTTCAGTGCTCCAGAATGCCTGGTTTTTTGACATGTCGCCTCTAATCTCCGCCAGAGGAAAATACTTTCGAGCGAGTTCTGCCGACGGTATCTCCTGTGTTGTAGTCGGGGAAATGATATTTATTACCTCGAATCCTTTGATGCTCTCACTCTTTTCAACTGCTAAAATACAAGCTCTTGCCACTGCACGAGGACTAACCCACCCCCAAAGTTGTTGAACCCCAGATTCTTGCCATCTATCGTGGTGTCTTTCCCTAACCTCCTTCAACGGGGCAACCTCGTGTATTCTCAAACAGGCTATACTCAACCCCGGGAACCAATCAGTGAAGCACCTGGCTTGATACTCGGCTTCGGCTTTAGCCAAAGCGTAAGCATCTGTAGGCCGCTGTGGCGCATCTTCATCGATGGGAAAGTAATCGAAGTGTAGGGGCTTATTCGCGAAAGCCAAACCGATGGCATTGACTGATGATGCATAGCATACTCGCTTTATTCCCAATTCACCGGCGGCGTGGAATCCATTGAAAGCCGCGTTGACATTGTTATTATGGACATACCAATTGGTCTTCCCGATTGGATCTGGAACAGCGGCGAAGTGTATTATCGCGTCACAGCCTTTGAAGGCTTCAAGTGTAGCGTCATAATTGTTGGCAATGTCTGCAGTCCTCATCTCCGAATTCAGTGTTCCATCGTGTTCGGTATGAGTGCGATTGATCTGCACTGTATGATGACCTGCTTCGGAGCAGAGTTTCACCAAGGTTTTTCCAACAGATCCACGAGCCCCGGTAATTGCGATCTTCATGATAGTATTGCGTGTTCTGTGCAGTAGTTGCTACCTTATGCAATACGATGTGTGTGATGATGATTCAGCAACCTAACCGCCACTGCATAAGACATTCGATCTCGAGAGACGATGGCCGAGAGCGTTAGAAAAGGTCGGAAAAGTAGTCTCGGTCGGAACACCACACTATGTCCTCCTTGCTCAATCTTTTTAGTTGTGGAAAATTGTCTTGTGGCGGGTTTTGTTAAACATGGCTGCTTTCTATCAGTTTGTCGTCATAAGCACGGCAATGTTGGCCGGGCTTCCGGCCAGCAGCGATGTCGTACATCTTGAAGCAACACCGTATATTGAGAAAGCTTGAAGCATGTCTGTACTTGCGGTATATATTACTATTGTTCTTAGTATATAATACATGCATCTGCTGCGATAACGAGCAACTTGGTCTCTTTCTTTTCCTTCGAATCTAGACGTTGTTGCTTCTTACTCTGTTCGGAAGGTATGGGAAAACGTGAACACACAAGCTCCTTATTCGATCGGACAGCTGCCAATAAAGAGCCAATTAGTAGACTGTGGTCGAAAGAATATGCGAATATAAAGTCGACCGGGACTGTCAATATCGTATTACTGCCTAAGGTGAGTAATCCCCAATAATAGTCCACTCAGTCAAACTTTCGTGTAGCCCTAATTTTGAATTCACCCTACGGATGAGCATAAAGGAAGAAATTCCCGCGTCGACAGGTCCCATGTTGAAAGAATTGTTTCATGCTAGAACCCTGAAATTTATGTTAAATTGAGAATAGCCTGAATGCATGACACACCCTCCCCGCATCGAATCTAAATGGTGGAAGAACTTTAAATTTCAAGAAATCTCTTTCAAAGATCAACAACTTTATTTATTCGGTAAAACTCTGAAGAAGCCTTGCGAGCGGGGTGTACGGCATCATTGTATGGTTGTTTCCTCTGCCTGGATATGCTCGGTATAGTGATTGTCCGGAAGGTATATCAAACATCTCAGCTTAAAGCAACTGGCATTAACACTGTCTTTCCCCTCTTCATGATTTAGCGTATACCCCCACAATAATCTCGGGATGGTCCATCGACACGCTGATTTCATTGGAACAGCCGAATGAAATGTTATCCTAGTTGGCGATATCCCCGACAATACGGTTTACAATTGAATCATGTAGTATATGCAGTCAAGTAATTTCCACTAGCGATTTTTTTTCTGGGCTCAGGTGGGTGACTACCAGACAATATCGTTTCGTTTTATATCTACTCGCCATGATCTATCCACCAGTGAGCTTTCAGTATATGCGAGATAACATGCTCTATTCGACGATTTAGGTGCTGTCGCCTATAAGACAAAAAGCTAAAGCATGGAAGGACAACTTATTTATTTGTGGGGTGCGATTCATGATCCTCCAGGTCTTGGTACTTTGTGGCAAGATACAGCTTTCAAACCCCAGTCTACTTTCTTCGTCCAAAAATCTTAAGGCACAAGACGCCAAACATCTTGGCAACATGTGGCTTTCAGCAGCACTTGCTACCATCTTCTTTTACCTTGCTTCTGCACAAAATGCATTTTCCGGGGCAGTTGGTTTCGGAGCAATCGCAACTGGAGGTAACAGTGGCACGACTGTCTATGTCACAAACCTCAACGACTCAGGCACAGGCTCGTTTCGTGATGCAGTAAGCGAGTCAAACCGTAATATAGAATTTCAGGTCAGCGGCTATATCGAATTGTCATCGGCAATTTCTTTGTCGAGTGATATAACTATCAATGGTCAGACAGCGCCAGGCAGTGGCATCGGGATCATGGGAGGCGAAGTGTCGGCATCTGGGAAGACCAATATCATCATTCGCAATTTCCGGATGAGACAGGGGACTCTTGACTCGGATACTGGAAAGAGTGCATTCAACATGGGCGATGCATCCAACATCATCCTAGATCATTGCTCTGTGGAGTACGGTCAGTGGGATTCCGTCGATGCTGTCGGTGCCGTGAATATTACTGTCTCAAACTCCATTATAGCGTTACCTATCGGCCAACAGTTCGGAGCTCATGTTGAGACCGGACCGGCCACGTTCTATGGCAATCTCTGGGTGAGCGCACACAATCGGCAACCTCTTGCCAAGAGCAACACGCAGTACATCAACAATGTCATATACAATTATCAAGCAGCGTACACAGTTGCTGATACCAGCGGAGACTTTTACCATGACATTATCAACAATTACTTTATTGTCGGGCCTAGTACCACAAGTTCCCACAATGCGTTTTATCAGATCAATTCTGGACAGACGGTCTACGCCACTGGAAACTATCTTGACACTAACAAGGATGGCGTCTTAAACGGAGCATCCTACAACACGGTGGGAAGTGCAACTGTAGCCAGTACTCCGTTTGCAGATACGTCGCTCAGTATGGCCAGCCTCACTGCCGCTCAAGCATATACTTCTGTTTTGGAGAGTGCCGGTGCCAAACCTCGAGATGAAGTAGATACGTATGTCGTTTCTCTTGTGCAAAGTCTCGGGACAGAGGGAAAGATTATTACCAACCAGGATGACACAGGTCTATCAAATGGAGGTTACGGAACATTGTAATTTGACCATATGTAAGGCCTAAGCTGAGCAAGTTTGCATATTTGAAATCGTTTCCAGTTCTACTCCGTTATTATTAGCACTTCTGCCCGTAGTCTTACTCACGCTTTCATTCACAATTTCTGATAAATCTCAACATCCTAATCTTGGCAACAAAGTAGGCATTAGGTCGTGTCGTCGATCACCATAGTTGCGGGGTATAAGATTGTAGATATTTTCCACCTATGAACAGCAGTTTTCTGATACTTTTGTTTGCTTTGATGTATGAATTAATATTAGATGAGCTCGACTTATCTGCGCAGTCCTCACTATCGTAATATTTAGTCCATATGCTGATGTTGAAATATTGAGACCCCTAATTGAACGCTATTAAGGTCAGAAATATACTATCAAATTATGAAAATGCATTCGATTCAACTCCTGCTAGCTATCTTATGGATCAATACATGTATAGTTTTCGCCGAGCAGAAACTTTACTCGACGTGGATGGTGGACTCCATGATCGCCATTGGTATAACCCCAACCCGATATTACACCCAAGCCACATTCTATCGAGGGGTTGAATTCGTGTACAACAAAACTCAAGATTCTAAATACTCCTCTTTCCTGACCTCACAGCTAGATGCTGTTCTAACCTCAAATGGTACATTTGTTGACTGGGATTACACGAGCCATCAGCTGGACAATATACGTGTCGGCGAGACTCTCCTATTCTTGTACGGTGCCACTGGCGATGTGAAGTACAAGAATGCCGCTGATTTCCTTCGAGATCAAATCAATCAGCAGAAGCGCACCGTGTCCGGCGGGTTTTGGCACAAGGATCCCAATTATCCAAACCAGATGTGGCTGGATGGGCTTTTCATGGCTGAGCCTTTCTATGCACAGTACACATCAATGTTCGAGCCAGACAATGCGACTGCTTGGGATGATATCGTGCATCAATTTGATCTTATAGAATTTCACTGCCCAAATCAACAGACAGGTCTGCGTTATCATGGGTATGATGAGAGCTTCGTGGCCGTTTGGGCAAACAATGTCACCGGAGCCTCGCCTCATGTATGGGATAGGGCAGTGGGATGGTACTTCATGGCGCTCGTCGATGTACTAGACTGGTTACCAAAATCACATCCGGGGCACTCTAGATTGTTGGGTTACTTCACAAAGCTCGCTATGGGGTTGAAAAGGAATTGGGACTCACAGGGCGGGTGGTGGCTGGTAATGGACGCACCATATCCCGGTATGGTTGGAAATTATATTGAGAGCAGTGGTACAGCCATGTTCATTTATGGGTTCCTTAAGGGCATTCGAGAGGGATATTTGGACAAGAGCTCTTACAATCAAATAGCAACACGAGCTTATGATGCCATGGTTAAAAGGTTTGTGGGAAGAAATGAGACTACTGCCATGTTGACTTGGGAAGGGACGGTGAATGTAGGGAGCTTAAGTGGAAATGCTTCATATGAAGTAAGTCACTTCTCATATGTCTTTCCGCTTCTATGTCGCAGTAAAAGCTAACAAGCGTAGTACTACATTTCACAGCCAGTTGTTGAGAATCATCTGAATGGGGCAGGGCCGTTTGTATATGCGAGTACTGAGTTTGAAGCCTTGCAGGGGTCATAGGTGTGCTTTTTAGAACCAGTGACATTTGACAGTGCTCATGGTAGCAGTTTGAAACAAGCACTGATCCGATTTCTACACGATCTTTTGATTATAGTTGCCTCTTTTTTGCTGTGAGGGCATCGAACAAAGCCTGCCTGAATTCTCTCAAACATGATTGGACTCCTGCAAGATATTGATCTAAGAGATATTAATGGTCGTCACATTAAGACCTACGTGGGCCTTCCTTCTATAATAGCGATGGGTGTTGATAAGCGAGMAAGCCACAAAAAGCTACCTGGTCGCCAGTAATCCGTCTCGACATTCCGACGAGATTTTTTATTCCCCCACAAGTGCGTCGGCATAGACAAGGGCTCATACGTACAGGTATGTCCATTCATCATCAAGTGGCGACTTGACACCGAAACTTGCTTGCAAAACTTGTCATCAGTTCACCGATGCAGCTACGTCAATATTCCCCGTGCAGTAGTCTCTAGACCGATGTACATCTCAAGCCGAGGTATCCGGGGCTTGTAATGAACTCTGGTTCATGTGAGTCCTTTCTCCGTAGATAGGAACGGATAAGACACTTCCGCTGAGGAGTTGCGTTTGGGTCGCAGCTCTGACCTAACGTACAATGAGTCCTGTGTTTACTTAGAGTAACGTTGTATCGGCCAAAGTCAATATCATCGTGATCGTAGATGGGTTCATTGCCTGAGGCAGACAAGGATGAACCGGATATCATTTCCGTGCAGCCGATTCAGCCCAACAACACCAGTCCTTGCCTTAAACAGCCAGAGTGGTTATCCTCGTTGCTTCTTTCAGACCGTTAGTAGTTACGCCTGTCCACTTCAGTGTTTATAATTATCCCTCTGAGGAAGGTCAATGCCTGCGGTTCTTAATGGCAACCTGGCATGTACAGGTGGCGGCCCGAATAGGTTTCCTATTTTCCAGATTTGCATCTCGTATTCGGGCGAAGTGAACTTAACGTTGGATCTTGCCAACTCGAGCTGAGTCTGGAATGCCACCGTCCATAAACCAGAGTTTGAAGGCGCCGTTAGTTGTCAACCATTCCGGTTTGTGTTCAGCGCCACGGCGGCAGCGAAGGCGTCATCTTTTATGCTTGAAACGAGTCAGTAATTGCATACAGACTACGTATACAAGAGTGATTCACGGTACGTACGATACCATGTAACCATGAAGATCAAACATCGTCTTGCAGGTATTTTACCCGAACAATCAAGAAAATTCCCGAATTGGGGCAACCTAATTCGTCAACCTACGAAGAAATGGAATAATGACGGGACGTGAGTGGACCAGAACTACAGGCGCAGTTCATCTCAAGTCCAATCATATGTGGTCTTGAGATCTCATCATGGTGGCATGGCCGAAACACCTAGAGCATGTATTCTCCATACGGAGCACGGAGTATGGCTTTATTTACATGCGGGCCGCTCGGTGGCCCGCTATAAACTCAGAAATCCTTAAATTTGAGACTTTTGAATCGGACAATGTACATCTGGCACAGATATGGTGGGTCTTTTGGTGACAGAATACCGGTACGTATTTACTTGGTGCTTCCATTTCCATGGTTCATCAAGTCAGGCAACTTGATACATGTCATATTTCTTTCCGTGGACTGATAAGCGGGTAGTTGCGTTCCGACGTGCTATCGAAGTTTTTATCTGTGACCTATCATTCGTTGTTTGATAGTCTCCAAAGACGATTGCTGATAGAAGTGGTTGATTATTACTTTCTGCAGGAACGAGATATCGTCAGTCGTGACCAGTATGTGCTTTGTATGCAAGCCCATATCATCGGCCGGATTATTTCCATGTAACATACCCTCCAAAGTTGAAACAGCCGAGGCCAAATAGAAAAGTGGACACGGTTCATGAGCGTATCGGCATACTTTGAACATAGTCAATGATAGTGATAATCTAGCAATATTAGGAATCTACTCTGTTTATGTGAGCCTTGGGATGGAGAATAGATGACATCATTTGGATATGTCTGTGCTCTAGACTATTGAATGTCTCTTGTTGCCAGAACGACATCACTGCCGCTGTCATTGCCATCCCAGAATCCAATTTTTAGAATGCAAGCAGATCAATAGCGATTCCGCTGTCAGTGTCAAGCTGTCAACGCTAGTTTCATTCCAGAGGCGACGGTTGACGTACGCAAGAGCAGTGCGAAGAAGGGCCAACGGTTGAGAAAGCTAGTTTGAATGTGAACTAAGTTATGCAGTGCAGCTCTGGCCGATTCCCTAAGGGAAGGGATGATCTGTTGGAATGAAGAGTGCAATACGAGGAGCCTAGATTGTAAACGAGCCGACGTACATGCTACTACATAGGAGGTACTTGACACTACGTACCCGGTACATGCCTTTACTACAGTACTGAACACTAAGCAGGGAGGGTGAGATAGAGTTTGCGAATCTCAGATATGTACTAATCCTATTACATAACTAGCGCCAAATGAGTATTTCAAATAATCATGGCCAATCAGATACCCAAGCTAGTCCCCGAGTGGAGCCCGAAGATCCCAAGATGGTCGCCGAAGACTAGCGCGGGCCCAAAGCGGGCTAGCATCCCTGATCAGTATACACGTAGGGCTAAGTGCGTACCCAACAAGTCACAACGGTGGTGTGGGTGGGGGGATCAGGTGTCCTAACACAGTAAATGGTGGCGCCCGGGATGGCTTGTGTCATTAATGGTATTGTCGTATGAACTACCAGCGACTACGTTAGCACCCTCGCGTACTTGTAAGCAGTAACAGTAACTACGGACAACCGTTTATGCGCCGTGGGTTGTCACAAGTCATACGGTACTTACCCCGTCCTACCTCTTGCTTTTTAGTATCTTACCAGTGAGTCGGTAGTGCGGCATATCTCGAACGGTTCATTATGTAACTATGCATGATCGCGAGAAATGCTGTCGTGTTTCAAAGATCAAGGTTCAGTATGTTGATAGATTACCGGTCGGGAGGACGGCGTCGTCCGTATGTGCTGAATTGCCTCCTAACCTCAACGGCCACTTTATTGGCTTTCAGGTACAATGGCTTCATTTGCCGTAACAGCAAATCAGGTCTATCTATCTATTCCAAAACCGAGACCGAGGACGAGCGAGACACCGGGCGCCGGCGGACGGACAATAGGATCGCCATCGCATCTATGGTCCTCAGGTCTTGAGCTTGGAAAGCACAGAACAAAATTAACCCATATCCAATCATTCCCACGATGGGCCTGTCGTAGGCGCATTGGGCGGGGAGCGATTTTCTAGCTACGAACAGACCATTGAGAAGCTAGAATACGTAACTGTCTGGGCTGGCTGAACTATGAACAAATGTCCGAGTCGACTCGATAGCTTCATGTGTGGATTTCCGGATTCGGGGGCATGCTGAATGATCAGCGAAGCCTTTCAACGAGTCAATGCAGTCTCGGAAAATTTTCATGTCTGTGTCTGTGTCCGTGTGTACACTTGACTGTGGATAGACCGACTAGTTTGTCCAGAGCGAGTTAGGGTTATCTCGAATCCGCCCGTTCACTCAACGAGGTGGCTTGTGCACGAAAACGATGCTGGGGGTCCCGTCTCCAACTGCACACCATTGAGATGTACATCTTGATAGTCCTGACTAGATTTCATGGAAGAATCCTGTACTTACAGTCATATAGGTACTCATTTCTGTACATTGTGAATATTTATTTCCCTTACTCACATAGCCCTCCTGAGTATTTTCAGGCGATTTCAACGGCGGCAATTAGCGTTCAGGGGCTTGCTCGAATGGTCAGTTCATCCAATCAGCAGCTTACAGTGCCTGGCTGCGCCCCGCCTGTCCGGGACGTACCAAGGAAAATCATAACGGCGAACCACGAATCGTCTGTAATTACCTCGTATTGTCCGTCGTACTTCTTGCCCATTTAGTCACGTGTGCTCTTCTACCCTAGGACGATCCTCGCGTTGTTACACAAGAGTCTTCAGACATCTTTGACGCTGATGAGAAAACGCTCGAGTTGAAGACATGCATCGACATCGGTATGCTCATGACTTGACCAGCMCCAGCCACACAGTCCCACGAGCCCGGTGCCGACCTTTCATGTCGATTTTCTCGTTCAGCTGGTGACTGACCAGGTCCGTTTCGCATCTCGGGAACGCCGTACGAGGAACAGGCCGGAAATAGATTCATCAATCAGTCAACGTAAACGACCTACAGTGCAAGCTATAATGAGATTTGATATAAGTCTCATTGCCTGCTTCTAGGGATGTATTTGAAATTTTGAGTTGCATCGACCAGATCCCCTATAGAGAAGTTGATGGGAAAATCGTAGACGACCCGAGCAAAACCGGCGCTATGGCGTACCCGTGAATGTGGCACGAACGGCTCGGTTGAAGAGCTAAACACGGGCTGTGACAGGGCCTTGATTGAGTGGTGGGTCACACGTTTTAGGTCCAGAGGAGGATCCTCTATGCTCCATGACGGAATGTGAACGAAAAGAGTAATCATGGTACGTGACTAATTTATTTTGGGAAAAGGCTGGCTGAAGAGCTTCCTCTGTTCATCTGACTGCGTTTCGATTCGGGAATAGTCTCGATCGATCCGGACCGTATACATCGTACGTACTATTACGACGGGGTCTTATTAGGTGGTAAGTTGTATTTGTAACAGACGCTTGTACTGAAAAGACGCACTATGTACTACGTACAGCCATTAAGCGAGCAGAAATCCGATCGATATGGCCCCATTGTGGAGTCCTGGGTGACTCAATTAGTCGGCGTATCTCCAAGAGAAAGATACGTCTTGAGTAGCACCTTGACCTACTCCGTACATGGCAACAATTCAACAACACCAGTGCGCTGGGTCTCAATATACATAATATGGGCCGTCCTAAACACCAAGTCAGTGATTGGAAGATGACGCGGGATCATCGACCCCTGCGGTGCTATCCTTGAATCCTTGGAGCGCGGATCCACAGTGAACATTGCTCTTCAGTGTCAGGCTTAGTAGAGTATGTCAGTACTATGTATGTAGTACGTACTTACAAACTCGGTACAAGTATCCAGAGCGAGGATGTATTTAGCGATCTATGCTCACGCGCTGGATCCACCCTCCTAGCAACCTAGCAAGCATCCTACCGAAACTAACAGGGAAAACAAACAAAAATCCACCAGAACAAGGCCCATCAACATCTCCACGATCTGTTTTACCACAGTTGCATAGTGCAGCTGCCACACACAGATGATTTGCTGTGCTCGGGGGAAAAATGAAATGAATAAGCTCCACTTACTCGTACATAGTACGTATGTTTATTTACACAAGTTGGTACTCCGTACGGGGCTTACTTTCGAAGCAGTCAGATCCTGGATAGTGTGTATCCGTATTATTCAATCGGGCGATCTGAGTTATTCCTTTTCCAGTTCTTACTTGGTGCTAGTACTACCACGTACCATGAAATCCCCTGTAAGAAGGTCCCCGTATCTACGATATGTGTAATAGCCGGTACGAGAGAAAGTGATTGTGATGGGGAATATGAAGATGCATAAATCCTGATCGTACCAGATTGATGATAATACACGACTTGCCCCTCCTCCTTCTCATTCTATTATCTACATATTTCATGCCTAGGGCTCATATCCAAGCAGATTCGATGCGACATTCTATACTAGGCTCTGATATCTCCAAGGATCAAAATTTCCCAGACAGACCCCCGTCTAGACTGATTCATTTGGTCTTCAGGGCGCCCGTCGCCTAGCCCAAAGTGTCTCCTCCCCCCCTGTCATTCCTGTCATCCACGCTTGTGCTTTTAAGTTAGTTCGTTAGCTGCTATCCTCAACCATACCCACTCTGTTGGTTTATTCCCATCTAGGTTCCTACGGAGCAGAACCTTTCTTTTTAGCCGTCTTTTAGAACCTTTTTGTGTTTTTTAGTTCCGAAGATCTCAGATCTGGTTGTGGGCTACTTTTCTCGTACGTACTTACCACTTCGAAGTTGGTGCTTGCCCCATCGGCCGTGGCGTCCCTGCTTTTTCCCTGGTGGGCTCTGGTTGGATTTCCGAGTACATACTTAACCACTTGGCCGCCGCCGTCCTCTTCTCTTCGTCATCTATCAATCACGACACCAACAGGGTTTCTTATACATCAACACTGAATCAACATCATATAGATAAACAGCAGGCAACATTAAAGAACAGTTGTTTGACACAAAGGTCAAAAAATTCAATTCAAGTAAGTGCGAGTTCCGCTGTTGGGCGGCTAATAACCCCTCCTTCGATATTTCGTGAAAGAAGAGGCAAAAGACACCATGTCTTACTTTTTTCGATCATTGTGTGTCTGGTACAATTCGAAGGCTAACATTCTGGTCAGACTATTTAACTCATCTTTAATCTATTCGGCATTGCTTTGCCATGGCGCCAACTCACCGGCGTGGTCCCTGGGTCCAGGAAGAGGACAATACTCTACTTCAACTAGTACACGAGCAAGGGCCTAACAATTGGGTTCGCATTTCACAGCAGATGCACTTTCGTTCTCCCAAACAATGTAGAGAGCGATTCCATCAGAACCTCAAGCCCTCTTTGAATCACACTCCAATCTCAGCTGAAGAAGGACTTATGATCGAGCGCATGGTCAACGAGATGGGTAAGCGCTGGGCAGAGATTGCACGTCGACTAGGCAACCGCAGTGATAATGCAGTCAAGAACTGGTGGAATGGCAATTTGAATCGCAAACGAAGAGGTCTTGTGGTGCAGACGACAAGTCAACACTCTTCACGCACCTACAACGGCCGCATCGAGGCTCCATMCCCGCGAGCCAGTGAACATCGACATCATAATGACCTTCGACGTCCATCAACTTCATCAACCAAGGCTTCTTTCAACCACAGCCCTGTCATGGTCTCCCAACTGATTCTTCGTGAGCGACCAGTCTCACCAAGCCACCAAGACGATATTTCACGGCGCCTTGCACCTATTCTCACTTCTACCACTAGTAGAATAGAGCCATCAATGACATCTCCAGCATTCTCGGAGATTTCCACCCTTGAGCCGCCATCAATGATGTCAGATCACAATTCAGTTTCTTCTGCTTCACCGAGGACATTACCATCTCCTCAGATGTTGCCGCTACCCATTGATTCCCGCCAGCCTTCCTGGTGCTCAGAGCAGCATCGACGAGGAAGCATGCCCACCTACTCAACTTATCTCACCTCTTCCGCCAAGGAGGAGATCTACTTCTCGCACAATCCTGACCAAGAAACTAGCTACGCTAGACATTGGAGTGTCGACCACAACTACAGCAAGTCTGTTGCTGAGCCAGCTTCATCTTCAGAACGCCGTGATTCTCGCATGGGTCTACAATCATTGCTCAACTAAAGCCATACATTAATACCCTCACTAATTCCCTTTGTTCGACTACAATTTTTTTTCTGGCATTTTACGGGCTTTGGCGGATACGTTTACTGATTTTGGAGCGGAGGCTTGGTCTGGTCGGGATACTGGAATACCTTAATTTTATCGTTACTGGATGCTTGGGAAACCGGGGTTCAAAAAAGCATATTAGGCGCAGGTTCTATCATTATACCACTTTTGACTGTTTTTGTTATACCACCACATTGTTTTCTTGTGTGATAGTGTGCTATTATTAATTGTTGAACTCTCTGTATGATTAATTACCAACTACTTGCTTACATCAATGGCAACACAAAATCCATAGTGTATCAACGAATTGCCTGTCCTAGCACGATAATCGAGATCTAATTCCTGTACATCTAGCAAAATCAGCCCCTTGATTGAGAACAGAGTTCGCCCTTGTCAAGGTCAAGACCCAAACTCCGACGTGACGGGGCTGGCTGTGGTTGACTGAACATGGAACACCCTCGTGACGTGTACATATAATGTTCCTTGGTATATTCTATGGAAATCTCCGTATGTCAGTACGTACCCTGATGAGAAAAAGCAATACGCCAAGCAAGGGGGATGGGTTACATTTCATCTACGATTTACTCGGTCGAGGCTGACGGGCGTTGTTGATTGGATGCACCTGTACATACTTGCCTACCGGATATAAACCTGGCTAATTATTTTCTTTTTTCTGATATCCATTCGCAAGTCACTATGGAGTACTGACTATGTGCAGGTATACAGAAAAAGGAACGTGAGTAGATCAACTGTTTAATGACAGGCGGTGGTATCCACTCACTACCACGTAGATACCCAAGCTAAATTCTGCATTTCCAGTGTCTAGACGTCAAGAATCACTTTCAATCAAATTCAAACAAGGTAAGCGAGCGGCCAATTGTTGACCTTTGCATAGAAGCGAAATCCTTCCCGGTCCCGGCGGTGTCACAGTGATGATGTTGAACCAGGTATATCCTTGTTACTCGCCAACTCAGCGACTTAATTGGCCACTGGGCCGCTCATCAAGCCCTGTCAATCTAATTTTACTAGCTGCCACTACGAGGCTAAATAGAAAAAGAGGTCACAAATGAAAAGAGGGGCCGCGCCGTTATTTTAGCGGCAAGCCCTAACCAGCTTAAGGCAGCCGTTGGCGCAGGCACTGGCACTTTGGGGGAATTCGTTCTTAATTTTGAGTGTGAAATGACAATGTGTCAGAATTGAATGATATTGACCTTAGTTTAATTGGACAGGGATGTTAATCCCGGGAAAAAATAGATACTGAGAAGGCTCTTATTACCAAGCCGTGCACCCTTGGCTTCATATATATGTGTTGGGTTAATTAATATACACCCTACAATCTGAGCTTCCCGATTCAGCTCATCTTTGAGATGAGGTATAATTGATGATGATATTGTTGAAATATGAATCGAACCCCTGTTCAGTCTTGAATTTTGGGAACGAATGAGCGTACTGCGATGACCATCTCGGAGAATCACGGTCTGTTGAGGAGAAAGGATTTTGCAAGATCGTCAAGTGCAATATGGTATGCCGTCAATGAATGAGTCTAATGTCTGGGTACCCGATTACTACCGTATTTCAGATAGTACGAATCATGAAGGCTGATTCAGCTAAGTCTTTGTTGAATCTAACGTGGGAAGTGACGCTCTGCTCGTCCCTGGTGGCTGAGAGTCTTTCTGTTACAGGAAATTCTAGGGTTATTTGGTCGGCGACTGGAGATGAGAGATCCCTGCTATGGTTTCCCTTGTTTGCAGCGTTCATTACTTTTCGAATGCATGTGCCGCTCTGCACGATTCTTCAGTCAAAACCCGAGCGAAGCTTAAGGTACATGTTGACTATGCACATACCCATGGTCACCGAGTCGCCGATATCCTTGTCAATCTTTCTTTCAATTTAGGAATATACTTGAGTCCCTTTTTAGGATATACCATCATGAACTCCCATACTCAACGGCGATGCTCGGTAGGGAGAATGAAGGAGCATTTTTTTGTAGCAGTGGTAACGATATTAGTAGAAGAAAAAAGGAGATCAGCTGTGGAGCAAAGTAATTCCAAATCATTGTCCTTAGCGCAATCCATTCAGCGGCCCACTGGCACCGGGTGGGGATCCCTGTCAAAACACCTTCCAGCCTGTCAAAGCTCGATGCTCCAAGGATGCATTCCAGATCGAATCGCGGCACTATTGCACTAAGGTTACGGATTACATATTTCATCTACATGAACATAGATTAGCGGAGGTTAAATATCTCAATTTCCAAGGCAAAATCTACTAGTTTCATTGGTTGCAAGGCACAAGAAAGAAGAAGAGATGAATTGATCGACAGCCGTGCGTAACGGTCCTTGCCTGTCAGTGTGCATTGCAGAGCAGGGCAGCGAGTTCAGTGCTTAAGCGATGGTGCCGGTGTTATGGAACCGCGATGTGGCTTGCCTGGTTTTCTGTGATCTGCGACGGGAATATGCAATAATTGAAGGTGCAACGAATGACAAGGGTCAATCACCCTTTTGCTCTCTCGTGTGATCTGTACTTAATACCACGCATACAGCACGGAGTGCGTAGTGCGTACGTAGGATCAATAGCCGGATCGGGAAAATGTGACTCGTCAATCCTTTTGCCGCGTGGGATTCTGTTGGGAAAGATCTCGGGTTGTTACGTAGGCTTAAAGATCGTGATATAGGGGCTTAGATAGTAATGGTGAAGCAATATGATGATCATCAGCAGTAGTGATTCTATGTTGAAGAGTACTAGTAGTATTCCTTGTTAGTGTTTGTTACGTACTTTGAGCTGTTTCGCTGGTAACATGCTATGTAACATGCTCGGCTAGAATCCGATCGCGCTATTCCCTTTGTGAGCTAGTCGGAGCCAGGCCGAGATCAAGCGATACTGTAATTATCAGTATTTCTGTTACTGCCCTAGTACCGAAGGATTCTGGCTAAGGTTCGCCGTTGAGCAACATCAGCACAGACGCTCTGCTGCAGATCCACTTTTCTCCATTCCCCGACCCAAGGAAAATAGATTTCGTCGAACGGTACGACGTCGTACAATAAGCACAATACGTCTGGAATAGCCCATCCCATTCAAGCGATGCGTAACAGAAACAATCTACCCCACATATCTCGTACGGGCATGGCACGCGCACCACTCCGGACATACCTACCTAAGCTCTACTTCTGAGCATGCAGCTCGCGCCTTCGCACTCCTTTGGGATACTCGAGTCATCCCATCTGTCCCTTTTGGGTCGCATGGCGAGTGGCACGAGCGATGAATCAAGAAGCTGTTTTGCGACCGGTATTGTTCGCGTCCAGGCTTGCGCTACCCCGTAGGCGTGCTGGACATTTCATCGTGGGAAAATCAATTGGTACTTACTACTCTGGCTCATGGTAGATCGTGACATCAATGTGTAAAAAGTAAAAGTACGTAAAAGCAAAAGCACTTCTAAGTATGTAGGTACATAACTAGCCCGTCGCTAACAACCTAGATAGAAATTTATATTTCCAGGCCATGTGATAGGCTCATGGAACGGAAATGGCCCGTTCCGCGCCGTTATTGGCCCAAGGTCCAGCAATCTACTTCCCGTCCAAGATAATGCTGTTATTGGTTATTCATGCATTAATAGGTTGAATACTTACTTTAACAAGTTCAACGATTCAACGTTACGAGATATGTCGTTTAATTGGATTCTACTACGGTTCGGGAAATAATTAGACATTTAGAGAAATGGTCTATAATTTCCCATTTGCCGTGGAGAATATATCCAGGGATATCCATGGAAGTCCCAACTAATGTTGTAGAGAGGGAATATATATTTTAATGGGTGGATGCATTTTGCAAACGCAGAATCGGGACTTTAAATTCGAACCAGGACTTCCTTAAATCAATTCGCAGAGCAGCAATACTGGTAGCCTCACATGACATGTACAGCGTAAGTTATCATCATGTCATCATTGGAAGGAGATTCGTACCCAGGTCCACGGGCACAAATTCCGAACATAACAGGGTATCGACCTATGCATATGTTGCACAGGCTTCACGTAGAAAGAGATCATCCATTTACGCTCATATCAATTTTGATTTATATACAGATTCTCACTCGTGTGACACCGTTGGTCTCAAATGTCATCAATGTGTAATCGGCGAACTGACCAACCTCGGGATTTCACTGTTGGGTCGTGTAGCCTCATCGCAACGGAGAGTTCGTTATTTGAACCAGGCCACGTCCACCCTCTTGGTAGCATAGGCAGGGAATAACTGGATAGATGCAGGTAGCCTCAACGGCGATATTTGCGACTGTCGGGTATAGTCGACATCTGTTGGTATTCCTGGGTCAACGTACGGGTTCGGGTGAATATAGAGCATCACGCAGGTTCGCTGAAGTCTACTTCAACATGACACAGGAAGCTTGTTATGTTTGTTTATAATCTTTCATGCTCTGGATAGGTGCATATCAGTAAGATAAGGGCTGATCTAATATCATTTAGGTGGTGGCATCGATCAAGCTCAAAACCTGGCATTTCAGCGGTGACGAGAATTACAACACTGGGACCTGGAACTCACCCTTCTCTTGATACAACTTGAATCTTACACCTGATAGGATTCGTTGTTTGTACGACTACGTAGAAAGCTATCTATGTCGTATGAAGGTATCAAGTAATGGCCTGGTAGTACTACGGGTACCAACCGCAAAGTCTTCAGGTGAGACCGTTCTCTACCGGATACACACATGATCTCCGATGCTATATATCTGTTGCTATGCGTTAGAAATTAGATCACTACCGAATAAGTCATGCAGACTCAGAGGAAGCAATTGAAATCCGTTGGAATTTTCATTATGTAGCTAGATATCTCTTATCGTCCAAGTCGTAAATAGAAGTTCAAGTTCGTCATCTTGTATGCTTTTGTCTTATCCAAAATAGAACGCCGTTTCAAATGTTCATTGAGTCGAGTTTGCTAAGATTGTATATAGTGTGCAAAATGTCCTTGAGGACATCCATTGCTTCTTCTCCGGTTTCTCCATGTCTGCAGAACTCTTCCACATGGGAAAGAAGCGCATTCATTGAAACATATCCTCTGCCCGACGTCTTCTACCACCACGTCCTTCCAATTTGTTCGAGAATAGCTCCTTGCCGGCATTGGCGTTGTATTTATCTGGGAATAATTCCTTGACAGCTTGAGTGTTCCCCTTTGCATGACCACGGAGAGCCATGCCTATGTCATTAGAAGCTCCTTTGATGTAAATCTGATCCTGAGCTCCATCAACAAGAGGCACACTGATTCTCTTCGCGAACAGATCAGCAGTCTCATCTGCAGCGTCAAATGCATCCGTGCGTCTATGGTTGCTGTTCGTCTTGGCCGGGAAAAGTTCTTTCTTGAGAAAACTTGCAGCAGTCCGGTTTGGAAACAGCTCCCTGGTGTCTTGGCTATCGCCTGCAGGGAATAATTCTTTGGTAGTGTTGGCGTGACTGCCACTAGCGAGCCTAGGAGAACGTTCACGGAAGCGTCTTCGGCTCTGTTGTTTTTCATCATCGCTTCTGCGCATTGCATCTAAATCATCTCGTCCGGGAGAAGCGCTGCGATCACGAAGTCGACCAGAGCCACCGCGGCTACCACTTCCACCACGTTCTGGGAAAAGTTCTTGTGGTTGGCGCCTTCCCCGTCTAGGCCGACGTTGTGTTTCGGATTCCGAGAAGTAATCGCTCGATGTGCCTCGTCGATCGGGAGCTGCGCCATCGTCATCATACATGCTCGCGGTGAATCCATCGTCGTTCCTATTCCGACGTCGACGGTGCTCGCGATCATCGAATCGAAGGCGCCGGTAGTCGCCATCGCTCTCGTCACGTCTGCCTCCTTGACGGCGCTTTTCTGCGAGTTCGCGGCGCAAGCGCTCCCGTGGGTCGTGTTCCGGATGCATCAAATAAAACCGACTAGATTCATGAGCGCGTGGTTTCTTGCGATCTGTCTTCACTGCCGATCGCACCTGCAGGACCGACTCTGGATGCGACAAACACGTTTTGGCCGTTCGTAAACGTAGCGCGGGGAGCGCGGATATATCCTCTTCACCAAGCTGAGTGAGAGCGGTAAGAGCCCGCAAGCCAAGCTCATCGGAGGAGTAGACAATATTTGCAGACGTGTCATCAATCCATTCAATACGACTGGCCTCTTCGTCGGGGAAATAGCTTAAAGCGAATTGCTTGATGTGATCTGTAGTCATTTCGTCGACGCCGCGGATATGAACCTTTTCGTAGTGTGCCTCGGCTGTCTGGGGATCGACGACGCCATTATCTGCTGTGAAAGCTTGTTGTTCGACAAAGTCCTAATTATCCTCCAGGTTAGTGAAATGAAGTCGACCGCAGACGAGTCCGAGCAAGCTCACCGTCTCGATGGCGTCTGCCTCCGGCAAAGGACCTAAGTCAATGTCCATATCAATGTCCATCGAGTTCTCCATGGTGCTGGTGATGAGCTCTGTCGGTGTTGGCTGCTGAAGAGCTGCCACCTCCATTATGAACTGTGGCGAGGAGCAAGCTCTGATGACATGCGATTGAGGTTCGAAGTAGTGGTATCGTGCGGGTGAAAGAAGACAAGGTACAATTGAGAATGTAATAGTTGTAAGCAGCTGTGGCACCGATTGAGTCCAGGATTCAAAGAACAAGAGAGAGTTGTATCAGAAAAAGAGAGAGCTTTTTGCTGAAGTTGTGAAATCCCGAGACGTCGGATTGCCGCGTCTTGGCAAATGCGGAGAGCTCAACGGTCTGATGACTAAGCAGTCTATCACTTCGTCAGAGAATGAGTTGACACTGAGACTTACAGTCATAGAAGTCATAAGTGTTTGTTTCGTTCATTTCAGAGTTGATAGTCTAGCCCATTATAAGGTGATCTTATATGTTTTTATTGATTCTATTGAAGGGTCTTTTGTATGATAAATAACCCTCAGCCAGCCAATCACAGAGGTCCTCTCTCTGTTTCTCTTTTGGCACGTGAGTGACTATAATAGTTCAACTCCTGTTTGTCCAAGAACAGAAAGATGTCATCAAAGTTGGATCCATCATCCGCAGATCATACAGCATCCGAAAGCTTGCTAGCAAGTATCCTCGTGGCTCGGTTTTTACGGTCGAATAACTATCATGAGACTCTAGAGACGTTCATTCGTGAGGCGGGTCTGCCATCAGATGCTGGGTTTGTCAACCGGAAAAGTTCAGATGAAGCCGACGGCGTGGATAAGTGGACATTAGAAAGCATTATTCAGGAAAAGAAGAAGTTCGACCGGACCTTGTCATTTGAGCGCTATGGTGACTCGCAAGCCAAGGACGAATGGAGTGTGCCGGGTAAGTTAGGTTGATATGAGCGAATGCTGCAAGAGAGTCTGGCTTACAAAGAACCATTCTAGCTCCATCGTTACCCAGATTGATAGACACCCCCGCATCGTCTAATCTACTAGCAGCATCAGTCGAGTCATGGCAGCTAGAAGATGGCGACCAAGACAGGACTCAAAAAGATTCATATCTTGTCGCTACCGGCGCTGATAGGCGTCTAAACCTCTTTCATCTAGATGCTGACAACACTGTAGCTGAATCAGTTGTCGGGCTGACGGACTCGCCCATTCTGTCTTATACTAGTATTCGAGGACAATACCAGCTATTAACGACCATGTCCGGCCAGCTGCTTCTCGTCAGTGGCAAGGAAGTTATAGACCGAAGGAAAGACCACACAAAATATGTGGTCAAAGTTCTTGCATATGAGGATAATGACGAGCACATCTGGATAGCCACAGCGGGGTGGGATATGCAAGTTCTGATATATCGTTTGGATACAGCTTCATCCTCGAACACAAGGCTCAAAATCGGCGAGCCAGTGGGTTTTATTAAAGTACCATCGAATCCTGAGTCGATTCTTCTTGTGAAACATCCGGAAACTCAGGACTTGATGCTCATTCTCTCACGGCGGGATTCAACATATCTTTATTATTACAATATTGAGCCATTACGGTTAGCCGACACTCAGCAGACATGCGAAGAGACCGGCAAACAAAATCTGGCGCCCAGCTCCAACGCATGGATAGCATTCTCACCGTCCTGTATTGCCCAAAATCCTCGCGATCCTGGTGTGGTTGCAGTGGCGCTATCAACGTTGCCGCATATGAAAGTGATGGTTGTCCGTTTGTTGTTTCCAGCCAACACCAAAGTTGAAGATGGCGATAGTATCACAGTAACGCAACTCAGCCAGTCAATAGCTGCACTGTCACTTCAAAACCGCGAAGATGCCGCCATTATAATTCAAGCAAATACATTTGCGCCGCAGACTGCATATTCGACTCCGCAGGTTGTATGGCGGCCGGATGGATCTGGCGTCTGGGTTAATGGAGATGATGGCGTTATCCGGGGGATTGAAAGCAAAACAGGAAAACTGGTGACAATGCTGAAAAATGGACATGAGGCTGGTAGCAAAGTGAGAAGTATATGGGCAGGTTGGGTTGAGGGGAAGAGTTCAACTGAAGAGTGGGTTGTTAGTGGAGGGKTTGATAAGAGGTTGATTGTTTGGAAGTGTGAGAATTCAGAAGATTAGTTCTTCATGAAAATATGCATAATAGAGTACAAATGGAATGCCATTGAGAAGGAAACCTTCGACTAATCGAATATAATTCTACATGTTTTGAAAAAGACTGAAGCGTAGACAGATATTTACATCACGACGTCTATTTCACGTGCAACTGGAGGGTCTCAAGAACCTGCAGGAGAAATGAGTTAGACACATGGTAGAAGCGCACAAGTACAGATTGAGCGAAAGACATACCTCGAGTTCGACCTTGGCCTCAGCAATATCCGACTCGCTGCCGCTGCCGTTGGCGATCTTTTGAGCCTCGGCAATCTGGGCACGAATAGCCTGTAATATGTATTAGCCTCTGTAAATTTGACGAAATCTGGTTTTAGTGACTGACATCAGCGGAGAAATCTTCAAGAGGGTATCCCTCGACGGCGTTGATGCTAAGGCGGGAGTCGGGCTGGACAACGGCGAAACCTCCAGAAACTGAAAATGTATCAAATTAGCGAGTCCGATCAATTGAAAGGTTAAAGTGGTTGCGAGTTGTTCTTGCAACCACAAATCGAGGGTCTCCGCGGCGACGTACGGAAGAATTGCTTGGTGCTACCGCTCTCCTCAATGATCTCAACGAGACCGGGCTTCAATTGTTCGATAGAGGGAACGTGGTTGGCGAGAATACCCATCTCACCAGACTCGGCGGGAATGTTGACCTGGACACTATATCAAGGAATTGTAATCAGTCAATGCCGAGTAAAGGATATGTTGTTGAATCCGCGGAGGATCGGAACATACACGTCGGTGGACTTGAAAAGGTTCTGTAACCATAAGTAGGGACGATATTAGCGATTGACTCATTCCAGCGAAAGCAAACGTGTTCCAATTCAACAAATTGAAGATGGACTAATCGTACCTGGTGAGGCATAGCCAAGGAGAGCTTGATCTTGTCGGCGACAGCGTCGGCGTAGGTCCTGCGACCGGCAGGAACGCGAATGGCGGTAGGACGCACCCGGAGGGCAGCCCGTGCAAATCGAAGAGAGCTCATTGTGTATGGGATGTGAACGACGGTGAGGACTGGAGGCGTTCTTCTCTTCAAACTTCGAAGGGCTGAGGTGGTTCGAGAGACGGTCAAAGTCGGAACAAACTTATCTAACCGGATGTAGGGTCTTGGCATTAAAATCACGTGATATATTATCGACTCGGACGTTTCTCATATACAGTTTCTTTCAAGTTATTTGGTATCGGGATGATACTTGTCAATGTGACTTGAAGAGTGAAAAATGGCATTTGAGGTCTAAATTAGTTTTCAGGATATACAATTTGCATCGACGCTGCTCATATTAGCTTCATCCAACTCCGTTTGCTGGGCTCTAAAGCAATATTCTAGGGGCAAAGAAAATCATTTGATCTCAGGATCCCATATAAGTTTATTACTTGATACCAAATAATTGATACTAACAGGATCGTAGATTTGGAGACGTCGATTGGACAAAAATCCAAGCATGATGTTGATGTCGGAGAGGTAAAGCCACAGMCCCGCACTAGCCACACCCGACTAAGCGAGACCGCCCACACAACCCGCGCCTAACAAATCATTCGGTTTGGTGATACTACTTCGTTCAACCTTCAGTTCAGCCCTTACCACGACAACCTCCTCATCGCGACAGAACCGTCAAGATGGCCAGTACGTTATGTGATGCCGTCTAATAGCTTGATTGACTGACTGACTTCTTTGTGCAGAGTCCAAGAACTCGTCCCAGCACAACCAGAGCAAGAAGGCTCACCGTAACGGGTTCGTTTATTCCTCAACCGTCGCATTTTTCTCTTTCGCACAAGATCCAGACCTTCGCCGGATATCACCATTTCTACACCAATTGTCGACAGAATACTAATATACTCTTCTCGCAATAGTATCAAGAAGCCCAAGACCTACCGTTACCCTTCCTTGAAGGGAACCGACCCCAAGTTCAGACGCAACCACAGACATGCTCTCCACGGCACCATGAAGGCTTTGGTACGTTGACGATCCTTTCATACAAACGGCACCTTTCGCACAATGGACTCCACGAAACATGACGCATACTGACAAAATTTACAGAAGGAGCGCAAGGAAGGAAAGCGTGAGGTCGCCTAAATGGAGAATTAGAGGAGGAAAATCAAACAAACATACAATAAAAACAACAATTCCATGAACTTATTCGGCGAAAAACTCTTCTTGTGTGATAATGATCCATCATGATTTGTCAGATAGACACGACAATTCTATTTGAGCGGAGATGACGAGACTCGACCATCTTTCTACCGCTTTTCTTTTCCAGGTAGACAAGGTTTCATTCGGAGATGGGGAGATTGATGTTTATCATGGTCGTAGGAGCGGAGAAACATACGAGAGGGCGAACAACCCATGATTCCATTGTTTCATCTGAAACAGGCATATGTGTGTACAGCTACGTGGCTTATCCCATGCCCGACTGCTGAAGGATTATTTTTTTAACGTGCCGAGATTGATTTGCTTCCCAATTACCAAACACCCTACTCCTTGTTCTCCGTGGCGGAAGGGTGCATGGACGGAGAGCTACATGCATTTCGTAGATGTTCGTAGAATGGGATTTGACTGGTCATATTCGTTACAAGCACAGGGTTAATCTATCATCTATTGACATGACTTTAGCAACAACAATGCCCTACCCATATGTAGACACAATGCAACTATGCTCTATTCCGCCCATGCTTGCGCCTTGAACATGCTTGTCGGATTGCGCAGGTAATCCGCATGCCGAATCACCCTCACCTCCGCGGCCTTTGTTCGCCGCAGATGCTCTCGGACTTGAAATTGCTCCTCTGTCAGACCAGTGGGATCAATTGTGTTGGCCGTTGCAGCAAGCTCTACTTCTCGAGCTTCCATGGTCTTTAATAAAATTGCGTGCATGCTAGAAAGCACTTTTTCAGTAGATTTCGCCAGGGGTAGCTCTGTTGGGGATACATCGTCCGGTGATACCCAGGACTTTGTATTTCTGAGGGTTGGCCCAGTGGCGTAGACTGCTTCGCGGAGACGTGCCACTGTCAAAGCGGCAAACATGTCGCCTGTGCCGTTGAAATTACATTCAAGAGCTGGAATGTCCACACGGAATAGTCGCGGAGAACCGTCCGAGCGAACCGTGGAGCCAATGACGGTCATTAAACCTGATGGTGTTGATGATCCCAGACTTGAGAGCTGTACTGATGTGACGATAATGTGAGGAACACCATATGTCTTGTGAATTGAGGTTATGGCGTTGGCAAGATCGGTGGTGTTGGATATCTTGATTCCAGATAATATTCTGGCATTGTCAGCTATAGTCGAACGGACCTAAAAGCTAGTACTCACTCGGTTTCGAACTGGTTTGGTAATATCAGATCAGCATGATGTATAGCCTTCTTATATGCTGGGACAACATCCTCCGCCACGTACAAGCGGCCCAGATCACCCATAACGGGATCAAGAACTATGCATTGTTCTCATCTCAGCATTCTTTCTCCACGAGTTGGTGAGTTACTTACTCCAGAAAAAGGACCCGGGCTTTCCTTCTGCTCTGCGTTTCAAATCTTGAGCAATATCACCCACTGCCTCGACAACTGCTGCAGTCGGAGCGTAGCCGGAGAGCAGTACATCGAAATCAGTGAGATAGCTCTGAGTCAATCCATCGTAGAGTGTGCGGACCTCCTCTGCAGTAGTTTTTGTTCCTTTTACTTGACGATATCCGGTATGGTTACCTGCGGAAATTGTTAGCCATGAAGTACTGATTGTTGGATATCCTTACTGTAATGCACTGTATTAATGCCCGCTACTTCGCAGCCCAGGGACTGCATGACGAATGTGGCCATTGTATTTCCCACAAATCTAATGACAAAGAGCAAGTCAGCTGACAGTTCCAAGATGTCATATACGACAGGACTGACCCGTAGGACACCTACTTGCATAGATTAGTACTTCTGCAAGGATAATTTGGCCATGCGGAATCATAGAGATGTCCAATGAATAGGACAAACTTACATGACTGGCTACTGCAAGTACTTTGGTCTCTGGAACCGGATTCTCCTCCTGGGCGGATGCCATTCTTGCTGTAATTGGCCAACGCCTGACAATTATATTTTGATACTCCGTCGAGTTCTGCGCATGCGACAATGAAAGCCTTTTATCTGATGATCCACGTGGTTGTAGATGCAAATCCGATGGAATGTAATAACTGCGAATAAGAATTAAGTCGAAAATGACAGACCAAACGACACTACAGACACTGAAATGCTGGTTTAAAATAAGTATGAGTCATGGAATTGAGGATATTCTGAAAATTGTTCTATGGTTATCTGCGGCATTGATAAAGCGTAGTGGGGTCGTTGCAGATTCTAGAAGGTGGCATGAATGCCTGAAATACAAGGCAACATAAAAAGTCTCTATTGTGGGTACATACACATTTCAATTTCCCGGAATGCTCAATGTAAGTGATTAGTTCGGTGTCATTCGGGATTTTTGTCTATTTCTTGATACCCTGATGCTCACGTCACCGACAAACCCATCCCAATACAGCCTCTTTCGCCGTCCTCTGGACACACTTTGATCGGATGGAGGGTCAATTGAGGAGCAGTCTTTCGAACATCGAGAATGTAGCAAAACCGCCGGTGAGCATATCTATTTGCCGGTGCTGCCGAAGCCTCCTGCGCCGCGGACGCTCTCTTCCAATTGCTCGACAACAACGACATCGGGGGTATATATCTAAGGTCGTGTTAGCATGGATAATCCTAACAGAAAGCTGAGTCCGTACTCTCTCCAAAACAAGCTGAGCAATTCTATCTCCTTCCTTCACTGTTTCATGAATGTTTCGTTAGCCAATGCACCGGGAAGGAAAGACAAAATTCGGTGCTGTGATCATACCGGTGAAGTCAACATCTGAAAAGTTGAAGAGCAACACTTTGACTTCGCCTCGGTAATCCGCATCGATGACGCCAGCACCTGTGTCGATAAAGTTCTTAGAGGCGAGTCCACTGCGTGGTGCAACACGGCCGTCTCTTAAGCGTCAGCATGTTTCCAAGCTCCAAGGAAGAAAGACAAGCATACATGTGCCCTCAGGAACCGCAATAGCCAATCCAGTATCAACCATTCCCTTTCCCTTTGCGGGAATGACAGTCTCCTTTGCGCTGTAGAGGTCATATCCTGCAGCGAAAGCGGAGCCACGAGTAGGAGCCTTGGCTGATTCGACCAATTTCTTCACCAGAAGAGGAGGTTGAGGCTGGGAGAGGGAGGTGACTGCAACACCGTTTCCGTCGGTAGAACCCATGATGGCTGCAATGCTATTATTTTCTGCTGTAGCAGTCTTTGTTCGTTTGGGAAGGGGTGAAGCGGGGAGCGATGGAGGTTCGTGGATGGCAGTAGCAGTGGTGGAAGCGGTCTCTTGAGGAGGTGTGGTGTCTCTGGTCATGGTATACTTTGAGCACGCAGTGAAAAATTTGTGGGAAGAATATAGATGTCCAATGGGTTTAGATGAAAAGCATCCCTTGAATGCAAGTCGCAGCATCCCATCGCCAATGATCTCTTTGTTTGGGACGCGTTTCTTTCAGGCGGTGAGCGACGCGCCCGCGTTTCTCATCTTGCCCGAACGGGGAAAGCGATTAGGGTATACCCTAGTCACATATTCTGCTCTATTTTACATCAGTCAACGTCAAGTTACCAACTACATCATTTCTTTTAATGCATAGAGATGGCAACAGCTCTATCATTCTCTGACATCTCTACCCCCTGCATCACACCGTTGGGATTTTCATCCAGCATAGATGGCGGGGATTTGACAGTCTAACCTCTTTGAGATTCCGCGGTTATCTAGGGGCTGCGTCTAGAGAAGCCGCCAAATTGCCTCGGTTGCCGGCGATAACAAGCATCCTGGGGTAACATCCGCCAGGATGAAGACTTACACACCACGCATTTTACCATCCTTTCTGGTTTCAATTGTTTCATATGAGAGAGACAGTCAATCTTCAGCTTCACCAGAATTACCTACAAGCTCAGAGTGATAAGCAGCAATGGCTGGTCCCGTGCGGCAACCCATCGACATTCAGTCTTTAGAGAGGTATATTGACAACAATGTGCCTTTGATCAAGACACCGCTTGATGTGAAGCAGGTATGTGCGACTGGTTTCCTTATAGAAATGAGAGCTACTTGCTAATGCCAGTACTTAGTTCGGATTCGGCCAGTCAAACCCGACATATCAGCTCACCGATGCCCGCGGCACGAAGTACGTTATGCGCAAAAAGCCCCCCGGCAAGCTGCTCTCCAAAACGGCGCATCAAGTTGAGCGAGAATATCGGATTTTGCATGCGCTGCAACCGACTGATGTCCCCGTGCCGAAAGTGTATACGTTGTGCGAGGACAGCAATGTGGTTGGCACTGCATTTTACATTATGGAGTTTCTGGATGGGAGGATGATCACCGATCCTGCTATTCCGGGTGTGAGTGCTGAGGAACGAAGAGAGATGTACGCTTCCATATCTTTGTTGCTGAATATGGAATCCCTCTGGCTAATCCGATGTTTTTAACAGATGGCGCGACGCAGCTCGGACTCTCGGCAAGTTGCACCGTGTGGACCCCAAATCAGTCGGGATGGAAAAATTCGGCAAACATACGGGCTTCTACGATCGTCAGATTTCGACTCTTGGACGAGTATCTCAAGCGCAGGCACAAGCCGTCGATGTCGACACCAAAGAGCCCGTTGGAGAACTCCCGTACTTCCAGGAGAACGTGCGCTTCTTCTCAAACAAGAGCTCACAGCCACGAGATCGGACGACGTTCGTTCATGGTGATTTTAAGATAGACAATCTCGTGTTTCACAAGACCGAACCGCGAGTCATTGGTATACTGGACTGGGAAATGGCGACGATTGGTCATCCACTTTCAGATATCGCAAACCTGACCAGTCCATATTTTCTCGACTCGGCCGAGCACAAAGCCGAGCACTTTCATCAGTCTCCCGGTATGCCAGCTAGGCAACAGACTTTACAATGGTATGCTGAAGTGACGGGATACGATCCGACCCCAGACATGGACTGGGGCGATGCTTTCTTCGCCTTCCGTGGCTCCGTTATTATGCAGGGAATTGCGGCGCGATATGCGTTGCGCCAGGCCAGTAGTGCTCGAGCACGGGATTATATCAAGAATATGAAGCCGTTTGCTGAAGAGACTCACCGGCTAGTGAAAGCGGTCGAAGCAAAGACAACAAAAGGCCGCTTGTAGGTGGCAGATGCATGTATAGTATATCCGTATGTTTCATCGGATGGGCTAGTTTACATACGGACTGGAACTTTTCGCGATGACTTAATGGGGCTGCGTTGATCTAGTCGTTTTTCATTGGTGGTTTGGCGCCGGTCATTGCAGTTTTTACTAGTCCGGTTGTAATCTACTATTAGCGACTACAAATATACTAGCAGCCATAACTTGGAAATATAGCAATTATATATTACCTAGGTAGGTACTCAACAGCAGAAACAACGGCATTCTTGATGATGTCTCTTCGGCCCAGGAGAAATCTATCTAATATTTGGCACTATACTAGAGCATAGACTTCTCAACGAAACAAGCCTTCAACAAGGTTACGTATAATACACACGATAAGAAGCTGCTGGCTTTATTCTAAATAGCATGAATGTGGCTTACTGGTGTCGATGATCGACCGACATGAGCACAAACGAGTTGGAAGATTAGACATCCGCGTTGAACAGAATTCATTGATACACAGATGAGATACAAAATAGAGTCTAGATTCACGCCTTTGACCTTTTAATGACAAGATATATATATGCCCGCCGATATTAATTTAATGAAGAGGCTGGAATTGAAGGATCCTAGGCCGTTATCCATGCAGGTTACTCCGAATTCACATCACATTGATAGCTGGTGAAACACATTATCGAAAATAGTAGCCTACTCATAAGTCAAAAGGAAACTAGGTTCAAAGCCCTCGCACAAATTGAATTCTCTTCCTGCATCTAATTTGATCGGTTGTATGAGATGAGGCAGATATCTCCCGATCAACAAATTAGAGAAGGCGGCTCAAACATCAGACATGATCGACAAGGAATTGTTTTGGAACTTGGCAGACAGGTTGTCTGCATCCGGTTTACATGGTAATGGTGGCATGGATGCCCGAATAATTGGATGCGCTCAACGGTGCGTGCAGGGAATGCTACACCATGACTGGCAATTACAGACCAACAATGAAATCGGAGGGTGCAGCAAGTCGCGCATAGATAGGCGGGATTGTCAAGTCCAACTCCGGTTCCACTGGAAAATCACATTTTTACAAACTACGTACTTGAACTTCACTCGGCTATGGACTGCAATGATATTTGCGCCTCCATCGCTCTACGCGGGCGCACAGATGTAGTACACGGCAGCCATTCTGATTCTAGAAATTCCATCTACGGATCTCAATTAAATCATGACTCGAGAAACAAAGAAAAAAAAAAAGCAAGCAAAAAGGATCGGAGTAAAAGATCAAACGAGAGACAAGTACATAATACGAGGAGACGACAAAAAAGGTAAGCCGGACGACTCGAATCATTTATTTTAGTTCAGTCTTTCAGGTGCGGCTCATGCATATGGCTTATGAAGGCATAATATGTAAGCTTGGACCAATTTTCTCAATTCATTCGCGTATTATTTTCGATGGCGACATTGGTTGTGGCTGCTATTCGTCCGTATTGCTTCAAAAGGAATTAATGGAATGCAATGCCATGCATGGATTTGATGATGTTCCTACGAATCCGATGTGATCCACTGCTGTTGGTGTTGGTTCGCTGACAGTCGACGCTTATGTGTAGGCTGCTATATTATTGAGTGCCAATGATACCGACGTATTCGTGTACATACTACTACTACGGCGTAGTTAGTGCTTAGGGGCTTACTCAGTATTTAGTACATACCGGCGGAGCCTAGGTAGTCCCTACTTGTCGCCCAGGTACTTAGCCCTCGCAAATAAAACTAAAAGAGGTCTGGTTGTGATTCGCCTCAGTTTCCGATCACGGAATACATCTCCAAATTTGGTGGAGAACCAACCGTGGTGAGGCTGGATACAACTTAGTACAGTGCGATTGAGAACTGTCATTCGGATCTGCAGTCCGTTGCTATCGACCAGTCGTGTCACCAGCCAATGTTTTTAACTTTGATAACATTGGGTTGAGGGTTGGAGCCGCATGATGGGTTGAGTTGCGTTGTACAGACGTCGCATACCAAATACGACAGTAGCGGAGTTACGAAAGCCCGCATAGAATGGATCATGAGGCTGACTGCTGGCATGTGGGGGGGGGGAATTGGAAGAATCCGGGCTGGATCTACTGACAAGCAGTCTGCTTACCTGCATACCCGCCTTGCTTCCAACATTCGAGAGCTGACAGTTCGGAACTTGGGATGATTCTGAACTGGCAACGATTCTCTGCGGTGAGAGGAGAGAGAGAGTGTGTGTCTTATCTCACTCGGATATCACGGAAATACGCAGTGCATTAAATGTAGATGAGGCTAACAGACCAGCCAATTACAGTCGTGAAATCCCGCTGTTGCCGTGTGGGGCGCGCATTAGAGACTGTTATTGGTAAGTATGCGGCCAAGTGGGGGACTGGGGCTCTTTTGGTCTCTACGACTGGCCAGTGCCCCAAAGGCTGCGTAATCACCAAACCTAATCAGAAGAGCCGCACAAAAACGGGTTGCACAGCTGCCGTTGTCGAGGTGGCCCGTTCTCGCCTTCTTGGACGGTTTGACCTTGTCCGCAGACCAGCCTCGCAGATCGCTATTTACCACTACGTACAAAGTTTGTATGTAGTGTTTCCTATTTATTCTGCCGGTGCTTTGTGCTCGCTGCGAATCCGGAGATTGTCCGTCTGTCTGTCATTAATTTCATTTTGTCCGCGAAGGTAAGCCAAGATCACTAGAATGGACTGGGCTAGGCGCTCGAAGGGACCGCTGAAACAGTGAGACTACGTAAAGCATTGGCATGTGCATCAGTCTCAGTGTGCTACGTAAGTCAGTGGAGCGCGCACTAAGAGGCTATCCCCACCCGAGTGACCGTCGTTTTGTGGCGCAAGCAAGGCCTCGTCAGCATTTGTGTTTGATTCGATCGAATCCCGTCCGGCCTCTGGCTCCGCTCCACGACCAGGCCTGAGAACTCAGACAGCCAAGTCAAACATTATCATCATCGTCGTCGTCATGTCCGTTGGTCTGGTAGCCCCTATCGACGGTCATCCTCAGCCATCTCAGATGAAACGTTCCTGCACACCGAATTGTATGGTGTCAGACCGTCAGTAGATACACCATAGTCGCGATCGCACAATCCAGCGTCTGTATTTTGTAGGCATACGTAAGTCTACCCCAAGGTGGCTTGCCAATACGCGAGCGGCTCGATTTAGTTCACGCTGCCTCGTACCCTTTGTCATGCGCTTGTACTCCTACGTGGTCCTATGCAGTCTAGCAGGATCAATCATCACACGCTCTGCTGGGCTCTTCTAATTTGTCGTTCATGCCTGGCAAAATTCCCAACAACCTAGGAATTTCCCCTCTGAAGATAATGAGAGATGGTCTGATTCCAAAGCAAGGGCAGTAACAGAGTACAATCATGAAGAAAAAGCATACGTACCAAGTCTAAATCCATAGTTCCCGAACTCCACCTGGTGACATTCAATTTTCCATCGTTCCAAAGCGGGGATCGACTCTGGTCTTATCGTCCACTGTCCAGTCCGATCGTCTATTCCGGCATAGTGAGGCTCGTGCCACCATTTTTTCGAAAGTGTCTTTCAAAGCAAGCCATTTCTTCTGTTGAGGAAACTATCAGCGACGGTAATTGCGATTTTCTTTGGTCGCTTTCTGTGCGAATCCAAACCTAAAAGGAGCCTCAAGGGGTTTTCCGATTTCCTTGGGATTCTTTCATATGATCGCAACTCAACTTTCCACTCTTTCATTTACTCCCATTCAACTTGCAAGGTTCATGGTCGTGGCTTTGAACTCCATTTCAAAATTTGGACTCCCAGAGTTTCGAGGTTGACACGCAAGGACTTCCTCTTTTTCTCAGTTTTTTTCCTGATTCTCCCTTTTTCTACCCATAAATAAATATTTTTTTCAGCCTCCTAGTGGCCGCAGCGTCGCTGACCGTCTGCGCTCCACCAGCTCCCGGGTCTTACGCAGCCAGCGGCTCTCCCGTCCTTAGCACAAGGCCCATACCACATCAAGTGACTACTCGCAAACAAGTACCGGAGAATTGACATTTGACACAGGGTGGATGACCGTTGCAAGTCACCGTCGACTTGGCACTGTCTGTCGATTGTCCTCTCACGGGAAAACTGATCACTTGTTAACCTGTTATCGTGCTGGGGGCTCTTCGATTAGCGTTGCCACTGGTCTTGCCGCCGTCGCAGCGTAGAAAGCACTTTGTGGTGGTGATTGCGTGGCGCGAGTTCCAGCTAGTCTCGACAGTGACTCCCCGCACCCTGTGATTGGCTAGACCCAAAAAGCATTCGTCAGCTCAATCAAATTACATTCGAGGTGAAGCAAGCGTGGGCTCGCTCTCTCAAAGAACATTACGTTGCTGCTTGCGACGTGCCAGAGAGATAAAACAAAAGAATAAGGAGGAAGGAAACACTGCAGCCAACCACTTGACAAGGTAATAAAACAAAAATTGTTTCGGCGTGCGGCTCTGCTCGTGACCAAAGGCAGGCACACCACAGGGAAGGAACAACCGACATACGTACCACATACATACGACGTACTAAGAGGGTCAGAAGGCAGGCACGAGGCACGTCCTCAATCCGGTATATCTCCAACGGTAAGTCGCTCCTTCCTCTTTCATACATCTTCAACCTCCATCCTCATCCCACTCTGGTGTTTATTGTCTGTCCTTACATTGTACAACTACAACGTCATGCCACACTACACCAAACATCATACATCACTCGCTCTCTGTCTATAAGCTGCTCCCTTCATGAGTGTCGCAATCGCTTCCTTCTCCTCCAATCACATGGGAGAACCATGGAGAGCTGCTGCGAGCCAGCGTGTACTTCCCCAGTCAGTTCTACTGCCTGATCAGACAAAGCCTTGCTATCACTGCGCAATTGTTATTCGTTCATGATTTCATGCATCACATGTCTCTCTCTATCTCCATACCTTACCTCATCTCGACTCATTCTAGCAGAGTGCAGTGATTCCGACTAACTTCGTGCAGGTACTTTCCTTTGCCAGCTGGATACTCTTCTGCTCAGCGCAGTCGTCCTCTAGCCAACCCAGCTTCTACAGCCGCTGGCTACTCTCAGAGCACCCCTCGTTTCATCAATAGAAGCCATTCATCGCGAACCGTGCTCCATGGTTGGCACCAAGTCGCCTACATGTTCTCCGACGTGTACGATTCAGATGATGCGTTGAATCGCTCACCGCGTTTGCAGCCCTCAGTTGTCAACTATGGACCCGATCAAACTGTCCCGCCATTCTTGCAGGAGAAGCAGCGACGAGCGTCGGCAAACGGCAAAAGAGACAGCTCTTCAAGTCCCACCAGCTCCGAAGGCCGCTCGCCCAAGCGTCGTCAGAAAAGGAGACTCAAACCATCATTAGCTGATGTCGTCCTACTAAATAATCTAGCACCTAATAATCCAGAACTTGCTCGACAAATTGGCGAGGGTTCGCCTCCGGTAGACACAGACTCCGAAGATGACAGTCGAACGCGTGCGGCACATATCTCCTCCAGACCAAATGACACTCAAGTTGTGGCTGCTAAAGATGCTTTAAACCTGATGACTGAGGAGCCAAAGCCCTCTTTGCCTTCGTTCCAAGAATCGTTCCAAGGACTAGTATCGCAAGATCCGATTTTGGCAGAATCTCCTTTTCCAGTCAGGCAGACTTCCCCACCACGACCCTTGCAGCGCATGGGAAGACCAAGACAAGATAGTCTAGCAGCTTCCAATGTAGGAAGATATACTATTCCTCCGCCAAACAACCTTGATTTTCCCGCCCTACAAGCACCAACACCCTCAGCAGCAGGCTCTCCGGAAAATTCGCAGAGTTTGCCATCTATAGGGCAAGCATTAGCAAGTCTAGATGGCGGTGCTACACCTACCCCTTTTGGTGCTCCGACGCCAACTCCACAACTTTCACGAGGGCCAAGCACCTTGAGCACCATATCGACAGGGCCAACTCCTGAATCGTCTTATGCACCATCGCAGATGACCACTCCTTATTCTCATCCGTCCCCAATGAGTTTGAAAGATCTGTCAGCTACTTCGCCCCTTTCACAACCTCAATATGCTATGCAGCCACCTAGTCTTACCCACGATACGTCCAACATGACAGCTTATAGCGAAGTATCATTACGAGGAGCACCAGTCGGTAGGAGCCCTACACATAGTTACCCAACGCCTACGGAGCTACGAGCAGCGGTTGAGGAACATCCAGATGGAATCGCGGGTCCCAACATATATAAATGCCCGTATCCTGGCTGTACTGCTGGCGCCTTCCAGACACAGTATCTTCTAAAGTATGTCTCTCCTTATTACAAACTGAATTCGTATGTTTCAGCCGACTAACTCGCCAACAGCTCTCACGCCAACGTTCACTCCCAAGATCGCCCACATTTTTGTCCCGTCGCGGGTTGTCCTCGCGGAATAGGAGGCAAAGGATTCAAGAGGAAGAATGAGATGATTCGTCATGGGCTTGTGCACGATTCACCAGGATATGTGTGTCCGTTCTGCATTGATCAACAACATAAATACCCTCGCCCCGATAATTTGCAAAGGTATGTTACTGAATGAACCTAAGCCCAACGCAATTCGTATGTGAAATTTATCTAATTGGTCGCGATTCAGACATGTGCGTGTCCACCATGTTGATAAGGACAAAGACGATCCATTGCTACGAGACGTTCTTGCTCAAAGGCCAAAAGGTAGCGGGCGGGGACGTCGACGTCGTGGACATATATTATAGGACTCGTCATTGAGAACCTCACGATGGTAAACTCTTACGTGCAGCGGTCTATATTGCCATTGGACGCAACATGACCGTCTTGGGGCAGAGGATGGACTCAAGCCTTGGCTTGTGTTCGCAAGGGACCCCAAGCCTCGATACAACGATCGTACCCGATCATCACATGTTTGATGTAGCGTGACATTTATCACGATCTCGATAACATCGACGAGTCAAGCATCAAACTGCGCTGAAATACAAATCAAGGGTGAAATGTATCGCCAGTCCGTCAAATGGAAAGCAGCACCCGATGATTTACTTAATCCGCGACATCCTGATTTATGTGGCGACACAAATTGAGTTGTGTGCCTATCAAGATCATATTGATGATCTTTGACGAAGTGACGAAACATACTACCAATAACTTTGCAATTGCAGAGTAACCTTACCTCTTCCGCAGCTATTCGCAATAAACCATTCTCTGCTACGAGAGCATGGATCTTGATATACCCTATCTGCAAAATCCCACCAACAATCTTTCAACATACTATTTATAGCACGCAGTGTACATAGATAAGCGTTCGTTTCGACTTCTCTTGTTATACCCTTCTTGTATCCTTTTTTGGCGTGCTACAATTGTAGCATCATCGACAGACTTGATACATTCATATACATACTTTGGGCTTTCGTGCTCTTACTCTTTGATTACCTCTTTCTAAGTTTATACCTTCGCTAGACTCCTGTATTAATAATGACCGTGCTTTACCCCTGAGTCAGTTAAGGTTTCAAGGTTTATTAACACGATGCTCATCGTAACATTGAACATTTGCCGTACGGGACCCTCCTGTATGGTCATGGTGATACGTGCCATGCTCAGTAGAGGTACTCGCACACGACATCAAGTATCCCATAGCTCTTAGAATAAAAAGAAAATATAACTCCCGTTTCTCATTTCTCGTGCCTGTTTCCGAGGTGTGGTGGCTGAAATTTAGAGTAAGCATTGTCAAGTCAGCTATCCGAGTCGCCGAGAGCGACAAACCAAAGGGACCCCTTACGCACGTCCTACAGGACAAAGTTCAGCACAGATCATGACATACTTATTGTGTTGTTTATTATAGTTTGCAGAACCCCGGGGAATATCATGAGACTATGAGATTGTCAGGACTCAGGATGATTCAGCACAGCTGAACTAAGACCCTTTTTCGCTGGAAGAATGACTGGCTACCGGCACTTTGAAACAAGTCCCGAAAAAAGGCAAAAGTCATCGAACGATTTGACAAAGGGCGTGAAATTTAACAAAAAGTAGTCACCACTAGCTATTTCTAGTTGGTACTCAATCGGTCATGGCTGACGAACACCGAGGCTCAGGKATTTTTTGTTTGAGAAGGGCTCATCTTGTATAACCAACCCTACGGCATCATCATGTCCAGTCAGAGTCCCTGAAACGTGGATGCCCTAAAAAAAGAAACCGTTAGATCGGGAAGGCCCCTTGCCCCAATCACGATTAATTACTAGCAGTCCGATCTGATCATCATGAATAGATCTTATTAAGGCAGAATCGTGAATTATCCAAACAAAAGTGACAGACGGAAGTTTCGACGAGTTGTTGGGACTTGGTTGGCTGAGAACGCGCCCTGAATGGGCTGCTGCACAGCCAATGTCCCTAAAAGGAAATTTTCGTTGATGATACTTACTTGGCCCCATAATCTATGAAAACAGAAATCCATGTAATTATTCAGCGTTCAATGTTCAATAATGTTTAGGCAAAGAACTTCTAGAATGCCGATTCTGTATCGAACGAAATGTTAGTCATATTGGGGTTCGGGATCTGATTCGCCTTTTGCAACGGTTTTAGCGCCAGGGCTATACCGACTTGCAGGATATGGGATGCATGCTTTACAGTTCATTACCGGGGGGCCGGACACTATATTTTTCTTTTGGTAAGTATAGTAAGTTTTAGGTAACGTGCATCCATCCGAAAAGCTGCGCCGCCTGTGCATCGCTGTATATTCGGCCGGTAATTCCCATCTCGGCTCAGAGCGCGTTTTCTTTTTTTATAGACTACCATCTATAGTCGTTATTTCCAAGATTCTTATTGGGTTGACATCTTCATCATGGGGATCGTCGTGCATACGCCCCAGTGGCTACCGCGCGGGCGTTTGGATCATTGTTGGTTTGAGCGTATACTCGGTTCACGTATGGTGTAGGGTACACTCAGCTTGATAATGTGTACATATGATTCGACACCTGAAAATTCCAGACTCTTCTGGATACTAGAAGCTGGATGAGGTTTCCCGGAAATGCAAAGTCACTTGCCCGAGTTGGATGTATACAGCGCCGCTTGCAAAGGCTTATCTTGTATTCTTGTCGTCGTCTTTTCTGCCCCCGCGCAGCAGAATGTGCCAGTATGCATTTGAATCGCATCCGGCAAAGATCAGATCATGACTTGCCTAGCTCTCCTGCAAGTTGGATTTGTCCTATATACTCAGGCAGAGTCTCAGGTGGGCTTTTCAGTAGATTCCTAATACATCATAGAGTCATGTCTGAGACTGAAGATTCCTGGTCTGCTAACGAACTACTGTAGGCCCGTAGTCATCAGCTCATGTGTCTTGCATTCTTGGCTGGTACATACATCATTCGAGTTGCCATCTAGCTGTTATTATTAGATTCGTTTCTTGTGGATTTGGTTGGTGATTCGAATTGCCCGATGACACGTCCTTAGATACACACCATGTCAACAGTGTTTTGAGACATATCGGGTCTTTTCACTTACATGGCTAGCCTTTATACAGAATCGTCAAGCGAGCCTCGTTTTGGGATGATATAAAGCTGGAACGATATCTCAGATCTTGATGCGAATATCTTCACAGGGCTCAACAAATCACCTCAGCCTTCCTACGATAGCATAATAACCACCAACGTCTTAATCTCTGTCGAAAATGTCAGGCTTCTACCCTGATCAAAGCCAACGGGCTTTGGACGAGGACATGGAAGACGAGATGGCTCGTCAATACTACTCTAGCATGGGATATCAAATGGGATCTCCCACCATGATGACTCAGTATGCAACAGTCATGCCCGGTACGACTGGCTATGTGCCAGCCAGCCCTGTCCCTTCACCTGGCTATCATACCCCACAGTCCGGGAGACAGTATCATAACCCCTATACACTGTCTTCTCACTCAACGGCAACAATGCAAGATTACAACCCTCAGTTGACAACCTCTTCACCTCCATCTTACCCTGGATACATGCCTGAATCGGCATATCAACCATCCATGGCATATCCACATACTCCTCACCACGACGAGTACATACGGCAAGACCACGCCTTGCAACGCCAGCTATCGCTCTCCGACGCCCAAGACCTCGAAGAATATGGCATTCAGGACCCATCAACCGGCGCCTGGCGGTGCCGCTACCACGGCTGCACATCCAAATCCGTCTTCACGCGTGCCTGTGACTTGCGCAAGCATTTCAATCGACACAGGAAACATCTCTTTTGCCGCTTTGAGGGTTGCCCGCAGGCTACCGAGGGCGGGTTCTCGAGTAAGAAGGATCTTGCTCGGCATGAGGCGAAGCATAATCCGCAGATTCCGTGTGAGTGTGCGGGGTGTGATCGGGTATTTAGTCGGATGGATAATATGAAGGATCATGTTAGGAGGATTCATGGTAGGAGGTGATTAGCTTCATTCCTTCATGTACAACATGTCCTCTTTTTCTTTTTTTTTCCCCGCCTGTCTTGGTTTATTTTAACTGCATGTTTTTCAAGATGGTTGTTACAGCATTACGTGGAGTCTGTTCTCTTGATGCATCATGATCAGGGTATACTATCAGCAAGCATTTGTCTCCTCCTTGAAATTTCTGTTTCTCTTGAATCATGAATCTGAGTTTATGTGTTTATTGATGCAGATCTGACCTTATAATAATCAGAAAGTAATAATGTCAAAGTATGTGCCCTACAGAATAACCCACGTGCGAATATTTTCTAGGCTCGCGTCTATCGAGGTAGGCCATCTTCCTCAGATAGTAGTGGTGACCGGACATCAGGAGCCTTGTTGTCATCATCTTCCTCTGGCTCTGTGCGAGACTTGTAAAGCACATAATGCTGATACACGAACAGCACATCAAAGACAACTGTCACATTACCCAGCAAGAACTTGATAGGGTTGCCAGTGACGCCGCTCCAATCAGCCTCAAAACTCGAATCCAAAACCAGTTGTGCTAGCGATAAGACTCCGCCCGTCAAGTCCAACAATATCTGTCTGATATCCCAGCCTGTGGTGGATTTGCGCTTATAATTGAGCCACGCCTGTGGGACGTATTTGACCACCGTAATGACCACTTTGATATAGGACATGGCGTACAGCTTCAAATACGTGAGTCAAAACACCTTCATAGTGAGAGGTAGTACGTACAAGATCAATCCAAGCCCAAGACAATGGGTCCGAGCCACCATCGGGACTTTGACCCAGAATGATAAATATCAGCAAGACAATTGTCAGCAGCGAGCCCCAGAACAGCCCGGCGACTGGCTTGCTGACACGTTGATACGGCGCAACCTTGAAGCCCCAGATGAAAGGGAAGAATTGCGAGTAGACAATACTGCTGAGGACGACAGCATGCGCTGCGAATGCGAGATCGTTGAATTGAACAGATGGGACTGGAGAGGCAGGGTTACGGGCCGCATATTGTTTCCGGATCAGTGGCGAATACAGAAACCCAAGGCAATAAATAGTGTAGCAAAAGAACCCAAGGGTGTTGATGGTGGGAAAATCGATTGCTAGGCCGTAGGTCGAACGGCGACGGATGTTGTTCAACGGTTGTGGATAGAAAGAAAGCGACCAGCACACGGTACTGTTCAAGTAAGTAACCGACACGATACCGGAATGACAAGCAGATACTTACTATATCCAACCCAGAAGCCTAGACAGAAACAAGAAAGCTTGTTAGTTGACGATTTCTGCGCGACGCAACTCCAGATAAGGACGTACCTCGAAAGGGCCTTGACGAAGACCTCGACATTATGCGACGCCATGGTGGATGACAGCTTGCGATTCGACAAAATGACTCCAGGAATGTACTGTGTTGAGTCCGATGTATACCGCTGCTCAGGGCGACATCACCAACAGCTTGAATGGTAGTGTAAAGAGGGGGAGTCGAGAAGGAGAGATGACATTAGATGGCATGGCGTGCTCCGCGATAAGGATGATAACAGAGATACGGTGATTAAATGACCAGATCGGCTGTTGATGCCTTAGTTCTCAGGCGGCAAGATGGTTGTCCGCGACAACGCATCAGCCCCACCTATAACTCAATGCGCTAAGCCTAAAAGAGCATACTGTTGTCTTCAGCCGTTCTCTGTCGTCTGTCTAGTCCTGCCCGACCTATCTATCCACTCCATCAACTACTCCATTTTTATAACCATCTTGAAGCTGTACAGATCTGTTCTCTGTGTGGAGTATTCGATAGATACAATATTGTTCCTTCCGAACTCTCGACGACTGGCATACCATCGCTTAATCAACCCGAACATTGATTGACATCTCGACTACGTGTCGAACTATCGAACAGCGCTATCATTTCCATCAGACCCAGCAATATCAGCCCTTCTCAACCGTTATTGACACGCATGGTGTATACCACCGGGTGGGGGATCTCACCAGATCTCCTCTATTGAGTCGCGCAACATTCCTCAACTTGACGGATCGATCGAACGTGTGGATACTCCCTAGAAGGATTTCACATTCTTATCGCCACGATGCCGGACACACTCTCCCCAGCGGGGAGCAGTACGTATGCATCGGATACAATGTACGTTGGAGATGGAACGTGGGATAGTACGAGGAATACGTTCTTGTTGCCGAACTTGATGGGCCTCAATTTCGATACTATGCGATACAATGGTAGGATCCAATTCACTCGAAGGAAGTAAGAAAAAGTTGCTGACAAACAGTACAATAGGTATGGGTAATCGATTCCGAGACATGGACGGATACCATTCGATGATAGTTGCGCACGGCGTAATTGCGACAATTGTTTTCCTCGGTTTCGTACCGGCTGCGATTATGATAGTACGATATTATTCGTTTTACGATCGCTACTGGGCCTACAAATATCATGTATGGCTCCAGGTGTTGACCCTGCTATTGTCAACAGTCGTGTTTGTATTGGGATGGTTCGCAGTAGGACCGCAAAGAAGTCTTACCAATCCGCATCATGGAATTGGCCTAGCACTATATGTTATGGTGATCTTTCAGGCGCTCTGGGGTTGGCTCTCACGAAAGATTGAGCGAGGTAGAAGACATTACCGTTCGCCGTTGATATTAGTGGTATGTTACCCTAATCTGAACATCCGAATTTACTAGTGCTGACTTGTTCTCCAGCTCCACCGTTGGATTGGCTGGGCTACAGTACTTCTTGGCTTTGCCCAGATTCCTTTGGGATTGACTCTATATGGGTCTCCGAAATCCTTATTCATTCTCTTTGCAGTTGGAGCTTTCTTCTGGCTTGCAATGTTCTTCATCTGCTCTTACATCTACGATGAAGATGGAGTGTACTATGGCCCTGATACAGACAGCCGCGGAAGCTACGTATCTGGACCGCCACCCAAGGAAGAGAGGCGTCATAGTGATTTTGGGCGCATGGCAGGAGCCGCCGCTGCAGGCGCTGGGTTAGCAGCCCTCTTTTCGCGCCGAAACCGCCATCATGAGGAAAGCGATGTCCATAGTTCTCAATACGATGATAAATACTCAGATGAAGGACGCCGTCCCAATTGGACCAAGCGGGTCCTCGAGATTGGTGCTATTGGCGGTGGGCTTGCATTAGCAAGATCAATGTTTAACAGAAGACGAGAAAGAGAAAGTGATAACGAGTCTGGCCGATATCGTCCGACACATGGCCATAGTGATAGCATGACCGAGGACACAGTGAGCAGGGTGGAAGAAGGCCGTGCGCCTTCTGCGACGCAAGGGCCTTATATGCATCCTGCTAGACGCCAGAGTTATAGCTCCATGGACTACAGCTATTACACACAAACGGACGAAGGACACGGTGAACAAACCGGCCAGGGGCATGGTGTGCGCAATGCTATTCTAGGAGCCGGTGCATTTGCCGCTGTTCGAAATTTGTTCAGACGACGAAAGGACGATGACGAACAACGGCGCATTGACGAGATCAAGCGTCGAGATATGGAAGAAGAAAGGCTGGCCCGAGCGAATAGCAAGAAAAAGTATACAGGCGATGGTTTTTTCCCACGAAGACAACGGCCGTCGCAATCAGTGCTATCCAGCGAGATGACCTCGGACGTAACGCCACGTCCGCCGCGTACACCCCATCCCGAAGATGAAACTGTTATGACTGGTGGCATTGTCGATGGTACAGAAAGTGTAATACCTCCGGCTGCCCCGTCACACCGTATTGTCTCTGGAAGTGCTACTGGCACAGATATTGAAACCGCCGCCGCCGCCGGGGCTGTTGCAGGGGCCGCTGCAGGATCAGCAAGCCGGCACCGCCGCCGCAGTGGCAGCGGTAGTGGCAGTCGATCAAGGAGGAGTGATCGCCGCAATGAAGTGTCATCACCGCCAGTATCGGTCAAAGTCAAGATGCACAATGATGGGCGGCATGTCACTCTTCGGAAGTTGACGGAAGAAGAGGCAGCCGCCAGCAGAGAATCGAAACGTCGATCAAGAGAGCGTCGGGATCCACGCAGACGAGGTAGCGCAAGTTCTCTCTCGGGAGGTGAAGGGGCTGGCTCAGACAGGTGGCGACGTGTTGAGGAGATGGAGCGCCAGCAAGCTGAGCATGTACGGCGAGAACAAGCGGCGGCTCTGGCTGCTGAGTCTGGAGCAGCAGCAGCAACTATGCCTCATCCTCCACCACCCGTACCACTTGCGCCGCCTGTACCGCCTGCAGCATCCTTCCACTCTGGTGCACCGCCGACAGCATCATATGCTGCCACCAGTCAAATATCTGTTCCTCCACCTCCTCTAGCCCCCCCTCCACCTCAACATCTAACCTCCCAAGCCTCACACGCAGCGACTAGCCAAATGTCCATGTCACAGCGTCCTCCATCAAACATGCAGCACTATCCCCCTACCGCAAGTCAACAATACCCGCCAACCGCTAGCATCACATCTCCTACTTGGACAGGCACTGAAGCAAGCGCAGATTACGCCAGTAACAGAAGAAGACGTCGAGCAGAGCGAGCTCAGACACGAGCAAGACAACAAGCGCAGCACAGCGTTGAATTTACTTGATCAACTGTCGATAAAACGTTTGCAATTCTTTTTTACGACTTCATTCATGCCTGTATCAATGACCCCTTTACATACTCCCAATTAGTTCCCCATTTTGAATCTTTAAATTTTTTGGACAGATCATACCGAAAGAGGGAGGCATATTCGAGCGAGCTCAAAAATGTTTTTTTTCTTTTTATTTTCGTATGTATGTTGGTACGATTTTCCGGATTGATGACTTTCGCCACCTTCCAATTATCTCCCCTAGCTTTGAAGCATTGTACATAACCAATCACCTTTTCCCTTATGGGCTATCATCGTCAGATGAATCGTCAGATGAACTTAAACTTTCTATGATTGTAATTGAATTCAATTGATGAGATTTTCTCGGACTAAATGTCTATTTAATAATACTCGACAAATCCATCTCCAACAGTGACATGAGATTAACATTGCCATTAAACCAATTCTCCAACGACATTGCATCACCACTACCAAGACTCGCTTCGAGGTTATCAGCTGTGTAATCCGTTGGAGCCGTCATTTGCGGCGCTAATCCAGTTTGCTGTTGTGACGACGGCGGCGGTGGGGGTGGTGGTTGTGGTTGTTGTTGGCCTATATTCAAGAATCCAGCCGCATTCGGGAATCCGAGGGCGCTGAGGTATGGCTCAAAATCATCTATGGGAAATTGTGATGACGGTGGTAGGTTGGTGTATTTGAATGTGTTGTTTGTTGGGTCGTTGGTGGTGTTGGGTTGAGGAGTTGGTGGGATGTTGAGGGGTGTTGTTGATGATGATGGTGATGTTAGGGATTGTTGTTGTTGCTGCTGGGTGTGGTATTGCATATTCTCCAATTGGCTCTGATCGAGACCACGGCCACCATCGTACTGGTAATGATTCTGGTGCTTAATCTTGGTCTGAATATACAACTCCGCCACACGATGAAACACATGACACAGTCGGCGGAGTTTTTCGGCTGCTTCTACTGTCTCGCCGGATGTTTGTAGAGACGATACAAAATCTCCAAGGCATTTCAAATCGGATAGATTGGCGGTAGCGATTGCGTGGCAGAAGAGAACCATGAAGGGGGTGAAGGGGCAGTTGATGAGGACCCTATGATACAACGTGAGTGGATTCCTTCAGTGCAAGTGAAAGACAGATACGTACCAAGAAATGTATCCATGCCAAATGTAGCTATTCGTATGTTTATATCGCTCCGTATTACGCTGATGAGCCCTCAATGCCTCTCTTGCCATACCGATACACTCATTACTGAAAATAGTGGAACTATCCAACGGCCCCGGCGGCACAGCTCGATACGCCAGCGTCGAAAGACCGTAGTACATAATCTCCGACGACGACGCGGCAGCCGCATAATAAAGTGGGTTATATGCTCGGGAAGGATCAAGTTGGTTCTGCGATTCTTGATACCATAGCTGCATGTCAGCGGTGAGCTGTTTTGCTCGTTGAGTTCTATCGGCTGCTGGTTCGGATAGTGCACGCGGAGAATACAAATCTTCGTAGATGCGACCCTGGAAGTAGCCGATTTTGATCCATTGGTGGTACATGACGTCCCACATGTTCATTTGTGAGTCAGCTGATAGATCAGAAAGAGGCAGAGTGATGTCAAAGTCCTGCATGATGGAGGAGTGACCCATGCGGAGCGAGAGGCACTTGTCGAGGATGTAGGTGAACCAGAACATGCGTTTCTTGAGGTTGGTATCGAGCTGGTTTTCGCCTGGTGATCCGACGGATCTGTGATAGCCTAGTGTCTGGCAGAGACGGGCTGCTGTTGAGACGAGGGCCCAGCAGAGAGATGGTTGCGATATGTCGATTGCATAAGAGGCCTATGATGTTAGTTTGAGCTTTCAATGAGTGGATAAATCACTCACCCCAATAAGGATTGCTTGCAAGTTCTCGCTATTAGGCGCCATAAAGACACTGAACCGACTAATGGCGTATTCAAGATTGGATCGACATAGAGCTGCATTCTCGGCTGCATCGGGCACGTTCTTTCCTTCTAGATAGGCCACGTGCTGGAAGAGATAAAAGAGTCCTCCATTGACTAGGGCGAATGTACCAAGAGAGTAGTCCTCTGTCGCGAAGTACACTTTTTTGCACAATTCGTTAAACTGTCCAAAGTCGATAAAAGGATGTTGCAGGAAATTCTGAGATTCTATACAGGGATAAGCACTTGCGCCTATTGAGCATGGGGTGTTGCAGTAACCAACCTTTACAAAGCCTCAAAAGTGACACCACAGATTCCAGAGGTGGAATTTTCGCAGACGAGAAGTCAATACAAGAAGATGCATCGACCTGCTGATTCGGAAAGCGGTAGTCGTGGTTCACCGGCGGCGAATGCTGTTTGTCGATGAGATGACGGAGTGCGAAGAGCGCCTCCTGCATCTCAGGATCACGGGTGAACGCTGTATAGTCATTGCTCATGGCATTTTCGATGATGCGGCTTGCATGTACAGAATGTGCGCTTAGGGATGAAGCGCCTTCGAAGGCGGCGTTGGTAGTATTGCTGTTGCCTGTTTTGAGATTGTGGTCCCCGGCGATTGATGGTGTTGGGGGTTGTGCCGGCAGCGACGGCGGTGATTGTACAGGTAGTTTTTCTTTTTTGAGTGTTTCTTGTGTAGGTCTTGTTGCAGCGATTGTTGGATTCAATGCTGGTGCTAGATGTTGAAAGGTGGCTGATAGCGAGGTCAGGTTTTCGAGTAAGCCCTCGATACGAGCCAGTCGCTCTTCGATGATTTCAATCTTCCTCTCACTAAACTTCTCAGTATCGCATATGGTAGATAATGCTAACAGCTGGTGACATACTATTGATCAGATATCAAGATCCTTTGCCGCTGTTCTCTGGGCCTATTGGCTGTCCGGCATGCGAGATTCGACGCTCTGCAGTTGGAGCACGGTGATCTTTTGTCACATTTGATCTATCACCCTATATGAGCTTCCCATCAACACCGTCTTGGACCACTTAGTGATACCTTTCTGTTTCGGCAATTGTCGCACTGCGAAGATGTTAGCGGCTTTATGCATCGAATCCGTGGAGAAGAATGGTCTTACCGCCCGCCAGGTCGGCACGTTATCACTCCTACTTGGCTCGTGGTCTTCTTCCATGATGAGGACACGATTGGTCGTTGAAATTACACAGAATATTTATGAAGGAAAGTTGACAATGGCTGTGTTTGTTGAAGAGGATGAAATGAGTCGCTGGACTGCCGGAGCCCACGGAACCCGGGGGGTGGATACTGTGCATTGCTTCTGATTGGGCGTCACTATGTATATCGCAAAAGTGTACAATTTGATTAGATACGATGTGATATGATCTAGTAGTATTATCAACTAAACATTCAGATTAAATACAAATAGTAATGTCGCTTGCTGAATATCGTTCATGAGAAACGTGCAAAGTCAAAATAATCCGCTCTACAAGGCAGACAGACACCCTGAAGTGACAAACGCCATGAGTTGCTGGTATTACATTAAATAGACGATTTCCTCGAGGAGAAAAAGCATCAAGGAGGGAATGAAGGATATGTACTGCGCGGTTGGAAATCAAGGAGCGAGGAGTGAAGATTGTGGGTAGCTCGTTCAAACTGAAGCGAATACCATGACAGTTGCGAGTAAGAGCCCTATAAACGTCATAGGCGGCGGCGTTACAGTCAGACTGCTAGCGGAAGTTTTAGACGGCGATCCAGAGTTCTGAGTGCCGACATTGACCGTAGCATTGACAAAGTTCGGCCCGCAGCCAATATTGATTGTTTGCGCTGCCGGGATATATGTTTGCACGAGCGGGTTCCCCTTGACCACAGCGGAGTCCTTGAATACCGCCATCGTGGCTTGCGTGCATTGGTTACACTCTGGTCGACTGCCGCCAGGTAACGAGTTTCCCAAGGGCAAAAGATAGAGGGCATACCCCGAAATATTGGTGCTGTTAGTGGCTGCCTCGGTGAAGCAATATTCGTGGGTGGATGGATCTTCGAGACAAGCCGCCTTGGCAATCGGTTCGTACGAGACCATTCCATCGTAAGCCTGGGTTACGGTTGGATTCCCCAGTTTGTAGTCGGCGCCGCAGTTGTCGTTGCTTGTGAGATTGGCGGCGAGGTTGGTCATGAACGTCGCGCATGCTGTGGTATTAGCGGAGCAAGATGTTTCGAGTACTTGGTCTAAAGTCACTGCCGAAGCTAGGTCTTTGAAGAAGGTGTTTGAGTTTTGGAGAAGGATTGATATTGCATGGCAGGATTTGTAGGTTTCATTGGCAAGGAAGTAATCGAAGAATTCAGGGCAGCTTGTTGCTGTGAAATTATTTCCTATCGTGTCGAAAGCCGTCGGAAAGCTGATGTTGCTGCTACTCGAGGTAGATCTTTCCGTTAATAAGGGAGGTCTGGCTTCTGACGATGCCTCTGATGTTTGAACATCTTCGGATTCCTCTGGTAAAGGCGAACCGTGGCTGTTCGTTATTAAGAATAATATTAATGTGAGATATGACAAGACTCCCACGAGTCGATGGGTGGTTATTGACGGCGACATGGTTGAATGCGTATAAGCGAATGACGTGGGCGAGTGCGTTCGCCGAGTATAAAACGAGCGTGAATTGGCAGCGACAATTGTCGATGTCAGTGTATAAAGAACGAGCGTGATTCGATGAGCATGGCCTCTAGATACGATTCAGGCCCTTTGTTCGTGGGGCATTGCGTGTGGTATCAGGATGCGGCCGAGGTTCGCTCGCGGGCATATCTTGCATACCGCCAATATCTCGACAGTAAAGACAAATACTTGAAAAGGAACAAAGACAACAGAATCAGTCGAAAAACAGTACTCAACAGTTCGTCACTTGTTGTGTACCTGTAGCGTCCTCAGATGGCCCCCTCACGGCTCGAAGATGAATGAGTTCGTGGGAGCGAACACAATGGGGTCCGAACGCTTATTAGAAAGAAACCCGGGCAGAAGGTGCATAATAAATACGCATTCAACTTGGGCGGTGGAAAGGCTATACTTGTGCTAAGTGGGCAAAGCCATTGAGCCAATGTCAACGGCGTGAAAGAAAAGAGCAAAAGCCGTGATCTAGACTGAGCGGAGTCAGGACGCCATGACTCAAAAGGGACTAAAGGGACTAAGAGGGCAGACTATTGCAGCCTGGTCTGGTCGGAGCGAGGCCACTAGCCCTGATACAGCGGTGGTTCAAGGATGGCGGATGCTGAAAAGAATCAAAAGCAGGTTTAGTTTGTGCCATGTTTTCTGGACTAGGAGATTAGCCGACTTTTTCTGTCTTGGACTGCTGGCTGAGGCCTTAGGCACTTGGCACCTGGCACCTGGCACTTGGCATTTGGCATTTGGCATTTGGCATTTGGCATTGGCACACACTCGTATTACGCACTGATTAGTACGACAGGAAAGTAAATAAGTTCATGCAAAGACCAGAGTACAAAGTACGCAAACGATAACTTTAAAGACGTGTTCCTGACTAAAAGACAAAGTGGGGATCCTCAGGCACACACATACTTCAGACTCAAAACGCCCCATGAGACATTCTGCAACACTCCAAGGTACACAACAAGGATTCTTCTAGTAGTTGTAACTGACACGTCAAAATAAAAATTCCGCACGACTCCGCGATGAAGTCGGAGAATTGACGGAGAAGAACGACGTGTCGAGCGTCACTGCTTCAGGGCCAACTTCTCCGCCCTAAAAGCGCCACGGTACGTACGCACGTACATATGTCTAAATGAGGAATAGCGACCGAGCAGACAAAGCAGAAGAACACGAGGCTTACCCCTGACTCCCTGATTCAACTTAGCAGGTGGAGAACATGAAAAGATAAGACGATAATTTGCACGCTTTACTCGATTCGGACGCTGGCTTATTAATGGGTTTAACCCTAAGCGGAAAGCTGAGTGGCAGTTCGCAAGTCATGTGCAGCCACTCAGCCCTAAGAGGCCCGAATTGTACGAACATTGAATTATGCAAACGTTGATAGACTTCTCTAAGAATAGAAATTAGTGTGTTTAATAAACCTACGTATTGCACGCGCTATGTAGACACTGTGTCTAAAATCTAGAATGTTATGGTATGATAAATGTGTATGATATTAGATCAGCTCCTCCGGTTCGTGGCACTCGTGCCCTCCAGAGCAATACCGACCAAGCTCCGTTGCTGCCGGAGCGGCCCGCCAAAAGGATCACCTTGGCTCGCCGTTGACAAGGCTGGGCTGATGAGACTATCATGGTCTCGTTTGATCCTAAAATACGCCAGCTTCGTGAAGCGTCCAACCTGGTTCCAGAAATGGCGGCCTGCTTCATGACTGGCTATGCGGTCGAGCAGTTCCACTGTGGCATCGCGGACTGCGACGTCTGGATGGAAGAGGCCAAGACTGACGTAGAACAATCCTGCCTGACTTTCTGGTGTCACAGTCAGTAGCTGGCATACACCTGCATAATTGCGTATCGCGTGCGAGAAAGCAAGATAGATGCTAGCCGCTTCCTCAGGAGGGAGCTTCAGCGAACGTAGCCGATCATGATGGTGCTGCAAGTCCATCTGCTTTATAGGACCCGTAGCATTGTACGAGGTAGCAACATCCTGGATAAATGCGTAGTAGGACCGAGTATTGCGCCACCCTTCGATTCGATAGACACATGCTGCAAGCTCGCGTTGCTTGCTAACCTCATCAGACCATACATAGCCATGCCCCCGCAGCGATGCCGGATCTGACGGATCCGCTTTGGCACCACTAGGACTCGATGTAGCGTCCTCTCCAGGTCCCATGATGTAAAGAGCTGAAGCGCCATATACGGTCTCTTCGAAAGCTGCAGCTACTCTAGTGAACTTGTAAATGTACGCGCGCCACTTGGCACGAATCACGCCTTCTCCGTATCGTTGATTGATACTTTGGAGAATGTCATTCATAAATGCTACATCTCCCGTAGGATCAGCACTCTGATTTGATGCGTTGCTGCTAGTGGAATGCTGGAAGAACTTGAGTCCTTCTGTCAATGGTGCCTGCTCAATCCGACTACTGATTTTCATCCTGCCGGTGGGGAGATCGCATAGCAAGTCCCACCATTCTGGGTGATTTGCAAACGTGGGGTTGGTCACTCCAGCAACGAATCCTGGCACTTTCAGGAGATCGTCGATTTTGGAGAGATCAGTGTACGGGAAAGCATGACGGGTAAACCCGCGAAGGATACCGCCAGATACCAAAGCACAGGCAGCTAATACAGCTTCTGCCACTTCCCCTGATGGTCGGTTATGCCCCAAGAAGATGACTCGTTTCTGGGTAAGCATGGCATTGACTAACACAACAATAGGATGGGTATAAGCTCCGTTGGTCGTGAGATGCGGATGAAGCGCAAAAGGTTGTGGGGTGGTAGAGTGTGGTGTCGCGAATATTTGAATGAGTTTGATGAGTGAAAAGTCTCCTACTGTCTCCGGCCAAATAATTGTAGGAACCTTTACTGGAATAGGTATATCGTTGTATACGACTTTAGACTCAAACTCATGCGTGTCTCGTGGTAGTACGTAGCGTGATTTGCCGGTTGGTGACTCTGGGGAGGCATCCGGATCACGTTCCGACTCTTCATCTGCAACTCGTTGTTCAATCATGCGCTCAAACTTTTCAATGAACATGTCTTTCGAGTCACTCGCTTGTAGAATGCTGCGTTCAAGGAGGTTGAAGCGAGGTAGCAAAGATAGATCCATCGCATTGACTGCGTTATATAGAGATGCCAGAGTCTCTGGGTAAGGAGCTTTGAAATAGTCTTCTAGGGCTAACAGAAGCAATGGCTACCAAAGTCAGCATGCTCTTAAAAGAAAGATGGCAAGACGTACTTTGTATATATGGAGGAAAGAATGACGTGTACAAATAGCCATTGCTTTAACCACAGCACCACTGCTCTAGTTAGCCGATGTTATACGCTCTCGAAAAGAAGTGACGTACCGTCTTACTGTATTGTCTTGCTTGGTATTGACCAAGTTTAACACATACATAAGTGGTGGCCCTTCTCCGCTATCTTCCTCGTCATCAGTGCTATCAGGCTCATCTGACTGATCGTCTTCGTCGTTGGTCAAGTCCTCATCGCTTCCCTGCTCGGTTTCGGTCTGCTGCCTCCTCCGTTTTCTCCGCCGTTCCTTTTTATTTTCCCCCGCATCTTCTTCATCTGACTCGGTATCCTTGTGTAAAAAAAAGATAGTCCAATCTTGACTTCGTACGTGCGTTTGATCCGGAAGCATAAGCTCTGCAAGCATACTCTCGTCACCACTAATCGAAGCAGGGTATTGATGTTCCATTATCGGGCCGCGGTCGATGTGGAAAGAGGCCACAAGTATATATTCGACATGGCGCTCGGAAGAGTCAAGAGGATATTGAGACTTGGATCGTCGCGAGCTGCGGAGGACATCTGGATGCTGAACGGATTCGCGCCGGACATGTTGCGCATTACTTGGGGTGCGTCTGAGGAATGAGGCGGCAGGCGACAGTTTCGTCTTTCCATTGAGACTGAGTTGTGAGGAGGACGGAAACGATGATGGAATCGAGAATTTCTCGATTTGAGCATCACCGGTTGGTGTTTTAGCGGGGAAAGGATTAGCCATATTATATTATAGTTTTAGAATCGACGGTTTTAGTAGTCATACTCCGGCGGTCTCCCCTCGTTGGCCTGTAACGTATGCATTGTCAGTATGATTTGCAAAGCGCTGAATGTCCATTTTACTGCAAGGTCTTATATGCGCCAAACGTACAGTGAACGATAATGAAGCTGCGATTGTTCTGGCTAGCCAGGACTATGTGCCTCCGACTCGATCACATGTGACTGGTAGCCATCGAGACTTGTCGCATGGTGGGAAACTGGTCGTGTTGCTTGAACTAGGGCTTCGTAAAATCGCAATTGACCCAGTGGAGCCTACTACTGTGCGAAAGTATCGTCAAGGATAGAACATGGTCGACAGTTGGAATAGTCGCAAAATGGAAGCAGATCGGTGGTTGTACTTTTGGGGATGCTCTTTCCCCCCCTGAGTGGGCTGTGGATGGGCCAATCACTGCTCACCGCCCGGGCATGGCAACCGCCCGCTTTCTTTGTTTACCCGGCGATTATCGACCGCTGTTACTGACCGCATTGCGCGACATTCATCATTCAACCTCCCCATTTCGTCCAATTTACGAGTCCGATCGAAGATAGAAAGCGGCGACAGAATCATAAGTGTTCAAATTTAAGATTCTGCAGACTGCATACGAGTACCTCTCATTTACCGGTCTACGTTCGGAAAACAACAAGTAAACAAAGCTCCTGCACGGCGTTCATAACGACAGTGAGCCTCGATTAAACACAACACTCAAGATTGTATACGAGATCTTCAACATGAACTCAAATCTACCCTACAAACCGTCTCCTTTATCATTTAATTCTCCCCGAGCATCGCCGTTCCGCCGACCATCTTCACCCGGCTCACCCACAACAGCAATCCGCGCCAACACACCAGCCAGCTCGCCTGGCCGAGGCCATACACCAGTTACATCACCAAGCAAATTAAATCAAACATACACCGTGGGTGAAAGCGAGGAAGCCGTTACAGAAGACGAGCAACCAGTGGTCTCCACACCAAAGTCTCCCCGATGGAGAGAACCGCCTGTGTCGCCTACCAAAGGCGCACCGGGCAGGAATAGCGTCTCGTCGCCAATGAGCGCTCGATCGGTCCGTACAAATGTTGTGGGTAGTGATACGTTGTCAAAGTTGCCTGCTTCTCAAGTGAGGGATATGCGGGAGGCGTTTCAGGTGCTTGATCGCGATAATGATGGTAGCGTCAATCGGGATGATGTTGCCGACGTGCTGTCGAATTTAGGTATAAGCACTTGAAAATTTTCATCAAATAACAATCAAACTAACTTTACGAAATAGGCCAGGATCCATCCTCAAGTGCAACCGCTCAATACTTTCCAGCCGGAGCAACGCAGACCATGAACCTACCAACCTTTCTCGGTACCCTGTCTAATCTACTAGCCCCTCTATCCTCTCAAAAAGAGCTCCTCAACGCATTTGCCGCTTTTGATGACGATGATAGTGGACAGGTAGACGTGGCCGAGCTTCGGGACGCTCTTTTGCATACAAACCCGGATATCGGCGAAAGTCCCCTGACAGAAAGAGAGGTCGACGAAGTCCTGAATGGGTTTACGGGACGGAGAGCGTTTGGTGGTAGAGGGAAGCAAGCAGCTTTTGGCGGTCAAAAAAGAGGCGACGTATTTTACTACCAGGACTTTGTGGGCGGTATTATGGGCAGTTCGGATAATGGGAATGGGTCGAATAGTGCTGCCAAATCTCCGCCGGCTACCTGATCAAATTTCTTTATGGTATAAGTTATGTATGTTATGAGTACTTGGAGTTATCTCGGTAGGTTAAAGGATATATATGAAATAATGAAATGCTTCTAAGCTGTGTATATGGTATCAATAATTTTGTGCGAACAACTAAACTCGCCATTACATCTGCCTCCGCCCTAGACCCTGGACATTAACATTATACCCGTCCTTAGATCATCATATACCATGCACTATGTGGCAGCTTCTAAGAGGTAAAGTGGGGGGCATTAATGAACAGTCCCATCAGAATACCGCCAAGGGTTCCAGCAATAGGAATAGTGAGAATCCATGCAGCGAGTAAGAGGCTGACTCGTTGCCAGTTGACGGCCTTGATGGTGCCGTTGCAGAGACCGACACCGACGGTGGCACCAGTAATGCACATAGAGGTTGAGACGGGGAGGGAGTATTGAGAGAAGATGAGGACGGTAAGAGCGGCGCCCATTTCCATAGAGCTTCCTCGACTGGGGGAGTGGTAGGTGATTTTGTTACCCATGACTATGAATAATTAGCAAGAATTCACTTAAATTCAAGTGAGCGGTAGATGGCTTACCCTTCATGATGTTGTAACCGTAGGTGATAAGACCAATGGAGATACAACCAGACAAAACAGCGAGTTGCCAGACAGGAACAGGAGCCTTGGAAGCAGCGGCATTGCCAGTGTTCCAGGCAGAGTAGATGACAGCCCAGGGACCGACAGAGTTGCCAATATCGTTGGCACCATGGGCGAAAGAGGCGGTACAAGCGGTGATGACCTGGATGAAGGAGTAGGTATGCTCGACTTCGTTGGGGTACTTCTTGGCATGGGCATAGACACTTTGCATTCGTTTACCGTCGGGGGTACCGGCGATACCGGTCTGGGCGGAGTGGATATCGTAGTGAATACCATAAAGAAGACCACAGACAATGATGGCGGGGATACGCTTGGCGAGGATCTTCATGTTGTGGAATTCGTAGATTTGACCGGCGCCCATGGGGTTGTCGCGGAGAGTGCGCATAGCCCAGCCGAGAGGGCCACGCTTCTGGAGGAGTTTGGCGCGGTGTTTGGCATCACCCTGAGCCATGAGCTCTTTGTAGCTGGCCTGGGTGGCTTCAGCAGTGACAAGGTTCTTCTCGTCCTTCTCGGAGGTGTTGGTGGTCGATACATCTCCTTCGGTGGACTTTTCAACGTCCTGTGCGTTGATCTCGGGGGAACCGACGACGGTCTTGTCATCGTCGTCCTGGACGACAGCGTAGTTGGGAACGTTGGCTTCGTACTCCTCAGCAGGGGCAGGGCGCTTGAAGAGGAGAGGTCCCATGATGAACATCCACCATTTGATGGAGGGATCCTTCTTGATGACCTTTGCGTGGAGCCAAGGGAGAAAGAAAATCGCAGACAAAAGGCAGACACCACCACCGGTACCCATGGTGACGGCAGCGATATACCAAGCAGGCTTCTTGCTCAAGCCCAAGCTAGGAGATCCCTTGTACACAATGGACAAAGTACAAAGAGTGGCGGCGAGGAGGAAAAAGAATGGAGAGCTCCAGACGGCCCATTGAACGGGCTTCTTGCGGATGAGAACAACGAGCTTGATCAACATGAAGATAATAGAGGCAAAGGCAGCCGAGATGGCAGGGGCCATTCCGAGACCAGCAAAGATCGCACCGAGACCCTTGCCATCGTTCCAGCCCCATTGGACCTTGGAGGCACCGACGGTTGCGACACCGACACCAGCCACGGCAGAGATGAGCGAGTATGTGGAAGAGACGTGAGCGGAGTGGCGAGTACACCACATGACCCAGGAGGAAGCGGCGGCAAGAGCGCAGGTGAAGGCGAGCATCTGGACGCCGGCATCACCTCGAAAAGCCGTGACAGGGATGATACCGTTCTTGATGGTATCGGCAGTACGGGCACCGACGGTGATGGCTCCAAGCATCTCGAAGACGGTTCCGAGAACCATGGCCTGTCGGTAGCTAACCGATCGGGACGACACACTGGTGGCCCAAGAGTTGGCAACATCGTCTATCGAAATTAGCAGCGCACAAGTTAGGATACAACGACTGAGTTGTACGTACTGGCACCGTTGTTGTAGGCATCTAGCATGGCAAACAAAGTGCCAATGGCAAAGATGTAGTCATACCGGTGAAGTCTCATCTTGGCGGCAAAGATTGATTGTCCGACTCGGTGATGGAGAGAGTGTCTGTCTGACCCAAAGCACCCAGAGAAGGCAGGAGGGCGATACCGACCCTTTTAAGTTCTTTAGAGACAGGGTTTCAGCTTGACAAGGCAGTCTCCGATATAGCCACGATATGCAGGGTATCCAATTGTCTTGCAGCTGTTACATCCTCGTAAAGACTGCGTACGAGATTCCATGCGCACTATTGCCTATTTGGGCCGAATCTGTAGCACATTCTCTCGAGCGGCATTGTGATTGAACGTAGCGCAGTATTGCCATCCGGCGCAAGGAAGTCTTAGAGTTCTCCATTTTGCACTTGGCATTAAAAATCGAACAGTCGGATGATGAGCATGAACAGTGTCCAACGTTGGTTTTTGCGGTGGCACAGCTAAGTAGAGTAGCCAAGAGGTTTATAGAGTTCTGGGCTTCTAAAGAAGATCAATAGAAGGAAGTAACAGAGCCCACTTTTAATCACGACATCAGAGACCTATGGCATCGGCGTTGGCATTTATCTGATTGTGGCTGTCGTATTCGTGAGTGGTGCGTCAAGGTCAGATTCGAGATGGAAGTCATGGAAGTCATAGAGCCAGGTCTTGGCGCCACGGAGCGGACCCTTCCAAGGCGCTTGGCACTATCGCGCGCGCTTGGCGGAGCAAGGAGCTGCCCCAGTCCAATGGCGATCATTGAATGCCACACGTGGGAGGCATTTGTTGATGGCCGGAGATTTGCATCTGTCAGATTGCTCGATTCAATGTCAACGGCGACTGCTGGTAGCTGTACACACGTGCTCCCTGTCCGTTCTTGGCTCGAGGACTTGCTTCTGTTTTTGGCTGGATTAGCCGAGACACGTCTTATTGGAGTCTGGGCGTGTGTACCACGTTTTCGTCTCATGGGATGCCATCTGACAGTACCTGCAGTCAAAGGAGTTCTCTGTATACTATGGAGTCACGGAATTATGTACGGTACGAAGACTCCACCTCAGGGCCTGGATAGCCAGGCTATGGCGGCTGCAAGTTTACTAGGGTTAGCACTGTAGGCTCGTTAGGGCTATGTCCTTTCAAACCTTCTTGATACCCAAGAATCTCAACGTTGTATCTTTTCCTGCTTGAATTGGCGCTGATCTGATATCTGATAGTCAGAGTCGATAGATTGCGAGAAGTACTTGCTACATAAGTTATCAAAATGACTCGACTCATGTCAGCCTCTATACCTAGCTGTCGGTCTTGGCGCTGATTCGTCCAGCCGCCTTTTCCATTAACGCGTCAATCGCGAGCTCCCCCGCATATTCTGCCAGCTTCACTTCACTCAAATTATCCAGATTATTTTCACCTGATTAGCAGCGTCGCAGTAGCATCATGTCCGCTAACAGCAAACCGTCGCTGGCCAACACGAAATTGCCGACATTTGCTGTTCCTCCAGCTTCACCGCAATCTCCTCGCAAGCTCCGCAAATTTCAATCGCATCAGTCCTTAACTTCGACGGCATTCTCGAGCTTCGGACAGCCTTTACCGACGACTACGACAGCGATAGCAAGCAACGGGAATGGCAATCGGCAGCGCGATGTCGCCGGCAATGGCGCCACCACAGACATTCAGTCAGACACGAATGTACGGCCTCGCACCCGCGGAAGATCGAATAGTGAATCAGGCTCGAGCAATCCCACGCAATTGACGACAGGCACGGTACGAACAAAGCGACCAGCCAGAAAGACGGATTCGTCGGGGTATTTCATCAAGAGATCAGGATTGGATGCGCTGTTACGCGACGGACCAGCGGATGGGAGGTTGTTGGAAACGTTACAAGAGTTGAGGTTGATGGTTTTGTCGAGTAGAGTCGATGCGGATTCAGATGGCATGGTATGTTATATTCTCTGTCAGCAGTATGAAAACGCTAATTGAGGCGAAGTCTACATATCGAATATACCTCTGGTTAGCCCTCCTAGGCGTCCCTCCACTACCAACAGATGAATACCTCAACCTCGTCCACCGCGGCCGATCGCCGGCATACACCAAAATTAGGAATGACACCTTTCGCACACTGGCAACTGATCCACTGTTTAAGCGACGAGTTACCGAAGCAAGTTTGATACGATTGCTGAATGCAGTTGCTTGGAAATTGCACGATGCGCAACAACCGCCCAAACCGTCTTCGCGACCATCGTCAAGAAGGAAAGAGTTACTAGAGCTCGCTATAGACAGTCCGCCAACGATCACGGAAGAACCAGAGGGTGACTCGGTACAACCGCTAGACAATCCAACTACAAAACCGGCTATTTACGTACAAGGCATGAACGTCTTGTGTGCACCGTTTCTCTACGCAGCTCGTAGCGAAGTCGAGGCGTTCGCACTATTTCATTACTTTGTCACAAAGGAGTGTCCTGGGTACGTGCGGGGAGCCATGGACGGAGTTCATAAGGGTCTCCGCCTTGTTGATCGGTGTTTGGAAATTGTTGATCCGAAACTCGCGGCTTATCTGTTCTCCAAGGGAATGTATGCAGAATTATACGCATTTCCATCAGTTCTGACATTATGTGCCTGCACACCCCCGTTGCCGGAAGTGCTACATTTATGGGACTTTTTATTCGCGTATGGACCACATTTGAATGTTTTGTGCATTGTTGCGCAGCTTAATCGAATGAGGGATGCGATTCTTCAGAGCGAGAGGTACGTCAAGCATCTTCCAGTTGATGATATACTTTCACTGATTATGACTAGTCCTAATAAACTCCTACGATCATTCCCACCCCTCGAGGCAGACAAAGTGATTAGTCTGACGGTATCGTTCGTTCGAAAGATACCTGATGACCTGTACGGGGAATTGGTTGACCACGCAAAATGATTTCAACGAACACGATACCATGGCATTTTTGGAAGGGCGTACATGCAATTTATTCATTTGATGATTTAGGCTAGGCATTGGGGCTTGATTTCTATATGTTTTGCATAATATGAGCTGTATTATGTTTCCATCTCGCTGATGATTACGAGTTAAAATAGACCATGATTATGAATAGCTTTTAAAAAAACTTCGTCTAATCTTCCGCAGCCTCCCATTGACATCTCGCACAACGACATAACCCCCCCAGCGCACCAGCAGCCCACTCCCTCCTCTCCCGAACATCGATCCCAATATCACAATAATGATTCAGAATCTCTTCGCCTTTCCGAATCATAACCTTCTCATCCACTGCCACCGTCGTCTTCTCTTCCTTCACACCATCAATCTCTCGTCTCCAAACAGCCTTCTCATCTTTCGTTCGAACCATGAAGCAAATCTCCCCACCCCATTCCCATCGCACGTTCGGATCACAGGAATGATTCGCCAGACACCATAGCGGATGTACAGCACATACCTCCGGGCCTCCGTCCCAGGTCGACAGTCGACCCGACGCCGTGCCTCTAAATTTTGCATAAAGCGTATTCAGAATCCAGGTATCGTATCGATCCAGAGTCGTAAATGGGTCTAGACCCATCTCTTCGAGCAGGCGTGTTGGTTGTAAGATGTTTAGCTGGAATGAGAACGGGAGTGAATACTCGTCTTTCAACACTTCTTCCTTTGTAGTGTCATCTGGTGTGTACTCGTGGAAATCCCCCCATATATATTTGATCTCCGGCAAGTCTAGCGGATGCAAATCCTGCGTCGCGGCCATCGCGATTGCTCTGCCCAGCAAAAGAAAATATAGGTAATCAGCCTTGTCCTTTGGATCAGCGACATCTTTGCCGATTGAGTCGAGCCCTTCCTGCCCGCATATGGCGCCGTGGTAGGTTCCTTGCGCTTCGTCGTGGCATTTTTGACTGCAGAAGATTGTGTCGTCGCATTCTTCGCATGCTACCGCTCCTGCATCTTGGTCTGATAGGTCTGGTAGCGGACCGTTGCAGGCATCGCACAGGTCGTCGTGTAGGCGGTTCGTGGCCGTTAAGAGCGACGATTCGCGTAAGACGATTTCGGCGGCTTGAAGATCTCGTTTGGCGAAGAGACCTAGTTGAACCGACACTTCTCCTTCCTTTTCATTGCTGGCATCCCCATGTAAAGCCGGTAATGCGACGGCTTTGACTTCTAGATTCGGTGCAACTGTTTCGAGGCGTTTGTTGAGCAGGTTCAGTGTCTCGGGCGCCTTACGGTCTGGTTCGTGCTCATTCCATGAATAGAGGACTCTGCGTGCGTATCCCTGGCCTGGGAGCGTAGCCAATTTTTCCGCGGGAATATCCAGTCTTTTGTCCACGTTTTGCAGATGGCATATGATCTCCTGAAACCCTGCGTCCAAGGATAACAAATGCTCAATAGCTCTACTTCGAAACTCAAACGCATCTCTCAAACATCCACATTTGACAAGACTTTGGACAAGCAGGAGATATGTCTCGCCAATCATCGACTCGTACTCTGATTCAGTGATATCGACGAACTCTGCCTCCCCCTCCTCGTCTTCCCCTTCATTCTGGTTGTCTACTCGCCTCCGAGCAACATATTCGGCTGAATCAGGCTCAGTCACGCATTCCAGTAGCGTCAATGCCCTGTAAGCGTCCGCTGCAGAGAGGTCATGGAAACCCAATGTTGTGTGGAGTTTTGCTCGGTCGAGGTATATTTGTGGATTGTGGGGATCGTAGTTATTGCAGACCTTTGCTGACAGATCAGACAATTGAGCCAGATTGCCTGTATTTGTCGTCATGATTGTGATTGAGAGTATATCGTCATATCATACTCTGTACTGTATGGGTTGTTGGCGGGGGTGAAGAGAAAATCTTTATCGGCTCTTATCTTATCAGATCTCTATCGAGTATCTGCCCGCGATTGGCTGATGGTTCAACCCCACGATTACTACTTATTCTTGATCTCGTATTTATCAATTTGTTGTTTCATTCTATCTGCTGAATTGGTTCGATCAATTAAACCAAACCGAAGGGTATCCTATCCTATTATTCGGGACCGATTAAATCCAAAACTCTGTTTTAGGCCGAATCAGACATGCCAATCTGTAGTTTTACATATTGCCTCCCCCCCTCAAATGAATTAGTTTATACACTGCGGAAGTAAATCATCGTAAAATTTGTGACCTGAATCTGTTGATCTTATTCTGTCGTAAAATGGAGTCATGGACGTACTCTGAGAAGTTTCGAAGGGCTGGTATTATGAATGATGTAGGTGGCGGAATACTCACATAACCTAAAATGTGCTATAAGTAGCCGTCGGGTAAATCGACCAGAGGAACTTACTGTGCAATTTTCGTCGACTACCAAAGTAGCACCTTCGCCCACATCTACTGTGGTTGCAGCATTGCCAGCTCCAAGCGTATGGCGCTGCCCAAGTGTCGTGGCAAGTCGAGCCAACATACTTCTCTGTGATGATTTAGTAAAGCTAACAAAAGCAGAAAATACTAAACGTACAGTGATATAAGCATCGCTGAGTCCACCCTGTCTTTGAATGTCGTTCTGACTCATGATCTGATAGCTGTTCTTGACTCGCTTGCAACTTCGAAGACCAAAGACTTGAGAGCTGCCGTCTGTACTGCGCGGACGAACCCCAAACATATTTGCCGGATGCTCTGGATTGAGTATATTGACTCCGTGCCGGGCATCGTGCTGTGCCCGTCTATCGGAAGAGAAGATCTTGATCGTATTGTCAAGTCCGGAGACAGCCAAAGTCGGCTCGTATGGATGACCTGACATATTATTAGATGTGTGTTCAGATGAGGCCATCTTAAATTGAAAGGGATAACAACCTTGTACGATATTCACCGTCTCTCCGTCACCCTCCAGAATGTTGACTAGTTTTGCCGTTTTCCGATCCCACATGAAAACATGACCAGAGTCGCATCCGCTAACAACATACTCGTCGTCCAGTCCGTAATAATTGACATCCTTGACAGTCTTGATATTGCAATGCCCGCTATAGATCATCTCATGACTTCCACAGGGAACGTCCAGGTCAACTTCTTCCCTGTCCCGACGGTTGTTCGAGAGACCGCCGTGATTCAAAAATCCGAAAATATCGTCATCGGCATCCTGTTCGCCCTCATCGAAGTCGTCATTGTCGTCGCCGTCGTTCACATCATTATCTTCGTCATCAGTGTAACCAAATTCAAAACTCGCTCTTTCGTCTTCAAACATATCAAAGTCATCAGACTCGTCTGGGGAAACATCGATAACGCCATTGGTATGGCTCSGGGCTGTGGCTGTGGCTGCGCGAATCCCGTCCAAATTTGCGGTATGCCCATTGACTCGGTTAGCAACAAGCCGAACTTCTTCGATTTCGTCCGAATTGTCTTCCAAGTCAATGTCCTCTTGTAAGCGTTCGCACTCGTCGTCTTCATTATCTTCCTTTAAGAACGTTCGCAGACCTCCAAATGCACGGTTGACGAATTCAAAAGCGATGCCTTCGCCAACATTCATTAACAAACCACGCCCCACCCTGAGTCCCCAGAATTTTGTCGCAGCACGTCTGTTCAAAGCACGAACCATTTGTTCGGGTGAATCGTCGCTATCTTCTACTGCTGCTGCATCCTCTAACTCTTCCAACGGAAGCTGGGCAGCCTTTTCAAAAGCAGCGAGTGCAGCGTGCTGTGTTGGGAAAATGATCCGTGACTCGTCATGTTCAAAACGGGAAGCATCTACATCAACGACAGGTACGACAGGAATTGAGTCGAGTAATGCCCGCAGGTAGGGGATAAGATAACGTTCGATCCCTTGATCACCCTCATGCTCCGGAATGGGAAAACGAGAACGATTCCGAGAGGAATTTCGACCGAGCTTGAATCCTTCGAGGACTGCCTGACGACCGCCATCTAGCCACAGCAGAATTGCCTTTATAAAGTCATAACCAAACTGAGATTCCGTATCGATTATACCGTTTTCTGAAGGGGCTGGAACTATGTGCCGAAAGAACGCTATCCGACTATCCTCTACTCCAGGAGAATCATTCACACAAGCCCCGAGAGACACAGCCAAAGTTCCACAGGCCTGAACAAAACGTCGAGCAGCCTCACGGTTCCTTCTGAGGGTTTGCTGCATGATAACGACATCCTCAGATGGGTTTATTGGGTATCTCCACGACCTATTGACTTCGTCCATTTGGTTCAGGCAAACAGACGCATGGCTTAGAACGGTAGCAAAAGCTGGTTGATATGAATCAAGATCATAATGCCGCTGAGCCTGTGATATCTCTCGTACGGATGCCTCAAGAGAAAACAAAGCTTTGCGCATTTTGACAAGGCACTTTGCGATTTCCAAACTCAACTTTTGCGCTTCAGTCAGCACGGAAGATCGCGCTCTTTCTATGACATCTTCGGCCGTGTCACTGTTGTGCTCAGTCGTCATCGAGATTGGAATATTCTCTGATTCTCCATTACCATAGCGCACCTGAAACGACATCTCAAGACCTTCGGCGGGAGTATCATCTGATCGCAGATAAGACCGGGGTCTCGCGTTGCCACTTGACAGTGATGTAGCGGACGCAATTTTCTCACGCTTGCGCTTCTTGGTCGAGCTGATACTCTTGACTTCGTCGCTCCTCTCTCCCTCTCGCGCATCCGGACTACGAATAAGATCGAAACTATAAACATGGTTTCCGGACCAGCTCACTACCATCTCATTCGGCCGCGCGTCACTGATCTTGCAAGCAGTGATGCCGTCAGTGTCGTGAGGCTTCATTTTAGACTGACCTTTCGGTGCGAATCTCCGGACACATCTAGTTGCTTTGCTCATAATTTCGTCTTCGACGGAGCCTGCCAAGGGAGTCAATCCATTCAATTGACCTTTCTCCGCCAGTAGATCGCGTCCAGTCATCCGGCGGTCGTGGAGAAAACAATGCAGATGAGCACCACCCAATGCGATATACTGAGGTTGAGACGCAGAACATGATATCGTGTTGAGGTCGAGGTGATACTGCTTATACGATATCAAAGGAGCTGGGATGTTGGAGTCATCATGGTGCACGCCGGGTCGATAGGCCATGAATCCTTGTCCACCACGTGGGGCGGGATATGTCGACGACGGTTGACGCAAGTCCCACTGTCGCACTTCGCCATCTTCTGAACAGGTCAAAAACAGATACGGGGACGACTCGGTCACGATTCTTTTGACGCGATCGGAATGAGAGCGATAGACGCGGTTATTTGTGTTGTGATGACTGAGATAACGAACGCCAGTGAAGAAGTCGGTCATTCGCCGGCTTCTTGTTGCGGAGAATGTATCGGCGGCGGCAGCAGCGTTGGAAGCATTTTTAAACGAATATTCTACATCAAATACTCTGACTTCGGAGTCTCCGGCGCAGGTAAGGAGGGTCTGATCGTTGGAATGGGGCATAAACTTGACGGAGAAAATATTTGCTGTGTGACCTGTGCTTATCGAAGTGGTCAGAGCAAACGGAGATGTCGATGAATCGGGTTGATATGAGTAAATATTGAGGTAAGTGTCATCGGACCCGGATGCTAACAGCCGTCCAGAGTTTGACCAGCTGTCTGTGTCAGTATGTCCGGAAAAAACATGATGCTCGCCGGTAAACATCAAATGCGTACCTCAGAGCATTGACACATCCCGTGTGCCCTCCAAGCTCATTGACAATATCCAAGTCATCGATCCACTCCGAGGCGCCATAGAGGCCTTCGAGGCTGACATTGTGGGGCCGATAGCCTAATTCTCTCTCAAAGACCCTGTCGTACAGAGACGACTTCATCTCGGGTTATGTAGCTATACGTAGCTCTGAATGAGCAACGAGACAGAAGCGGGGGATCGTCAGGAGACGCGTTATTAGGAAGCTTGATTGTAATGCAAGGTGTTGTTGTTTAAAAAATCAGATTGTTGATTAATCATCCTTGTCAAACAGGTGAATGAATAATGGCATGCAAAATCTTGGAAATGGACATCTCGCGGCGATTCTTCTTGCCTGCGTTTTTGCTGCCGATGACTAAAGGGCAGATATCCTCGCCACCAGATACGGAATTGTGAGGATAAAAATAGGTGACTGCACGTCTAGAACGGATCGAAAAACACTGAGTGACCGCACAGACGCGACGAGGCAAGCTGAAAAGTCGTTGATGGTGCAGCCGCTTGTAGATCCAACCGCTGGAGAAACCAGGTTTGTGCTGTTGCAGGTCAGACTGTGGCATCCGTCAATCAAGCAGCCAAGCTAAAAGTTCTAGTCGAGTGATCGGCTGGACTCGTCGAAATGCGGGCAAAGAAAATGGAGTGGGAAAGCTCAATGTCACGTGTATAGACAATGAGGCGATCCGAAGGCGAAAGGAAGAGTGAAAGGTGAAATATCCTGAATAGAGGACGAAAATCAAGGAATGAAAGAAAGGAAGGGAAGGCGAAAAAGGAAACCAGAAATAGATGGCTCGGCCAAGGATGGGGACGCAGCCAGACCGGGACAATCGCCAGCAATCAGATGGACGTGGGTGAATGGAGGAGCAGCAGGAGGAAGAGGAGAGGGGGAGAGTGGTTGGTTGGCGACAGGAAAACGGAATCTCTCTCCAGAGGTCAGGTTGGCGGTTGGCGGTTCGCAGCAGATGGAGAAGGCGCGACTGACGGAACAGACACAGAAGAAGGAAGGAGCTGGGGTCCACCCAATGACATCAAGAGGGCCGGTTAGCCAGTGTCATGGAAGCGCTAGACCTGATTGAGGCTTAGCGCGTCGGCCAGACCGCGGTCTAGAACACCACCGGCTCGAAAACGTCGCACTGGACAGCGGCCTGAGGCAGATATTCATCTGTTAGAGCAGCGGATGTTGGCACAGGCGACCAGAAGTTGGAAGTTTTGTCTTTCACTACTACGTATAATATGTATGCAGTATTGTTCTGGCCATTTTGCTATCGAGTAGTATCTGCTATGTATATTACCGGTCATATACCTCCTCAGTTCTCGGCCTGGCCGCGATACATACAATGTAAAAATTCAACAATTCCATCCCGTGACATCATTAAATTTAATCCCAAGGTTCTGCCCCGGCGGCCAATCAGCGCTACCAAAAAGCTAGCTATATCCCATACGGGAATAGCGCAGCATGCACGCTTATTCCACTCTATTCTATTTGAAGCCTAGCGTACGGGTGGAGCTCGGCAACAGTTAGAACTTACGATGTAATTTGGACTTTTGTACTCCATTAAATCCAGTCTATCCACTGAAGTGCGATGTTGAAACACTCGTAAATAATCAATATTACAATTCGAGGATGAGTATTGCATAAGGCAAAACACTACGTCGAAACAAGGGAACGATTGAATAAAGGAAGTATGCGCTGTCATGGACTGCTGTTTCCAAGCGACAACCTGCATGATGTGAGCGGGAACTCCAATTGGCACGTGAAATCCGTTGCCTGCACTATAGCACTTCTCAAGTGTCCTATCAATCTGCCGAATCATGAATGAAAGGTATGAAACATGGATCAAATCTACGATCGATTAAGGTAAGCAAGCCCACCGCCGATGAAGGCTTATCTGATGGGTCTTCTATTTACCTACTCCGCAGACTATGGAGATCGACCACAAGATGAAACTAATGAGAGCCAACCTGGAGGTAAGTTGATGAATGGAAGTTCTTTTTCCGACCAGTTGTGATACTGGATCGGCGATCTGGTTGTGGCGCTGCGGTAGCGGCGGCCGATATTCATCTACATATCAGCTGTCCCTGTATGTACTTCTTTATTTTTTTATGGTGCATGAATGCGACTCATCTTTAATAACAATGTGTCGTCAGGATCTATTCACTGTACTACAGAGTAAGTGTGGCCAATGTGATTTGTTTGAGGTCTTCATTCCCGAGTGTCGAATGAGTCTACATACGGGCTGTACGAGCCATGCATCATTACCACCTCTGATATCACATCGACGCTATTACAAATCATCAAGTCATTGAGCGCCATATACCTGCTCGAATCATCCCCTGATCTGCCTCGACATCGACCTGATCTGCCGCGCGCGCAATCCACGCTTGCTCCAGGTTAACCGTCTCCGCCTCCAGGGCGCGCATTGATTTCAGCTCGTCGATCATGCAAATCAAAACATCTCGGTGTTTTTCTGCAATCTGCACAAGCGCTGAGCTGCGATGTTTCTCGCAGAACTCACTTTCATCAATCACGAATATCGTCATTTTGGATAGTTCGCGCAAGCACAATTCTGCTTTGATGGTGAGGTCCTCGACTTCGTTCCTCCATACTGATCCTAGGCTATCGATATACTGCGGTTCCGCGTCACTACTTGCGTCGTGCTCATTTTCTCGGCTTCGTTGGATATATTCAACTCTGTCCAGCCAATGCTCAAACACCTGAACAGCCAGGGCGTACCGCCCAGCGCCGTCGGCGGTCATACCCGCAACTTCCTGCGTGACGCGGGAGAAACTCTGAATCTCTTCATCAAAGCTGATGCCATGATTATGCTCGGCTAGGCTCGCTGACTCCACTGACCAGGCATCAAGAGTTTCTAGATTCAATTGCTCTTGTATGCGTCTTTCGTCGTCTAGTATCGTTCTATAGGACGCCGCTACCTCATTGTATTTTTCGCGTAACTGGCGCTCCGCTGCGACATTCAATTCTGCACTTTGTTGTAACGAGGACGAATGGAGGAGATATAGTTGTAGAAATTCCGTTTGTAGAGCGATAGTCTCCGGTGGTAACTCGTTACCTGTGGCAGATTTTCCGGTATTTTTCCGATCGCCCACAGTAGCTGCCCGAGGTGCTTCTTTCTTGGGACTAAAGTGTTGTTGATATGTCGTAAACTGTGGACGCGGCTTGACGGCGGTCGTTGCTGCGGCCTTCTCCCGCGAAGGTGCTGTCAAAACTGGGGCTGTGCCAGTGGCATGATTACCGAGTACCTGACTCCTATGCCTAGCATGTCCCCTTGGTTCTCCGACACCACTTATCTTCGGAGCGGATGGTTGGCGTAGAGACGCAGACCTTGTCGGTCGTGCCGGCGGCGGCATGGACGGTTTCTTTGAAGTGGTGGGTTTGGTATCATTTTGCAGCGACTTAACGGGGGATTTAGATCGTGTCCGTATGCGTTCTGTTCGTGGTTCGATTCGAGGCTGCGAGGGAGGTCGGTTCGTAGTTGTTGAAGTCGTTGTGACGGGTTGTGAAGGAGGTGATATTGTGACATTTTGGGGCTCTGGCCGAATGGGTTCTGGAGGTGGTGGAGACTCTGACGGAGTAAAAGCTACCGGCTGAGGTTCTACCGCTGGTTGTTCCGGTTGTTGCTCTTGAACCGGCTCTGTAATGTTCGTCGGCTGTGTCTGAATTGTATTTATATTCTTCGTGGGCTGCGTCTGTATTTGTGGTTTCCTCAAGCCGGGCAGCCGGCTTGGAACTAGGGTGCGTTGCGGAAGCAAGCTCTTCCTGCTGGAGACATTCTCTGTGATCGTAGAGGTCGACGGCACCGGGATCGAAGAGCTGACTGCACTAGACTGCGGCCTTTGGGGCAGTCTGAGAACTCCGGGAGGTTTTCCGGACGCATTGCGCGTGGCGGTGTATGTGGTTGGCATCGGTCAGTGTTTGTTTACTCGAGAGAAGTGGGATCGCAAGTTTGTAGGTCCAGACATCTGGATGTTGTAAAATTCTAGTTGACTGATCGTCAGTGGACTTGCGAGTCGCGCATCTTGCTTCATCTATTTCATGCTAGTTAGTTGCAATAATTGAGCTTAGCAGGGGTTGAGTATTCTGTCTTGAGGAAGGTCGATCAACAGTCGGTTCAGTCTCCACCTTGTCCGGTGGTCAGTGCTTCTTTATCTAACAATTACAAGAAAGACCCAAGTACATTTTAAGGGACAATCCCATTGTTTATTTCTATATACCAACATTCAAAAGAAGTTTCGACGGAATCAAAAACTAAATCTTTTTCTAATCTGTCAATCTACAAACTGGCCCGCTTGGGAAACGCAACCCCCTCCGTAGCCGCATTATCCGAAAACCAAGAGACCTTATGTCCGGCCTGGACATTAACCAATCCACTCGGCAGACTATGACTCTCATCGGTATCGAAAATTCTCTTTAGGATGTCCTTCTTTCCACCACCGGTAGCGACAAAGGCGATGCTCACGGCGTGCGTGACGACAGGCAGTGTAAGCGTAATACGTTTTGGGGGTGGCTTGGGCGAGTCGCTCACGCCGACAACCCAGGCATCTTCTTCGCGGAGTTGGGGGTGACCGGGGAACAAACTGCAGGTGTGTCCGTCGGGGCCAACTCCCAATAGAATCAGGTCAAAGACGGGTAGTCTGACGCTGTCTTTGGCGGCGAATGAGCGCTTGAGTTCTTCAGTGTAGAGGTCGGCTAGCTCGGTTGGGTCGTCGTCGTGGACGTGCTTTTCGTCAATGGGGATGACTTTGGGTGCGCCGAGCTGCGCGGGGATCTTGTCGAGCAATTCTTCCTTGATTAGACGATAGTTGCTGTCTGGGTGGTCGAGGGGAACAGCGCGCTCGTCTGCAAAGAAAATCTCCCACTTAGAGAATTGGGCTGTATCTTCAGCGGAGCCATTGCCGGGTGCGAGCAAGGCTTTTGCGAGGGTGTTGGGGAGAGAACCACCTGAGACGGCGACTCGAAAGATGTCGTGTTTGCGAAGAGCAGCATGTTGGTTGTTCAGGACATATTTGCGCAATTGTGTTGCGAGTGAGTCAATGTTGGAGAAACTGTAGAGGTTCGGTGAGCCTGACATGGTTGTTCAATTGCCGATGCTGGTTACGAGGGTAGCTGGAGTGGTAATGATTGAAATATGCTCGCTTCTTGAATTAACAAGTTGAAGAAATTGGGGGTCGGGAAACAGAAAAGCGGATGAAGAGGGATGAATGAGGTGGGGTAGCCGGTGACGTCGTATCTACATATCTGACCTTTTTTATCGACACCCATTCAAACATTCAAAAATATTCATAATATTCATGGTATGAGCCTAAACTACAGATGACAACGCTATTGTCGGATCGTTATTTCGGACAAAAACAGCAGCAGCTTCAACAACTTCCTCCTGCTCTTTCTTCCATCCTGCAACATGCCCCCCACCATAAATATCATGCGGCACGTCCGGAGTTTCCAAATACTCGATCCTACTTCCAGCTTGTTGCATCACATCTGCAAAAACTCGTATACTGTCAACCATCACCTCAGCACCACCAGCTTGAATGAATATAGGGACAGGAGTCGCGAATGGATGCAACTTCGGTGAAATATACGGGCTGTCTAATCGCGCTTTGGCCGCAAATGCGCTAGTACCCCATGCTGCCATTTTCCCTTCACAGAGGTCTGTAGAAGCGTTCCGGTGTTGATTCATGGCTTGCGCGTCGCCTTCGATAGTGTAATCGATCGATGGTGAGAATAACAGACATGCCCTCGGCGGGGTTGTGGTGCTGAAATGTTCTTGAACGCTTTCGTTGTGGTCGTGGTTGATGATAGCGAGATATCGCAATAGAGCTACTGCCATGGTAGCCCCCGACGAATCTCCGGCAAGCACTATCCTCCGTGGAGAGATTTTCAATTCATTGATCAGATACGAATACGCCGTAATTGCATCTTGCATGGCGCCTGGATAAGTCGTCGGGGTACGACCACCCGCGAGGCGATACTGGATCCATAAAGAGTGTGTATTAGGCCCCAGTTTTCGATTGACTAGGTCCGCGGTGACGCCCGAGTCAATCGGTCGACCTGTTATCCAGAGGAAGCTTCCGGAATGAAACGACAAAACAACAAGACTGTCGTCGTCGGCCCCTTTGGAAGGCGCTTCAGGATACCATGTCCCACCTATCCTTTCCGGCTTGACACTGACATCTCTAAACGGGCCGTAATATCCGTCGTCGGCCGATTTAATAGGTTCTATAACAACCCATTTATCACCAAGATTGCCAGGCTTCAGATTTAGGGACTGCGAGTACCCCAATTCCGTAACGATATGAAAGGAAAACCTGATGACCCAGCTCATAAAAGCTTGACGGTAGGTCCATTGTGGATGTTGGCGTAGAGGTCTAGGGATAAAGTAGAGGGCGTAGAAAAGAGTCAGTAGTAAAATGCGCGGGATGGCGATGAGTATCCAGATTGTGAAGCCTGGTTGTCGGGTTCGCCAGTCGTCGGGGATCGCGTTTGGATCTGCGTAAGAGCGAGCCATGCCAGTTCCTCTGAAGTGTTTGAGGAAGTTTTCAATGTTTTGGATCATTCAAAGGGGATCATTTAAGCATTCTTGGCCCCACCGGAGAGTAAAACTACGTAGTCGTTACGAGCAGGGCCGCTGTACCCTTTCATTGGCTCGATCTAGGTGAGCCAGATCTCCAAAGTACTCCGCAACCCAAAATCGGCTGGATTAGCCCTAAGGGCCTCATCTCCGATCTAGGTACAGAGCTTGAATTCAAGTGCAAAGGCTACAAATTCAATATGCAATGAATGATAAGAGGCTGAGCAGAAACATGATTTTAAATATGTCTTTCACAGTGTGATTTTCAACAATTCACGCCGATATTTCCAAATGTGACACCGAGTAGAGATTGTAGAATAATCTCTCAAAGCCAAAACATTCAGCTGCAACAGCATGAAGGGCGCGGTTGTTCCACGTCCCTAGGGTTGGAATTCGATTCTGGGCTCTCAGCTACATCTTCCGCATGAGACCAATGGGCCTTTGGCTCTGCGTAGCGATTTGCTGAAAATTGTTTGAGATCTTGGTCGCTTTCTGCTGTAATGGAATCTCGTGTGTATGTTCCTGGCGGGTCTTCTAGCGAAGGAGGCTCCCCTAATTGTGAGGAATTGAGATTGCTAGATATTATAATATGATGATTATGACTCGCCTCGAGGAAAGATTTGATCACAGCTTCTTTCCCGTCTTCTTTTGCCCGTGATACGGGCGTGTAGATATGGTATGCAAAGTTCTCAAAGACCTTGTATTCACGATGTATGTTCGCACCAGCTCTTACAAGCTGCTCCGCCACGGTCCAACGGAGTTCCTCGACTGCCCATGCAAGCGGCGTCCAACCCGATTCGTCTACACAGTCAACATCAGCTTTACCTGTCTCAATGAGAAGATTAACCATTGCTAAATCCCCTAGTTCTGCCGCTCGTGATAGAGGAGTACGTCGATAAATTCGTGCCTCATAACTAGCGTGCGCATGACTTTGATACTTTTTTGCCTCCATTCCATGAACGTTATATTGATAGTGCACTGTCGCTCCGGCCGTGAGAAGAAGCTTGACCACGTCGTGAAAACGACCTTCCACCGCCCAAGATAGCGCTGTCCAACCTTTTTCGTCCTTCCCTTCAATATCAGCTTTTCCAGTCTCGAGAAGCAGCTCGATCACAACTGCATGTCCTTTTTCTGCCGCTCGTAATAGAGGCGTAGTAAATTCAAACTTCAAATAAGCCTCATAAGGAACATCATATTGGTAATTTACTTTCGCTCCTGCTTGTAGAAGAAGCTTCACAATGCCGCAATGCCCTGCTTCAATTGCCCATGAAAGTGGCGTCCAAGTCCTCTGATCCCTCCAGTCAATGTCAACTTTGCCGGTCTCCAGAAGGAGTTTGACCGCTCCTTCGTGCCCTTTCTCTGCTGCCCGCGATAGAGGTGTACGTTCACGTTGTCCAATAAAGCGATCCGCTCCAGTACCATCAAAAATACAAAGACGTCCTTCATCATCATGGTAGTAGCGGCCATTTCCGCGGCTGAGACCATGTGCCTCCTCGTAAAAGACGTGGTACTTGCAATCTAGCGTCGCTCCAGCTATAACAAGTAGCTCAAATACGACCCAATTTCTTTCCTCTGCCGCCCAAGAGAGTGCAGTCCGGCCCATCGTATCCTTTCGATCGATCTCTGCACCACTTCTGAGAAGTGCCTTAACAATCCCATGATGGCCAAAGTATGACGCTACCATGAGATCTGTAAGATTTTCGGGACGTTCGGGACTTTTCGTACTGGTAGTCAGTCCTGTCCTCCAGTAGAAACTAGACCATGCTGCGTAACTCTTTGAGCCCGTATCACATATTTTCATAACGAACTGCACGATAGCAGCATCATCATCATCAATACTGGCTTCTCGAAAGTGAAAGCCCCAGGTTTCAGCCGAGTAAGGTAAGAACCTATAGTACCTGATGTTCTTGACAAAATCATTGGTTCCATTTACCGAATCTGTTGGGAACCTGGCGTCAGAGTTATAAAGGTTTATGTAGAGCACGCAACACTCCGCAAGAACAGTATGTGCCTTGCGGGCTGAAATGGAGTGATGCCAGCGGAGATTCACAGGAGTAGCAGTAGGCTTTGCTAAATCTATAAGAAGAAACTCGCGAGCAGTCTGATGAAGAAAGTAAATCTTTCCATGATGGATTGAAACAAACAATCCACACCAACCACGGAGCCTTGATTTGAAATCATCTTCATCTTCTAAGTCAAGATCGCGAACAGACTGTGAGTCGAAATCAACATTAACGGCAATGTTCATTTCGGAAAGTGTCAGTGGTCGACTAGCCGCCAAGATGATACTTAAAACCTTTTGGACCATCGGATCTTCTTTAGACTTGCTAAGAATTTGCTCATAGGCTTCATTGATACTATTGGGAAGTGTGACAACAGTGGACTCAATCCCCTTCATCGTCTTCTTAAAGTTCTCTTGCTCCAAGTAATCAAACACGAGGTATACCCAGAGATAAGTGCGATGAGTTGTCTGTCGAAGTCGCTGCTCCAAATGATTCTTGAGTTCGGTCGAAAGGCGCTTTCTTTTTGACAGCTGATTGATACGATAGGTGATGACGCGATTTACCTCTTGACTAATGATTTCCGAGTCCTCTTCTCCTGGTATACGGATTTCTGGGAAGTCGTCTAAGAGACGGTTGAATTTGGACACAATCTGCTCATATGGACGGCTCGTTAAAAGATATTTCAACTTGCCATGACCAAGCTTGTTGTTGTAGACTTGTCTCTCCACATTTTGGATCAAGTCCGAGAATTCGGATTCGTTACATTCATCCAAAGCATCGAGGACAATGATAACCTGGCCTGCTTGGGGGTCGTTTACGGCGTTTCTCAAAATATCCCAAAGGGATCCTGTCGAGTTTATCAGACCTTTTCCATCCCTGCGTAATTGTGACGTGGCATGTTTCACCAAGGGTGGTTTCTGAGAAAAGAGCTGATGAAGTAGTGCGCAAAGAGCTTGGCGGACAGTGTTTTGGTCTTGATCTTTGAAGAAAAAGTAGCAGATGGTACTTGATCGCGGTAGAGCATGCTCAATAAGATACTTTGCCAGCACCGACTTCCCACAGCCAGGGTCTGCTGTAACTAACAGAGGGCCAGAATCCTGTTCCAACCATCTCTGGAAGTGCTCGTGTCTGAGAAACCACAGACATGTATCCTCCACCCTTTCTTCCACCCGCTCTTTATACCACTCGTACGTGGCATCTGTGCTATCGGTTGTGAGACGGAAGAGCTGATGACATTCTTGCTCTTCTTTGGACAGCATTTGTTCCATGTTGTMTTTCTGAATTTGAAGCTGCTCCTTTGCAATCTTGAGCTGCTCTCCTGCAACTTCGTGGAGGCCGGATAGAATATTCCCAATTTTCCTCTCTGTTTCAATTCTTTTTGGGGCTATCTGCTGGAGAAGATCTTTCGCATAAGCCGCGGCCGTCATCGCCGCGTAGCCTTGCCATTCCTTGTTCTTGTGAGAATCCGAGTAGTCGCAAATACCGCGAATGACTATGCAAGGAAAGTGGTTCATCAGCCCTGCTGCTTCCATTTCGAAGCACAAGATGTCCTCTTCCGCGGCGAGTCTATCCCTGACCAAGGCATCTTTCATCAATTGGTTTGCAGAGGCAATAACACCATAGTGGATTGCCGGATCATCTTCATACTGGGTCCGTTCGGCTCGAGCTATGAGTAGTGATGGATCGATACCACAGGCGATCTCACAGCTTGAGTCACCATGTACCGAATGTACAACCGCGGACTGATACAATCTATCGGCGCTTGGGTCTGGCCGGCTGTACTTCCTCTGCAGTCGTGGGTGCTTCTGTAGAATCAAGTTTATATTCTTTTCGATATTATGACCATGGATTTCGTACTGGCCGCGAATAGCCGTCACAGCTGTAAGTAAGGAAGTGGGGGGCTGATTTAAAAACCCGGTTTGCCTAAATTTCTGGTCCTGAATAGTTTTACCAAAGTCGTACTGAAACACACCACCTTTCCCATCACCGGGAACGCTGACCACGACATCGCCTAGGCGGATATCATGATTCTGACTTGGAGCACCGCCACCAATGCCAACCATCATACCAATCCTGATATCGGGAAAGCTATGCATCATATCTCTGGCGACGCTTGCGGCAGATGATATGCCATACTCCCCGTTTGGTAGCACAGCAATGACGACATTGTGATCTCCTATTCTGCCTAGAGTATAAGCATTATTGTCGTTTGGCAGCACGGATTCTGATTGTTCGTATTGCTCATCGAGAAAAGTTCTTGCCGCGACATATTCCGTTGTTAACGCGCATATCCAGCCGACCGTGAAGCTGGTGATTGACATGTTCGTGCCGCGGATCTATGCCCTACGTCGTGTGTGACAGGCTGTAACGCATAACGCACAACTGCGTCCGTATGAAAGTAGGCTCGAGAATATAATTGAAATTCAATAATGACCTTAAAAGGCCGCAGGTCAACTGGTGGCTGTGTAAGAATGGGTGCGAGCAAGGCAGGAGAGGTTAGACGCCGTCCTCGATCTTACGATTCCATTGGCTGCTTGATGCCGCAAACACACTGGTTTTGGCCAGTAAGAATCTCAAGTATTCACTACAGATCATCTGTGTTTCTCCAAACCTAGATACAGTTCGCGTCTCTTCACATCCATCCACCATGGATGTATTTGCTGATGCCGCATTTCAGTAGCCGGTGCTGTCCTCCCCACATTCGGAGGGTCGCCAGTGTACTGTATTGTATCTGAAGTAAACGAGCTAAGCTGATCTCAATGAAATTTTTGGAACGATCTTCGTAAAATAAATAAAAGATTTGCTAGACGTAGAAGAACTGATCCTCCAGATCTTAATGGCAGGKGCGATGTATGGAAACGTAGCGCAAACAAAACAAACATGGCAACTTTCTCAACTGTGGATCAGATAACACGATATCATTGGCTGAGAAGGCAACATGCAACTAGATACAACTTTTTTCCATTTGGGGAAATGTATAGATGAAGCCCCACTTTCCTCCATGATATCTCTACTACCTACGTAGTGGAAACGGCTGAGATAGACAAAAACATCTACCATTACTTTCCAAGTCTTACAGAAACGAAAATTATTTAAGGGGCCTGAATTCCCAGCTCAGATTTTTGATTTTGAATTCCATTCTCGTTCTCGTTTTGCAACGAAATTCCTATCGAGAATTCGACCTTCTTGCCTAGTTTACGAACATGGACACGCTCTCCCTCGCTGGCAAAGTAGCCATCATCACCGGATCGGGTCGTGAGACTGGTATCGGTGCCGGAATTGCAACTGCTCTGGCACGCAACGGTGCCTGGGTGGTCATCAACCATGTCTCGGAGGCGACTGCCCCTCGAGCTGCAATAGTTGCTGAAACGCTGAACCAGAATACTGCCGGAAAAGCGGTTGTTGTGCAGGCGGACGTGGGTTCGCCAGAGGGTGCGAAGAAGCTTGTTGACGAGGGGTTGAGGTTATTTGGAGTGGATCATGTTGATATTCTGGGTATGGTCATACAGAGCCAGGGTCAAAGTGCTGACTAACATTAGACAGTGAACAACGCAGCAAGTGGCAATGTCGAGCCGTGGCTCAGCGTATCCCCCTCTTTCATGGAGAGTATGTTTCGAACAGTTGTCTTCGCGCCAGTATACATGATTCAAGCCGTTATCCCTCACATGCCCCGCGGCGGACGTATAATCAACACGGGAAGTGTCGCATCGAAGGTCTGCCCGCCCCCAATACCGATCTATTCAGGCGCAAAAGCTGCAGTTGATGCAATGACGTTCAGCATGTCGATGGATTTGGGGCGTGGACATGGAGTGACTATTAACACTGTGATGCCGGGTGGTGTTGCAACGGATGTGTTACCTAAGGAGGTTCTGGCGAAGATCCATGAGCCCTTGATCGCTATGACGAGGGCTGAGGAGAGGATTGGAACAATAGAGGATATCGGCGATGCAGTGCTGTTGCTTTGCAGCGAGAAGAGTAGATGGATCACGGGGCAAGTTATTAGTGTTAGCGGTGGAATCACTGGTGGTTGATCTCTGAAAACCGTTGATAGGATAATAAATCAGGGCGTTGGCGTTGCGTTATCGATTTCCTTCACAAGTGATTCATTTTCTGAGTCTGTGCCGCCAACAACATCGATCCAAGCAATGTCGTGGGATAGTTGAAAAGCATTGGTTGCAGACTTGATGTCCAGATACTTCATGCATTTACGAATTTCAGTCACGTAGAGTGTACGATCCGTGAATGGCTGTAGAGCAGCGACAGTAAGCATAGCCCAGAGCTGAAGATGATTCGAATGATCTTCACGTTGACCTAACGAGAGGGTCTGCCGGTATTTCAAAAGAACAGAAGAAAACTTTGCTGTTAAAGTGGTTAATTCGATTTCGTTCAGGAAAAACGAGTACATCCGTTTCAGGGCTGCTAGGAGAATCAGTATGGCTAGACGCGCTATCTCGCAGACCAAACCCATCACACTAACATTGTCTTTCGGATTGACTCGTGGGACGGAGAGTAATGTATGCGTGATAGGGCCGATCATATGAAGAGGGCTGAGATCGTCTTCCCGTCTCCAAAATTCGGGTTCTTTCTGGCTGGTATTGACGGTTTCGGCAATGTATCTAATCCCATCTAATGCATCTATTATGAACTCCATTGCAACGCAGTCGCTCTCTCCGAGTCGGAATATAATTTGCTCAAGTAATGGTGTTCGCCTGTGCGGAAAAGGTGGCGAGAGATCCCACATGTATTCTGGAAATTGCGGGTATATGTCATGCGTAGCAGAGCCCACAGTATCGTACCTGTAATGACCAATTCAGCATTTAATCAAAAAGACGGGAAATCTTGCCTACCAAGAGGCCCACAACGTTAGATTGCTGTTGATATTCTTGTATCCTCCGCGAAGTTGAATAATTCGATGTAGACCTCTGATATGAGTCTTCCAACGAGACCACAATCCAATATATATCTTTTAAGCATTATTAGTTTGTCATTATCAAGTGGTGAAGTGATTCGTACATCATGACAAATAAGCCCAAGAATAGTCACGATTACCCCATCGCTGGTACAATCATCACGACACTCAAGTCGTTTAGTGATTTGTCCAAGACACTTTCCATAATAATCCAACACCTCCGAGCATTTTTCATACTCGAAAGTATCTGGCTGCTTCCGCTGTGCCATGAACATGGCTGCATTGGCCATACATAGTTGAAATGCAGTGGCATCTGTCAGGGCCATTGAAAACCAGACGGTGCGAAATGGTCGGAAGACATAATCTGACTCCGCATTCACTTGACCATATTAGTTAGGCATCATCAATGAAGGTGATAGAGTGCTCACTAAAGTAGATGAGCTCCTGAGCTCTGGGTTGCAATTCACAAGGAAAGGGCCACAAACCCAACGACTTTGGAATTGGACAACGTTCGCACAAGATCCGATCTTGGAATATGCCAGTATCTGCCGTTATATAGACTTCCTTAAGAGCATATGTTATTGCTTGTGGTCTCTCTTTACGAGTTGGCCGGCTTCGCAGGGCGGCGTTTCGGATGGAGTGACTCCGAATCGAGCGCTGGATGCCTTTTTTCTTGACATCGTCCGGATGGCTAGAATTGACGAAGAAGAGGCCTCTGCCGGTGTGTCTTCGTTGTCGCGATGCTGATTCAGCGACCATCTCAGCTTGTGCAAGCCATTAACAAAAAAGTCCGAGAGAAGATCGGCTTATCCAGAAGGAGGGCGGCACCCGACTAGCGGTGCTAGCGTAGCGCTACTGCGGGGCGCCGTACCCTTAGGGTTATGTTTTGGTTCACTCCCATGTTTCAGTCGTTACTTGAACCGATTGACTCCAGAGCTTGGATTGTCTATTTCAAGATATACAGAAAAAGATAGAAACATTTTGACGCGTAAATGCAAGTTCCCGTCATCAGACAGGTCACTGAACTGTTCGAACTATCTACTCAAATGATTCCACTTTCGGTATAGCGTCATGACAAAGAACAAACCTCTTAAACCCTTTTCCGTTTAAAATGATAAATTCAATCCATATCTAATTTAATCCTGGGTCAATTCTGAGTCTCGATTCACTTTTTTCTACACCAATTGCTCCACAAATTCAGTCCAAATGACGCGCAATCATTATCCGGCAGAAACAGAAGACCCCGACCACCCACACACCAAAGCCACATCATGGCGATATGGCAGAAGATTTGATCCGCAAGAAATCTATGGCGACGACATCGATCTTGACATTGTGGAATGCCGCAGCGACAGCGGCAGATGGGTGTACGTTGCCTGCGACGCCTCCGAAATATGTCCGCAATGCGGCAATCTACCAGGCCATATAGGATGTATCGTCATTGCGGTGGATGGTGCATGTCGACGCAATGGTACAGATGGTGCTCAGGCTGCTATCGGTGTTTACTTTGGTAAAGACAACCCTCTGAATCGCCTTTATCAAATAAGCATTGAGCATCCCACGAACCAAATCGCCGAGTTAACGGCAGGGATTGATGCGCTTCGGCAAGCTCTGGTTATTCAGCGCCGAGGATTTCAGGCAAATAGGAAAGGGCAGAGGGATTTACGCATGGTGGTGATCAAGTCAGATTCAGAATATTTGGTCAAGGGCATGACGGAATGGATTTCGAAGTGGAAGATGACTGGGTATAAAACTGCAGAGGGTGCTGAGGTGGTAAATGCGGAGCTGTTTCGGAAGCTGGAGGTGCTGTATCTGGAGCTGGTGCAAAGAGGGGTTAGCGTTACGTTTTGGCACGTGACAAGGGATCGGAATAAACAGGCCAACCGGTTGGCTAATAGAGCGTTTGAGACGAGGATGCGGCGGTAGCTTTGTATGTTATAACAAATCTGGTGTTCAATTGATGGAAATCAACACGAGGCAGGTTGTGCGGTGCCACACACGTCAAAGTGTAAACATACAAAACCTTCAGCTCCAAATGCAACCATTCCATTTGAGGCGATGATCAACCTTTGAAACCACCAATCAACGGAGCCGAGTACGTAGGATACGTGACGCTACCACGTCAGGATGTATAATATGAGCATTATTACGACAATTCATCAGGAATACCTATGTATGGAGTAACTCGTATGGCGAGATAAATTTGGAATTTCTCGGAGTTGTTGCAGATTGTGGATGTTGCAACGGAGAAGCGCGGAGTTTACACACAGTACTTATCCACATGCTCAAAAGGGTTGGCTGAAACATGGCTGAAGCCTGAAAGTTTTGCCTGATGGACCGGTTCGCGCGGCCCGGATAGGAGATTCGATTGGCCAATAGGACTCACGGCGTCAACGATTCATGTTTGAGTCGTGATATGTGCCAAGTTGACGAAAGAAGATAAAGAGAGGAGAAAGAGAGGAGTGTTTCGTCAATTGGGTTTGTGGATAGAATACAGAAAACCGAGAAAAGAGACAAGGGGACAAAGTCGATCGAGCGTTCCTACTGGCGGACGTCACAGTGGCAGTGCGGACTATTAGAGAAAGCAACACACTAGTATCTGCTCTCCACTGATCTCCGAACGAGTGTCTCATTGGGATTGTGAAGAAAAGAACCGAGTATTTAAAGAAACGTATGTGATAATACTCTCATAAAGACAGCATATACAATGCATTGTGATTTCGGGATGATGAAATAACGCTGCAGATGCAGTGATTGCGAAGATGACGAAGATAAGGACCGTTGGAGTATGTATGATGACGCCATGGACGTTGCGCGTACATACTATGTTGTAGTAGTAGTATATTCTAGTGTTTGCTAGCCATTCCTAGCTGTATGACTCTGTCTTATTACGAAGTATGTATGGTAAGTCTCTGTGGAAAGCGGTCCGTTGTGGGGAAAAACCCCCCCAGCGTTTACCAGACAATACGTACCTCCCAAGGCCACCCGGTATGTCCGTCCCGCAGCCATCATTCGGAGGTAGTCTATTCATTACATGTTTGGAAGAGAATTTTCGATGGTATGAATCACTAGACTCAGGAGAGATGGAGATCTATATAAGCACGGACAAAGTCGAGATCTGTCAAACTAACTCAAATTGTATCATTCTATTGAAATTTAATAGACAGAGCGATTGCTCGATTCGTGCCGTACTCGTACGGTATCGTACTGCCACCGTATCATTACATCTGTCATCTCCACTTTCCTCCCTCCTTCCCTCACTAAGGGCTAACTGCTCCATCATAAATTATCTCGGCCCTCTCTCGACCTACTCAAGCTCTGTTTCTGAATATCTTCAACGACTTACGCACTCGAGTTACTGACTCCGCGATTATTAAGCCGAGATATCACTACGCCGACGCCCGACTCGACACGATCCCAATCACCGCGCTATTAGTCAATAATCTCCCTAGCTCATCCGTTTTCTTTCTGCCTAACCAAGAGCACTGCCCTCCACGCCCTTGCTGGCGGCAGATTTTTCTCATACATTAGTATGACTTGATAGATATTTTTATCATCATTCTTGCATTCGCACTCGATACTCTTCACTCAACACACGATCGCTGCAATTATTATCACTACCACCGTATTGAAGTTCACCATGAGCTCTCCCTCGATCCAGCTCCAGCCGTCCGAGCCATCAGTTCGACTTAACACTCCTCGCTCGTCGTCTGACTCTCAATCCTCGACATTCCTAGATATCGTGCGGTGCTCTCGCTGTCAACGATCGCTCAGCATCAATGGTTCCTCTTCGCCCGCCGCGGGAGTCGTCCAATTCGGCATGAACTCATACTATTGCAGTCGATGTGCATCGATGGTGGGCTTCAACGACCGCTGAGCAACCACTCACAATATTGAACACCAAAAACAAAATAGGAGGAAAATCTCGAACACCATATTATTATCGGTTTCTTCGCTTACAGTCTGTCTATGAACGGACCGATCTCGGGCATCAAATGTGCCGTAATGATCGGGCGGAAAACTCTACGGGAAATACACACATTGCACGATTACAGTGCAGACGACGTCCTGAATGGTTACATCCCAAGCGAACACGAACACGAAGGTTTCGCACGAGAATTGATTTCGAATATATCTTATCGAGTTGTCGTTCATGACAACGACACGAGTGACGCACAGTCAGGTTGCCTGACTACTTGACAACGCCTCTCGACTCACATTTATCATTATGTATGATCAGGATGCATCTGGAATGCACCAGGATTATCTGAAGATCATGGAAAGGAGTTATTATTTCACTTTGAACGATGGATCAGTTGATCTATCGTTTATTATCATCGCTGTTACTGTTCTACTTTGATTATGGTTACGATATCCGACTAGCGCGTCACTCTTTTTGTTATTCATGTATTTAGCTAGCAATTCAAAAAGAACAACGAAGTTGATCTTGATGAAATTATTCCCACACGGCAGGCGTTCTTCTTTTTGCCCTCTTGGCCATTGATACCCGGATGATTCCCTTTGAGTACGAGCGTTCTTTTATCGATATCCCAGTCGACTTGACTCAACTCTATAATTCTATATCCCGTTGGGGATAATACCACATGCCAAATAAAACTACCGGACTACGTATAAAGTATTTAGTGAATTCCGCCGGAAGTTGATGTGTTCGTCGTCATTTTTAGCACTGTCTAGTCATCACGGGTCTATGTGTCACGCACATTCAATCATTACCTACTGAAATATGAAGGTACCTCAACTCTGGAACCATTGGGGCTAGAGCTAGTGCTTCCCAGATCCGTACCATGTATCGGAAATGACTCCCGCTTCGAACCAGATTGTGTGTTGAGATACAAGTCTAATTTCGTCAATCAGGGTTCATGTTGCAGATGGATGCGTATCCATTGAATGTTATTCGGCGCGTTAGACTTTGTACTTGACGATGGACCAAGGGTGAGGGTGCGGATGACATGATTTTTCGCGATTGCTTAGGTATGATTGACGATGTAGCTTTGGAGTCAGATTAGGGGTATAGAATAGTAGACACCGCAACGAAACAGGTATTTCTCATCTTCCTTCATTGTTTTGCAGCGCCTCTAGAAAGGGAGATTCACGTCCATTCTATCGATTAGTGTCACTTTGATCAAGGCAATATCAAACTGGCCTCCGCAGCATCCAGCTTTTGCGCAATGCGCACATCCTCCATTTCCGACACCGTCAAGCACGACCACGTCGCCCTGCTTAACGGCTACAACAAGATCCTGCGCACTACTGACTTCGAGTCAAGCAGCAGCACAATGGATCCATCTCTGACGATAATCTCTCTTATAATGATGGACTCTGTTTCTGACTCTCTCACTGCAATAAGACCGGGATAAACCAATAGCATCTATGTCAACCCCCTTTTCTTTGTTGAGCACTATGATGTCTCTTTTCGGGTTTGCTTATTCATATTACCTATTTTTAAGGCTTGTTGTTCCCCTTTGTTGCGTGTTTTTCGTCCAAAAATTGAACCTGGTGGAGACCAAAAAATTTTTACGCTTATGTGTCCATTCCTCCGTTTTTGATCGTCCTGTATTCCTCCGAAATCGTCTCTGATGGAGGGTCCTGTTTTGTTCATATTTTTCTCTCGGATGTGTCAGGTCTGCGGACAGCCATTTTCATTTTAGAAGGGAGTATCCGACCAGTGGGATATGTGCTGGTCAAGCAACTTGGACACGGTAGAATATCATCATCTTCATCCACTTAAAGTCTTCCATTTTAGAATAGTACCATTCTTCACGGCGTCAAACCTGGGAGGAAGACAATTTGTATGGAAACTGTTTTCTTTCACTCAATTCGTCCAGAAATTGACAAAGGGGAACGTCGTTCCTGTATAATACTGTACGATTTACCTCGGATGGACGTGTGAATAACCTATCCTCACTCCAAATCACCCGATACCCCGTCCAATAGTCGATCAATTGGACGTACGGACGTAGCAGACGAGCTTCCAGATCGCTCCCTACAACTATACAGTTTCCTGACGCTAACGGACGAAGGACGTCCACGCAGAATGCCGCAAGCCGCCTGAAGGATGGTACTTTTTAGGTGTTGATATCCGTACAGCTATTCAACTATTTGTACAACACTAAAATTTCTTACAAAGTCGTACACACGTATCCTATCAGTAAAACAGTTATCTATTTTAGAATGGTTGGTTGCCATTACGTACTTAAATGACATTGATGCGGGATGCGATCTAGCTTGTTATGGGAGACCGGAATAAGTATAATGCTTGTATTTGCTAAGGTCTAAATTGCTCGCTCGGCTAAGACATATAGTGTTTCATTATATTAACTAATTAAGCTTGTAAGATCAGGTGAGATGTCCGTTCAATCAAGGACATCAGACGTGGAAAGGAATCAGATATAGAGAGAGACTGTATATCGAAATGGATGGGATATGGAAAGATGGAGCTGGTGAGATATGGAAAGTGGCGAAATGTGGAAACGGATGAGATATGAAGAGTAACAAGACATGGAATCGGACGAGACTGGAGAGAGACGAGACCGGACATGCATGAGATATGAAGAGTAACAAGACGTAGAAATGGACAAGACTGGAGAGAGATAAGACAGGAAAATGGACAAGATATGCAACGAAACAAGACGTGGAAACAGACTAGACTGGAGAGAGACAAGACAGGAAATGGACGAGATATGAAGAGTATAAGATGTGGAAAGGAACGAGACAGGAAAGGGACGAGGCGGTGCGACGAGTGATTGAGGAGAAATGCAAATAGAATCTCGTCATTAACGTGAAGTATTCTTCCGATGTTTAGCGGTTTTTTCGTGGATTTTGAACCTGTGTAGTTTACAGGTGGAGTACTTGCAAGCATCGCACTTGTATGTCATGTCTTCAAACTTAGCCGCTGGGTTAGTCCGCTTAATATGCCCAGCGCTCTTCTCGTGTGTTGCCAATCGAGACGGAAGAGTAAAGGACTTTCCGCAGGGTCCACATTTGAATACTGCCATTTTCTCGCGAGCCTGGATGCGAGACTCCACATCTCCAAGATGAGGCGTGTTCTTGATGTGCTTAATGCTCTTCTCGTGTACCATCAGATCATTCAGATGAGTAAAGGACTTTCCGCAGGGTTCACATTTGAACGCCGTTTCGTTGCGAGCCTGGATGCGAGACTCCACGTCTCCAAGATGAGGAGTGTTCTTGATATGTTTTGTGCTCTTCTCATGATACGCCAAACTAGATGGATAAGGAAAGGTCATTCCACAGGGTTCACATTTGAACTCCGTTTCGTTGTGAGCCTGGATACGAGACTCCACGTCTCCAAGATGAGTAGTGTTCTTGATATGCTTTGTGCTCTTCTTGTGTGCTGCCAATTTAGACGGAGAAACGAATGATTTCCCACAGGGTTCACACCATTGAATTGTTCTCCGACGGTAATCTCTGTTATACTGACGCAATCTGTCTCTGTTTTTCAGATAGTATTCTCTCTCATAACGACGGCATCTGTCTTTGTTTTTCCGACGGTGATCTCTATGGTAACGAACCAATCTGTCTCTGTTTTTCTGGTGGTATTCTTTCATATAATGACGGGTTCTGTCTTTTCTTATGACTGCGATGGTTTCGAGCTCTTCAGGTGAAAATTCAAGGCTGTATTCGTTAGGCCCAAATCCTTCATATAGAGGACTATGGGAGCCCAACCCAATCCATTCAAATAAGTCTCGAGACCATGGACAAATGGAATCTAAGCCATATGACTTATCAGGACGATGAAAAGCCCAAAAGATAGAGGTGAACACTGCCTCTAGAATAATGACAGCAGTACGGAATCTTGGGACTTGTCCTAGAGATGGCATTGGACACCAAGCAAGTAGACGGTGATGGACGATGGAGTACCCATTCTGACGATATTTACCAACGTAGTAGGGATATATCGTTGAAGGGTAATAGTATGACTTGATTCGACGTATAATTCCTCCACTAGATCGAGTTCCTGATCCAATATATAGACATGGACGATAGCCATTTTTCCGAAGGATGAGAGCATAGATACCCCAATGTTTTCTTGGAACACTGTCTGGAAGTGTCTCGAACCATGTCATAGGAGGCGGGTTGATAGCCTGTACGATATCGAGTAGTCCATGACAGAATGCGAAGCCCATAGAATAAAAGAGAGACGAAAAATCATATTTTGTAGGCGCCACAACCTGAAATCGGGGATTGATTGAAGCCCATGAAGACTCGATGCATTGCCAACTGACGTTAAGCATATACTCCGCGATAGTGTCAACTGCTGACATAGGGACCGACATTTCGGATAGAGAGACGATAGATAACGGACGACAGACAGCAGACAACGGACGATGGAAGACGGACAATAGACGACAAATGACGGAGAACAGAAGACGGACAATGGATGACGGAGAACAGACGACAGCAAGAGAAAACGGACAACAGACAACGACCGATAGCCGAGAGACGAGAGACGAGAAATAGCCAGAGGTGATGAGAGAGACATGAGTGAGAGACATGTTGTGTATTGCTAGACTTTGTATCCATAGGAAAGAGCGACCAAGTGGGAAGGAACGACCAGAAGGGACGGAATGACCAAAGGGGAAGGAGCAACCAAATGGGAAGGAGCAACCAAAATGGAAGAAATGACCAAAATGGAAGAAATGACCAGAAAGGAAAGAGCCATCGAGCATGATGCCATTGTGTAGAGCATGCCGAGTCCCTTTCAATATATCATGACCGCAGGAGACACGGTGTACGACATGGAAGTACTTTTCAATCCTGTAGAGATGGGGACAGCGACAGAGATGACAGTGGCGGAGTCCCTGCCTGAGCAAAGAGAACGCTCGAAAGGAGAGCAGAAGTGAGGTTTTTGAGACGCCGAAGTGAAGTGTAGTAGAGGTCAACGGAAGTGTAAAAGTGCTGTTAAGTGAGATAAAAGTAAGGTAAAAGTGAGGTAAAAGAGGACTAAATTGCTCATTCTGGGGTAGCTTTTGAGTCTTCCTAGTCTCACTTGATTGTTCACTTGAATCTCTCGACGTGAGATGTAGTAGAGTTTGAGGTATATATAAAAACGCTGTCAGGCGAGGTGAAAGTAAGATAAAAGAGGGCCAAATCGCTCGCTCTATGGTGGCCTTTGTGTCTTTCTCGTTTCAGTTGATTGTTCACTTGAGCATGTCAGCATATCATTTTGTGAAACATATGCCTCTCCGATAGCCCATTCATGGAGTTCAGACTTACGTAGAAGATACTGCCAACCCACGCGTACTGGTTTCCCACCAGATGCAGGTCTTGACGTAGCTCGTAAAGAGCAGCCGTTCCATTGCTGACCTTGTCCATGGCCGGCAACAACACATTGAACCACAGGATAGGGATCAATCGAAGATCGAGCTTCCAGCGAAGCCGCATGACCTCTTTGCGAGTATATCCCTCTCCACCCTCGAACATCTCCGCCAGCCCTGCAGCGACATCGACATCGACGTTGCGGATGCTGGCCCCATGTTGTTTGCTTCTGTCACCGACATCGTAGACTTCACCTACTTTGTTGCTGTCGGTAGGCTCAATGGAGGCCATAGGGTCCTGTGTCTTGTCGTCCATTGTTATGTCTGGGTGATGTGTACCGACTCAGCCTGCTGATTATACTGGGATCCCTTATATGCAAATCACATTGTGTATGCACAGGGTATTCCTATATTGTCTGGCGGTACAGGTCGATTGACTGATATCGAGACGAGCTTGTCAGTGGTGAGATTCATCGGACTGTCAAAGTCCGATGGGAAGCTAGTTCTCCACTGATAACGCTCAGATGTTTCCCAGCTGGATCCGGCAATATAAAGACTGCCGATACAGTGATAGGACTGTGAGACTAAAGCTAAGCGCGTGTTGCAATCAAGCTATTGCATTGATAATTGGCCCAGCGGGTTGGGGTATTGGTCTAGGCGTCATGGGATGCCCGAGTCAATTTGAGCCATGTCGGCGGCGGCCCAGGCGAAGATAAAGCTCAGGTTCTTTGTTCGACCATTGCTTAGTGCAAGTAATGGAATGAAGCAGATCAATGAGAAGTTGCCACCAAGCAACGAATCGTTGCTACTCGAAATGAAATGAACAGTGGACGTGAAGAGGAGAAGGCGTCGGCCCTGTTCGCCTCAGGCACCGAGGCCGCCAAAGCTCATCAGCCTAGCTTATCTTATCGGCTATCCCCGCTCTTTCCGTTTTGGTCCAGCCGCGTGGGTTCCTTCCTCGCCTGGTGCGTGGCTCAGTGGCTCCTTCCTCGTGCGGAGTGCTCCTGCCAACTCTCTGCCTTCCACGTAACGACAATGAGACTAATTTCGATGGATTCCAACTTCCGCCGTCTCTCTTCCTGCTGCTTCTTCCCACGAGCCACATCGGTCATTGGATTCCGAGCCGGTTGTCGCTAATGCTATCTCTCAGACAATGACGATGACTATGAATTACAGTTCTACTGACCAAACCAACCAAGCGTTGAAATCCTTGAGTCGAGACTTGCAGCCAGCCACGCGATCCGGTCACTCGGGTGATTCTGAAGACAGAAATGCACATCCTGCTAAGAGACAAAGAATCCTAGCATGCAAGAGATGTCGTCACCGAAAACAAAAAGTAGGTGCTCAACCGATATAGATTTATTGTAGGGTCTGTTATTGAATCTGACATTGATTCAAAAGTGTGATGGGGATGGCGAGGCACCATGTTCCAACTGCAGAAGGGCAAGTGAAGGTGCGTTCGTAGTCAAACCACGAAACATGCAAGATAGCTAGTTGCCAGAGATAAGAGATTAACTCGATCTTTGAATGGAAATGCAGAGTGCGAGCCTACTGAGCCCGCACTTGGCCGTGCGCATTATAAGACAGAGTGAATCTCAATCCCTATCGCAGAGGGTTTAGTTGTGGCTAACATCGAGCAGATACGTACGATCATTAGAGCAACGACTAGCTCAAGCTGAGCGTTTAATTCCTCACAATGCTCTATCTGTTCTCGAAACTACTAATATGGACCGTGATACCGAGACAAACCAACCAGTTCAGGATATATCAGACAATGCTTTGTCGCCAGCTGCATTGGCGGATGTGACCAGCCAAAACCATTTCTCCCTAAATACCGTCATTCCTGACATCGGGACTTCATATACAGGGCTTATATTGCGCGACCATGATGGCATATCATCAATTGGCGATGCATCGGCAAATCCAAATTCCTACGGTCACAGTTCACCAGCTCAAACCAACAAGTCCCACAGTTCTCACGCATCCGTCGCCATGGACTTGCGGTCTTCGGGGATTCGTCGTGTCAGTCTAGAAGACTCGCCCAATGTGTTGATAGTGCCTGATAGCAACATCAGAAATGTCATGGCCGCACTGCCCTCTGCGCAAGCTTTACCGCACAGCAATCATCAGGACGACAACTTCCTCCCCCCTCCCTCGGTGGAACGTTATCTAAGCCAATTAGCGGTATGGCCCGACGCCATACCACCGTCCGTTGAGGATCACCTTATTTACATATATTTCGATAATGCCAACTCACGATTTCCCTTTCTCCTCAGAGAATGTTTCAACACTTGGCACGCGACCTGGAAGCAACGATCGAATGATCCTAGTCATGTTGATATGTGGCAAGGCTTTTTTGTCAACATGGTATTGTACTTCCTCCTTTCCTACTCGCAATTTCATGTAATGGCTAATTCAGGGTAGCTTTTTGCAGTTGGCTTGTTGCTTGATCCGAAAAATCCCACAAGTGTGTCACATACTTCTCAGGTAAGTCATCAAAAGTGCTTCTTCTATTGATTCAACGCCTTTGACTAAGTCCTATAGAACTTTTATGACCAAGCTGTCAGCCGCTATCTACCTTTAGTACTCAAACATCCAAGCCGCCTATTACATGTCCAAGCCTATCTCATGATGTCTCTACATGCCATTTTTTCACCCTCGACGGAACAGATCGCCCTTATGATTTCGTCGACAATAAGACATTGTATTGTAGCCCAGTTTCATCTAGCCGAGGCTGAACCAGCACCCATAGATGAGGCAACACGAATTGAAATTCAAATGCGTCGCAGGGCGTTTTGGGTAGCCTATGGACTGGATCGACTGGCTTGTGGCGTCTTGCGAATTCCTCTCTCGATAGCAGATGACAACATCACTGTACCTGTAAGTCCCTTTCACTCAACATAGCGAATATAGCGAATGTAGTTAACAATATAGCTTTTTGACAACATCGACGATTCGGAATTGTTGAAAGGTTCTTCAATTCCAATGAGCCCCTCGACCTTTACATCAGTTTCGGCAGCATTACATCAAGAACGCTGTCGCACTATACAATCCGAAATCCTCAACGTTACTATGCGCTCAGACTTTTCGGCAAATTTTGACTCCCTCTCAGATTGGAGATCATATGTTCTATCGAAGCTAGAACGTTGGCGGTCTCAGCTCCAAGACGCAGCAGAAAACAATTCCAGAAGACCCACAGACTGGCGTTGGATTCTGATTGTATACAATCACTGCTTGCTTTTCCTTCACATACCCACCAAGTTGAATGTGCGCGGTCCAGCTGGAGACTGGTCGTTGCGTGCAAGCATACAGACTATTATGATTTTTCGTAAATTCCAGAGTTACAAAACGATTCCTCATCCATGGCTAGGAGTAAGCCGGCAACTAACCTTGATTCAGATCTATGCTAAGTACTGTGTTACAGCTTATCAGCCAATTCTCTGTGCTAAGACCCTGTGAAAGCCTTCCATGGATACCTTTCCCAAGGGTCACTCATAGCTATATGATCTAAATAAGATTAGAAAGTACTTTAGAGGAAATAAATATGTGTTAAAAAATAATGAATAAAATAGCGGATTTAGAGTTCCTTATAAACTATGTATAATATATGGTTTCCTTTTTTAAGTTATATTTTCCATTTTACATGTATAGTGTAACAATCTAAGAAATAAAAAGGCATATAAGACCAGGTGGTATGCCTGTCAATTACCCAGACATGAAAAACAACTAGATATAGCAGATAATTATATAAACAGGTAATATATAGAAAGATGGAAAGTAACAAAAAAGGCAGTGCAATGGATGATTGAGTAGAAATGTAAATGGAGTCTCGCTACTGACGTGAAGTGTTCTTCTGGTGCTTATTAGTTTTCTCGTGTTGTCTGAAGTCGTATAGTTTGCGGGTGAAGTACGAGCAAGCATAGCACTTGTATGGCATATCTTCAAGCTCAGCCACTGACGTAGTAAGCTTAATATGCTTTGCACTTCTTTTGTGTTGCTCTAGATGATATAATGTGATAAAGGACTTCCCACAGGGTTCACATTTGAATGCCGCCGTCTTGTCGCGAGCCTTAATGCGAGACTCCACGTCCCCAAGATGAGGTGTGTTCATGATATGCGCAATGCTCTTCTCATGTTCTACCAATCTAGATGGACGAGTGAAGGACTTTCCACAGGGTTCACATCTGGAGCCCGTCTCGTCGCGAGCCTTAATACGAGACTCCACGTCTCCAAGACACGATGTGTTCTTGATATGCCCAGTGCTCTTCTCATGCATTGTCAATTTAGATGGACAATCAAAGGACTTTCCGCATGGTCCGCATTTAAACACCGCCGTTTCGTCACGAGCCTTAATACGAGACTCCACGTCTCCAAGATGAGGAGTATTCCTAATATGCTTTGTGCTCCTCTCGTGCTCTGCCAATTTAGACAGGGAAACGAATGATTTCCCGCAAGGTTCACACACAATGCCTCGATATTGAATTTTTCTCTGGCGGTATTCTCTGTGACACTGACGTAATCTGTCTCCGTTTTTCCGACGGTAATCTCTTTCGTACTGGCGCATTCTGTCTCCGTTTTTCCGACGGTATTCTCTATGGTAATAACGCAATCTGTTTCCGTTGTTCCGACGGTATACACCTTGATAGTAACGCAAGTTGTCTCCGTTTTTTCGATAGTATTCTCTCCCGTAAAGTCGGAATCTGTCTTTGTTTCTCCGACGGTATTCTCTCCCATAAAGTCGGAATCTGTCTTTGTTTCTCCGACGCCGTATAATCGCAATCTTTTGGAGTTCCTCGGGGGGAAGTCCAAAACCGTGCTCGGTGGCCCGAACCGCCTCATTTAAAGGATTGTGACTGCATAAACCATCCCATTCAAACAAGTCTCGAGGCCATGGACAAGTGATCCCTAAGCCATATGACTTGTCACGACGACGTAAAGCCCAAAAAATGGAGGTAAATGCTGCCTCCAGAATAAGAACAGCAGCACGGAATCTAGGGACTTGTTCTGCATGTGGTACTAGACACCAAGCAAGTAGACTATGATGGATAATCGAGTATCCATTCTGAAGATATTGTCTGACATAGAAAGGAGTTGCGGTTGAAGGCCAATAGTATGATTTAACACGATGTGCAACTCCATCTGTTGCATTAGTTCCTGATCCGATATAAAAACCCGGACGACAGCCATCTTTCCGAAGGATGAGAACATAGATTCCCCAATGTTTTTTAGAAACGTCGTCTGGAAGCGTCTCGAACCACATTATCGGGGGCGGGTTGGTCGCCTGTACGATATCATATAGTCCATCACAGAATTTGAAGCCTAAAGAATGAAAAAGAGATGAGAAGTCAAGCTTTGTAGGTGCTAAGACTTGAAATTGAGGATTGATCGAAGCCCATGAAGTTTCAATGCATTGCCAGCTGACATTAAGCATATACTCCGCGATAGCATCGACTGTAAACGTAGGGACGGACATTTTGGATGAAGAGATGATAGATAACAGACGACAGACAATGAACAATGAACGAGAGACGAGATATGAGAGCGACCGACGACCAACAAGAAACAGCCAGAGGTGATGAGAGAAAAATGAGAGACAGACATTGTTGTGCGTTGCTAGACTCTGTCTCCCAAGGAAAGAGCAACCACAAGGAAAGAGCAACCACAAGAAAAGAGCAACCACAAGGAAAGGGCAGCCAAAAGGGAAAGAATGACCAAAATGGAAGAACCATCGATCATGATGACATTGTGCAGAGCATATCGAGTCCCTTTTAATATATCACAGTCGCAGGAGACAAGGTGGACGAAAGAGATATGGAAGTACCTTTTAATCCTGTAGAGATGTTTACAGCAATAGACATAATAGTGGTGGAGACCCTACCTGCAAGAAGTTATTTCTAATGAGTCTTATCTTCATCCACCTACAACTATCTATTATAGAATAGTAGCAGTATTCTAGGACTCAAGCTAGTGACGATGGTAATCTACACAGGACTTAGTTTTCTTTCCATTAATTTGTCCAAAATTGGCGATAGGAACCAGACGCCATCACAAGGCTTATTTAGAGAGGAGATTCTGAAAGTTATAGTTTCTTATTTAAGTCTAGAATTCAATGCCTAAAGCTCTACTCACTCATAGACTAATATTTCTCTAAAAAGGAGATGATCATTAGGGTTAGGGTTATCCCTTATTTTTAACACTTATTCCCCTAAACTATTTTCTAATCTTATTTAGTTCATATAGCTAGCTATGAGTGACCCTTGGGAAAGGTATCCATGGAAGGCTTTCTCAAGGGTCACTCATAGCTATATGCCTTGTTGAATGATTATGATTATGCTCAACACATAATATGTCAAAGCTCGCTCAAGGATGTTTCGAACGATGTGACATCAAGAATGGGAAGTTCCCTCGTGTTCTAACATCTTCTAGTATCGGTACGAGCAGTTCCTTGGCTTGGAGACTGAGGAAGGCTTTGCGTCTTTGGGAGCTAGCATTGATAAAATCAGCCAAGCCACGAATTTAGGAAGTATGTTAGAAAATATCGATATAAGGCTTGCTACGGCCTTGGGGATTGTATCCAAACTCGAACTACTACTACGGTTACTCCAAAACGGTAATGTTGAGGTATCGTAGGTCCTCGATCTGAACGACAGTATAAAATCTTATATGGAAGATGAGCATTATATAGACTACCTTGGAGAGGATGAAACACTCGACGACAACTTGAATAATGGCGATGATGAAACAGCCTTTAGAATTGGCAACGCGGGCGACTGGATGTGTTCATTACATAATTGATGCTGGATGAGGAAGCAGGTATACGGGCGAAGGCAAAGGCCAATCTAATATCAAGACGAGTGCTATTGACACGTCGGGAATCMCCGCTCCTGGTMCCTGCCACTCTTTATCACACAAACGACTAAGGTCACGCTTCGTTAGAACTGGTATAAGCAACATAACCAACCAACCTGGGTGTCATAGCTAGCACCCTTGGGAATAGCTTCCGAACCTTGTTCTCCATCTCACCGCCTACTCGAACCTCTGGAGGGCACTAGTGCTTTTTGACCACCTGCGACTCATCTTGGAATAACTTCACCTTTTCCCCTCCACACTACCATCTCTCATTCTTATCCTTCTCGGTATTTTATCGCACAACCAGAAAATCATATCAATTTTGGGTGTATCTACTAGTCAAGCCCGTTGAAAGATAAGGTATGTGTTTTATTTGATGAATTTCAGGTGATTTGGTGATGAAATCGGTGGTGAGATCTTTTGAAGCTGTCTGGGAGCTGTCCTGCGACCGAGTGGGTCGATACTGCGGCTCAACCATGGATGGCTTTCCCAAGGCTCGACTAGCGTGCCAAGCGGCATGGCTTTTTGCAAACCTAACCAAGCTAACTATATATGTATTAGTGGGACTCCATGGCCAGAGCCAAGCGGGGCAAACCCGGCAAGGGTAACCCCAAGTCGCGGGAAACGAGGTCCGTCTCCGAGGAGTCCGAGTCTCCGCCAACCACACCTACTCCAGCCCCAAAACCCGCCGCCAAACATGCACTATCCGATAGAGAAACATCCCCTCAACCGAAGCGCACCAAGCTACCAGATGGGAGTGACCGGGCGAGTGCAACAAAGCCCGGTTCTAGTTCTGTTGATGCCCTCTTGGCGGGCAAGGCAGATGAATCGGCAAGTGACTTTGACACGGAGGATGACAGCGATGATGGAGAGCAGACGGAGGAACAGGTCAAGGCAGTCAACGACAAAATCAAAAAAGTTACTAAGAGTGTCAAAAACTTGGCTGAATTGCGGGGTTTACTACTCCAGCTACCTCCCAACCGCCTTCTAGGCCAACTCAAGTCTTGGACCGCAATCGTCGCAGCCACGCCAAATGTGGGCAGTTTGGATACTCTGAAAATATGGCTGCAGAGCGAACTATTCAAACCTCATGTTCTGTACCTGTTGAAAGGATATATCCTGCCACAGGAGGTAGACCCCAAACCCCGGACTCGTGGCGATGATTTCGATACTGTTATGTTCGTTATTAAGCAAACAGGACGCCACAAGAACCGAAGTTTGCACAAGGCTACCGTTGACCGATCTACCTGGGAGTACTGTGACTGGGCGGCGTCAGCCTTAGCTCGCGTTTTCGAAGCGAATGAATCTGACTGCGATGGGCTTTTCGAAGGATCAAATGTGTCGGAACCACGAAAATACGTCATCTATTTTGCAGCCATCCGTCAGGCATTGAACGACGCGTCCAAGTCTCGCCGATCTCGCTTCTGGAGCATAATGGCAATCACATCTGAAGAGAAGAGAGAATTATTGACTATAAAGCCAGCATTAGCCAGTACAGTTGATGAGGTGAGTACATAGACCCTGGGAATGCCTTCCATGGATACTATTCCCAGGGGTCCCCTTTTCTTTACCTTAATATTACAGACAACTGACTTCGCTGTTTAGCATTATGAGGCCCGTGCTGAGGAGCGGACATTGGTGGTGGATGCGAAAGACAAGCTCACGAAAATGAGCCCTATGGAGAAACAGGAGATGGCGAAGAAGGCCAAGGCTGATCGCAAGTCTATGGCTAAGTCAAGTATCGTGAAAGAAGCTCCCAATTCTACTGAATTGGAGGACAAGACAGACGATGCACAACAGATCGAGAATCTTCTACTCGTTGCCAGTGATCAATGGAAAGAGGAATTAAGGCAGACAAGCTTGGCTTGGAAAGAGTTGAAGCGGACTGCCAATGACTTCGACCTCAAAGATCCCTACTGGGCCGACCTCTTCCTCAAGAAAGCTCTTGATGAGTTAGATGGTGTCGTGCCTGATGATGACGTAGAGGTTCCCTACACACCCGATCGCAGTTTGACCTTGGCTCCGACCATGGGCCCGCAGGTGCTAGGTATTTCACTGGAGGAACCCTTGGACCCCAAGACATTGCTTCTGCCACAAACCCCCCAAAAGTCTCACAGGGATCTGTTTCTGGGAACACGAGCGAACGCGACTCCGGTGAAACGTCTTAATGAAGTGACGGACGATGGAGCGGGCATGTACAACAATTTGGCTACTTTCCTTGATGAGCGAAAGTTGTGGAATGCCGAATTGAAGGCCGCAGACTTCAATGGGGACAACAAACCGGTCAATACGGCAGCGGTATTGATCGAGCCCAATGAAAAGATGCTTGAGGACCTGGCCCAAGTCGATAAAGCCCTTGACAACCAGAAACTCCAGCGTGAGGACTTAGCAAAGGCCAAGAAAACCTTTCACATTGACGAGAATGCAGACAAATTCAATGTGTCAGGCATGAAAATCAGTAAAGCGCCAACCGACTGGCAGCTATTGGCTGCTAACGCGATGTACGACACCTACAAGGATCCGAAACTAACTGGAATGCTGATCGCAGATGACGTGGGCCTTGGGAAAACCTGGGTTACTATGACCTTTCTACTCAAGGTAAGACCCCGTGGAAGGTATCCCCAAGGCTTCTTCTCTATGCTGATATTCTCTAGATTTTCAAGAAGATAGAAGGCCCTATACTGGTTGTGGTACCACCGCATCTCATTGACCAATGGGCCGACGAGCTCTATGATACTACGTCCGTCTTCAAAATATTCGTATACTATGGTGATGGACGGGAAAAGACTAGCAAGGCAGACATTCAGCTGGTTGAAAAATTGACCCGCACGCATGATATTTTCTCCAGCAAGATTCCCGGCAGTAACATTGTCATCACATCATACCAAACGTTAGTCCAACGTAATGGTCTCAAATTGCAACGCGCTTGGATGGTTGGGAAGGGTTATCCGGTAGATCCGCGGGAACATATTCTGCCTGCACCTGATCTCCGCTGGAATCGTTGTCTAACGGGCAAGTTCGGGGTTATGGTTCTCGACGAGGTGCATCAGATAAGGAATACTGATACGCAGACTTTTAAAACCCTGGAGTCTATGCGAGGTGATTACAATGTCCTCCTGTCTGCCACGCCATCGTTTAATCACCTGGATGATGTCAAAGGCATGCTGTCCTTCCTCCTCAACCCAGAGAACGACAACTTGTGGGACGAGTTGGCCCCTCCAGAAGACTATGATCCGTTTGCAGGTGATGCAGACCCAAAGTTTCAGCCTCTTTTGTTCACCAAGCGTGGGTTGAACCAGTGGGTGTGGAAGAAAAGGAGTTTAGAAGCCGCAGTCGCTCTCCTGCCAATCTGGTTCAAGACCGTCATCAGGCGCACCGTCAATTCTCAAATTCCATTTGATGGTGGCAAGCGCGTCGGTGAAAACATCCCACCTGCCATCCGCCGAGTGGTGACATGCCGGTTCACTGCCCAAGAGCAGCGCCAATACAATCTTTTCGCTGCACCTCCCTTGGCCAATTTGGTCGAACGCACCAAGGGCGGAGGTTGTGTTTGGCGTATGGATCAGTACCGTATGCTTACTTTGCTTAACATTTGGCTCGGCACGCAGTATATCCACCAGAGTTTGGTCGCCAAGAAAGCCGCTAACCTGGCGGTTAGGCTCGATAATGATGCATCTCTCGGAAAATTGCTTGCCCACCGAGTCTTGCAAGGGTCAGTAGAAGTTTTTGAAGAACGGATCGAAGCGGCGAAGACCAAGGGAGAAGACACTATGGACCTTGAGGAAGGCATCCCCAAGGTCCCTAAACATGCTAAGGGTCTGGATCGCTTTGCTGCCTTGACCACCATACTCCATGGCGCTCCGAAACTCCGGGAGTTGATGAAGCGCATTCGTCTGGAAGTGTTTCACCTACAGGAGAAGTCCATCGTGTGGTGTTCAAACCCGGGTCAACAGTTCCTAGCCGCCGCGGTCCTGAATTTGGCCAATGTTTCCTGTAAGGTCTACCATGCCGATTTGACTAGTTCCCAGCGTCGCGACCTGCTTACAGCCTTCAATACTACGGACGAGCCAATGGTCTTGGTCTGCTCTTATTACGTTAATAGTGCGGGCTCTAATATGCAACACAAGTGTCGAAATGTTCATTTGTTATGTACTCCGATGGGAATGCCCATCGCAGCACAAGCGATTGGCCGTGTACGTCGACTTGGACAGAAGGAGACCGTGAAAGTCTATGAGTACCATCTTGAAAAGTCGTTCGACCAGCACATGATATGCAATAACATTTCGAAGGCGATGCCTGCCCTCGCCCTATCGCTCAACGATACCAACTGGAAACTTCACTTGGATCCGAAGACCGGTGGTGGTGTGACAATGGAACCCCGTCTGCTGAATCGGGACGGTACTATCTCTGAGTTGGATAAAGTGTGGTTCCCATACCTTCATAGCCACGATTACGTTACACCAGAGACATTCCTCACGTTGCTACTATGTGCCCAGTCAGACTCGAAGGCATTCATTCGTCCTATCGATCAGGTTCCTGATGCCATTGGCCAATTTGTCGACCAGTTCAGAGCGGATCAATTCCCGGAACCTTGTAAGACAGTGTCTGACGTCTATGCACTTCCTCGGGATGAACTAGCAGCCTGGTTGCAGACCGTCGCAACTCCTGTTGCAGACAATATCCTAGAGGAACCAGCAAAAAATCTCGATGATCTGGTGTGATTTCGTTCATTCGTTTCGTCAGTAAGATATCTTGTGGATACCTTCCACAGGGTTACATTTCTCACTTCTTTTGTGCGACAGTCTCATTCCATTTCTCTTCGCAGCCAAGACCCTAAGTGCTAAAATTAGATAGGATGGCTAGAATAGACATAATGCATTAGAGATTTTACAGACATAATACACGTGTAAATCGGTTCGATTTAATTGCATCGAACTATTCCACCAGGTAGAAAGAAACAACAAATTGATACAATTCCCTTTCAGTCCACTTATATTTAGCGGTTTAGGATACTCATCCCAGAAATCCTCGGTCATCACCAACCCGTCAATAGCGGAAATATATGGATATTTGTAAGGGCCTAGTAAGGCATGGTGACAGCTCTGTGATATTATAGTGGGCTGTCATCTCGCGAAAAAGTTAGTACATGTGTGATCATTACGAGATTTAACATATGATAGATCTCTATAATATAATGATGAAACTACATGTAACGCTACAGTTAAGCCTCTAATAGATGACAGTGTTATTACGAGGATTTTTTATATTTCTAGTAATAATGCAACGTATCTTACGTGTAAATATAAATATGGATTATAGCTATGAGACGCGTTGACACTCCTAAATGTACCCAACACTCAACACTACATCCAACACCACCATGTCTAACACCATGTCCACCACTAATCTCGTACGTATGTAGGCTTTGTAGGCTCAATGTAGATTGTAGGCCTATATTCATACGTGAGCGCGTGTCAACTGGATTGGGAGGGTAGGGGGATTCGCGCGCACCAAATTCGACACTAGAATGAGGCCTCGTACGTGAGCACGCGCGGAGATTCACGCACCTGGTTCAACCCCTAAAGGCCTCGTACGTGGGCTTAGATTTATAGATAAGTGCATATCAATAAAAAGTAGAATTCGTACACCAAATTTGAACACCAAATTTTGAACACCAAATCGAGGTCTTGTACGTGAGGTTTGTGTAGTGCGCAGGTGCGCGCTTGTTTAGCAAATAGACGCGCATTGTTTGTGGGCCACTCCACCTAAGTACCGAAGCGATACATACAATTCCAAACGGGTATTAGAGGCAATCCGCGCTTGTTCCAACAATATCCTGATAATGGCTGAGCGGTGGGAGCGGGCTCAGGATCTTTTGGATGTATTCGAGGTTCTAGCAACAGAGGTACCTCTAGTAGAGACATTGGACAGTCACGGCGGACGTGCAATTAACCGTATCAGCAGCGACGCAGCAGATGATATACGTGGAAAACTGATCAACGTCAAGTCCATGGTACTCAACCGCGAAATTATTCGCATGATACAGGAGATAATTACGGAGGATCTTCCTGAGGCTGGCGACAATACAACGATTGAAACGTTCGCAAGCCTCGGTGACAAGGTCAATCTCGACCAACCTTTCTCGAACAACAGCAATACCCCTTCATATCAATTCCCGAGTTTATATTTTTCGAGTAATCCGTCGTCTAGCGAGATAGGGACGCTTTTGATGGGACAGACCCTTGACTTTTCGGGCACCATTCCTGATTACGATGTTTATTAGACAGCATACTGGTATAAATTTCCAGTAGAGATTGACGACGGATCTTGCACGCCTTATCGCGAGGCTCGCGAGATCTCAAGATTCATATATACAGCAGCAGCTAACTCGCATGATATTTCAACTTGACATTACATTGTATCTTCGAGAATAAATCTCGAAAACAAACGCCCAACAAGCAAACCATCGTGCTCCAAGGAGGCCCTCGTGATGGATTCTTCATACAATTTCTGGCCAAAAAGACCATTTGTTTGTTTTGACACCAGAATTTCGCGAATCACCTCTTCATTGAATTCAGGGTGCCCTTGGAAGGAGATGAAATTACCACGTTGGTACATGCCTTGTACGGCACAACGAGGCGTAGACCCCAGATTCTCAACACCCGGTGGACACAAAGCAACGATATCTTGGTGTGAGAATTGGAGGTTCTATACAAGTACCGTAAAAATTAGCGTATAGATACGGTTTCGGATGGGAATGAATCCGTACTAATTGATCCTTCCCAAGCAGAGCTTTTCCGGCAGGAGTCAGCTCAACGGCCAACACCGCCGTCTCCCAGCCCATATCATTCAATTGAACAGGCACATTTAGCGCGCGACCAATGATCTGATGCCCAAAACAGACTCCTATCACCTTTATATGCGGCGTTTGTAGTGCAGAAGTTATGACGGAAACAAGTTTATTAATCCATGGGACATCCAAATATGCCGAGTGCTCTTGTCACCACATCATTAACACGGCCCTAACCATTAGACGGATGAACAGAAAACTTACTTGACCCCGTAATCAGAATAACATCTACCTCATTCAATTCAGGATACTCGGCCTCTTCATGATCAACCTGATATTTTGTGAATGTAATCCTCTTTTCCGTAGCAGAGATTTTGGGGGTCTGTTGTGCAGAGAATAGAGCTTCAAACATTCCGCCGTAAGTGCCGTAGCGCTCTTTCGCGAGGGGAAGTGGTGTGCCGCATTCGAAGATTGCGAGGCGGACTGTTAAGGGATAGTCTGATGGATCGATGGAGCCCATTCTATTTCTCAGGTTGGTTTTTATGGTGTATATGAGATGGTCAAGTTGCACGACTTTCAAAGTAGATGTTGCTCTTCAACCCTGGAGAGTTATAGCTGTCTATCTTCCGGATGACTCAACGCACGACAATTATGAGTTAATTGGATTCAACTATGTTTTAGATAAGTATATTTAGTCTATATCTACCCTAGCTAGCTGCCAAATTCTTGCAGGCGTCCTCCCAGATCCCCGCCGATGATGATAAGCTTCTCGGACTATAGACTCCGATGGACGTCCGCCGAAACAATCGATCGATAACGACTGGACTTTTGATATTGCGATAATAATTGAGGTCATGAATGGCTCCCAATATCTATACAGATAGCAGGTGTTTTCACATGATGGTTGTAATTCAACAACCAGGATACAATGGATTGACTGACTTTGAGAACCTAGATAGGTAGGTCCATGCGGTGGTGTAGGGTCATAAAAGGTTCCCATGACCATGACTGGAGCGACGGTTCATGCCAATAGAAAAGCTTATTTACATGTCTGAAAATTTAAAACAAGAATATTATTGTCGACTTGACTCTTTTGTACCTATCATACGTAGGAAGAATATCCGTGTTCTACTCATATATAGCCCTACATGTTCTATTCTAGCACAGCCATTGCTGTTTAAAAAAAACACTAAACTATTGTGAATATACCATTTCTTCTGACGAAAGATTGCATTATTTCTAAGCCTCTTCTAGCATTACCTATTTATCTGTTAAATTAGAAGACTATAAACCTTCAAACCTCGAAAACTTCATTCCTCACAAATCATCACCGACCACAGGACAACTGGAGTCGTGAGTCCAAGCCTCATTTTGGATCCTAGCGTAGGGTATGAGGAGTAGTTGGACGGGCTCTCTACTGGAACTCTATTATGAATTCATAGTACTTTGTTAAGCGTTGTACAGCTCTGCATTAACCACCCAGTACCATTGGGAGGGCTAGAAGAGCTCGTATTCTCTTCTGATGTAGGGAGTATTGCCTCTATAAAAGCCTATCTTAAAATTAAGTCTATTCCGCTAATATCTATTGAAAGTTGTCTCTTATATTTGTGTTTTATAGTAAGATTATCCTTCTTACGTCATCACTTTAAGAACGTAATGATATTTAATGGAGTTTCTTCCCTGCTGACAGTCTCTTTGGATAAGGGCATTGTGATGGAGTGCTACAGTTTTATTTTCGTCAATGTGTATTTCGTATAATCAGCACTCCAAATACATCAAACTTTGAATCTTATTCACAAATTGAGAAGTATAGAAAGAAAAGAAAAGATAGCTACTAGACCACTCCCATTTGTATAAATTTCTCTAAGCTAGAAATCGTGATACGGATTTGGCCTCCGATTCCGATGACCCCGCAACGATAGCTCAAGTACGACATTCTATGTATTCCAGTATATGTCTATAGGTATTGTTTCATCCACTGGTACGTGGATGGACTCTCACGAGTCCTAAGAACTATCAGCATAGGGTATGCGGGGTCACGGGAAACGTCACTCGCCTTATCAGAAAGCTTCTCCTCACGCTGTCGGACTTCGGACGCGCTAGGAGTCTTGACAGTCCGATATATCCACCATCGGATGGTCAGTCATTCTTATCGTCTGGAATGATATTGGTCAATGTTGATCGCATGTTGATACGATGGACATTTTGAAACAATGGATTCAACATAGCGATACGGACCATGGCCCCGATGATTGCGTCGAAGGGGCGTGGTACTATCCGGAAAAATGAAACAATAGGTCGGAAATCAAAAACGTCTTGAATAATAGTCTTAACATGAAGTTGATAGGAATCATCAAGAATAACAACAATAAAATCGAAATGGCAATTGAAGAAACAGGTCCTCAACCGCACATCAACCTCCAAAGAGGCTGGCCGTCTCCTCGTCTTCTACCGGCCAAAGCACTCCTCGCAGCTGCAGAGGGAGTCTTGTCATTCCCCTCTCGAGCAACAGATGCCTTGCTTTATGGCCCTAACATTGGAGATCCAGCTCTCCGAAAAGGCGTCGCAGAATGGCTCTCACGATTGTATTGCTTACGCTCACCACCAAGCACAAATCCAGAAGCTTCACAGCCGGAACCAATCACCTCAGAGCGTATTTGCATTACAAACGGTGCATCGGGAAATCTTGCTGCCATTTTGTCTGCTTTCACGGATCCGGTGTATACCCGTCGTATATGGATGGTTGAGCCGACGTACTTTCTAGCTTGCACAATCTTTGACGACGCTGGCTTCCAGGGACGCTTGACCGGCGTGCCAGAGGATGATGACGGTGTGGACGTAGAGTTTCTGAGAGCACGAATCAGTGAGGTCGATCAAAAAGCTGATAAACCGGGCGCGACTGCGGAAGAGGTCACTTTCAAGAACTCACCTCAATACACCAAGCTGTACCGACATGTCATCTACCTCGTTCCCACATTCAGCAATCCGAGTGCGAAGACGTACACGAGCGCGCGACGAGAGGCTCTGGTTAGATTGGCACGAGAGGTGGATGCACTGATCGTTACGGATGATTGCTATGATTTCTTATCATGGACAGTCCAGGAGCAGGAAAGCAAAGGTGTCAACGGAAACTCAAAATCCTCTTCTGTGCCAACCCCTCCACCACCCAGATTGGTTGATGTTGACAATTCACTGCCCGGAGGAGATCTAAAATGGGGGAACGCCGTAAGCAATGGCTCATTTTCAAAAGTGCTTGGACCCGGAATGCGATGTGGTTGGGCTGAGGCGACGCCGGAATTTATCAAGCGTTTGAATCAAGTGCAAGTCATATCAAATCAGAACCAAAAAAGAAAAATATACTGATATTGTGTTTGTGAACAGTGGAGCAACTCTTTCCGGTGGTGCACCAGGTCAATTCTCGTCGACACTGATCGAACATGTTCTGCGGACAGGCAAAATGGAAGAGCATATACGAGAAGTGCTAGTACCAACATACAAAGCTCGCTGTGCAATCATTCAACAGGCAATTAAAAATTACCTCGGTCCATTAGGCGTGAAAATTGATATTGGACGAGCTTATAATCTGCCAAATGATACAGAGCAGGTCATGGGAGGTTTTTTTATCTATATCACGTTTCCCGAGGGTGTAGCCGCGGACAATATTGCTGCCGTTGCGTTAAAAGATTATAATGTTAGATTTCTTGCTTCAGGAGCTATGCGGGTCAGGGGTAGTAAGAAGAGCCGCAATGAGGTACTGTTGAGTAGAGGTGCGAGGCTTTGTTGGGCATGGGAGGAAGAAGACATGCTTGTTGAAGGTGTGAAAAGGATAGCTAGTGTGTTAAAAGAGAGGTTCTCTCTTGTCTAAGTTTGGTTTGGTAGTGTCAAACCCTTAACTAGGTAGTCAGAATACTACATGTTCAGACTTCTGTCTCCTGTACGTCAAAACTAATAAAATAGTTGACTCAGTTCTCTTGTAAAATATTACCTCGACAAGAATATTGGTAACATCTAAGGCCCAACCAACTGGATGTTTGAAGGATGACCACTAATATCAAGCAACAATCAACGACTGCATCAACCGTTGCCGATAGTTCCCGATAAACATCATCAAAATTTGCTACCCAGGCAACAAATGCAAATCAAGCACATCATCTTGTCCACTCGAATGCATGTACATCTGCCCATCACCAGAGTGCATGCCCGCAATGTCAACCTCAAAGGGAGCGGTGAGAACATCCACGATGAATCAGCCGGTATCCGGTGACGAGGCTACATTTGTCGTTTCTATCTGGCCATGGTCATACACTCATTTTCTTGTTGATTTGCGTCTCTGTTTGGCTGTATGAAGATTGCACAACATGAAGCATGTTTCTAGTAGAGTCACGGGTGCCCACAAGATGCTACATTATCAAGTAAAAGATATAGCTGTCCAATGCTGTCGTCCTGTCAGGTATGACAGGAATTAATTCATAGTGGAGATACGGGGGCATTGCGTCTGAGGATCCGCTCCATGAGTCAGTCGAGGTCTTAGTTTGTGCGTTGCTATGGGCCAGAGGTTCGATCAGATTTTCTGATCAACCTCCCCAACACGGCAGTCAAATTAATGACTCTAGTTTCAATACACCTTGAAAATCGAGGTTATGGAATATTCTAGATGAAGTGGTTCCATGTTGCTGATCTGAAGACGGCCTCTCCCTCCCATTGTGCTTTATCATAATCCCATATGACGGTTTTGACTACAATGTACAGTAAGAACATAGACAATGGAGTTCTTATCTAAAGTCTCCAAGAATAAATATCATTGCTATGATGGTCATTTGGTGTTCTCTGTACGTTCGAGGCCATCGAGGTTAGGGTTGAGTAACAGATTATAAAAGCGCACAGACTTTCTACATTCCCTAGCTACGCCTCATCTCTATCTTCAACCTAGGATTCCTAGTTCATCTGCTACATAATCAATTTTATTTCCATGTGTCTACAAATGATACGCTGTTGAGCTCGCGGACACTTGTAAAGTAAATATGCATACCCTTACACCGACTTTGTATACCAAAGTTCTAAATCTGCATGGCCAAGCGCACCAGACGAAATAGGAATACTATCAAAATTATCTAGCGTTGGTGATGAACACAATGGTGCAGAAAGTTGAACTAATCTATAAATATATTAGAGATTCTGCGTTGTAAACCGGCGCTGGCAAAATGGACAACAGCCACATTACCTGATTCGGTATCCTATGTATATATGGATGATATAAGTCTAACATTTATCAGAATTCTCCAGGATGATCTTACGCTTCTTCAAATCAAGCAACATTCCCAGTAATCGACTAGCCTCTGTGCTGCCGTTTAGCCGTAGACAGTTAGTCCTAATATCAACTTGGTTTGAAATCTTGAACCTGGGCTTGGAAGAAAAGGAGCAGATGGCATGCCAGGCCGCTATAGACCCTGCCTAGTACACGCCTTAGCGTGATCAATTGTCGAAAACCGATCGTTGCTTTGATGTTGCGTGGCCAATGCAGGGCCCTTAACTAGTCCTGACTAGTAGTAGGTGGTGGGAATGAAAGAGACAGGTCATAAACGCTACTGAAAACATGCTGCAGCACCTGTCGCACTTTTCGGATTTCTCCATTTCTGCTTGTCTGTAGACGAATGGCTGCTGAGAGAATTATCTAATCCAGCTTAATTGTGAAATTTTTTTGTTATGAGCGGTTCTTTTTGGAGAAAATTTTCCGAGAAGAGTGTCTTCTTGGTCGCGTATTCTTTACGCGATATCAACAAAGTACATGGCAGGTCTTGTGTAACTGTTTCGAGAGGACGCGCAGATAATTAACTTATATTGGCAGTCTACAAGGTTAATGCCAATCTATACAAGTCCCGAATCCCTGTCGCTCAGTTCACTAACCGACTAGGGTATCCCTGTATGCTTCTCGAGTTAGTTAGCCCGGGAGAGATATGCGATCTACCGACTTTTTGGCGTGTTGGTCTGAATGTTGGTTTGCTGGTTAGTTCTGCATTAAACGATTGTCCTTTGCTAACGCTTCTTCTGACAGATCGGCCGAGACTCTTTCAGTTCGCAGACATGGTCCCATCTAGAAGATGGTGGGAAGATTAAATGGAATCCCAGATTTCTCTTCCATTAGCAAGCAAGATCCTGTTCATGCATTGCTTCTTAGGAGGATACGGTCCGCATGATGATTTCGTCTTGGAGAAAGAACTAGAAACGAACTAGGACGAACAGATTGGAGCTGATAGGGGGCAAAAGACATGTCAAATGCATTCGAATATGTTTGTCTCTTTATCCACTATGTCTATTTTCCTACTGTCAATACAAACGGTGTGTAAACAGCGCCAACAGCTAAATGATACCCAGAGTTGTAAAAATATCTAGGCATGTGAAGATCTCAATTCTGACCAGGACGCCTTGTCTTACTTGCTTGAACGTAGAATACAGCAGAAATTTATCTCCGTACAAACATCGCAACAAACAAGAGAAATCCCCGGAGTCAGAGTCCACGTGGTCTGGTTTCACAATCACATTCTCGAATACGATGGAGTAACAATAATTGGAAGTTATTGCTCCGACAGGCCAGTGAGAACCATCTACGAACCCCAAAGTCCTACGTATCATGTGGCATAGGCACATCGCCAAGTTCGCAAAAGAAAAGAAATACTCCAAGAAAGGTGACAAATATGAAACGGTACCTGCGTATACATCAACACGGGAGCGAATATCCAATGTTCATCATCAGATATGTCAAACAGGTGGCTTCACCCAGAGAATGACTAGCGTCGATGGTCATGTAATACTACGTTGGTGTATTATCTTCACAGATCGGTTGACTAAGATCTATGTACCAGAACCCGGGAGAAAGGGAAAAAGCAACGTAAGAAAAAGCAATATGTCAAACAGACGGTACGGTACGTACCTACGCCGTGCAGGGTTTAATGGGGATTTAGGAAGCCATTCCGAATCACCCCGGCTGAAACCGCCCCTCTTCGGGGCTCCAAACAGGAAAGATACCCTGTTCGAACAAAAGCAATCAAATGATTAGGGACAATTCTTTTCAGCTCTAGAGAGCGAATACTCCGATTCCTATAAAGATATCATGGCTGTACATCTTCCCCAGAAAGGGCCACTGTACGCTCACCGGTCGCTCGCTGTCTGCGTTGGAGTTCTACTTAGGGCTAACACAGGCAACGAATGGGGGTCGATTAGGGTGACCACCTGGACCAACATCTCAATCACTATTAGGGGAAAAAGCAAAAGAGACCAATGACAAAGCAGTTATGAAGCCGCCAAGAAATCTCATCCTCACCGTTTAGATGTCTATAACTGTACGAGGCTGCAGCTGCAGATTGAGGCCCAGCGAAATGGATGGATGATTGGCGAGTTACAGGCCTCTTGTTTTGATCCCATCTATGCGCTCTTGCATTTTTCTTTTCTTTTTTCTTTCTACCAGGAATTAAAATTCATCTTTACTTTTTTCCTGCTAGTCCCACTATCCCTCGGGCCTTTCAGCACGGAAATGGTCCTATTTGACCATGACAACGGCCGGTGAATGTCAACCCGCTTTACTTGCAGTAAGAAAAAGTGGCGGATGCGCGACAAATTGAAGTATATGCAGAAATCACGCCTGTTTTGTGGGACCATTGCTTCTCTGTCAAGTTCTGTAACATGGTTATAGTTCCTTTGACTTGATTTTTGACAAGGTTTATATATTTGTTTCTAGTACCGGATTATCTGGAGTGCATGATTCAGAAAATAGCATCTACCTTAAGCCACAATATCTGCGCTAGGATTTTAACGCATGGAACTGGTCTGCCTCTAGTTCTAAGGTTCTTTTGGGATCATCTGCTTGAATCTTTGTGATCTGAATGACATCACTGCTCGAGTCAAGAGGTCAGTTGTCTTGATATATAGAAGGTGGATAAACTCGCATATCAAAGGCTGATATCTCCAAGGATCCTGAAAGGCTCATGCACCATTGATTGATACTTCATTTCTCAGTGTGAAATACCTTTTGAATTTGACTGAGAAAGCGCTCACTTCAACCTTGTCTACTATACATGCCACTTAATGATCTCAAAAATGCACACGACCACTTCCCCTCCCCACGAAAGAGGTCGTCGGGGACATCGATCGGGCGAAGAGGAGTTCGTGCTCTATTTACAGGGGGTGAGCATATCGCAGAGTTTATGGCCGGTGGTTTATGCTAACTCAAGGGCTCGAAGATACCTCCACATTGTAGATGGCAAGAACTGAAAGACTTTGTCCGCCAGACTGCGCTTCATATCAGACAAGCAGTTGTTTACGATGATCAACACGGATATCCCACGGGACTGGGTCAGATTATAGTCAAGAATGAAGAAGAGGCATGGCGAACATATCGTGAGTCCTTAACCCAAAGTCCTACTACCACCCTACCAGCTACTGATAAGTGGATAGGAAAGCTTTCGGCAACGGGATGGGATGGGCATCCCCTGACTGTGACTCTGGCCAGAGCTAGTTCCCCGACGAGACCGATTGCTGGTCCTACGAAAAGTCCTCCGTCCTCGGGCCATACAGTGGCGTATGGAGGAAAATTTGCAAGGCACTCAGTTGCAGGAACTCCAACGCCGGAATCGCCAGTTACCACAGAGTAAGTTATGCCTCATCGTGCCTTTTTGATGTCCGGTCTAATATGTCAAAGACCCATCAGATCGCATTCAATAGCATCAGGCACCTTATACCCGCAGTACATACCGCCATGCACGCCAACGGGTCACAGCGATGGAACCATTCAGGGATTCTCGCCATTGGTAGAGTCTCCAGGGGGATACGGACATCATCACCATCAACATGCACCAACTGGATGGAATATGCAGCCCGATGGATTGGGAATGCTCACTTTCTCGCCGCCGGGAATGAGCATGTTTCCTCCGCCATTTGAACAGCAACAGATCGAGTATTCATATTACGTCCCATACTCACATCCGATGCAGATCCCGGTGCGTGGTCAGCCGATGTATGCAGAGACAGGATACCATGAATTTCAGCAGCAGCAGCAAGCGCCGTCGGTCTTTTTCGGTCAGTATCCACCAACGGGAAATCAGTACTACCAGCACCAACAACACCAGGGTTATCACGTCTACGCGGGGTATGAATCACGAAAACACAGCCTGCATTCTAGCAGTACATCTGATGTATACCCGAACACGGCCGTAACAGCATCATATAACAATAATGGAGGCATGCTTCCGCACCAAACACTACCCCAAGGCATCCGCCACATAATAATCGACAATATCTGCCCCGGCGTCGACGTCCAAATCCTCCAAGACCATTTCCGTGACGCTGGAAAAATGCTCGATTGCAAGATCATTCGATATAATAACCACGAGAATGGGAACGAAGCTAGATATAACGAGCTCAGTTACCCAGGCCAGTGCTACGCAACAGCCACCTTCTCAACGGTCGAGGAAGCCGAGAGAGCGGTTGGTATGTATAATGGTTCTGATCTGGGCGGAAGTAGGGTTGTGGTTCGGTTGGATACAGAGTGGGATCCCTCAAATAGTATGAACGAGGATGGGAATGGGAATGGGAATGGTGATGGAGGAGGTGAAAGTGATTGGTCGAGATCGCAGTCGTATTCGTTGTCGTTTACGACTTCGTCGAATGCGCTGTTGGCATCGTCCGTGTCATCGTCGACGGCGACGTCTTTGGGAACCTTTTCCGGTATGTCCAACCCGCAACGTTCGCAACATGTCATTGAGCGAAGGATCGTTACTGATCAATGTCTTTCATCAGAATCCGCAACCTCCCAACTATCAAACATTCCCACGACGAACAAGGCTTATTACCGGCACCACCAGCACCGCGATAGAAGAGACTCCGGAAAAGAGATATTCAAACCCAATACCCGCCCATTCCTTCCTTCTCGAAGTGGTAGTCATTCAGATTGCGTGGATGACTCATCTTCAAGATCCGTATCACCAACATCCGGAGAACGGGATGGAGGGAGTAAAGAAGAAGAAAAGCCCCGGACAGAGACAATAATGCAGCCATTGGTAGTCAATGGGTCTGGTCCAGTAGGCAGAGCGAAGATGTGATATGGTCTTCCCTCCTTTTGCATGTTAATCTCGCTCATTTGCAAAGTGTGTGTGTTCCATTTGTTATCTGCTGTTACCTAGCGAGAATCTTAGCTTTCAGTCCTATTAATTGTTCTCTTCTTGAATGTGAATTATTTTTCGATCATGAATACAATTTGATTTGATTCGTTTTGATAGTAGCTAACCCGTTTTCCCCTGGATATAAACGTTGCTAATTTGATACATAATAGGACGAAAGGCGGCTGATTATCAATAGAAAAAGGAAAAGGAGGAAGACGAAACACCATTATCCAAAGAAATCCCTGTGCATGTGCAAATATCCTACAGAGTCGATAAGACTAACGCCGGCTGGTTCGTGGTGGTGGTGGTGTTGCAGAGTACGATCGAGATCGGGTGCGAGACCGCGATGGGGAACGGCTGTATGAACGCCGGCGAGGAGCGGCTCGGTCACCGCCGCGACGGGGAGGTGGGGAGCGAGACACGGAGCTTGTGTTTGATCGTGCTCGTCTGTCGCGTGCGCGTGGAGGAGGGGATGGTGATCTAGAGTGCGATACAGAGCGCGATCGAGACCTGGAAGATGTATTGGCTCGACGTCGGTTGCGTGCCCTGTCGTTACGGACAGGTGACCGAGTGAGAGACCGACTGCGAGACCTGGATCGTGAATATGATGGCGACCGTGAGTACGATCTTGATCGAGATCTGGATCTTGTATATGACCGTCCTCGGCTGGCTGCACGATCACCTCGGGGTCGCGGCGAACGAGACCGTGAGTATGACCGAGATGATCCCGTATATGAGGAATAGCTGGAATAGCTGGAGTATGAGCTAACCGATTCCTTGTCGGACTCGTCTCGCGGTGCAGCTGGCAAAGCGGGAATGGCTGGCTTTGGGAGATTCTTGAGATGTTCACGCATCTCTTCTGTGAGCGCACCCATACCGACACTGGTGAAGTAGTTGATAGAGAATCGGGTGTTTCGCGGGTTGTCCAATGGGAAAAGCCCGTTAAAGCTGGGTCGAAGTACAGGATCAGTCAAGCGCTCTTTTAGTTTGGCCATTCCCATATGCTCAGCAAGATCTTGGAAAAGAATCTTGATGAAGATACGGCTGCTAGAGGTGGTCTCTTCTTCATTCAAGTGGATCAGAGAAAGTACATGCCAGCCAATAGCGTCGTTGCTGAAAAGATGGCCAAAGAAGCGAGCGATGTTGCGCAGTCTGTTTGTTTCGTAGCGATGGATGGTCTCGTAGTATTTGGCAAACGACTCTTCAAATAGGTCTGACCATAACCGGTTCAACTTGGCAAATCGTTCTCCAATCAATCCGTAAAATTTCGAGTATGTGCGCTCTTGAGAACAGCACTCGATGATCATCGATGGCAATTCGGGCTCCTTGCCGGGAGGCAGAGAAATCTTCATCAATTTGTGACAACATTCTTCAAAATCCACACTGGACATGATAGTCAAGTAGATTGTACGTCGTAAATTGACTAAATCAGCATTGCTCTGGTCTTGAATCTCCATCTGGTTCTCCGCTTCTGCCTCTTCGTCCTCGGAACTGTCATCTGACTCGTCGCCACTTTCATAGTCGCTTCCTTCACCCAAAATCTCCGCCTTCAATTTTTTATAAGCATCCTCATGCTCTTGCCACTCGGCGTCGAATTTGAAAATATTCAGTCCATCTTGTGTGTCGATCTCATCATCCAATCCTACTCGATGGGTAATCTGATCTTCTTCTTCAACTAAGTCGAGTTCCTCTCGGACAGCTGGGTTGTCCTTGAAACGATCTTTCCTGACCTGGAAAAGAACTTCAATCATATATTGTACACGCTTATCGATATCGGCTTCGTGTAAGATATTTCTGAATTGGTCGAATACCGCCAAGGCAATAGGCCCGCTCATCTCTTCCAAATGCTGTCCGACCTCCCGAGTCAAGCCGACCGCAATCTCAACGCTGTCATCTGTGGGCTTATGGAGGAGAAGCAGGAGTATCTGTGCTGCAACCATTTCGTGCACTACTTGCTGGTTGCACAGATGCGCAATGAAGGTAGTGGAAGAGATACAGACAGCTTTGTCGTTTCTCTTGAATGCTTTGCGGAATTGGACAACAAGTCTTCCGAGCAGCAGTTCTCCAACCTGAGGCAGTTTGGTATTGACAATAGCTGCCATAGCTGCGTAGATGGGAGTGAAAGGTAACGAGGCAGCCTGAGCTTTCATGATGCTTCGACAAAATAGTCCTCGTCCGCGAATCAGATTTTCACCAAACAACTCGGGAACGATATATTTGATATTCGACACGTTGACTTTGTTGATTAGACCGTTGATTGACTTTTTCAAAGCTTCCCACGCCATCCTTTGATATTCCTTGCTAGACTTGTCCGTGATCTGAGCCTGCAAGGCGCGTAATCGAGCCGGCGGGATATATGTTCCTCCTGATCGCATGTTGAGGAGCTTGTCGTATTCCGCTTTGGCTGCTGCTTGCTTTTCTTCTTCGGTCATCGGTTTGCGCGCTGCGTCTCGAGTTTCTCGTGATTGCAATCTCTCCGCAAGGTGTCGCTCTCGTTCTTTTGCACGATCGGGATCGACATGAGGCAATTCCGTTGCATCTCTGGGGCGGCCTCCCGGAGGCGATCTGCGCCGGTTGGGTGACGGCGAACGAGATGGGGGAGAACGTTTTCGCACGCTGGATGGCTGCGGCGAGTACGATACTCCTGGAGGGGGAGTCGGTACTCGCACCGCAGACTGTAAAACCACCGGATCGGACATTTAGAGTCTGCAAATAGACCCTCAGATCTAAGTGAGCGTGAGAGAATACTGAGAGAATATGGCCGTGCCGTTGACACGGGCTTTGGTGGCTGGGTTTTGGGTAAACTGCTCTGACGGGAAGAGGGAAATTTAAAGATCAACCTGAGCCACAGCTAGTCTTAGCGCTAACATGCGCCACTGGCGGTACTATCACGTGATCTCAAATCAATCTGGCCAGATTAAGGGGAGCTTCCATGAAGTCCATCCAACAACACTTGCGTACCTCTTTAATAACAGGAATACCGGGCAGAAATTGATCATTATGGTACATTAACCACTTTATTGTTCCGCCTACAGATGTCGAAGCTAACATGATTATTTCTACAGCTCGGTCCACTTGTTGGTTCTGCAATGCTCCTGGTCGCAACAGCGATCTTTCTATACTACACGGCATGGACTCTGTTGATGGTATGTGAAGAACTCAGGTCGAAATTATCATGGCTTACTGACCGAATGTTCTACTAGCCCTTTGTTGACCAAGGACATCCTCTCCATGACCTCTTCCCTCCCCGTGTTTGGGCGATTCGAATTCCCGTCATTCTCACTCTCCTGGGCTCGACAGTGGTCGGATCATTCCTCGGAATTATGATGATTCGCAGCAGCAGAAAGAAGGCTGCGAAGGCCAAGGTGGCGGCCAGCAAGAAGAAAACATAAGCTACCGAACTCGGGCATGGTCTACACCTTGTATCCTGCCGGGCGGTAGGGTTATATTCGGACAATCGAATTAAAGGTTCAGTCCTGTTGAAAAACTGCCTTCTGTGATGTATGATCGGGAGTGGTTCTGGGTTATACTGTTCAGTTGCCTATATTAGTCAGCTTGGCGACCGCAAATACGCATCACGTCTGTATAAATATCTAATCAACACTATGCTACCAACATCTTAGTGACGGTTCTGTTATGCAGGGCGGATGCAAGACATATCCCGACTATACACAACCTTGAGTCAGCTCCTATAACTAGTCCAATCAGATGGACGTAGCGATGATTGCTTTGACAGTAGTATATGACAGGACAAGGTATGGTAAAGAACCCGTGATCGAGTCCATCTCATCACCTGACGCTAGCTGCAATGGTTTGCGTCGGGTTCCAGCATACTTGACCATGGCTCGGACGACCAAGATCGATGGCTCACTCGACCTGTTCTCGCGGTGTTCTACCATGGCGCTGTCATCGTGGCAGTGACTTCACCGACAGGTCGTCCATTCGTCGCGTCATGTGTCGGGGATGGCTCGTACTACGTAGTGGAAAGGAATGCTGCCAACACGTGCACAGAGCATACCCCACGCTATCCCATACTATGTAGCTAGGACGTAGTCTGCTGGTAGTAGTGCTAGTAGAAAGCAAGGATAACAGAGGGGAGAGGGTTACGGCATCCGCACTTAGCTCCTTCCCCTTGGGACCTGACTATCATGCACCTTCCCCCTCCCCCACCTGATATGCTCCTCCCTCCAGAGTGCTGCCACTCCCGTATCGCTGCTGCTAGTACCGCCGCTATCCGCGTCTTCTCCTCAACATCTCCCCAACTCAACCTCTTTGCAACATCCCCATACCAGACAAACTGTTACTCGTACGCATAGCTATCCAAACTCGTCTTTCACTCTCAAGCTTCGTCTTCCACGGTGCAACGTGTATTGGTATTGCGTCATTCCTGCGCCAAGGAGCTCTTTACATCCAATCAGCTCGGTATATGATCTATCCTGGACCGTCCTCGTTCGCTTGAGATACAAACACGACAGCATAATTCCGTACAGTGTTCTGGAAACACTATATGATCTCTCGTTGCGCGTGTCTGTGACCGCTCAACTTATTGCCCACATCGTGATTATCTAGGCCAAATTCCGATAACGCTTCAAACGTGTCGCCGACTGTTTACCCCGAAAGGTTGTCTTCCGTCTCATCTCCTCACCGACCTCACTTGGGACGCATCATCCCCTCATCGCAAGGAACAGTCCGATAATCCACACCCAGAAGGAGCCTGGTCGCTCCGAGTGTGTAATACAACATTTTAAACACGCCTAACGCCAGACCCTGGCGTTCACCGTCCAAACAAGCTTCGTGGATGCCCCCCGCAGAGTCAGAGGGTTTCTTCCGTCCCGATAACCAACTCCTCTTCAACGAAAGCCCTCCAACTAACAACCCCATCCCCGTGCCAGAACCAACCGGAAAAAAGAAGAAGAAGGGAAAGGATAAGAATGGATCTAAAGGAAAAGATACACCAGCCAAATCCATACCGCCCATGGAGTCAAACGAGTACGTGTGCTTCCTTGTTCTTTGAAGCTCACAGCGGCAACCCCCGGCTAATTTGTATATCGTCATAGTATCCAATTCTCACCACCGTCCCAATCAGACCCATCCTCATACCCCGGAAATGTCTTCACCCCGGCTGTCACCAACCCTGCTTTGTCATCGGTCTCGCCGGTGTTAGACGCGTTAGGCTCCATCAACCATGTCGAAAGTGATACCGCCACACGGACAGGAGCATGGGCAAAATCAGTTCCGTTCGGGAAGAGTCCTCCGACTGATCTACCTGATCCTGGATTTAGCAGCGATTCACCACTAGGTATTCCGCTCCCCTTTGAACGTCCAGGATTCGGTAGTCTCATATCCTCTTCGGCGTCCCCTCCACCAGCTAGGGCAAGGCCTACAAGTACAAGCTACGGTCACTACGGCATTACGCCGTCACCTCATCGTTCGGTAGACCGACAGAAGCGCCATTCTATGGGCAGCCATCTCCAAACGCAGCCCCCATTACCTCACCTCCCCCAGGCTCATTTCTATGGCGCCCCGGAAGTTGACATTCCGACGCCAAATCGACTTGGTACGGATAGTCAATACTCATTCTGCGGCTGGGATATTATATCCGAACAGTCCCTCAAGTCAAGCAAGATGGGAGGACGAGTACTTGTAGTAGGGACTGATGGGGGGCTGGATGTTTTGGCGGTCGAGGACCAGAGAGCTCGCACCGTGGGGAGTCTGACTGGGTTGAATGGCCGTGTCTTGGAAGCCAAGATTCTGTCAAATACATCCAGATACGATCCATACGCGTCTTCACGTCCCCATGTAGCCGTTATTCTTCACGGTCCCATGGCTCACAAAGAAGAAGCTGCAGAGATTTCTTCTGTGGGATCCGAACAGAATGAGATCCTTCCGGGCTTGCCAGTGAAACCGGCATCCAGTGAGCAAAGACCCCAAAGCAAAGAGGAAACGGTATATCAAACCAGCGTGGAGATCTACTCTATCAAGACCGGAGAGCACATCACAAGCCTTTTTCAGAGCAAACCTGCTCCTTGTTTTGACAATTATCCAAATTTGTCGTTGTTGGCGCCACCCCCTGTTGGAAATTTGAAACTACACGCTACTCACAATTACCTTGTTGTTGCTTGTGGTGTAAGTGGCGAAGTATTTATCTATGGGGTTGTACCGTCTGCTGCTGGATATCAGTGTCTTGGGAAAACGTGGACCAGTATTCAAACAAGAGAGTCCAGGCGCTACTCCACTTCATCAAGCTCTACAGATCCCGATGGATCTCAGATTGATGGACAGCATGGGACGGTTGTGGAAAGTCCTATTATGTCTGTGCATGGGCGGTGGCTAGCTGTTGTTCCACCCGCATCTACAGCAAGAGCTCCTCCTTCAGGAAAAGTACCTGTGCACCTTATCCAGAAGAGGTTACCTGGACTTGATACTCACATACCCCCATCAAAGCCTGCTGTCAACTGCGCCACAGACCTAGGAGAGGGCGAAAGCTTATTTGATAAAGTTGCTCGAGGTGTGGCCCAAGAACTCGTCAAAGGTGCTCGATGGATGGGAGATCAAGGACTTCAGGCATGGAATAACTACTGGAACAAAGATCAGCAAGCGCAGAATGGCATCTCTCGTCGCTCTCCGCAGTTCGAATCACAACAGGGAGCGCATGGCTTGTTCCCTCCTACTCACGGACAGGAGACTGCGGGAACACCGCCATCAGAGCCGGACTTGATTTCGATCTTTGACTTGAAGAGGATGGAGGAGGGGCACGATTCGAAAGGACCCGCATCCGCGATTATAGCTACTTTTCAACCTCCAAATGGGTGCAGCTTTCTGTCATTTGGGCCCAACGGACATATGCTGCTCAGCGCCAGCCGGAAAGGCGATGTGCAATATGTGTGGGATCTTATGCAAGCCAAGAATTGCAGATCTGCTGTCTTCTTGTCTGATGAGTTGGCAAGCAACAGTGCTGCTACAGCTCATGTGCGATTGGTGGCACGCTATTCACGTCTGACTACGTCGAATATTGTTGATGTAGTTTGGACGCACCCAATCGGAGAGAGATTTGCCGTGGTTACACGCAAAGGGACAGTACACGTTTTTGACGTTCCTCGACCCGCCTTTCAATGGCCACCCCTACGACGAGTGCAGTCCAAGTCCAAGCGCAACAAGCCTGAAGAAAAGCCATCAGCAACGCCTAATCTAGAGGAATCGGGATCTTCAAGCCCATTTGCTGCCGCGATGAAACTCGTCGGAGGCTCGACGCAGCCCATCCTTGCGGCAGTGAGAGGCCGCGCTCCTAGTGTTGGGGCCAACTTTTCTGCAACGTCTAGCTTTGGCACTGCGGCTGGAATTGGCGGTAAAGCGGTAGCAGCAGGATTAAGCAAATCGATGGGCGCTGCGACTGGTACTGTCAATACACTACGTCATGTGGGAGAGAATCGACTGCATCTGGCCGGCTTCTCTAGAGACCCTGTACCATTTCGTGTAGTTTGGATACCTACTCGCAATGAGTGTTTATTAGGTGTTGTGGACTATGGCATATTCAAATTGTATAAGATCAAATGCCACACGGACAGACAAAAAGGAAGACGACAACAGCCCGTGATTGGGGCAAAGGTTCTTGAGCTCAAGCTTCCATCTTACTTGCGGAACCCATGCGGGCCACTGCAGATTGGTCTACCTGCCGATGGACATATCAACGGAAGCTGGACATTGCCGTCTCACGTACCGCATTCTTCCTCGGCGTCAAAAATGAAGTTTCAACCATTATCGCAAGCAGAGATTGAAACCAATACTCCTTATCAGCCTTTCCATACTGACCGAAGGGTAAATTTGCATGTTTTTACTGATGCGGCCCCTATTTCCGGCCACGCCCAGGGGCCTTGGGTATTCGGAAATGACATTGCTACTCAGAGGCTTCACGTGCGACCAATCAACCAGAGTGATGAAGAGGAAGAGGAAGTCATGGATCGATTGAGTGGTGCACCGGAGATGGAAAATCTGATCAGACTTGGAAACAGCACAGATCAAGTTGAAGAAGTAGTCATCACGACGAGGAGAAAGAAGAGACATGCAGATGTGCCATCTGTTGCGTCACCAGCAGACGACGACGGAGGATTTTTCGAGAATGACTGCGATATATTGGATTTTGCACGAGATCGAGTCTGATGAATCGTTTGCTCTTCTAATATGAATCATCTGCTTGGAAACATCAGGATTTGGAGTTTAGGTTGCATTTGTTTTACATTTTTGGGGTTTGGATATTTCGATGTTGGCTATTAATTCAGGTGTTTTGGCGTCTTGCTCTCTTCTGCACAGGTGTTCAACACATGTTGATATCGATTGTCACCGTCTTTGATGCTCAACGACTTGAAGACGAGTTGATGACGCACATTGCATTCATACCCTCTCCACGCAGCCATTGAGTTTATGCAGTCCTTTACGAACTCATCGAAATCCCCCCAAAAAAAGAAGCATAACATAGAAAACCAAGAAAAAGGTTTTTGCTTTTTACTCGATATAGACGCTTGCTTTGCTTAGTTTGAATATATGCATAACATACCTAGGTACTTCTTCTCTCCCTAAACCCCTAAGAAGCAAAAGGAGCAGTCTCATCAACCCACCACTCCTTGAAAACTTTGAGTCGTCTCGTCCTCTCCCTCGCAATTTCTTTGCCTGTATTCGTCTTCATCATCCCCTCTAATTTTTCCAGCTTCTCTCCAAAATGCTCAATCGACTCCTCCAGCTCCCACGGTTTTTGGTCTGCCTTTTCTTTCCGTTTCTCACCCTGAGAACCGAGATATGTAAACGTGCGCGCAATCCCCACTGCGCCAATGGCATCTAATCTATCCGCGTCCTGCACAATCGCTAATTCATGGTAGCCCGGCGTCGAGATCAGTGATTTCACGTGTTCCGGATTGCGGGTTTCGTTTGTGTAGGAGACGTTATTGACTATGGTTTGGACGCGAGAGGCGAGTTCGGTGTCTGCGCCGTGGGATGTTAGGGCGTTGTAGACGAGTTGTTTTGGATCTGTGGCAGCTGGATTGTTGGTGTCTTTAGGTAGGTATTTGTGGTCGCCTATGTCGTGCAGAAGAGCGGAGAGGGTTATGACAGTTTTGTTGTATTTGTTGCTTGCAGTTTCCGGATGGAGAGCGAGTTCGCTGGCGTAGATGCGGTGCGCGAGAGAGACTACGCGGTGAACGTGCGTTGGGTTATGTGAGGGGTCGTGGCCGGACATGCAGGTTTCCATGTATGTTGTCATGGAGGCGATGAGTTCTTCATCTTGTGGAGGAATTGAAGTCGCCATGTTTCGCGTTGCCATGAAGGAATACGTAGAAGTTCAATTTCAGTTGGGAATTTAAGATCTGTAGGCGGGGCAGTGGGGAGCGGAGGCTCATCTTTCCAGGCTCCATTTGGGGCTAGACTTTCCGTGCGATGGTTATTTTTAAGGCAGTGTTCGGCCTATATTACAGAGTCCCCAGTAGGTAACAATGTACGCTCTTAGTCCTGGTACATCATTTTGGCAGACACGGCTTTTACCTTGACTGGTCATCGTATCGCCTATTATTACGGTTGTAGTATTTTGAGCGTTAATTTGGTCCGCGTACTCAACAACCCATCTTTAATCTGAGATCACTTAACAATCACGATGAACCCAGAAGAATATGTCTTGTCTGATCAATAAAAAAATTTCAATAATTTCGATGTGATCGCATAGCAAGAATCATATCTCAATACGATCCGTCATGTAATAGGTAATATCATTTTGCTAGTTCCGTGAGTTGTACCGGTAAAATTCTTCCCGTTGAACGAGACACTGCAAATACTCTAGGTATAACTCGCCGTCATGATACTACCTCGTGTGCTTGAACTCAAAAACTGAAATACCTAGAAAATATTCGGAGTCGTACGAGAACTGTTCAACGTCTAGTGAAAGAAAGCCTCGTATAAAATGACGCGAAGGATTGACCCCTCATTATTCAGCGACTCCAACCGCTTAGTACCTGACAACCTCATCAACCTCTTCCGTGTGGATGACAGGACGGTAGTCAAACTCTGTGAGCCAAATCGTCTTGCAGAAGCTGAGGCTCTTCGGTATGTTCGAAGTCATACGAAAGTCCCAGTTCCGGAGGTCTATGATTCCTATGTGGACGAGTCCATAAACCGCGGGGTAATTGTTATGGAATATGCTGAAGGAGACGTCCTTCGCGATGTTTGGGAAGATATGGATGATGAGCACCGCGAAAATATCATAACGCAACTGAAAGGATACATGGATGAGCTACATCAAATCAAAGGTGACTTTATCGGCTCTGTTGACGGAAGTGCTTGTGAAGACCCGGTTTTTTGCGTCGAACTTGGTGGATTTGGGCCATACGATACCGAGGACGAGTTTCATGAGGGCTTGATTCGGGCTATGAAATTATCACAAGAGAATTCTTGGGCGGACCACATCGCCAAATTCATCAAGGCTTTACCCAGCCACGACATCGTTCTTACACATTCGGACATTTCTCCACGAAACATCATCGTGCGAGACGGACAGGTTGTTGCCATTATCGACTGGGAGATGGCCGGCTTTTACCCTTCGTATTGGGAATATGTGAAGGCCCTGTACTATCCAGACTGGGAGAGCCGTTGGATAGCAGAGGGCACGGTCGACAAGATATTGAAACCTTACTATCTAGAGCACGCTGCACTCATGCATCTTCAAGAGCTTCTTTTCTGATGAAAACAATAGATGAATGAATATTCGAGTACATACATCGACCAAAGCAACCAGTGCCAGAGGCAAACAAAATAATGAATAATGATAAAACCATGCACAGCACAGCTTCAGAAACAACACGAAATACAATAAAGCTATCAACAAGAATCCATGAACAAAAAAAAGCAACCAATGAACCAGAAAATGTTCTATACATGTAAGCCAAGAGGAATAAGAATCCAGAGCAGACACAGTGAAACGATAATTCAGAATGCGGCAAAGCATCTCAGCGATATTGTGATGTAAGGCGACTGCCCTGAGATCTACTACTGAAGACACTACTTCCTCCATGACTTCCACTGCTACTTCCATTCCCGATGGAGCTGCCGCTTCTACTTCCACCAGAAGACCCCCGACTGCCGGACTGCTCGAAACGCGAAGGCTCTATTTGTCTCTCAAAGTCGGCCATTGTTCCTGGCGGCACCAGGTGCTTTATTTCTAGCTGCCCAAGAACTGCTGTCGTCCAGCGTTGGCACCTTTGCAAAGGCACCGATTGAGCTGCAGCTTTAACTTTGTTGATTTCACTCGCCGGGATGGTACTGATGAATCTCTTGCCGGAAAGCCCGAAACTGTTGAGCCTTTTGTTGGCTTGGATTTGAAGAGTGTAGCCTCGGGTCTGGGTTGGTCCACCAGTGACATGGTACCAGGTACATCTGTCTGTGCCGGGGATTGCAAGCATGAGGATCCAATGCAAGGTATCATTACCTCGACGATTACCAAAACCAACATATATATCGAGTGTGGAAGACATTGGAGTTCCTGACAGGCTAAGAGGTATTTGACAATATGAAAGGCTGAGGGAAGATTTGAGCGGTTGGGTTATCGGTATCAGAATTGGAAAAGAGGGAGGATGATAACAGTGACCTTTTACGACCTCGGAAAGAAGTATACAGGATCGCCTTGTTTTATACAAGTTTGTTTATCATCTATGACAGTAGATTTCATATCTTTCAATGACCTTTTACGCTGATACCTTCCATGTTTCAAAATCGATGTTCTATATTTATTATGAACTCCAGCGCCTATGCAACATGAGTCTACATCCCCCTATCACGTTAGATCTATCGCCTGTGCCAGCAGTTATTGAAAACGAATGTAGTCTAGCAATTGGCTGACCAGAATACATTCATTGTTCTGAGCTCGAAGACTTTTGCGACGGTACCAAACTGTCGGTAACAGCGAGAACAACTAATTGGCTTGAGATATAGCCAAGGACGACTGTCATCTTCGTGCTGCCTGCCTTTCATAACTAGAAACCATTAGGGCTACGCGAATCGCTCAGCTCCAAGTCGTTGAAGGCTGGCCTATCGATCGAAAATTCGCCACATTCAGTAACGAATAACAGTCAAGGCTTAGTCATTCCATATATAATTAAATACTAATAATAGCAGATGGTAGGGTTCAAACCTTGTTGTTTTCAACATGTTAGTGGCGGCAAGACGAAAAACTGGCGCCAGATGAAACAGTGTCTATCCCTTGACCTGGGGTGGGCGGCTAACTGTTGCTCTTGTACATGTATCTTTGGCAGCACATACCTATTCTAGTGTCGTGATCAGATCGAAGTAACTGCTTTCCAAAAAAAGAAGAAAAGAAAAACTGCACTTCTGGGACATTCAGTGTACTATTCTCCCGTTTTTACATAGATCTTTGAGTATCTATAACCTCAAGTTGGTAACAACGCTGGACTGCACTTCTAGCAACTACGGAAAGAAAGTTACTTAGATTGGGGTTCCGAGCTAAATTATTGCCAAAATGAACGGAAAGAAAAAGCCTTATTTTATCCCCCTTACCGTCGAGCCATCAAGTTCCCAGCATACACATACATTCATCATCCTTCACGGCAGAGGTAGTAATGGCGAGCGATTTGGCCGCGAGCTTCTAGACTCTGCCAATCTACCCGCTCGTCTACCTACGGTCAAGTTCGTCTTTCCCACTGCTTCAAAGCGCCGATCGACCGTTTTGAAGAAGATTCCGATCAATCAATGGTTTGACAACTATAGCTTGGATGATCCGAATCAAAGAACGGATCTACAAGTCGATGGCTTGATGGAGACGGCAGCTTTCTTGAGAGAATTGATTAATTCCGAAGCACAAATTTTGAGCGATGACTCTACCCAGACAGGGTATCGAAGGATTGTCCTTGGGGGACTGAGCCAGGGATGTGCAGCTGGCATTTTCACTCTGCTTGGTGGTGGAATTGGCGAAAGTGGGAATGAGAGGCTGGGAGCTTTCTTTGGGATGAGCGGGTGGTTGCCGTTTGAAAGACAGCTGAATAGCATGACGAATGATAAAGAAGGGGAGGAGGAAGATGCAGAGGAAGAGAATGACCAGAATCATAAAGAGAGCGTTTCCGATGAAGAAGATGAATCTGATGATAGTGAAAGTAGTGATGATGACGAAGACGAGGAAGATGACAATCACTCAGAAAGCGAGACCGATATTGTTGTTTCGTTCGGTGATGCAGAAAGTGATGCATTTTCGGCCAATATAGAAGATGAACTCGCAGCTTTTGACCCATTTCAATCTGAAGCTCACGAGGATTTTGAAAGGGCCCCTCGCTCTGGTATCGTAGATACCATCAATCACGTCCGCGATTTACTGGACTTGACTTCAATATCTAGTACAGAATCTTTGCCAGCTTTAAAAACCCCAGTCTTTCTTGGCCATGGATCCGCCGATCCGAAGGTTTCTGTCCATCTGGGCGAGAAGATGGCACGGCTACTGTCGAAGAAGTTGAAAATGAATGTCACATGGAAGGCTTATGAGGGATTTGGCCATTGGTACAAAGTTCCTGATGAGATTGACGATGTTTTGGATTTTCTGAGCGAGAAAATTGGATTGCCGATTGTGGATGCCAGCTCTTGATCAGAAAGGCTCACAATTTACGATGAATGCATGGATAGCTACAAGAACAGTTTTGTGCTTAGAAGTCTAGATACTAGCGTTCCAAGCGTTTAAATTAGGGAATCTGAAGTGAAGTTGAAGCAAATAGCTATGTTTCTAATTCAAAGAAAGTCCTGGCTCCTCTTGCCGAAAGTCCCGGAGAATCTGTGGGATCAAATATAATTGACTAGAGAAAGAAAGCAGCCATCATGGCGCCGAGGACACCTGCAACACCAAACTGGACTCCAATCTGGCTTGCAGAGCCAGATTCAGTGGTGAGACTGCCAGTGGAAGTGGCAGAGCTATCAGAGCTCTGAGACGAGCCGGTTCGCTCGGCATTGTTGGTGTTAGAGTCAGCAACTATATGGCGATGTATTAGTAAATTTGTTGTGGAATTTGAAGGAGACAGGGATAGTGGGTAAACACGTACTTCCAGTGCCAGTGCTAGTGGCGGTGGCCGTAGCAGACACATCACCAACGAATTTAGAACCAGAGGCAGTAGCCTTGGTCGCAGCAGTTCCGGTGAAGAACAAAGAGCTAAAGCAAGCCTGCTGACAGCTGGCATAGGCCGCGGTTTCGTCGGCGGTACCATTTCCCTGAGGACAGGCAGCTGCGCATTCGGTGGTCTCGTTTGCCATAGAGTTATCGGGGCAAGGGACCTGGTAGCATGCAGCGTTACAGCATACATCAGTAGGGTCGCCTGTAGTTATGCAGATATGGTCAGCTGCGTCTTGATGTGTCTCCTTGGAAGGTGCACAACGTACACTTTGTTGCGCATGACTGCTGAGGTGTCAACGAAGTGGTTGTCGAAGAGGCATCCTGTGAGGCAACCAGAGCAACCAAGCCAGTAAGGGCGACGATATTGAGCTTCATCTTTGCGCGTTGTTTTTGAATGCACTGGAAACACAGTAAATTGAAAGGCTAGTGACAGGTACCAGGGGATATATTCGTGGAAAAGAAAGCGATTGGCACACGACAACAGTTGATTTCGATCTGAGTAACGGATATAGACAATCAAACACAATGAATCGAAAGAGCTTGAGGGAAATAAATGAGAACCATGGTCAACCCTGACATGCCTATGAACCCTTGGCAACTGTAAACATACAGACGTATCCTTGCTTCTCACATTCCATCAACGAACGTGGCCAAGCCGGTCGTCCTGCCTAACCAAGAAATTCCAGATAGGCTTGACTGTGGCATTTGACATCACTGGAATTCTTCGGGTGGATACACAGACAAAATTCTTCTAGACCGTACAGTCTGTACGATGAGTTGGTGTGGCCAGCAGCCTACCCTGTTTACAACATGCTTGAGCCAGAGCCACCCTTGGCCTTACCTACGTGTATCAACTTAGATTCAAAAAGAATCCCGAACTAACAGAAATTCTGAGCTTCTTCGATTTTCCACCATGCCCGTAAATATCCTTGCACTCCGGGCAGAGGGGACTTTCAGTCATCGAAATCCATGAAAATTTCGTGGTCTCAAGTAATACGTTTATTCATCCATCAAAAATATGCAAAAACCGAACAATGATGCAGAATAGCTTCGAACTAACCGCCGAGATAAATTGAAGAGGTTAAAGAGGTTGAAGATGTTGGACGGGAATTAACACTTAAACACCGCTATTCCTTTTTGGGAATGACAGTTATTAAAGTCACGTGCTCTCGCGACGGATGACGCGCCTCCTCTACAGTCGTTGACGCCAAATCTCAACAATGAAATCACAAACCACACCACAAGGCCAGCAGGCCGCTTTTGAGCCAGCACACTGAAAGAAATGCCGACCGATTTCAGTGACTCGGAGCTGGGCGACTTCATTGTAACAAGCCAGGATACTGTTTCTGACTCTCCGAGGAAATATGCGGATTCCACGCGTCCCTCGAAAAGAAGGCGGTTGAACGATGACGCTATAGCGCGAAAAGCAGCAGATGGAGCGGACGGAAGTCAATCAAGCGAATATGGATCTGACGACTGGGACGATGATCTACCAACTCCTCGGCATCCGCTTCGAAAATCTGGATTTGATGAAAGCGAAGAAGAGCAGACTTCGAAATATAAAATCTACGTGCCGAAGAAGACAATAAGTGTTCAAGAGAATACATTCGTGTCGCAAACACAGCCACATTCGAGTCCATCGCATATTCGAGGTCCTCGTTGGAAAAAACCAGATATACCCGCCCACGCCGTTCAACAGGTGATCACTACGCAAAAAAGTGCCGGCAATGCCACCGGAGACGATGATGACGATCTGCGAGCGGCGATAGAAGCCTCGCTACATTCTTTTGAAGAAGAGAGTATAATTCGATCCCCCATTGGTCAATCTGATGACCCTGTGCAAAGGGTGTCGAACACAACACAAACGGCGGCTGGTGTACAGCCAGAGACGAGCTTTGATCTTGATGATATCCCAGAAGATGCTTTCGATTCGTCTCCTTCTTTGTCACCTCAAGCCGGACCTCCGACATCAAAATTCTCGAATCGGCCGATCCAATCACAACGAACTAATCTCCGACAGACAACACTCTTCCAACTAGCTACACGAGACTCGACTMAAGCAATTCGTAACGTGTCTCCGCCGCCGAGAGATGAGCCACCAACACATCATAAATTAGTGGAAAATGAATTGGATACGTGGGTATATCCGATTAACATCGGCACGGTCAGAGACTATCAGTTCAACATCTCGCAGAAGGGATTGTTTCACAATCTTTTGGTGGCTTTGCCTACTGGTTTGGGAAAGACATTCATCGCTGCCACGGTCATGTTGAACTGGTTCAGATGGACAAAAGATGCGCAGATAGTTTTCACCGCCCCGACAAAACCCTTGGTCTCACAACAAGTCGCCGCTTGTTTGGGTATTGCCGGTATTCCTCGCTCTCACACAACTCTTCTGACCGGCAATGTTCCCCCTGGAACTCGTGCGGAGGAATGGCAGACGAAGAGAGTATTTTTCATGACACCGCAGACTTTGATCAATGATCTCAAGACAGGTATCGCCGATCCAAAGCGCATTGTCTTGTTAGTCGTCGACGAAGCTCATCGGGCTACTGGTGGTTACGCTTATGTTGAAGTTGTCAAATTTTTACGACGTTTCAACCAAAGTTTCAGAGTACTGGCACTTACTGCTACTCCTGGTTCTACTGTCGAGGCAGTTCAAGCCGTTATTGACGGTTTGGACATAGCCAGAGTGGAGATTCGTACGGAGCAGTCTTTGGATATTAGAGAGTATGTACACGCACGTAATGTCGACGTACAGACTTTCACAAATTCGGAAGAGATGAGTCTTTGCATGGATCTTATGTCGCAGGCCTTGCAATCGAGTGTCGACCAGCTTCGGAACATGAACGCTTACTGGGGACGCGACCCGATGATGCTGACTGCTTTTGGTCTGACCAAGGCACGACAGCAGTGGATGGCATCTGATGCAGGTAGAAACGCAAACTTTGGGCTGAAAGGCAAAGTCACTGCTCTTTTCACCGTGCTTGCGAGTCTAGCACATTCCATCGACTTGCTGAAATATCATGGCATTGTCCCGTTTTACAATCACCTAGTGTCATTCAAGTCGAATACAGATGGCCAGAAGGGCGGCAAAACTCAGCGCGCTATAGTCCAGGACGACAATTTCAAAAAGCTTATGGATCACCTTCAACCCTGGTGTCGAGATACGGAATTCATCGGACACCCAAAGCTGGGCTATCTGAGAGAATTGGTGCTTAATTATTTCATGGACAATGGAGAAGGAACCAATGGAACTGGAACATCAAACACGAGGGTTATGATTTTCGCTCACTTCCGTGACAGTGCCGAGGAAATTACGAGAGTTTTGAGGCGACAGGAACCCATAATACGTCCACATGTCTTTGTAGGACAAGCCAGTGCCAAGGGCTCTGAAGGTATGGACCAGAAGACACAACTAAGCGTCATTGAAAAGTTCAAGAATGGTACCTACAACACGATTGTCGCGACGTCAATTGGTGAGGAGGGTCTGGATATTGGTGAAGTGGACCTTATTGTGTGTTACGATTCTTCTGCCAGTCCGATCCGAATGTTGCAAAGAATGGGCCGTACTGGACGAAAGCGTGCTGGCAATATCAAATTGCTGCTAATGCAAGGAAAGGAGGAAGAATCATACATCAAAGCGAAAGATAACTACGAAAAGATGCAAGAACTCATCGCTAGCGGCACTCGGTTTGAGTTTCATGACGATAAGTCAGCACGCATCTTGCCAAAGGATATGAAGCCTACAGTGGACAAGCGAGTAGTTGAAATTCCACTCGAGAACTCGCAGGCAGATCTGCCTGAGCCGAAGAAGAAGGGGCGTGCGCCGAAAAGGCCTCCTAAGAAGTTTCATATGCCCGACGGAGTCGAGACTGGGTTTACCAAGGCTTCTCGATTTGGTGAGGAGGGTGGTGATATCCGCAGTATGCTACAAGGAGGAAAGACGAAGACACCGGAGCCGAAGAAGCGAAAACCTCAGCCGAAGATTGTTGAAGTTGTCAAGGTTCCAACCTTCGGGGAAGTAACCTTGACGCCAGACGAAGAGCGCGAATTAGACGTTAGATACCGCAATATTGGGGGCACAACACCTCAATTCATCTGTCGACCACGTAATGACGCTTTTCCAAGTCTGCAACGAATCCATCGACCCACGAAATCGGTACCACACGGATCTTCGACACGACGAATGGTTGGGGCTTTGCAAAAGATGGAAGCAACACTACCCGACTGCGATGAGAAATATAACTCGATTCTTGAGGGCATCCGACGAAAGGCCAGTACATTACCGACAAAAAAAGTTTCAACTGTTTCCAACAAGAAGTCAAGTAAATCTATAACATCTGACACTCCAAAAACCACGAAAAGCAATGCAAATCGACGAGTTAAAAGCCCGTCACCTCCGCGCCAAATGAAGCCCCCGCTGCCTGAATCCCCCTTGATGTGTACACCATATGCTAATGAAAATGACGAGGATAACCACAACCCTTTTTTTGTCTCTCAAATCAGTGGCATGGATGCGTCAGATGTTGATTTTCCAGACATCGAAACACTCGCCCAGCAAGTTGAATCTAGAAAGTCCAAATCCAGACCGACAGTGTTTGATAGTGATGACAATGACGACGATGATGGTTTCGATTTCTTCAGTTAATGATCACACTCTATTTATGTTTCTTTGGCACGATTTCTTGGTATCTACAACCTATCTTGGGCTGGGTCAGAGGCATGTAAATATCTTAACTACAACAGCCTTAGAAGCTCAACATGCTGCTCAATTAAACATGTTCACTAATGCTGTAGTAAATATACAAGATAATTCAATAACACAAAATAATTAAAAAATGCAAATAAATACTTCAGGTCTTGTTTCCATAACCCTGACGTTTCTATCTTCTCATTTATATAACTCAGACGAATTCTTACACTAATCATACATTTCATTCCTACATGGGCACATATGGTTTATGCAAATTCTTACACCAATATCAACGCCCTCACATATACCCTCTTTCACTGGCGGGATGTCGCATAGAAGTCTTTGGATCAATTGTTAATCAAAGACTCGTCCGGMTTCTTTCATCTAGTCACAACCTCTATTCTTCATTGGCAATAGTAATCCGTTTTGTCCATGTGGATGTCATCCCACGCTTGGTAAGTTTGAATGAAACTTCGCTCACTGTAGGTACTCTGTGCCTACCGTCGTCTAATACCGTTCGAGCTAGGTATTCTGTCGGGGCAGTAGGACCACCACCATCACCACCCAATACGTGGGTTGTTTCCGAATGAGGAGTGTTGTGAATTATATTCTTATAGATTGATAGATATTTATTTAGTATTTTTATACTTTAACATTCTACATAACTGAAACAAGCGCATTTTAAGACATTTACAAATAATATTTAAGGGCGGCTGAGCTTGCTAAGAAAAGCCGCGGATCGTCTCCAAGTCTCCGAGTCCCTCAAGCCATGTGTTGTTGTTGCTTTTGCAACTCACAGCTCACACCGCAAACATGGCCGACACACAATTCGACAGCGCTCTGTAAGTTCTTTTATCCTTCTTCTATGAGATGTCATGACTATGCCAATTCAATTTGGAATGATTCGCGACTGCCTACATCTTCAGCTTCCCCATCACCTACCCCGCGTGTTACTACTACAGCTTCGTATGAATTCCTTCAACTAATACCAGCCCAAAGCGACCTCCTCCGCCGCCTCTCCCCGCGCGACACCGGCAAGAACTTGCAATCAATCACAAACCTCGTGCCCGACCTCACCGAAGACCTCCTCGCCTCCGTCGATCAACCGCTTGAAGTCCGACGATGCCTCAAAACTAACCGCGACTACTTGCTATGCGACTACAACCGCGATGGAGACAGCTATCGCTCGCCGTGGAGCAACGAGTTTGATCCGCCCATAGAAGATGGCACGGTGCCCAGTGAGAGGGTACGTAAATTAGAGGTTGCGGCGAATGAGGCATTCGATGTTTATCGGGAGCTGTATTATGAGGGTGGAGTGGGGAGTGTTTATTTTTGGGATTTGGATGATGGATTTGCCGGGGTTGTCTTATTGAAGAAGGGTTTGTTTTGCACCTTCAATCATGATGTTGAAGGGCCTTGTTGGGCTGACGATGGTTGGTTTAGGTGTCACACCCGGTGGAAAGAGCTCTGGAGCGTGGGATAGCATTCACGTCTTCGAGGCTACCGACCGTGCTCGCATGACGCATTACAAATTGACCAGCACCGTGATTCTACATTTGTCGAATGAGAGCGATGCCCTGGGAGAAATGAATCTGAGTGGAAACATGACACGACAAGTCGAGGCTGATCTGCCGTTTGAGTCTGACGCCAGCCATGTTGCAAATGTTGGTCGTCTTGTGGAAGATATGGAATTGAAAATGAGGAACTTGTTGCGTGCGTTCTCTAACCTTGAGCTATGTGTCTACCGAAGAAAACTGACTAGTGAACAGAGGAGGTCTACTTTGGAAAAGCCAAGGATGTTGTTGGGGATCTTCGAAGTGAGTTCTCCGCCTTTGCATAGTTGATACTTTGCTAACTTTCCATGCAGGCATCGCTCCTCTTTCAGAGACAAACCAAGAAAGAGCCGCTCATCGCGAGATGATCAACTCTATGAGCAAGAAATAAATGCGATGCACTTAATCACGAACCACCAACTTCCCCGGCTTGTTTCTGTGTCTAATACTGGCCATAGCCTGCCCCTGTAAATAAATGAGACTCGTCTTTGGAGAAACATGTTATCTGCACTGCAGCCATAATTCCCTCGTGCCGTCATTTCGAGGTGCGTTGTACGATTGTTGTGTCCGGAATAGCGATGGTACCCAGATAGTGCCCAAGCTCCAAAAGATGTCATAGTTATTTCCAAGCAATATAGGCCGGTAGAGTGTATTAATCGTTGTTATATAAACTCTCAAATGGTGTCACGAATCGGTATCCATCGCTTCACTCTTCGAAGAATCATCTCGAGCTCGATTCAAAAACTCTCGTGCAGCAGCCCATGATTCCGCCTCTTTATCTTTTCCTACAGTATCCTTGCGACTATTCAGCCAGCTGATCTCGAGAGGATTGAACGTGCCCGCGGCTGTTCCTGTGCCACCGGCCCCCGCGCCAGTCGTAGTAACAGTGTCATTTTTGAATGACACAGTGGTCGCAGTGGACGACTCGGCCTCCAGTATTCCCGCTTCTTCTAGCGCATAGACCTGCCGTCTCAGTCGAACATCGATCGACGATAAAAGCGAGAAGTATTGTGAGGTTGAATCCTTGAACGCGGCTTTGCGCTCGGTGACTGTGTTGCCGGTTGTGGTTCCAGTAGATTTCGCGTTAGTTAAGGCTTGTATGGCTAGACCAGCGGAGTTGACAAGTTTCGCGATGTCCTAGATTAATAAGAGAATAATTGTTAGCTCTCATTTTCCCCTCGAGAGACCTCGCGAAAGAGATGTGTACTTTGTCAATTTCATTCAACTGCCTGATCCGATCGGCGGATGAGAAGGTCTGACTGTTTGGGGTAGACTCATCCATACTGACTTGATCTCTGCGACTAGATAGTCGCCGATCGGAATACGTTGCTCAGCTGTCTTGTATCGTTAAGAAAGTAATTAAATGTTAGAGAAGCAAACATAATCACGTGCGCTCATATCGATTGGGGAAATCTCCACTCAACAGATTAACTAAGCCACATATAGTCTAGCGCAATATCAAGAAGGCGCCTTCCCGGTCGCGATCATACAAAGTCTCTCCATCCTGGGACCTCAAAAATCCATCTTGATAGACTTCGTTTCATCTCACCATTGTTCAAGCTCATATCGCCCTGATTATAATTCTCACTACTAGAGAGTTATCCGGACGAAACTCAGCAGAGAGGAATTACAAGTCAACATGTCCGCACCTGGCGGTGGTGCCCCCAGCCCTGCGCCGCGCAGTGGCAGCATCGGCCCCAATGCCTCTATGCCGGTGCCTCAACAGCAGCCTATCGCTGCTAACCCACCGGTAGTCCATACGCCTACGACTCCTGGTCCCTCGGGGCCTTCGCCTGCGCCTGTTTCGCAGCAGAATTTGAATCAGATTGTAAGTTCATGTTTGTTTCGTTTTAAGTGTCTGTGCCTCTGTGCCTCTGTGATGCATGATTGGGTGATCGGATTGGTGTGTTCGTTGTGGACAATCTGGAAAAGTCTTCTCGCGTCCATGAGCTTGCCTCTTGATCACATACCGGTAGAAGCTTTGCAACGTATTCTGCATCGTGAGACCCCATCAGTGGATAGTCCATTTGTTAGAATGCTTGGCATGTACAAAAGGGGATCGAGGGTGAAAAGGCTTCCATGTGCGATTTCAATATGGTAATTAATTACCGGGTATGCTCTATGGGGAGGTTGCAAGGTCACCAGGGCTATCTGTTTGATGTGGTGGTCATCGTATGTGCAAAGCGGCTGTATGCCGAAAGGCCGACAGGATGCCGAAAGGGCGACACGACGAATCACATGCTTGTGACTGGTCAGACATATGTGTCGGGAAACAACCAGAATCAGTACCTTTGTATCAGGGCCTATCTGTTTGATGGTCGTCACCGCATGCACAAAGCAGCTGGGTGGTGAAAGGCAGCTAGGAGGAATCACGCGTTTGGTGGCTGTACACATGTGTGTTTTTTGGGGGTGTGCATGGAGCTATCCAGAATATAGGACTTCTGTACCTGTGTATATTCTTTTGAGGGGCCCATGGACGCGAAAAGATGACTTGGCCAGCATCTCGAGTTGTAAGGCACGCTCGTCAAATTCCCAGCAATCACACTGTCAAAGACTCGTTTCACCGGACGACACTTGACATTGATGACATATTAAGACTCAGATTCAAGGTCTTTGTTTCTCTTATTGAGCTCTTCTACTTTGAATGACTGACATGCAACATACTGTTACACGAAGCTTCCAAACCCCACAAGCATTTGACCTTTGCCATCAAGCTAACACCTGGACATGCATCATGGACGAAACAGAGGCACGACCAGAGGCACAGACGCGTTGATTTGCTTGCCTTATATTGACATGGACTAATCTTTTCATCTAGGTCATCGACTACTTAGCCAAGAAGGGTTACACCAGAACTGAGGCTATGCTTCGTATGGAATCTGCGAGTCAAGATATCGACGGCAGATCTCTACCTCAACTTAACGAAAACCAACGACCAAAGTACAGGAACGGATTTGGTATGTTATTATATCCCGTTCATGATCAAGCTTCGCACTAATAAATATCAGACCTACTCAAGAATTGGATTGAAGACAATCTCGACCTTTACAAGGTAGGACAACTGTCTAATTTAGTCGTTCACTGTCGCTTACCATGAACAGCCCGAACTTCGACGATTACTCTGGCCTCTCTTCGTTTATTCATTTTTGGACTTGGCAACCGCTCTCTACCCTCAAGATGCAGAACAATTCTTTAGTGCAAATAAGAATCTATTCCTACCCGAGCACAGCGAAGATATTCGATCACTGCAGAAGATTAGCCTGCCAGAACATGTCCAGGACAACGCGACCGCAAAGTTATACCGAGGAAACAAGTACCGCGTTATCCTAAGCAACCCTGCGTTCTCAAACTTGATGCAATTTTTGGAAAGCAAGTCGAAAGAAGGAGGCGCTGTTATGTCTGCGATTCTCAGCAGTTACTGCAGTATCGTCACCAAGGATCGCGCAGCCGACGAACGCTTCAGTTTCGCAGCAATGCTGGGTCGTGCTGATCAGACGACATTTCCAGCGGAGGATGAAGGCATACCTGGGCATCATCCTGGATCTGCCTACACCGGTGATAACCCTGCTATGGCCGGTACACTACCCAAATTGCGACTTGGAAAGCTACCACCAGAACCAGAACTAGAAAGCGATGTACGCGCTGAGCTTGAAGAACACGATTCCAAGAACCCACCTGCTCCAGGTCGCAATACACTTGTTCAAGAGTACGACCAGATGATCAAAAAGGAAGAGGATGATGATGCGCCTTCACATGCTGAGATTGCATATCCTCCATCGACTGCTCGTGATGTTGCCATGGAGGTGCAGCGCGTCAAGGAGAATCGTGATCGTTTTCGCATTGAGGGTCGCACTGGAGGGGTCGGTGTCGCATGTTCTGTCTGTCTCTTCACGTTTCACAATACTTATGATCGGTAAGTTTTGACAAATATCTATTTTCTTGCTAGCCACTAACTTCCGCAGAATGATTTGCACCGATTTTTCTGATGACAACATGCTGGTTGCTGCGGGTTTTGAAGACTCGTATATCCGAGTTTGGAGCCTTGACGGCAAAGCTATCAAGGCTACCCACGAAGGTGTAGAAGAGCACACAAGCACACCTTCCAACTCGAAACGTCTCTTTGGTCATTCGGGGCCTGTTTACGCCGTCAAGTTCGCCCCATCAGCACAACGGTCAGAAGGTGAAATGGCCCCAACAAATGCTCGATGGCTCCTTTCATCTTCAGCGGACAAGACCATCCGACTCTGGTCACTCGACTTGTGGCAATGCATGGTTGTATACAAAGGACATGATCAGCCCGTTTGGGATCTTAGCTGGGGTCCGTTCGGTTATTACTTTGTGTCTGGTGGCCATGACAAAACAGCACGATTGTGGGCCACTGATCGAATCCGGCAGCAGCGTATCTTTGCAGGCCATGATCAAGACGTTGATTGTGTCTGTTTCCATCCAAACTCTGCATACGTTTTTACTGGAAGCTCGGATCGCACAGTTCGTATGTGGGCTGTGACCACTGGAAATGCCGTGCGTATGTTTACCGGTCATACTGGCAACATTACAGCTCTTGCCTGCAGTCGCAACGGCAAGCTGCTTGCATCGGCCGATGACCACGGATCTATCTTCTTGTGGGATCTAGCACCCGGTCGTCTGTTGAAGCGTATGCGTGGACATGGTAAGGGTGGTATCTGGTCTTTAGACTGGAGCGTGGAGTCTACCGTTCTAGTCTCATCAGGCGCAGACAATACTGTGCGTGTATGGGATATCGCACCACCAGCAGCCGAACTATCAACCAACGCAACACGATTGGCCACCGATACTAGCACTGGCGTCAAAGTTGATACCAATACGACTTCTTCCGCCGCTCAACCTTCTGCCACGGTAGGACCTGGCGGCAGCAAGAAGAAGGGTAAAGAGAATGTTGTAACCCCTGACCAGATCAGTGCTTTCCCCACGAAAAAGAGCCCGGTGTACAAAGTCAAGTTTACAAACATGAATTTGATTGTTGCTGGAGGTGCTTATCTTCCATGATTGTCACTATATCTCTCTTCATTCCAGATCTATTCATCGGAGGTGCGTGGCGTTCTCGGGGTTGGTTTTTTGAACAAGACGCATACATGGGGTTGCGCGAACTTCTTTTTTTTCCCTGCGCCTTCAAAAATGCTCGTAATCACAGTTGCAATACCAAAAATGTTTCTTGCGAGGTTCTTGTATTTAGCTAGATATCTAATACATAGAAGAGTGATATCAACGATGACCTATTCTTCGAGATGCGATATGTGATAAGCTGATAAGCAGCCAAATGTGGAGGAAAGTGGGGGATTGCCCTTGCTCGCCACCAATCGCCTTATTTACCTCAGACAACATCAACATCAACACTTCCATCCAGCTCCATCAATCTAGGACCATTCACAGATAAACAAATGCAGTAGCACATGGACAACATGAGCGACCTGCAAAAGGCCTTTGTGAAAGCCAAACTCGCCAAATACCCGCCCGATATTCCCATCTTTGACGAAACGGAAGAGGATGCGACGCATAGGAATGGTGCAATCTTAGAAGAGGAAGGGGACGAGTTTGACTCGTCGTCGACGTCTTCCGCGTCTTCGGCGGGGACTGTTGTGCCGTCGCCTTCGAGGAACTTATTTGCGAAGCCGAATTCTATGTATATACTTGACCTGTGGGCAACGAGTTTGATGGCATTTGACTAATGTAGATTTTAGGCTAAGACAGCGCACCAACTCGACAGAGTCATTGACATGGAGAGACTTTTTTTCGCGCGAACTATTTATTGAAAGAGATACAGATGATTTACATATTGTCTATCATGCATATATTACGCCACCTACTGATTCAGGGCCTTTGTTTGTGATGCATCACGGGGCAGGTTCTTCCGGATTATCATTTGCTGCCTGCGCATCAGAAATCCGCAAGATTCTTCCCGAGGCCGGGATTTTATCTCTAGACGCTCGTCATCATGGTAGTACTACACTCGAAACGAAGGATGGCAACCCGGCACAACTGGACTATCGTCTCGAAACTTTGAGTCAGGATCTTCTCGCTGTTATTCGAGGGACACAGACACAGATGGTCTGGGAGACATTACCAGATTTGGTGCTCGTTGGCCACAGTCTAGGTGGAGCTGTTATTACTGATGTTGCCAGAGGCGGAGAACTTGGGGCGAGGGTCCTTGCGTATGCAGTTTTGGATGTTGTTGAAGGTTCCGCGATGGATGCCTTGCAGAGTATGGATACTTATCTATCGACTCGACCTACGAGCTTCCCTTCCCTATCGTCGGCTATTGAGTGGCAGTACGTATMCCTTCTTTGTGTATTCTCGAGCCAATCTAATGATGATAGTTTCCGCTCTCGAACAATACGCAACACCACCTCCGCCCGAGTCTCCGTTCCATCATTACTGAGAGAAGAAGAAACTCCCTCCGACACATCCCGCCCCTGGGTCTGGCGTACAAATCTAGCAGACACGAAACCCTTCTGGGAAGACTGGTTCAAGGGCCTCAGCAAGAAATTTCTCGAAGCCAAAGGTGGCAAATTATTGCTACTAGCAGGTACGGACCGACTCGATAAAGAGCTCATGATTGCGCAAATGCAGGGCAAATACTCGTTGCAGGTCCTGCCTCTGGCGGGCCATTTTCTTCAAGAAGATCAGCCGGCCAAGACGGCGAGATTTTTGGTTGATTTTTTCAAGAGGAATGATAGGACGCCGTTGGTGTTGCCGCCCAAGGTGGGAGATATTATGGCATCGAGGGCGATGGAGAAGGGCGTTGTTAAAAAATAGATGAAGTAGACTATAAGATTCTTGAGATGAGTAGGACGTTTTTGAAGAAACATACGATGTGTGGCCTGAATCGTAAGGCATGATGATGATATCCATGACGTCATATCGCAGTCGTGCGAATCGGGAAACTGCATCAATTTCAAGCTTTCTCTTCTTTTTGCAACACATATAAAACAATCCCTGTCGATTTTACTTTCATCCACTATATTCATGGACTCATGAGCAGTTCACAGCATCCTGATTTAAGAGACAGGAATACCTACACCATTCTCCAGAAGATTTTCCCGCCACGACTTCATCCCTAGAATACCTAGGTAGTCAACAATATGGTGTCCGTGTGGGGAAGTAACCGGAACGAGCAACGGACAACAGAAGAAGGAGAAAGACATCCAGAGCAGCAATATGAGCATCAAGAACCCGATGAGCGTACACGATTAATACCTCGAGGTGCTCCGAACGAGGGGTATCTCAGTCCTGACGATCCAGCTGTTAGTCTCACCACCACTAGTTTATATGCACATTTTCTGACCAAAAATATATAGGTATCACCATACAACCTCTGGAGCGTCCGCGCTCTCCGATTCTTCAGTTGCCTCTTCCTCGCCATCAGTTTCGTCTGGTGGGTGTTCCTCCTCGTATCCATCTTCGTCAGTCCACCATTAATATACACTCGCGGCTCCGGCTTCACGGATTTCTCATACACAACTCTGACCGTGGGAAACTTGATTGTGAGTTTGTTGTTTTTTACGATTCCGTCAAAACCAATGATTATGTGGAATGTGGTGCTGGCGCTGTTGTTGCTGGTGGATATGATTATTATTGTTGCGGTGCCGAGGATTAGGCTTGAGGAAGGTTGGGTCGGTATTGCGTCTGTTGTGTGGGCGGTTTTGATTGCGGGGTATAATGTTGCGCAAATATATTTCGTGGAGAAAGGGAAGGAAGAGGAGGAAGAGAGACTAACAGGACGCGTGGAGACGAGACGCTCGCTGTTCGAGTGGGTGTCGGTATTTGTTGAGACGATTGTGTTGGGTGTTATTGCTCTCGTGGCTATCTTGCTTACTGCGACGCTCATCTTGCGTGCAAGGGATGCCAGTCTGGAAGTTCCCGGAAACCGGTATCTGGTCAACAACGACAAATTCGAGGTCCATCTCGCATGCGTGGGTAATATCACCGACTCAGGCAGCAAGACGCCTACCATTCTAGTCGAGGCCGGCGAAAGGCCATCAGAGCATTCACTCTTACCTTTCATTCATAACGCATATCGTAACGGCACGATAGATAGATACTGCTACTGGGATAGGCCTGGATTTGGATGGTCTGACAACGCTCCTTCACCCCATTCAGCAGGCATGGCTACCGACGCTTTTTCCGAAGCACTTGCACTCGCTGGCGAAGAAGGGCCCTGGATTCTTGTCTCAGCTGGCGTTGGCAGTATTTACAGCCGCATCTTTGCTAGTCGCCACATTCGCGACGTTAAGGGCTTGTTCATGATCGACCCAACTCACGAGGATCAGTTGCAACAAATTGGACAAGCAGGCAGAGGCTTCGTCCTTTGGGGTCGCGGTATAATTTCACCCTTGGGTCTGGACAGACTGGCTGGCGCAATTTTCAAGGGCCGCACACGCGAAGATCGAGTCTATGGCAAAGTCTCTTATCAGAACGGGAAATACATCAAGGCCAAACTACAGGAGAACCTGGTCGCGGAGAGTCTGACAGCCAGTGAGATTGCCAGCGCGAAAAACATTCAAACACCTGATACGCCGTTGGTGGTTGTGAGTTCCGGCGTGGAAGTACGCAAAGACGAGAGATGGGCGAAACAACAGGAGGAGATGACCAAGGTGACAGACAATCTTGTGAGTTGGGATGTCGTAAGGGGAGCAAAGCACGAGGTCTGGACGAGTTGGGAGGGAAGAAAGATTCTGGAGAGGAGATTGGGGGAGATTGTGAAACAGGCTTGATCTGATTTGCAGATCGATTGTGCTCTTATGTTTTGTAATACTTTCTATCTTCCCTTCTCTTTTATTGCGACGTTGGACATATGCAAGTTTGATTGGGACTATTGACGACGTTATGAGATATTATGACCATGGTGTTTATGTCATTTATCATACTTTTGGCTTATATGCTACGTACTTAGTTAATAATGAGACTGTGCTCAGTACATTACATATTTTTTAAGGACATTAATCGCTATCAGCTCATTCACTCAGCCAAGGAGAGGAACCGAATGAGACCATGAATGAAGCTGTAGCAGATAAAAACAATGAGCACTATGCTCACAATGTAAAATCAAGAGACAATGTAAAAAATATCGTGGAGTGCTGTGGTTATTATATCCTTCTTGATCTCCGCTAGCATCATAGTTGGGAGGTATAGAAATCGGTATATAGGAGTTATATTTTTTTTCAAATATGCTACTAACATGCTCATGCTAAGATATTCACACGAATAAAATGTTCTTCAATATATGCTTTCACAGGGTGAGCATCTAGGAAATGGATGTATAGATAAAATCCAGCCAGAACCAGAACACATGAATTGGGGGGGTGTGGGGGGCGGAATCTTTAAAAGCCTACTGACACAGTTCCTCACTCGTCAAACATTCTTGAAGGACTCTGCTCATAATAGGGACCAACTCCCCACGTCGAATAGCCCGATACAATATGCTAGTGTATCCGCCAACAGTCGGCGCCTCCTTTCTCTCATTCGAGTCGATCACGTCAGAGACAGGCGTCACGATCCTGCCTGTGCACAAAAATGGTATGCACAGGGACTTCCGTACATATTCATATATTAACCTCGAAGCCGTTCCTAATATCGTGCTAGCATCCCCGTGGTCCAAATAGACATCACGATTGGAGACCCATCCTTCCTGGAGCAGGACGGTAAGCTTCATGATCAGAGACTCCATTTCTTCTAGCGCCGAGGATTCCAGTGGGCTAGTGAGGTAGTCGATAATCGGGACACGCAATGATTTAGCAACTTGGACGAACCGTTCTTCGGTGTCTATTGCTACTGTTTGTTCAAGGCTTCTTTCAACATGGGCCCACAAGATTGTTAGGAGGGGTGATTCCTTTGGTTGAAGATTGAGATTTGCTTCTAGGGTGCTGACTAACATATTGAACCGGGCTTGTACACTATCTAGGAAGAGTAGGTGCATAGCGCGTAGGTCGAGAGCCTGGCATGCAGAAAGGATATGTGCAGCGGCCAACTCTGTTAATATCTTTGCAGCAGTGGCGGTGTAGCGAGCGGAGATCAGGGCGAGGGAATTCAAGGATTGATTGCCCATTTCGGCGGTGTAAACATGGTTGACAGGGGCAGCGAGAAATCCTAACTCTGAAGTGAGGGCGGAAATATAAATATCAATCGCCTTGAAAATTCCCGACTTGCTAGGGTCCTCGGCTACAAGATTCGGTGGCAGTCCCCAGCTAGTGGCTGGATTGATCAACTCCCGACACTGCGTGAATATCATGCGTCCAATGCTTTGGATCCCTTGACGGCACTTCTCCATGGCAGAGGTAACGGCCTTTGCCTGAAAATTACCCCCGTGGACAACTTTGCCGTCGTTATCAATGAGGGGGTTGTCGGTGACTGAGTTACACTCAATAGTAATCTGCTGGTGGGCCAGGAGAAGGTCCTCTAAGACTGGGCCAATCCATTGAGCCGCGGTGCGAATGGAGTATCTGTCCTGCCGCAGTGTGCCGTCCTTGCCGTCTTTGATTCCCGCCAGTTTGGAACCTCTAAGGAATGCATTAATATTTCTGGCGCTCTCAATCTGTCCTGGATGCGGGCGTACTTGACCAAAGAGCTCGTCGAAGCTCTCGGGTGATCCTAGGAGGGCTTCCACAGACATTGCCGTCAAGATTTGTGACAGTAGGGCTAGTTGGTGCATGTCATGAAGGACCAAACTAGCCGCCGCCGTAGAAATAGCAGTTCCGTTGACTATCGCAAGACCCTCCTTTGCCGTGAGAGACACAGGCGGCAACCCTGCTTTTGCTAAGGCTTCATCAGCATATAAATCTTGCTTTTGATCTGGTGAGAGAACCCGGATGGTCCCTTTGCCTTGTATAGCCCCGCTAATATAGGCGAGAGGGCTCAGATCACCCGAAGCTGATATGCTACCGCGGATCGGGACCATGGGAATGATATTGTGCGTGAGAAGCGCGTGCAAGCGTTCAAAAATCACTGGACGAATCCCCGAATGGCCCTTGATTAGCGAATTCATGCGCAGCAGGATCGCAGCCCGGACCCAGGTCAACGGTAAATGGTAAGACTCAGCAGGATCCTCCCAGGCCAGCTCAAACCTCGAAAAAGGGCCTGCGGTGACATGAGAGGGTAAAAGAGGGTCGCGAGAAGCGGGCGACAAGATACCGTAGCTGAGTTCGCGAGTTAGTGTTCTTTGCAAGGCCATGATATCACTAGGACGAGTATCCGCTGAGCCGCCGAACCCTGTATTAACTCCTGTAGATTTTGGTTCAAGTCAGATCCGCTACGTAATACCGTTCTCAGATCAGAGGTATAGCAACCGTATATTACATCGCCTTCAGACAAGTTTCTCATCAGCATGGAGTGGCTACGGAGTGTAGCCTGATACGATGATGAGTCAATCAAAATGTTCCCAGCATGTCTGCGGACAGGGAATCAATCAGCATTGTATTCATGTATAAAAACGGGTTTGTCCAACCGCGAAACAAAGATTATATCTGGAATCTCGAGATGCTGTCCATCAAGAACCACGTTTGAGTTTACATTCTGAAGCCAATAGTTCAGTTGTCTCCATTGATGTACGAGCAGAGAGGTGTGGAATTCATATGATTTGATCATTTTGGGGCAGCTTTCAACCGCGATCGTTTGCTATATATGTTACATATGAACGATATGGAAATGATGGAATGAGATCAAAGAATAGATGGGGTTTCGCTGAATCCATCTAAAGCTGGTACAAACGCCAGTAGAAGCTACTACGTGGTAGGTACTACCTGACTCTAGAAATAAATCGAACATGGGGTGTGGGTTTGGACAATAACGTGCCAACATAAATTCGTCTCGTAACTGTAGTACATAGTTTCTGTCACTAAGAGCGGCCGCATCATAGATAAGTGTAAATTGAAAGTTATTTCCACTTTGTAAACTAAGTTTTGCCACGTCCCCAAACAGCGTATAGATAAACAGTGCCAGAAAGGGTATAAATTACGCATGTTCTCTCTCATCTAGTCTAGTATAAATCGGCGACTATCTGTTCAATTTATACTCGCCGAGCGCTCCGGAATCAACCTGCCACCACTAAGGGACCCTGTTTGAGCCAGGGTCTATGTTAGACTGTAATTTACGACCGGACTGATCAATTTAAAATAAGAGCTGAATGATGAAAACAAATGCGAGTCCCTGTGAAGTTCATCCTATGACAATTAAGCACGTCCCAAGCTAATCTTCACCCCATGTTTGGATTCCAACGCGATGCCATTACCCTCCACCCAATCACCAGGATCTTCACTCCTTATTGTTGGAAATTTCTGAAGCATCCTCACTAGTACGTAGGCTGCCTCATGCAGGCCGAATTCCACTGTAGTTGTATTAGACTGGTTTTACCAAAAGAGAAGAGGTTGGGCGTGACATACTCCCGACACAGTTGCGAGGACCCCCCATGAATGGAATGTATTTCTAACATTAAAGCTCACGAGTCAGTATTGATTGCGTTACGGAGAGAAGGGACCGCACCCAGGATTGCCTCTCGTAGTCCCACCGTTCTGGACGGAACTCTTCGGCATCATGGCCCCAGAGACCCTTGTCACGGTGAAGTGCATATATGGAAAAGTGGACCATGGTCCCCTTTCTCACGAAGACTGGGGATTCTCCGCCTGGCCCTCCCCCCTTGGGCAAGATGGTGTCTTGCACAGCAATTCGCGAATTGGATGCCTGAGGTGGGTAAAGGCGAAGGACTAGGTAAGCATCAGCTGACCGACCCTGAGATAGAGTGATGACAGGCTCTGCTCCTACTTTCTCGTATACAATCACCCACATAGCGCAGTTTTTTGAGCTGGTCTATGCTCGGTGCTTTACCCTCGAGTGGCCTCACTTCCGTGCGCAAACGATCCCATACGGCTGGCTTCTTCGATAGTACGAAAAACAAATTGCTAAGCAACGCTGCCGGCGCATCTGTGCCAGCAAAGTAGAGAGTAGTCAGCTCATCTTGAATGATCTTTCGATCCTGCGACCGTTGAGTTAGTTGGTCGATAAACAAGACTCGTGGGATGCTCGGTACGCTCGACGCCCGGAATGATGGTGAGCCTCCGCGTTGAAGAGCAGCATCCACATAATGTTGAATAAATTGGTGCGTTATACGGACGTTCTTCATGAAAGTGGGTTGCGGCCAGAAGACGGCCAAATGCCCCAGGAGCCATCGAAACTCACAACCAGCGTGTGTATCGCCGAAGGCTTTCAAGGCACCTGTTTCGAGATTGTGAGGATTTCGAAGACAATCAATTGATTCACCAAATAGGAAGTCAGTAGAAACATCTGCAGCAAACCTATGTAGTAATACAGCCATATCGAAGGCCTGCCCATCCGGTGGCAGAGCCGCCAGGAGATTCTGAGAGTGATGCTCCAACAACGCAGGTTGAGATATCTCGACCCTCGTGAAGCATTGCTGTAATTGTGTGCGTAATGCTTTCCAGCGCTCCCCGTCACTTTGAAAGATGCTGTTGCCAAATAATGGTTTGAATGCATTTTGACGTCTGAAGCCGACCTCGTAGTGAGAAAAGTTGGTAGACAACAAGGATTCGAGGTTTTCGGGCTCGATAGTGTTTACTACCCAACTACCTAAAAAGAGGGACAAGTATGTCTTTCCGTAGATATAATGAAGCTTTTGCTCTCTGTCGTGATATTTTGCTTCCTTCCTCGCTTGGATGGAGGCATGCAATGAATCTAATCCGAAGATAAAGTCTTTGTGCGCATACCACGGCGGAGATTGACAACCGAGGGATCTAGTCAATTGAGAACGAGCGACAAAACGTGTGAAGGCCAAAAGCCCAAAAGTCGATATGATGACAACTAGGAATGATAGTAATACCAACTCCGAAGTCGGGCCTAGCAACTGGGAAAGCATTGTCTGGCAGTAGCCTCGGGGCGTCCGAGCTGAGGATTGGTCTTCGTAGGGAACAGGCTAGACTTTATGTAAATTGAAAGCAATAAACTTGATGCTCGCCCAGTTACTGGTTTGTCTATTTATTAAATACTCGTAGCAGTTTGACTTCGTCCGCACTGGACAAAGCATTCCATGGGCCATGTCTCTTTTACAAGCGAGCAGGATGACGTGGTCTAAAGCTGGCTATAAATTCAAGTTCTCGACTATCCCCAGCACTTCAATGATGGTCTTACACCCAAAGCGATCCAAATCTTCCAGCAGTATCACCACCACTTCCGACAAAAAAAATTACACTGTACTTCCTCCGCGTTATGGTCCGAATCCCTCGAATCCTAGTTCTTACAAAAATGGGCCATCGGAACTGGATACACAATTCTGGTATGAAACCGTGGGAGCGGCAGTGAGAACACTCATGGAAGGTGCCAACTATGATCCTGCCAGAATTGAGGCAAATCTCGCTTTTGTTTCGCAAAGCGTGGCGCCTTACTTGGGCCAACGCCCCATCCAAGGCCAGGTTCCTCCATGGAGGAGCTTCATGACTGATGATTTCTCCCTCCTGGAGTACAGTTGGAGCTGGGAGAAATCGCATCCAATCATCCGATACAGCTTCGAGCCTATCGGGCATATGGCCGGTACTGCATTAGATCCCTACAATCACAACACACCCATGCAGTGGGTTGATCACATCCGCCACAAGTTTCCCTCGGCGGATTGGGAGTGGTTTAATCACTTCGCGGGTGCTTTCTACCAGGATCCTAGTCCTCCAATTGGAGGCAAGGCTGGACAACTCCTCGGCGATACGACGAAAACGTCCAGCCCGTCATCCATATTTGTTGGTTTTGATCTTGGACGCAATGGCTTAATGGGTAAAATGTATCTCGTCCCTGTAATAGCAGAGCAGACTGGCCAATCGCGATTTACTATTCTCAATGACACCCTGCGGACTCTCCCGAATTGTGGTGAACTACTTGCCTACAGACACCTCGATCATTTCTTACGACTCCGGAATGAGACAGTCCCGCTGCAAATACTCGGCGCCGCGGTCGATTGTACTGATCTGGCACAATCCAAATTGAAAATTTACTTTCGGTCGCCGGCGACGACATTTGCAAGTGTCAAAGATATACTCACTGCTGGAGGCACCATTAACTCCTGGGATGATCATCAATTGGGAGAACTTCGTGACCTGTGGTTGAAGGTCCTCGGTCTCCCTTCTGATTTTCTTGAGGACATGGGGCTCTCAGACACGACTCACGAGACTGGCGGGGKCTTGTACAACTACGATATCAAACCAGGTAATGAGCAGCCGGAGACCAAGGTGTATATTCCAGTCCGGCATTACGGCCAAAATGACCGTGCAATTGCACAGCAATTAGTAGACTTTCTCCGAGCACGACTTGGGCATGAAGAAAAGTACTACCAGAGCTTTTTCCAAGTGCTTGACAATTTGTCTTCTTTTAGGGACTTAGGTCAGGGATGTGGAATGCAGACATATATTTCCTGCGGCATCAAGAACGGGAGACTTTGCATCACTTCGTACCTGTCCCCGCAGATCTATCATCCTAGCCGGTGGTTGACGGCGGAAAAGTGACTACATTCAAAATTATGCCCCCTTTATACCGCACCGTTACATACTTAGGTATGTTGGTTCTTTAGCCTTTTGCAAGGTAGATAGTGGTAATTTGAATACCATGTATTGTAACATACCTTCTGGGGCTAACTGTTAAGAGTCTTTCAATGAATCAGCTTCGCGTGTACGCATCTCCTCCAAGCCGCTAGCTAATGACCGGAGATCCATGCCCAAATTCGAATTCACGAAACCGGCTTCCCCCCTCCCCAAATGCGACTTCACGCCAGGATGGTGCAGATGCTGCAGGTATTACTAAGAAGACTACGCATACAGGCTGCCTACACAATACACATTTCGCCCCCATCCTCATCATTGATTTTCATTCTCATCCCTATCATTGATATTTGCTGATAACATTCGAAACTACCAAATCTAATATTCCTGCGGTGGAAAATCATCATATCCCGGTATATCATTGATACACACCTCCTTATAAATTTTTTTTTTTCAAATGATCGGTACAAGAATGATCATTATTACATTTTGCTCGCGCATCTTTTAGGATGTTTGACCACAAACTTGGATAAGAAGATGTCCAGTACGTTGACAACAGATAACCCTACATACTTACACGAAGACGTATCCTACCGTCTCATTATTGCTACCACCATTATTCTGGTCGTCAGCACAATCCTCGTCTGCCTACGTCTGTATATCCGCACTTTACCATCTATAAAATCCGGTCCAGAGGATATCCTGCTCATACCAGCATACCTTCTTTCATTAGGGGCATGTATAACCGGCTATTGTAAGTTTCCAAGATCTCTCCGAGTACCAAGCAGTCGTGCTAACCCTCATTACCAAAAAGTGGCAGTCACCAAAGGTGGCGCCGGCCATCATGTTGAATATGTTGTCATGAAAGACCCCAGCGCATTAGTTGCACGGGGCAAAATTCTCTTCGCATTAAGTTGGGTATCCGGCTTTTCCAACTGCTTCTCTCGACTCTCCGTTCTCATCATCTACTACCGGATTTTTATAGCCCCGATAGCACGGGCTTGTATTATGATTATGATCGCATACATGATTCTCTTCGTGATCTCGCAGTCCATCACAGCGGCGATCGAGTGCAGACCTCTTTCACATTTCTGGGATCAAACCGTCCCGGGGACTTGCATTGATCAATTCCTCTTTTACAAGCTGAGCGGAATCTTGAATATTTTAGGCGATGTTGCAATCATGGTATTTCCATTATATACAGTATGGAATATGCATGCTTCGCTAGCTAAACGTGTGGGAATTGCACTTGTTTTTCTGTCAGGCAGCGTGTAAGTCCTTCCTCTAATTAGCTATGATCATATTGCAAGTCATAATACTAGGGCAGTGGCTTAATTGCGTCGTGTTTTCGGACTGCATCATTCTTTACCTCAGCTCAGCAGTCCGCAGAGGATCCTACGTGTGAGTTTCGTCTTTTTCTAAACTTTCTGTATCGATTTTGTCTATAGGTGACACAGTCACTGATTGAACTCTTATTCTCTAGGGACTGATGTGCCCCTAATGAGCTGGACCATTGTCGAGAGCGGCATGTACACGGCTGCAGCGAGCATTATGCGTCTTCGACCGCTTCTGAGCAAGTTACCAGTTTGGTTTAAGAGGACTAGGACTACGGAGGAGAATAGTGAAGCATCCTTGAGAAAGTATGGAAGGAACAATGGTACTGCGTTAGACCAGTATCCTGGCTTTTCAAGACATCCTCTGAATCACGGACATATTCCACTTGGGTCATTTGAAAGGGATCTCGATCAGGGGATTGTTGAAGATTGAGCTACAGCCGAGACTTAGCTGTGCCGTTCCTCAATAGTAATGATTTCAAGTTTCACTTGGACATATATTATGAAGCTTTTTTGATTGGTATAAAAGTCAATATGTGAGACAAAGAAACGGGAATCAAATTCAAAAATGTCTCGTCGCCTGATAAACACATGCAAAATCGAGGCGTTTTCAGAAACAAGCACCTCGGAAGAGCAGTAAAGCAGGGACAGGGGTGGAAATAAATTAAACAAGTAGAGTAACCATATCATCTGGTGTTTTTGGCTTTGGGTGTTTGTCCCGTTTTGGGGCATATTAGTTGTATCGTATTCTTAGATAAATCGCACTAGGGCCGCGGTACAGCAGCAATCCTCTTACCTTTCTTTTTTATTCATTGCTGATGCACCTTCTTCTCATACTATTCAGTTGTGTATTTCAGATTGCCTCCACATCCGACATACCCGACTCACACGCAAAAACTTACGAAATGGCACCTAACGTCTTCCCGTTACCGGGAGTCGAGCATGGCAAACGTATTCTCACCGCGGTGATCGAACAGCGAGCCAAAAACGATGCTGATAGCGCCTGGATGTCTGTTCCGGTAGACGAGATGAATCTTTCTCTAGGTTACCGGGACATCACTTTCAGGCAACTAGACAATGCTGCCAACCATGCCGCCCACTGGTTGAGTCAGAATCTCCCCGCTTCTGAGCCGTTTCAGAGCTTCGTCTACGCCGGTCCCAAGGATCTACGGTATTCCCTTCTGGCTGTAGCGGCAGCCAAAGTGCAGAAGGTGGTAAGTAAGAATGGCTCTCATATTCAGAAGTTTGAGGAAGAGTGACCGTTATACATAGATGGTACTTATATCACCATTAGTCACGGCAAAGGCCCAGTTGCAGATTTGTGAAAGAATAGGGTGCACGCTTTATCTCAGACCTGTGGAAATGGCTGCTGCTGTGGCAGGAGKCTTGGATGGCATCTCACATATCCAGACTATTACGGTACCGGCTCTGGATCAATTTCTAATTGAAGAAGAAGCTCGCCCGGTAAACTATCGAAAGTCCTGGGCTGAAGGAAAGGACGACCCTTGGTTGGTATTTCACACCTCAGGAACAACGGGTATGACTTATCGAGACGGCCAGCAGAGAGATACGCTCTTGAAGTAACATAATAACTTTGAGAATAGGAAATCCTAAACCCATCATCTATTCACACCAGATGATGGCTGGTGTTGATGTGGCAGCCTCCCTGGACGACGTCGAGGCCACTCACATTCACCAGTACATGCAACGAAGATGGTATACTCCTTTGCCGTCACTACATGTAAGTCAAGCATCACACTAAATGGAAATTCCATACCCTGATCTAGTCAGTTTGTTGGGATGCTCATGGCACTGGCCATGACGACCTTTCTCCATATGACAGCAGTTATTGGACCCTCTCAGCCACCGTCCCCAGAAACCATCGCCGATGTCCTGCGCTACGGATCCGTCGAAGGTGCCCTGCTTCCTCCAGCGCTCATTGATGGCCTCTGCCTCTCCCCTGCCGGCCTCCAAGCCCTTCGAGACCTAAAATATATTCACTATGCTGGTGCCCCGCTGTCCGCGAAGTCTGGAAACCTTCTTATTCCATATGTGCATGTCGTGCCCTGCATTGGCAGCACTGAAGCCGGCGGTTACTTTACAATTATCCATAACATACCAGATGCATGGGATTACGTTTCCTTTCAGAAACATGCGGGAGCCATCTTCGAAAAGCGATTGGGCAACCTGCACGAGCTTGTTTTTGTCCGTGATCCTAACTGTGCAATGCAGCAGATCTTCTCAGTGTATCCAGACCACGATCGATTTGAGACGAAGGATCTGTGGGTTGAACATCCTACTCACAAGGGTCTATGGAAGATTATTGGCCGGAGCGATGATTATGTTTGTTTCTCTCACGGAGATGGCTTACATGCTTCGCTCCTAGAGCCAGAGATTACGGCTCATCCACATGTTAAAAACGCACTAATTGGGGGAAATGGGAGGCCGGGACCAGTGCTTCTTGTGGAGCTTGTTGAGAGTATAGACAATGTCGGAGATCGCAAGGCGCTGATAGAGGGATTGCGCCCTTACGTTGAGAAAGTTAACTCTCAGTGTCATGAATCCGTTCAAATTTCGTTGGAGAGGATTGTCATTGCTTCAAAGGAGAACCCATTTATTACAACAACCAAAGGAAGCGTGGCGAGATTGCAAACCTTGAATTTGTATGAAGACGAGATTGCTGCACTTTTTCCTTAGAGTTCGATGAAGCAAATATTATCCATCCTAAATGTGAATACGAATTGCAGATCCCACTAGAATGGAGTTTCTGTCATCATACTCCTCGTCTCTCTTCACATATCTGTTTATACATATTCACCTATCCTGAAAAATGGGGTCTAAGCAAGTCCAAGACAGACATGAAGATCGAAGATATTACAGCTTGCCCTTCGGGGCCTCTCCCCTCTTCGTCCCAACTGGCATGCGTGCAACCAAGCTCGCCTCCTTCGATAACCTCAGCATGTCGCCATCCGAGTGCCGACTCCGATACTCCGACCAAAATCTCTCATCCGCCAACCACTCATTAAACCACTTCTGAATCCACCTAGCTGCAGTCCCTGAACACCATTCCACGTTCTCAAAAACAAGCATGTGTGATCCATCCTTTAGGATAGCCTTTTCCACCGTCCCAGCCTAAGCCCCTCCACTGCCGCCCACCCCGGTCCCCGTAACACGCATCTTCGCCTCTTGAGCCTCGGGCAAAGAAAGAAAACTCTTCCCACCAAAAACCCATAGCAGACTTGGCCGCAGGAATGGCAAATTTCTCATCGCCGACCAGCACTCTGGTCGAGAGAAGAGATACGGTCGTTCCTTCTCAACATCCCAATCCGGTAGCAATAACCGGTCCATGTGTTCCGGTTCAAGATTCGGTGTAAAATAACTCCATGCCTCCTGATGTTTTGTCGTCGTTAATGTCACGGCTTGCGGGCCGACATTGGGATCTGAAGGATGGTAAAGAGCAGTCGGGACGTTGCGAAGCGCATATTTGAGGTATCTTTCGCGTGCTCGAGGGTCCCATCTCTTCAACCCTTTCGATAAAGACTGTTTGGCCTGATCCGCACTGGGCCAGATGTCCCGGCGGAGACTGGAGTGGAATCCCGGGTTGGGGCCCCCAAAGGAGGCCTCGAGGATCACGGGTTCGAAGAGGATAAGCGTTGAGAGGAGGCGCGGATGGATTATCGACAGGTTTACGCTGTCTCTCGTATTAGATGTTTAGGGTTAGGAAGTGTACAGGGTGGAAGATAAGCATACAGTTGGGCGCAACCCATGCTATGTGCCACCCCGATTAAGGGACGAGGCATCTCGTCGCGAAAATGGTTGATCATGTGGAGGAGATCACGCGAGTGGTCGTACCAGTTGGCTTTATGTCATAATCCTTATTAGCTCTTTATTCTTTCTTTCAGTCGCTCTGCGAGATTATGGATGGCATAAAAAAGTGGAAATGTACTTTGGTCACCCTGTATATGTTCATTAAGTACTCCGCTTGCTCCCTGGTTTGAGATATCTGCTATCCAGATTCCACGTAGATAAATTCCTTTCTGAATCAATTCGGTATATAGGTCCTGCCAGAGGGGCTCGTAAGCTTCCTTTGGAGAACCATTGCCTGGGGACCCGATGATGGTGATTGCATTATCCGGGATTGGAGAAGGGAGGTCGAGGGGAATATATTGTTTTATAGCGATGTGGTGACGGATTTCTTGTTTACCCTTAGTACTGTGCGGGTATTCTCTGATGTGTTGACCAGGGATTATATGGTCGATTATCTGAAACGGAAAAGACATTGTGGTTTTTGTGTGGATGTTGATTGTATGTAGAGGAAACCCGGAGTGGCTGGAGGGATGGCATGTTGTTTCCAACAAAGAGTTGACCGGGAAATAATATCTGTTTATTCCCTGCTTTCCTTCTCTTTGTGCATGTCGAGACAAAGGATGTCGACTTAGCCCCGCAGAATATGTTGGCCCTAGCTCTTTATATGATCTAATCACCCCGGACTATATTGACCTGAACGACGATATATCCAACTACGCGTAATCCAGCGAAAATGACATGCGGCCAAATTACTTTCATTACTTCCACGCCTCGGTTTCTGTTCGACCGTAGCTACGATCTATGATTTGGATCATTACCAGCACCCAGCAGGATCATTACATCGGACGAACCTTGAAAGAAGTAGCTGGATTAAAATCAGACGAGTCAACCGAAAAAAATATACAGCATCCAAAAGAGAGCAAAAAAAAGGGAAAAAAAGATGTTTCGACAAGGGTGTGATTTGAACACACGCTCCCGAAGGAACTAGATTTCTAGTCTAGCCTGTGAAGGGGTCAGTATATTGAAAGGTGATGAGATGAATTGGATGAAACATACGCATTAGACCACTCTGCCACCTTGCCATATGAGGAAATCAATAAATTGGGACAATATCCCAGAAGCTATAACAAAACGAGCCGAGCAAAAAAGAAATACCTACCGACAAAAGTGCGTGTCTTGTAATAGGATTCTATTTTATTCGGGACTATGTGAGAAGAAAAAAACCTCGTAGTGTAAACAAAAAAAGTCATCGACAAGGGTGTGATTTGAACACACGCTCCCGAAGGAACTAGATTTCTAGTCTAGCCTGTAGAAGGATTAGTATATTGGTGGGTGAAGATTCATGGCGAATTAAACGTACGCATTAGACCACTCTGCCACCTTGCCATGGAAATCGATTCCAAGAAATAGCTACATATTTCGCAGTCTTTACCATCATCGTCTTCTTGCAGGCTACGAAATCTGGCTATAGACTTTAAACGTTTGTCTTTTTCAGGCGCGTTCGAAATCCCAAGAAGCATATTGGCTTATTTAAATGATATATATCTACTTTGTGGGTAGGTATGGATAGATATAGGATTAAATTCTATCCTTGATGCCACGCGGTACATGTATTGAACACAGCTGGAGTAGGTCCGTTCCGAAGATATATATCGATGGTGTATTAATTTCTATATTATCCTGACTCCGATCTTCATCATATGGTTAAAATTATCGTACCCCCCAATCCACCATTTAATTCACACGATAGTACGACACCTCGCCGTAATGCAACAATAATAACCAACTTCGTATGGGCTCTATTCGTTAGGATTCGTTCGCATCGAGGTGGAAATCCTATTGAGGTGCTCGATTTCGTAGGAAGGATGAATGAGGACGGTAATCTATTTCGAATTTCTAACCGTTTCGATACACAGCTATCGGTCCTTACTCTAGACTAGTGCCCTTAAACCTCTTAGCAAGACGTTCACTATCCGAGTTTGGGGATGCGGATCTAGACATGAGATGCCGCTGCTTTGGAGCAAGAAAAGGAGAGGGAGAAGGCGACGATGCAGCCGGATTCGGTGCATTGGGTATCCAAGGGCGTTTAAAGGGGCGCTCACCACTCTCCTGAAGAATTGCGACAAGGGTTGCCCATCCACTAGTGTTCACGAGTTGCATGCCTTCCGCAGGGTCATGAGTGGTAGCCACGCGGTAAAGAAGTTTTTCCTCTTCCTGTTTTCTGTTAGTAAGTGATATATTTCTTTCTCGCAGCTGACTTACCGCGTTGAACGTTCCCAATCCTCGAAGGAAAGCAAGAAGATGAAAGTCGGACACTGCGCGAATGGCCTTGTTCGGGTCACCGTGGGCCACCAACTGTCGCGCCAATGTTCGTAGTTCCTGGCTCTCGCCAATAACTTCTCGGTTCTCTATTGGGAATGTACTGTCCACAAAGGTAGGAGACTCTTCCGTGGGAAATCCGTGTGTCAGTGTAACCAAAAGATATTCCACAGGAAAACTGGGTTTCGCGTTCTCCTGAACGTTGGCGCCATACTCATTGATTCTGCGGTAAAAGACTTCGGGGATATATCGTAGCTTGCTACCTAGATCGTCATCTTCCTCGGACTGGACAAGCATGACGGACGGATCGGCCGAGGCTTCAATGATGTCCGCTCTTACCATCTCCACGGCAGAGTTTGATGCTTGGTATGAACTGACAGCGATGGCTCCGTTCTCGTCACCGCTCAAAACACAGGTGACAAAGTTTGACCCGAAGCGTCCTGTCTCACTCCATTTTGTCGCCTTCGGATGCTGGGCCTGTTGTCGTGAAGCAAACACTATTTCCAGTGATGATAGATAGTATGAATCAACGTGGCGTTTGCAGATAACCGACCCATCCCCTTTTCCAGTATCCAGTAGGTCAGTAAAAATCACGCCGACTCTCTGTAATCCACACAGCCGAGCAACCTCGTCTATTTCTGCTTCATTTGTCCATTCATTAAGTGTAATACCGTCGACCTCATCCACTTGCGGAGGCTCGTAGATCGCCTGCACGACTGCTTTGATACCCAAAGGGACTTCTGTGTATTCCTCGTAGGTGCCGTATAAATAACCCAGTCGCTGGGCACCAGATTTGCGCCAAAAGTCTAGTAGTCCGTTGATCAAACTCGGTGACGAAAATTCCACGTGATCTACCATGCGAAATTCCTGCGGTTTCAAGGTGATGGCACTTGGCTGACATTTCGTACATATACCCTCGGGCCACTGTGGATGTCCAGATGGGCAGTCTTTCTTGACACGATAATATGGTTCACTCAGCGGCGGCATGTACGAGCTCTTCAATTCCGGTTTATTCGTCGATGAGTTGATCTTCCGCAGATACGAGTGAAAGGAGAGGTGTTTGATCTTCTTCTCGGCCAGATATTCCGGAGCATAGGGTTCCAGCGGCATGCAGTAGTCGCACATACCCTTGGGTCCATGTCTGCACATCTTGATATCTCGAGGTCGTGGAATTTTTCCATCTTTCTTATCCAAAGCGTTGTCAAGGGCGGACTGCTCGACGACTTCCCATGGATTCTGAATAATGGCAGATGGCGAGGTCGGTCGTGGGGGTAGAGAAATTGTAGGTTGTTGAGGTACGGCAGCTCCGTTGAGGCGTCGCGATTCGGTCGTGACTCCAGCAGGAGGTCGTGCGCGTGCTGCACCGTTCGAAAGTGCAGACTTCTCCTGATATCCTAGAAATAGTTTGTCTCCGTGACTGACGACTATCAGTATCTGTTGTTTTGGCTGGTAACACAAAAAGCTTACGACAACCCAACTCTCTCTATTGAGACGCCATCCAGACTACTTAATAAGCGCTCCTGACCACCGACACCGATGGGTTTATTCGATAAAACGATCGAGTTGGGGTCTGTGTTTTCGGGAAGATGCTCGGCGATCTGATTTCATTTGTGGTTAGTTGGCTCAAGATTTTGTGTGCTGCGGCATGCATATACCTTTGCACTAAGCTCGGTAAACAGCTCTGATGGGTTGACCGTTAACCTGAACTGGCCATTACGGCTCTCGAAACGAAGGACTATCGGCCTCGAGGGGGCCATGGTGGGTGGTTGGCGGTAACTGGGCGGGGTGGGATGAGTAGTGTATCTGAGAGGAAAGTGAGGTAGAGTGTGAGATAGTTGTTTGATACTTTTCAGGCCATATTAAGTCCTAGATGAAAATGAGAACAAAAGATAGAGGGGCGTTATGTTCTGCAAAGACAGAATGATTGATCATCAGTAGAAGGAAGGAAGCAGCCCATAGCTCCAGAGAATCAGTCGTCATAGGCCGGGTTCTGAACTAATCCTAATTCGGATTAGCCACCAAGCTTCTTCCATGGACTTCTTCTGCCAGCTTCACCCAATCTCCACGACTACTTTCATATTCCTAGGTACGCTGGGAAAAACGAATTGAACGTTTATATATTTATTGTGGTATATGGATATGAAAATACATCAATCGTTCAAATTACAACGCATTTGGCGGGMAATCCACAGGGGCCTTCCTTATCCTCCTTGCTATCCTTCTTAGCCGGGGTTTGCGCCGGGGCAGGGCTAGGCTTTGTGGTAGACTCCTTTGCAGATTGCGCTTCTATTTTTTTCTCGGGGGTGCCATCTAGTCACTTGCTGACACGCTCGTAGAAGGACTTGCCCTGGATCTCGGCGATCTCCAACTCCAAAGCGCTGGGTTGACGGCTACCGTCAGAACCGGCCTGTATTCCGTTAGCTGACATTCATTGCGTCCACTGTGAGCGTAAAAGGACTTACGAAAGTACCGGCACCCCAGGGGGAGCCACCGTGGACCTCAGAGAGGTTGGTGAGCTGACCGAAAGCAGTCTTGTATCCAAGAGGGATGAAAGAGAAACCGTGGTGAGCCAAAGTGCTCATGGCAGCAATGGCGGTAGATTCCTGACCACCACCGGGACTGGCAGTGGAGATGAAGAGACCGGCAGACTTGCCCCAGTAGCCGCCAGAGGCCCAGATGCCACCGGTCTTGTCCCAGAAGGCCTTCCACTGAGCGGGGAAGTTTCCGTAACGGGTGGGGATACCGAAGAGGACGGCGTCGTATTGGAGCAGAGTGTCAGGCTCGGCGATGGGGTAGTCGCCTTTGGGGGGAGCGTACATCTTGGTCAAAACCTCCTGGGGGAGAGTCTCGGCGATTCTAAGCAGTTAGCATTGAGTGGCCGCTGAAGTTTTCAAGGATAGCACGAACTGGTAGATGTCGGCCTGACCACCGGCAGCCTCAACACCCTTCTTCTCAGCCTCGGCCAACTTGGCAACGTGGCCATACATGGAGTACTGTATCGGTCAGCTGGTATGTCGATAGGTATCAGATGTAGAATTACATACGAAAACGATAGCGACCTTGGCCATTGTGATGATTGGGTATCAAACTTCGCTTAGTGAAATAAAGGGATTACAATTGAGCTGATATACTGGATAAGAGGAGAAAGGGAGTCTAGACGAGGCGGGGGCAGTGTTTATATACCTTCGACTGAGACCAAAGAGGAGCTTCTCGATAACAACCCCACCACTGCCTGGAATGTTATCAAGACGAGTTCTGATTGGTTGTGTAGACAGGCACGGAAGCTTACAAAATCCTTACAAAGCACTAATCTCTTTTGAGACGCAGATTATCGAGCGATATTTCCGTTGGTTTGCTGCTTCTTTTGACGTATATCCGCGTTGCATGCAGATTTTGATTTCTAAGACATGACAATCATGACCAAGCGTCATTGCGCAGCGGGATAATTACTTTAGCCTTTAGGGATCGCCGTATTAAATAATCATCGTTGCATAAAGATGATGCTAAAATGAAACAAAGGGCTTCTATGTTTATTTAGAATGGCACTTTACGTAATGATCATGCTTAATCTGATAATATTCAAGAAATCGACTTCTAGATACAAACGCCAAAGCTACCCGGGTATATCTATGCATATCATAACATCCAAATTAAAAGACAAACTACATGCCTCGACCCCGACCTCGTCCTCTGTACCGCATAAACCCACCCCGACCACGCTCACTCCTCCATTGCTGCTGTCGCTCCTCTTCCCGCTCCTGTTCTTCTCGGATCAGAGCCCGCTCCCTCTCCAAATCTTCTTCCGTCTTCTCAACCCGTATCTGCGGTTTGGGCAGATTGTCCGACCACCGTGCATGAGCACCGTGTTGGCACGATCTCCCATCAGGACAGAAGCCAGCTAGATAAAACGGACACAGGCTTTGACGAACATGCTGCTTTGCGCAAATAGGTCCTAGTGGACAAAAGCCCCGTTCGTAATGTTCACAACGAGGTAATCGAGCCGTTTCACGCACATGATGATATAGACAATCCTCGCCGTTGGGGCAGTATCCGGAGCGCGAGAAGGATGCGCACTCGGGCATGCGCCGTAGGTTGTATTCGTGTAGATATTCGCATTTGAAGCCCTTCTTGCACAGACCCTTGAGGAAATGTTTGCAAACTAGGGAGCCGTGGGTGACGGATGGCGCGAGACCGGATGCGTTTGTGGATGATGTTGTCACTCGAGAAGGCGTGGGATGGCGGTCGGGACAGGTTGGACCAAGAGGGCAGTGGCCTTCTTTGAAGGCTTTGCAGACGGGCACGTCGGTGGCGAGGCCGAAGCCGAATGTTTTGCGGAGGTAGGGGGTGAAGGAGAAGTCATAGTGGGGTGGTGGATGGGATGCGTCGGCAGTGAGCAGCCGGTTTACGACTGATTGTACGTCTGTAGCCATGTTGTAGAGATGAGTGTTTGTGAGATGATTAAAAGTGAAGATCGAGGAAGCTATGTCAGAGCTGTTGGTTAGCTATGACGCTAAGCCGTACCTGGAACGGATTTACATACTTCCATCCGCCGAATATCTAGGGTTAGGGTTAAAACTATATGATAATTTGTACCACGTGACATCAAGGGTTAACATCCTCTTTGTTGCACCCTTGTTGACAAGCCTAAATACCTCATGAATGTCATACATTACAAGAAGTCTCTGCCTAATTATTTCCCCAGATTGATGCTGGCATTTCACGGTGACAGGCGACAGCGCCTGCCGTCTAACCGCTTTGGCACAAGTCCATCCTAGTGTCCAGACTAGCTGCAGACTCAGAGTCTCAGTGGCCAGTCGTAAGATCTTAACGACTCGTATCCGTGGGGTGCATGGTCCTACAGCGACTACTACGTAGACGTCTGGAACTGACTTGCAATGACCTTGCGACGATGACTAGGGCAACCGACTATCGGAGCGAGAACAGAGAGAATGATGCGCTGGACTTGTCGTGTGCTGTGTTCCCTATCCAGAGTATGAGCAGTGAATTATCCAGGCAAGCGCGCAAAACGAACATCAGCTAATGCAGGTCATGGTCCAACCCCGCCCCAAACAAGTTCACCGTGGTGGATTCATTGGAGAAGAAGAAAATTTTTTCGCTCAATGACCTGCCAATCAGTGCGATGCATTATCAAACAGTCTGACTTTTAAGATTTACGACTCGATAGTTATTGTACCAGTTGGACACAGACAGGGCACTGAGGCAAGACGAAAAGGGTAACCCGCTTGGACCGCCGCTCGGCATGCGATTGGGCGGGCGACAAGCAAGAGTATCTCGTGACCTTTTCCTAGCATCATTCCTGCACCTGCTAGCATCTTCATCTCGGACTCCTCTCCCGCCTTCTTCATTCGACTCTGGCCGTATTGGCTACGTAATATCCAGCCCGGATCGGCACGATCTGGATTCGTTTTGCGGAGTGCGCTGCATGATACATGATCTAATCAAATATGGATAGTTAGACGTGTACCTCTGGTCGAGGCTTAGCTGCAGTCGCCCGGCCCCTCTTCTCGTGAGGCGTCGCGTCAGTGTACACTTTAATAGGCTTTAATGGGCTGGTAGTGGATCATGTTCAATGTTCCTGTCTACTCGAATGTATTGTCAAGATCATGAAGCATCGGAGTTGAGTTGATGATGTGGACGACCGGATGTGTACATGGATGTGACAATGTATGTATGCAGAGAGCAGAATAGGAAGAATAACGAAAGCAGAATAGAGTCATTAAACAGAACCGCTGTATACATAGTAACGACGTCAAGTACAAGGCCAGAGATCAGAATACCCACTTCCCCATCTGGGTGCCTGCTTCCTTCCTGCCGCCATCCCAGTCGCCTCTTTCCCTGTGCTACGACCTTTGCTTCTCTTCTTCCTTTTTCTCCTTTTCTCTTCTCTCCATCTCACCCACAACCTCATTGTTCATTTCCTCTCAACGCCGACCTGCTCATCCATCAACTCTCGCTGTATCCCCGCATTCGCCGAGCCGTTGCATGTGGCACCTATACAATGCGAGATCTGCCTCCATATATCGAATACTAATCCTCAGTCATAAGACCTCTGACTGAAAAATTTCCCGAAAGAATTCGCCTCCTTTTATTTCGCCCACAACACCTATGTATTCGTTTATGACCCCATCCTTTTCAGCTCCCAACAATGTCTGGTCAGCACCTGCACTAAACAATCCGTCCTCTACCACGCCGCCGTCTGCTTTTGCTTCTTCCAGCTCTGCAGCATTAGATATTCCGATCTATGCAAATGCCGCTTATTATCCGAATTGGAGGATTTACAAAAAACAAGCTCCGTCCTCGCTAAGGCTGGGGTTTGTTTCTCACGTGTTTTATGCATTTGCTTGGTACGTAGCTACAATAATTCATCTGATATTGCTGATATAGGCTAATGTACGCAGGGTCAAAGAAGATGGAACAGTATATGTAAGTCACTTCTCTTGACGTTCGGATCCTTTTATCTGATTCAAACAGCTCAGCGATGAGTGGGCAGACTCACAGATGCCCGTCGACGGGACAGAGGGGTGTCTCCGCGCTTTCATTCAGCTCAAACAGCAATATCCACAGTTGAAAGTCATCCTGTCAATAGGAGGCAGCGGCAAAGGCAGCGAGAACTTTGCAAAGGTAGCTACAAGTCCGGCGGCAGTTGCAAATTTTGCGTACAGTGCTCGTGCTTTGGTCGACCAGTTCGGGCTGGATGGAATAGATGGTACGGCCTCAGCTGACCAACACAGGTGGATCAAAAAGCTAATACGAGGCAGTCGATTGGGAACATCCTTCGGACATCCAGCAAGGCGAGGGTTTTGTCTATCTATTGTCACAGCTTCGAAACGCCCTACCTAGTCCGCGTTATACTGTGACCTGTGCATTGCCAGCCGGAGAATGGGCTCTGAAATATATCAACCTGACTGTGGCCCAGCAGTACGTGGACTTGTTCATGATCATGTGTTATGATTTCTCGGGACCGTGGCTCGATCGAACAGGGCACCAATCTCAGCTATACACACCATCGGATCCATACAGTGCAGCGGCGGCTGTTTCCTGCCAGTCGGCAGTTACATACATACTGAGTCAAAATGTGCAGTCAAACAAGATACTAATGGGTATTCCAGTCTATGGTCGATCTTTTGTTGGGGCCGACAACGTCAATGAGCTGTATTCTGGGACAGATGGCGATGACGGTGTCTTTGATTACTGCGATCTGCCGCGACCAGGAGCAAAAGAAATTTACGACGAGTCAATTGGTGCAGCATACTGCACAGGAGGGTCAGATGGCGGCTTCGTGTCGTACGACACCCCACAAACGGTGGAACAAAAGGCAAAGTTCGTGACCCATACGAGACTCGGCGGGTTGTTCTACTGGCACATCACGGCGGATAAGCGAGGAGTCAACAGTTTGCTCGAAACAGGGTACAACACGCTTCACGATTTGTGATATAGCAATGATGATCGATGTATAAATAACGGGTCGGTACGATTCTTCAAAAAAAGTTGGTGTGGATGATTATCGTTATGATTATTTTTACACGGAGGCTTTGTGACTCAAAAGCATTATGTGCGATACGAATGCATGCCATGATATACGTATGACATATACCTGGATATGAATCGTAGTAAGATAAAAGTATAAAATTGTGTAAAACCAGATTGGCAGAAGGAGCATATTGTGAGAGCTCACGATGTATACTGGTACAGGTCCGACGAATCAGATCACGGATGGCGTGCTATACCATGCCGATGGCATCACGTGGCTCAATCTGCATCTGGGGTCAAAACGTGGAGAAGCTCCTGGTTTACTTCTCAATAAATACGCAATAGTACGATACTGCTGTAATGAGTCAAGAAGCTCGAGTCCGCAAACGCATTCCGACATCTTGCAAACGTTGCCATCGACGGAAGCAGCGCTGCGTGGGCTTTCCGACTTGTTCTAGCTGCGAGGTCGCCGGCCAACCATGCACTCGAGCAGAGACTGCACCGTCATGGCACCACGCAATGTCGAAGGGAGCGCTGGTGCGACGGATCGAAATGCTGGAGGCGCAGCTGGCTGAACGGCAGCCCGGTGATGAACGGCTAACACCGGCGTCGGGAACTGTGCATCATGCTTCTAGCCCTAAAGAAAACATCATCTCCTTGACTGCTATAATGAGCAGCGATAATCCGCAAGAAAATCAGTCTTATTTTGGACCGTCATCAGGCTTATCCATGGCGAAGAGCCTAGACTGGTTCATTCATGATACTGTCTTGACGAGATCTATCCCCGTCTCAGCGAGCATTATGGCACCTACCGTCGAACCCTTCGATCAGACCGTATTGCACAGAGCGAAACCACCGGGTGATGAGGAGGGATCGAGGCTGCTCGATGCCTACTTTTCAAAGACCCATATTCGCTTTCCCTTTCTAGATCGCGCACAGATTTTAAAACTTCATGCAGAAAGATATCAATCGCTGGAGGATAGCCCAGAGGGTAGTTATAGACAGTTCAAACTGTTCATGGTCTACGCAATTGGGGCTACCGTTCTCCAAATGACTCAAAACCACAACACAACAACAACATCACCATCACCGTCCCCTCCCAGCACGTATTTGACGACAGCGTTAAGTTTCGAATCTAGTCTCCGTGATTCATTCTCGCTCGCCGGCTTGGAGGCAATCATGTTACTGGTTATGTATCATCTACGGCTTTCGTCGCCGTCCAAAGTGTGGTACATGTTGGGTCTGGCTATGCGGATCAGCATTGATCTCGGTCTTCATCGTGAACTTCACTACCGCAATATTGGGCGTGACGAGGCTCAGAGAAGACGGCGATTGTTCTGGAGTGTCTATTTGGTCGAAAGGTATATTTCCTGGTCGCTCGGTCGTCCGTTTAACATAGCTGAGGAGGAGATTGATGCTGGTATTCCGGCTGATCTGGGTGATCACCTGGCCGATGATGATGTTGTTGTTGCAAATTCTATACAGAGTCCACCCGACCCGCATAGTCAAGGAAACTGTTTGCGTAGGTTCATTGCGTGTATTCGATTGTCGCGAATCGCATCCGTCGTTCACACCCGCATCTATCGAGTCGATAGGGACATCTCAACTCTGCTACCAGAGATCGATCCATTGATGAACGATTTGCAGCAGTTCGAGAAGCAACTACCACATCTAGCACCAGACGACGATGACTTTGTGCGTATGCATCTCAATAACTCGGTACGAGTCGTGCTGCAACCTTTTCTGGCAATACTGCCTTCGGCAGATAGTCGGATTCAGACGTGTCTCGCTGCTTCTGGGCGGATGTGTCAGCTTTTCAAGAAGTCAAGACAGACAGACTCTTCGGCGGGACACTCTTTCCTACTAGCCAATTCGATCTTTATGGCTGGGCTGACGATGTGGTTCGTTCTTTATCATTTGAATATTTTGGCTTTCCTGTTAACGCAGATACCAGTTTCTGTCTCTTCCGGTCCCCGTCCCTTTGGTCGATTACTGTCGCGAACGATATACGCGCCTGCTCCTCGGCCATGTTTTTCATGTCAGAACGCAATCTATCTTTGAGCAAGTACCGCGATAGCCTGGAAACTATCATCAATCGCGTCATGGAATTCGTAGACCAGAACCAAGAAGCTACAACCACTCGCCCCTCGTTCGACTTTTTCGCAAGTGTCGTGCAAGCTGGCGGTTCTGGAATTCCTTCTATCGATTCAGAACCGTGGTCTGATTTGGGGGATTGGTTCGGGCTTCAGAATACTTTTGGTGTGCATGCAGATGATCTCTGAAAGAGTAGAAATTCAGTTCATCTTCTCACAATTTAAAAGTTTCATTTAATGTATATCACGTCTATCATAGCCATACAAATTTTCATCGCAACGACAAGTAGCTGGTCACTATTACTGGTGATATAGATTTATAGATGCGCAGGAGATAACAAGTCCACAATTCCCAAATCCTCACGTCTCGACTTACTCTCGGGATCAAAATAGGGCACTTCACCCACACCCACAGCTCGGTTGCCGCTCCTGGGACCGAATCCTTCATGATCTCCTGTAGCTGTATGGAAGACACTTCGATTGTCCCAAATTGCTGGATTTTCGTGGACTGGTTAGTGCACGTTTGTGGAAATGCGAAAATAAATGAAATAGACATACCGATGTCGTTTGGTTGCTGCCACTTTAGTCGAACTTGAAGGTCATGGCCGAATGTGATGAGATCATTAAAGTATTGGAGCATGTTTTGACTTTCTCTACGGCTTAGGCCGTTTATGTGTGTTGCGAAGGATCCTGAATGAAAGTTTGTGAGCTATAATGCCTGGCTGGATGTGGAAGGGTGCTGCACATACCAATTGGGAAAACGGATTTCCATCCTGTAATTGGGTTGGTGCGTACGACCTGCAAAATAAGTGTCAATGGGTGCCCTTAAGGTTAAAAATAACCAAGTTCTTGAGGTATCCAAAAGGGAACCAACCGGATGGATAGCCTCCAAGTCACTTCCCACGTTCAACGGCGATCCTCTCTCCCCGGTATACATCTCAAATTTGCCGGACTGCGCAATCCGCTTGAAACCCTCCCCCTGAAACTCCGCCGTCAGGMCCTCGACAAATTTCCGGTACGGCTTGCTTAGCCGATCATAGACCTCGTAGCCACTAGCCCACAGCGTATCCCCTCCCGTACTCGGTAACTGCGTAAGTCGCAAGGAGGAGAAATCGGCGGGGGCTTTCTCAAATGCAATATCGCTGTGCCATACGGCGGCCAGGCGCGTGTAATCAGATCCCTTGTAGAGCGTCTTGCGGCCTTCGGAGCTGATGGTGCTGATTTGAGGATCTGGGTCGCCAAATTCGCGCTTGTCGTTTGTGACGGGATGGATGTGTAGGCCATGTGAAGGGGGACGGGTGGTGAGAGAGCCCATGCGGGTGATGAGGAGCTTTTGGAGGTCGTTGGTGAGATTGTCCTGGGCGCGGAAGAAGACGACGCCCCTTTCTGCGACTGTTTCAACTCATTACTTGCTGTTACTCAGTAAATTATGAAAGGGTAGTTACCCATCACAGCTAAATCTCGGATTCTTTGATCCGCATCAGGATGGTGGAGGATGTCGTCCACGATGTTGCATGATCCCTTTTCAAATTCGTTCCCAATTACAGGAGTGACCAAGACTGGATTGAAGGTATCCAGCGATCCTGAGGAATGAATTCGGTTTGTTGCACTCATGTTGTCGAGTTGTTCTAATGGTTCATATGGCTGAAGAAGACAACACTTCAATGTTGGAGCTAAACGACACCTTTGTAATGGCTGTGTGCAATGATAAGGTTATATTCACCTGATTATGTGGTCCATCGACCTTTGCAGTTCGGTTTTCAACATCTTTGATTCGAGTCGTTGGCATAGCTGATCGGATTTCGGCGTTAAGTAAGAAAAAACGATGATTGCTACATGGCATGACCGAGGCAGTTCCAGTTTCCAAGCCAACTCATACATTGCGGGATTAGTAATTTGATTGCTATTAATTTGAATTGACGACAAGTGCGTGGGAACCGGCGTTTATACTGCGCAAGGTAGCTTGTTGTCCCTGGCATAGTAAGCTTAACGCCGATATCCGATACAGCTTCAACAAGCCGTCCCACCCACTCCACCTTTGATATTATCGTTGACCTGTTGCAATAACATAGATAGAAAGTCAATAGCTCCAATTCAAGAAGTCGTCATTCAAGCTCTCAATCACGTAGTCAGAAACGAGCTGATATAACTGCATACAACTCGCTTCCCGTCAAGTCGTAGAATAGTATGCTTCTTCCAAAATAACTAAATCCTGAGTTCACTCGGACTCCAAAATCCAATATGTCCGACGTAACTGACGACAAGGAAACGCACGCTATAGGACTTAGTGAAGATGCCCGCGATGACGACCTCAACTTCAACCCGTCGCAGCAGCGCAACATCGTCCACCGGGTTGACCGACGATTGATCGTGATGCTCGGATTCCTGCACATGACCTCGTTGATTGACCGTGGCAACATCGGTACGGCTGCAGTCGCAGGAATGACTAGTGAATTGCATCTTGTTGGGGCGCGATATGTGGGTAGCTACTTCGGTATTCTCGAAGCAAAAGGCATTGCTCATTGACAAATCATAGAACATAATCGCGGTTGCATTCTTTCCAACTTATATATGCCTACAGCCTTTTGGCCCCGTTATGATACGAAAGATTGGTCCTGTGAATTACTTGACGGGCGTCTGTTTTCTTTGGGGAGTTGTCATGGTGCGTTCATTTACCAGAAACATGCTTGAGAAAGGCGATGGCGTACTGACAGATAGCTGTATTCGAGTAGCTATGTGGTGGCTTCGTCAAAGTCTGGTCTCAGATGGTTGGGATTCGGATCATCATTGGCGCATTGGAAGCTGGCTTCTTTCCTGCATCTCTCTATTTAATCGCAACGTGGTATACGCGATATGAAATTCAAAAGCGATATGCCATCTTCTACTTGCTTGGATGCGTTGCTGCTGCATTCACTGGGCTTCTATCGTACGGAATAACATTTATGGTACTACCCCTTTCTCGAATGTGGAAAAGTGCGTTATCTGACGGTGACTACTCCAGCACGGTCTAGGAGGTCTCACGGCCTGGCGATGGATATTCGTCATCCAAGGCCTGCTCACATGCACAATCGCGACAGTCGGTTATTTCGTCCTCATAGATTTTCCAGACAAAATGATGAGTCGCAAGCAGAAACTCTTCTCCCAAACAGAATACGAATTCATCATTCAGCGTATTGAGCACGACCGCTCAGACACGACAGTCGAATCATTCAATCTACGGCGATATTTGGCCGCTGCACTAGACCTCAATATCTGGTTATTCGGCTTCATCTACTTCTCCACCACGACCACGGCATACGCGATTTCTTATTTTCTGCCTATAATATACCAACGCGGGATGGGATTTTCGACGGGAACTTCTCTATGCCTATTTGCGCCTCCATATGCCGCTGCGGGCATTGTGATGTTTGCTACTTCGTGGATTGGGGATAGATATCGGATTCGTGCGCCGCTGATCATCTTTAATGCTCTTCTTACTATAATCGGACTCCCGTTGATGGTATGTCCTTCTTTTGTCTCCTAACAAGCGAGAAAGAAGCTGTTGATTGTGCTAATGGGTAAAAATAAGGGTTTTGCAAAAGGTAATACACCGCGTTTAGTGGGCGCATTTCTGACCACGATAGGCGCAAACTCCAATGTCCCAGCCGCGATGGCATACCAGGTAAGCGGTTTGAAGCTGATATGTTTTCATCAAAGCTGACGTGCCATATATAGGCAAACAACGTCCGCGGTCAGTGGAAGCGAGCCATGTGCAGTGCTGTGTTTGTCGGGCTGGGAGGATCCGGCGGAATGACAGGATCGTTGATTTTTCGATCTCAGGATGCGCCGACATATCATCCAGGGATTCTGACGTGCATTGGGCTATCTGGGCTAATCGTGGTATTGACTTGTCTGCTCTCCATCCGCCTTCATCGACAGAATCTGAAGGTTGATCGGGGAGAATTGGTCATTGAGAATCTCCCTGGATTTAAGTACACCCTGTGATAATGTCTACCACTGCCATTTGACAAGTACAAACCCCCAAAATGAGCGTTCCAGAAACAGTTTGCCCGATAGGATATTTTATGCTCTTGTTAGTTCCAAATATCAAGTTCGGATTCCGTCTTTGCTTGAGTAGAACACATCTAATATAGCTCGCTACCGAATTTAAGAGAAGCGTTGCAAATTAAAAATGTGAGCATATGAGTAGATAGCAAGATATATCTGTATACCCATTACTGAGCCTGACGCAATTCCGTGTCGTCGGCTTTCGGCGATATCGGCGTGGAGTCATACAGCACGCGATAATCTAACTCATGGTATAAAGGGCCCTTTTGGAAATTCTGCGTCTACTCCTTCGATACTCAGATAAATGATAGCGCCGCAAAGCAATGGCACAGAAATTCCACCCCTCTTTCACGGATAAAACCGACTACGAAAGCTCTTCGCGAGGTTTCATTGGCAGCCTCAAACCATGCATTATCCAAGCACCCGATGGCCGCATTGTATTCAACAACGAAAATTATTCCTTCCTCCACGATGCCGAATGCCCTTCCACGTGCAACCCTAAGCTGTGGCGTCAAAGCCAACTCACGGCCATGCACGGCTTATTTGAAGTCACAAGCGGCATATACCAAGTGCGCGGGTTCGATTTGGCAAATATGACACTCGTGGAAGGTGAGCGCGGGGTGCTCGTTGTTGATCCTCTTACTTCTGTGGAATGCGCAAAAGCAGCTCTTGGTCTTTACAGACAACATCGAGGCGACAGGAAAGTCACAGGTGTGATTTATTCTCACTCGCATGTTGATCATTTCGGTGGCGCGCAAGGTGTCATTCCGAATGACATATCGGAGAGTAGTGCAATGATCCCCATCATCGCCCCGCAGGGGTTCATGGAAGAAGCTACAAGCGAGAACATCTACGTGGGCCCTGCAATGAGCCGACGTGCTGTTTACATGTATGGTACACGACTGCCCCAAGGTCCGACAGGACAGGTGGGATGCGGAATCGGCTCTGCAGTATCTACCGGAACGAGGTCTCTGATCCCTCCGAATGACCTCATCTTGAATACGGGGGAAGAGAGAACAATTGATGGCATCCATATAGAGTTTCAGCTTGTTCCAGAAACCGAAGCACCTGCCGAAATGAACTTTTTTTTCACGAAGCATCGTGCCCTGTGTATTGCTGAGTGTGCTACGCACAGTCTGCACAACGTAATTACGTTGCGTGGCGCCTTGGTGAGAGATGCAAAGGCCTGGGCTAAATACCTCGATGAGTCGTTGGTGCTATACGGAGAACGAACAGACGTTCTTTTCTCAGGCCACAATTGGCCGACATGGGGTCAACAAGAGTGCAGCCGACTGATAGCCGAACAGAGGGATCTATATGCGTATCTGCATGACCAGACAGTGCGGATGATGAATATGGGCATGACGGGGATTGAGATTGCAGAGATGCTGACACTTCCCGAGGCTCTGCAAAAGGCGTGGCATACGCAAGGGTTTTACGGGTCGGTGAGCCATAATGTCAAAGGGATTTATCAGCGTTATATGGGCTGGTTCGATGGGAACCCGGCTCATTTATGGGAGTATCCCCCACGGGAAAATGCTAGCCGGTATGTTGCCTGTATGGGAGGGATTGATGAGGTCGTTCGGAAGGCCGAAAAGTACATTTCGGAAGGCGATTTGCGGTTTGCAGCGACGTTGTTGGGTCACGCCATAGCAGCGGATTGCCAACATGAAAAGACCAGAATCTCTTTAGCCCATGTGTTTGAGCAGCTTGGATTTGGCGCGGAGAACTCGACATGGCGCAATTTCTACCTTTCGGAGGCTCAGAACCTTCGAGCGCCGTATGATTATAGCAGATCTCAACGGCAAATTGGTCAAGGATTTAGTAGAAGCCAGTCAGTTGAGCAATGGTGGGCCTTACTATCAGTTCAGTTAGACGGACCAAAGGTCGAAGGTGAAAAGTTCATTATCGATGTTCAGATAAGTGATGAAAAGGAATGGAGATTAATCATGAGCAATGGAGCTTTGACCTATAGGCCAAAGACTACGACATGTGTTGGGGAGACTGCCGGTCTCGTCGTTTTCGTGGATAAGGATTCTTTGTGCCGAATTTTGAATAGACGAGCAGATTTGGACATGCTAAGTTGTCAAGGTGATCAAGAGATGTTGTTAAAGCTACTTGCCGCAACGGTGCCTTTGACAGAGAGCAGATAATTCTACTACAATATCAGGTAGAAACCCAATGTTTTGTCAGGACATCGTGTACTTTCTGTAAAGCAGCAAATAATTGGCTAGTTCGCATTTTCCAATGGGCTGGCTCGCGCTTTGAGGATCAAAGCATCACGTGTGATATAAATTCACAAATGAGATTTAGGTGTGTATGATATGTACGCGGATTCCGACTCGAAGGAGTAGAGGATAGGTACAAGACCGGAATAGGAAGTGACATCACGCATGAGTTTTATATACTCCAGTTATTGTAGATGAACCCAGAACTGTACGACACAAACCATATCTATCACTTACGTCACTCACTCTTTATCGAGGCCAACTGAGCGACGCTCTCTTTTAATGGACTTGCCAACGGCAGCTTGGTAAAAGGTAGTACATAGCCGAAGTGTCAAAGCTCCCAACTGGAGAACATATCATCCATGCTAGAATGTGTATCAACGGGGATGGCCTCTCTCTTCGGTCCTTGATTTCTTCGCTCTGCAGCTGAGGTTGCCTGGAATCTTTTACTCTGAATTGGGGCTCTAGGGGATCTGGCGCTGCCTGTCATAGACCATTAGGCGTTACTCTGAACATGAATTTTCACACTTACCTCTTGCTCTGCCTATAACCGCTTCAACAGCAGGCGTCTCCTCGACTTGAGTGGATGGAATAACAGAAAGCAGCTCTTTAGCGTATGCAGCTGCAACACCCGCAGCATACGGCTGCCATTTCTTATTCTTATGGGAGTCGGCATAGTCACATATTCCTCGTATAACGAGACACGGAAACTCGTTCATCAGGCCTGCTGCTTCCATCTCAAAGCAGAGTACGCCACCGAGCTCCGCGCTGACTCGGTCTCGTTCGGCGGCGTTTCTCATGACTTGGTTACCCGAGGCAATTGTTCCGTAGTGTACGATGCTGATATTTTGAGCACGTCGTGGCCGTTTTGATATTCGGGTCATGTCGCAATGGTCGCATGTGGACCCTCCTACGTGGTCATAATCGGATACGAAGAGGATATCAGGACCTGCATATTGTCTTGTAAAAGTAGGGAGACGATCAAACTTTGCAACATATTCCATAAACCGTTCTTCGTCCCGCATATACCTGGCTTTGAGTTGTGAAACAGCATTTCGTAGAACCTTGGGGGGCGCATTAAGAAAGCCCTTTCTCTGGAAGCCGTTTGGAGTGAATTTCCCACGGTCGTATTGCACTACGCCATTATGCGTCTGTTCCGGACTGCTGACTACCACGTCTCCTAGACGAATGTCTGCATTTGTAGTTGGCACTCCTCCCCCAACGCCGATCATGAGACCAAACCGGATTGACGGGAAGGCGAGTTGGATCTGGGCTGCCACTACAGCGGCCGAGTTTGTTCCTGTTTCACCATCTGGTAAACAGGCGATGACTATGTTGTGCTTGCCAATGCTACCAAAAGTGTATATATTGCTGTCGTGGAGACCGGTAATCAATGCGCCATGTTCTTCATCGAGCATTTCCTGAGAGGCTGCGAGTTCGACAGGCAGGGCACATATCCAGCCTACTGTGTAATCCTCCCGACGAAAGTGGCGTTGCTGGGCCATTTGGTCGGATTATCTTGACGATAGGTCGCTCAGACAGCGGCGATGCTCACAGAGGGGCAATCATCTTCGATACGAGTCGGAGTGTCATGAGGCTGACAGTATGATCTACAACAGAGATGTAAAGTAAGTATCTCGTGGCGCTAGAGCAATCAAGCTAGCTGCCTTACCTAGAAAACTTCTTTACTCATTCATAGATACTGTGTACATATTCTTGCTCGAGCAGACAGTTTACCGAGTCCGCCAGTTCACCACAGCCTTCCATCTCCCTTCAGTGTCCGACGGCATTGTTAGTGCCACAGCCTTGCGCAGACCAATCATCGTACAAACCTTACCTACTTAGGGAGTCAAGTGCATTAGTCCCTTGCTGCTTTCTGCCAACACCTTTTAAAAATGTCGCGGCAAGGTTTGTGACAGGTTTATTTCCCCGCCATAAGAGCCTCATTACATAGGAGGCCCAAAAGCCTTTTCATCATGGCAAGACAAAAAAATAAGGCATTTCCTATCCATAATTTCGTAATTCGAACGAAATTGCTAGTCTCTTCCCCGTTAGGCCTATAACAAAAGCATTCACAATGGATTGCAAGCTCCAACACCGCGAAGGCTGCCAGGAAATGCCAATGTGGGCTGACACTATCTCTCTAGACGGAGGAGACCTCAGGATTACGTTCCGCCGCACAATTCGTGTGGCAGACAGTTCGACATCTGAGTCGCTTTTGCCACCTGACCTGGGCGTCTTTCCCTTGTTTCAGGCCAAAGAGACGAGGTGCTGGGAAATGAGTAACGGAACTGAGATTGCATTTCCGTCGCAAGTGCCAGGATGGTTGAAAGCCAAGGGAGGTATTTTCTTTCCCATGCACGGTGAGTATTTATTTCCGGAGACATAGGATGTGCAAGGCTCATGTAGTTGTAGAAAACGAAGCTACTTGGATCAATTTTGAATCCAAGTCCAGGCGACCCTACATCATTAAAGTCCATGCGGGTGGTATCAACGCCGTCTCTGGCTTGGCTTCCACTGCTGATACAGCTCCTGGTCAGCAGGACTATGTGGTCATTCCTGAGCAGCGGTGGTTGGACGGTATCGCTGTCAACGCTGGTCTTGTTCGTCAGTTCGTCGCGGTTCCACTTGGGAAAAATCGTACTGTAGAGGGCCAAATTACAGGAAGCGAAAAATTTGGTGGGATTCAGTTTGAAGTTGTCAAAGGTATTGTTTGGAAGAATTTCTATGTCCAACGTCTTGACGGTATCTGTATCATGGTCTCCGTGGATGATAGAGAACATGTGGATGGACTCTGTAGGAAAATCAGTGAGACACTTGGCGAGACGCTAGGACCACGAGACCTCTACGACAGGGGAAGGGTGGTTCGTCTTGAGCGCGTTATAGACGAAAGCTTGAGAGAAACTGGGTTGACGGATGTGAGTGCTTGCCAAACAACCCTCTTCCTGCACTGACTTGGCTAGATCGGCATCGTGGACCCCGAAAACCTATCCCTTCTTGAAGAACTTGACCAGATTGAGCAGTATTTGTGTGGTACCCGATTTCCGGGGTGGGGATATGCGGGATATGCTAGCGCGGGATATGCTGATGCGACGCCAACACGAGCAGGATCGCAGGCCGAGTTCGGACTCGCCGCTGGGGGCCTCATCAAGCAGCATATCCAGAAAGACACCCATCCTGCGTCCACCTGGGATTTCGCGACCAAGACCGTGTTCAATGTACAACTTATCTCGGCGCAAGTTTTCAAGGAGATGACCGGCTTCATGACTCCAACGGGCCCCATCAACGCTGCAACGTACCGGATGTACGGTCTACCATTCTATGAAATCCCGGAGTCACCGTCTACGGTCGCTGGCGACTTTGGAAGACTCAAAAGCCTTGCGCACTTGAAGTACATGGAATGGATTGATAATGACGTTGTGCTCGCTCCGGCGTCCGATATTGGTGAGTTTCGGTCCATCAACGGGGAGCGGCAGGAGGAAGGTGCAAGAGGACTGCGGCTTACATCTGCGCAGACGACGACAAAAGACAATTGGATGCGGAGGAGGGCAGTTTCAAAGACAGAAATTTGTGACAGCCGCTCCCAGGAGGACAGCACAAGGGTAAAGAGCCTCCAACGTGCCTACCATGTGTCAAGCACAAAATCTCAGGAAGACTCCAATGCCCCACAAAGTGATGACTTTTACCCTGATTTCGATGACGAAGTGGAAGAAATTCCCGGTCTACCTTTCGGTTCGTCTGCGCGGGATGTTTGGTCTAGGATTTATTCTGAGGGTTCATAGGTCGATATTGGAAGCTTTAATTAGCGGTAAGAGCTTGAGGCAGAGATGTAGCAGCTCGAGCAGATAGTATATTAATGGCTCAAATTTATATTTCATTTTTCAACAGGAAGACACGCAGGAACCCTCCGTGATCTCTGTCCGGGCTGGTTGTACGCATGCAGGTACATGTATCGCCATACGACCAGATATGCAACGACTAGATATGCAACGGACGGAAATACATGTAGGTACACTACCTTAAGAGTTTCACGTACACTCAAATCAAAAGCCTTATTATTTATGTAAAATAAATGCAGAACAAATCGTACAACATAGGTATCAAATCGCCTCCATCCTCACCGTTTCAACGACATAACCTATCTCCTAAACGGCAGGTATAATTCCCCCCATCCAAAGCTCACTAGAATCAATAAAAGAGAAGATTGGCGTCAATCAAAGAACACCAGCCAACGCCCCCAAGCCAGAATTGATCAACACCTGCGTGACATTCATATCCGTCGTGAGCGGAGTCGACGACAACGCCTCCGTGAAATACGGAATTTGGACGCCATTGTACACGCTTGAATTGCCCACAATGGTCAATGGGATTACGCCACTTGGGTAAGCAGCCTTTGTGCCTGAGATGAGGGCAATCACTTCGGTTTGGTTGATTGTTGAGCGCAAGGGGATGATGTTGGAGCCCGGTTGGAGGGTGAGGTTGTTGAGGTAGGATTGGCCGATATAAGTGCCGTTTACTGAGACGTTGAGTGTTACGTTACCCTTTGTTTTTCCAGGTTAGTATGTATGTTATGAGAAAGTAGTTAAAGGGGGAGGTACCATTGCGACGGTGATGACGCTAGGGTTGGGGATGGAGACTGATCCGTTCATGTTTGTGCCGTCTTTGGCGGGGATGAGCGAGATCATGATGTCTTGCAATTCGAAGCCTTTGAGGCCGTTCAACCCTGCCAGAAGTCAGTATATTATTATATAAAGTAGAGGGAAACAAGGGGAGGTTACCGTTCATAGCTACAGTCTTGTTGAAGGTAACCGTGCTCGTCGGCAAAGGCCCCTCCTTGAGATCCGGCCGTCCATAAACATTCAACTCGAACGATTCGGTACCCAAAACCGCCTTTGTGAAATTCGTTACTGCATCGGAGTTGGCGAACGTCAAATCCGTGTTCACGTCAATAACAGCGCCGTCCTCGGCCTCCGTCCGTGGGACGGCGAGTGTGGCCAAGGGGGCGGTTGCGCCGACAAGCATGATGGTGGCATTGAAGGCGAAGATGGTTGGGTGGTAGATGGCTTTGTTGCCGAGGACTTGGGTCTGGTTGATATGAATAGAATTTGCGGAGGGGTTGCTGAAGACGAGGTTTGTGATGTTGAGGGTTGCTTTGTTGACGTCGGATTGCGCGATGCGTGGGTAGCCGACGTATATCCTATTCAGTCAGTATACCGATGTTCTGTTTATTATAAACCTTGGAAGGACGTACAGAGGCAGCGTGATAATTAGCACAACGGCCGCAAAGATGATCAAGTGCAACCACCACCACTTCTTGAAGTGGGCGCCGACAGCTCCGAGAAAGCCTCGCGATGCGACCGGCTGAGCGTTGACGTGCTGGACGTCGCCTTTGTCGGACATCTTGACAGTACGTTTTTCCGTCCGGAGTATCTATCTGATTTCCAGTCTGTCAAGGTAGAGATGAGGTATGGCGAGATGAATGAGGATCAAACGAGCGTCATAGGCCTACACCTATATAACAAATACCAACACAGGTATACACACCAGAACCGAAAACTTCAAGCGGGGAAGAGATCAAAAATAAACAATTCCGAACGAAAGAAAAACGGAATCCTGGTTGTGATCTATTATATTTCTGGGTCGTCGAATCATTGTGGATTCAGGGTCACACGAGATGCATAGCTTTATTAGTCCGTAGTACATACATCCTAACTAGTTAGTTATTCCTTGGCTAGACCTACATAAGATTAATACGACGGTATGTTGGTACTTGTATCAGAGGATGGATGTATATGTCTCAACTGTACTCCAAGACACCTAGCTATGCAGCTAGCGATGACAGGCCGTACTTAGTTCTACTTAGTTACTTAACTTAGGACTTACACATGCTAATACTTCAAGTAGCCCGTACCTAGGCACGATTAGTGTCCCTGATCAGCGACACGAGGCACTCAAATGCATATACTTGATACCTATCAATCTGCGACAACACCGACAACGGTACCGGTACTGATCACCGAAGTAATTCTAAAAGAGTACTCCATAGTCCCTACTCACAAGTAGTGGACACAGAATCCGGAGAACACAGCACGGATAGGGTTACTCCCCCACAACCCCGGGGCCTCTCCCCATGTCCCAACTAGCCCCGGTCCAGTCAGTCCCAGTCATAATCTCCAGATTCCCACTCTTCCTTCTGTCTGCGCCAATCAGCATATCCGGCCAAGATCAATCCAGTCAAAAGTCTTAAGAAAGGTAGTATATTACATACCACTCGTATGCGCTAATACATCTCCCTTGCCCGGTCCAAAACATGGGTAGCTCTCAGATGTGACCGTTTTCGATACTTGCGCCGAAGCCACAATTTCTGTTTTTTTCTTATTTGGTACGTTTTTAGACCGATTTTGGTTAATCAGACCTAGATTGATTGGGGCTGCCGAGGCTCTGTCATAATCACGAGCTATTTAATATTTGGTGGATGGAGTTTTTCTCATAGATTTGAGCGTTGGTCGGCCCAGGTACGGAGATCATGACTCGATGACTCTGGCGCAAATGAAAGCACGTGGATTGGTATATCATCTCGGGGTAATATGATAAGAAGACAGTACGTATACATTATTTAATGCATCAATACATTCAGGCAAAAAGCATCATTCGCAGAAGAGCGTAGAAGTAAACAAATCATAGAGATTTGACGAACAGAAAAAGGGTATCAATGAAGAGACAGGACCGTGCCGTACAGAAGAAAATTAGCGAAGGTGTTGTTTGTAAAAGCTATATACGAATTATGCAGTCGACTTTTTCCGTTGAAAAATACTGCGCGTGCGAGACTTGCTGCGTGGTTTTTTTTCCGCGCCGGCGTCGCGGCCTCGCGATGGTCGGGATCGCTTCGAGTCGTCCTCATCACTCATGTACTTGTCTTTGTAGATCCTGTACCAGTTAGCTTCTTTTACCCAATACCTGTCATAAAAACATACCAGCTATTTCCAACCATGCTCATACCCTTGGCTTCCGCCAGACGATAATAGTGAGCCGCCTTCTTCAAATTTTTCTTGCATCCAATACCCTCGGCGTAGCAGAATCCTGCCTCCGCAAGAGCATCGGCATCGCCCCACTGCGAAGCAATCTCAAAACACCGCAGTGCCAACACTTTGTCCTGCTCAATACCCCAGCCGTTCAAATGGCTGACCCCTAGCTCGTAGATGCCAAGAGCAAACTGCGCCCGACGGGCTTTACGAGATGCCGCATCCTTGCCACCTGTCGGCGCTTCATCATCTTCGCCAATGTCCAGTCCGGCTGAATCAACAGCTTTGCGCAGCCATTGGACACCTTCTTTCTGATTCGGTCGCATGCCCCAGCCGTGTCTACAAGCCAGTGCATACAATAGCATACCGGTCGGGTGATTCTGCTTTGCGGCTATTCGCAGGTGATATGTCGACTCTTGCAATGCCCCTTTCTCATGACATTCAATGCCCTTCTCGACGTGCTCTTCTGCCGTCTGTTCGGCGACTGGCGATGCCGTAGTCTTTGCAGTGATCGGCCGAATGGTGCTGTTTGACTCGGTTGATACAGACATGGAATCGTCTAATCGTTCGCTGTGTGAGCGCTGCAATACGGGACGCGGCTCCGGCTCTCGAACGATTTCGTGCGATTGGCGTTCAGTGGCTACCGGCACAGTAGCAAGTGGATCAACGCGCGTAGGCACATCCAATGCGGCCTCTGGTCGTGGTTTCGGCGTAGGCGCTTCAGACGTAATACTTACTGGCGGTTCTTTCGACCGCGCCTCTGGTGAGGGTGCGTGCTCTGACGTCGGTGAACTTTGAAAAAGAGGTTCCTTCCATTCAAAATGAGGAGTTTGCAAACCAGCAAACACTAACGAATTTCGCGACACCATTCGTCCACGTGGAAGCGAATACTTGGCGTAGACATACGAAGACACAGCGGACGACGGTGGTTCCTCACCTACTACAGACATGGGCTCTGCCCCAAGCACAATCGGTGCTGGCTTGTTGTCTCTCCGAATTCCATTTGTCGTGTGCTGGTCTATGGCTGGCGACGTGTTGGAGCTAGGCTGGCTCGGKGTCTCAGAGGGAATAATTGGCGATGGCGCTGATAGACTCATACTGGTACTAGAACGACTGAGCGGTCGAGAGAAATTAAACGACGGACGCGGTAGATAGTTGGACGCTTCCGAGCTGACGGATGGCGATCGTGGATGCGACCGAACAAATGGAGACATGGGTGAATGCGGCATGGATATTCCGCTTCCTGTAGACAGTTTCCGAGACTTGGACCATGTTGAGCCGCCGTTGGAACTGGTGTAATCATCGTCGGAGCTCTCAACCTGCCCGTTGTTGTAATACAGAGACGGCGGAATAGGCGATACAGGCGCCAACGTAGTGGAAACCGACGGCGGTGGAATAGAATCGTAGGACGACTCGCGAGAGGTCGAGGGTGTGCGAATATGAGGCTTCGTACTTGTAGACAGCGTACTGGACGAGCTGATCTGTAGCGATGGATCCTCCTCTGGCGATTCTGCTCTTAGCGAACGAAAGTATTCCCCCGCAAGACCTTTATTCGAGTCTGCCGGAATCGGTGTCTGATCGGAATCATCCCCCTCGCTGTGTAGAATCGACAATCCGCTAATTCGTGGATGCTGCGATTGCGGTCTGAATTTCGGCTCTTCTGCAAAGGCATGATGCGCATTTGGGTCGGGGCTGCGAGCTGCTCTGCGCGAAGCCTGAGACTGGTCTGAACCGGAGCGAAAGTAGCCAGGCCGGGGCTGCGACAACGATCGGGCAACGCTTTGCGGAGGCAATCGACTCATGCGGCGGTCTCTTCGCATGGATTCATCGAGTTGTCTCGCGAGTGCTCGACTCTGCATCGCGAATGCGTCGAGCGGAGAGAGATTGGGCGGGACTTCGCCATCGAAGTGTTCAACGCGCGGCGACGGCATGCGAGGAGTCGGGCTGCCTCTGGCCGAGTCGGTGCCAGGGCGCAGATCGAGGAGATCGATTCGAGATGACATGGTGACGAACGTCTATCCGGAAGGAAAATCTGGCGCGATTGTTGACGAACTGTAATGGTAGCCACGTCTTGAGTAGGCACTGACGAGTCTCATTGAGTTGGGTCACGGTCGAAGGTCGATTAATTGTAGTGTACGGAAGCAGTTTCGAGGTGAGACAGGAAGCTGTAGCAGGAGGCGACGTTTCGAGTTGAGTGTCTGTCGGCTTAGTGGGCGGATGGGGAAGGAGTGACGGCCCAAGTGGATCTTAGTTGGCTAGTCTAAGAGCAACGCCGTGTAGCAGTACGTAGTCTCCTTCAATGAGTTGTAGGATGTGAAGAAGAGTTGTCGAGGTCAGAGACAGAACACAAATGAGTACACACTGCAGTGGCAGTCGTACCAAGGGGCACGGGAGAAAGAAAGAGGACGGCTGGCGGGAAAATGACACGCGCGAATGCGGCTCTGGCTACATAGCACACTAGCCTGACGACTATTGCTCACTTCTGCTAGTCTAGGAGAAGTGACTATTCTGTATCATGTACGTACATCATTTATTAGGATGACGGTGATGACATTGACAGGAGTGACTCTTCACCTCATTAGTCCTTGCATCGCTGTTAGTGTCAAGTGTCAAGTGTTGAGTGCTAAGTGTTAAGAGCAATTCAGGGGTAAAGCGGGAAATTATCCGCCCGCCTTGGCATCTTGGCGCTTGATACTCTTTGTGTCTTTTCGATTGTGCTGTTGTTGTGGTGTATGCTCTATCCATCTATTTCATGATGGGTCTATGAATAGAACGCGTCGATCTGTTCTCGAAAAACTGCGTGTTCTCTGATGATGGAGATGCCAGTTTGACATGACGATCGTCCGACTAAACGAACTTGTAAGATTTCGAACTCTATGTCAGGATTTGGTTTAGCGCTGTTATAGCGTATGTATTGGTGCTATCTTATTGGAGGATCTGTGAAGTTGCTCGGAACGACCCTGTCACGGCGATTACTCGTAATGACGGACTGACATCAGCATACATAGTAAAGCCCATAGAGCAAGGAGATGGGTGAAAGACAGACAGTTATTATGATCGCATAGGTATGGATGATCCATGGCCCCAACCCTATACACACTAGCCCTAACAGTCAAAGCACCTGATAGCTAACGAGTTATCATGCAAGACATGACGTCTGATAAGACCGAGACATAGGGGGCGGAAAAGGGGTCGTCTACTGATGATCCTATGACACTGCCACATGGAGGGCACTCCGAGAATCGCCTTGGGGCCACGATGGTCAAATCTATCAGTTCTTTTTTGAATGTAAATAAAGGTATGTAGGGTACACGTAAGACATTATGCCTTGGGCATCGCCCCGCATAATAAACGTCTGGGGCAGTGCCGGAAGCAGTTAGCTTGTCCGAACTGCTCAGAGATTGAAACGATATATTTTTTTTGTTTTCTTTTATATCGACGTTTCTCGCTTCTATTTCGTCTCTTCTGTTCACTATTACCTCAAATATATGTAGCGATCTAACAGCCATCTATCAGCCTGGTCACATTGGCCGGTATATCAAAATGCGCCGCCCATTCCTCACCCTCTTCGGCGCAGATCCCGCCCTGGACGCTCTCCACCCCTACGAAACCTCATGGCTTCTCCCGCCCATTCTGCTCGGGCTCATGCGCGCCATAATCGCCATCTACATCTTTTTTTGCATTGTATACATCTTCATCCACGACGCCATCAGCCACGACTCCGTCGCAATCGGACAGTCGTTTAGCTACTTTACCTTCCTGAATTTCTGGGGTATGGGGTTCTACTTTGCTGTCTCGGCAGTGCATACGTTGCTGTATGCGGCGACGGGGCGGTCTGTGATATTTGATCGGTTGCCGCGTGTGTTTAGAGGGTTGCATGCGCTGTTTTATACGTGTGCGACGACATTTCCGTTTTTGGTGGTGGTGATTTATTGGGGGGTGTTGTACAGCGGGCCGTGGTTTCCGGAGTGGTTTGGTGCTTGGAGCAATGTATGCCCTTTTCTTTCCTTGAATTATATGAAATCGTGCTAATGAGAATAAAGATCTCCGAACACGGCATAATCGGGCTCTACGCTCTTCTAGAAGTCTTCCTGACCACCACACCCCCGCACCCTCTTATCAATCTCGCATTCCTCATTCTGATCCTTTTGCTGTACTTGTCCCTTGCATACCTGACCCACTACACTCAGGGCTGGTACACATACTCCTTTCTGGATCCTGGTGACCACGGGCAACACAACGGTAAAGTTGCCGCGTACTGTTTCATCATCTTGGCGATTATTTTGGTTGTGTTTTTTGCGACATGGGGGTTGATTTGGGTGAGAAGGAAATTGACACACGAGAAGATCAAGAGGGCGAGGCGGGATTTGGCGCCGGTGTATGGGAATAATTCGTACCTTCGTGGAGATGAGGAAATGCGCATTGGTAGGGTGAAGGGCCCGAACGAGTTTTAGATCTTGAAGTGAAATGATATCTTCATGTATTCTCAATTTTGGAGATTTGATGAGCACGTACAGTCTATCTTAAGTCTACTTTTGTCGTCTAACTGACATCCCTCGTCTTCCCCCACTTCACAGTATCCTGCTTCCACAACGAAAACAGCGGTATAACAATACTGTAAACAATGATCATCGGAAAAAACGGAAGATAAAACGGGATGTATCGCCAATCATTGCACAGCACGCACAACGCAACGGGGATCATGCAATATCCAAGTAATATGGGCCATGCTAGAGGACTCAGGAATAGGTTCAGAGCGGCAAGAAAGAAGCCTGCCGGCAAGGCTAGCGGTAAAATAAGGACCATAAACAACTCACAGCCAATGACAAACACCAGCATCAGCTGATTCCAGACCGAAGCGTCAAAGGGGAGGATGTTGAGATGCGAAAAGTGGCAGTGGATAAGCGAGTTTGTCCATCGGCGACGCTGGTCGATTAACACTGACAAACTGGTCGGCGCGGTAGTTGTGCATACTGCTGCTGAAAAGTATCGCTGGCGACATTCGGACGCGAAGTACCGAATTGACAGGGTCGAGAGATACCGGTCCTCCCCAATTGAGAGCAGATTATGTTCGTGCAGCGTCTTTTCATAATTCCCTGCATAATCTTCCAGGATGGCTGGGTGCAGGATGGCGGGTTCGTTGTTGTACGCCCATTTGAGGCGGTAGATGGTGAAACAGCCGCTCAGCACAAGCACATTTGAGCAGACGCTCTCTAATGCTTTGAGGATGGTGTGCGTGAGCCAGTATTCGAATACTTGACTGCAAGCCACGACGCTGTCGACGGGATTGCTGACCCCTGTATATCCACAGACGCCAATCAGTTTTTGATCCCTTTCGAGTTGGTGGACGAGATATGAAATGCCTGTGGGCTCGATTTCGGTATCTGAATCCGCCACCAGCATATACATCGCATACCGCGCATCGATACCCAGACGCATCCGCATCTGAAAATCAATCGTCTCAAAAAGCGGCGCCGCCGAGACTCCTCCTCCTCCACGCTGATGATAATTAACATAACGCAAGAAATTGTACACCAAAAGCTGCGAATCTCGTTTGCCCCTATTTCCCGGTTTGGCGTTCGTCTGCTCATCGGACCTGCCGACCTTGACAATGACCACATACGGCACCTCCCTGTAATATCCCGTACAACAAAACGCGAAATTATCCGACGTCCCTTTCTCGTCATACGACGGGTATCGTTTCGCCTCCGCGTCAATCCCGCTTTCTAGGTCTGTTTTGTGGTTGAATATATCATACAGCAAGATGTGATACGTCGGCTTATTGTTTTGGGCAGACGCAATTTTGCCGTCTGCGACAATGAACAACAATTTGCGCTTCTTCGTGTATGTAGACGCAACGCATGAATCAATCGTTTTGCGAAGTACGTATTCGGTCTCGTTGTAGCAGGGGACGTGCATTACGATTAAGGTGTCGTGTTCTTCATACGATGCAGGGGTGTAGCGGGTCTTGACGGCGCAGTAGGCTGCCAACAGCATAAATGCGCCGCCGACGCCCATGTATATCCACATAATGTGGCGTACGATGATGCAGAAGTTGCCGTGGCTGGAGAACATGCCGAGAGGCACTTTCATGATGCAGCTGAAGACCGGCTGGATGATCAGGAAGTAGGATAGGACCATGTATATTACGGCGACAAGGAGGCAAAAGAGTACCTTTTGCCGGAATGCGAGTCGGAGTCGGTAGTCGTTCATTTGATAGGCCTTTTTAAGGAACCATGAAGGAATATAGAAGGTCAAACAGCGGGCAAGCCATACCCAGAATTTGCGGTATTTTCCAGGCCGTATGCGTTTGTCGGTTCGGTTGTTGGTTTCAAACTTGTGTGCTGCTGTTTCTTTGGCGATTTTCTTTTTGCTCCAGAATTTTTGGCGAAGGGTTCGCTTCTCGTAGATGGGTTGGGGGAGATCCGGGGATCGAATGCCGTCCTCCCGATCTATTGCCCGAGTCGATACGACAGGGTATTTCTCGACGTCTTCCGAGGACTCGACATCTTTGTTATAGGCTTGTGGCTCATGGATATTCTCCGCAGCTTTTCCAATAGGCGCCATGAGAGTCGATGTCAAGATGATTCCAATCCAATCGGACAGAGACAGGCCAGAACCGGGTATCTTGCAGGGGGCTCAACGCTCAAAGTTGATTTCGACAGAGAGGATACATCTAGAGACTACCTGAAAGTTTGGGTGTAGCAGTAAATATTACGTGATGATTTAGGGTTGCCAGCGAACCGGTTCGTAGCTGGGTACGTACTACGTAGGATGTTCTCGGAGGCGTGGAATCTCCGTTAACTTCTTTCCACGAACACATGTCTCAACTCCTCGTTTACGAAAGCAAAGGMTCAAGTCTCCTTTCACAAAAAGATAGAGCGCGATTTCTATCCTCGCGGAGGATTCAACTCAGTACGCCGCCGGAGTCGCATGGAACCATCGAGAAAAGCATACCAGACAACAGAAAATCTGAATATGCGGAGGTTTGCATGTAGGGGATGCTCATCCAAATCATACGTACATAGAATATAAGCAGTAAAAGGGTTGGGATTCTTCAAGTCAATTTAGATATACAAGCTTTCAAAGTAATAAAGCCTTTTCGCAATTCTTGCAATTCATACGTAGTAAACTGTCAATATATATCTAAATCTCTCTCAAATGCTACATTAGCATATATAAGTAAGAGGCTTAAGTCCAGGGCTTCATATCTATAAGTATAAGTTTCTCATTCTCTTTAGTGTTGGAAACTGCTTAGGAAGCTATCATTTTTATTACTTAGCAATCAAGTGCTCGTTCTCGCATCATTACATTAAGTATCTGTTGAATACAAACATTAAAAACTGGAGAGAAATATACAAGTTCAGATTGGACGGAACGATGACTCACCGTACGTGTCACTCCTGTTTTCACGAACACGAAGGCTGAGCTCCTCTTTTACAAACATCACTATCCTCGCAGAGGTTTCTTACGTAGTACAATTTTTCGGCGTCGCGTGGAGCTATCGTAAGAGTCTGCAGGTCCTCTATTACGAACAGGATGGACGATCTCTATCCCCACAGAGGCTTCATGCTCGACACGGGCCGAAAGTTCTTCCCCGTGAAGGCCATCGTCAACCTCTTGAACCTCTTACACCAATACAACTTCAACGTCTTCCACTGGCACATTTACGATGCCGAGAGCTTCCCGCTTCTCTGGCCAGCAGATGGTGAGTTGACGAAGGTCAGTGAGAAATATAATCACTCGCTCGAGTACTACTCGCCACAGGACATCGGATATATCGTCAAGTATGCGCAGAATTTGGGGATTCGGGTCTATCCGGAGACGGATATGCCTGGCCACTGTGATATTTGGTACGTTCCTACATTAGAGCCGGAAACAAAGAAACATGGATCAATCTTACATCGAATTGTTCAAGGGGACTCTGGAGAAAAGATCTGGTAGTCGGAACCCCGGATCTGAAGCATCCAAACGCTCAACTCGATATCACAAAGGCCGAGACACATGATTACATACGTGATCTTGTCTCGACCGTCGACCGATATTTCGGTTCTGACTCACACCACTTTGGCGGCGATGAGGTTGCCCTGATCTGGAATACGGAAAACGACAGGAAACTTCTAGCGACTTTCTTCGAGTGGCTCAGAACCATCCCCTGCTGTCAGCACAAAAAGTTGATTCTGTGGGATGACCCCGTCACTACCGAACTGGGAAATGGTGCAGATGACATTTCCACAGATTGGGTAATTCAAACCTGGCATAATGGCGTGACAAAAAGCGTGCTTGAAAAGGGTTACAGGGTCGTTGTCTCGGAGTCTGAGACATTTTATATTGGTAATGCGGACTATGAGAGGATAACCAAGTTTGTATTTCCGGTTCATAGGAATGTATTGGGGTTTGAGGTTGTTTGGTTTACGTCGGAGAGCGATGATCCGTCGAATCTGGAACAGAGTTGGATTGCAGAGCCGCTCAGGGCTGCGGCGGAGATTCGAAGGAGACCGAGCTAAACCGGCTGTTTTTAAGAAGGGGTTCATCGTGAAACGAGTGTCTAAAATACTAGCAAAGAAGCATATGCATCGCATGTTTATTGTATGATATACTATTATCTCGCATATGTGAGGCATGTAGCGAAAAAGGATGCAGGATTTGGACTGCGATTAGGTTCTACATCATTCAGCATGTGTTGGTGGCCTCCTAGTAAAGACGAAGAAGTACCTTTGCAAAATGAAATGAGAGGCTGCGGACTGTATGTCTCTGCTACGTCTGTGACATGAAGGCCAAACGCCGCTGACGACGCGTTCAGATATCGGTTTGTGTTTTAGATGGCATGTATGTGCCATACCTGTCATATCGCAAGCTACTGATCCCAGAGCTAGAATCTACCGTTTAAGTTAGTCACTATTCTATGAGAATTTAGGGGATAGATTCTAACCAGCGCCAGGAGGATACATGAGTCATCTGCTTTGATGGGATTCTTCTTGAGTTTCCTCGCATAGAATCGAAAACAGACAGATGTTTTCGCCAGGAGGGTAAAGACGACTGAAACCGCGAGGATAGTCCGCTGAGCGTTATTCACAACCCCAAACATCACCATTCCGGGTTCTAAGTCACCTCATTAATATAAATATTGGACGCAAAACCATATCAGTCCTCATGTCACGGCTCTTTCACTGCTGTTGATCTCATCAAGACCATTCTGGGACATATTTTGGTGGACTACGACGTTAGTCCTTCGGAGAGAGACCTTCAAATATATGGATCGAGTACAATGGCTTCCAGTCATCTACACAGAATGCATCCAAAACATAAATCTCGCTGATTTGTATATGCGACTATCATGCTATCATGCGATACTGTGAAGTGCAATCCAGTAACCTTTATACCTATTACTTATCAATCTGGTCGATTATTCTATCGACCTTCTCTACCCATCCTTGAAATATAGCGCGATTCGCGTCACTCTCAGCCAAAAACACATTTATCTTTTCTAGCCCATTCAATGTTTCGGCCATTCTATCGTCTTTGGTTGTCCCACACAGTATCTTCATACTGCATGACCGCGAGTGCAGTATATACGCATAGCATGCCACTTGCTTTGAAACCTGAAGTACTTGCCCCATTCTCATAAATAGCTCTGGGTTATCGAGTAGACTTGGATTTCCCCATAGCAAGCCCCATGGCGTATAGACGATGTCGTGTCTTCTGCAGTAATCGCGAACATCCCGATCGAACGGAATTACCGGATATGGTAGATCCTTCGGGAAGTTGGGTGTTGGACTATCAACTGTATCTTCCGTGAATCGGTTTTGCACCGTTCGGGGTTTGATTGTGGCTGAATTATAGACCTTTTGGAGTGAATCGAGATCGACGTTTGAAAGTCCGAGAGAGTGGACACGCGATGGCACTAATTTTTCCATGACCTGCCATGCCAGAATGGTATCCTCTATCTTTGGGTACAGTGAGTGTAGGATCAGACAGTCGATATGATCAGTTTTTAGATTAAGTAGCGATGCTGCAATTGACTGCTCTATTTGGTCAGGTATGCTTGCTGTAGTATCGTACGGATAATTCGCCGGGTCTCTGCCTTCTTTGTAAGGAGAAAACTTGGTTTGGATCTATTCCTATGCATCAATCGCTTGTCATATTTCAGTGAAGATAGATTGATGACTTACGTATAAATCCTCACGCGAGAAACCACCAGAAGTCATAGCAGCTGCGATCCCTTCGCCAACAAGAGCTTCTCTGTATGCATGGCTGCTACCAGCGGTGTCAATGCCTCGGAAACCTGCTTTCAACGCTGCCTCGACAAGATGGGCTGTTTTATCAAACTTGAAGGCGGTCCCATAAATGATTTCAGGGATTGGTCGGGGCTCAGCCATTGTTGCAGGGTTGCAAAATTTGGTACAAATGATAGTGTAAGATTGAATCGTCTATCTACAGGGGAATTTCCAACCTTATAAAGTTTTGCTGTTGGCTGTTGATATTATTTCTGCATGTAACGCGTTGCGTATTGACGACGACTTGGAGATAAGAACGGTCTATAAATTAGGCAACCGCATGACTATGCAAGCTTATCTAGTTCTGGGAACGTTGGAATGACTACTGTGGTTAGTTTCGTCTTTCGGGATTCGGTAGTAACCCTAAATAACCCTAACAAATATCGCATTCTGAGTTTACAATAAGCTTACTCGAAATCGTCCAGGCACAAGATGACATGACGTATCCTTTGCCGAGAGATATCCAAGTGACAAAGATTCTGAAGAGTCTGTTATGCCCATTAATGGGTGTCTGTTTTGAAGACTGGATTTTTGTGCGAATTACTTATTGCAGGCAGCATAATGATTTTTGTCAGAACCACTTCGAGGGCGACAAACTAAGTATCACTTCTTTTGAACCCCATATGCCCCGGCCAAGATACCTCGTACAGACCCAAGCTAGTCAAAATATAGAATATCTCCAAAAAAAGGATAATGATTGCCGCAAAATGTAGAACTTGAGTCTGATTGTAAAACATACAAGCACTTCATTCTCCATGATGGTAGCAGGATGTAACTAGCGAAGAGGTGATATCGTCTCTGCGAACAATCGCTAGAACAGACACATTCGCAGTTCATCAGGCAAAGGCGTGCTAGAATTTGCTACGCAGACTGGCAGCGATGCACCTTAAGGAAAAGGCTTACAATCACAGTATTAAATATTAACTAAATGGGCTGCCAAGAAAAGGGCTAGTTGCCATTTCAGGAAGAATATAAGCAACCAGTTCAAATATATACTTATCATAATCTTAAAAGAGCGACATAAAAAGTCACTGCCAGAGCAAAGGCTGAGTAGGAGCCCCAAGCCATCTTCTTAGATGCAGCGCCAGTGTATGTAGGAATGGCAGTAGATACCCTAGTCGTGGAGCCCGGAGAAGTGGAAGAGCTGCTATAGACAGCTCCAGCACTAGAATGGTGGACCGCCGAAGAGGAAGGCGCATTTGGAACTGTAGTCTCTTTTGCGCCAGCAGCTGTTGTGGGATGATGATCCGTAGACGCAGAAATTTCTTCGCCAGATGGTAGAGGTGCACTGGAGAGGTTATTATCAACGGCAGATGAAGCTGTGGCGGCCACGCTCGACTCTATTGCAGTAAATGGGCTAACTGCATAGGTTGTCGTATACACAGGTACCGTTTCGGTGGTGAGATAGGAAGTTTTTTCTGATGCTGGGCAGTCTTTAACTGCCGACGGACAGGCAGTAACCGTATGCACCTGGGTGGTGAAGACAGTGGAAGTTGTCAATTGAGGATTTGCAGGAATAGAAGTTTGAGTGGCCGCTGTTCCTGTTTCAGTAGCCGTTACAGGACAGATAGTGGTGAGAAGGGTTATAGTTTCTGTGGTTACAAAAGTGGTGCGCTGATTCGCAGGGCAATCCTGGACGGAGGGCGGACACGATGTGATCGTGCGCACCTGAGTAGTTGTGACCGTGGAGGTAGTAAGTCGAGTTGATGACCCGATTGAAAGCGTGGAAGACGAGCTGCTTTGAGAGGTAGAAGGAGATGACGGCAATGATAAAGTATTTGTTCCCGTAGAAATTGACGTAGAATCAGAAGTTCTATGTTCCGAGTGTCCTTGTCCAGAGCTAGATTCGGTCAGTGCTGTAGATGTGGTGACTGAAGTTGTTGAAGACAAGACAGCCGAAGAAGAGTGAGTGGAGCGGCCTGTGGAACAAGGACGGCGCGATCGGCGCGAGGAAGAGACACGGGCAGAGGATGAAACAACGCCTGAAGAAGAAATAGCAGCTGAGGAAGAAACAGCAGCTGAGGAAGAAATGACAGCTGAAGAAGAAACGACAGCTGAAGAAGAAGCGCGGGCCGAGGAAGAGACAGCAGCTGTGGATGAAACAACGCTTGAAGAAGAAACGACAGCTGAGGAAGAAACAGCAGCGGAGGAAGAAATGACAGCTGAGGAAGAAACTACAGCTGAGGAAGAAACAGCAGCTGAGGAAGAAACAGCAGCGGAGGAAGAAACAGCAGCCGAGGACGAAGATGAAACGACGACAGCCGACGACGACGACGACGAGGAGGAGGAGGAGGAGGAGGAGGAAGATGCAGCAGCAGTGCTGGCCGAGGAAGTGACAACAGCCGATGACGAGGCGATGGTTGATGAAGTCGAAGAGCTTGTAGAGAGCGTTATGGTCGAGGTGTAGACTGTTACTACTTCCACGACGGTCGTTTCCGTGGTGACTTGTGTCGTAGAGGTCGTCGCGGTCGTTACGCATGGGTTTGTAGTATATTTCAGCAATGCCTGGTAGGCAACTGCTGATGTAACAGTCGCTGTAATGTCGTTGAGAAATGTGCAAACACGCGCCGCTGTGTTATAGTTGACGCCCGAGCATATTGTCGAGTAGACACTACAATACTGATAACACAACGCAAATTGGGCTGCAGGAAGGACGAGAACTGTCTGTCGTCCCTGCAGAGAGACTCCCGCACACTCCTCCTGCCAATAATATCCAGCGGTTGAAAAGACACCATTAGTACATTGTCCAAAAGGAAAAGAAGACCCAGGGGTACAAGTAGTTTGGGTTGTGGTCAGGGGGAGAATGCTGGTAATCGTGCTGGTAATTGTCTCGGAATAGGTAGAGGTGGCAGTAGTCAGAGAGGTAGCAGTCGGTGTAATGGTTGAAATTGTTAGTGCCTGGATACCCGATGACAGGGCCACCAGGAGACCGAGAAGGAAACTGGATCGGTGCATGGCTGGTTGAAGCAAACGAAGGAATGGCTGTCTGTAACACAGACTAGTTTCTGAATGGAGGGCCAGGGAGAGTCCATTTTATATGTAGGGAGGCGGATTCTGGCTTCGTCTTAGTTTCGACTTGGCGACTAGGTTTTCCTTGATGCTGGATCGCTAGGAATTGCCACATGGATTCGCGCTTTTGCTAGCAAATTGGATTGCGAAGGCACTTCTCCGTATGTAGTTTAAGGTTGGTCTAGTGATTTTCACAGCGTCAAAATAGCCGACACGGAGCGCCACTCAGGCACCGTCACCCGAGCCAACTAAATAGCCTTCTCTGAGCCTAGGCCTTACTTAATTAGTGGTTAGTGGTTCCTCTACTACTAAATATTCTGTACTAGTGTGCCTACTCAGTGGGCTGGAACATGAGCGTCCCCACAAAGGCAGCGTCAGCTGGAAAAAAAAAACCCCCAACCTGGCAAGGAAAATATGGTTCGTATAGGCACCTATGTACTGGACCGAATTACCGGGGCAGCAAGTCAACCGCAGTAGTTCGCAGCTTAGACCTCCAAATAGACTGCTTTCAGTAAATGCAATACCAGAGAATTGGATATCTTGATTCTCACATATTGGAATTTTTAATCATACTCAATTTTGACACATCAATGCATCATTAAAGAACGAAGTCGGAATCTCGCTGAATGCTAGATGCAAAAATCCTTGAACGCTTACAGTCCTTTGCTCGAGGTCTTTGGGAAAATCCAGCACCATTCGAGAAGTCAGAATACTTCAAAATCCGAGGAATCTGAGAACAACGAGCTGGCCCATGAAACTGAATCAATCCTAGCACCGAAAAAGCCCAAGAGCAATAACTGGTGGATGAAGATCTTTTGCGCTACAATCCTTTTGTTGTATATCATTGGTTTAGGGATGATTTTTGCCCTGGTGAAGCAGGACAGCCATCTATATTCATATGAGAACTACTCTGTTTTCCCCGAACGCAAGGCCTTTTTTCTCTACTTTCCTGTTCCTTTACCCATTGTTTTACTCCGAGCTCACATTGTCAAAAGTGGAATATAGAACAAGAAATTTCATCCCGAAGATATATTTCCGAGCTCAAATTAGAAACCGTATGGGATTTTGGTCTGCCAAAAGCGAAAGGATTTACCATGGTTGAGAAGCTACGGCAGTTTGATCTGCCCCCTGGCTCGCCTTTTCAAGGAGGCCATCACCGCTATGGAGTTGGGGACATCAGTATCACTGTGTGGTATGCAATTTATTTCAATGAATTTATCTCTCGCCTCCTTTCTTCAGCATACACCTCGAGAGTGTGGAGTGATAGACAGGATTATGATTAATGGTCTTCTCTACAGAGAATGATGCGCGACGAATTCTTCGCTCAACTTCACAACCGAAGCACTTTGGTGGGGATGGAGGTCGATCTCAACAAGGAGGAATATACGACTGAGGAAATACGACTCATTCATCTGACACATTGCTACGATTACCTGCGGCAAGTCATTTTCTGTCTTATGGATATGACAATCGAGTATCCTACCGGAAACGGCGTCGCCAAAGGAACGATTAGTAAATATGAAGTTCCTCATCAATATGTGAAAAGTGTAAGTACTTTATTTCAGCCCACTGTAAAAAAATAAAGAAGAAGCAGAAAGATGCTAAAATATGTCTTAGGAACCTCTAGATGCATACATGGAAATGCATGCTCCTGACGGTTATGTAACAAAGACCCCATAATTTCAACATTGCAATGCAAAATCCATCAAACATTATATTGCAATAAGACCGATGGAGGCGATAAATCAGTGACTCGGTCTAGTAAGCTTTGTTAAGGAAATTGAGAGAAAACTAATGGCGTAGAGACTAGCCGCAGTGAGAAAAGGCAATCCCAACCAAGAATTACCGAGCAGCATACCCCATTTGAATGTATACGCCAGTAATGGCCCAGCGAAGACCATTCCTCCTGATGTCACAGTAGCAATGGCGGTATAGACAGTTCCCAATAGATTCTTGTCTACTAGGGAGGTAACGAGACTCCGTGCAGTGATTTGAAACGAAAATCCGAGTGCACAAATGACTAAACCCACCGTGAATATCAGAGGTGACCAGCCGAAGAACATAAGCGTTGACCCGATAAACAGAAGTGCAGTGCTGGCCTGAGTTAGGTGTTTATCCCTTACTGCTGGATTCAGTTTCAATCTCAATCCAAGGAACTCGGAAATTGCAGGCAATAGAACAAGAAGCAGAAACAGATTAACACTGCCGCGCAGAGATAAAAGATAAGATGTCTGTTACGGAATCAGCAAGGATTTCTTAGAGGAGTAGATTAGTCTGGTTACTATTGACTTACCTGGCCAATAGTCCAGTGAAACTTCTTGGGTCCATATTGTAAAATCAGTGGAATAGCTTGCTTCCCAAGATAGGAACTGAAGAAGCAGACCAGAATAAGAGTGACGTTGCTGTTCTGTCGAACCAGTCGTAGCGACTCTTGAAACTTTCTGAATTCCGAGAGAACTTTCCCAAGGACATACTTATAACCTGGTTCATCCCCGTTACCTGACGAAGATCTAGATTGGTCATCAGCTATATCCATTTGAAGTGTCTCTGGTACCCAGAAGGCAATGAAATAGCCGACAAAGTATATGCCAAAGCTGATGAGGTATGGCAGCCATGAGCTGAACGACATGAGCATAGCACTCGCAGGAGTTGCCACGATTTCCGATATCAAAACCGCCGCAGAAAGTTGCGAAAAAGCTGTGGTCCTAGATACTTATGCATCAGAACTCACTCATATCTGATATATGAAACGGGCCTACCTTCTTTCCACCGAACAGCTGTCTGCAATCATGACCCACATCATTGATGTCGCAGTCTGAGGACCACCACCGATCAATTGTGACAGGGCTGAGAACCAAACTGCTCTCAGAGGAATTCTTGGAGCGAACCAGCCTTGACCAGTAAGTATGAGTATCTTTCCGAAGCGGTAGTTTTGCAATAGACTCACAAACAATTCTGGTCCAACACTCTCCAAGAATGCAACCAGTCATTCCTAATAGCAATATAGGTTTACGACCAATTCTATCCGCCAGAGCGCCATGGGGCAGTGCTAAAAGAAGCCCTTTTGGAAATCGGTGAGTTATCCGGGTTAATATGCGCAAGCTTTCTACCGGAGCCTTACCTGGAATGGTTTGAAATGTATCAGCCCAGCCATTGATCAAAGCCAACTCGCTTTGTACCGGCTCAACTTTACATAGCTCTCGGTCGAGTTGATCGTGAGCAGACAAAGCGCCTATTGTTGTATAATATTGTCGGCAAATAATTTCCTCAAAAAGCTGCAATTGAGGAGCAACCGCTGCGTAGCCAGCGAGATCCGAAATCAGAGTCACAGTTGCAATCAGTACGATTACTTGCAAAGCGTGTTTCGATGAAGACGACTCGGGCTGCCTAAAAGATTCGGAATCGCGTGCGGAGTCGAAACTGTTTTCGGGCTGCAAGAGGGGTTCTGTCTCTCCAGTCTCAGCCATTTTCAAGGTTGTTGGTAACCGACATATATCACAGATGTTGCAACATCGAAAGAATAAAGTGCAGCGGACAAAGAGAGCTGTTCATAAGGACATGGATTGCTTATCTGAGACCAAATCCCTAACAAGAGTAGACAGGGATGTTGGTTGGCTGGCCTGCTGGAGCGATAAGCCAGGGCTTGCCTACTAGTTAGGTACCAGTACAGTAATGTCGCTTTCTTTATCTCCGAGGTTACCATCAACACCAGACCCAAAGCGAGCAAAACCGTGCTTTGATGCCTCCTATGATAAAACTTTGCTTTTCATTATGCTGCCGGAGCAATGGAGAGAAGATCAAATTACTGCGAGGCAGCTGATGATGTCTTCGGCCCCCGGATATATGGCTGTCGGGACAGTTTCGATTTCACTCTTCTTTTCGAGCAGTCAATTCTGTCTATGCTGCCATCGCTTATCCTGCTTGTTGTAGCAGTGCCACAATTTCTTCGCCTCTTGAAGGAGGTGAACAAAATACATAGCAGGCCAACAGACTGGCTGATCCTCGCTAAGCTTGTACAGTCTGTTTTTCTTGACAGATACCAGTCGTACTGATCTTCTCTATTTCTGTAGACTGCGATTTGCTGTTACGGTGCGACACAAATCGCATTAATCATCATCTATGTTTCTTCCTCAAGTGATCCCACTCGTCTATCTATTGCAGCATCATGTTGCTCCCTATGTGCTACATTGGCCATAGCAGTCCTCTCCTACCTGGGTCATCGTCGATCGGAACGCCCTTCGTTCACCCTCACCATTTATCTCCTTTTCATGACTCTTTTCGATGTCTGTCAGGCACGTACACTCTGGCTACGAAAGATCCATCCTCTGCTTCCAGGAATTTTCACAGCAGGTCTGGCGTTGAAAGCGGCGATTCTTTTCCTCGAGACTATAGAAAAAAGAGCTCTACTGCGAACCCCGTATCGATATTATTCACCCGAAGCCCTAGGAGGAATTATCAACTGCAGCGTCTTTTGGTGGTTAAACTCCCTTTTATTCAACGGATCATCCAAGATACTTCGTCAGGAGGATCTCTTTCCCATACATACGTACATGGAATAACTCTTTAGACAATAAGTGTAGTCAAGATCAGTTGGAGATGTTCTTTCAATTTTCATATTGAAAGACCCATTAGTTCTCTATATCTCTATATCTCTTCATCGGTTATTAGTGAGTGTCTTCATCAGATGACAAACGAGCCAGACACCAGCAATTTTGGTACAATAACATCCTGAACATACAAATTACCTTGACTACTTATGATTACCTTCATTCTTTTCTTTGGGAGCCCCAGCTACCATACTACTCTGTTCGGGATTGTGTTACCGCTCGATAGCGGGTTTTAGATACAATATAGGGAATTCGTGTGGAAGATGGCACACCGCGGGATTTCAGTAGACATTCTGTAAACTAGCTCCCAACATTCAGGTTTTTCAAAGCTAGGGAGACACCTGGAACAAGGGTCGATGGAGCCAGTCCATTGAGCCAGCGAAAAAGGTAGATTTGAAAGTATAATGATGAAATTTCTCTCTTTGTGACCACACGCCATCATTTTTGAAGAGTCGGTGCACAAGTAAAAGACAGGATAGAATCCAGGACATATTATCTAGTGGAATTCATTGTTTTGTAATTTACAGAATGGGCTTCAAGCCGGGGAATTGGCTTCGCGAAAATTTGGCTCGCAATTCCTTAGGACACTATACATCTATTTCGTCGAGTTCTGATTCAGATCTTCTCCCCGACTGCCACATTTGTTCCAGCCAAAATAAGTCATCTAAAAGAAGTCGAAGAAGAATTTCCAGCTTCATCGTTGCTGGCCTCATCAGCTTTACTGCCATTTCTTCTGCCTCATTTTATCTCGGGAAACTTAGTATGGCATCATCCACAGTTCAGTCTTCTCGATTGAAGACTGATCGAGCATTTCCAGAAAGTTAGTTCTATAATCTGTTTCTTTTTAAATACGACTGTAATACTAAATATCTAGACAGTACCAATGAGACCAGTCGTTTGGAAAGAAGATAAGGGATTTCTTAGAATGGATCCAGTGAATGCCAGATTCTGGTCTCATGAAGACCAGAGACCAAACTGGACAATATGGGATGAGATTCATCGAGGTAATCTGCCTCTACTTGCTACCACAATATGCCTTGCTTATCTATGACTGATCATGATGAATAGGGTCTTGGATACAGTTATCCCCATCTCCTGAAGATGATATTGTTGGCGGGCTACCGCTAGATCAATTTGCCGAAAATGGCCACTGGTCAAATCAGAAGCAAGGATTCGTGCCTTCTGTCCTTCACCAGCTTCACTGTGTGGTACGTGGTCACGGCGGGGAAACAAGCGAGCTTCGCCACCAGAATATCATAAAGCCGTCCGACGCCCTCCCCGGCTTCTACCCGTTCAGATCACCATTGCACGCACCAGGATGAACCAAGCCCCGACGGACCAGCCATAGAGGCCGTATCGGTCAAAACGGCATCGGCCCTGCGATACCTGTCGACGGCGGAAGCAGTCCTGTCGGTTAGACAGTAATTGCCCTTGCTCCACCTATCGCAGTTTGGGAACGAAGTGCACCTTTGTGCAACCACCGCCGAAGAAGCGGCGCGGAGTGCAGCTGTCTGAGACGTTAGTCACAGCTGACCCCTTACAGACCGACCCCGGCACGCCGCAGCCAACAGACCTGGACTGGACCCTGGATGGGTTTCCAGTCACTGCCTTCCAGATCTTTGGTCAAGACTTTGAGGATTTCAGCCAGCTTCCATCCAGCTCGCTGTTTCCCTCCCACTACGACCTGCCGTTCCCCACAAACGAGCTTTGCACACCAGATGATAGCTTGAAGCTCCCGCAGAATGAACGAGAGATCAGCCCGGAGACGACTGCAGTCAGCCAGTCTACCTCAGACTCTGCGGCTGCTCTCTATCGAGACCAACTCGCAGGTGCCGATGCTGCTCAAAGACAGCGGCAAGGGAATGACGCCGGTCTCTCATCTTCGGGGCAATCCCTAGACGACGCCAAAGGGTTCATCTCGCAATATCTTGGATTTTCAGGCGGTATTGATCCCTTTATGCTGCACCATATGCGATTTCAGATCTCGAAACCCAGAAGATCTTCAAGTCTAATTACCGTCGAGTCTACAAAGGTAGTCCCTCTGCCGTTCCGAGTGGTGATCTTACCCTCCCGGTTCATTTCATCCAGTATCCTTGTGAAATCAACCGTTCCGCAAATCATGTCTTGGAGAGTCTCAGAATTCAGGAGGAAACCGACCGAGCAAAGCTAGAAGAGTTGGTGCTTCCCGAATTTGGGCCTCGTCTTGTTGGGCTGTAAGTCTTCCTGTGCCCGGTAGTAGCATATCACATCTAGTAGTGGTCACAGCGCATCGACTAACTCCATCAACAGGTTTTTTCGATACATCTTCCCAAGTTTTCCTGTGCTCTCACGAACCTGCATGGGCCTACGCTCAGAGACCCTGATTCCAAATTTGAGTGCCCAACGAACGGTACCTTCATCTCTGCTGGCCGCGGTGTATGCTCTTGCAGTACCTTTCTGCCGCTATGACCCCGTGCTCTGTGTCTCGCATATGCTAAATATGCCCCCAACAGCCGACTTGTGGGCGGCTGCACAGGAAGGAGCCCTCCGAGAAACAGAGAATCCACGCTTGTCCACCCTACAGACTGCCCAACTTTGTCTTCAAAGACCATTAGATAGGGGCGATACGGCCATGAAATTTTCATCTCGTCAGGCCCTCCTTAGTTTGATTGTCTCCCTTTCCGGCAAATTCGGCTTACACCTCGATTGCATATCCTGGTCTATTTCAGCATGGGAAAAAAGACTGCGCCGCCGGTTGTGGTGGATCATCTTTTCGGAAGCGACCTGGAGCAGCTTACTCGCCGGCCATCCACATCCCATTTCCGATGATGACTGGATTATGACTCCTTTAACTAGTAATGACTTTGTTATCGACAATATCTTTTGCCCGAGCGAAGAAACGAATCGAAGACCACGGGCCGATCAGGAGCCTTGCTTACATTGTCACAGCGGATACGATTTCAAACTCCTCGCTACCTTATCTGTTATTGCAAATGATGTTTTGAAGACCTTCTTTACGCTGCGTGCAACCCAGCAGATGGGGTCCGATATGAATGCATCACTGGAAGCAGCGCAACGACTTATCCGTCAATTAGAGCTGTGGCACGCAGATCTCCCTTCTCATCTTCGCGCGGATTCAACTCGGCAGGCATCTACACTGCAGAGTTCTTTCCATTCCGCTTCTGGAGCCCGTCTTCGGCTCTCATATCTAACTCTCGGGATTTTAGTCTATCGGGCTGTCTTTCGATCACTTGTTACATCTACCTCCTCCCCATCCTCGGCTCCAGCCTCGGTCTCGGCCTCATTTCCACAACAATCTCGCTCTGATTCCGCATTTATCTTGCAGTTTAAGGTTGCAGCAACAGATTGGCTGGAAAATGTTATAATGTACACTGAAACCCTCACAGCTCGTGATCAGAGTAGCTTTTGGTTCTCCTGTTCGTCTGGTATCCACCAACACCCATTACCTTTCACTACTAATTTATACAGGGTCTCAAATGTGCTTTGTTACTATATCTAACTTTTTCCTTTTCCGCCTACTACAATCAAAAACAATAACCGAAGCGAGAGAAGTCATGTCCCTCACACGTCGCTGGGCTGGAATTCTCCGCGACCAAACTGCGTCATTCGAGCAGATACATTTCGGGCTACTACAGCTAGATACCGTCTTCTCATCTGGTTTTGAGAATGTTTTCCACTGTGAGAACTTTCTAATCGAAGTATTACGGGAGAACATTAAAAATTCTGGGCCACAGCCAGGATGATTTGGGTGAGAATGAAACAAAAACAGATGATATCTCCTAAAGCAAGAGAGGTCAGTCGCTTGTCGTCGAGAGGCACCAGTTCAGCACCCCCACCAGCAACAACGGTTGCCGAGAAGGGATGGTTGAAAATTGATGGGCAGTTCCCAAAATAGAAATAGTTGCACGATTCAATAATATAAGAAACCGTGCTTCCCAAAGAACTAAACTATGGTGGTTGGGCAACCGTTCAGTAAGTCATAAGCAGTTGTGCCCGCGCCGCCGCGATGAACATGTCACTGCTGCGCCTTGATTGAATCTCGAGTCAGAATTCTGTTTTCCAGCAACGGCGCGGTTTCTTGATCATGGGCCGGAAGTGGTGGCCTGCCTACTTGAAGCTTGCGGTCTATATCTTCAAGTCGAGAGCTGATCTGGCACAGCACCTCGAGTATCTTCAAAAACGTCATATGGAATTCCCATTGTCTCGGAATAAATATTCTCATGAGTAGTTAAGAAGGATTTGAAGAAGTTGGCAATTTTTGCAAGTTATACCACAGGTTGAGTCGGTGGGCTTAGGATCTGAAGGGATACGAGCTGGATGGGTCGCTACCTGACCATATCCTTCACTCTGATTGAGCTTACGGCTTAGGTACAACACAAATGTGGAATTGATATTATACATAAATTGGTAAGAATTCGCAGATGAGAGACCATCGTTTAAGTTCAAATATGGCTAGTGCGTAAATCTCCGCAACTGATGTAAGTATAATTTTGAAACTTTTAATTAGCGCGAGGATTTTGTCTAGAGCAAGTATAAACAAGCAAGTGTTCATCATTCACTATCAAGTATCTCAATGGTCGAACAGCACCATTCTTTCTTTCCCTTCTGGAAATTTGTACCTCCTTCAAAGACTCGTCAAACTCTCCTTCTATAAAACAGTAGTTAACTTGTAATATGTATCTTAAGACTAATGGAAAATATCTTAATCGCAACTTACATGTATGATTTGCCGGGAAACAGAAATATAGAGGAGAGATTGGACAAATATGTGCGTTCCGCGCGGGCCGTCCGTTCCGATAACATTCTCAAGTAGTGTTCGCTACCTACAATTACCTAGGTTGAGAAGCATATGTGCTACATATATTTGTATGTATATATTCCATATCAGTCCTACCTTCAGGTCAGAACTGCTATTTGTGTGCCAAGCTCTTTCTCAAACACTTCAAAGATTGTTCTCTACAGAGCCCGCGGAAAAAACAGTGTATACCCAGGTAGGTATCACCGAAACAGCAATGGCAACACTCATGACAGGCCCGGCTTCGGAAGCCAAAGCATCTGAAACGGACATCGAACGGAATTATACCAGACCAGAGCTTTCTACCGGCAAAGTGAGCGACGCGCCGCAATCACAAAATGCAGATCCAACGAGAGAAAAAATGCCTAAAGGCTTACTGTCTCAATTGGTACTAACATCTTTACCAGACAATGCAAGGAATGTAACCCGTCGTATGAAGTATGTACTCACTTCAATTGTTTCCTTGGCAGGCATGGCAGCACCTCTGGGAAGCACAATTCTCATGCGTAAGTCAAGTATACCTAAGTGGTACTAGCATGAGCCTCATCAATTGACACTCGCCTCAGCTGTTATAAAAGATATTGCAACTGCCTTCGGCACAACAGCGACTGTTGTCAATCTATCTGTCGGTTTCTACTCACTAGCTGTGGCATTCACGCCGCTTTGGTGGTCATACTTTTCGGAAAGATACGGTCGACGAGCTATCTACCTGATATCATTTTTCCTTCTTGTTGTTTTCAATGTTCTGTCAGCTGTCAGTGTCAACATTGGCATGTTCATCGCCATGCGCATCTTGGCAGGTGGTGCGTGTGCCTCTGTCCAAGCCGTTGGTGCTGGGACTATTTCTGATCTGTGGGATGTCAAGGAGCGAGGGAGTGCTATGGGAATATTCTTTCTCGGACCAATGCTCGGGCCCTTGCTGTCACCTATAATCGGAGGTGCCGTTGCTATTGAATGGGGCTGGCGAAGCACACAGTGGGTCATGGTCATCTATGGAGCTTTGGTCTTCATCTTGGTCCTCTTCTTGCTCCCAGAAACTTCTACCCTACAACACAGGCCAAGGAATACCGACGTCCGAAGGCCATCAATTTCTACTGCGTTTAACGCTATAGTCGCACCTGTTAGGGTGGTTCGTCTCTTGCGGTTTATGCCCATATTGATAACGGTATTTTATAATGCCATCACCTTTGCAAGCTACTACCTCGTCAACATAACCATACAAACAGTGTTCTCAAGCGCGCCATATTCTTACTCTGCCTTGATAGTGGGACTGACATACATTCCCAGCGCCCTGGGGGCCATTATTGGATCTTTCTGTGGAGGAAGATGGACGGATTACATCATGCGTCGAGAAGCAAATAAGGCCAAGCGATACAACGAAAAGGGAGACCTTCAGTTCATCCCCCAAGACCGCATGCGGGAGAACGTCTGGATTGGAGCCTTACTGTATCCTGCAGCGATGGTATGGTTCGGATGGACGGCAGATAAGGGCATTTTCTGGTTGGTGCTCGTAGGTACTTCAGGTCTCTATCGGGTGTGCGGGCTGACGATAAACAGTGTCTGTCAACTTTCTTCTACGGCTTGGGAATGATGCTGGCTTCTAATGTGATGACTACCATGCTTACTGAATTCGTACCGAAACGATCGAGCACTGGAGTCGCTGTTAACAATCTTCTGCGGAATACCTTAGCATGCGTGGCTCTTGTTGTTGCGGATCCGCTGATCAAAGCCATTGGAACTGGGTGGCTGACGACAATAGCTGCGATAATCTGCTGGATCGGTTCTCTTGCGCTGGTTCCAATGATATACAAGGCTGACAAATGGAGTAAAGAAATGGCGGAGAAACTTTCCAAGGTGTCTATCTAGACCAGATATCTATGTTTTTACTTATTACAGGCTTCTGGCAGACGTTGTTGTATCAAAACAGAGGTAGAGCGGACAAACTGCTCGCGTGGAAATTTATAGCTAGCAAAGTAATGTCAAGAAGATTCGAATTCAGAGAGCGAATCAATTCTTGTCCAGGGTCCGCTTTACTCATGGCATATTGATTTTTCTGAAAAACTCCACGCAGTTTCTTTGTAATATAGTCACTGCAGACATGAAATTGAAGTTCTTGGAAAAGTCTATGTTGGCATTGATCCGGCAACTTCAGAACACATTATGCCGGTATATGCCGGTATATGCCGAGTGCAACCAATCGTCTTCCAACCCAGCCTTGTCCATAACGAGCTAAGTAAACAATTGCAGATACCATCCCCAAGCGAGTGACGCTTGGTTCACCAGAACGCGCCGCGAACCGAGACAGGGCCCATCTAAAATTCATAACCTTCGAGCCCACCGTACGAGGCTCTTAATTTATCTCGCTGAACGATGACATGCGCGTGTTCTAAATGAGCTTATTTGATTTGTCGCGATGAATATTGCTCGGGGACATACAATCGAACAACCCAATGTGTATACGTATGTCCCAACTTGTTTGTTGTAATTGCTTCCAACGTTCTAACTCTGAATGAATTAGGGCATAACCCAATCTGGCTCGATGTCCGTGAACATTTTCTCCACGAATGGACGAACACATACAAACCCTAGGTCATGGGCATTGCCTTAACAGTTCCTTATTATAGGTAGACTTAAACTTCACGCTTAACGATCCTTTAGGTTGAACGAGATTCAGGTACCGTCGGCACAGTCCACTCAGGAGTAGGGACAGCTGCAGGAAACGTCGGAATGTGTTTAAATCAGATAACGGTCGGCTGTCCGACAGCCGACGTAAGCCCAAATTGGGCTCAGCATGAACATTAATGTGCGAATTAAGAATTAATGGTGGAGATTAGTTCATGTTAAGTCGATATTGATCTTGAATTTTAGTACAAATCATCGGTCGGCGTTGCCAGCACGTGGGAACAGCGACCCATATGGCATGGATTGTGGATATTTTCCTGGGTAATAACACCTCCAAAGATATAGTTTCAATTCCTCCAAACTGTGAGGCCGGATTGCCGGCAGGCTATATAATCTGTTCTATCCATCTCGCCGTAAAAATTGTAGTTTTATTGTCTGAATTGCTGTTTCGTTCAGCGGAAGTGTCAATTGAAATCCCCCGCAATGGCTTCCATCAAATCAATCGCCGCCTCGTCTCTGCTGTTCGCAGCTTTGTCAACTGCGTGCGTTGACACCATCCTTGCGCCTTCAGATGATATTGTATTTGCCTCGTCTTCGTCTGCAAAGGATCCTCTTGCATGGGCCGGCGCTAACTCTCCTTATCATGCTGGTATGCTCCCTCTAAGAATAGTTGATAGTAAATCAAGATTCTGACATTCGGATTAGGACCCGATGTGTACGGTATTTCGAATGATGTTCCGGAAAGCTGTTCCGTAAAGCAAGCTGCATACATAGTGAGACATGGAAGCCGGTGAGCCAAGTTCTCTCAATATCTATTGAATCTACCTGTGAGTTCGACTGACATGGCGACAGATTCCCAGACTCGGGTGCTTATAACGGATGGGTCGCTATCCAAGAAAGAATCCAAGCAGCAAAGACAGCTGGAAATCTCACTGCCAGGGACTCTCTTTCGTTTATTGGAGACTGGAAGACTGTTCTCACCAATCCCACTCTTCAGATCTCTCAGGAATCAATGACTGGTTACAAGGAGGGTCATGATTTGGGCTACCAACTCAGAGCTCGCTGTAAGCTGAAAAAGTGACTCATCTTTGTCGAGTTTTTTTTCTAACTCTTTGACAGACCCCGATTTCTACGAAGACGGCAACCAGTTCTATGTCTGGGCAAACCAATATGCCAGCCCCATCAACAAATCCCGTGTTGTTCAAACCGCCAAAGCATTCATGCAGGGATACTTGTCCGAATTCGCCGATGCTTACGGCACAATTGTCAGCGTCAACTCTACCGGATCCGTGAACGCTATCGGCAATTCATTGGGACCTTCAGATGCTTGCCCCGCCTTTGCCAATGGTGCTTCTGGGTCGAGTTTCAACAATGACACTGACTGTACGTTTCTTTTGCATGACTCTAACATTGATATAGTACTGACAACATGATAGACGAGGCGCTCTGGACACCAAAGGTCATGAAGCGCATCAATGAGCTCGTCGAAGGCATCACCTTCACCGAATCCGACATCCTCCAAATGCCCTATCTCTGCGGCTTCGAGAGCCAAATCACCGGCCGCCTCAGCCCCTGGTGCGACGTCTTCACAGACGAAGAACTCGAATACTATGAATACTCCCAAGACCTACACTACTACTACGGCATTGGTCCCGGCTCTACAACACCTACAAATCTACTCTTCCTCCCCTTCTTGAACAGCCTTATGCAACTCCTGCAGGCCGGTCCCGATCAACAAGGTAAAGGCGTGAATGGCACCACCTTTGACATCCCGAAACTCATCATGGCATTTTTGAACGATAACCAAATCGCCGAATTGACCGCTGGAATGGGTATCTTTGATTCTGGTGCCCAGGCCCCATTGCCAATTAACAGAATCGCAAAGGACAGAATCTATAACGTCGCTAACTTCATTACGATGCGCGGAACGGTTGCCTTTGAAGTGTTGAATTGTACTTCTACTTCGTCGCACCATGGAAAGACATCGACCTCTTATGCTGATTATATTCGTATCCTGCTTAATGATGCAGTCTACACTTTGCCCGAGTGCAAGGACGGTCCCGGAGGAAGTTGTTTACTCTCCGAGTATGCGTCGTTCATCAGCAAGCGCAATGCTGCTGCTGGTAACTTCAATGATTACTGCGACGTTACCGCGGCTGGCCATCCAGCGACTGTGGGTGGTGCAAGCTTTTTCAGTGATTTGACGCTGGATTTCTTGGAGTTTGTTGCTCCTCACTGAGCGTCAACGGGGTGACGCGAGGTTGTATTTCTAATGTTTAATAGAGTTTTTGATTCGATTGTATAGTATGACAGGGGATGTGTGCTATATTTACCTTTCGTTTACATTTCTTTTGTGCATATACTTGACACACAATTTATTTCATTCATTTCACTCCGTGTGAGGAATTTTAGATCTTGGCTCGATTAAATGTGCAGAGTGGAATATTTATTGACTATGATACCAACAAGAATATGAATTATACCCTCTCCCACCCAGTCTCACTACTATTCCCACTATCCGAAGCAGATTGCGGCGGAGTACTCTGTCCCAACATCCATCCAACAAGGCTAGTCGGAATCCAAGCACCTATGATTCCATACGAGCGAGATCCGCGTCCAACATAGACGACGGCCTTTCTTCTCTTCTTTCTTCCAAGGGCAGACTTGCGGGGTGGCGCTATACTGTCGAATATGGCATTATGCAGTGCCCTAGCAGGTGACCCGCGGATAGCATTTGGTCCAGCAGATGCAGCTGGTCGTTGTTCGACGCTTGCTAAATAAGAAGGGCCGTACAGAGATCGGTGATGTTGACTCCAGGCCAGGATCTCTGTACCGGCGACCTGGGGCATGCGGTAGTGAGGACCCAGGTCGATATTGCCCAGTTTCATCTCGATGACGTCGACATTGCATGGACTGCCGTTGCCGAATTGTAAAAGACGAAGTTCCTGTCGAAGGGAAGTAGCAAACCCGGATAGCGCTCTGGTCACGGCGACTTCGGGACCGGCGTAGGGTGCTGATAGTGATGATGAGATGGATGGATAGAGAAAGACGATGGAGCTGCTGTGATTTCGGTGTGTGAGGAGAGGAATGAACAGTTGCGTTATTAATATAGGTGACAAAAGTCGAGTGTTGATTGTATCGGCCCAGCTGGATGCTGTAATTGTTGGTATAGGACCGGTGGGGTAGTTTAATGAAGGTAGTATTATGAGCCCGCTCAGCTGGCATGTATGAGGCTGGATGCCGGGCGCCGGGGACTGTGGTTGCGATATGAGAGAGTATATTCCGTGTAGCGCAGGATGGATTTCGGAGGGTGTTGAGGGTGTCTGTGACTGTTAGTCTGTATCACTCCTAGGTACAAGTGTGCACTTACGATTGTCAGATCCAAATGCAATGCCCGAATGTCAGATCGGTTCTGCATCTGAATGGTGTGTTCTTCCTCCGCCGACTGCACAATAACATATACTATAAATCCACGACGCTCGAGATCCTCCGCTATCGCTCGTGTCATAGGCTCGTGCGGAGAACCAGCGATTACTGCAACATAGTTAGACTCCATCAACCTCTTCTCGTCAAAGGTACATACCAACTATTTCCTTCCTGGCGCCATTTCCCGCCCGTCGCGCTCTTCTCTTCTTATTATCAAGGGTCCGACTCCCTAAATATAAAACTGCGCCCGTTCCGAAGAAAGCGACCAAGGCAGCTGTCCATGCTCTATTCCGCATCACCCAGTCGTACACCTTATCCGTGACCGACTTGGGCGGCGGCCGTCGTAAAGCAGGCACATTGCGCGATCCAGCGGGTAATATATTAGGAAAATAGACGGTCAGGGTGTCTTTGATGACGCTCGCTGCGTGGTCGACATGGCGATCGATTGAGTCGGCGACCTCTGCCGAGTATCGTTTTACGTCATGCGGGATGAAGGAGAGCTATGAAACGGTGGTTAGGTGTGTCGCAGGAAAGATTCATGGGATGAAGCACTTACAAAGTCGAGAAAGAACTGGTCGTCGCTTGTCATTTCGAGTTCTTAAGGATTTGTCAGTGATGGCTGTGAAATTATTGATAGAGAAGCTTGTGAAATCATTCCTATCAGTCGCGATAAGACGGCAGAATATTACATCTAAAATTGGTATAGCGGTAATTATGTAATTTATTCGAAGCACTGCGCCCTACGTAAGTTATACGAACCAAAAACATTACATACATCATACCCCGCGAGCCCCAACGGTCACAAAATTTATCACCAAGTCTTCAACCGGAATCTGTTTGATATGCGTATTACATTCCCCAGCCAACTTCAAGCGTACAGGTATTTTATTTCTCCTTTACAAAGAATCACACGGAGCCACGATCTTCGTAGGCGGAGATATAGTATCGCCCGGATGGCATTTTGAACTGGACTCCGGCATGTTGCTTGAGATCAGGAAAAACGATCCAACAAAGGAAACCATTCCCTGTATACACAGCTACTTAAGTAGTGGTTCTTCCCAGAATCACTCAAGACTTTCCCACGGGGAATTTGAGCTCAAACTCCCCATCTAAACAATATATCCTCTCTTCCTCCTTCGTCATCGCATCGAATCTCACCGTAAAGTTGCCCTAATCCGTAATCTTAGCTCATACATATGTTGATACACTTTGACTTCAATAGATAAGGTATAATGGATGACCCCGGGAGTTTTAACATACTTCACCAACAAACCATGGCACATATGCATGCAGACTCATAATAGCAAAGCCCTTCAGGGGCGGACAGTCCTTCTCTCGGCCCGGATATGGCTGCTCAATGGTATCCATCGAACCGCAGAATGGGTTTGTGCCGGATCTGCCTGGGTTCTCGGTTGAGTACTCTCGTGCGTAACAGTTCTGGCCTGGATGGTCTGAAATATTCTTGAGGAAGAATCCTGTTCTCGTTAGTTTGTACGCTGTTGGTGCTGTACTTTTGCAGGGAGTGATACCATATATGTAGATATCAAGATTTTCTTCGCTTAGAAGAGAGAGATTAAAACGAGGTTAGTTTCGGTTTGCTGAAATCTTGAGTTGTGTAGGGCACAGAGCTCGTACACAAGTGGAGGCGTCGGATGGACCTCGACCCGGTCAATCTGAAATAGGTCTGTATCGCGGGACTCAGGACAGAACTTGAGATTCGACTCTCCAGGAATGACACCCGGAATGGATAGCAGAGTAACAGGACTCAAAGGATGCTGATTTGACACCGTAGACTGAAAGAGAGCAAGAAATAGAAAGTAATAAAGGGCGGAATAACGTATTGAATCCATAAGTCTCTGAGTATAGTCAATTTTGTGAGGATTATAGGCTGGAAGGTACGAGAAAAATGAAGTACTTCGTTTGCCTAGAATCTCAGTAATCGTCTTGACGAGACAACATAGTCTAGAATTGGCGTTTGCTTACCTCATTCAGCAGGGCTCATAAGTGTGATGCTTCTTTTAGCTTCTCTTGTTAAAGATAACTCGGCTGCCTTGAGTAATGCATGATAACCTGCTCTTCTGGACGATGCTTGGAGCGTCGGTTGTCAATTTTGAAACCCGGTCGTAGAGATCCTGCATGCAGCATCACAGTAACCTTGAGGCTTGAAGTGTTTGTCAGCGCTAATGCAGGGTTTAGTGATATTAGTGACAGCGCCACATTAGGTACGATAAGGTATCTTGGTCTTTATGATTTGTGATGTGTCATTCACTGGGTTACATGTTTTCGTAGTGATGATCCCGGTCCGATGAGTTGTTTACATTTCAGATGTGGCGTTTGTTCTGGAAAGCTAGTCGTCGTAGCTTGTTGACAGGGGTTTTCAAATGGTTTGTATTGGGACTATTTTGTCCGTTCACACCTTACTATCATGAAGGTCGGTTTTATTAATGCGGTATCAGGAACTAGGAGAGTTGGCAACATTATAGATAATCGAATGTGCTATTATCTTTAATGAAACTGGAGGATAGTAATATCTGTGACTTGATTTCGCGATTTAACAACTTTACCACCAGGGCATCAGTTGTTCCTCATCAAATGAACAAACTCTTGATCTATTGATAATCATTAGACTCAAATTCAGCAAGTTGAAAGAAGTCACAGGAAAAACTCACAGTCAATGGACCCATTTCCATCGGTGTCGGCTTCTCTAATCATTTCCTCAATCTCGGCATCCGTCAATTCCTCGCCAATGGACTTCATTACGTGTCGCATCCCGTCTGCGCTGATCGTGCCACTACCATCTCGGTCAAAGACTTCAAAGGCGGCACGGAGCTCGGCCTCTTCGTCTGTCGCCTTGCCCTTGTGAATCATCATGGTGAGGAATTCTGGTCGAGGTATGTTAGAGAGAGCATTTTGTCTGCGGGACAAGGGTCTAACCGTCAAAGTCGATTGTACCGGTGTGGTCCACGTCTAGTTCATTTACAATATCTTGCAATTCAGACTCGGTGGGGTTCTGGCCTAACGAGCGCATGACATCTCTAAGCTCTTCGGCGGTGATTTCGCCTGTATGATGATCAGTTAATCAATATCACCTAGTATCATTAGGGATCCTGTCAAGTGTCCTACGCACCATTTCCATCTTTATCCTGTAGCGTAAGATGTTAGTGTATGTGGATAATGTGATGTGCAGGAAATGCAGCCCTACAAAAACCGCAAAGGCTTCCCGAAATCGGGCTATTTGCTCTTCCGACAGGGACTCTGCCTGGAGATAGTCAGCATAACAGAGTATAAACTATATCGAATGCTTGAATCATACCATTTCTCAGTTTTCTATCGTGGTGATATATGTGGTGTTGATGTTGAAGAGTAAGAATTCGGCTGTTGCTGAAACAGAAGGAGCAGGTGGGGCAACGGCGCCCGCTCAAGCTTTTCTTTTTCCGTGTCTCGGATCCCCTCATCAACACCTCCACAACAACATAATAACACAACACTACAACAACAAAAATATGACTTGAGGCTAACGGCAGACGGTATGATAATACTCTCTCTTGCGCTCTTTGCAGCTGTGGTAATGCTTCAAGAACTGACATGTCTTCTTTATCTAGGTAAACAACCATCACGCGATGCGTTCAATCGCCCGACGCCCCCTAAACCCTCACGATTGGACAACTCGTTCAGTTGCTGCCCGTTTCTTCCACCATCAAATTGGAGTGCAATTGGCTGCTGGTTGGTAGATTTGCTCATACCTGTTATCGTCTGTTTTCACTGGCGAACGACGTCGTTTCTACGGAGAATCACTTGCTCGAGGATTACCCCGCGTCCGTCTCTACATCCCTTAGCAAATGCCTCCATGACTATATATGCCTTGCAGGCGTTCTATATGAAATGAATATCCTGCCTCTGGTCTGGCTATATCGCCATATACTACATAACACTTGGAGCATGGAATCCTACGCCGCGCCCAGTCGTCTACGAGAATCATGATCAGGACTGCTATGCAGACGACCTTTGGCATAGACAGGTAGCGGGATATCCGCGATCTTAGGGAGTTTGATCTGTTGCCTAATAGCAGACAAACGTTCCACTGCCGATAGCACACAAATCGATCTGGCCGGTCAGCATCATGCAATGACCCCGCATTCGTTGATTTCGTATTCTAGACCAATCAGGCACATGACACTAACAGTAAGTCCTTGATGAAGAAATATCTAACTGCCGGAGCGCCTCCAATGCAGCCGATGAGCTATTACAACGCCTCTTGGCCTGCTATCGGGCTATCTAATCAAAAGCGCGTTTTCCTTCCTAATCTGGCAAGCTTATCGGAAGGGGGCGGGGTTAGCTGGTCGAACGTTCAAGCTTATCGTAGACCTTTTACATTGACACTCTCTATTGCTCCTAATACTACGATACTTGCTCTTTTCTGTGACCTTAAGTTGCATAGCTGGTCCAAAAATCCCTCTAGCCCACCGTTCTCAACGTCTGCCAAACCGCGTATTGTTCTAGTGATACCTACGCAACGTCGTACAAGGACGCTAGTATCCCCAGAAAGTAAACTACAATGGCCGGCAAGCCATGGCAAGAAATTGCACAGATAGCACAGGAGGTGCGCGATAAGTCCATTGCCCAGGTCCAGCCGCCAGTTCCGGATGTGCCTGAAGATCTTCCGTTGAATGTTACGTCCATACCCAAGAAGCTGTTGACCCCGAGGGAGATTGAGATCACCGAAACTGCACCGGAAATACTTGTCCAGAAACTCGCGACGGGAGAATGGAAATGCGTGGAAGTAACTAATTCCTTTCTACGGCGCGCTGGATTGGCTCAGAGACTGGTATGACCCCTTGAAATGACTGCGTGATGATAGACACTCACGCCCTATACATAGGTCAACTGCGTCACAGAGCTCATGCCCGAGGAAGCCCTCGAGCGAGCAAAGTATCTAGATGATTATCTAGCCAAACACGGCAAACCAATTGGCCCCCTCCACGGCCTCCCAGTGAGCATCAAAGAACATCTCCCCATGAAAGGCCGCACCATCAACTGCGGCTACGTCGCATGGTGGGGACGCATCTCAGAGGTGACCTATAGCGGCACAGAAGTTCTGTACAATGCCGGCGCTGTGCTATACGTCAGGACCACTCAACCCCAGTCGTTGATGCATCTAGCTACTTCGAGCAATCTATATGGCGAGACAGTGTGTCCATACAACCGACAGCTAACTAGCGGAGGAAGCTCCGGTGGCGAAGGAGCGCTGATAGGCATGCGTGGTAGTGCAGTCGGTATTGGCACTGATATCGGCGGAAGTATTCGCAGTCCCGCTGCAAATTGTGGAATATACGGGCTTCGTCCGACGAGCAGCAGATTTCCATATGATAAATTTGCTGCTGCCCATGGCCCGCAGGGGATTCCGGCTGTTGCGGGACCATTGAGTACTTCTAGAGGGGGTTTGCGGCTGATAATGAAAGCTGCTATAGACTCGAAACCGTGGTTGAAGGAGCCAACCCTCCTACCGATACCGTGGCGCGATGATGTGAGCCACCTTACTCAGGGAACGTCAGGCAAGAAACTCAAAATTGGGGTCCTCTGGGATGATGGAGTTGTGAAGCCACATCCTCCGGTTACGCGAGCTCTGAACGAGGTTGTGAGCAAACTTCGAGATGTTCCCGGTGTTGAGATTGTGGACTGGAAACCGTACAAGCATGATTATGCATGGGAGAGAATAGCATCATTGTATTATGCTGATGGCGGAGCTGATAACTTGGAGATTTTTGCTCAGGGGGGTGAACCATTAATGCCTCTGACACATTTCATACTCACGGAGAACGAGCATCGGAAACGCCTGCAAATCGAGGAAATATGGGACCTAATGGAGAAGAATATCCAATACAAAACAGAATATGCCAATGTATGGAACAAGACAGCCACGGGCGTCGATGAGCGTGGAATACCGACTGGAATGGTGGATGTGATTCTTTCTCCCACAGGACCGGGTGCTGCTCCCCCATTGGATCAGGCAAAATATTGGGGATATACAGCTCAGTGGAATTTGCTCGACTACCCTGCTGCAGTGTTCCCAGTGACTCAAGTACAGCCGGAGGTTGATAAGAAAGAGGAGGCTTATGAGCCTCGGAACAGCAAAGATGAGTTTAACTATAAGCTTTGTAAGCCAGCGTCTTGTTGCGTTTATTTATAGACGGTGCTAACATTGAGATAGATGAGCCTGAACTATATCGCGATGCGCCTGTCTCGCTTCAACTTATTGGTCGTCCTTGTGAGGATGAAAAGGTTTGTCCTCCTGTCAAGATCTTTGATTGATGGCCATGCGCTAATCACTGGAACAGGTTCTTGAAGCTCTGGATTTCATACACGATCATGTTTCGTTGCCTTCTTTCAAATGAAACCATTCGTGTTTTGTTGAATCGAAAGACTGATCTACTCCGGTTATAGCAAGTACTCTATGGTGATATCTAAAGTGGATGGCTGTCTTAGTGATTTTGGTGACTTGCGGTGCTACTCGGAACAACGTTAGATAGACAAGATCAAGGGATCAGATCTGGTGTAATGCTGTCAATAGTTAGCAAAATCAATAGCTAACATAGGCCAACCGCGTATCATTTGTCTTTATTGTCAAAACCCATAATCAGGAAAGTGGCAGAATAGCGCATATGACGAGAAAGGGGCTAGAATCCGAAACAAGGAATTTGGCCACCCATCAATCTTCCCCCAAGTTGCATCTTCATCGATTCTTAGATCTCGACCTTATCAGGCAAAATTTTAGCATATGATAAAATCACACGCTAATTTGCTCTATGATGGGAAGTGGTCCAATCATTACCATACGCTGCAAATGAAAGCAAGGTCATACAAATTAAGCGAACCTCTAATGTACAATCGCCTCCAATAAATGGGCCCAATCACGTATAAAGCTTCAAGGCAGCCATCAGGTATCAACTGACTTTAGCCTGGCGGTTGCTTCATGATAGTATGTTTTTGAAGTACAGGATGTCTAAAAGAAACAACAGGATGTATAAAGAAAATGAAGGTCAAAGAGAGCCATTTCTAGAAACATGATATCCTCCAGGGAACTAAAAAATAAACAGCTGAACTGGTCAGAATTTCACCAACGATAGGTGGTTAAATCCGTTGACCAGTAAGAGGCAAGAGAATCTCAACGTCAGGATCGGAGCGAGGCTTCGAGGGCAAACCATGATGATCTGCGATCTCCGTCCATGCTATCACATTTCATCACGAAGATTTATCCAACTTCCACGTTTTTGATTCTTTGGCGTGACAAGATTGGTGGGGAATACATCACCCGCATGCACAAAATGGAACATGACCTGAACAAGGAACATAGGTATAGCATCAAAAATGTACATGAAAATCTCATGACTGACGAGATAGCCATCATTACCTTGAGCAAATTCGATTATGCGGTAGACGCATCTCAAGATGATTATAATGGCAGCTGCAAATAAGAGCTTCATCATAGACTTCCATGTGTGTTTTCCGTGTTGTGGAACAGTGTATAGCTTAGCAGAAGATTGCATACGCTTCCAGAATATCAGGGAAATCGTCAAGAAGAAGCTGAAGAAAAGAAGCTGAGTGAACAATCCGATAAGCATAATCTTCTGTCCCAGGCTCGCCATACTCGCCTGGGCCATCATGCCACCTCCACCAGCTTGCATGAAAAACGACACTACATCGCCGCAAACGAATATCTTCGTTACACGATTAGGTCGAATCACGCTAGCATCAGGTGAATTGACAAATATCACTATACGACCATATATCATATAGATTGTTGCGGCGTATAGAGAAGGCGGTAAGATGATAAAGAGCGATTGCATAATGTATGGGCCGAGTTCGCTAGGCGACTTTGCGGAGAAATATCGAGCAGTGTATCCAAGAGTCATCACTAATAATGGTCAGTGGTGATCAACGATGACTGGATTGGTGACGCACTAAAAGCTCCAACGTTCAATGAAGTATAGAACCAAGTCTTTTTCTTGATCATTACCCAGAGGTGAACGATGGCACTGGCTCCAAAAAGAGCAGCAAATACGATCGTTGCCATTTGGCTCGGCTTGTAGGGATATATCCCATTATCGCTATTAGACTCGCTGTTTGCCATGGCTGAGAGACTGTGTGATTCGTATCAAGGTAGCCTAAACGCAGGATCTGTAGAGGATTTCTGTACGTTGATGCGGTGTCTCTTAGACAAACGGGATAAAATGCCGCAGAACAAATAAAAGGGCCGTAATAATAAGACAATGATCGGAGGCTTAGTGCATGTAGACAGTTATTGATCGTTGCCTGCACCTCCATGCTTCTTATACTGCTGCTAGCAGTACGTAAGGTACCACACGTTAAAAAAAAGGGGGGGTTGGAAGATAGATGCAGGTCTTCGCAAATCAAGACATGCTGAAACCTCAACGGTAGCAATTTTCTGATCAATCAATGAATCAGAAAGCCCTGGACATTCTTAGCATGGAGCACGATGGTTGGACACGAATTCCAAATCGAAAGCAAAGCCTCTTTTGGGCTGCGGCGACTAGAGAAATTTGGCGTGGGTCACCAGGATGGATACGAGAATGCGAAGGGACTGCCGATATGAGTGGATGGCCCAGGCTTCGGATTTTGAATTCTGGTTGTTTTCGGTCCGATTTCACGACATGAAGTCAAATTCGGCACTACGGCATGCAAATTCTAATATTGAGCCTCCGAATTACCTGGATCAGATCCTTTTTTTGTATCAATGGGCATCTTTCCAGGTTTGTGAAGGCACATGGCTACTGTAAGCGGGGTACAAGTGATGCTGCCTACGACATGGTTAAGGAAATGTATATCAGAGGGAGATGGAAAGCATTCAATGTGTTGAAAAATTAATGGTAAGGGGTTTCCAGCTTGAAGCTGTTTACGAGGATACGATAGGCTTAAATTAGAGACGGAATTAGAGATCGATCCGGCCCCGCTTCTACATGTAGGTATATAATTTTCTGGAAAACACGAGAACGTGTACGGGAATACGTAGTGATACGTGGTATGATTCAGTCTCGTCGTGGCCACAGTGGTGATAGCTGTCGAGGGACTTTAGTAAAGCGTATAGCACAAAGTATGTCACAGAGCAATCTTTGATCTTACCAGCCGTTCCTGAAGAGCAAAACATTCTATAGGAAGGGAAAACTTAACAGCCTTCATTGTCATTGTCCCCCGTAGTCTTGTTGTCGTATCGTATCAACTATTATCAATGAAAAAAAGTCAAAGTTTCATTTGATATAGTGACTTAACTCTGGATCCTCTACCCCGGAGCAACCTTATCATAATCGATGATGGATCTCTTCAAGAAAATATTACAGACAATTTCCTAATGATAGTAGGATTAAAAACAAATCGACATCCGTTGCACTTTGATGCTAGCAAATTTCAGGCGCTGTAAGCACTCTTTACATAGTTGAAACTACTTTATTTGGCGGAAAGTAAAAACCTGACCACCTTTCACCAAAAAGGTGCTGTTATTTACAATCGAACAACCAGAAACCTGGTAGCCCTTCAAGGGGGTTTGTAATGGGCTAGGGAGGTACACTGTACCGTTCGTACCAGGAGGAGCAATCACGATCATTTGTAGCAAACTGTTATTGTCGATGGACCAGCTCACATCAATTGAACCTTCCGGAACGGGATGGGATCCGCGTGCCCACTGAAGGTCAAGAGTTTGTGGGACGATCTGCCACTGCTTGAATCCAGGAACCAGTGGTTGAATACCAAGGACGTAGCGACTCAAGTCAGCAGTAGGTCCTGCACCCCAAGCATGGCATAATGAAGTTGATGCACCCAACCCAGGAGTGCCGTCCGCATCCAATGTCTCCCACGTACAACCGGTATAGTTTGTGTGAGATGGATCGCTCATGGGCCCCCAGACACTGTGAAGAAGGTTCTTTGCATTGGTGGAGTCGTTGGCATAGAAAGCAGCTTTTAAGTGATACCCAGAGGCATAAGGGCTAATCTTTTGCGCCCATCCACTTGCAGAACTAGCGTTAGAGAAGGCGAGAGCTCCCGCTCGGACATATAATTCTCGACTCAATGTGGTAAGGATGGTACTTGCGGTATGGTTTCCTGAAGCCGTGTTGCTAAGGATAGCTAGAGCATTCGCCTCCTGGGAGAAGAAATCGGTATGAGACTCCGAAAGATAATAAGCATGGAGAGTGTCGCTCCAAAGATTGGCGTTGATCGCCTTCTGCAAGGACTGGAGACGGGAAGTGTATAAAGTCGTGTTCAAACCCCCATCAGCCATAAATGGAAGCCACCGATTAAGCGCATATGCATAGACGAGGTTGAACTTGGCAACCACACCACTCAGGGAAGGATCATAGTAGTTCCAGTCACCGCCAAAGGTTGGGTTAGATATATTGAAAAGTCCACTAGGAAGAGTCTGAGAGTGTGCCCAATCGAACAAGCGAGCAGCTTTGGGTGCCCAGTAATTCAAAAAAGAAATATCACCGGTCTGTTCGTAGTACTGTGCTATTGCACTGGCAAGACTGAACGAGTAGCCAATAAGACCCGTGATGTTTGCTTGGACATCCTCTGTACGCGGTGGCTGCTGGACTTTGACGCTTGGGACAAAGAACCCTGGAAGCAATTGAAAGGAACCTAGCAGGGAAATTGATCCATTGATATAATCATGACCGTAGGTGCTAGCAAATGCTGTGCCAGTGGTAATGTCCAAGTCCCCAGCATAGGCAATCCGATCACGGCGGGAACCATCAACACTGACCGGCAGTGGGTTGGTGCCGAGGAGAAAGTCCTGCAAATCCGATGAATTGGTAAGGGAGGAAGAGTACATTTGTGTACCAAAGGCTGTCAGAGACACATTTGTAAAAATGGCTGAGTGCCCAAGAGACGCGCCTAATCCAAAGGAGCCATAGGAGGAGGAGTTTTGAGAAAATTTAAGCAATGACAGTCCATCAATCTCCACAGAAATATCGGTGATATTCACAGTACTGTGAATAGTATGCCACTTATCGAGAGTAACGGATGAAGGCAAAACAGCAGATGCAAGTGGAAGAGTATCTAGCTCTGTAGAGCCCGGGTGGGCCGAGATGGATGAATTAGCGACATCCACGAAAATATAGATCCCATTTCCGAGTGTGTCGCTCAGAACTGTAAAACCAAAGCCATTTGACGTCGGTTTCACAGAAAAATCTAGCTCGTATGTCGTTAGCGCAGTGGCAAAGTCGGCTGCGAAAGGCTGAGGAGCCAAGCTATCGACCAAGGCGCCTTCATCGGTAATAACCCAGAAGTCAGGAAGAGAATTTGCTGGAAACTCATTTAACTGTACAGTGCGAGCACCAACCCCCCAAATGCGATTGAGAACTGGGTCTGAACAGTTGAACGATCCGGGGAGGTCGGAAAGTGGAAGATTATCAACAGTAGGGATAAAGCCTAGGAACGAGAGCTCAAGCTCCCCAGCACTCGACAGATTCAGTTTCTGGTAGCGCAAGGCACCTTGAATCAGACGATTAGTGTAGGTAGTTTGATTCGTAATGTTGTATCGATCGATTCGGTATGTATCCATGGCCGCCGCTAAGGGAAGAGGGCCATCCGCCTAAGATATCAATCGGGCTCAATTAGAGATTCGCAGATTATCACTCAAAATTCCCAGATCTCACTCACCATATAATTGTCTAATAAGGCACGAGTCTCGCTGTAACTCATTTCAAATACTGACGTGTTACCGGAGCTCCGAATGACTTGGAAAGTTGCATATCCTTCAACGTTTCGTCCGTAATCAAGAACAAGAATAGACGGAGTCTTTCCATCTGAAGACAGCTTAAAAACGGTGCCATTGTCGGCCGGCAGGGAGGAACCGTCAGATTGAGTATAGGTCAGAGGCTCATAAGATGGAAAAAGGTTCGCAAGCCCGACGCCAGCATACAGAAGCCCTCCTAGGGCAGATTGTCGACCGATTCTCATGTGGGATAAAAGGGCTGTAAAAAGTGGCAGGKACGGATTGACGACTAATAATCACAAATAAATAATTCGTCTTCACCTGGGAAGGATTATATCCAGCCTTATATCTCACATTGCCAAACAGAAGTAGATCTAATCAGACCTTAGGATGCTCCCTTAAATTCTGATTAAACTACAATAGAAATTAGGTTTAGTTGCATGGTGGCGCTGGTAGACATGATATAAAATGCATATAAAATACGAGAATACGAGAATACGAACAAACGAGTATACGAAATTTGTTCCGCTTATTTCCATAGTATTACGCACAAAGCCTTGGCCCGAGGGAGAAGGGGCTCTTGGCTTTTTCAGTATCCATGGACCGGAGGCCAGAGGCTCAGGCTGAATGAGTTGTTTAGAATTGACACTGCTCTTTGAGATGCGTAAGTAAAAATGTTGAATTCTGCGGCCCTAAGAAAATGCTATTTTGTATGCGTTTTGACGGGGTCGGATCACTTACGTGGCCGGGCCGGTTACCGATTACGTTAGGGCCTTGTTGATTGCCTAAATCATAAATGCTGGGTTTGTTCCCCGTCCATCCTTGCAACTAGCTCTCCAACTCAATCGTTCTTCCATAAGCAACATAATCTCTCAAAATTATCAATTTCCCACAATACTAGGACCATGAATGATCAAGCAAAATCAGATGTACAAACCCGTTCCTCCTAGACCTAAGAAAACGAACATTGTGCGGTCGCGCAACGGGTGCAAAGGCTGTCGCGAAAGACGGACAAAATGCGACGAGAATAAGCCCGTCTGTGGAACATGCACCAGGCTAAAGAAGGCCTGTGAGCCAATTAAACCCAAGTTCGAATTTCGTGTATCGACTGGCAAGAATCGAAATCTGGAATTAGAAGATAGGGGACTTGCAGCAAGAACGCGGAGTATGTTGGTTGAATCAAAGGTAGAAAGAGATCAGTCGCCTAATATTGCTCTTACTGTATCTTTGCAACGATCGGAAAGGGAGATTTTCTATTCCGCATATTGGGAAGATAAATGTCTGCCTGCTTTGCATCCATTGTTCAAATCTACGTCGAAAGTCTTTGGGAAATTTCCAGCATTGAACGATACCATTCTCGCATTGTCATCTTGCAATCTGAGCCGTAACGATGCAGAGCGCCGAAGTTGGGATGCAATTGACTATATGGGTTATTACAGTCCTAATGCGACTCATCAATTAAGAAGTCAGCAGTACTATTCCTCGGCCATTTCAAGGTTCACGAAACTTAATCAGAGTGAGTGTCGGCACAATCTCAAAATGGTGTTGATGATGCTTGTTCTATTCGCTCATATAGAGTCTACAAGAGGGAATCTGGAAGGATTCTACTGTCATATCAATGGCTTGACGGCATTTATCGGGTATGAAATCCAGAAGCTGGGCGGAGATCATTTTATAAGAGATCTAACTACTGCTTGGATGCAACCACAATTTCAAGTGTGGTGGGCTCGGTCATACTTTAGTACCTTGGATTTTCAGCAGCGACAATACTCCATCGTTCTACCTCGCCTCATTCAGGGAAATTTGCTGTCGATTCATGAACGACGGGTCGCAGTGCTGAATATCATGTGCGAGTCTCATCGACTGAATGTCACGACCATATTGAATAATTGGCGTTATCGTACTACACACGATCGATCTGGATACGAAACAAGATACAGCGCTCATGGCCATGATGTTGATCACTGTTGTATGCTGTTGGCTGAACAGAGCGCGAAGCTAGACAACTGGCTTTTACACCTTCCTTTTGCAGAGCAACCTCTTGAGGACGATACTTTTGATCATCGAATCGAGTCACCTTTGATTTTTCAATGTCACGATGCGGCCTTGAATTATGCTTATTATGCCTTATCAAGGATCATGCAATGTACCGGTGTCTTTCGACTTCTGGGTACTCGAGGCTGTCGTTGCTCGGGCCATGAATGCGACGGAGCGGAGCCATGGGTGCGATTTCTTCTCCGAATTGCAGAAGGCGTTGACATGAAAAAATGCGTTCGCCAGAACAACTACACTATCGGCTTCTCGGGCCTTTTATTGGCTGCTTTGCTTCGATGCCAGGATTTACTGTCTGGCCAACGAATTGAACAATGGCTACAAACCCTCGTCGATATGCAGCCCACAGAAGAGGGGAGTTTTCCGGTGTACCAAGCACTGGCTGTGACTAAGGCGATTAACGAACAGAGGATGATGGGAAGAGACGTATTTGCAGTGTCTCAGCCAGTCGACGATGGAGGGGGTGCTCCTAAACTCAGGTCGTATAACAGTCAAATCATCGATACGCTATTGATTCATGGGATATGCAGGGCGACGGGTGATTTGTTCACCGACTGCATTTTGATTGATAATAGATAGAGTCTGTGATTTTTACAGTTTCACTATTGAGGCATTCGAGGGAGGTTTCTCCTTCGGCACTGGATACTAGACCCACCTCGATAGTAATAAGCCAATGCTAACGCGACATAGCTCTCGTTCACCCGATTTGGTAAGGTTGAATTGTCTCACTGCAACCAATCAAACAGCCAGGATTCCGGAAATTTCGATACAACTCACTACGGCAAAGAAATGGCCATGTTTCCTTGTGAACATGTGTGAAAGTCGAATCCTAAAAGGTCCACTTAGTGCTGAAGTATCAGAGATCAATAAGTGATCTCCAGTTGACACTGGTGGTATGTCCAACATATATATATGGCCGTCTTCTCAGGCTCCTTTGACCGGTATTTTAAATTCATGTCTTGTTGACACAGACGCATTACCCTTGGAATATTCAAACAAACAAGAGTTCAACGATATATATACCTAGGTCGGTAGATATGTAAGTATCATTGCATATCAGCCAGAGAATTGTTGCTCATTACTAGATATACTAATACATTTAAAGCACCATGAAACAGAATATAGTAAAATTACCGACCGATGACTTCATCGTCACATATCGAGGCGATATCGTCGAAAATCGACATCAAGTCCACGCTGCTATCGTTGACGCCAACGGAAATATGCTTTACACCGTCGGAGATCCTTCTCGTGTGACCTTGATCCGTTCAGCGGCCAAACCAGCTCAGGCATTGGCAATCATGGAGACCGGGGCGTCTGAACACTTCAGTTTCAATGATGCAGATCTGGCACTGATGTGTGCATCACATAACAGTGAAGAAAGACATGTCTCTCAGGCACGTTCAATGATAGCCAAGGTGGACGCCAAAGAAACAGACTTGCGCTGTGGTGGACATGTCGCCCTATCAGATGCAGTGAACAGGGCGTGGATCAAAGCTGATTATACACCAACGGGCATCTGCAACAATTGCTCGGGCAAGCATGTGGGCATGATAGCTGGTGCTAAATGTCTAGGCGCTGATGTCTCCGACTATCATCTTTCCGAGAACCCCATGCAATTATTGGTTAAACGCGTCGTTGAAGATCTGACCAAGTTGAAGGAAGATGAGGTCAAATGGGGGATAGATGGCTGCAATCTACCAGCACCGGCTATACCATTGTATGCTCTAGCGCAAATGTTTGGCACTCTCGCGGCAGCGGTCGACTCGGATGAAGGCAGCATTTCACAAGAAAGATCACAAAACTTGGCACGCATCTTTCATGCAATGACACAACATCCCGAACTCGTCGGCGGCGAGGGCCGATTTTGCACTCGGCTCATGACAGCTTTTCAGGGAAGTCTAGTTGGTAAACTTGGAGCAGAAGGCTGTTATGGGATGGGTATACGGGTGGCGGAACAAACCAAGAATCTGGGAACCGACACCGCCCTCGGGATTGCTATTAAAATTGAAGATGGGAACATCCAAATTTTATACACGGCATTAATGGAGATTCTTGAGCAAATCGGGGTTGGTACACCAGAGATTCGAAGAGAACTTGCTGACTTTCATCATCCTAAGCTTCTAAATACTGCGGGTGTTGAGATAGGCCATTTTGACTGTGCTTTCAAAGTTAGGGCTGTTCGATAGGCACATTCTGGAATCGAATCTTGGTAAAATTATCACTTATAATCGTTTACTTTTCTTTCGAATCACAAAACTTCTGTAGATTCGCAAGTAACCAGGCCTTGAACTTAGGGCTTTGTTTGTCCATATAACCCTTTTGGGAAATCACGTGCGGTCGCGTCGCGGTTGTGTGGAGCGGGCAACATCTTATCTCCGAGATCCGTCAACCATCTTTAACTTCTTCCATCTCGCCATCTGAGATGCAGCAAAGTCCGACTTTTTTGAGTACTTGGGTTCCAAACCCATCATCAACCGGCTTCTGTAAGCAAGGTATCTTTTTATGTAGCGTTGATTGACCGTGGCGATCCGTGCCTGGCGTGTTATTCGATTCCTTTAGATTCGCCTCCCGAACCGCGAAACGCAGATTACAAAGCTTTTTCTAGATTCATCTATCTATCATATCCATCACGATAAGCCGAACAGTCATCTTTCTGCTTCATTATCATGCGACTTTCATCATCATCCTGAATGAGCGTCATCTCGTCTTTGCAAGCACAGTCCTATTCTATCATCACGATGCGCGAGATCGATCCGCTCGTCCTTGAATATCAACATGACAAACACCGACCCCGAGAAGCCGAAGCGCTTCGCATGCTACAGAAAATAGCTTCCCTCGTCAAACCTATCATGAGACAACGAAGCTGGAAAGTCGGCACATTGTCTGAATTCTATCCATCGCAACGAAACCTTCTAGGATTGAATATTAATGCGGGCCAGAAGATATGTTTGCGGCTAAGATACCCGAGTGACGAGCGCCAGTTCCTGCCTTTGGAGCAGGTTGTTGATACCATGTTACATGAGTAAGTTAATTTTTTTTTTTAAATTTCTGTGCTGAAATTTATTGACAAGGATAATAGATTATGTCATATTGTGCATGGACCACATAACCGTGACTTCCATGCATTGTGGAATCAGCTTCGCGACGAACATGAAGAGCTCGTCATCAAAGGTTACACGGGAGAAGGGTTCCTCTCCCAAGGTAAACGACTCGGAGGCCGCCAAATACCGCTCGACGAAGCAAGGCGGTTGGCCCGCGTTGCAGCTGAGAAGCGGCGAACACTATCAGCTGGTTCCGGACAGAAGCTAGGTGGCGCACCGCTATTGAGAGGATCGGATGTACGAAAAGTAATTGCAGATGCCGCGCAACGACGTATTGACGTCACCAATGGATGCGCCTCGGGCTCCAACGACAGCGAGAAACTAGCGGATGAAGCTTCTCGGAATAGCTTCCGTACAAAAGCTGAAGAGGATGATGCCAACGAGCGAGCTATTATGCAAGCATATATTGAGATGATACAGGAGGATGAGAAGGAAAAATATGGTTCCTCGTATGTTCCTCCTAGTCAGGCGAATCCTGCTGGTCCAAGAGGGAAGAAGGTCTATCCAACTAAATTGAGAGCACCGCCTGTGCCTACACATACGAAGCCTATCAGGCGCTTTGCAAGCTCGGGGACGTTGTCTAGCGCGTTTGGCTCTGCAGATCAAAGCGCTGAGAATATCGTCGCAGATGATGACATATCATGGAACTGTCTAATCTGTACACTCCAGAACCCGCCGGCCTACCTCTGTTGTGACGCATGTGGAACAGAACGCTCTGCACAGTCAGTAACAGCCCAGTCACGACTTGTTGCAGCTGCTGAAAACCCTCCATCCAAGCGAGCAACCTCAAAGCCGCGAAGTCGTTTGGCCTCCGAAGTGATTACCGGAGGCGATGCTGGTCGAGTAGTATCCTTCAAAGGTGATACATCTGAGAGAATTACGAGTCTGGATCAAAATAGAGCCAAGAAGCCACTTGGATGGTTATGCCATATGTGTGGTGCATTTATGGAGACTGAGTGGTGGACGTGTTCCGCTTGCGGGACGATGAAGACTGCTTCCTGATAGCACCGGGTCTCACGATGATAGACAAGAATGATTGATGACTGTGCATATACCCTTTACTGTCCGAGCATATTTGGCGTTGATTGTTATTGGTGTCTCTTGCGCAGTTACTAGCTTGTTGATTACTGCATATAATTGCCTTTTCGCTTTCAAGGTATTGCACTTATTTACCTCTATATTCTCAAAAACCATACACTGCACCATCGTAGTCTTTGTAGTTGAAGAACCTGGCCATAAGATTTGACTGTTTACGAACCAAATCCTTCGATGCGCCMCCGTAGTGSCCCGCCATACGTAAATCCGAGGTCTGCTGCCTCGCTTTTCAGTCTGAAATTCTTAGATTTGCAAGAAACACGCCTTTTTTTTCTTGATTCTGTGCGAAGTATCAATCTCAAGCAATCCTTGTGCACTGGATCATGTTAGTTCTTAGGGATTCATTGTCCAATGTCCATCAGCATTTTCACTACTTTCTTTTTTTGGGCTTTGCTCAAACGACCTCCCTAGAAAAGAAAAGACTTACTTCAGCCTTGGATTTAATTGGCTCGTGCAAGGCGAAACCTGGTTCATCATTCATGAAGCTTTCTCCACGATTGAGGCTGTCAAAGCTAACTCAAAATAAGGAAAATATTTCCGAGTTTCCGAGTTTCCGAGGTCAGGAGGTGGCTAGCTAGTGCTGATCCTCAGCCGAGCCAAGGGCACTCCGGACTCTCACATACACCCTAAATAGTCAATGAACCGTCCTATTCATTTAAGTTGAGCTCCAAGAAACTATTGTGGGTACTAATTTTAAGCCTTAAAGCAAAGATGAGTTCGACGATTGATTGATTTATTCACGCATCTTAATTTGAACGTCTTGAGAGGGCAGATCAAGATAATCCAATCTTGAGTTACGCTAGCTAGGCTGTGAGCTGATCTGTACGTTCAACATGCTGAGAGCTACACCTGCTGATTTCATCTCGCCTATTGACTGATCTAAGACACTCTACGCACATGCATCTGACGAGAAAAGCATATTATATTATTATTAAAAAGGCTGCGGGAATTGGTCCGCAAAAGTATTAAAAAGAAATCTAGCAAATACCTCGCCACATAGTTATCACGGACTGCCAGAACGTGACAAGATTCACCCAAAAGAGACCCTACAGTCGACAGCTGACCGGGTAGAGATATCCTGCATTATCGTTCTCGCTAACTGCTCCAGGAGCCTGGATGGTGAGATTGAAAGCAGAGACGGCATCTCCATTACCGAAAACGCTACGGATCGGGTAAAATTCACCTGCAAACAGCTGCACAGTGCCACAGGACACCGGGTTAACGTAGTTTCCTCCGGCCGATGCGCCATTCAATGCCGTCGCGTTGACATCAGGCTTACCATCTCCGCAGTTAAAAGCAACGCCGCCACCAAGATATGAGTAGTCGGCGTTGTCGGCGGATGCACAGATTGTATAGTTCCCGGTTGTCGGCGCGCGGTAAAAGCCTGAGTAGACCAGCGTGTAGTTGTTGCCGTCTACCTTTATGCCACCGTTGACCTCGCGCGTATAGCCCACGTAGTAAGGAACTTGGGGATTTTTGGGATCCGCATATACCTTGGGATATCCGCTTAGATCGGACGTGTAATCCTGAGGTATGTAGGTGACATTGGTAATAGAAGAATTGATTGGGCTGAGTCCGTCGGTAATGTAGTATGATGGCGGAAACACTTCCTCCGCAGTTTGTCCCGCCGTCGTACTCGTGTAGCCGTTGTAGCCGAATTGGTTCCAATATTAGTCCACGTTCAGCCCTAGAGGCGGACAGTCAGGCCGAACCGGGCATGATGCAGGACCTGTAGGTTTGGTGACAATGACTGTTACGGGAGCGCAGGTACTAGCTGGTAGCTTTGTCGTTGTGCTTGCTGTTGCACCCAAAGTTGTGATTGTGATGGTAGCGCGGCTGCATGTAGGCGTGGTGGGAGTAGGAGTTGTGAGAGTATGAGTGGTAGGAGTAGGGGTGGTGGGTTTAGGGGAGGTTGTCCTAGAGGTATGGCCATCGGTACAGCTCGTTGAGACAGGGCTGCTTGAAGGGATCACAGTTGAGGATTCACTACAGGCGACAAGGACGGTAGTTCGTGAAGTTAGAGTGATTGTTGTGGTTTGGATATGGTCGTTCTCGCCCCAGGCAAGAGAGAAAAGGCTGCCATACGCAATTAGCGTAAAGATGATTGGACTTTTCATTTTCAGTTCGCTGAGCCACTTGATGCCTTGACAACAGAAATCGGAATGTTTATATTTGACCGATGATACCTGTAGCCGGAATACACGAACAATTTATAACTAGTGTCCCAAACAAAGACACATGCATGTACTTACCCCTGATCGAAAAATTTTTCTAGTTGCGGAATCTTTCCCAAACTAGTAAGTTAGATTGACGCAGCACTAGGATTCCCAGCTATTATCGTGGCTTTTTGTAGCTGGCTGAAATGGATGTTCAATTGAGCCTCGGTGGGCGGTCGCTGGCAGTGTCTGTCGATAGCTACTCCTGCGCCCTTAGGCACATGTTGGCCCTAACGAGTCGCGACATTGAGGCGGCACGGATCGTCCCCACCTCAATATATTATCTGGAGGAACCCTTGGGGGTGTCAGCCAGCCATTCTCGGAAGCGGCCATTGCTGACTGGTGAAGTCCGATCTCACTAATGAGATTTCAACCTAATTCAACCTAATCAACAAGGCAATTTGTTTGACTGCGATCTGAAATGTTTACTTGCCCGGAAGTAGAAAATACCAATTGAATATTCCCCGTACAGCTCAAATATACGAGTCTCAACCCATATCCGAATTTTCTTTCTCCTACCTCGAAGTATTGCCCGCTGATCTTTGTATAGGGGGTTAAAAAACTGACAACGACTATTCCGACATCATGCGATCTATGGCTCTAATCGTCCAGCTATGCTGGCTGATTGCTCTTCTGATGGAGTCTACCGAGGCTCAACTACAGGAACGAGCAATCTCGAGCAATGGAATGACTGAAATACCCAACCTCAAGTACGGTCTCTTCGTCCACTTAGTACCGGGCCACACAGTGAACCACACAGGCGTTGTAGTTGACGACGCGAATGTTCTCGCGAATAGCTTTGACGCAAATCAGTTCGCCAACGATATTGCAGTCGCAGATGTGCAGTACGTCGTTTTTACTGCATGGCACTCAAAGATGGTAGCCCTGTGGCCGAGCGAGAAGATGCTGGAATGGGAACTGCCAGACCATCGCGTTGATCGTGACCTCGTTGGTGACATGATTGCCGCTGTGGGAAACAAAGGCATTCGTATTTACCTCTACACCCACCCGCGGGACGGTTTCGAGTTCACCAATGCGGATCGGAAGAAGACCGGCTGGGGKATTGACCCTCCTTCGAATGGCGAAACCTGTAACCCAGGTGCAGACTTCAATCGGACCTAATGGAACGCTTTTATCGAAGACATCTACGGAGAACTGATGCAGCGCTATGGTCAACAGATTGATGGCCTCTTCATGGACGAGGGCAGCCCTCAAGGTGACAGTGAAACAGTGGTCGATTACCCGCAGCTCAGGACTATAATCAAAAATATCAACCCAAACGCCGAGCTCATCCAGAATGACTATGGCAACCTGTACGGCTTGGACATGGGAATGAAGGAGTACGGAGGTTGGGGCGAGTTTGCACAGCCAAACGAGAGCCTTTGGCCTAGCTATGCTGAGCCTGTGGCCGCCATCTTTACCGATCAGTGGTGGGCGGATAACACGACTAGTACTATCCGCTACTCTGCCGGGAGCATGCTCCGTTATACAGCATTCCAGGCCGCCACGAATAGCGCAGGCGGCGGCATTGCCTGGGCCACCGGGCCCTATGCTGATGGTGGCTGGGAACCCGGCGTCATGGCCACATTTCAGCAGATTGGCTCATGGATGTCTGGCATCCAGGAGTCCATTTTCGACACGCGGCCCAGCACCTCCTACCCAACCAAGCCTGGCACTATCATCGCTGATGTCTCCTGGGGATCGGCGACCAAATCTGCTGACGACTCATTTGAGTACATCCACGTGCTCAAACCGCCAGCTGGGCTGACACTCACGCTTCCGGCGCCTCGAGACGGCAAGATATTTTCAACTGCCTCACGGCTGCCAGACAGCACGCCGGTTGTCCTCAGTCAGGATATCGAGGGGGTTACGCTCACGATTACTGGCTCGTGGAATGCCAACCTCACTGTGATTAGACTGACCGTCCTAAGCCGCTCCGGTCCCGTTCCTCTCTACCGTTGTGCCAATGGCATCCATCACATAGACACCACAGACCCAGGGTGCGAAGCCGCCGGCTACTCTCTGGACGGTCCGCTTGGCTACGTTTTTGCCATTCAGCTTGTAGGTACTGTTCCTCTCTACCGTTGCTACAGTGCTAGCCGTGGTGACCATTTGGATACGACCGACTCTAGCTGTGAGACCTCAAGCTACGTGCTGGACGGCCTCCTCGGCTACATCTATAAAGCCCAAATACAGAACACTGTTCCGCTCTACCGCTGCTATAGCGCGAGCAGAGAAGACCATATGGACACAACCGACGCTAGTTGTGAGTCCTCTAGCTACTACATGGACGGTATTCTTGGCTATGTAGTAGTATGAAAGCCATCGACATCGTTAAATGATGTTGCCTATGATCACGCCGTATAGTTAAGTAAAATAACATCTATTGGAATCTGTGGTATTATTCTACGATCAGTGAGTGTGGTTATCTAGTTCAATGTTATATGAAGACAGTCCGTCTTATAGGACGGTACAGCCGAATTTTCTTAGTATCATGCAATTTCATGGTTACATAAAGCTTCTAAAAGCCTTAGGTCTATCTACCACCACGTCTCGTGATGTCCTCCTCTGCACTATCATAGTCATCATGTTCCCGAAAAAAAGCTTTGATTCGACTATCTGGATATTTACGACCTCTTTCTTTCCGTCGATTACCAATCTCGCCTCCAGCGCGTATATTTGCGTTGGGCTGCAATAGAAACTATATAGGGCTAAAATCTACAGGAGGTGTGATCAACGCAATGGATGACATGCTGCACGTTCCATATGCAAGATTCATATTCATTTCATATTTTAAACTCAGGTTTATCGGCCATAAACTTATCCTATTTGGCCACTTTAAAATTTGTTTTGTAGTATATGAACGCGACTCGCTGAACTCTGTTCCGTTTAGGGCACATGTATGATTCTAGCCCTAGTAAATCTAAGCATAGGCCCAGCTCTACTCGTATCGAGTCCATCCTCTTCTTTCGGGTTTGAAAATATTCTTACTATAATTTGAATATAGAAAGACATCACGCTATATATTAATTATTTTGACTACGCGTAAATATTCCATTGACGGGAATATAGCCGAATTTCTTTCATTTCATACGCTTATCCAGAAGCTATTGAGCCTCGTCAAGCGCGTAGAAACGTGCAGTCAAGTGAAAAAAATAGAATTTACCATTGCTTTATTGAGTATGAACGGCAAGTTCAATGGTAATTACTGCTTTCGCCCGTAGGAAGGTAACTCATGTTCCTCATATGGCACAAACAATTGGAGCTAAACAACGAATAGACAAACAATTCCGCTTCATGCCCGCAAAGGAGAATTTCGTTTCATGTATTTTCGTAATTCTCTCCGGAGACATGTAGCACAGAACAACATGAACACCGCCATTTTTGGACTTTACACTGGCCACAGGTCGGAAGAACCCCGTAATTATAATACATCTAAGTGTCGATGAATATTAGTATATTAAGCCTGGGAAGTCAGCTAAACATGCGGCTCGAAACCTTCCCCTTCCAACTCCTTGGCCACATCATTTGGCAAATCTCAAATGTCACCACCAGCTGCACTTCTCGATAATCTTTCCCTCAAGGAATCCGTCAAGACAGATGTCTTCATCTGTGGCGGCGGGCCTGTTGGCCTGATCACAGCGTATATGCTAACTAGACAGGGAATCTCTACATATCTAGTCGGTAAGCATCAAATCTTGATACTCGAGATGGCGTACATTTCTTTTAAATCTAATATATACAAACTATAGAGAAAGATGACAAAGAACAACAACCCTCGTGGGGTCGAGCATGCACACTTTACCCTAGAACCCTCGAAATGATGGAACACCTTGAACTCCTCGATACCATGAACCAGACTGGTTACATCGCACGCAATAGCGTCACTTTTAAGGATGGAAAACGAGTGACTTCGCGCGGATGGCAGAAGGTCTTTGAACGTATGGGCGGTACATACCTCGACTACTGCCTCAACATCCGTCAAAAGCGGTCCGAGGACATCTTTCGAAAGGCATACCGCAAATTAGGAGGAAAACCGCACGCTGGCTGGAAACTTATATCGTTTCATATCGACCATGATAGCAAGGATGACCACAAGGTTTTATTGCAGATAAGTGACGTTAAAACCATGGAAGTCATGACGGTTAAAGCGTGAGTGTTTATACAAGATCAGCATACAATGTGAATCTATACACTTATTAAGTCAATCATAGGAAATACTTGGTTGGAACAGACGGTGGCAAGTCTCTAGTACGACAAATCGCCTCGATCCCTTTCAACGGTGCAAATACCAAGTCTAAATGGGTACAAATCGACGGTGACTTTGAAACCAATATGCCTGATTCCGATATTGGGTTTGCATCTATCGAGTCCAAGAGCCATGGCAATGTCATTTGGGTTCAGCTTGAGAAAGGTGAAAAACGCATTTGGTTTGCCTTGAACGATGAGATGTCAGCCAAGTATGGGCGTTGCTTGAAGGAAGAAGAGGCAAAGGAGGAAGCTATTAGAGCTATGGAGCCATTTACGCTAGAGGTCAAGAGTGTCAATTGGTTCACTATGTATAGGTGAGTGCAGGGTTTATACGTCTTTGTGGGTATCTTCATGTACTAGCAAGATTATCGGCTTGATATATTTCTTCTAACAGGCGTCATAGCATCCATCAGAAAATTGCGCAGACTTTCATCATGGAAGATAGAGTTTTGTTAGCTGGCGATGCTTGCCACACCCATTCTTTCGCAGCTGCACAAGGTATGGACACTGGTATTCACGACGCCTACAATCTAGCATGGAAGCTGGCTGGAACAATCAAAGGCTGGTATAGCAACAAAGTACTGAAGACCTACGATACCGAGCGTCACCCGGCAGCCGAACGCTTGATAGAACTTGACAAGACATTCTCTACACTCATATCTGGCCAGATACCTGAGAAATACCAAGCAAACCACAAGGACGCGAATGAACCGTTGAACAAGCTATTCGAAGAGACTGCAGATTTCAATGTTGGTCTTGGAAACCAATACGAGGAGCATATCCTCAACAAAGCACCTTCAGCCGGCATGATTTCTGCAGGTTCTAAGGCACCAGATGCACTTGTATACCCACCAGGTTCTCATTTCCCAGTTTGTTTGCATACCCTGACCAAATACATGGGTAGATGGAAAATTATGCTCTTTGCGGGACAGTATGAGCTCACACACGAGAAATTGCCTGTTGCCGCCAAGCAGTTGAACGATCTTGCACAGATCCTTCCTTCAGGTGTAACTAGACTCATTACGATTGTCGCCAGCAGCATGGCAGCTGTACCTTCCATCGTTACGAAGGCTGGATTCATGTATTATGATCAAGATCGATCGGCGCATATGGCTTACAGCATTTCTCCAAAGACTGGTGCAGTGGTGGTGGTCCGACCTGATGGTATGCTAGGGCACGCGACGACTCTGAAAGATACTTTTACTGTCGCCACGTACCTGACTAGTTTTATGAAGGTTCTGCGTGGTTGATTGTCGGCTTTCTTGATACCAGTCAATGTTGAGACAACTTAGTAGGCATATTGACTATCATACCACCACTGATCACATTTAACCAAATGAAAGAACTACAAAAAATCCCAAACGTGGCTATCTAGACTCATGCTGCTTCAAACGTAAAGCTAAGTTCTGATCAGTCGGCTTCTTCACGAGGGATGCCGGGAGGTTACATTATTGTCCAGCATTTTATTCCTATTTTTACATGCATCACCACGTGTCAGCACACTTCTTCGTAGCTCATTCAGATTCTAGATGTAGCATCGTAGAGATCGGTCTTGACTCGTTAGTAAAAATGCAAAGACTTTATCCGTTTCATAGAGAAATGACAGAATAGTTCGAAATGACTCATCCCTCATCGAAGGATCTTCGCGCTAAATATTGAAAGATTCGGTTACACCTCGAAATAGCCGAGTACAGCAATGTATAAAGTCTCGATAGTTGGTCCCGGGATCTTATTACTCTGCTTCCCTTTCTATCAATTAAAGTGAAATTATTAAAAGTCAACTTCGCGCCTCCACCTGAACTACAAATAGGTCTTATCGCAAGCAGTAATAGCCATGACACTATTCGAAACTCATCAAATTGGATGGATCGGTAAAGGCTCCTTTATAGACTCTTCAGCTTGCATCGCCTACTAATTGATCTCACTATAGGATTGGGTAGCATGGGTCTTGCTATGGCCACAAATGTACAGAACGCGCTCGAAAATCGGGGCCTATCGCCATTGAAGTTTTACAACCGCACAGCGTCCAGAGGCCAAACACTTCAAGACCGCGGTGCAGAACAATGCGCATCGATATCTGACCTAGTTCAAAAGAGCGATTGGATATGCATTTCGGTAAGATAACAGAATAAACGTCCCGTTTCGTTGATAGGGTTCACTAATAACGATTTCCTTCGATGTTCACTAAGACGAGCAATGATAGCGCCTTGCGAGATATCATTAGTGAGATTCTGAAAGTAGAGGGGGATCTTTCACGAAATACTATAATAGATACTACGACGGTTCATCCAGACACTACAAAAGAAGTCGCAGCCATGGTATCCCAACGTGGAGCAACATTCATCGCTGCACCTGTTTTTGGACCACCGCCCAGTGCTATAAGTGGTGAGCTGCTCATGGCAGTAGCTGGATCAAATCGACGGGCTCTTGAAATGCTTGCACAGGCATTCAAAGGAGTGATCGCGCGGGAAGTCATGGTCGTTTCTGATTTGCCGGAAAAGGCACTTTTGCTCAAGACTCTAGGGTAAGCTCCATGTCCACGATCCACTGCAAATGAGACAAGGAGGAAATTGTAACCTCAATTCGGATTCAGAAATTTTATTGTTGCCGGAGTTATGGAGATTGTTTCGGAGGCGCACGTCCTTGCAGAGAAGTCTGGTCTCGATTCGCATTTATTCGAAAGCTTTCTCGGGAAAAAGTTTGGAGACCTTGTGCACTCAGATTCCACTCGACTCACCACAGGCGTGTACATTCCGGAGAAAGGTACAGTTTTTAAGGATCAATCACGTTTTGTCAAAGATCGTTGGTAATTGACTTGCATTCTAGGACAGAAAGCATGGTCCGACCTGAATCTCGCAATAAAAGATGTTCAACACGGAATCGATTGTGCCCAAGCAGTAGGTACACGCCTTAAGGTTGCAGAGGTTGCCATGGAGCATTTGAAGAGGGCAAAAGAGTATTCAAATAATAACAACGAGAGGTCGTTGGATTCCTCAAGTTTGTATGGCGTCATCAGGCAGGATGCAGGGTTGGATTTCAGAAACGATATCGTGATGTCGAGGCCAGAGGAGAAGGAAACATGATCCTGAAGAAATCTCCCGAGAAGCCTTCACAAGAACTGGCTAAATGGAATTCAGATATTTCCTATTGGAATTAGATACATGTATTTTCCCCAGGTCATCCGAGAGTTTGGCTTAGTAAGAATGAGGGTAGATGGTATTGCTATTCCTTTCCATCTCATTGCGGACGAGCAGCAAAAGCTGGATATACACCTAAAATTTTCTTGCCCTAACTTTTGTCGCCGAATTAATTTTATACATTATTAATAATTAAGATAAAAGATATAAAAAGAAAGAGGCCATCATATCAAGGACCAAAGACAGTAATAATCAACAATTATGAAGTATATGTACATAATTATTCAGAGCTGAAAAGTAGATAACGTATGTTTGTAAAGATAAATCAACGACTAAACTTCGGTGCTCCCATAGGATCATGATTTCCGGGATAAGCCAGGTATCGCTTTCGAAGCTGCAAAGGCATGCCCCCTTCAATGCCAAAGGCTATTTGTCTGACTTGATCGTCTGGACCTGATATATCCCTAACTACACCAGGTAAATTGTCCAGGATATCGATCTTCCGCTTATTCTTTCCAACGAGCAATGGTAGATCTTTCTGACCCAAAGCAGCGCCCATGCGTAACATGGTAAAGGCGTCTAGAGTATCGGTCCAACGATGACTGAATGCAGCATACAACGCCAGTAACAGTAGTGGAATCATGTACAGCCCAAATAGTATAGAGCAAGCAATCACGGCTGGCAATGACATCGAGGGTAAGGTTATCTGCTCTAGAACATCATTGTTCGAGTAAATAGACATGTATCCGTAATTCGAGTCACTGTCAAACATGGCCTTGATGGCTAGAAAGCCAGCTTGCGTAAAAGCCGAAGAAGCGTCTGCTGAAGGGGCGGAGAAACTTCCGAACCAGTCATGCGCTGCGTAACTATCCAAGCCAACTTTAAATCCAAGCGGCGTAAGTGGTAGTTGACTGTCACCTGCGGCATATGAGTCGAGGAAGAGCTTCCAACCAGTCTCATTAGTATCGATCGAATAAAAGTTAGGCGCAGTTTGTTGAGTATCCGCGAATGACCCGGGTCCGAAGAGAGCCAAGGCGATGGTAGCTAGGGGACCAATAGCAGATGGATTGAAAAAATTGTAATCTCGGCGAGCTATATGCGTTTCATTATTACAATAGTTTCCACTACCGCATGATGAGTTGGATACCAATGGGCCCGCTAATTGACCGTTCTGGACATTTGGCAGCTCGAATAAGCCGGCGGTCGTGTTCATGATGACTTTGAAGGGTTTCATATAAGACTCATAATCTTCATCGGCTGGAGCTGACGCTGAGTAGTTGGAGTTAATGTTGACGTAGAGCACCTCAGTGAAGTCCTGGCGTGCGTTAGTAGCCAACCATGGAGATTGGTTGGCATTTCCTGGTAAGCATACTTCCACTGTCAAGTTGTAGAAGCTATTAGGGTATGTATAGGCAGCATAAAATAATGAGTCTCCAGAACAATTTGACGGAAATTCACCCGTAGTCATAATTTGAACCTCGGCCGAGCAGTTGAGCCTTGCAATATACTGATTGGTGTATAGACCAGTGCTACTGTTTTTGGATAACGGCGCATACCAGCTTGCATCCGATGTGTAGCCACTTAATTGACTGGTATTTCCCCAAAGGTTATCTTGATACCCATCAATTCCTATCGTCTGTGATTCCTGTCGTACCGTAAGAATATAAGCCGCAATGTCCTCGTAGCTCGAACTGAGTACGGTTGATAATGACTTCACGCCGGAAAAGCTGTAGTCGATAAAGCCATATCTGTCGATAGGCGCAATAGAGACTAGTCGAGTCGAAAGGAACAGAGATTGAATCGGATAGGTAATGGCTCCGAAGATGTGAATGAAGATGGCTAGATAGAGCATGCTGCTACCGTATCGCTTTAATCCAGAAGGATAAAGCAGCAAACGCAAGTATTGCATAGGGTTCGTCCAAGCACGATCCGCCAGAGTTATCACCTGGCGCAAACGTAGGCTGTAGGCATCGCGCTGATTCTGTACAAAGACGGCGGCAGCCCAAGCGCAGACGAACGAGATGACTGGAAGTGTTACAATATTTGCAACGACTTGGACAGTGCGCGCAGCTCTGTAAGAGCGGGTCTTGATGCCGTTTTTGTTGGTAGTGTAGTCCTCTACTCGGGAGAGAACGCATATGGTCGCCCAGGAATAGATTGCCATGGTCGCATAAAGCGCAACGGGAATCAGTATGCCGAGATTTCGGTGTAATGGTGTAGAACGTATGCGTTCAGGACGGTGTTGCTCGTACGGTGGAAGCACCTCCTCGTTCCGCCCCTCGTACGGCGGCACTTCATATTGGTCGGCAAAAGTGTCATTCTCTTCATGCCCTTCGTGCTCTTCGTGTGGAGATGTCTCTCTAGACAACTGTTGTAAAGGGACATCATCTCTTGCCTCCATATCGATGATTTTGCAGCGTTTTGCTTGGACTCCATGCAAAACCCCAAAGGAACCACGGGCTGGAGGGCAGAGGCATAGTCGCTTATTTTAACAATGCTGTGCCACAAAAAAGAGAGAGGGAATTTTCAGCCTTAACGCTATAGAAGCAGGGCAGATTCTTTAGGGGTTCAATACTTTTAAACACCGTCTCAAATCTGCCATTGTGTATGGCTGGTCTAGCCCCGGCGATGTTGGCTACTATTAGCCATGGCAGCGCTAAACCGGGGGCAAGCAGCCAGTCACAATAGTTAATTGTAGTCTGGCTGCATATTAACTCTCTGTTGGCCTTAGGGGTACGTAAGTGTGGCTGCTCTAATCTAACCACGTAGCACTCGCTAAGCACTTAGTTTGAGGCATCTTTCTCTTTGTTTAATAAAAAGCTAACCCCACAAGGTTGACAGCTTATTTCCCCGATACATCATCCCCTTTGTAGTTTGTCCTTCGTAAGGCTCACCGAGGCTGTTAGCGCCCGACTGAAATTAGCCTCCTCAGCCGACCATAGTGCGAGAAGACATTTCGAGTTTTTGACGAGCATTTCATTGATTTTCTGATATCTTCGTTCATTATGGTGTGTAGATCTACTGAATTTCCGACAAAGCGTCAAGAGAGGCACTTATCACGAAACAATTATGAATGTAGTCCTGACTGAGACACAGGGGCAGTTATATGCATCTCTCAGCTGCTAATCAACCTTCGTGCATTAGCTTATGTCTGAGGACAGTCAAGTCGAGATTCATGCAAATTTGCTTGTTGCGCGGCTCAATAATTACGGCTGATGTTGGATCGAGGCTGTCTATTTAGGTATGTTTTTGCACTACAATATAAATAACTTTTAGGACTTGACAGTTCAAATCAGTTCAAAGTAGTATTCTGAGGAGAAAGTAGGAGGAAAACATACTGGTTTCGTACTGGAAACGACGTGCTAGATAGAACATTGCAGCGACTCGCTGTTAGGCACACTCGGCTAATAAACACATGCAGCTAGCGTGGGGCTAAGTTGCATCAAACCATGCCTCTAATACCTGACAAGTTTCGACTAATTGCCGAAGATTTTCCAAAGAAAGAGTTTGTCCGTCGAATGACATTACGGAGAGACGGCGAAGCCGTGGTCCATGCCTTTCCAATATTGTATCAATACTGATGCGTGAGTGCCATCCAGTCATTTTGAGAGTCGATAAGGCCGGTAAATTGAGCATGAATGACTCAACTTGATTGATACGACGAGGGAAATAACGACCGGTGTCATAGGCATGTCCAAGTTCAATGTCCAAACTTTCGAGCGAGGGAAAGTAGCATCTTGTTGCCAGCTTCTCTGATACGCTTGTAATGCTCTGATAATCGATTTTTAAAGTTGTCAATGCCGAAAAGTCAGTCAGGATTTCCCATCTCTCCAGTTCGAATGGTCGTAACCAACTCCAGTTCATTGAGGAAACCCATTCCAGTGCACCCCGCGATTTTCTTTCCCTAGACTCAACGGTTTGTTGTGCAAAGCCAGTCCATGGTTTCCATGGTCCACGAAGTCCTTCTTTATGTCGTCCAAGGTCTCTAGTCCTGTGTAGATTTCTCAGATTAGGTGCTAGACCACCCACAATGCATCGGAGGGCTAGCTCGTCATACCAGTTGCCCGGGAACGATGACGCGTCTAGAATCGTCAAACCATGCAGAGATGGCGAACTGGCAAGTGAGTATTCATAATCATCTGTACCGTGTGCATTCATACTGCGTAGTCTGAATTGAATGATGTATAATCGACATTGAGGTTGGCTCCGATGAAGGCATTGAAGTAGACAAGGCGGCAGTTGATGAAGACAGTCATAGAATAGGCCATCTAAAGACGGAATTTGTCCAACGAAATCGGCCAAAGGTTTCCAGAAATCATTTGTCTCGTAAACTGCTTGAAGAGACATGATATCATCCCCTCTTTTGTCCAGATCTTCGAAACAGTTCGCTAAAAGGTCGTCAAAGTGGTTGCTATATTGAATAGATGACATCCTCGGCCGATACCACGATGTCCGGTGTGCTTGCTCTCGATACTCTGGTTGTAGGTCATTCTTTGTTAATGATCTTATGGTCTTAATCTTATCATCAATGATGAGGCGCCGTACATAACCGTATCCATTAACACGTTGTAGGATCTGGCGAGTTTGATATACATCCTCGGCAAGCTGTGAGACGTCGTGTGCTGAAAATCTCAAAGTCCGAAATAAGAAAGGCGTGAGACGGTAATATAGAATCTTGCAGACACATGCGAAATCAACTATAGTATGCGCATTATCTTGATCGATATTCTGGAGAATGAGTAATAGAATCTCTTGTGGCAAGCTTTCCAGCATGCTCCCCGACATATTTTACGTTTGAGGATTTCAGGACTTCGAGGCAGCGATCATGCTTTAGACTGTATTGTAACATAGCGAAATTCAGAAAGAGACAGCGCCTGTTCACAAGCGTTCTGAATTTTCATGGTCTCCATGTTCTGGTGACGGTAGCCTAAATTTGTGGAAAACCAACGTGCGCTAGGTAGGTGAGCCTCCGCTCGCTAAAATACGCTGTTCCTACTCGCCGAAGATATTCACAATGCCCAATATGAGCGACAAACCGTTTCCTGCCGTGGCTGACAGAGGCGTTTTGAAATCATTACTAAATTTGATCTTTGATGCTTTTGCCAACTGATCGATAAACCCTACGTGTTTCTATATCATACGCGACCCTCAAACTCAGGGTGTATTCCCGTTAGGGCTAGATAACATTGATCTATTCTCAGACATCAATATTGAAACCTACAAGATCGCTTCGTGGGCGCCGGCTTGTCATTATGGATTTTGCAAGGGACTAAAATTAAATACAGCCGACTAGCAATGGTTGTGGAATACAATAGAAGACTCAAAGCTAGCAATACGTACTACACTCTGCAACAAGATTATGCTTGAAATGGAAGATCTTAAACCAACAATTGAAGCTCCAACATGGAAGCATGATGCATGACGCATGTTAATGGCGCATCTAGAACTGGGTTGGAAAACATACCAGCAAACAACGACCAATAGGATGGTCGACGAACTGAATCTCCACCAAAACGACAGGGCTAGGGAGCGGTGACTAGATAAAAGACCGAAGCCAAGAGCCTCATGTTGCCAATAATAAACCAAATACGAAGATCTACAGTACTAAGGCAGGGCTTGTGTGAGCCTCCGAAAGTGGTGGCCCCCATGTTACCGCATGCTATAGGATTCAAGTACCTAACATGGCGATCTTTTGCTTTTTCTCCTGACGGCTTAACGCGATTTTATATTCAAAGGGGCTTGTTTCTTTGGATTTAGGATGTAAGTGACGGGTATATAACCTGAACTCCTTCCAGCCGACTATCTCGGAGATTTTTTTCTTGTTCAAAGCCCTCTCTTTCCATATTTTGTTTCTATCGACATTTCGCACGAAACAGATCCTCGCTCGCAATGAAGCTCACTCCATCAGTACTCGCAACGCTTGCTCTGAAAGCTGTAGCAACTGCATATGCGGGTACGCCTCTTCCAAACCCCTCAATGTCTAGGGGAAAATAAAGACAAACTGAAAACTGACGAATCTCATCTGTATCCATCAGAGACCGCCAGCAACTGTAACGTCGAAGGGAATCTATTCCAACTCGAAGGATGGGTGCAAGATAGCGTCAGCTCAGTCGAACTCCGTCAATGGGGTGACCTAGGAACCGATTCAATCGCCGTACTGAACGGCGACGCGAATACAAAAACCGCAGTTCATTACATCAACAAAGACAATGGCCACTTGATTGTTCTCGACCCTTTCAATCTATTGATCGCAGCCAACGCATACACAGACAGTCCCGATGGCGGCGAGCTCAAGTTCACCTTTTACAATGACTCCAGCAGAGCCTATTATTGGCCCTCTTTCGACATCAACGCAGACGGTCATTTGACGGTCAATGGTTCTAGTAGCATCTTCAGTCACTGTAGTTCGAATGATACCGATTTACTCAGCGGAACGATTGGAATTGGGTCGTTTAGTGGAAAGGATTGCCATCCATTGGATTATCTCAACGTGATGCCCGTAACGTCTCAGTTGAGCATTGAATGAGGTCCAATAACTGTTGTGAATACTTTGTTATAAGGTGGCAATATTTTTATGAGTCCGAGATAGTCTTCTCGTTAAAGAGACATGTTGGTTTTCGAACGAACATCCAGAAGAGACAGGGCATGGCATACATAGAGCCTCCACAAAGTCAACATGTCTATATCTTGTTTACATGGATACGGAGAGCGCTCCTAATTGTAATAGACTAGCCAGACTATATTACTGGAGTGGTATCTATCTTAAATTGTTCAGAACCTTTCCATAATGAGTTCCGACTTCGTAATGGTTTTTATAGTCATTTCTACAGTGCACTGCTGAGTAATAATGTTCTCTCATTCCTACCGGACAAACACTAAGTCCACTCCATATTTGGTTTAAAGAAATCAATATTTCACCATATAATATGGATTGGATAATCATGATTTAGAACGTGGCCCTAAGAAAAGTTGACAGGCCCACTGAAAGTCTGCTTTACAGCCTGGTTGCCAACACGGCCGTTGTTATTGATGTGATTCCTCCTTGGTTTGTGATTTCAGCTGGACCGGAGTTACCTCGTGCTGGCTCGTCTGCTGTTTTTCTTCATTCCGACTCGACTCCAAATGACAGTTTATGGAACGCCATTCTTGCAGCAAAGCCTCAATGGAAGAGGCTGCAATAACGGAAGCATATTCCTTCCATCTCTTGCTTCCATCTCTTGGTCTTGTATCCATCTGCATAGTCGCAAACAGTCTTGATCTCAACGGTCGGAAAGTTATTCCACATACCGGCAGCTTTCATTTCAAAATCTGGTAGATTATCTTGATGGGCGATTCTATCTCGATATTTTGCAGATTTCATGACCACATTGCCTGAACTGAGGAGGCCAAAATGAAATTCAGCACCAGACATGTTACTCCTGTGTTGCCGACAGACTAGGTGATGCTCGTCACAATGGGGTTGAACAGAAGTAAGCGAGACAGCTTCATGCATATTTCCGTATTTATCCCCTAGACACGCGTCACAGATACGGAGGATTCCTTATTGACGGTGTTTATGACGATAATCAGCCAGATAAAACTTGTCTTCTTCTTGAGCTGGACGATTTCACTATTCGGATCCTACCTTGCTACAATTGTTATCGATGAGGTTATGGTCAGTCCATGATGGGAGATAAAGACAGAACTTGACTTTTCTCGATTTAGATATGCCAACGACGAGGGTAAAAGATTTCATATTGCGTCGGCGCATCCCAGGCATTTGATAAGCAGTTCTTGGAGCAAACACAGGGTTTCTTGGCCGAGCTTCTTGATGTCAAGACTGGATCTTTTGCAGCGGGTTTTGAGAAAAGAAAAATCGAATAGATACTGGCAGATGCCATTCTAAAATTCATTCAAGAGATTTTTTGGGGTCTAGACTTTGTTTGAGTCTTTGTGTTTCCTTTACACAATGATGGGTCCTGTTGGCTGCCTAGCCCGTTGTATAACAAGCCACTTGTCCTCGACAGATGCAGTGTCCTCTCAAACATATAACATGGAGTAAAAGACAGGTTCAATTATTACAATAACTAAAATTATCCGAGTTCACAATGCCTCTACTCAAAATTACATGCCGTTTCTCCTTTTTATTGATAGTCCTAGGGTTGGCATTTTCACTGCTAGCCTTATACTTGGAAAGAAACGCCCCCGAATCTGTCAGGCTAGAAGGAGAAGTCTGGCCGGGTCGCTTTAATGACCCAAGTCTCCCTGAAATGACGGGGGTCGGGTTTGATCTTACTTTCGGCTATGGGTACGTTATTGACATTACTTGAGACCGCACACAGTAGCTCACATAATTCTCCACAGGACGGCTGTAATTCAGTACAAAAACGGAACATCGTTCAATGTCGCGAAGATCGATGGCAGTCGATCGTATAAAGAATACATGCGCGATTTATCATCGGAGATTCTTGACGAATATTCCGGGGCAAGAATGGTTGATGGACTTTTCAGGCAGCCTTCTGCACCGATATGTCCTACTCTCAATGGAAGAAACGTCAAGCGGAGCCCTTATGATAATTTCAGGATTCACACAGAGACCACTACTCTAGAGAAGTCACCCATTGATCTGATGCTACAATCACTTGTATCATCAACTCGATCCTATATAAACACGACTATTTCCCTCCCAAATATCTATATAACATTTCCATCACGAATGTACGCCACCGAGCACGGAACAACGAACCTAACTAGAGCGTTTCAGAACGTTGATATAGCAAATATAGGCGGACTATCACTGGCACCTTACCTGACTGTTGGTAAAAAATTGTATAGTCTTCGCTCAGCAGGTCGCCACTCTAAACCCCAGGAATATACAGCACTCGTGATTGAGTACAGCAAAGACGTATTCAGTACAATGGTCATTGAGCCATTAGATTCCATCGACCACTGGGAGGATATTCAAATTTCACGATACGATTTAGATTTCCACCTTGGTTATCACAATGTCACCAATGATTGTCATTTTCAAAAAATCAAACAGCGCTTGGATGAAATCACAACTTTAGTTGGGCCCCGGGGAAAATTTTTTCACCTGACATTGATGGGAGACCAAGCCTCACAAGAACAGTTCCAGTCCGTCGTCGAGTGGGCTCTGCATGATAAAATAGAGAGATGGGATCAAAAGCAGTTATTGACTTGTCCACTGTCATCCTCGCACGATCCAACGTTCGCAGGAGCTCAAGCAGCAGCAAGAATGTCTCTAATTGATCAATGGGAGGATGAGTGGGATTTCTATGCGCAGCGACCACTTTTCATAACGCGCCCATTGTCGATATTGAGACTCTTCTGGGTGGAAATAAAGCTCAGCGTTGAAGCGAACTTGGGGGCTTTGACGAGATATTTCGCGCCCAAGTCCGCGCCCGAACAGCACACGGAAGCTGAGCGTCTTATATACCTAATTGGCCAGTGAATTACCAGTTTATTTCATTTTTTTTTTGTTAAAAAAGTAGTAGCTATTGCATTAGACTTCAAAAGAGACGGTGATTGTTGCAACTTTCTTGGTCATGAAGGGCATTATTTCCTACTCGGACACTACCCGTACTATCATTCACTAGAACATATAATACTATTAAGCTTCAACACCCGGTCACAAACAGTAGAAATAAATTTGTATAGCCCTATCGATTCTGGTGAAAGCCCCTCCCAAGCCGTTGAGGAAGAACGGGCAGATCATTGCCACGAGCAAAAACGCCTTGATGTATCGTTCCATGATTCAGAATCTAAGTCTTTGTCATCTGCTTCGGAGTAGAACAAGCTTGCGGACATTCGCCGATGCGCATTTTCTGTATAACACTGGGCTCCGGTTGTCCTCCGATGACCAATAATCTCATACTATTCGTACGATTACGGGGCTACATATATAGGTGTGCGTAGATTGTAAGGCGTTGTGAACACAGCCCGTTGAGAGAAAACCTGGCAAGTGACTACAACGAATTTGGAGAAACCACAACCCGACGTGGGTTGATTCGTTTGAGCATGGATTGGACCCTTTAAAACTGGCTCATTGCCGCCAGCATTGAGGGGTAATTGCATGCGGCGCAGGACGGCCATGTTAGTCATGTTGCCTAGCAGACATGCAGCACTGTGCATGCAGCGTGGTACGCGACCATAACATGGGTTGAGGGACATGCTGTGGCACAGAGATCAACGAAAGGTGCAGTCTCCATTCGCCGATCACTCAAAATTCTTGGCTTACCGGACGCGGATGTGCGGCAAGAAGTTCGAGAAATTTGAATAGATCCCGAACCCTACCGTATTGACTCAAATTGAATATCCTCACCAGGACCCTGCAGGAACAAGGTTCATTTGACTAGATAGAGCTATTTTATAATCATACCTTGCTATGAAACCCAATAGGCCACGGTATATCAATCAATGAGACATATATATCACACGATATAGAATCCAATTGTGTAACAAGAGGTCACGGAAAATAAAATAATCCATTCATCCATCGGGGTGTATGAATCGCCTATCAAATCTCAACTGATGCTGTCTAAGATATTAAACCACCGTGACATTTCTATTTCTTTGATCTCCCGTGGATTTGACGAGAGAACATGCGCCTCTTCGCTCAGCCACTGATCGAAGACAAGTTGTAGATATACCTGATCTGACTCACCGACCTTTCCCTCACGATGACCTTCCGATACTTCTGTATTGATAAATCCTGTCAGCCATGCATGATTATCATTCTGGTCAATAATGATATCAAATGGACATATATCAACACCAAGAGTAGAGACTCCATGCTGACGAAGTTCTTTTATCACTTGGGAAACCTGTTGCCGCCACTTGACATGATTCGACTCATTTTGTGCGGTAATATGGCGGTAGGCACCTAGTCTGTGGTTTATAAGACGGAATCCATCAATCCATTCGAGAAGAATTCCTGCAATCTGTTTTCCGTCTTCCCTCTGCATGTCAGCGTCAGGACGGCCGCTATAGGATAGAATTCCAAGCACCTTCGGGATGCGTGCGCTATCATCACTGCGTCTTATCTGCAGAGAGTGTAGGAGGAAATAAGAGGCAATAGACTGGTAAGACTCATTCACATCTTTGACATAACCGGGTCTCTCCTGGCTACGCGTTGAAATTCTACTGGGAAGGAAAAAAGCCACCGTTCCGTCAGAGAGACGAACTTTTTGAGGAGCATTTTTGAGATCCATCCCGTGATCCAAAGGGGATGCCTCATGACAGTCATATATCGGTATATCATCCGGCACGTTGAACTTGTTCCATGCCGCAGGTCGCATCTCATATGCGCACGTGCTAGTTGGACCATGGACTACCCGCGGAATCACGCCGGTTTTTGGAGCTCCATACAACCTGATGGTATATGATTTACAGTAGAAATAATCGTGGAGACTGGTCCAATACGGGATATTCGGTGCCAACACCTGCAAAATCTCCATGCAGTGTGAAATAATCAGATCGCAGAGCTCACTCCAGCGACCCGCACGTAATAAAAACGGGTCTTGTGTGAGAAGGGGCCTCCATTGCTGCTCAAAATCCGTTCCCCTCACGTCATCTTCATAAACTCTGAGCTTGAAATGTACGCCGTTTCTCCAAAATTGCATCTCACTCGTGCCGGGGTTGTCGTTAATTATACCGAAACGAATGATGTGTGGTGTATCAAAGTGTCGAATAGCAGACATTGTTGGTATCAGTTTGTTGCCTTCAATGGCTTGAAGTGGTCAACTATAGGATATTGAAGGTTATTAAATTGAACTTGAGAGAGACTTCCGGATTGCAATTATATATACTTCAAATGATTGCTGAGGTGGTTGATTTATTAATATAAATCGTGGTGGTAAGGTGATACTTATTATTATCTGACACCAAAGCGGACCACGTCACCGAGCGGGGCCACTGTACAGGGGATCTCTTCTACTGAACCCCAGGCGTCCTTGACCTTCTCACGTAATGGATACTGCCGATCAACAGCCGGCTCTATTTTTAATGGGTCCATCAAATCTATGAACTATAGGATCCTCTTTAAGGTCCCAATATGTCTCACACTTTCGGAAATAAGGCAGTAAGCCGTTATAGCTCCATCTTGGATCATTGACTAGCTGTGCCCATACTCGTATATTTTCAACCTCTCCGTCTTTGCTCATAAATTTTTAAGCCACTTCGTGTTCCGCAATCTGATCTTTCCCCCAGAAAGTCATCAGCAGTACTAGACTGGCATCAGTGCCAGCAAGAGTTGCCTTATTCGTTCCCAGCCAGGCATGTAAGCTCGGGGCCGCAATAGGAAACCTGTACCCATTGTAGATCGTATCATTGTGGACCCTGCGAATACAGACAAGGCATAAAAAGAAAATACCTGTATATTATACGCCTAAACACTCATCTTTCCCGAAAATTGCTTGTAAACAAGCCAGTCAGGGCATATCGAAGTGATAGAAACGGCACATTCTTTATTCTGTAGCAGAGATTGCGTACTATTCATTGCTGCTTAGACACTCTTTCCCATTCGTTCTAACGCAGCTATCGGACTTTAGTGTTATGTCCGGTGGTGATATTAAAACATAGACAAAGGCAAGGATAAAGCAAGGGTATTGGGTATACAACTTGAGTACGGGCGAATATTATATAAGTATTTTATAGAACTCCGCCGCACCGAGGACAGATGATTCTGTTCTATGCTTAAATTAAGCATAAACTATTTCAGCACAAATGGCAAGCGCCAGAATTACCAAGCAACTTCTTCTACGCCTCAGTATTTACAACTACAAGGCTGAGAGCAAGTCTGAGGAAGAGACACACAACAATGTTGCTCGGATTGCCACTAAGGCTGCTCACCTTCATGCCAAATATCGGATGGATTCCTAAGTCCAGGTACATGGAAATATCTGACAAGTCTATTCCATCACATAGTTCTTTTAGCGAGACTTTTCTCTGTCTCTGGGAATTACATTTGAAACAATGACATGCATGTATATAAAGTCTACGTCCAGTACCACTCCCCTTCCTACTTCCAGGAGATCATCCAAAACCTCAATACCCAGGATGAGCGAGGTTTGGCCATTGATGACCGTGACTTCGTTGTCAAGTTCTATTTCCACCAATTCGAGGAAGTCGCAAAATTCACTTTGGATCCCGAGTTTAAGGCCATGCAGCAAGAGAAAGAGCCTTGGGTCTCTAAATACCGTATTGTGACAAGTTTGGGATGGGTCGAAAACTTATTTCAGGATGGCAAGGTTGTCAATATTCAGGATGGAATTGCAAGCTTCCCCGACTTTGTTACCATGACTGACTTGTCAACTCCGGGTAGTGATAGTCAGTAGTGGGTGGATGAATATTGCAAGTCGGATTTTGTTGCAAAATAATTGGCAACCATTCTCAGACTATGTTACATCACGATATTATATCGGGAGTGTGTTCAGAGATCGATCCTTTGCACGATGTTTTACATACCGGTGCAGTATGAGACAGTACGTGTTGCTAATTAAATAGGTACCTAGGTAGGCAGGATCATTTGAACACTTTTCAACTTTCTTGCAATCCATCATATAGTATATACAGTGATATACTCATCCTTATTCCCTTTATAATCGTCTATTTCACTCCCTATTCACGAATTTGTCATCGCTAGGGCATGAAAAGGCAGCTTACGCTGTAGAAAGTTGTCTCTGTCCTTCACGCTTGAGAATCACTGTCTAGAACAAGTACAATATTCACGCTTCTCCCCCTTCTTGATAGTCTGAGTTCCATCTGAGTATATATGATGGGTACGGGGGCTGTTGCCATCAGCCGGGGTAGTTCGTACACTTATGAATAGCTCTTTATCACTGCGGGACCAAAAACAGCAAGTTGACCAATGACAATCGTTTTATTCTACGTTTCATTCTTAGTCTCCGACGCGTGGATCATGATCTATATAGGATGAATACACACGACTATAATCTCGGTCTTGGTGCAATCACGACAAGTTTAGTGTTCATTACCATATCTAAGAGAATGCTAACGTCATTTGTGAAATCCCTGCCCCAGCTCGGACGAACGTGGAAGCCACTTAACTTTACTAACCCGAACTTCGTCCGGCTTGCTGCAAACCAACGAATCGAGGAAGAAACAATTCCTAAGTATATTGCATCTCGGTATTACCCTGTTCGCATTGGTGATGTATTTAGGGATCGATATCAAGTTGTAGGAAAATTGGGATTCGGAACCAGCTCGACCGTGTGGTTGGCGCGGGATTTGAGGTACGGTTTCTGAGCAAGGTCTTGTTCAATGCTCACGCGTCTTGTAGTCATCGCCGCCATGTGGCACTCAAGATCTACATTGGCTCTGCGGCTATGGGACAACAAGTGGATGACGAGTTGAATATGTACAAACGCATAGAAAAAGGCTCCAATAAACATCCAGGGCGGAGCGCTGTTAGAACGTTACTTGACTCCTTTACTCTTCGTGGACCCGACGGAGAACACCGTTGTCTTGTCCATCCTCCATTGTGGGAAAGTGTTTTAACTTTTTTGCATCGGAACCCGATAGGCAGACTTCCCAGCCCAGTTTTAGCATTCGTTCTGCAGCGTTTGTTTCTGGCCCTGGACTATCTGCACACTGAGTGTCAGATAATACATACTGGTCAGTATTGCGCGTAAATGTCATTTTTTCGGAAGTATCACTCACGTTCCACCACTAGATATCAAGGCAGACAACATTATGTTCGGTATTGCCGACGACTCTGTCTTCAGCGACTTTGAAGAGGAGGAGCTTCGAAGACCCATTCCCAGAAAAGAAACGGATGGTAGAACAATCTACATATCTCGGGAACTCCGAATGCCTAAGGATTGGGGAGCCCCCGTTCTATGTGATTTTGGGTCGGCGGTGCCTAGCGATGTAGAGCACTTGGAAGATGTTCAACCTAATATTTATCGAGCACCAGAGGTGATCCTGGAAGTGCCTTGGACGAATAGCATTGATATATGGAATGTGGGATGTATGGTAAGACAGAGTCCTTGTCACTTGTTTTTGGAAGAGGCTACTAATTTGAGGCCAAACGCCAGATCTGGAACGTGTTCGAAGGTGGATCCTTATTCACAGGACAAGACCCAGAATTTCAAACTTATCGGAGTCGAGCACATCTTGCCGAAATCATAAGCCTTCTTGGTATGCCACCGCCTACATTACTTGCCCGCGGGCAACTCACTCAGAAGTTCTTTTCAAATGATGGTACGTTTTTACTAGTGTTAAGCAAAATGAAAAATATTAGCTGATTGCTTAACTTTTTCTAGGTAATTTTCACGCAGGGATTCCTATAAGAGAGCAAATCCCCTTGGAACAGAGAGAAACAAGCCTTGAGGGACAAGATAAAGTGATTTTCTTGCGTCTGATAAGGAAGATGTTGCAATGGGAGCCGAGCGAACGTGCTTCCGCAAAAGAGCTGGCTCAAGACGAGTGGATATTGAAGAACTTGTAGCTAGTATTGCTTACGGGAAGAGCCAACAAAGGCATGAGCCTCAAAGAATTCTAAGCATCATGTCGTTCTGCATTTATTTGACTCAATAATGGCTGCTTGACTTGAGATTGAATAATCAAGGTGAATTTGGGTCGAAATTGTTGGCATGTGTATCATCTAGAGTGTATAAGTATATAACATGATTATATATGTTAAAGAGACTTCTACTTCATAGATTTCGAAAGATGATATTGAATTTCGTAGGCCGATGCCTCTCAAACCGGTCCCGAACCATCTTTTTCGCGATTAAAGACGTGGTGGAATGAACGGAAAAGATGAGCTATTCACGACCCTCAAGCCTGTCACCCCCGTAGACTTGACATTAGGGATCAACCATTGCTCAGGTATCGTTCGACCGACCCATATTATTTGCTGCGGATGCGTGAAACTGTGTCAATGCGTTTTCGCGAATTAGTTGAATTTATTTCCTTGACAAGAAAAAAGAATATGAGAAAACACAATATAGCCATGAGCTTTAGCTTAGCAATCTCAACATGTTTTTATATGACCGCATAGCTTTTGGTGAGAATCCAACGAATTGAGATAGAAATTAGGCCTCTGAAGACGCTAGAATCATATCTGCAGCCTGTTCTGCTAGTGCATAGACGCAGTATTGAATGTGGCCGGCGATAGGTACTGGTATAACACTAGCATCAACGACGCGAAGTCTATCTACGCCTTTGACGCGCAGCTCACTATCCACGACTTGACCCATGGATACGCTCCCTGCAGGATGAAACATCGTTCTGTCAAAAAAGAAATCTTAGTCTCTGAAGCATTCATTTGTATTCGAACAAGTAAACCTACCCTAAACGTCGACGGATCAATTCATTGAGCTCTTCGTCAGTGGAGTCGGAAGAGACCTCTCGGCCACCCTCCTCAACCGCTTCAGAGACAATAAGCCCTCGGCCAACCCCCGTCCTACGAAGAACTTCATGGATCTTCCGAAGACCCTCTCGAAGCACATACCGATCTGTTTCTGTCGCCAAGTAGTTGGGGTCTATCAAGGGTAGACTCTCTGGATTTGCGTCTCTCAATCGAATAGACCCTCTAGAGGTAGGTAGCATGCACATAGTGGATGTTGTAATATGAGTGCCATCTGGAATAAGCAATGGGTCTCCCTCATTGAACGCCAGATACATGACGTAGATCTCAATATGACCGTGCTGTGATGCTACTGCATGAAGTTCTGGGGTAGTATTGTTGTCGGCAGACAATGCTTTCAAAAGACCCTCCTCTGGTGCCGATTGAGTGGCTATAAAGTCCAAAGGGAGTCCCTTGAAATAAACTGGGTTATTGAAAGCAGAGGATCCAACAGAAAGCCCTTTCTCAGGCCCTCTGATCTTCCACCATTGGTTGACGCAGCAATGGTCCTGGAAATGACGTCCAACATCAGGTAAATCAAGTACAGTTTCGATTCCATGTTCTTGCAAATCTTTCTGAGGGCCTAGACCAGAAAGCATTAGGATTTGGGGGGAACGATAGCTTCCAGCTGATACAATGATTTCTCGACGCGCCGTGATGATTCTACGAGTGGCATCGCCTTGATTGCCTGCCAGCTCTACAGCAGTGGCCACCTTGAGAAAAAATTTTTCTTCAACAATCACCCTTTTCACCAAGGTCTCTGTCAAAATCTCAACATCTTTCAGTCCATAAGCTGAAGATGCAATGTGGCGCACGCCATTTACCCGGTTCTCGATCAATTCGCCTAGTCCTATGGGTTTGCCATCATTCATATCTCGTTTGTATGGCACCCCTACTGCGGCCCAGGCGTCCTTGACCTTCTCACGTAACGGATACTGCCGATCAACAGCCGGCTCCATTCTAATGGGTCCATCAAATCCATGAACTGCAGGATCTCCTTTAGGGTCCCAATATGTCTCACACTTTCGGAAATAAGGCAGTAATCCATCATAGCTCCATCTTGGATCATTGACAAGCTGTGCCCATAGATCGTAGTTTTCTTTTTCTCCGCGCGTCCAGCCACCTATTGGCTTGCAATCAGCTCAAATCTATCCGTCTATAAAATATGCAGAGTCTGTCCAAAGCAGCTGTAGATTTCAAATACAAAAGAACATAGATGCTTGCCTACCAGCATTGATTGCTGAGCTCCCACCGAGAGCCTTCCCAGAAAAATTTGGAAGAACACGACCATCCACATGGGATTGTGGCACTGTCAGATCACCCCAGTCAAGTTCACCCCGCAATAGAGCAGCCCACTGTGTGCCGTCTAGCACATCAGCACGACTTCTGACGTCGGGGCCAGCCTCAATAATCAAAATATCGAGGGATGGGTTGCTTTCTTTGAGCCGCGACGCAATGACCGAGCCAGCGGTGCCACCGCCAATGATGATGTAGTCATAGCTGTCTGTGGCCATGTTGTTTGCCCGTTCTTACTGATTCGCTTAAAGTGTGATACTTGTTTGTCTTTCTTTTACAGTGTTTTTGTTGGCTTTTTATCTTATTTTGGTTTCGTTCTGAGGAGGGGTAAGAAGAAGGGGAGAACGGATGGTTCGGATACCCTTTTCATGAAGCAAATTCAGAGAACGCGGCGGCTGTTCCCATCTTGTGCGTGGATAGAATTGAATACTCACCGAGCACCATTTTCGATTGGTTCTGGAAACAAAGAAATGCATCAAGCCACAATACAATAGTGAGAGCATCGCATGCAGGTGAAATCATAAGATACGGACAATTTGTTTGCAGTTGAACTACGCCTAAAATTGGCACTCATTCCAATTCCCAAGTAGCCCATGAAGATATCCCTCTTTGAACAGTGGTGTAGTACATGCTGTATGATATCCGTTTACGCAGTTATATCTGGAACTTTCTTAGCGGGGATTAGGGTTATTCTAAATTTCAAATAACACTGGGATATTTTCACGGGATATGAAACATGCATAAACTTGTAATTATTTAGTAGCTAACTACCTCGATAGCTCTTTATCAGACCAGGTTTATCGAACCTGGTCCCAACAAGTCTAAATTGTGGTGGAAATGACTGTCGGCATTCTCTTCTCCGCGCAACCAGGGTGACGGGGACAACAGGGCAGCATGTACATATAGTCTCCGAACCCTCTGGTTTAGCAACAACATCTGATGATTATCTCAATTATCGCGGCCTGCATATCCATAGTCAAAGATTACAGACTTACATACCATGCAAGGCCAATTTTAGATCTAACACTTTCACCTTCAACCTGACGCCTGGGCTGTTCGTCGCCGGCATTCCATCAAAACAATCCCGGTGTTGATCAATGTTTCGCTCGCGGTCAGTGTCGTAAAACTCGAGTCTGAAATTTCGGACATGAGTAGATATGCCAAATAATACTGCAAAGATACACGCAGCAACTAGCGAGGGATCGTCATGGTAGAATTTGTAGTAAGTCATATTGATGATGGAAAGAAGTTAGGGTTTGGGATCAGAAGCCCTAATTTGGTATCAAGGTTACCGTAACTGGACATATTTTGAAACTAGAAGGCAACTAGTAGCAATCAATAGGGTAAGATAAACAAAGAGACTAAAGGAATGACATGAGTACTTTGCTATATTAAAAATCTATTTCCACAACCATAAATAATGACTCTTATATAAGTACTCGAAATCCAAGGCATACAGAATTCATGTCCTCCAAACCGGACACGAGAAAATGGCAATCCGTCGGCTTTATCACAGTTTAAACACACAGATATGTCCGGGGTCTGTAATATTTTAGTTTTACCAGGCTGCTGGTGTGAACCTTGTAGCCATATTAGGATACGGAACACGACCTTCAGGTGCGGATACGGGCTTTTGAGATATCTCCGTCCGTACCGAACGCATGTATGGGACGATATTTGCACTTGGGTTTCAATTTTATTTATTGAAAGAAGTCAACCCTATTCTAGTATCACTTGATGTACCGTATGGTTTTATGAACGTCTTTCGTTCCTGGTGTATGATGCATGAGATACAGAACTTTGGATGCGGCATTCAATGTCTAGTACAAGGATTGATTTCTCAGTGCACCATGTGATAATCCTTATGGAAACTAATCGCTATGTTGACGACAAGACAAATTTATTTCAATACATTTAGCAAGCACAAGGACAGGGGAGTTTCCAATCAACATCGTAATCTGTTCACAGCTCGAGGAGCTTCCCATCGATTCCACGCGGAGCATAAGCAAGTGCCTCGAATTGGAACTTTGCAAGCTCTTCGCCAACCTGCTGGATCAACCAATGTGCAAACATGTCCATGCCTGTGACGGCCCCATTCGCAGTCCAAATATTTCCATCAATAACCCAGTTTTCCTTGTGAGTCTTTTCCACCCAATTAACAGTTGGGTACATTTGACGTGCCACGTCAATGAATCCCAGATTGACAGTTGCGCGTTTGCCGTCAAGCAGGCCTGTCTGTGCGAGGACTGCAGCTCCAATGCAGGTAGTGAAGATAGTCTTGATTTCGTTCTTTGCCACACGTTCTTTAATAAAACTTTTCATCTCATCGGAGAGCCTGTAACTTGGCAAGGGTCCACCAAAGAGCAAGTAGTCGATTTGCGGACAGTCAGCTGGGGTGACTGTAGCCACAACATCGAGGTTCTCGAGGAAGAGGTTTTTGGGCTTTGATTTGTCCGCGGTCTCGCTGATGTGGTAGAATTCCAGCTCGAGGCCAAGCTTGTGAAAATCTTTGCGGACAAAACCATTTTCCTCATAATTTTTTAGCAAGGACACACTCGTGCCTGCTAAAACGTCAAGAGGCCCGATGACATCAATAGCTTGGTAGTCGTACAAAGGGATGCCAAAGCGGATGGGAGCCATGATGAACAATCAATTGATATGTATGGAGCGTTGACCAGAAGATTTTGACTTTGGTTTTAGTGACTAGGTAATGATTGAGTCGGTAAAAATATGAATTGTCTCCATGTTCCTTGTAAGGAATCTACACATATTTATACACCAAGGACCTCTCCCATTTTTCTGTGTCTTATCAGACGAGAATGGAATGTGGCCGCCTAGATTTTCAGTTCTACGGAAGGAAGTTTCAGGCGCATATTTGAGTCCTTTTCCTTCATGAATTGTTTGACTTGCATACTGCAGATGTGATTCGGTGTTGGGAGACGAAATGCATGGTATAGATTCCCGCGTTAAATTGCCATCCGGAAGGTAACTCTGAAACCTCAGGCACTAAGAATTATCCTCAGCTCGGCTATTCCTGCCATCCGAAATAAACACATCAACCTGGTCTCCGATGAAATTGAGCACTTTTCTCCAACAACATCACTCGTCCTATTGGATCAAACCATTTAGAGCGGACCAAATGGAGGCAGATGATACTAGGTTCATATGTCCGAGGCCGAGAGCAGTCCGAGCTTGCGCTGCGTGCAAAGTGCACAAGACGCGCTGTCTGCCATCCACTCGTTCGGATCAATGTCGAAGGTAGAACTACCCACTATGGCGCCAGAATTGGTAAAGGCTTATTCTCTTATAGGTGTGAGAAGATTGGTACTATATGTCTATACAATGATGTTCCACAGTCAAAGTATGTTAATGGTGTTTCATAAGTCGACACTACGGGACTCACCCACATTACAACAGGAACAAACTACAAGCCAGACAACCCGAAAGAGAGAAATCGGCTCTGGAATCTCTGCTGGCACAAGTTACCCCAGCAGCACTTGATGTTGACTATGAGGACCAGTCTGAGAAAGTGGCTCAGATACATGGTAATCTCTTCGGATGCCCTGAAATCACCAAAACAACACCACAATCTCAAACATGTCAGTCAGACGATGCAACTAAACCAAGAACGCCATGCAAACGTAAGTCCAAAAGATCGCATATCACAATGAGTCAAGTCGATAAAATGGTGCAATCATATCAACTACGTATGGCATACTTCCCATTCATCTCCATCCCCGAAAATACAAGCGCAGAAAAAATTTGTCAGAAATGTCCGTTTTTGCTCTTGTCGATCTTGGTGGTAAGCTCTGTAGATGAGCCTTTGCTCCAAAAATCTTTGGATGAACGGTTTCGCAAAGTTCTGGCGACGAGGGTTGTCATGCAGGGCGAAAAGTCATTGGATTATCTACATGGACTTCTCGTCTATCTCGCATGGTCAGTCACTTTTCATACCAATTTTTCAAGTTCAGATAACTAAATTGTTTGGGTAGGCACCCAACTCATCTGAAGCCGATCAATAATCAGATATTTCAGTACCTGCAGCTGACAATTAGCATGATATCTGACTTGGACCTGGAACGGAAAATGCAATCACCAACAGAAGCCATTGTTGATCGGGTTGCGGCCAGGAACACAGTCTTGGGGTGCTACTTCTTGTCTGCAAGGTGGGTTCGGCATCAACCGAGCATTCGAACTTGTTGTCTGACAGATTCAACAGCATTGCGATGGGCTTTAAACGGTCGAACAACTTCACATTCAGTCCTCCAGATGAAATGCTGAGCTCAATGCTATTATCGAACGATCTGGCAGACTCACTTATTGCTTCTATGGTTCTGTTATGCAAATTCGTCGAGAAGATACATAGCCTGAACCTGCAAACCGAAATCGCAAGGCTATCAAGTTGGACTGAATGTCCTCTGCAAAAGCTCACACAGTCCCTCCTTGCAGAACTAGGGCATCTAGAAAATAATTTACCAACTTCTATCCACACGAACAGTGAGTACCTAACCCAAAAATACAACTCATCTGCCCTCTTTTTTTTTTTCAAGAAACTAACACGAATCAAGCCAATATACAAATAATGCAACGATTCATCCGAATCAAAATCCACGCTCTGTCCCTGGAACAAGAGAAGACCCTCTCACAAAGTCAAATCAACCCACTCACTTTCTTGGACATATTCCCTACTTGCGCTGCCGAGATAAACAGCTTGTTGGAGTACATCGTGAACACACCCACCACAGAATACAAAAATCTTTCAATCACCAATTGGGCACCTATCATAAATTCCGTCGTCATATTCCCGAAACTGTGTCAATTCCCAATCCTGGATTTGGGTGTTGCCAGTACGTGGCAAGCTATGATTGAGGCTGAGCGTGCTACGTATCTTACCAACATTGACCGGCTATGTGATCATCTCGAGGGGACTTCAATTACAAAACGTCAGCTTAACAGAGACACGCCCAGCAGTCACAATCTGCCGGACCTGTTTTATCTTTTCTGTACTATTTTGCGACTTTTCAAGGATAATCTGGTGCGTGAGTCTCGGCTTTTATCGACCGATCAGATACCTCCAAATAAGAATGAACAAAGCAATAAAAGAGCTCGATCTCGCTGCCCCGTCATCAATGGCGATATCCAGAGCACAGATTACTGGACCATGTGGATGAACAGTAACAACCTGACGGGTGACGTGGAATTGTTTAGTGATCAGGCGGTGGGGTTTCCGGAGTTTGATGTCAATGATCCGACTGTTTTTGATCTCAGTTCTTGGGTTGATTTTTCTGTTTGAGACACTTTTATTCAAAGCTAGGGAAAAGGTCGTTGGAGGCCGATGCTTGAACCGTGGATGCAGAAATATCTCCTCTCGATATGCAGCGTCTTATGAATGAATGATGTTGACGAAGAAGAACGCGGAAGCAGTTTCCTGTCCACATGTGCAGATTATATAAGGTCTAAATCCTATCATATGAGTCGTATGTCCGATAAGAGCTAGTCTAAATCGCTAAAAGAAAAGTGGTATATTATCTAGAAAGCAAAAGGAAAGTCATGTCGTCAATAATACAATGATAAGCTTCGATTCAAGCAGAAACGTTCCTCGTAGCTCGATATGGTTACTCTGTCCTTCGTGTACACTGTCCAATAACCACACTGATATCATCCATTTTGCCTATCATCAATTAGTGACTGTTCAGTGAACCAAGAATCAAAATTACACACCTCCTTCAATAGTAAGACCTTCATCAATAGCCTTTTCCATATAGGGACTATCCGCAAAAGGATCCAGCGCAATCGTAAGCGCCGCATTCAGCAGCCTCCTAGCCGCAAAAACCATACAGTCTGCAAGACTACTACTAGCTTCTTGTTCCGCTGCGACGGGGACATCGCCGGCGGTAGTGACGGTGGTGGTGGGCATATTACCCACATCCCCGGATTCCCATTTCTCCATACTTTCAAGCACGTTGTCCACGATTTCATGGCCCCAGAGATTATCCGTGACACCGTCCGAGACTGCGATTACGATGTCGCCTTCCTCTAGTTCGATGGTGTTTAGTACGGCTTCGGTGCGGGGTTGGTCTGCGCTGTTGGTGCCGAGTTGGTAGGGGCAGTCGAACCAGTGCCATTGTTCGCGCGACTTGAATAGGACCTTTTTATCGCGCGGTCGTATGACGGTGATTTGACAGTCGCCAATATTGGTGACGTAAAGTAAAGGGTTTATGCTATTTTGGTGTTTGTTGCAGTGGAGTAATGCTGTTGCGGATGTCGTTGTGCCCAGCCAGTTTTTGGTAGCTGCTATGGTTTCTTCGTAGGCCTTCTGTAGGAATTCGATGGTATCGGGCTGCGATTTGCAGGTGATCTGTCGCTCGCATTCGAGGGCCCAGAAATGGAGAATCAATCTCGACCATAGTCTTTTTTCATATTAGCACAGATCGGCGACAGCAAAAGTAGCAGGAAAATGAGACGTACGCTGCATGACCCTCAGGCTTCGTATGCCAGGCACCAACACCATCGTTTACCCCCAGCAAAAACTCACTCGCGAGAATCGCATCGTCTCCATTCGTCAAACCTCTGATCAGCTCATTCTTTACCTTCGGCCGTCTATCTTGACTCTGAAAATGCGTCGTCAACGGATCGGAGAATGAAGACGACGGAATCGAGACAAACGGAGGCGGAAACGGTCTCGATGGCCGTTTCGGCTGCAGAGCGTATCCCGTTTCAAAGTAGAACGGACTCTTGTATGATTTCTGGGTGTCGGAAGGGGCAGGTGTCCGCGAACCATATGCGGATCGGGCAACATGGTATCTGCGACACTGCGGAAAGAAAAATAGAAGCGGTAATTGTATGTGCGATCGCAGAACTCGGCGTCCGATCACGGTCGGTCTGGTCGTGGTAGGCACAATTAATGAGTAGACAGCCACCATACCCATACAGTGGTGCACCGAGGGCGCACGGAGATGGGTACGATCATAGCACCCAGCGGTGATGCATGGGGAGGTATACGAGAGATGCGCATCTGATCTCTTCGTATACAAGAAGAGCTGCAGAGGGATGCGAAGGAAGGAAGAGAAGCGTTGACAAAGAACGTCGCCGTATCATCGTCGGCGCGCTCTTATCCGATAAGACCCTCTTTAGCGCCTTAAATGGACTAGCGCCGGGTTTTTTGACAAATGATAAGCCTGCACTATGTATACTACTGCATCGTCATCTATAAAAAAAAAGCTCCCCCCGGTCAAGTCAATTATCACGAACAATGCTCACTCACAGCCAGATACAGCACCCAAAAAAATCCGATGCAGCTCGTTGCGAAGTGTGATTGCTTAAAAAAGAAAGAGAAAAAAGTGGCAAAAGAAATGGGACGACACGGGATCGAACCGCGGCTCTTCCGATCTACTAAGAGAAAGCAACTGAAGTTGTATCTTCAGTCGGATGTGTTCCCAACTACACCATCGCCCCTGATTGGTTGAATGAGCTGGCGATAAAATGCAATATATTTATTTTCATTCATCGAAAAGCTGTGTAACTTTTACTTACTAGCGGACTTTCTCTTTCTATCTACATATGGCATGCTATCTATAGTCAATGCATCTCTATAAAATGCTCTGCCCTGTCAGCACTCTATCCGGAATAATGCCCTGTTGCGCCAATACCTCAACCAGGCTATACAGCATCAAATCGCACCCTGCTGCTGCATTAATGCTCACTGCAACAGGCAGATATTTCGTCGTCTGAGTTACCCTACTCGTATAATTGAGCTGACCTAGGGGCAACACCACCTCAGGCACACCGGCCAGCTGACTAATACTATACTGATTCCAGACATACGACGGACCGGCCTCCTCGGGGCTTTCCGTCGGATAGTTGTCTCTATAGCTCGGCTCTCCGGGCCAGATAGGGTGAATCAGCAATGCGGAGGAGCACTCAGAAGTATTCGGACGAGGTATCAGGACAGATTCTTCAATCCACTGTTTGAAAATGGTTTTGTTAGCCAAAGCTTCGTCGAATCTTGCCGCGGTGTTGTTCGCGCCGTACGCCATGTTCATGGCTACTTGTGGATCGAGGTAGGGATGGTCGCCGCCGTATGACTCTTTATAGCTGTCGATGAAAGGGGAGACCACGTTATGGAATTGCTCGTAGCTGGTCATCAACGTCCAGACTGCGCCGAGCTGGTCGAGAGGATACATCCCTGTATGATTTTTGTATTCGGTGTAAAAATCGAAGATAGTCTTGTTGGTGCTGAGTAACTTCTCAAGTTTCGTTGTAAAGTCGTCATATAGAGCTTGAGCGGCAGTACTGCTTGTTGGAAAAAAGCCTGGTGATGGATATTCCGTAGTGTTGATTCCAGGCGTGTCGATGGGATATATCAACTTTTGCGGAAACTTGGTGTATGACTTGAGAGAATTATTCCCAGCTTGATACCATGCTTTCCCCCAGGAGGCGAAATCAGCTGCTGAGCGAGCAACGAAAGCTGGCGTATCCATATATGCGCTCATCGAAACAACTCCGGTCAGGTTCATGATATCCCACGTCGGCCTATTTCCAAAAACACCATTAACCGCCGCTGGCGCACGAATTGAGCCACCTGTATCAGAGCCGATATTCATATCAATCCAGTCATAATTTCCCTCCGCAGACGCAGCACCTGCCGATGACGACGAAGGATCCTGATAGCCATCTCCGCGTGCATTGAAGGGGTCATGGTAATCCACCCAGTCTGCTGTGGGCGCCTCACCGTTCGCAAACTGGCTGGTTCGAGTTTTACCAATAATGACTGCGCCGAGGTCAATCAAGTGCTGGATACTCACTGCCGTGCTGTTTGCAGATGGGTAAAGATTGAAATATGCGCGGTTCCCGGCCCCGGTCTTGAGGCCTTTTAGATCGTAGAGATCCTTGACACCGACTCGGACACCTGAAAGGGGCTTCTGCTCTGTTGGTGCGGGATAGTACAGTCGACTGGGCACGGCGACTGTTGCTCCGCCGTTTGTTAGAGGAGACGTTGACGAGAGGACTTCGAAAGTTTTGTCCGTATTTTGCAGGACTCCGTAGTAAAAGGATCGCGCGGGATCAGCATAGATTCTGTATGCGCGAAAGAGCGAGACTACAGAATGCGTGATTTGAGCAAAGTATGGACCTGGAGGTAGACACTCCATCTCTGTCAAAGGTGATGACTTGTTCAGAGGAATAACATGCTTGGCATGTGGCTCTTTCGGCATTGTACCGCTTATCAAGACGACTATTCTCGTCAATTACCATCCTAAAATATACCCCCGGAAGATAGGGCTTACATGTCTCAAAATCCGACGTCCAAACATCATCGTCCTCCCCAAACTTATCCAAAGCCTGCTGAAGCGTAACATTTCCAGATTGTACCACATGCGTTATCGGTAGCAAACTAACCGCATAATCATCATCTGGCTTTCCCAGCGGAGAATGCGATGTCTTGACTGTAATCTGCTCCAAGTCAGACATGACTTTTTCCTTTCGCTCTTGATGAAAATCGCCTACCTCAGGTTTCCCAGGTAAATAGTAACTCGCATTCCCCAGCGTCACAGTCCGACCTAGATCACGTACGCCGACAGCTGCACTAGCCAATACAGGCATCAATGCCAAATTGGCAAAGATAGTGTCGCGAAACAGCATATTGATTCTCATCTCACTTGTTGGAGAAAACGTGAAACATGCACATAATGAAGACTGTGGGAAGCTACACTACATATACCACCAGCGTGATCCTGCTGAGTGGAGCTTATCTACAAAGTCGCTAGCCCTAAAGCCGACGGAGGATTCGACGCATTTCCTATCGGGGGAGGTGGTCGGCATAGAACCTTTCCGCATGTGGGAATTCTTGATAACGAGCGATCGGCACCAAGCGAGTCTTTATCTGTTAATGAAAAGAAGATTGGTGAGTAATAACTTTGTATAAATTCTGTTCTAAATATCATCGATCTGGTCTCGGGAAGCTAGCAGCTGCGGTCGTAACATCATAAGTCGTAACATCGTTCAAAATATTCATAAGCAAACACCACTGAAATCTTTTTGAAGAAGCAAAAATTGCGAATCGAAGACATGCTTGAGACTGTGGACGTGATATCGAAATAGAACGGTTCAGGCATACCCAAAGATATCATATTCAGGCCGTGATGGAACGATGCGCTGTTTGATCATTTCCTCTCGGATAATGTTGATACCTGCAGCTAGTTCACGGCAAGCGAGAGATTCAGGCAAGTCTTGCTTGAGAGCAACCAAGGACTCATATGTCAATTCGCCCATGGCGGTACTCTTCTCGCGAAAAGTAGCCTGGTAGTCAGGTTTGTACAGGTGGTATCCGCGCATCCATCGACTAGAGCATGGGCAGCGAGTGTTTCCAGACCTAGTGCACAATCGGGAACAGCTGCACACGTCAAGACAAATGCACTTTTGCTCGCTGGCGTACCTTGCGATATTGAAATTGTTCTCTTCTCGCCGCAACTGTCCGATGGTCTTGCCCTCAATTCTCGCCAGAGCGCACATTCGATGAGCACACTTCATGTTCTCGGCCCAAGCAGTGGCATTTTCCACAGAGTCATAAGCACCAGGTGATTTGAACGTGGCATGGTCATACTTGTAACTCGTGCGAGGATACATGGGAATGTACTTTTCAGCGAGAAACGCCAAGATGTCGATAGGAAGATGGCCTAGAATAGGATATAAATGACACCAGTGTCGAAACGAGTGACATTGGGGGTCCTGGATCGTCTCATAGACATGCGCACGAAAGCCGGTATGGTCAAGCGGTAGAGTCCCATGCATGCGATATTTTCTGGTCATTTCCGCAACGTAATAATTTTGGTGATAGCTGATCATCCGGTCGTCAATTGCTGAACAAACACTTTCGTCTTCCAAGGCGCTCTTACACATAGCCAGTATTGAGTAAATGTGTTCTGGCTCTGGCATTTGTGGTTGAGTCTTGGACCGTCGCTTTTGCCCATTGCCGACGAAAGACGTGCAGAAGTGAATGAGGCCGACTTCAATGTCCAATCTAGCATACAAACAGGAATAGAGATTCTCAATGGCAAGGATGAAATCTATCACAGACCCATTTTCTAGCTCTTTTTCTACTTTTTCAACGTATGCCAAGATACTGCCAGAAGGGGTGTGAAGCTGCAGAGAATTAGCTTGGACATGCACAACTGGTGACAAAAGAACTTACATCTAAACGAAAACTTCGACACATGGCAATGAAAATTTTGGCAATGCCGTAGACAACGCCGGTTGCACCATACACACTCTGCCATTGGTAATCTAGTTTCTTCGTGTCACCAGACAAACCACTTTTGTAAAGATCGGCCGAGTGGGAAAGTTTGTAGCACCACTCCTTCGAGTTGATAGTATACAGAGTGCGGCCATCTTGTGGTGTAGAGAAGAGACGATGGGGAGGTTTGAGCACAGCGAGTTGATCAATGTCCAGAGAGCATGCATTTTCTTCGGTTTCCTGGCTCTCTATGGAGCAGAGGGTGTTCTGGGTCATGTTACTGAAATGCTGCCCGAAGGAGTAATGTGATGGGCTTGACGAAGGCGTGGTTTTCGCTGAATCCATGGTGTTCCAGACGAAGGTCAAGTTCTGGTGGAACTGTAACTAGACGTTCTTCATGTATGTGTATCGGTGTATGGGGTATGACAAAGAGACAAAGCGATTCCGATAGATTATGGAGATTTATGGTCGATGACGGGCTTCATCTTGTCGAAGGGCCTTGGGTGAAGTCGAGCCTTTTATATTCCATGATCCAAGCAAGATATCTGCATCAATTATGAAGCAGGAAAAGAAGGTTGAATTGGTGAATGGGATGGTGTTGGCAATAAGGTCGCGTATTGTGCCTCCTCACCGTGATCGGACAATCAGGGCAGCCAGGCAAGCAATGGCGGCCCTGAGTGGTTCAGCCCCTCAAGGAAGGTGGCTCCTTCCTTGTTCGGAAGTCGGCGTGAATAGAAAGAGAAAGAGCAATTAGCCAGTCTCACGTGATGCCCACAACTCCTTCGCTTGATTCATCTCGACTCGACCTTGTTCATTGTCGTTTGCAAAACCATTGAGCGTTCTCAATTCTCCATTCAGGGGTCCACGTTGTGACATGACAATCGACGCTTAATTCTATTATACAGTCCAAGCAACTTATCAAACGCGGAGTCCTGTGCATGTCCCAGACGCCATCTTACAGCGATTCGACCAACACCAAGTCACAACAATGGCAGGCCTATTCGTCTCAATCAGATATAAAGTGGGTCAACTTCAATTGGAAGCGGAATCTCGTGGGCTGGGCCAATTGAGCGAGGCAAGTATAGCTCTGGGATCTGCCAGAGCAGCTTGTTTGCTTCTTCGACGACGTTGGCATCAATATTGCGGCACTCGCGAACAGAAAGTGACTAGCCACATATTGTCAACCTGACCAAAGGACTTACTTATTATACATTGCTGAACTCACCACAAGTGACTTCAGGTTACGAACCCATTCCAGACCTGTATCAATATCATGGCACTCCACACTGTCAATTGACTTGGTTGTGCGAATACCATCACAATTTTCAACCCACAGCACCGTGAGCGACGCCCCAGGAACTTTCTTATCAACGCCATCTTTTTTATCTTCATCATCTGCATCGGAAATACCTCCAAGCCAATTTACAAACTCTGGCTGGACCGCGGCACAGGTCCTAAGCTTTATCACCTTCAGTCTTGGGTTTCTCTTGACCAACATACGGAGCTGCCATGGCGTGATACCTGCTCTTTCGAGGATCAGACTCTCCAAATTAATTATATTCAGCCCACATTTGACAGGGCCAATCCCAATCAAAGAATTCCATGCGGTGCTACCTTGAGCGGGTGCTGTCCAATACTTATAATGCAGAGAGGTATCTTTCACAAAAGTATGTTCGAAGCGAAGAGCCAAATGTCGCAATCTTGATCCACAACTTGTCCCAATTGCCATCGTTCCTTCTTCGTTTATGTTGTATGCCAGAAACTCCAGTTCGTCAAGCGAATGACCATATCGACTGACTATCTCGGCGAATATTTTGTTTTGTGCGCGAACCGTCCGCTCCGTCGAGATCGAGTGAACGAATCCTCCATCATCTGAGGAGACCATGCGACAACTCCCTCTCGATGTACGTTTTGATACTGGGTATTTCCTCGCTGCTGAATACTGACTGCTAATCCTCAGGGGCAGCTTGCACTCCTCAGAACTTGCGTATCGTGTGGTTGGAGGTAAAACGATCCGTGCTCGATAGCCTTCAATTGTCCTTTGCCCTATCGCAGGTTTCGGGCTATGTTTTATGCCAGTACCAAGGTATGCGACAGTCGCATGAACTCGTTTGTGAAAAATGGCGAGATGCAGTTTTTCCATACAATATGTATGAAGTTTATAATTGGACTTGGAAGTTGCACCAAAGGCAAGCAGTGCCGGGATAGGGACATAAGACAGGATCACAAAGATGACCTCAACAGGAAGTCTGTCAAAGTGGTCGGCCATCGCGATTCAACTGCGAATTGGAGTAAATGACTTTGTCTATCTGTCTTTCTCTGAAATAGACGATGGACCTTCTTCAAAATACATAATCCCAGGGTCCCTTGTAGTAGACTACACTATTGTTTCAGTGACTATAACACAGATGACATGATTGAATCATCTGTGATCAGAATTGAAACTTGAAGAGAGAGGTTTCTCAAAGCAACAAGATGTTATCTTTCTTCGTTTGACGGGGTCTGGGGGGACACTGATCCTTATATGTTGTTGATACTATAAGAAAAGACCCTTATTGAGTCATCACCTGAGTTTCTAAGCTCCAGCTTATATATTCCATGCCTTGCAAAGCATGAGCACAAGGACGAGATCCCACCTGGACCCAATGAGAATACTATGCATGCATTTATGGCACAAAGAAACACCTCGCGTGTAATTCGAATCGTTTCATTGTTGTCTTCTGCAGCACAGCGCCGACTTTCATCTATTTTACTTGCATCCAATTGGATACGCGCCGTTAGGCAACGTCTTGAGTCAGTCTGCAACTGATATGGCTGAAGATAGGCCCAACTGCATAATTAGGAAAATGAGTCCTAGTCTTAGAGGTCGGTAGATTGCCCTATGATCCCACGCATATATGAGTGTGACACTCCTGTCTCGGTTGGAATATATCACGACATCTAAAAGTTAGTGTGATTCGAAATTGTCGCCCTCCCACCATCCACGTCGCCCTATAATTGATAGCACTTACTTAGACGAAGCAAGCCAACAATATTCAGAAATATGGAGTCTAGACTGGTCAGCATGGCTCTAGTCTTGCTGCACCAAAATGCGGCGCAGTCACAGTTTCTCCGCATGGGTCGGGTTTTTCAACACCAAGGATTGCTGCTAGTCATACAACATATATGCATGGTCTCACGACTAGAACGCGAAGAAGAAAAAGAAACGAAAGCTTCCGTTTCGTGTTTTCATTTGTACGCCGAATGATCTTGAGGGGGATGGATGCTACCCTACCTGAGAAAATGAGGAGAACAGTGGCGCCCTTCAGCATCTAAGCGCTGACTATATACGAAAACAAGCGCTAAATTAGATATCTCACGCGGAGGAGCCAAGTCGTTGTTTGTGATTTTACTTGCATCGATGCAATAATTGATCATATTAACATTCGATACCGATGGGCACGTGCACCTACCTTATCTCAATATCATGGCACGAGTCAAGCCTGGAACCATGTGAGGCGGACACTTGATTCGCTATGCTTATATTTGATTTTGATACAACTGGTTTCAATTGTTTTCGTGACACGTTGTCAAAAAAAGAAAAGGGAATCCATCATGCCTATAGCACCTAGGTATACACCTAATACATAATCAGATTTTGCGCTCGTTGGAGAGATACGCCGGTGCTACTTCATTAATTTACCATATACTTCCAAGTTTGGCGCACACGCTTTTTCGAATCAAGGCTTTTGTTTTGTCAACAATAATCTAGTTCGTAACATGGCATATATGCTCGAATTACAAAGCGCCAACACCCGAATCTTCAACCCAACTTCGAACCGGCTCAACGTCAATCGCACTAATACACGGAATTTAACCCTGAACACGGAATGTCCTTCCACTCGCCGTCTTTCGTTCGCGTTCTTCGTTCTCGGGTCTCGCACGATTAAGGACTGAGTCTGTTAGTGACAATCGAATGATATTGAATGTACAGACACGTACCTTGGAGGAAATCAGCGGTACGCTTTCGCATACGAGTGTGGATGTAGGCCTGTAGAAGTCAACCAAACGAACCGTGAAGGCATGACAGAACGGCTTACCTTAGAAGCCTTGATGTGGTAATGGAAGTAGTCACGGAAGGTCTGGATGTGAGAAATGCTATCGTAGCGGCGTTGAGGTGTCAGGTGTCGAGGGAAGAGGACTGAAACGTGAATTAGTAGCCACCTCGTCCTCGATGACGAACAAGATAAACTAACCAAATGTGATATAGCTGTATTTTCCATCGCCAGAATTCTTCAATCCTGGTATACCTTGCAGCTCGAGGGGAGGGTCGTTTCGGAAGAGCACTTGAGGGGCGTTCTGGAGCGATTGCACTCGTCTTCGAGCGTCGACGAATTCCTAGACAAGGTCAACATGTTTTAAATGTAACTTGTATATAATCGCAAACAGCTCACCTGCAAGAAAACCTTGCCAAATATACGATCTGTCTCTTCGCGAAAGATTGTGCTGAAAATGACCGTAACTCGGTCATGACTAGACTTGATATAAATAGCCTCTTCTTCTCGATAGTGAATCGCCATCACTTCACCACCTTCCTTGACACCCTGCGGAGCAGACTCTGAGGTATATTTCGACGCTTCCTCCGACAATTTCGCAAACTCATCAAACGCACGCTCGAACGGGGCAGCCATGACATTGCGCTTAAGCAGCGATAAGCGTCCAATCAATTCCTCCTTTCCCTCTGCATCCGCCGGTAGGTCTTCCAAGTCGATCTGCACGGAAAAGTCGTATCCGGGCTCCGGGTTGACGATGTATGGACCATACTCACGCTCGAGGACTTCCTGAGCACCGTACTGGACCAATTCGCGGAAGCACTTGAGGGCAATTGAAATGAGAATTTTGGTCTTGGATTCGGGGGTAGAGAGGTGGAATGTGACGCCGTCAAAGTCAGAGACGACTTGGTCTATTGAGACGGGGGCAGCACTATATGGTTTGGAGATTAGCTGGTGCCTGATGAGCGATGCGTGGATTGTTTCTGCGGGGCTGCATACCCTGAGAAGCGCTCTGTGAGAAGCGATTGGATGAGCACATTTTGGTAGTCGAGGAGAAGCATTATGGCGACTTGTGCATGACACTATAATCCGTCCGCAAGTGAGAAATAATTGGGGAGTGCTCAGTGTTGTGCTGTGTTGTTGTTGCGAAGTGTATACTAAGTGGGCGTTCGTCATGGCAGCTTCCCATGCGACCCGCAGGTCCCCCCGCACACCGCCTTTGCCGACATGGCTGCTGTAGTCAGCCGTACTTGCCCTCGATTTTATCGATAGCAGAAAAGAAAAAAAGTGCGGAGGAAGTTTTGGAGCTGCCAGAAAAAGTTGTTTTTCTCAGCACGCTGTCAAAATGGTCAAAACATATCTGTGAGTTTGTCGCAGAATTCACCTACATATTTGAATTGTGGTACTAAAATTTCACAGAAAATTCGAGCATTCAAAAACTTTTGGCCTCGTCACCTCGTCTTCCTCGAATGCCGTCTGGACCAAAGACGAAGATGTCCCCGGTGCTGAACGACGCACAGGCGCAGGACGTGCTATAGTCGGCGCAAACGAAGAAGTTCTCTGCTGGGATGTCAAAAAAGGGGAATTACTGGGCCGTTGGCGAGACGCAGATTGCAATGCTCAAGTGACCGCGATTACACAGAGCAAATCAGACGAAGATATCTTTGCCGTTGGGTATGCGCTTCCTGATATATTCTGCTCTTTGTGGGCGTCAGCTAATCTTTCGTGCTACTAGATACGATGACGGAAGCATTCGACTATGGGACTCGAGAATGAATACAGTGATCATATCCTTCAATGGTCACCGAAACGCAATCACGCAGCTCGCCTTTGACCAGTCCGGCGTTCGATTAGCCAGTGGCTCGAGAGATACAGATATTATTGTATGGGACTTGATTTCGGAGGTTGGATTATATAAACTCAGAGGTCATACGGATCAAATCACATCATTGAACTTTCTATCACCGACAGACGAAACCAACGCTGGTTTGACGGACCCGAGCGAGACGGGCGGTTTCTTGCTTTCCACAGGCAAAGACTCGCTTATCAAGATTTGGGACCTTTCCTCAAGACACTGCATTGAAACTCACGTCGCCCAGAGCAATGGCGAGTGCTGGAGCTTGGGTCTGTCCCCTGACCAGACCGGTTGCATTACAGGTGGTAATGACGGAGAGCTAAAGGTGTGGTCGATCGACGAACAGGCTATGCAGGAAATTGCCAAAGAAAGAGAAGGTTACGAGAACAAGAAAATCCTTATTGAACGAGGAAGCTTTTATCGACAAAACAAAGATCGAACAACTGGAATCACTTTCCATCCTCGCGCAGACTATATTGGCATGCACGGAGCGGAAAAGGCTGTTGAAATATGGCGCATTCGTTCGGCAACCGAAGTACAGAAGAGCATTGCAAGGAAAAGAAGAAGAAAGAAGGAAAAGGAAGCTACAGATGGAAACAACGTTGAGGATAAGGATGAAGCCAATGACAACACGCCGCCGCCCATTTCCGAAGTGTTTGTGCCGCATGTCATTGTGCGCACTACAGGAAAGCTGAAGTCTTTTGCTTGGATAACGACGAAGGCTTCTGGCAATTTGCAAATCTTGACGGCGACTACGAATAATGAAATCGAGACCTACCGTGTTGTAGCAGCTGGAAAGAAGAAAACCAAGGACACTGAGGAAGTCGAGTACAGTCGCAATTTGGCGGTTGATTTGCCCGGGCATCGGACTGACATACGGTCTTTGGCTTTGAGCTCGGACGATCGAATGCTAGCATCCGCATCTAATGGTACTTTGAAGATCTGGAATGTACGAACACAGAGTTGTCTTCGAACTCTTGATTGTGGTTATTCGCTATGCTCCTCTTTTCTGCCCGGTGACAAGATCGTCGTGGCCGGTAACAAAAACGGCGAACTAGAGGTCTTTGACATTGCCTCTTCGACACTCCTCGATACAATTAAAGCTCACGAAGGCCCAGTGTGGACATTACAAGTCTATCCCGACGGAAAATCCATGGTAACAGGCAGCGCAGACAAAACCGTTAAATTCTGGGACTTCAAAGTGGTGCAGGAAGAAATACCCGGTACAAAGAGAACGACACCGAAGCTGAAGCTCGTGCATAGTCGAACCTTGAAAGTCTCCGATGATGTTCTCAGTGTAAGATTCTCTCCAGACGAAAAGCTTCTCGCGGTTGCTCTGCTCGACAATACTGTCAAGGTATTTTTCGTCGACACGCTGAAGCTCTTTTTGAATCTGTATGGTCATAAGTTGCCCGTCCTCAATATGGACATTTCATACGACAGCAAAATGATCGTCACATGTTCTGCCGATAAGAATGTCCGCCTCTGGGGCCTGGACTTTGGTGATTGCCACAGAGCATTCTTCGCGCATCAGGACAGCATTATGGCAGTGGCATTTATGCCGAATAACAATGAAGGAAACGGACACAACTTCTTCAGTGCCAGTAAAGATCGCGTGATCAAATATTGGGATGGAGACAAATTTGAGCAAATTCAAAAGCTTGAAGGTCATCACGGAGAGATTTGGGCACTTGCCATGAGTCATTCAGGCGAGTTCCTTGTTAGTGCTAGCCACGACAAGAGCATCCGCGTATGGGACCAAACGGATGAGCAGATCTTTTTGGAAGAAGAACGTGAAAAGGAGTTGGAAGAGCTATACGAAAATACTCTCACTACATCTCTTGAAGACGAAGAGAACGGTGAGGAGAAAGCCGAAGCTGTTGATGCCAACAAGCAGACTGTCGTTACGCTCATGGCCGGTGAAAGAATTATCGAAGCGCTCGACATGGGCATGGAAGATTTGGAAGTCATGCGGCAATGGCGGGAAACCAAAGCAAGAAACCCGAATGCAGCACCACCACAACGGAATCCTGTGTATCTGGCCTTGGGCAATCTTACAGCAGAACGCCATCTACTCAACATTGTGCAGAAGATTCCCGCTGCTTCACTTCAAGATGCCTTATTAGTGCTTCCATTTTCCAAGCTCGAAGCCCTTTTCACTTTCCTCGAGATCTGGGCTAGTCGCCAGTGGGAAATCCCGTTGACGTGCCGTATACTCTTCTTCATGCTCAAGACACACCATCGCCAAATCGTCTCGAGCAGGTTCATGCGACCGATGCTTGATCGGATCCGGTCCACACTTCGCGAGGTTTTGGCCAAACAAAAGGATGAAATGGGCTTCAATCTTGCAGCTTTGCATTTCATAGGCGGCCAAATCCGCGAGCAAGGAAGCAAGAGCTACATTGACGTCGATACATGGGAAGACAAGCAGGTTTCGACGACCTCCACTGGCGTCAAGAGAGGTTATGTGAGTATTGCTTAATTACATCGCAAGGGGATAGCATTTTTGGCGTCATCAGAGTTTTCTACAAGGCACAGAAAAAGTTTTTTCGTATAGATAGATATCCTGGATTGAATGTAAATTATGCCATATACTATGATTAATCCTATTCAGTGCCTCTATTGCATGCATATCATCCGCGTATAAGAACCTATATTCGACTCGACCTACACTTCTTGCAATTAGCATTGACCACACCAAAAAAATCATGACATGGAAACAAGAGCGAGGAGATATATAATATTGATTCCATCAACCAAAACTCTCCTCATCACAAGGCAGCAGCAGCAACACAATAATCGCTCCTCAGCAGAACCAATTCTAAGCACCGACGACAAACAAAACCCAGTCCTTCTTTGAGGATCTAGAATTTCGTCTGGCATACCTTTTCCGGCTCTTCCTAATAGATTGAAGGTTCAAAATAGTTCTCATCATGTGAAATGGAGGATTTTTTGTGTGCTGCGTTTGCTTTTGTGTTTTTTTTTTTTTTTYTCCTTCGGAGCAGGGTCGGGGAGAGCGAGGATTTCGGTCGAGGAGTCGTGGGATGAGGGTCGGGATGTGTACCTTATTGAGTATGACAATCCATCATTGAGGATGTCGGTGCTTGTGAGCATACTTGTATTGAAATTGTTTTGTGTTGAGGTTGCGGATAAAAAGAATTTTTGATTTGGAGAACAATCCCCAGTGGGGCTCAATGGCACGTGACCTTAAAGCTCTCAACAAATGATGGGCCACCAAATTCTGGTGCTTAGTTTATCAGTCTATCTTTCCTCCCCAGCTTTTCAATACAACGTCACTCAGGTAGTGGACGATGATCACCAGATCCATTCATACATGCATGTATATCTCCCCTTTTAACCGCATGAAGTATTAGCCTAATAGGCTATATACTCCGTACTCTTCACGTTGATGCGGAGCGCGATCTGATGATGCTACCTAGGCAGTTCTCAGCCGTTCATGTGAAGTCAATACCACTCTACATAATAACACATAGCAAATCAACTGCATTAATTAGTACAAACTCTCGTATTGAGGACATTGAGACTCCTGTCATGCAGATCGCTCAAATGCCGGCGTGGCTCCGAGCTCTACCCCGGATTTCCAGCGTGTATAACGGCTGGCGGGGKAAGAGKAATATCTTCTCTCTGCTACTCCAGCAATGCCTTTCATTTTCGAGATCGTCCGAGCTCTACTTGGGATTAGCGCAGGTGCCGGCCTATCTTCGGGCTATACATACCCCGGACTGAATACTTGGACACGCAGCGACTGGTGGGATATTAACTTAGCCCATCTGAACCTAAACAACAGCATACTATATAGGTAGAGACCAGGATCTACATTGCCCCGATTTCAAGTGCGATAATGTCACCATGGAGATAATTCCCTGAAAGGTAAAGAGTGCCTGTGTTCCCCGCAATTTCGGCTATATTTTGTCGTTGTATTCTTCACAAACGGTTCCAGTATGTATATACCTAGATAAGTTGCTATATAGGCTTGCTGTTTCTCCGCTCAATGAGACCTATGTTGTAATGGCTCSTCTCGATAATTCACTCAAGCACTTGACCTAAATATACGAAGTACCTTGGTAATGACTGGCACCATGGGTGTATCTCGACTTCTCAAATACGCGGCTTGGGCACTCGCCTCTGCAGCCCTCACTAACGCATCTCTTCAGATAGTCCCAGGCGCAACCTGGACTTCCGTAAGAAATCATATCTGTTCATTTCCAACTACATCTAAACTGACTGTCCAGCCCAACACCCACGCACACATCCAAGCCCACGGCGCCGGCGTAATCGAAGTAGCCGGGACGTACTACCTCATCGGCGAAGACAAGACAAATGGTACCTACTTCCAGCACGTCAACTGCTACTCCTCAACAGACCTCGTGCAATGGAACTACGTCGGTCCACTGTTGACCGTTACGACAAGCGGTGACTTGGGTCCTGAACGGATCGTCGAAAGACCGAAGGTTATTTACAATTCTAGCACGAAGAAATATGTTCTCTATATGCATATTGATGACTCGAGTTATGGAGAGGCAAAAGTAGGTGTTGCTACGAGCGATAGTGTGTGTGGAACCTATGAGTATTTGGGAAGTTGGCAGCCGTTGGGGTATCAGTCGAGAGATATTGGGTTGTTTCAGGATGATGATGGGTCGGCTTATTTGCTCACTGAGGATGTATGTTGCAATTTCTCGGATGAGCTTTCTTTAAGCAGTGACTGATTGTGTAGAGAGCGAATGGCTTGCGAATTGACTCGTTGACGAATGACTATCTCAATGTCTCTGCGGCAGTTCACCTATTCTCAGACATGGAGGCGCCTGCAATGGTGAAGCTGAACGGGTATTACTTCATGTTCGCCTCACATCTCAGCGGCTGGGCTGCAAACGACAACGAGTATAGCTATGCTACCAGCTTATCGGGTCCTTGGTCAAGTTGGCAGACATTCGCCACGGTGGGATCAGATACGTACGAATCTCAGACAAACTATATTCTACCGTTCCCCGGCAACAAAACAGTCATTTATATGGGCGACCGCTGGGTGTCCACTGACCTTGTCGCGAGCACCTATGTATGGCTTCCGCTTACATTCAGTGGCACCACTGTCACAATGGCAGATTATACAAGTTGGGTACCGAGTGTCTCCTCGGACAGCTGGTCGACTGCTCCATCCGCTAATAGTTATTATGGTGTGAATGCCACACTCACCAATGGCGCCGTCATCGTGTCGTGTTCCGGATGCTACGATAATGAAGCCGCTGGATATATTGGTGGCTCATCTCACGGAACCGCGACTTTCACAGGAATTACGACAACTTCAGCGGCATTATCGACTGTGCAGATTGTGTATCGAAACGGAGATAGTACAGCTCGATATGCTAATGTGACGGTCAATGGTGCGACCCAGCTGATTGAATTTTTGCCGTCGTCGTCTCCTGGAACCAGTGTGATCAATTGTAATCTCAAGGCGGGCTCGGGTAATGAGATTGTCATCACGACGACTGATGGAACGTATGGGCCGGATATTGGTACGCTTATCGTGCCACAGAAGTAATTGGCCCTCTTCACACAGTACGGAAAGGGTATTAGTGTGATATGACCGGTTGTTGATTCTGCAAGGTCATCTGTCGCGTGGTATGAACATCGAATCAAGATGCTAGTCAGACGCGATCCAGCATATCAAACGACCATATATTTTTCCAATGACTTGTAAGATCTTTCAACAATATATGATTTGATAGCACGGCCAAGAATAGTATTGAAAGCAGCCGTGCCAAATTCCAGAGCGTGTAAGGGATCAAATAATTGGTTGTGGTGGCTATGCAAGGTTGCAGATCATACGTGCATCTGAGCATACCTACCTAATTTGATTGTCCTCGGCTTTACCCTCGAATCTTCGCTATGCGCGAACATATCGATCGGTAGGCAGCCGGAAGGGAGACAGAAAAAGCAAAAATAAGAACGACAAAATGAAAGTCCGAGAATCTCACATCATAGATAGGTCTGAGAAATTCGATGGTTGGCTGGTTCAGTCGTACGATGATAGTCCGAATTTGAATCGATTAAATATGGAGAAAAAATGTCGATGCTCGAAAGTGACTGCCACTGTGCTGGTAACACATCCCCTCTATAGTCCGACAATTCCTAAATTAAGATCTCTCTTGCGCTCGAGGATATCGCCTGTGCATTTTTACCTTCGTTGCTTGATGTTCATTTGTTATTCGTTGTCTGAGTCCCTCACGACTGGATTCGTCGTAAGTATTCGTTTTGTGGCTTCAAACACGGTATAATCCACAGCAATTTCCGATTTTAGATCTTAAATGGCGAAGAAAGGAGAAGCAGAAGTTAGGCAGGCCATGGAGAGACAGTCAAAAATGCGCGGGAACATCATCCTTCTTCCTCAACCGAGTGATGATATGGCGGATCCGCTGGTCAGTTGTTTGCTCTTTGATCCTCCGCTGCTAAAAATTGTCTGACGGGTTGCTGCTTAGAATTGGAGCCAGCGCAAAAAGTACACGACTCTGGGCATCCTCAGTCTGGCTGCCTTTGCTTCCCATTGCGCTGCTATCGGGAATCAGCAGGGCATTAGCTCACAAGCTGATCTTTATCATAAAGGCCTGAATGACATGGCCGACACGGTAAATTCGATCAAAAACTGTTAGAATATGTAATTGACGTCTCGTAGGTTGCCACAGCCATAGCTGGACTTGTGGCAGGACCTTTGTTCCTCATGCCGTTGATACATATATTCGGCTGCTGCTCAGTACTTTTATGGAGCATGGTTGCAGCTACTGGTGGTACTATATGGTCCGCTCTCATGACCAAGCCGGATCAGTATGTTGCATTCACACTCTCTCGTCTGTTCGTAGGGTTGTTTAGCGCGACACCAACTATTTTGGGACCGCAGATGCTGGTTGAAATCTTCTTTCTCCACGAGCGGGGCACTGTTTTCAATTTCTTCATGGTATGGTCGACATTTGGTACAGTCATAGGACCAACCTTAGGCGGGTTCATTGCCGACCATGCCCCGTGGCCTTATGAGTTTTGGTGGACGGTAGCTTTGCAGGGTGTAGTCATTCTTCTCGGTATGCGTTGCAACGGTGGCTTGGAAAGCAGCAAAAGACTGATCACATTTTTCATCAGCATTTCTCTTCCTAGAAGAGACCGGGTTCACTCGAGAGGACCGAAAAGTGTATCCCCTTCCACCTTCAAGTTTCGTACGAAATCGAGTGGCCACGTACTTTCCCGGCACGCGCGTTGCACGTACTGGGGGGTTAAAAGCAGCAGTGAGTGACATCTCGATATGTATCTACTATCTCTCGGCTCATCATATCCAGCTTCATTCCGCATGGGCGCAAATTTTGATTGGGGTCACCCCCGTAACCATCCTAGTTGGGATCTTTATGCTAGGATTGTCCGGATGGTTTGTGAGTTTCAATACTCTCTTGAGTGTCTTCTTGCAGGATCCCATCGAGGCTGGGGGTTATGGGTTCTCGGCTCAGCAGAATGCAGCATGTAAGTACTGGCTGTTCCGGTAATCGTGGATTAAGTGCTGAATGCTCGAAGTCACCTTTACGATGTGGATCGGAGCCGCTGTGGCACTGATCTGGGGCCATTTCTTCAACGACCGCATCCCGTTGTACTTTGTCGCCAGATACTCGGGAACTTGGAAGCCTGAATACCGGCTTCACGCACTCTGGGTTCCTGCGTTTCTCGTACAGCCGATTGGGTTGGGTATAGTGGGTGCCACACTGCAGTATCACCTGCATTACATGGTCCTGGCTGTCGGCACTTTCCTTGTCACAGCCTCGTCTGTCGCCATCAGTCCCGTCGCAATTAATTATTTAGTTGAATGTTTCATGAAATATCCAACGGAGTTGAACTGCATCTTGGGGATATATCGACTAGGTATAGGCCTGGGAATCCCATTCTTCATCGATGCTTGGGTTGCACAAGTCAGCATTGGCTGGGTCTTTGGTACTATGGCCATTTTGTGCTTGGTACTGTTCGTCCCAATCGTCATTCTCATGCTATATGGCCATGCAATTCGACAGATGGGGTTTGCTGAATTGCACGAGGACGAGGAGGGAGCTCAGATTATGAAGGAAGAGACTGAGAAATGATCAAACAATGAGAATAGATCTTTGAATTTTTCTTTTGATACCCTAGTTCTTTTAGACAATAGATAGATAGTGGTCAAAAGAAGAAGTTTAAGTTGAGATTTAAGTGGAAGGAACGACTGATAGTGAAGTTTCTGCCTCAGGCTGTTATCGGTATCTTATCGGCGTGGAGACCACGCACGGACCATGTGGTGAGCCAGCGGCAGAAAAAGTTTCAACTCCGAAAAGCTTCAATTGTACAACCTAACATTCTTTAATAACAAAACTACGTACCTCGCACGACACTCAAGATGAGGGCCAAACGTTCAAAGAAGTACCGTAAGATCATGCATCAGTATGAGCTTACGTTCGGTTTTCATGAGCCTTATCAGGTTCTGGGTATGGCTAATACTCAATCGTCGGTCATGAAATACATGCTAATATACACCGCTTGCAACAGTCGACTCGAATTTCCTCCGCGCAGTACATCAATTCAAAATGGAACTTATACCTGCTTTAGAGCGAACGCTGCAAGGCAAAGCCAAGCCATGTAAGTATGCGACGGCAGAACGCATCGATTTTGACTGACTAGGATAGTTCTATCAAAATGCTCACTCGCGGCGATTATGGCCGCCCAACCCATCAACCCCAAAACGAATAAACCATACAGACCCTGGCACCTCCCTCCACCAACCGAGCTACCACTCCGACACTGCTCGCATAACGATGACAATACCCCGATTGACGAAGTCGAATGTCTTTTATCCCTTCTCTGCCCGAACACAGATACTATGCGCAATAAAGAGCATTATATTCTCGCGACCGCAGAACCTGTCGCGTTACCGCACGACGACGTGAAATCAGATAACCCCAAGACACGAAGGCAGGCGGAAGCATTGATGGAGGAACGCAGCGAAAAGGCGCTTGCTCTTCGATCTGCCGCGCGCGCAGTGCCCGGCGTACCGATCATATACGTTAAGCGATCAGTCATGGTCTTGGAGCCGTTTAGTACGCCGTCCGAGAAAGTCCGCTTGGGAGTCGAGAAGAGCAAATTCAAGATTGGCATGGAGGCGGCGTTGGACGTGGTGAGTGGACTGAAACGCAAGAGAGACGATGAAGAGGATGGGCCGTCCGCGCCCTCTAAAGATCGACATGCGAAAAAGGCGAAAGCGCCGAATCCGCTTAGTATGAAGAAACCGAAGAGACGAGAGAAGCCCAAGCCGGATGAGCAGGGAAAGAGGAAGGAGAAGAAGCGAGAAGAAGAAAGCCGGGATGATACCGCTCAAGATACTGTGGCTGATGCTGAGGGCGAACAGGCAGTCAAGAAGAAGCGTAAGAGGAAACACAAAAGTGCAAAATCTGAGATCGGCGCTGTCGAGGTTGGCGACGGCTCTGGGCCCGATGAAGGTCCAGTGTCGGCAGATGAGTGATATATTCCCGGTCAAGGTGAATCATTAGTGGCGTTCGGTGTTTTGTTCTAGAGATTCCAAAAGTAAAGTCATGCAATTGATGCTGATTTGATGTTCATGAGATTGGAGAATTGTATGTACAGATGAGAGTATCCTCATTCCAGAGGTATGATACAGTAGTAAAGAAATGCAAGTCAGTCCAACATCTGCGTGCTATCAGAAAACGCCCTGTAAATGCTTAAGTGGTTCCTATCTCAAACCACTTCCGTGCATCAGTCGAAGTCTCTCCACAGAGAAACTATTTCAAGCTATCACCCCCATCTTTTGATTTTATGCCGTCTATTGCTTCTGCAGCGTCTCGCCCGACTCCCGCAATCTCTCCTCAGCCCAAAGCTTCTCAACCCGGGCTCTCCTCTCCATAGCCTGGTCACGATTCTGTTTGGCGCGCTTTGCCCGTTCGGCGCTGAGGCAGTGGTTTACGTCGCGTTTGATGTCGTTGCATTGGCCCATGGCCTTCCAGAGGAATCCGCGAGCGTGGCATTCGTCTAGGGCATTCATGATTTCTTCGCAGTCTGGATAGGTCAAAGATTAGCTTGGTTGAGGCTTTAAAAACATGATAGGGACGTACTGATATTTTCTGCTGTATGGAGATGGGAATGCATTGTGTCGGCCTTCTGAAGTCTGTCTGAGACTATCGTTTGTTCTTCTGTTCGCAATTGATGAAAATCAGTCCGATGTTGAAGATGATCGTCGCGAATTTGGCATTGGCTGTTCCGCAGGCGGTGAGCGATAGGAACCACAATCTTTTATTCTGCCGGGTGGAGAGCCTTAAAAAATATTATTTTTTATCTTCGAGCTTAATAACTCCTCTCTAATTACTTGAGCAGACACCTTCCTGCTACTTGCAAAATCCTTTATTTTGAAGGACTAATCCTCGGTTCCTCAGCGGATACATCCGAACGTATCTGATAAGGACTTTTAATAAAAAGTGCTTGAGTCCAGATCTATCTGATTTCCCCGCTCTGGTGGCATTAGGGTTGTCTCAGCATTAAAAAGGTTCAATTTCAAGATCAATATGAATTCTATGATCACGACGACGACGTGGGTGAGGCGTGGGGTCGCCGCCCAGTTTCCCATAAAATATGAGATCGACGAAGCTGAAATCAACCGGATATCAGAGATTGCCCGCATGCAATTGGAAGACGCCAAGGGAGATTTGAAGGCTGCAAAGGAGGATGCAGATGCAGACGCAATGGATGAGGATACGACTGAAAAGACTTCCCAAAAGACTTCCAAAAAGACTTCAAAGTAAGAATACTGCAAGTTCCCTAGAAGGTATATGCTAACGACAGACAGAGACGAAGATCACGACGATGAAGACGACGATCTAAAAGAGTACAACCTCGAACACTACGATAGCGACGAAGTCGACGAAGATGGCGAAGAAGTCACCATGTTCGGTAACGTCAAGTCTCTCGCCTATCACAAACCAGGCGAGAAGGACCCTTATCTCGAATTCCCTGAAGAAGACAACGACGAGGAGCGCGAGGAACTGCAAATTCTTGGAACAGACAACTTGTTAATAGCCGGAAAGCTGGAAGATGAGGTAGCTCATCTTGAGGTATATGTTTATGAAGATTCCGCGGATAATCTGTATGTGCATCACGACGTTATGCTCCCGGCCATTCCACTTTGTGTGGAATGGCTCGATTTCCCGGTTGGAAAGAATGAGGAAGGACGCACAAATGGAAATTTCGTGGCTGTGGGTACTATGGAACCTGATATCGAAATCTGGGATCTCGACATTGTCGACTGCATGTACCCAAACGCCATCCTCGGCGCGGGCGACGGCGACGACGACAAGAAGAAGAAAAAGAAGAAGTCCAAGAAGTCGAATGACGAATACCACGTTGATTCCGTCCTGGCACTGTCAGCAAACAGACAGCACCGCAACCTTTTGGCATCTGCGTCTGCCGATTTGACCGTCAAATTATGGGACCTCAACACGCAAAAATGCGCTAAATCGTACAACTACCACAAGGATAAGATCTGTGCTCTTGACTGGAATCCCAGAGAATCTACCATCTTGCTCAGTGGAAGTTACGATCGTACCGTCGTTGCGGCAGATATGCGTGCACCAGACGCAAAAGCGCCTCGTTGGCAGGTTGCCTCTGATGTTGAGAACTTGCGTTGGGATCCTCATGACCCCAACTTCTTCTACGTCACCACCGACACCGGTCTGGTCTACAAGTACGATGCGCGCAACGCACCTGCTACACCCGCTGAATCCAAACCTGTCTGGACATTGCAAGCGCACGACGACTCCGTCTCGTCGTTCGACATTAACCCACGCGTTCCCGGGTTTTTGGTCACCGGTTCTACCGACAAACAAGTCAAGATCTGGGATACAGCCAATGACAGACCCAACATGGTCGTGTCACGCAAACTCGAAGTCGGTAAAGTGTTTTCGACATCGTTTGCGCCAGACCCCGAAGTTAGCTTTCGTCTTGCTGTTGCTGGTAGTAAAGGCGTTGTGCAGGTGTGGGATACTTCTACCAATGCTGCTGTGCGTCGCGCTTTTGCTGGTCGTACGCCGGATATCGTTGCTGGGGAAGAGGGGGAGATTAAGGAGAGGATCTTGGGCGTGAACCAAAATGATGATAGTGATTCATCGGACGGTGAGGAGGGTGGTGAGAACAAAGATGGATGGGAGTCGATGGAGGAGGATTAGCTTGTCCCATAGACTATATGTATCGCGAAATGAGATACCCGTCAGTACATGTATTTTTCGATTTATTACATAGTATAACTAGGGTCTACTGTCAGACCGAGCGCTTTGACCACCTTGATTTATTGACGAACGATCTAAGAGCCGCCTCAATTAGCCAACTATTTCGCTTCGTACATAGTTGCGAACTTGCGACAGGCTAAATACCGAACTCTCACATATTGATACACCTTTAGCGCCAACATAGCTGGTGTAAATTCCCAATTGAAAGTCTCCGTCTGAAATTAAGCCTCCATGGCCCACAGAAGGGCACAGAAAAGGCTACACTGTTACAGAGGTCGCGTATTTTGAGACCTGGGAAAATCAAGGTCCAGCTTCGAGAATACACCCACGTACGTAATACTAATACCATTGAAGGTTTGAGGCTAATGCTTAGTTTTAAGATAATTACAATATGACTGTCCTTATAAAGAAGTCTACCCCGGTCTCCTAACCAGTCTTGCTGAGTCTTGGGCTTTTTTTTTCTTCTTTCAAAGTCACGGTGCTTCACACTCGCTTATCGAGCCTCATTCACTCGTTTTACTTGTCCTCAATCTCGGTCCTTTTTGTTATTATTCTTAATTGCTAATATGCGCCATTTCGTCTTTCTCGCTCTCTGCGGCAGTCTCACGGCAGTTGTCGCTCAAACAGCCAGCGGTTCTTCCTCCACCGCCGGGTCCTCTGCCAGCAATACTGAGACCTCGCCTCTCTTGTTCTCAACAAATGGCGACGGAGACTCTACTGACTTTTCCGTGGCCGTGGCAGGAAGCGTATGTCTGGCCCTGCAACAGCTGATCAATCCAACTTCGCTAATAACGTCTAGAGCGGTTCCACCACTACTTACCTGGTAAGCTGTGCCGAGGCCGGCTCCATCAACTGCAACTTTGATACAGCTACCATTGTTGGCGGTCCTTCGACAGTTGCGATGTACTATGACTATGATGATACAGTGTGAGTTGTGTACTCTCAAAGCTTCCATCCAAAATACTCATGATCAAAAGTACCTATTCTCTCGGCTGCAATATCCACGGGAGCTCTGCTGCCTGTGTAAAGTCTGAAGGGGGCTCGGGTTTCGACGGCACCTCCTTCCTGAGTTCATTCACCGTTCCTGCGTCGGAAGTTGCCTTGGGTTTCATTACTGATGCCACCGCTACTGCTACTGCTACAGCTGGTGCTACAGCTGGTGCTACTTCCACTGCTACAGGCCAGGCTACACCCACTACCGCGGCCAGCACTGGGTCTTCTCCAACATCTGCGACTGTCAAGTCCACAGCTGCTTCCTCCGGAGGTACAACCTCGTCAACTGGAAGCGCGACTGGTACCGGATCTGCAGCTAGCCAGACCGAAACCCAAAAAGGTGCTGCTATTAGCAGATTCAACGGCGCAATTGGTTCTTGGGTGGCTGTCGGTTCGGTGGTCGCGGCGCTAGGATTGATTTTCTAAGGTGGAATATAGTCTCAGACAAAGACGACCGGCGTTGCATGTCTATTTACAAAATTGTAATTTACAAAAATGCTTCGTAGTGAATAGGCTTAGCGCTAGCCAAAAACCCCGCTAGCAAAGAAGTGGTCGGAGAACCTCCGATGATAATTTCCCCTTTCGTTTCTATCGAGTATCATCAGCATTCTTATAACCGACTTGACTCCTTCAACGAAAAGCAAAACAATCGACACCTAAGAATCGTAGTTTTGATGAAAGCAAAATGGTCGAATTCATAACTGTAAACGGCGCGAGTCTCGCCTACGAAATCACAGGCCCTGCATCGGCGCCGTTAATGATAACACTCCACGGCGGACGAGGAATGGGCATGCATTATCTTCTTTGCTCTCCGTCTTTTCTCGTATGGATCATCTGACAATTAAAAACAGGAGACCACAAATCAGACCACAAGACATACAGCCAACTGTCCCCCCTTCTCCGCGTGCTGTCCTTTGACTACCGCGGCCACGGACAGAGCTCGCGCACAAAGCCCTACACGTTCGAGCAACTCGTCGACGACATCGAGGGTGTTCGGCAATCCTTTTTGGAGGCCGACGAGCAAGTAATTATCTGTGGCGGAAGTTTTGGCGGGTTTCTGGCGCAGCAGTATGCCATTAAATATGCGTCAAAAGTGTCGCATTTGATTCTTAGGGGGACTGCGGCTAGTCATCATCGTATCTCTCCCTCGCCGTCTTCCTCTTACATGTATTATTTGAGGCTGACACTGGGTAGATGAAGAAGGTGCTATCAGAACCCTAGAGACGAGACTCCATAAAGCGCCCAACTTCTCCTCGCAAATGCTCCGCAACAAAGTCTTCGGCGCGTATGAGGATGATGATGAGTTTAAGCTGGTTTATTTCGCTATGATGCCACTTTATACTGAGGTTTTTGATCCTGAAGCTGCTCTCAAAGCATGTAGAGGGATGGTTTTTGTGGCAGAGTCGCATAGTATGTGTCCCGTTAAGTCACCAGTTTGAGAACGCTGACGGTGGGTAGATGATCTCTATTCGGAAGAGGAAAAATATTTCGACTATACAGGGCAATTAGGAAGTATAACAGCTAAGACGTTGGTGGTTGTTGGGGATAAGGATTGGATTTGTCCTCCAGGTTTGTCCTGACATGTCTTCGCAGCATCTGTACTATAAGCTGATCAGGGTGCAGACAACTCGAGAATTATAGCAGAAGGAATTCCTGGTGCTGAAATACTTGTTGTTCCAGATGCGAATCATTCAGTGCATATTGAGAAGCCTGAAATTGTGCTTAAGCGGATTAAGGAGTTTCTCTGTGTATTCTGTGTATAACATGCATGAATTTCACATTACCAATCAATGTTATTCGCATGCTTTGTCGTAAACGTAGCTATGACTATTCAATAGAGCCCCTGAAAGAGAAGGACTTTACCATCTATAACTACGAAAAGGAGAATATTAGGATCAGATGACAGGAAGCTACCTACCTCACAGAATAGCATCTTGTCATATCATACTCTGTACTTAGAGTGATACTTATTGCCTCAATCCATCTACAACTTCTAGAAGCCACTACTTACCATCACTGCAATGACGACGAACACAACAAAAACAAATTCATCGTCCTTACAATTCGACGAAACATGGTTACGCATATCAGTCTTCATCCCACGAACCAAGTATACCGATCCCACAAATCTCCAAGACCTCGATAACTTCAGGACCTACCTCTCCGAAAGATTAAAGCCAAACTGGAACGGTCTGATAGGATGGTACGGCTGGCGAATCGAAGACTTTGGGCCCAAGAGCGCTACATGGATGCCCATGGAAGGAGATATCACGTATTCGATGATTTTACGATTCTCGACTGAAAAGTTGAAGAGGGTTTCTCGAAAGGATGTTTCTGAGACTTTGTAGCACCGCTTCCATAAGCATGCTTGTAGTGACGTTAAGGTTCTAGGGTATGGGAATGCGCCTGTTGATATGTTGGCTGGATTGGAAGGGTCTTCTACAAAGGACTCGAGGGAGCGGAAGATAGCTTTTGGCATGTTGCCACCTGAGTTGGCTTGCTTTTATCATACAGGACGCTGTTCGTGTGGTTGAAGCCGGCGACTTGACTAAATATCAGCAATAGTACACATGAGAGTTGAGAGACCATCCCGCTCTACTTCAATTATCATTATCTAGGTAACAATGTAACCATAACTTCGAGAACAAGCTGCCTAGGCATATTAGTTACTAGATTCTTACTGATACCTGGACAAGTCTATTACTTCCGCGAATTTCCCAAACCATCAAAATCCAAGGATTCCTCCTTCAAAGACGTAAAACCAATTAGGATTGATTGATAAAATAGTATTGAGAGCAGGTCGAAAGTTCTAGGCCTAGCTGATAGTATATGGATGTCTGTGCAAGGCGATATCAATTCGATGTTCTTAGGAACACTGATACTCCGCAACCATAACCACGACAGTGAAAGGCACGAAGAAAGAAAAGATAGAAAGACAAACACAAGAATAAAGCCGATCCAAATACTGTATCTCAAGAACACCAAAATTTTCCAACTCTAGCGCCCGAAGTATACTTTCAGCGAAGCCCATGACGATTTCTCATGTGCTGTAGGAGGTTGTCATCCCGATTACAGACCTTGTCGCATCCTTCCACCGGACAGTGATGGGCCAGGGGCGTGATATGAATTGTCCGAAGGTGGCGGATAAGTTCGTGCTCCCTCTTGAAAGTACCTGGATAATTGCAGCCTTCCCACTTGCATTCGAAAGTCGGGGCGGGACGAGGGTGGGTGTATGAGCTAAACAACAATTAGATATTGAGTTTGTCAGTGCGCTGGGGCTGACAGGAACAGTTGCGTACTCTATAACGAGACTCAAATCCTTCTTTCGAGTCCGAGGCTTTGGCTCAGGATGCCTGCTGGCTGGCACGATTGGAGGCTGATTGACGGCAGAGTGAAGATTGTTCGTAACCCGGTTGGTTAAATTTGGTATACTCGGGCTGGCGATTGCAGCCCATTGGGAAGGGATACTCGCTGGCGTCGTATGATATTGATGGCCATATCCCAAATGGTGTGCATCGTTGATGGAAGGATTCAAATACGCCTCATAGTCGGTAGCCAGGTTTGGTTCAATATCAGGGAAAAATGGCGAGACCGAGCCGGAGGCGTCAGCTAGGGGACTCCCGTAAATCACGCCCTGTCCCCAGCTAGGTTGGTCTAGAAACCAGGCCATGATGGGCCTACTCGGGCCTCAGTTGTAGGAGTGGAGATGGGCGATGGTACACTGAGGAGAACGAAAGATTTGGCAGTCAAAGGTGACTTAGGTGAATTGAAGAGCTCCCTAAACGAGGGAGTATTATTTCTTATATACTGAGGTATGTACACGAGTTGGCGCATTCGCGAAGACCCTATGCATATTGAAACACAATTCACAGCTTCGCCTTGCACATTGTATCATGATCTGTTTACTCCCAAGGATACTACGCCTATAGTCATTGTTTTCCTGAATGTTGGCAGATTGACTGTGGAGCCGATATTCGAGAATTGACAAATAAAGTGTGTAAGCTTTTTAGCCGCAAAGGCGACTATACTCGGTTTGAAATGGGCTGGAGAAATGAAGAGTCGATCGGAAAATCGATGCAATTATTGACTCAGACCCATATGCATGATCCTATTCGTGACTTAGACTCGATATTTGCGGAGGGCGCCAATAAGAATTTACCTAGGTACCTGATTCGACGTAACAAGGGCAAAATTGTTTAACTAGGCTGAACCATGATCGCTTAGACTCGATATTTGCGAAGGCGCCAATAAGAATGTAGCTACTTCCTAAGTTGACGCAACAAGGCAAAATTGGTTAGACTCAGGCTGGTTTACAATAGCTTCAAACCTGAGAAGGCTGCAGCCTCAGTGCCGCGTGTTGCTTAAAAGTGATGTGCTCCCCAGCCTTAATCATTCCTGAACCTTCACATCAAATCTCACCGTCAGCAGTCATGGCGGACGCCGAGTGGGAGCCTTTCAAGCTCGAAATTGAACGGCTCTACTGTCATGAAAACAAGACACTACGTGAGTTGATGCAATATATGGCATCCAAGCACGGTTTGGAAAAGTCGTATGTATTCTGAATACTGTAAATATACGCAAATAGACTTACTCGACTTATAAATGCATAGTTTAGGGCAATATCAGAGGCAACTTAAAAAATGGGATTTCAGGAAATCTCTTAAATCGTCCTCTATCGACTGGAATTTCATTGGCCTGCGAATAGAGAAAAGAAAGCGACACCAGCACAAGGATAGCGAGGTTCACGTCAATGGGGTCCAGCTTCCCCCACAGAAGCTCAAGAGGGCTAAATACAGGGAGGCTTATATAGCGAGTGAGGCGGTATTCTCCGGTGGTAAGTCAGTTATTCGTACATTCTTGATGAGACTGTGGCTAATGTATGTCAAGATCCATCACCGGGTACACCTGAAGGAATCATCGTTTGCACCCCAGCAACACCGGGGATGGATATTGAGTGGAACCTCTCGCTTCCTTGGTTGAGATTCGCAAGGCTCTTGCGACCTGAAATCGGATTAGGTATGACTGCTGCACATAGTCGATACTTCTAGTTGAGTGTACCTAACGTCAACGCCCTCAGATCCACCTTCTCCGTCGTCTTCGCTCACGGTACCTTCACCCCAAGAGCTCAATACTTCCTCCCGAACCGTAAACCAGGATTTTATGCAACGCTTGGGCTCGATTGTGCCGTGGAACAAACTCAGACAATCTTCAAACATACATAGCAGCTCTCGTACAGCCACGGCTCTAAGGATCCTGATGCCTGAGGAATTTGAAGGGCAACATCTTGCTTTGTCATTGGGCCTCAGCGAATCCAAGCAAATGGGAAGGGACCGGCTGAGTCTGGAGCTTTATCTATTATCAAACAACCTTATATCACATGGGCCTGGTGGGAGATCCGAGGAGAGTACGGAATCGGCTGATCAACGGGTCATGGAAATCTTCAACGAGTCTGGATGGAACAATAGCAACCATCTTCCATTACTGATATCCAGCCATGAACCGACAGCTGCAGCAATAGCAGAGAAGATATTTGCAAGCGCCTTGAGATTGCTCGACTTAAAAACCGTGAAAAGGATGCTCGAAGCAAAGATGGATCCCAACACGGCAATTGAAACCTGGGATTTGCACGTGCTGACGCCGTTACAATTTGCCTCTAGAACTTCCAAGAACAAGAGCATGGAGCTTACACAACTTCTTTTAACCTATGGTGCTGACGTGAGTCTCTCCTACAATGGGCGCTCGCCTTTGAGTTATGCTATCGAGAAAGGACGGAAAGCTGGGATTTATTTGCTTTTGAGCCACGGAGCGATAGTGACATCGTCGTGTGTTTCCTACGCTCTTTTCTTCAAGATCAATGATGACCTTGCAAGAGAGCTCATAGATGCCTGCTCCAACGTGAATGAAGGAACTGGATGGCAGGGCCGTAATCTTCTTGCTGAAGCTGTGGAATGTGACAATGTTCCATTAGCACGCCTATTACTCGAGAAAGGTGTAGAAGTAAACGAGCTTTTCACCATATATTTCGATGAAACCTTCACAGACACCACAGTGTTAGGACTTGCAACCCGGTCGAAAAGTTGGGAGATGATGCAGCTATTACTTGAGTTTTGTGAAAATGTCAATCCTAATTTTAATGGCCTGCCTTATGTATCGCCACTTGCGCTAGCTGTGGAGGCTGGGCATATCCATATGAGTGAAATTTTACTGCGGGCAGGTGTCAGTGTTGAATTTGCTGACGATGCAGGTAATGCGACATTAATCGAACGTGCTGTGAAGAAAAAGAATCTGGGTTTATGTCAGGTGTTAGTCAGCTATGGTGCTCGGATCAATGTGACCTTGTCTGACACAGAGCAAAGATCCTCCGCGCTCCTTGCAGCCATAGAGTACAAAGCATTCGAAATTGTTGATCTCTTGATCAACGCTGGTGCACGGTTGAATGATGGTTACAGTAGACCTCCTGGTACTATTCTTGGAGCAGCAATCGAATTGGGAGATCGGTCGTTGATCAGCAAGCTCTTATCTGCAGGTGCCAAAGTACTGAAATGGAGCCAGATTAGGCGCATTGGAAACCACGATACGGCAGCTGCTCTCCAGAAGATCGGGAGTTTTCAGAACATTTTGCAAGCCTCTGGACAGCGAATCTTGGCCGCAGCATTGTTGACCGAAGACGAAAATTTGACTCAATACCTTCTAGAGCATAATGCTGATCTGAAAGGGGGTGCGGATGAACCTAGAAGTTCCATGACTAGAATGACGCCATTAGAAGCGGCAATACGGGCAAATAATATAGGTTTTACTGAGGTTCTTTTGAATCGTGGAGCTATGGTCACAGATGGCGATATTGCAGCGGCACTGGATGCAAAAAGTGAATGTCTCCCAAACCTACTCAGTAAATTTCGCGGAAGCGCTCCAACAGCCGTAGGAACTGCGATCTGTCATGAGGAATCTCTTGAAATATTTCGAGACGCCGGTGTGGATCCTACTGGGGCTCCGAGAACGTTCAAAGACAGCTGGCATAGGGGATTTTATACTGATGAGTACGAGGAAGATTCACTCTACTTTGAGCCTCTTGCATCGGTCCTTGAGATAGCTGTTTTATTCAAGTCGCGTGAATATCTTCAATTCCTTCTTCATTGGGTATATTGGGATAAGATGCTAACAGGGCGTGCCCTGGCCATTGCAACATTTATCGGACAAGATGAGCTTGCCAATGAACTTCTGGAGTTTGGCGCTGATGGGAAGCAGGAGATCACGGTGAAAACGAGATTTTACGAGAAAGATAATCCGTACGATGTTTTCACTCCTCTTCAGGCAGCGGTCAAGAATCAAATGTTTCCGATAGCGGAGAAACTTGTTCGGTCTGTTGATGTGAATTACCTAGGTATGGGCGCTCGTCGCCGTACTCCGTTGCAACATGCAGTTGAGAATGGAAACATGGATCTCATCAACCTACTATTACAGCATGGGGCTAGTGTTGATAGCCCTCCTGCGCAGGATGGGGGTGCTACAGCTTTACAAATTGCGGCGATTCAAGGATACATTGGGATTGCACGCAGATTGATTGACTTGGGCGCAAATGTCAATGAGCCCCCTGCCATATTTAACGGACGTACAGCTTTGCAGGGAGCGGCGGAACATGGTCGAATCGATATGTTGCAAATGCTGCTCAATGAAGGAGCATTGGTCGTTGGCGATGGAGAACAGAATTATCAACGGGCTATACAACTTGGCGAGCGACGAGGGCATGGCGCTGCTGTCCGACTGTTGAGGTCTTTCAGGGAATCTGTCCAATTGAGTACACCTGAGGCTTTTAACGGCCCTTTGGGATCGGTAGTAACATGAACTTGGCCAGTTATACTAGTCTCACTGGCTATCTATGTTTAAGCGATGAACTTATGACTGTGTTTCGGGCATTATATGGAGATATCGGGAGATGATACAAAGAATGACCTCTTTAAGACAATCCGTTGAACATCTAGAGATCGATTATCTGTAACATTTATTCTTCTCCCTCTGAATCATTGTTTTCTCCCGGTGTGGTTTACATTGCACAGCCCTGACACCAGTACATACGCTCTCGTCTTGCGTTGCTCAGTTGACGGCATGCGACACACAACTGCGCAGGCAGTTTTGAAGGAAGCGCACGAGCATTTCCATGCTCAGGTCTGCGATGAGGTGAAAAATTCTCGATTATGGAGATGCGTCGATTGATATAGTGCCGAGACAGTCTGAGTTAAAGAGTAGGAAGCCGTTTGGCATGTTGCCGCCTGAGTTGGCGTGCTCCTATAGGGAATAGTTGTCTATTGAAGTCAGTGTGTTTGCGTCAATGGGTGTGCGATGTCGATAATTTATTCGCATTTACTGATATGGTAGTGGATCGTGGGAAGGGGAAGGTTATCAGATTGCAGTCATGTTGAAGAATTCAAATCTCATCCTCAAACATTATCTTGCTTTTAGAAGAAACACCTGATGCTTGAAAACATATCTACTTCGAATATAGCCTAACTTTTTTTTGATATGGTGTCTCGACCGCAAGATATTTCTGATCAGAGTGTAAAGTCCTTTGGTATTGAGCAGCCTGAACTGGCTCGCTCGGACATGAAGAAGGTACTCGTCCGGAAAGAACGGCTGGATCAAGAACGACTTAGGTATGTACGTTGAGTGGGGGGTTCGCGGAATCCGGGGTAGAACGGTGGCCTTTGGCGGGGATTATCGGGCTGAAAGAATTGTCATGGAGAAAAATGAAAGATTCCCTTCCCAAATGATTAATCATTTCTCTCAAGACGTCATGTCTTCAGATAGCTACTTGAATACATATCAACAATAATAGTATCGAAGGGGCGGAAGATCACCGGATCCATGGCCCCTSCCCCCGCCACTGGAGTAGATCCCATCACTGATAAGCCCTTTGAGAGGCTATCAAAGCTTGATAGACAGACAAAAGGAGATCAGATGTCATCATAGCTTAACGGACACAAGTCAATTATGCCAGATCGATCAAATCGGCAGGTAGTATCGCTGCTGACCTTGATGTCTGCTTACCAGGGCAGGTGACCTAGCCGTTGACACTGTCCCCCTCCAGATGACGACCTCACGAACATGCTCCAGCCACCAGATTGCAGCGTAGTAAGTGTACTATGTAAGTAAAGTGTCCATGAAGATGTCACCTAGGGTTACTCCGTTGTAGTCGAGGTTGAGTTACAGTGGTCGAATGCACAAACTGGCCATCGTCAGATTGGCCCCGATGGTGACGGAGAGCTAGTCCTGAAATAGATTAGTGTATACCTAGTTTAAATCTTGATCAGGACTAGCGTGGATGCCTGAAACGGGGTTGCTATAGTCTATTCCTTGAAACCATCCTTTGTCTGTCTTGAGACTCAAGAGTATCGTATGTTCTCGGAGCGCATCCGATGGCTATTCCTGTAGCGACAAGTCACAACAGGCCTGAAATAAGCGCTATGACCTGTCGTATTAATATTCTGTGCTAAACATCGAAACACTTATCACAATAAATAGCATAAGCTAGCGCTGCTAGTCGCGCGCACTAGGAGTCTAGGAGGAGGAGTCCATGTTACAATCCAACGCCAGTGTGCCAGACCCCTGCCGTTTGGGCGGACTCTGCAGGTCGATTGGCTGGAGGCGGGAACACGCGATTCCTTGCTGGTCGACCACGCAAGGATCTGCGCCGTTTCGGCGGTTACGTTTGGTTTCTCCCAGTTCATGCCAGCTAATGATTATGCGCTGGGGGCTATGGTTCAAGGAGCAACGTCATGCAATTATTGAGCGTGGTGTAAGGGACCAGGAATGTACTACGATTGACCTTGTGTTCTCGGAGGAAATATTGTATGGGTACATTAATGTTGGTGGTGGTACCGAACAGTCGAAAGTACCTGAGGGTACACCCCACTCGACGGCAAAAAGTGATTGGGCGCAGAGTCAAATCTAGGTTTTCCTAGCGTGGAAGCGGCCATGCAGCGGAAACACTGGCTAGGGCAAGTTAGGTACCACGGGAATACTTGTGTGTCCAGCGCTGTCCCTGGCCGTACCATGTACCTCTCTGTACCAATCCGTGGATTGGGCACTCCAACGGACTGTGGTCAAGCTGCCAATGAAAAGCCATGAAACTTAACCTGGCCAATAGACAGCACAGTAATATACCGAATGGAGCTCGCCACCAACCATCGCCCGTCAAAATGGCTCACGAAACGAACGCTCCGTTTCGAAGTTGGGTGGGCCGAAAAGTCCAGAACTTTTACTGTACCTAGTAAGTGCTACTCTGTCGGTTCCCACCCTAACCACGCCAGTCTACTCGTAGTACTAGTACAGTCGACAGTCCGCACTCTACAGTCACGGGGGGCGCCCAGTCATCCTCCATCCTCTTTCTTTCAAGTTGCTTCCTCTTTAAGTCTTTCACATGGTCGCTTCGCTCTCTAGTCGCCATCTTCATTCTTTTACTTTCTGATTGCTGCAAGAGTGTGGTATCCTCCCTCTCTGCGTTCCTTTCTCTATCTGCGTGTCCTGGTTGTCCGCTCCTTTCTCAACAATCTTATCCCATTACTCCTGCGTGCTTCGTGACGACACACTCCTTGACTGTCGTCTGTTGTAGCAAGCCGTACCACATACAAATCATATCACCCGTCGATTGCAGAGCAATCTCTCACCTTCCTTAGCCGAACTAAATCCATTCGATTGCAACGATCTTTGCAGCGATAAGCGAAGACAAAGTTCGACACAACGGTTAACAAAATAAGATCTGTGATCACCTTGCGACCACTAAAAGCTCGATCCTAGACTGGACTTTAGGATCAATACTTCCGACAAACAAAAAACAATATCGAGACAGACAACCAGACAATATTCACCCACATCATGGCAGCCACTATCACCCGTGCTTTCACCAAACGCAGCAAGCGACCGGAAATCTCAACTCCTATGCCATACCGCGATGGCCTCGTCAAGTATGCACCCGGCACTATCCGTCGTGGCAAGATTTCCGGACCCGTGGAACTCCTATCGGCCACCAACCCGCTGGTCTACAACGCCCCCGACCTTTCCCTTGCCTCTGGAGGAGTGTCATCATCTTCGTCCGTCTCATCACTCCGATCGTCAGACGACAGCGACGCAGCTCCCTTCTCTCCCATAACACCAGTATCGGCTGAGCCGGACGTCGCTATGGAGCCAAACCATCTGTCTGGATACTTTCCCAAGCGATCGGCAACCATCGCCAGCACGCCTCGCTCGTCGACGTCTTCGACCGGTGTCGATGCGCCTAGTGTGCCGAAGCGCGCGCTATCGCACACTAAGAAATCGCATCAGGATCTTGCGCGAAAGCGTTCTGTGTCAAGAATGTCCCCGCCACCGTCGTCTATGGCCACAACGACGACTACCACCCGCCGCAGCCAAGAACAGTCCTTTGCGCCGGTGCCTGAATATGCCGAGCACCCATTCAGCCGCGAACTCGACAAGGTGAACGAAGTGGCGGAGGACTTTGGTGCGTTGAAACTGCTGGAAGAGGAGGAACAGATTCTCATCAACAAGGGCTTGAAGAAGTTTTCGCTCGATGACTATCTTTGCGAGATTGAAGAGTTATACGGGGGCGTGTTTGATGACAATGTCGGTCCTATGGCAACTCATGCTTGGTTCTAAGGGCCTGTCTGTTTGTCCTGCACCACGATTCCCTCAATGACTCTACGATATCCACCGCTTTGCAACAAAATTTGCGATAAGAATTTGTCTGTCCTTGTTTTAACACAGTGAATAGTCACACTTCACGATCTTTTCTCGGTTTTCTTTTTTGTCGGTTTCGGAAGTACATACCATGGGGTTAGGTTTTGTTTTGCTTACTTTCCGCTGATCGAGCGGGGTTTCACTTCTGCTCTCTTTGTAAGGGCAATTTTCATGCACATATTTACATTATTTTACTTGATCTCGTTATATCCCCCATCGTCGCTCATCAGAGCTCAAGGCATGCTACTGTACGAATAACAAATGCAATGCACATATCAATCATATTCTTTACTCGAAGAAGCACGTAGACAGATTGGAGGCACGGCACACTATCCGGATGACTCTTCCGGTACATCGAGATGTCAAATCCTTCATCTTTAAGAAGTTCAAAGTCAATCTCTTATCAGACAACAAACCAATTTTACCTCTTTCGGACAACTAGACCCTCTGACGCCAAAAAACTGACACAGAATTCGCCCTTCACCGCCTTTGTTTCTCTGTCTCCATTGTACTCGTAGTATGTATTGCGAGTGGAGCGGCGATAGGCCCCACTCCAAATTTTTTCTTCCTATCGTCACTTTGCTCTACCCGCCCCGTCAACCTCATCAACACCACTTGTTATCAGTATCTGTTGTTGACACGCCATCTTTTCTAGAGTGTCCTATTCTTTGTTCATCTATGATTTCGATTTATTCTCCTTGAATGCTGTCAGGCAGACAGCGCTGAGTCGACCTAACAGTGGGTCTGCAGTCTGTCGTGTGTCTCTTTTATTCGATTGAGCGGCTTGAATGGACTATCAACTTCGATATAAAAAAGAAACACACTACGAGAGTAGTTGACCAGTCTGAATAAACGGGGATGGCTGTATTTCCTCCTACCAACCGAACCTCAACCGCCAACATGCCCATCACATCATCACCCCCGCCCTCCATCCTCAAAACATCTAAATCATCCAGCAACAACAAAAAAGGATCGTCAACCGCAGGCAAAAAACGCAAGATAGTAGTAATAGATCTTGAGTCTTCGCCTGAGCCTACGCCAGCGCCTGTATTAAATGCCGGCAACGGTGATGGCCCGCCACCAGCCAAACGTGCCCGTGTGCAATTCGACGAGACGGCAGACACAAAACGATCACCACGACCGGTTGAAGACGATACACCGCAAGAAAAGAGTGCCGCTCTAGTCCGCGAGGAAATTCGACGTGCTATTCAGCGACATGTCTCCGGTGCGGATAGCGAGGGATATGATCAGATCAAGGAAATTTTCACCACGGACCCGAAAGCGGCGCCCGATGAAGAGAGTTCCGATATTCCTAGTCCTACATCGCTGAAGAGGCATATTATGGGTTTACTGTCGAATGTCGCTGCCTTGAACCGGGATTGCTCGGGGCTGGTTCATGCGGTTCTGGGCAGTGAATGGGTTGGTCGAGATGAGTCGTATGTCAAACTATTTGTCCGGTTTCTGGGAAATCTCGCTGCGACGCATACGGGATATATGCGACCGGTATTGAAGATGCTGGTCAACTATTTCGGAGAGAGTAAGCTCCCCTTTCACCATTTCTGAGGGCTTTTGTGCTGACGGTCATAGTCCCCAAAGGAACCGGCAGGCTTCCCGGACAGGCGAGCGTTTCGCACGAAGAGATCTACGACCGAGTGCATATGGCATTACGATATATCATGGAGCTGCTTCCGGCGGGAAGTAGCACATTATCGCCAATATTGTCGCAGCAGTTTCCGTTCGACACTGATTCTGCAAGAGCCAACGTTTTTTATACTCGCAATCTTATCAAGGTGATCGGCTACGCACCGGAGCTGCGAGGCGATATTTTGTCGCTGATTACCGAAAGGTTGATCAAGATCGACGTACAAATCCAGGTCGATATGGAAGATTTTGAAGATGAAGTGGGCGAAGATATTCTCGAAGAGCTCTCACGACCTTTTGAGATTGAGTACCTCGATGAAGAAGATTCAGACGATGAATCTGTGCTGAGCGATGATGAGGCAGACGCCGAGGCCAAACGGTTACAAACCGTCAAAAACAATATCAGCAAGGTCGATTCGATGATTGATCAACTGTTTGAATACTATTCGTCTCCATTCAAGGATGGCACGAACGATGTCAAACTTCAAACACTGGATCTGTTGATTCATCATTTTGTCAGCTATATTCTCCCGACATATCGATCCCGACATACGCAATTTCTGCTCTTTCATTTTTCGCAACTTAACCCTGATCTCGTGGATAAATTCGTCACATCATGCATGGAGATTATCAATAGCAAGTCACGATCGGCCATTATGCGTCAATCGGCAGCGGCATATCTAGGAAGTTTCGTCGCCCGAGGAAAGCATCTATCTTCTCGTTCTGTTCGGGATATCTACGAAATGCTGGGCAAGAATGTCTCCAACTTGTTAGAAATATACGATAAAACCTGCAAGGGCCCTGATCTTCGTCGCTACGGACCGTTTTATGCCTCCACGCAAGCACTCCTGTACATATTCTGCTTTCGGTGGAGGGATCTCACGACCGCAGCCGAAGAAAACGACGGCCTCGAAGACGAGGATCCGGACCTGGAAGACGTCACATTCCCCGAACCCGTGCGAGTCGTCCTGTATCGAGCCATTCACTCCAAGCTGAATCCACTCAAAGTGTGCTCTCCAGCAATCGTGACCGAGTTTGCGAAAATATCGCAACGCTTCGACTTCATATACATTTACTCCCTACTCGAAACGAACAAACGTATCCGCTTATCTTCCTTTAGAAGCGTCACTACTCTCTCCGACCCACGCTTTAGTATCGTCGAACGCGAGACTCGCGCGGGTAACGACGGTGCGGATGTCCTGGATGCTTATTTCCCGTTTGATCCATACCAACTGCCCAGAAGTAGACGGTGGTTGGAAGGGGATTATATAGAGTGGCGCGGCGTTTCGGGCGTTGATGATCAGGGCGGTGATGATTCGGATAGTGCTGCAGAGCAGGTAGATGATGATGTTGATGACGACGATGATGATGATCCTACAGCTACTGATGAGGAGTGACTGTTTTGTTAGACTAGATAAATGAATATGTACTAGCTAGGTCCATTGAACGATCTATACAAACACATGAAAAAATATACACATAATAACAAATCTATAACTATGCTATGCATACATTCACCCCATATAAACAGCCCAAAAAAACAAACGCTAAAATGCAACACACTATCCGCTCTCTCTCTGGAGTCGAGAAGAAATTAGACTTAAGAATGATCAAAAATAGCCTTCATCTCCGCACAAGCTGCTTTGTAGAATACGTTTATCTTTCCCTGATCCCGGAAGGGATTGGGAGACTTGTCCCACGCATGCGGCACTTTCTCAACCATCATTGCGCGCACCTTTTTACCCATATCCTCGAGTCTGCGCACGAAACGCTGACCTTCTTGAAGCAGCATGTCCCATTCACATGTATACAGAAAGATGTCGTGCGGTAGACCCGCGGCAAGCATTTCGTCAGTTGCGCGTTCGGGGCTGGCGAAGGGGGACGAGCGCTCGGTATGGTCCGGTAGGTAGGATTCGTCAAAGAGCGTGGTGAAGAATGATGGCATTGTCTTTCCGGGGATTACGCTCATGGCGCGCCGGTGGGCGCGAGAGGCTACAAAGTCCAGGAGTGGGTACCATGCGAATGTCGCCACGATTTGGAGGTTGCCTTGGTTTTCGGTCATGAGGTTTTGGGTGGAGTCAAAGGGTGTGATATTGACGATATCGCTGGCCGCGTCGTTTTTGAGTCGGTCTTGGAGCCGCAACGGAACGGTTATGGCGAGATTGCCACCGGATGAAAACCCTGTCAGCGCGATGCGGGATGCGTCGATTCCGAGTTCGCCGGCGTGCGCGGCGAGATACAGCAAAGCTTCGACGCCGTCGTCTACGGCTGCGGGGAATGGATGTTCAGGCGCAAGTCTGTATTGGACAGAGACAAATACGGCGTCGGTTTCTTTGAGGACGCATTTTGCCCAGTAGGAATCGTCCGTCGCACTTCCTAAAGTAAATCCGCCGCCGTGGAAGTTTACGACCACGGGGAATGGCCGTTGCGAGGAGAGACGGCGGGATTTGTTTCTGTATTGCCAATACGAAGAAGGGCAGTAGAAGTACAGATCGACCGTTCGCCCCCGGGTGCTGAATGGGATGCGGCGAACGAAGGATGGCCGTGGTGGGCCATGAGACCAGCCGACGGTGTGAAAGAACATGCCGATGGACATCAGGAAGCGCCAGATTCTGGCTTGCAGGGTGAGCCATGATCGGCTGTGTTGGCGGTGGGTGATCATTGTGCCATGTTGGGGCTTGTCGAGCGAGGAAAGGTGCGTGTGCGAAGTCTCGGACGGCTGGAGATTGGATGCCGAGGACGAGTTTTTGGTCAAGGAGTAAGAGGAGGGCTCGTCTTCCGGGGATCCGGCCATTGCGAGTTCGATTTTGGTGGTTGAGGTTGATTTCATGTGTTTGTGGAGAGAGATCGTGTGATGCAACGTCAGACGCCGGACGACGGTGAGTCGGATAACGGCTGCCGGTGGTTCCGATAAGCTATTTTACTCGTTATCTCCGTGTATTATTGTATGTTGTACGGAGTTGTCTTGAAGTATGTGCAGAAAAGGAGTATTTGATGAAGATAGGTTTAGTTGAGGTACAATAGAGTATTAATATTCTGTGTAGGAGCAGCGACACGTAATGCCTCATTCTGGGCAAACATCATTGGCAGATGGCGCAATACGACCGATACGAATGGATGTCCTCAGCCACAGTTCCAGAAGGAGCTTATTCCATCCGTGGTTTCTCATCAATTCTACATAACATAACTAACTAGTACGTGCATATTTACTTTGGATGAGTAAATGTAAATAGTAAGCAACTTAAAACCAATGTTTACATTTGCTCAGGGACAGCAGGCCGTCGCCTTATATACCATGTACACAATGTATACTATGGACACGCTGTCGCACAGGCAGGCAACGGAATGTCTACGTCATCGACATCGCAAGCGGCCGCTCATTGATGGAATGTTCCCACCTAATCCGGAGCCTGGAAGCGTCGTCCTGTTCTCTACTGTCGTCTGCTCTATTACATAGTATTGCGCAAACAGGGACAGACAGGGACAAAAAAAGAAAATGACATGACCTAACTCGCTAGCTTGTTAGTTGCCCTGCCGTGTAGACTAGCTGGATTACATCATCCGCGACTATCCGGACTGTCTTGAGACAGTCTAGAGAGCCTCGGTCTCGCCGAAGCTTGATTTGTTAGTCTTTTTTTTCTTCTGCGACTATCTGAGAATAGCTTCTGCAATTCAGGCACTTGTCTAGGCTGACGTCGTGTTAAGGAGTCGAAACTACTTGAACAGCTTTTTCCCTCTCCTTTTGATCTTGATTATCTGATTTATCTGATTTCTTCGCTTTTGCTACGTGAGTCTGCCGACTGGCCAGACCTCTCTGCCTAACAACCGATTGGCTGTTCCGTTATCTAACATACCGATCAATCACTACAGTACCCCTCCAATTTACGTACATAAGGGACCTTCAACATTTCGCATGGTCGACGGATTCCAACTCACTAGCTCGGCACATTGATCGCTTATTCAGCTTCTTGGTCAGTCTGAGTAAGTGTTTCCATCGTCTCTAGTCTACAGTCTGGCTGGTGGGCTGACTGGATCTGCTAGTCCGTGACTCCGACAACCCCGCCATCTTCAAACTTCCGGTGCATTCCTCACCTCTTCTCCTGTTAACCCACACTTGCAATTCACGCCTACGGGCAAACTCGTTACAATGTCAGGCATCAGACGCGCCCTCTCAAAAATCCGTGGGAAACATGAAGGTGTTATCAGCGATGCGGACAGCAGCGGCAGCGTCTCGCACTCCCATTCCCCGCGCCGCTCGCTGGTCGGCTTCCTGCGCGATCGTGACGAAATCTCCTCCTCTGACGATCTCTCAGACGACTCGTCAGGCCCAATGAGTAAAAATCAACAAAAACGACTCGCTCGCCAACAAGCTCGCCACGCCAAGTCTCGTCTGAGCGAGGAACAGAGAAATGACTCTGAACAACGCCGTATCGAAAAGGAAGTGGAGATCGCGCGTGAAGAGACTCCCGAAATGAAGGCGCGATATGGCGATTTGCCGCTCGTGCAGAGTCAGGAACGGACTGGAGAATCGCGTTTGAAGCTAATTGATATTTCGACCGATCTGATCGGCAAGGAAGTCTCCTTTACTGCTCGTCTGCATATTGTTCGTAACATGAGCGCCAAGCTCGTGTTTTTGGTTTTCCGTCAGCAACTCACAACCTTTCAAGGTGTCCTTCATGCCGAAGAAGGCAAGAAGTCGCTAGGTATGGTCGATTGGGCCGAACACCTGCGAACCGGTACCATTGTTCGCGTCCGCGGTATCATGCAGTCTCCAGCCGTCCCAGTTTTGGGCTGCACCTACCATGATGTAGAAATATCCATTGAACAACTTCACGTCGTTGTACGTCGTGAAGACCCTGTTCCTTTCTCAGTCTACGAAGCTGAGATTCGCACTGAAGAAGAAGAACGCGTCGAGGGTCGTTATAGCCACATTTCCGATCGCACGCGTTTGTCCAATCGTATTCTCGATCTTCGAACTGGTACTGCTCAAGCTATCTTTCGGCTGCAGTCAGCCGTTGGCAACCTCTGGCGTGCTGCTCTCGACGAGCGAGGTTTCATTGAAATCCATACCCCCAAACTGCAAGGCTCCGCGACAGAGTCCGGTGCAAGTGTGTTTGAATTGAACTATTTTGGTCGCTCTGCTTTCCTTGCTCAGAGCCCTCAATTGGCCAAGCAGATGGCAATCGCTTCTGATTTTGAGCGCGTGTATGAAATTGGTGCCGTGTTCCGAGCCGAAAACTCCAACACTCATCGTCATTTGACTGAATACACTGGACTCGATATCGAAATGGCCATCGAAGAACACTACCACGAAATGCTCGAGACCATCGATGCCGTCTTGAGAAACATCATCTCTGGAATCTACAGCAAGTACCGCCGAGAAGTCGAGGCCGTCAAACATCAATTTCCCTCTGATGACGTCGTTCTTGCTGAAAAGACTCCCGTCATCCCATTCCGCGAAGCTGTCGAGCTTCTCAACGCTTCTGGCTGGCGCAGTGAGGACGGCGAGCTGGTTTCCGCTGACGAGGACTTGCACACCCGCGACGAGATCCGACTGGGAGAGTTGGTCAAGGAGAAGTACGGCACCGACTACTACATCATCGACAAGTTCCCCGTCTCCGCTCGTCCCTTCTATACCATGCCCGACCCTAACGATTCCCGCTATACCAACTCTTTCGATATTTTCGTCCGTGGTCAAGAGATCGTCTCGGGTGGTCAGCGTATCCACGACGCCACAATGCTGGAAGAAAACATGAAAAATGTCGGCATCAACCCAAGCGACATGGAGGACTACCTCGAAGGCTTCCGCTGGGGCGCACCACCCCATGCCGGTGCTGGCGTCGGTCTCGAACGTTTCCTCATGCTTTTGCTGAAACTCGGCAACATCCGTCTCGCCTCTCTCTTCCATCGCGATCCCAAGAGCTTCCCACCCAAGCCTGCTATCCTTCAACTTCGCCATCCCGAATCCTCTACCGTCGAACCACCCTGGCAGAAAGAAGAACGCGGTCGTAAAGTCAACGACGAAAGTGAATATCAGCCTCTTGTCGAGCTCATTGCCAACTATGGCGATGCCACATCCACATCCTGGACAGACGAACGATACCAAATCTGGCGAGACCCCTTCACCGGTGCTGCTGTTTCGTACATCCCCAGCTACAACTATGCCATCATTCCTGGCGACCCACTCTGCGACCCTGGTCAATACAACCGAGTCATCAGCTCGTTCCTGCATTGGCTCAAACGCGAGACCAAGCTTAAACCCATCTGGATCTTGATTTCGCCTGCTGTTGAGGAAGTTCTTGGCGAGAAACTGGGATGGCGAAGTTTGTCCTGCATTGCTGAAGAGCGCGTTGACCCCAGTCGTAACTTGATGGCCTCGGATACCGAAGTCGCGCGAAAGATTCGACATGCCGAGAATGAGGGCGTCAAACTTGTCGATGTGCCTCACGGAGACCTGCCATCGGATGAGATCCGAGCTAAGATTGACCAACGTATCAAGGACTGGCTTGCCAACCGCAAGGGTACCCAGATCCATCTCTCAGAAATCGCTCCCTGGCGCGACTATGAGCACCGCTGGTACTTCTATGCCACCGACAAGGATGGAAATATCGCTGCATTTGTCGCTCTGGCCACGCTCGCCCCTCGTCAGGGTATGCAAGTGAAATACAGTCTCGATTTCCCAGATTCCCCCAACGGCACAATCGAGCACATCGTCACCCACGCGATTCAGACCGCAGCTAGGTCAGGCGTGAAATCACTCACCTTCGGTGCTGGTGCAACGGCCCACTTGACACCCGGCCACCACATGAAGGGCGCCAAAGTGCGTATGCTGCAGCATACCTACGAGGCAGTCGCTAAACAGTTCCATCTAACGCGCAAGAGTGAGTTCCGTATGAAACTGGGTGCGCACGAAGAGCCGCTGTATATTGCTTATCCGCCTCATGGATTGGGCTCGCGCGGTATTCGTGCTATTATGAATTTCTTCGAGGATTAATCCGTTTGCCTTTTTGAATGTGAGCAGTACAAGAGAGTTAATAGAAGAAGTTACGAAAGAAAGAGAAAAATAGAGAGGAGAAACAAAGGATTATACATTTGAAGACAAGCGGTTCGTGCGCAGGGCGTGTGGCTCAGCCTCTTCCCGATCCCGGGTCCCATCATCGGTCTTAGCTCGCCCTGCTTGATCATCTCATCTCCATCGTCTTTATGTCATTGCTGTTTGCTCATACTTGACTTTCCTATTTCTTGATTTTGTTTAGTCGAGCATATTCCCCTTTTGTATGTTGACTGTCATGTTTGCTTGATGTATGTATGTAATGATGACTCGCCGTCTTGTTTAGTTGATATGAATTGACATACAATTTCCGTCTAACATCAGAAGCGCTAGTTTTAGAAGATGTTTCGATTTTTTAGAGACTCGCGTGTTCAATTAGGGTAATGCTGGTCCTTTAACCAGTACACGTTCATATTGCGGGCTTGGTCTTGAAGTTGTCTGCAAGGATTCGCATGACCGCAATTTTTGCTTTGATGCTGTAGACGAACAATGAATGTCTTTCCATCGACTATCAGGAAACTCATGGGTCGCCTCATCGCCTAAGCCCTTGATGATTTAATGTTGAGCAATGGCTCGTCTTCTGGAGTATAATAACTTTATAAGATATACATAAGAGTATGTAAGCTTACCCTTTAGGAAAACCCAATTAATTTTTATATGATATTATAAGTAAAAGATTTGATACTAATTTATCTAGGTAGTTAACTAAAAACCAACCCGCCCCATCCCAACTCTAATTTCTCATCCCCTCGGAGGTCAATGTCGGTCACGACTCACAGGACCCTGCGGATGAATAAAAGTATTATTAGTGAGGAAAAGCGACAGATGATAACTTGTTTGCGTTCGGATGGAGGAAAGGAGTCTTGTACATACAAAAACCCGTTAGCGCCGTTGGCGCTAGATAGTGCATGTGGAGCTGTCCTGTCTCTCTGGCAATGATTTTGTTTATGTAATCCAGCTCCTGCCCCTTGACTTTCTGCAAATAAAATCATATTTCTACTTCCCATGGACGCTTCTTTTTAAAATGCAGTCTATAAGCCGTTCCTTGATACGCATATCTTTCCTTCGTACCAGAATTTCTCCAATATCGCCATCAGTGCCGGCGACATCCGTTCCTCAAGGCGAACTTGTCGATGAAGAGATCAGTCCTGGATATAACCCTAAACACTATTATCAAGCGAGACCGGGGCAAACCCTTGCTGATAGTTATCAACTGTTGGTTAAGATCGGATGGGGAGCGGGTTCAACCGTATGGCTCGCTCGAGATGTTGCAAGGCATGAATCGTTGCTATCTGCGGTCAAATTTCCTATCACTAACTCTAAGACGGACCTTTGATAGATATCGATGGCAGACTGAGCGCTTAGTGGCCTTGAAGATCATAAACAATGATAACCCGAAAGGCGCTTACCGCGAGCGTGATATTGAAGTAACATTGCGCAGCAAACCGCCTCACATCGTGGTCGTCCCGTTATCCGCACTTGTCTCGACAGCTTTGAGGTGACAGGCCCTATAGGAACCCATTTGTGCTTGGTCTACGAACCTGCAAGAGAACCACTCTGGATTTTTCAGAGAAGATTTGAGGGCGAGAGGTTGCCTCTATCAATGGCTAAAGGTTATATTCTTATCCTTTTAGCTGGCCTTGATTACCTTCATTCCCAATGTCGGGTTGTACACACAGGTGAGTAACACACTCAGCACTCTTATATTTAGGAACATACAACTGATATTATTTTCAGATCTGAAGCTCGATAATATATTGGTAACATTCGAAACTGAAAACATTCTTCCCAAATTTGCCAGAGAACAAGCGGTTCATTCCATGCAACTCAAGACGGATCCAGATACCGGTCGAGCTATCTATCGCTGTCATAATGACTTCGGGCCCCTCGACCCGAGCAAGTTAGGAAACATATATCCTCAAATAACTGACTTTGGTGCGTCGGTATTACTTGATGATGACAGTAATAATGACGCTACTCAACTGGGTACCCGTCCCATACAGCCTGACTATTATCGTGCGCCAGAAGTTATTCTTGGTTGCGGTTGGAGCTTCAGTGCAGATATATGGAATCTGGGTGTTTTGGTAAGAGATACATAGGAATTATGCCTACCTATTCGTATATCTTAGCTCATATTCCCCAACAGGCGTGGAACATAATCGAAGGTACAGAGTTATTCACTCAGGTACAAGATGCAGGAGGAAATTATGTTTCAAAGGCACATCTAGCGGAGATGATAGCACTGCTTGGCCCACCACCCAAGAAATTACTCGTGATGTCAGATTCCATGGCGCAGGTCGAATGGTCTCCGGCTATTACAGATGAGAGAGGCAAGACTTATAAAAATAACAGAGACTATTTCGGTGGGCCATTTTTTGATGGGGAAGGTAGGTAACCCATGTTCAAACTTACGTACTATTCACGCTGATTTAGTTGGAAGGCAAATTCCTCCACGATGATCTGGTACCGACACGGAAACTTGAAGATACACTTCCAACATTGGAAACTAGAGAAAGGGAAGCTTTTCTAGCTTTTATCAAACAAATGCTGGTATGGTTGCCTGAAGAGCGAAAGACGGCACGGGAGTTGATGGACCATCCATTCCTCAACGATTGATTGAAACTACGCGAAGCTGGAATGAAATAGGCTTGGCAGGCTCGAGTCCTGCCTTCATCGAATGAACTAGCAAAACATGAGGAGGAGTATAAGCTGTTCGTAGCAGCACAACAGTTGAAACATGGTCTATCAAGTCTGCTTAATTCCGCGACAGACGGATGGGTTCCCCAGATACAGTGGGATGACAAAAAAGTGTTGGCACCGCTAAGCATCCATACGCACAAGGGTACCAACACTTTTTTCATGGTACTGTACCTGGGAACTAACAAGCGCATTCCACAGGGGATTATTTGACGGCACGGTGACTGCTATGTTAAAAAACAAGAACTTCGATCATGASGAGCCAGTAAAGGACGAAGGAATTCTTGAATCAATATAGCCATTTGATCCGAAGACTTGATATTAGCTGGTTTGACCGGCAGGAAATGTTTCATGACCAAGTGCGGTTTAGTTTTTGTATTCATATTACAAGTCCCATATGTAGTCTAGATTCTCCCGGAAAAGCATGTAAATAGATCGTCTCTAGTTAATTTACTCAGATGGCTCCAAATCTACTACGTAGTAGCATCATCAACTCATGGTATACATTTTCTCGATTAGGCTTAGTCTTAGGGCTTAGATGTCCAGTCATCGATATCAGTTCATTCATTCTACGGGCCCTTTCCTGCAAAAACATCACTATTGTAAACGAACAATCGGGTTGGAGTATTATCTTAACTGATACTTTCTATGACTAAGTAGAATCCTCAGAGACAACTGTTGTACCTAGGTAGGCTCCCAAATGGGGGAATCCGTGATTCCCTGACGGAAATTGTCGTACCTATGTGCTTGATTTTCCCTGAGGCGTTGCAGCTTTCCTGTTCCATTTTAGTGCTCACCCCATTGCTGCTTTTACTCCCTGAGTAAAACTAAGCACGATGCAGAGATAAAAACTAGCGTATATATTTTTCACAATAGTACCGTTTTCAGAAGCTTCCCTGGGATACAGGGTAGGTCCCTGCCTATAACGGACAGCTCCAAAAGGAAATCATTAACGAATAGAGCTCTGTTCTCTAGCATTTAAGGAAAAATTAAAATATAGCATGGAGTTGAAAGAGAATATAACTAAGCTAGAATTAAGTAGAAACACTAATCCAAAAAGAGACAGCATTTATACTTATAGCTATACTTGCATAAGATTCTTTTCCCCTATTATCAAAACTGTCTTAGAAGAGAAAATATAGTCAGATACTAGTTATTACTCAAAGTAAATATATTGATACTTCTGGAAAAGATTCCATACAACCTCTATATCCAGAACGCCACGAAAGAGACCCCTCCTATCAAAGTACATAGAAGCATAAACAACACAGTGTACCACAAAAGAAGAAAGCAGAAAGAAAATTATCCAGATTAGAGACTTATATTAAGATCGCATAGAACACCAAACGAAGGGTTGATGTTCTATAGGATCCAACCAGTGGCAGCCATAGACAACATAAACTCCACCCGATTAATCTTTGGACCTACGGCGTCACGGCGATGTCTCTACATTCTTCTAATATGCCAATTCTTCATATCCAAGATCAGATATCTGGGATATCTGGGCGCGGGTTCGTAACTCGGGTAGTAATTCGGGGTGCGATATCTATGTATGATAGGGTACAAATCATTGATCATCTGATCATTATACACTTTTACCTCAAATTAGAAATTTCTTTCATCAGACAATAATACGTGCATATGTATAGCTACATGACAGCAGCATTCTTTGGATGTCCAAGCTGCCATCCACAATCTGAATTTTCTATACGCAACATAAACCCCAGAGAATGTATACATCGCGGAGCAAGTAGGCCTCAACTACTCAAGAATAGGTGGCAAGTTGAATAGTTGCCAATAGCTTTCAAAATCGAGCGTCTGGGTGTCACCGATGGCTTTCCCAAAAACTTCCCGCTTTGTCATTCCGTTTCCCAGATATGTGAACCGATTGGATCCGACATATTCGAAAGAATAGTCTTCCCACCGGGGCTCTTTGAGAGCTTGGATGAAGTGATAACTGCTGCCACCATATATCGCCGTGATTCTGCCATTAGCCATTCCTTGTTTGTACCAGCTACTGCAAGGGGCCGACCAAACGGTCTTTTCAAGGAATCTCTGCGAGTGTTCGTTGTATTCTTGTTGTGCATCGAGGGAGATATCCATAGATCTAATGCTCTGTGTTTGCAGTTTGGATATGCATTTGGCTATATAAATTCCAGTCATCTGAATTGCTTGCACCAGAGATCCATTCGAGATTGGGGAATTTGGTCCAATGAATGCTGTTGAGTATCAGTTAATGGAAGCTTCACTGACTTGAGGATTCTAGAGCGTACTTACAAAAGTAATTAGGGAACCCGGAGACAGTAATCCCGAAATATGCCTCGGGAGCCTCATTCTCCCACTTAGTTGCGAGATTGACTCCATTACGGCCGATGATGGGGAATACTGGCTTGAAGGAGGTGTCGAACCCAGTCGCACAGCATATAACATCACACGGAATGTGGCGGCCGTCTTTGGTGATGATGCCTGAGTCGATGATTCTATCCAGGTTTTTCCACTCCAATATCACGTTATCCTGCAACAGAGACTCGAGGAATCCTTGACCTGGTGTAAGACGCCTGCAACCAACTGGGAATTTGGGGATAAGCTGTTCGGCAATTGTTCTTCCTTTTTTAGAAAACCCTAGCCTCTCCTCCATGGTCTTTTTGAAATGTAGGAAGCTCTCTTCTGCCTCACGAGAACCAAGAAAAAACTGTTTGAAGCCTTGAATGCGAGCATTCTGTAGAGACTTTCTATGAGCGAGAAGATACTCAGGGTCCTCGATAAAGCGGTTGAGCTCTTTGGAAGTATAGTTGTAGGCTTCATCAACTTCGGGATCTCCGACCCCCGGCTGACTGACACCAGGGTCTGGGGTGATCCAGGTCTCTGACCGGGCAAACAAGGTCGTATGATCTGCAACTTTGGCGACTTGAGGAAGGATTTGAATACCTGAAGACCCAATTCCTATTACGCCGGCTTTTTTCCCCTTGAAATCATATTCTTGATCCCAGTTGGCAGAGTGCATGAGCTTTCCTTTGAAACTACCGATACCTTCGATATCAGGCCACTTCCAATTGTCCAATACTCCACCGGCATTGATGAAAATGTCACAAACGTCAACAAACGTAGACCCGCTGGCCTCTACTGTCAAGTGCCATTTTTTATCATTTTCCTCCCATCTTGCTTTGACAACTCGATGGTTATAAGCAAAGTATTCTTCGCAGTCGTATTTTTTGGCGGTGTCTTTCATGTACTGATGTATCTGCTCCGAAGTAGCATAATAATTCTTCCAGTAAGGATTTGGCTCGAAGCTGTACTGATAATTATGTGCAGGGATGTCGCACTGGCAACCCGGATACCTTTACGCATTAGTTAGACTAGTCTTTCGTGTCCATTATGGCATCATAAACCTGTTCACGAGCCATGTTCCTCCCATGTCGTGATTCTTCTCGTAGACTTGAAATTCAAGATTGGCCTCTCGGAACTTCTCCTTTACAATGATAGCCATCATCAAACCAGAGTAACCAGATCCTATGCACACGACCCGTAGTGAGCGCCGTGATTCTATTGGCAGATTTTCAAAATGGTATGTTCCTTCCTGATCTCTCCAAGCAGGAACCCCAGTTTTCCCATCTGCGAGATCCTGTGTGAGCATCTTTTACCTTGGGCAATAGAGATCCTGCAAAACAATAAATAAAGTAGTTCAACGTAAAGAGGAGGAATTCAATGCAAGAAGCGATGTTGAAGATTCACTTGTGGAATATTGCTGCCCATATACTTGATAAACAGTGGCCCTATAGTGTCTACTCCCAGCGATGATTCCATCTTTCCGAAATTAATTGCCTGCAAGCAACGTATAGCATTTCCACACTCATGTGTCAGTGACCCATAGTCCATATCCCCGTGTATACAACATGGAGGAGTTTATTGTGGCGCCATGCTGTTCGACGGAGGTCGCATCTCCGTCTTCTCCGTAACTTCCGTGATACCTACGTAGTCTACGTACATTTAGTGGCTAAACAATAAACGATCTTTATATTTTGAATTTTATACTTCCGCATCTCCGTACTCGAGAAATTTCCGAATTTAAGCCAACTGACGAAGGATGAAGCACAAAGGACATAGGATTAGGAGTTACGGAAGGGAAATTTTGGCGGAATATTGATCTAGTCACATTTCGATATGAATCCCTTAGAATGGTATGACAGAAAAGTGCGGGCATTGGAATCTTTTCTGACAGTTGTAGGGACACATACATTTCCACCTTGGGCCTGACAACAGTAGAGGAGCGTTCTGTGCTTGTTGATTGCATCCTGAGTAATGGCATGGATGGGCACCCCTCTCAAAGCTTGAAGGGATGGACCAGGTTACCGTTGTATATCAAACCGCTATCCGATGAACTTATCGAACGTGACATTGCCGATTTGGAGAAGAAATGCGTACTCTCCGTCCCCTGTGATCAAATACGCGACGAGCTCTTTTTAGCATTTCTAAAGTATGTATATCCTTTTATGCCCGTTGTTGAGCTCAGGAATTTCCTCCACGTGATTATCATGGGACGCGACAATTCAGGCCCTAGGATTAGTCTGTTCCTCTTTCATGCAGTCATGTTCGCAGGAGCTATGTTTGTCGATATATGCTTTTTGCACACGTTAGGTTATCAATCCAGAAAAGACGCCTGTAGCGACTTTTATAGGAAGGCTACTGTAGGTATTCATATGTCTCAATGCCGAGAGGGTTACGCTGATTGAAGAATTTCCAAGCTACTCCATGAACTTGAATATGACTCAGATCCATTATCGAAGATCCCTGCACTCCTACTCCTGAGCTATTCGTATGACGATAATGACGACAAAGATCCACGCTATTGGATCGGTCGTGCAATTTCGTCTTCAGTCAAGGCCCGACTAGATGATGATGGTTACAATTACGCTCAGGAAGATGCAGTAGGAAAGCTTCGACGGCGCATCTGGTGGTCTTGTTACATCAGAGACCGCCTGGCATCACTCGCAGCGGGAAGACCACTCAGCGTAAAACACGACCCCAAGAAAATATCGATGCTTTCGATAGATGACTTCGAAGTTGCAGATATACATCCTTATATTTCAGTGCTATCATTTGATCTTGCTCAGAAACAGCGGGAACTTGCCATCATCTGCATAGAGATGGCTAGGCTTTGTGTGTGCATTGGCAAGGTCTTGAGCACGAGATTTTCTCGCAAGGCGATAAACGACCCTGAATTAGCAGACTCAATGAGGACAATACTACAACCGATCTCACTTCAAGCTATACGTAACCATTACATCGAAAATGAGTTGCTATTATGGTTTAAAAATCTTCCGCCAGAAGCAGAGTTGGGCACCCAGTCATATGAAGTTATGAACAGTCAGATTGATATCTCTCTCGTTCATCGTGGTTTTCTCCATCTGATGTACTACGCCTGCAGAGGAGCTTGTTGTCCAATTCAACCTGCAACCTCCATTGATGAAATCAACATATCAGAGCGAATAGAATTGAAGAGAAAACGGAAACACTTTGCATCTTCATCTGTTACCATTGTGAAAAAATTACAAGACCATCAGGTCGTCCAGTTTCTGCCACCAACAGCAGCACCAATTCTGCTGCCAACTCTTATCGAACGAATATGTGCCCACAAGTTCGACAGGAGGGAAAGTGAGAATGCTCTTGATGATGTAGGCCACTGTCTTGAAGTCCTGGAAGCTCTACAACATAGACACAATGTTGTTGCCACTGTTTTAGAGTTTATTGAAGTCTTCAGACAGAGGATAGGTTGCTCAGCTACTTGTCGTGAACTCGTCTCAGCGTCGGTTTTGGACGTTCAAAGTAACTATCAGAAATCATTAGACTCCTCGAATGGAGGTGAGAAGACGTCTTCTGATGACCCAGAACAGTTCATGTCTTGCCCTTGGAAAGATTCAGGTCCTAAATTTGGAAACAATGGCATCATTATGGATCTAGATGAATTTTTGGATCTTCATGATTACTAGGGCAAATAAATTCGGGCTGAAAATAAACAAGAACATCATTTTGAACTTGATAGCATTCTGTATACGGTGGAATGAGAAGATGGAATTACAAATGATCATAAAGAGACATACCCTGTTTGCTCTAAAGGTAGTATAGATTCTGTAGCCGTCAATCTTTATTCCATTATAAGTATTTCAGCCAGAAACTACCCTTGAGGCAAAGTTCAAACAATGTATTGAGTTTTCTCCCATCTTTGCAAATTTAAAACTGAAAATGTCTTGATAGTGGGTTAGGCCAGAAACTCAGGCACCTCGGATGCTCCTTGCCATTTTTTAATGCCACACCTTTCTACAATTTTTAGGCATACGTCTCTAACAGCGGTCACTTCCTCTCGACTAACCCCATTCCTCAACATGCCTAACATATGACCATAAGCATGAGATTGACAATCATTACCAATCAAGGCTGCTACCATTACTTGTCCTGTCTCAGGGATACCCAAAATATCTTGGAAGGAAAAAACACGTCCATAAAGTAACTCTAGCAAGAGTCAGCTATCGAATACTAAATTCTCGTCGATTACAGACCTAATACAATGTAGTCATAATCAGCAGCAGCAATTCGAGTCGGGTTGGGGTCCGTATCTGGATCTTTGCCGTAGATACTCTTCACTAAGTCCTTTCCCCGCCGAGAAGCGATGTCGGGATTTTCATTTTCGCTGACAGTACATGTGAAGTGTTAATATAGGTTCTTTTCATATGATCAATCCTGAAAAGGTAGTCGTCATACCGATAACACTTTGAGTCACGGAGAATATCAGGAGTGGCCTGTGCTAAGGCTCGTAGGGCTACACCTGTCTAGTAAAGCCGTGAAAAAACCAGTAAGTTGAACAAGTCATAACCATAGATCACATATGCCTAGGATTGCGATATTCAGAAGTATTCTCACCTTAGCTGCTCCGATAACCCCTAACGCCTTTGTGAGTCCCTCGCGGATGATTCTAGTCTCTTCGAACTGGCGATCTTTGTGGATGTATGACTTTAAAAGTACTTGATACAGCGGCGGAATTTCTTCACTGTAGTTGAGACCAGCCAGGCACGCAATAGCGGAAAGATACCACCGCAACCGGTTGCTAGGAACTGACGATTCGACCCGGGCAAGTTCTGAGTAAAATTGCTCATCGAGAATTGTCATAATGAAGTTCTAAATTCGTAAAACAGGGGGAACAACCGAGTAAAGCCGTTTTACATGTATCTAGCCACGGTCAGATGACGAAGCACAAATATCACGTCAGGTCCTAACTCTTTGTCTGAGCACCATAGAGATATATATTAATGCTCTTGTCAAAATCTCTTTGAGCAATATTTGCACTACGGAGAACTCTGGATGCATTGTTCAGAGTTCGGAGAATTGACCTCCGAGAACTCCAAGCCATAGCAAGTGGGACGGGGAGTATATTCAACATTTTCGCGAATGTTTGGTTTTGGTTAAGTTCTTATAGAGAATATTTTTTCTTTGTGAGCTTCTACCAGGTGTTTGTAGACCTCAGTACTATAACGAAAAGGATGGCAGTCATTGTTTCTCCTGTCGTTCCGATTGCTACATCGAATAATCGCGAGCGGGTAGGCCGGTATTCTCTCACCAGTGACATTCGAATGCAATCTGACAGGATATGCAGTTTTTACGTCTACTTAAAGATGTTGCCGATGAAACCCTCCATCACGAACCTAACTGTCTAGGATACTGTTGGCTAGTATCTGAAACAGAAGGATCAAACGAAGTTCGTGGCCTGGAGATATATGCGAACGAAAACGCGCTAGAGATTACACATCGAGCTGGAAAGGCATACCAAATGTTTCGCTCTGCATTATCCACTGAAAAACTGGCTCCGCCTCCGGCGCCTGGCGACTTGGTATTTTGGCATGATACAGCGTGGGGATTTCGTCAGAGACAAAACGAGAAATTCAGCTTCATGGCAGAAAGTCAATGCAGAATTGTCACAATCGAGTATAAAGTCAACGACCCACAGAAGATAGATGAATTGTTAGCCTTACTCAAGACAACAGTCGAGGATAAGAGCCACTCAGGCCTAATTGTATACATTGCAAGCACGACAGACGATTTTAAAAGGGTGCTGGTTGTAGAGGGGTATTCCACAGAAGAAGAGTGCAGTCTTTCCCAAGACTTAGATCCTACGATAGTCAGGTATGGACACCCAGAAATGCGAGAAAAGCAATCGACCTGACAGAAACTCCCCCGTCTATTTAGTCTGCCAAATGGTCTCGTGCAAGTGATCAGGGTTGCGTCTTGGAAGCCATCAGGTGTAGGCTTTATTCGATAGGAAGACTGCTTCAATAACCTTTTCGATCGTCAGCTCTTGTTTCGGTACCAATTGGCTGTCATCTCATTTATGTTCTTTAACTATTACTTTGGTAACTTAGTCCGGACCAAAGTATATGATTTCGTACAGTTGAAACAAAAGTCGTGGGATCCCTGGACATATTAATCAGTACTGAATCACTCCTTAAAAGAGAGCGTATAATTGCCTATGATCCCTCCCTACGCGAAGTCTTCCTCAAGTGTTGTTAGATTGGTGGGTCTACTTCAGGCCAATCCGGAATATTAGCTTACTAGGATGGCAAAAGAAGAACTTACTAGCAAGATTGTATGTTGAGTTCTCTCTGTCTTTCCGAGGATTTGAGGATCCAAAGCCGGGTTTTATAGACATTCTAGCGAGCTGGCTTGCTCGCCTCTGGCTTTTAGGTTGACACCATTTGTGACCTGTCATGAGGGGTAGATTTGGGGTTACAAATTACCTAGTGCTTCTGATTGACTGTCTCATTCGACTGCTTCTGAATATACGGGTTATCTGACAAGTGTCTCAAAGGAGTTTTATGCAGCAGCTCTCACGACCGTATAGCGCTAAAACATAATGAGACAATCCTATCTTTACATTTTCATCAGTATAATTCTCTTAAGTCGATCCCAGGCATCATTTGTAGGAAATCCTGAATATGGTAATACCTGGCTTTCTACAATGCCTCCATAAAAGCGCTTAATCACCTAGAAAAACCCCGCAATAGGGAAAAAAACGAGTATTACATCAAGTTTAGGGTCTATCTCTAAATGTATTTAAGCATATTCGGATGAATTATGGTTAGCTAAGTGGGTTGCATGTTCAGCTTAACATTAGCCGAAATACTCCGTACTATGTGCAATAATGAGGTGATAATCGCTTGGTTGACGTTTCATTTTTAGTTTGAAGTGAAGTACGCAGAACATATCGATTATAGGATAAATTTATGTCAAGACATATGCGTCGTCAACCTGGAACACTCTCCTATGTGGACGTTTAACCATTCGTTGATCGATTTTCATTGTCCAATCTGACTTGATTGATTTCGTCCACTCCGTTCCACCCAAGCCATTCTCTTTATCGTACTGATGCACCGCCAGGAATGGGCCAGTGTACTCCAAATTGCTGCCCACGCAGCCAATTAATTTGTATCGGCCTCCTAGCCTGTACCCCGGGATCGCCATTAGCTTGTGGATATGCTCCTGTTCATACCAGTCATGGTAGTCTTGGATGACGGCGGGGTCATTCTCCGGAGTCAATGAGTTGGCAACGACGACAGTGTCCTTAGGTGGAAGTGCGACTATATTTTGATGGGAGGAAAAGTTGAGTCTTTCGTAGAGTAGTAGATCCATCGACGATACCATTGGCGCACTTGTTTTCTTCCATGCCGCGGCCAAATGTTGAAGGTTGACAGCGTCAACGTCACTGAGGTCATATGCATTTTCAGAGCGATAAGGTTTGCCTTCCTCAGGTGCATCGGTTGCAGTAAGAATCAGTTTTGAAGTGGCACCAGGGATATTCGCGAAAGCATCGACGCGCCATTTCTGAAAAGCCTCGATATCGGCACCCTCTCTCGCGTCCAGTTGAACCCTTAGATACCCTACTTTCCCCATGGTAACAAGTTTCCCGATTTATACTTGCCCTTTTTTGTACTTCCAAACTTCTAGATTCAGAACTGTGGTTATTAGCGTTCTAGCTTGCTTTAAACCTTGTAGTCTCCGGGGGGTTGGAGTTAGATTTCGGCGATCACTTCTCCGAATCGTCCGTCTTCTGTATGTCTAAATTACAGTACCACCGGAGCTAGAAAATCATTAGAAGTCAATGGCACGATATTGCTTTACTATTTTTGTTCTTATTTTTTATTTTTATATTGATTTTTATTTTGATTTTGATTTTGATTTTTGATTTTTTCAAAGACCACATACTTTTGTTTGTACAAACCACCTGTGAATATGAACATTCCAAAGCTACCTTCTTTTGATGAGTTACCTCTTCGTGAAGGAGATCCTCCATATTCTGCATGGGGCCTTTGGTCAAATTCACAACTTGGTTCCCTAAATTACCTAACGTCTGAAAGAACTCTAGATGCCGCCAAAAACGAAATTATGACTGGGGAAAGGATTGCATTGAAGTACGTGGCCCTCGCTCCTCCTGTTCTTCTTCTGGGTGACATGGGTTATGACTGGACTTTTGGTGCCTTTATTGATTTGGATGAACAAGTCTACCTCTTGATGTCATACAGCCCGGTTTATTAGGAAGACAGGCTTTCAAGCAGACGCTGGTGAATAAAGCTCCACGGGTGGTCAATGATGACATCGTATGTTTATTGGCGAATTAATCTATATACTGTTTTAATACTTACACTGCGCCCATTTCAGATCACTTTCAATAGCCAAGGTAGCTCCCAATGGGATAGTTTTCGACATTTCGCCTACCAGTCACATGGAAAATTCTATAACGGGTAGGAAATGTTCCCCCGGCTATGCGACATGAGTGCAGAAGTCTAAGACCCGCTTCCCATTATACAGTGTAACTCAAGAGGACATACATGGTGCATCAAAGTCCCCTGTCAACAGTATCAGTGCCTGGTCGAGCCAAGCTATAGCCGGCCGTGGAGTACTAGTGGACTTTTACGACTGGGTCCAAGAACGAGGCATCGAATTTGATCCACTTGTCGCCTCTAGCATCCCTTTGTCGACAATCAAAGAGATTATTTCAGAGAAAGGGATTGCACTGAAGACTGGAGATATATTGTTCCTTAGGACAGGTATACTTATCGCTCTCCATTTTTCTTTCAGCCAGGAGTGTTCTAATGTAGCCCTCCTTGTGAGGAACAACTCAGGCTACGTTTCTTCCTACCTTTCCCTAACGGCCTTGGAGCGCAAGAATGTCGCTGAGAGGTTTGCGTGGCCGGGCCTTGCTCAGTCCAAAGAGACCACTGAGTGGCTCTGGCAATCTCAATTCAGTGCCGTAGCTGCGGACTCTCCTGCTTTCGAATGTACCCGTATGTTCTTCAGCCTGTGATTTTCGCTTTTTCATTGCCACTAACAACTTTCCTCTTTTCACGTCAAATCAGCCCCCACTGACCCTTCATACCTTCTCCACGAGATCCTTCTTTCAGGATGGGGAACCCCAATCGGAGAACTCTTTGATCTTGAAGGTCTATCGGCCACCTGCAAGAGTTTAAATCGATGGACTTTCTTTTTGACTAGTGTGCCATTAAACTATTCAGGTGCTGTCGCGAGTCCACCAAATTCACTAGCAATTTTCTAGAAAGTGGCTAGAGAGGAGACCCTGGGATTTCAATATAATGCAAATTATCCACGGCCCTGCTCTGGAATACACCACACTTTTAGTACAAGTACAACCAGAAGCCTGTTGTTATTCACGTATAAGACGTAAATACGACATGGTCTCATAACAATATTTCTCTTTACATATGTAAGAAGAAACAAAGTACTGAGCCAAACATCTTCTACACTATCTATAAGACTTTCAATTTCCATTCTGGTTCAAGAGCCAAAGTAGACCGTTCTCCTCGCATCTATCCCATTTAGTATTCGATTTTAAACCATCAATCCTTCGGAAACCGTGAGGAAGGCCCGGAAACGTGTCGAGGGAGATAGCAATCCTATAGGACGGTGAGCCCTGGTACTTCAATAGAGCCTTGTAACGGGATATTGGTCTTACCCATTTTGATCTAACTTTTGCTTATACAGTAACGCGTGATCTCGTAACGGGTCATTGCCGCATACCATTAGGTGGCAGGGAGGAAGGCGTTTAGCAGTTGTTGTGTCAAGAAGAAGTGGGTTCATAACTGTATCGTCTTGTCCTTCGTCGTTGAATTTCAACAGATTTGCGAATTGAAGTACTAGCTGGAAGGGTAACAAATCCGCATCTTGGCATTGGATTGGAGATGCTTTGTTCAGGCTGGCGATTTCATGATAGGGAAAGCGATTTGGGAGGCATAGCCACGGACACCAGAGGGCGTGACCACGGATTTCGGGTTGACTGAGCTGAAAGTGAGATTGACAAATAAGTACATATGAACGTGCCTCCMCCCGCCTCTCGATGTAGATGCTTTGTCGAGTTTCGTACTTACCAATCTTTCCTTCGCTACCAAGCCTGCAGCAAGGCATGCACCGCTGCTTGTCCCGGCGACGTAAAGTTCCAATGCTGGAATTCCAAGGTCCATATGGTTCTCAAGAACCCAACATCTAGCATCCCAGGCGTCATTCAACTGTGTAGGGCTCGTCCAATCCGGAGTGTGGCGGTAGTTGACGTTCACTATTGTAAATCCAGATGCGCAGGCAAGCCGAATACAGGTCGCATCTTCAGACAGTAAGGTTCCGGAAAAGAAACCTCCGCCATGGAAGTAAAGGAGAACCGGAGTCTTCTCCGCATTGCCCTTCTTCTCTGTAATCCGTTTCGAAGCCATTGGTGGAGGGTAGTATATCCGGGCGTCAATTTCATGTAAATCAATAGTCGGGATTGCCACGGTCCTAATGTTGATGACACAATCTTTGATATTGTCTAATTCTTTCTGGCACGCTTTAAGTCTTTGTAAATTAATTTGCTCTTGCAGCTCTCTCGTCCGCGAATCGTCTTGAAGCACTTTTGGTGCTGGAGGTGGTGGACTACTTCGGATAAGATCAATCCATTCTTCACAAACAACGCCTAAGTGACTGAAATCCGCCATCTTTCGAGTGTTTAGAGTTTGGAAATATTTTAAACAAAAACATATCTATTATTAAGTTTCTCCGGCTTAGATACTATATCAGCGAGTCTCGTACATTTCGGAGATTGACAAAAGCGGGAATGGTGAAGTTCGCTGAAAGTAAAGTGTGGGCTTTTTCTAGCGTTCCCCGGACTCCCTTTTCCCCCAAATTGACGGAGATGGACCCCCGAATAAGGCTATCCAATATGTAATATAGTGCGGGGAGAATGCGGGGATCATACCAGAAGTAACCGCAAAGCCAACCTCTGATTTAGACGTAAAAGGCGGCGGTGATACCCCCATGTTCCTCATGTCTTGTCTTCCTACCTCTCTATAATCAATCTTTCTTGATACTGCTCCCCTTCACCCTATCAAAGCATTTGCTATCATTCTCCTCGTCACAATGGGGAACAAGGTGAAAAACTCGCCTAATATCAACTGGAAGAACTTCTTCATATGTTTTGCAATCTCCATCGGGAACATCTCCTTTGGCTATCCAGCAGGTAGGTCTTTAATGAGTACAGTATTCCAGAACAAGAAGTGCCACTGACTGTCACAGCAATTATCGGCACAACGCTGTCTCAGCCTGGTTTTCTGGTCTATATGGGGTTGGAAACTGCGTCGGGGAAGGCAAAGAATGCAGCTGCGTTGGAAGGAGCCATGAACGGTGTTTTCCAGGTTCTACCACTGACCCTTCTTTAAAGTACCTGGATTGACATCTCACAAAAGACGGGAGCTCTTTTTGGCATATTTTCATCCGAGTGGGTTATGGGGCGATACGGTCGCAAGTTGGGAGTTCTGTATGCTGCCGTGTTATCCATCATCGGTGGAGCTTTCGTGACAGCCAGTCAGAACGTTGCAATGTTCATAGCATTCCGATTCGTCGCTGGCGCTGGGTCTGGGTTACTTCAAGTCTGTATGTCGAGGTCGAATTATGCAAAAGAGTCAGAATGGACCGTGCCATGGACTAACCGTTAATAGGTCCAGTTTACTGCTCTGAACTTTCACCACCATTTCTACGTGGGTTCTTTGTAGGAGTAAATGGTATATTGATTGCATCTGGTTATGCACTGGCATCTTACATGGGGTTGGCCTTCAATTCTATAAAAGACAATCCTGAAGCCCAATGGAGAGGTCCTCTTGGGATGGCACTGGTATTTGCTGTCATAATGGTCGCAATCCTTCCCTTCATTCCCGAATCCCCAAGATGGCTTTTGATGAACGGTCGTGCGGAAGAGGCGTGGAAAATCATCAAAGACATTCATGACAACCCTGCCGACCCAGAACACGAGTTTGCTCGGCGTGAGTTCTATCAAATTCGGAAACAGATCGAATTGGACCGAACACTCGACTGTTCGTGGACTCAGATGTTTCGGAAACCTTCCTACCGCAAGCGTAGCCTTCTTGTCATTGCATATGCCTTCCTTGGCGAAAGCACTGCGATGTTGGTTATTGCGAACTACAGCTCCGTCCTTTACTCAAGATTCGGTTACAACTCACGTGAACAAATTGCTCTTCAGACTGGATACAATACTGTCCCTATCATTGGAAACATAATTGGTGCTTTGGTTATGGACAAAGTTGGCCGCCGACCACTTATGCTCGGTAGTATAGCTGGGTGCTTGGTCTTCGTCTCTGTAGAAACTGTCATGATGGCTTTGTACACAGGCACTAACCACAACTCTAACGGCACGTACATGGGCGTCGCAGCCCTGTATTGCTTCATATTCTTTTATGCCGTTGGTGCCGATGTTGCTGGCATTGTCTTTTACGGCGAAATATTTCCTAACCACATTCGCGCGAAGGGATTTTCTATGGCGGTCGGCACCAGAGCGTTGACCGAACTTGTCTACCTAGAAGCCGCATCCACTGCCTTCGCCAATATCGGATGGCGTTTCTTCCTGCTGTTCATCTCTATCATGACCATCGGCCTCGTCGTCATGTACTTCGTGCTTCCAGAAACGAAACGTGTACCACTGGAAGAGGTTGCCGCAATTTTTGGCGATAAAGATGAGGTTGTGTGTTATCTGGAGCAATTGAATATTGACCCTCAGACGCACAACTCTACAGGCAATGATGGGACAGTTAATGGAATTGTTACGGATAGAGAGGGCAAACCAGGGGTACAATTCATCGAGTCAATTAGACTCTAAACAGTGGTGAGTATTCCGGTGACTGTTATACAAGTCTGTCAATTGATACCGGGCTTATGGATGTTTTTGTGATCTATAATCATCTCAATGATCTAGCATGGAAGCTGTTTTTCTAAGGAATAATGAGGGAAGTCATTTGAAAAGGTGTTGGATATGAGAACGTTCATATGGAGCAGCGAGGGCAAAAAAGAAAAGCGAAATACGAGAGAAAGGCCTGAGTTGCCTTTTATTCTATGCGCATAGTGTTAACTCTCGCGTACATCTCTCATTGTGTATATACTTCGTTCAGGAAATATGCATGTTCTACCAGATAAACTTGCCCTTCAAGTCTACCGCGTACTTTACATTTGGACTGTAAGTAGTGGTACAAGTCGATGATTTCATAATATTGTAATATAGTCAGAGAATGGTTCAATTTTGACTGGAATGTTTTCTCGGAAACAATGCTGTTGGTTCGAGTGCACAAACCGAGCTCATAAGTGAGATTTACGACCTTGGAGCTCATGACACGGCAACTTCCCAACGGCACAATCATCTTAGTCTCCTACGCGTTTCATTGACAAATTACCCGAGCTTGGGATCCGTACAGTAGAATTCCGTGGTGTTCTCGCTCCTCTGTGGAGTTAGAGGCCTGTAAGAGTCCGAGGTTGTTACTCACGGAGAAGGATGTCCGCGATCACTGGCTGACCGCGGTGCGCATACAGTTGCGTCCATTTAGAGATACCACATATTCACCAATTCACCAACACGGTGCCAGATTTTGTTGCAGGTATGATGGACAAGCAGGTGCGGCAGCTGTCTCTCTCAAGACCAATTTCGCCTCATTGAAAGAAAAATTCACACAGAAACTCTATCCCGTTCTTTGGAAGTATGGTCTTCCTAACAATGCTCTTCCCCGATTGGTTCGCGTAGTCAACCAAGTGGAAACTAACGATACCTACAAGCAGGCTAAAAGCGAGATTATCAAGAAGACATGGTCTCCGTCCAGCTAGCAAGCTGGAGATCGACTGTATTGGCTGGACGGGACAAATTATAGGCTACTTGGGCCGCAAGATTGGAGACGCATCGAAGAAGCAACTGCACATCTCTAGATATCAAATGCAATTTTTGTAGCCATAAATAGAAATTAATATAATAAACAGAGGAAGCTGATATGAAATAATGATTTATACAAAGCTTTCAAGAGAAGACCCCTTAAGCAGGGCGTGTCCATTTGCCATACTTGTAGATTCGAAGTGTAGCTTTACTCGAACATGCCGTAGAGAATCTCTGGAGCCTCCATATTTGCTGGGTATTGAAACAAACCGGGGTCGTCATTCCATATTTCAGGAAATATGTCCTGAGCAGCAAGATCATCAAAAACGCGAGAAATATCACTCTGGGGGAATGGTGCTGCAAATTCCTCTGGAGAAGTGATAACCCTATCCTGCCGGGGTATTTGAATGAGATATTGTTGGACATGCTGTTCTTTATAGGCTGCAGTTATCATGGAGTTTGCATTGACACCTGCTCGTTCCATCAGATCGCGAATGATAAGCAAAGGCTTCCTAAGCCCAAGGTTGGTACCGCGCTGCAACATCACCAGGGCTCTGCAGAAGAACCTGATGACTTCCATTTGGTCCTCTTGCGGGGGAATAACTGTAGCAGCAGAAAAAAGGGAGTATGAAAAAAGGTAAGGGGCGTGTTTGAATGTGAAGGTCTCTTCGTATGCACGCGCGATTTTATAGATCTGCAGAGCCGATGAGGTACAGATATCGCGAAATGGGAAGCCTTCAACCTGCAATTGGATCAAGTGTCCTTTAGGCAAAAAGGGTCTATGCAAGAGGATTTGGAGAGTGTGAAACGTCGTATGGAGTGTCAATTGATGAGGTGGCAGGGGGTAGTCTTTGTCCGGGTCGTACTGTATGTTTGGAGGAACACCAGCCAGCCATAAATCGAGTTGTTTTCTGAGATCATTCAAGGATATTTTCGCCTGAGTAGGGCTGATTTTTGAACAAAGAGGAAGGTAGAATATGCGGATAATGTCGTATGAGATCTCTGCTAGCTGAACCAATGCCCGAAATGTGGCGATAGGGTACGCAGGCTTTGCTCTATAGAAATTGGTAGGTAAAGAAGAATCCAGTGGGTCTATATATGGTACCCAGAGTTCCAGCTCCTCATACGTATCTGAGAATGCCTGTGAAGGTTCGGCTCCAATGGCTGTAAGACCAGCTGGTCGACCGAAGTACAAGGACTGGAACTTATCGACAGCGTAAGCAGTCCAGTATAAACGCCGGCGCATTTCAAGTTCTTGTTGGGTGAACATCATCTGTGCACATGAGTCTAGTGGCCGAGACAGCTGTGTCTCTTGTGAGTCCAGATGAATCCCTAGATCGATAATCATGCGGTATGCCAGACCGCAATAGAGCCATCCGGAAGTATGCTTTCCGCTTGTGACGAGACTAGAACCCATCAAGAGCAAAGCAGCGACTGTTGCTGCTGATGACTTGTCAAGGTAGTCAGTTAGCAGATCATTGAAACGCCGGTAAAATCGATCTTTAAGGCTTTCTCCATCGGATTCAAGTGTAGCTTTCTGTATCCGGTCACTCTGAAGCGATGAACTATAGAAGATTGCGTTCCACAGCAATTTATTTGCGTATTGGCCATCTTCAAGAAGGTCCTTCATCACCAACGGTCGATAGGTAAGAGGAATCATGCAGTGATGTCTGTTCCAGTGGATATCAAGAAGATGACGAGCCAAGTCAAGATCCAATCCGTCAAAGTCGCATTGTTCATGCAACAACCTGACATCTTCATCTTGCCTTGAAATGGCGGCATTGGCAACCAGATGCATCCGTATCTGTTCTGTGACCTCTGACTCGGCCTCAGATTGGGAGCTCTTGGGCCCAAGGAGCAATTTATGTGAATTGCTTGCAGGGCTAGCCGCAGTTGATGGACTGCTATGGAAATGAAACGCTGATGAAGGTCCATACGCGGACATGGACCCTCTATCTTCAACCATATAAACAACACCGAGGGGTTTTGGAGATATAATGTGTGATGGTAACGCTCCTCCACGATCGACGACGGTGACATCCCCATGGGGCACATCATTTTCGATATCACGCTCCCTTGCGATCTGAATGTCTCGGTTCTCACGGATACGATGCGGCTCAGTCAGTGTACCTGACATGAGACATTCCAGCTGCGACTCCGCCCTTGATGCATCTGACTTGTCGGCGGCCCAGGAGCGCGGTTCCGACAGGTCTCTAGAATCCAATTTATCACTCAAGCTTACCAGCGATTTCTCAACAGTAGCAAGCCTTTCGCTAATAGGATCGATATTGAATTTCTTTAGTCGAGAGGCTTGTCGTTGATCCTCGCCATAAACGCACTGTTCGTCATGTGATTCACACGTGCTGCAAGAAGGCTGCTTGCCATCGCATTTGATCTTTGTCGCACAGGTAAGCCTAAAAGGTTCCCCGCGGCAGCGGTGGAATCATATACATACCTTCCTTGATCGACATCGGACGCAGGCTTTGCATTTTGCGACCATTCCTGACGTCCTCGTTCGAGACTGTTTGTTCACTCGGTGAGTCATGTTTAGGCGTTACTAACGCCCCAACGCGCTGCGCAGTGCTGGGCTCTCCCAGTGGCTGAGACATCAAACAACCTGGTAGGAAGTCTTTTTTTTCGTCTATGCGGAATTCATGAACAGATACGCGCATCAACAGCTAGATATACAGCAATGATACGCCTCGTATTAGTGAATACTGTGTGGTTTCAGTCTTCGCTGTTATTTGGATCCTCCGCCGTAAAAGAATCCGGGGAGATCTCGGGTTTCCCGCTGCGGTAGCCCTACCGCCACATACACGGACCCACCTCATACTCGAATTTGACGAGATACTATACAAGCAATTTTAAAACTTTACAACACCAGATAATAAGCAAGTATAATAAATTCTTAATGTAGCACTAAATAAGATATAAGGAATCTAATAAGCGTAAAAATTGATTGCGAAAACGTGCAGGAGGCCGTATCGCGCGGCCCCTATGGTTTGTAGTAATAACCACCTCAGCATCCTCCAAGTAAGCCTTAAGTTTCGCTATTAGCCTTATTTACTTAGAAATTTGCTGTATAGATCTTTTTAAAGTCTTAGGAGTTACTACAACATCATTTTAAAGCTATAAATCAGCTAGCTTTACTAGTTCTTGCTCGTCCTTAAGACATTACTTTTCCGCAGCCTCTTGCTCGCACTATATATGTTTTCCTTACTAGAGTTAAGTAGTTGCAGCTTTTTTAGCCTCTTTAGCTTGCTTTTTAAGTTGTTATTGAAGCTTTTTTCTATCTTTATGAGCCTTATCTTACGCTGCTTGCTCTTCCTTTTGAGATATAATATCTCGCGCTTGCTGAACCTTAGATGGGCTCATAAAAAGTACTCCGCCATCGTTTTCCGAAGGTAAACCTAGTAATAAAGGTTTCTTCTTATTTGAGCACTTCATCGCATTAAGGAGAGCTCTTTCAAGGCGAGCAATCTTATCTTTTAGTAAGATATTCTCTGTAGTAAGATGAGACACTGATTTCTGAAGCTGTAAAGCAGCTCTTACAAGCTTGTCAAACCGTTTCCAATCATCGCCTGGGATAATTGAAGCGCCGGATTCACTTGAGGATGGCCGAGAGCTGATTTTCTTTGTAAATTTTTGTATAACAAGTTCCAGATTAAAAGAATATAAGCCAGTATTTTCAAGCGCTGAATAGATATTTTTATTTGTTAAAGTCATATCCTAACTAGCCTAGAAAAGCCGAAAAGAGTCACGTTTAGCAAGCCGGATGAAGCCATAAAAATCTTTTATAACATCATCCAATTGCTTCGTATAATTCGTAGAAAGAGGCGAAAAAATAGCAACATCTGAAGACTGCAAATTATGCGTTGAATAAGCTAGAAAGATTGCAAATAGAATTCGATTCCTATAGAATTGACTGCTTCAAAAAATGTAAACATAGAAGCCAAACCGGGTCTAATTTCAGGTGGCATATAGCAGATTGAGACATGTTGAATGCTTTGCAATCCGATGTGGATAAGTAGACGCACAAATGTAATGTAACCAAGAATACCATTCCTATTATCGACGCCATCCATTGGTTCAGTATCAAGGATGGTCATTGCACTCGCTAAATGAGTGAAAGAATCTTCAGTCACCTCTTGCTCGGCATCAATTTGGCGGAGTGTGCTCACTAATGGACTCAACACTCCAAAATCCATCATCCAAGAGTTTGGTACGGTTGATTGTTGTATGCTCGGCATATGGCTCCACAGCCATGAGTTCTTCCGTCAAGGTCTCATTGAAAAATATTTGACCAGTGTTTACGATCTTTCCTGTCTTGACGGTACCATTGCTTCGAACAACCCAATCTGTATAGACTTGGATATGGATGTGGTTGGCACGATCAATCTACAATTGAGATATGATTAGCAAGGAACATCATAAGGAACATGGCAGAGGACCCACGTAGAAGCCTGGGACGATCGATGCTCTACGATATCTTGTCTAAGCACCTGGCTTTCCGGATACAAATAAGGCCCATCGCTAGCTTCCGGATTAAGAATACCGGTATTATCCTTGAGGAAATCATTAGTGGAAGCTACGCCACGAACCACGTAGGTTGTATTTTTGGCATTCCCATCTTCACTGGTACGCTTTGCTTTGCGGGTCTCATGCCGCTTTGTTTTCATATCAATGACAACTCCGGGGCATCGTTTAGAAACTTCATCTCGGCGACGAAGAACGGCAGCATCAGGGGCAGCGGGTTGATGTCCTTTAGACTTGTTAGAGCGTGTAGCTTCTTCAAGAATGTGGTGATACCTGAGACAGAAGTGATAAGAACAAGAAGTTTCGCTAGAACACATGAGAGTATAAGGAACCTCATGATTACGCTTCAGAGCAGATTTGATGATGGAAATGAATTTATTGGAAAAGCTAGAGAGTCTCCTGAGCATACTTCCATGTTCTTATAGCCGACGACGCTGCAATATCGCTTACGCATTCTTATGGCTCAGCAAATTTCTGACTGAGACAAAGGACGTGGATGGTCAAAAAAAAAGGGGCTTGGCAGGCTCCATAAATTGGATTGCGTTTCCCAAAATATCTCGAGATAAGCTAGATATCACCAATCGGTAGCGGGTTGATCGTCGCGAGAGTCCACGGCATCCCGAGCCGAAAGAGATTCGTCAAACTTTCAATTAGCATATCGGCATATACGCACGACAGATTCCGTCAGGTTCCTGGATTGTCATCCTAATTTCGATGCTAGGGGGTTTCTGTTACGAAGTCATACACAAGACGGTACAGAGAGATATCGAGATCTGCACATACGTAGCAGTACCAAACAGCGATGTATATTTCTCGTAAGTACAAGACTCCGATGACCATATTTAGGTAAGATGAAAGGGATAGAATTTACTAGGCCCGGAATCCAGTCTCAACTCTCAGGTACCAGGAGACAATCTAAAGAATTCGAGCTCAATGGCAATTGAACTCCAGATAGCGTAACGCGCAATGCGGTCATTATGCTTACTTCAACATGATGTTTGTCAGCTCTTGCAGATTATAATTTGGGACTATACCGTGTTCAAATTGATGAAATCATCAATCAATGCCAACGTGGTGTATCATAGTTTGAGTGCAACATTTCAACAACTGCAGTTTATGGGGGATGGGTATAAGATATTTCACCCATCCGTATTTTAGCATCGGCCTTGCTACTAGACACAATAGTCACTTTGGGCGATAATACAAGTAGCCATTGAATGTGTCTAGGAGTGCTGTATCTGAAATCTGCGACAATAGTAGGCGGTAGATATGTTTCTAACAGGCCATGTTTGATCGGGGGAATGACGAGTGCATATGATGTTGACCGGGCAGAACTTGGATGTTGGAGGTTAAGAAATACTAATTCGCATTTGGGATACAGTTTTACGTAGTAGATCATATCAAGCAAGCACTCTGGAGCACATCTGGGACTGATAGGAGGGCTTCGGGTATAGACCGGGTATAGACCGGGAAGTCAATATATGCGCCGGTCTCCAATAAACATACTACATAGTAATCCGGCATTTATTTTATAAAAAAGAGGTTTAGGGCCGTTAGGAATAGCTCGTTATACGACCTCAGAAAAGCGGCGGCAGCAGCAAAAATACAGAAAAAAAGGAAAGCTCCACCTGGCAGAAAAAATCAAGTTTGTATGTACATACATTTGTTCTCTTATTGAAATTGGATAAACCTCCTACTATTTCTGTTTTAAGACTGGGCTATTTGAACAGTCTGAAATACAAATAGAAATTACTTGACTAGAAGTGATAAGTGATGAATTTGTGGCTAGCTGAACACGATGACTGGCGACACCCTTCCGGGGTTACAGAGTCAATGACTGAGTAACTAAACTTGGCTATGTATCGAAAAGCTAGTTCAGAACATAGAGCCTTGTTTTTGTGCGTACCAACAGTTCGTCTGGGTCTTTGAGCTCATGTTCTTGGTAGTTCTGTAAGAGTTTCTCAACCCTGGGAGACGTCTCGTTGTTGATGCAACCTGCAACTGGGCGGAGAAAGCCATCCTCAACATACTCCAAGGCAACCTTGTAATCTCCCCATGGTACATCTTTTAGGATCTCTTGGTGAAAGATTATCGCTGGTCCCGCATCTTCGATAACGTCGGCGATAGCCTGTAGAAAAGCACAGGACGTTTCGAAAGCGAAAATGATCGTTCCCGCATCGATTTTCAGAAATCCCTCAGGATCTTCTAGTCGTTTGATTTGGAAAGGCTTCAAGACTATCTCTTCATCTTGCAGGGTGTATCCAGGATCTTGCGCATATGTTGGAACCGGATGACCGCATTTCCTCTGGGCAAATGCCTGAATCTCATTGATCGCGACATGCTGCGCCGTCCGGCGCAAGAGATTGCCACGGTCTGTACCGGCAACTTTGAGTTTCCTGAATCCCTGCCACAATGAGCCATTTCCAAATGCAATTATTTGGGTGACTTTGGTGAGCTTCTCAACACTAATATTGTCAAGTGCAGCCATGACTGAGGCTCGTGTACCACTATTTTTCCATTTTTGAGAGCATTCGTCCCTTATTTTTTCAAGATCTCTAAGATCTGCAGGTGTAGAATCTCCCATCCCGCATTTTTCAAATTCGTCTCCTTTGTAGATTCTAATTGGTTGCACGTGCTCATCTTCTGGATACATCTGCCGATAGTAGTATGGTTGCATGAGGAACTGAATTGGGATGTATTGTAGTCTCTTGAGTCTAAAACCAAGATGGTTAATTTGATGGCTGCCATGTCATCTAATCATATTTGGTCAGTCAACTTACTCGTCTCCATGATACCCAACATCTAGGGTGAGCGTATATGTACGATTACCATCCTCAGCGTAGTCCGGAATCTCCAAAGTAGGGGGATCTTTGTTCTCGTATTTTCCCGCTTTGTAATCATTCACTACCTCCAGGATCTTTTTTAGAGTTTCGCGGGAGTAAAGTTTCTTTCCCACTGTGCGATACTGATGTTCGATTTTTGGAACACGGCGCTTGTCCTCCTCTGTATGAGGTGAATCGACCTTTCGCCATCCCTGTGGTGTCGACATCCCAACTTCTTTCAAGATAGATAAGCAATAGCTGCTATAGAACAAAAGTCAGGGAGCAAGGATCTTATGTAGTAGATGACAAAGTATTGATGTGATGTTGATGAGAAATTAGAAAAGCAAGAATAGGGAAGGGGGCTCTTTACAATTTATGCTCTTTGGCTCGCCTTTCATGAAATGATTTCTCGAATAGGGTCATAGCTTCATCTCTTGATCATGAAGTCTTCTCAATTAGTACTGCTTTTGATGACAGAGAAGCTGCGTATGACTCATATTCATCTGAACTATGTCTTACATTATTCCATCAGCCTCTAATGGACCATGCTTGTTTGTGTCCAAAGAAGCTTTTTAGACGCGCGACTGCTACGACCTAAAGATACTGGAATTTTGATACTTATGAGGAACACTTTTGCGAATATACTAAATACTAAATCTCATTTTCAGTGATTGTTTCGGCTACTCGACAGGCCGCGAAGACCACTCACCCCCTACTCCCAAGCTCTTAAATAAATTAATGCATTGATCTCAACTTCTGCATCTCGACTTGATGATTCAACAAATAAAATACTCCTCAAGACTTCTATTCTATTGAGTCATATAGGGATAAGATGGTGGCCATGAAAATAGTTTGCCCTGGAGATGTTCGTTGCAAGACATGTCCACAAATAACATAATGAGTCACTGTCATCTTCTATCCATTGGATCAAAATTTTACATAGCGCATCGAAAGATATTTGCGTATAGGAGGTAAACTCAGTATTCCTGTAAACATCGCCTTGATGAGGCTTGGCCTTGGGACGCGGCCCAACTCGGAAATTCCTTAAGGCAACAGACTGAGTACATGCACATCAATCACGATTGAAGAAGTTGGGCCTAAAATTTCAAGGCTCTTGTTGTCATATCGCCCTAGTTGGTAGTTTAGATAAACCAATATCACCCTTGATAATGTAGCGGTACCACTTGCCAAAGAGGGTAATATTGAGACGACCTTCGAACCAAATTTAAGGATGTGACTTAAGTCCGAATGTGTCATAGAAGGACACCACTCATACTGAACAGATTGAGGAAAAAGTATCTTCACGGAAGGGAAAATTTTTTCGAGAGAGTTGTTGGATTCGAGCTATCATTCATGTAATATGTATTGCACTGAGCTCTGGGGTAACAACATGTCTATAGAAGATAAGATTCTCGAATTCATAGCTATATGCCTATGAATAAGGGCTGAATAGACATCAAGTACTTTGAAAACGAACAAAGTGAAAACTTATAGATTTCGGCATCGCAGTAGGTCAAGAAATATTGCCTTTAATGGCAAAAAAGATCACGCATATTCAGTTGTTCCTTCATGTGATGTAAATGTGTACCTCAACTAGGGTTAGGGCCAGGGCTATCCATCAGCTGACGGTGTTGCGGTCAGCGGCATTATAACAAATATGATATATGTTGGAAGTCTCAGGTAACACAAAAAGGATATTGTGAACATAAGGCTAGTCTGTAATTTCCAAGTACTCTTCCCCTTTTTTTCTACGATTGATTAACATCGTTGAGAGCAATCCAGGTAACGCGTTTCTAATGTTGTTTGATCTTGCATCCAAAAAACCGAGGTAGATACGGATGTATAAATTTCTACTCATCGTACCTTCTCAATCCGAGCTTCTTTTCACAGGCTAATGAATAATCAAATCGATTTTTTGTGTCATTGATGACTCAATCAATTGTGAAATAACCCGCTTTGCCCCGGCAAAGCCCAACGTATCGTTGTTTACATTTTTGGGTCAGATTAGGTACCACCGATTCTTGTTGAAGTTAAATATACCTCACGTAAAAAGCCGACAATGCTGGGGAAGTCAAATGATATGGGAGCATATGATTGGCAATTTAGTACATCTAGGACAACCCCATTCATGCGCTGTTCCTTTGGCTTGCTGAAATCTATCTAATTATTAGTATTTTCCCCTGGAGGCCGGTAGATTTAGGTTACCAGACCATTGGATCTAGAATTAGCGGTGAGCGCCAGACAGATCAGCTCTGATTTGTATGTCTCTGTGCCTTGGCGCCCGCCGACTGAATCAGAGCTGGAGGAAAGAGACACCGCAAGAACGAAAACGCCAGGAGCTGGGGCCAACCGGTTCGTTTCTTTTTTCTTTCTTTCTGTCGATTTAAAGAGAGGAGTCTCCCTTATCTTCTGTTCTCGTTGTAAGTGTTTTGTATATGCAAGCGACTTACAGAATGAAAGGAGTTAACGAGCGCGAACGAGGCAACGCTTTGTACAAGAGAGGTCACCTGACTGAAGGTTAGTCTAGGCTGGAAGAAGCTAGCTCCACTGATTGGGTGGGCCCCTTCCTTTCCTTTCTTCTCAGCTTCTCAACCGCCTCCTGAATACTTCGCTATCTTTTTAATTTTTTAATTTTTACTTTTCGATTGACTCGATGTTGAATGATAGCTAATTGACTGCAGCTATCAAAGCTTACCAAGAAGCCGCCCGTCGTGCCGAACCTGACGACTATCTACCATGGTCCAATCTCTCGGCAGCTTACTATGAGGTTGGGAGCTTCCACGAGTCTATCCAATGTGCACAGCGAGCATTGGCCATTTGTCAGCACCACGGCCATGAAAATGGCATCTCCAGTACAACCATAGAGCTGAAAATCCTTCCTCGAATATTTCGAGGCTATCTTCATACTCACCAATACGATGCTGCAAGGCAATGGCTACATCGACTAGCAGACATACAAAGCCCATCCTCGGTTGACGATCTTCGTCAGTATGAGGCAGCTTTGGACCATGCGGAGTCAGTATGGCAAGCTTTCCCGGACGAAGAGGCGTATGGTCTGCGACTGTTAGCCGAGTTGCCACGCTCTCAACCAGCCTTGCTACAAACAAACGGCAGACCGGAATCGAGCAAGAATGTCAATCTTGATCATGTCACTGCCTTGGTCGACTTTACAGTTCATTTCAACGTCGACAGAGATTTCTCGGTGTTTCTCGGAGGCATCGGAGATGCCCGTCACTTCTATGCTCAGCTCGCCATTCTCGGCGTCACAGAACGGATGGTTATGCATTCTACATCGCCCCTGAAAAGAAAATACCGATTCACTCTGAATGATCGCAATAGTGTGGCCATTGCACGAAACCTCGTTCTTCTTGTTCTATTGGACGAGTTGGCATGTCTGACTGAAATTTCACAAGCCGAAAGGACTGAAATCTATACGACAATCTATTTTATATTCGCCGGTGTGATCATGCCGCGCTATGCCTCGGACCGATTTATTAACACCGTCGATTCCATCGTTGGTCGATTGAGAAACAATGAGCCGATACTCCCATGGTTGCAGATCCATGATTCGGATAATTTGCGACTGATTGGTGCTCTGGAGTCGTGGCTGGATATCGAACCGAATAATCGACTTTCTACGAGCAATGTCTTAGACGGAACGGTGCAGAGTCTACATGATACCAGGATGTCAAACAAAAGTGGATGTGACTTCGATAGCATTCCAAAAGCGCCACCAGGTTGTCAAAAAGAGTTTGAGACATACTTTAACCTCCCACTGTTGCAAGCTCCACGAAGTGTCATGAGGGAGCACGAGCCTGAGCTTCTTCAACTCATAGAAATGAATGCCCCACTCGAAAATATACGAACTTACGTGGCCGGCAATTGGTGTGTCAACCCGACTCCAGTTGTGACTGGACAGACGAATGGGTCTAATCCATTCGACGTCTGTCGAGCGCTCTACAACATAGTCTCTATGCAGGAAAGAGGAGGTCCTAAGAAGACCAAATTGTTTGATTATGCTTCGTCTTTCTTTCAGATGGTGGTAGTCGCTCTTCGAAAGATTCGTGGCCGGCTGAGCGCTGAGTATGTCCTCAATGATGCTTTAGTGGCCATTGATGGTATACGGTGTAATCTGGAACAAGACCGAAATAGTGCAATACCGGCTGGTTATGATCTGATTCATTTGTTCGGTTCTTGCGATGTTCCGACGGTCATCAGTGCAAGTAAGATTCTTAACGAATCTCAAGCCGCAAGACTTATGATCAGTGCACGAAATTCCGACTTTGACCTTGGGGAACGTGACTCTTTTGCTACGAATGACTCGGTAACACTTCATAAAGTCACTCAGATGCAAATGATTCCAAAGAAGAGTCAATATGGTTCTTCCCACCCACTATCAAACGAGTATTTACTAGAGATGAGACGCGAAAGGCTGGCGCCGTTTCCATACGAACACTTGCTTTCGCGTGCAGAGCTCTCTCGCTTCTTGTTCTCTGAATTCTACAGTCTGGCTTGGCCATTCAGAGGCAATTCAACATCCGCTTCTGCTGGCCTAACCTATTTCTTCGATTTGCTGATTCATTTGCACTCAATCGGCTACCCAGCCCATTGGATAGCAGATGCACTCGCAAAGATACTAGGAGACGGAATCAATGCTTCCCCGTCACCACCCAGGACGCCAGACGAGGCCACCCCACGGAACCACCTGTGCACCAGCGCGGCAATAAGAGGTGCGCACGGTAGTATAGCACCGTTTCTTGCCGAAACTTCGACACTGGCCAGCATGTTTCAGCGTCTCTTACCTTTCAATCCGATCGTTACTCTCCCTCCGCTCAATACGATTTACCAGTACGGTATAGGTTTCAAGCCCGACAATGCCTATCTGCCTCAAAAACCAATGGCATTGATGATCTACAACCCGGACGCCTACATACCCATGACAAGTCTCTCCTTTCCCGAAGAAGGCTGTATCATTATATCAATATTCACATATACATACAGTGGGAATGGCTATGCCCGCATCGACTTTTGGATGAGAGAAGACATAATGACTCAGCTCCAATCCTCATCAAATGAGACATGGCACTGCGATATTTTTCGTGCAACAGATCCTTCTCACCACAACAGCGACGACGAAGTATGGAAACCATACATCGAACAATCTGTGTCAATCGACAGTATCGTTAAAGGCGAACAATGGATATCAGCCCCGTCATTTTTTACACATGACGGCGGTGTTGATGCTGATGAAGCCATGGCGTTAGATGCTTAGCCTGAAAATCTTTCTAGCGGGCGTTTTTTTAAGGAATGTATGGGAGGTTTATCGAAAAGATTGCTGAAAGCGTTAAAGTTAAATAGAAGGGTCGACGCGAGTCGTGTATCTTTTGTTTTCATATCTTGTCAAATTGGAGCTTGAGATTGGAGTTTCGGTGTTTATGTATTTCAGATTGATTGGTTGTGATCGGGAAATGATGAGAAATAATATCCATAGATATATTTACGCATCTATAGATCATTATGCTTGAAGGCGTCGTAAGCCGAACGAAGACCAATCACTGTCAATAAGACATAGTTTATCGTTAGATTTCTATAAATAGAAATCAACCAGGTCCTTATACGTATATAAATGTACAAAAAGGCTCTACGTGCTGTCAGACGTGCTTCACTTCTCTTCTTCCCGTTTGCTTAATATTCTCACTACAGGTTACCATTAGCTAGACTTCGGAGTTAACAACGTCACAATGGTCAAATACTTCTTGATGGATTTCAAGATAAATAGCTCGCTAGGTATAGATTTATATGCAATCCGAAAATTTGCAATATCTCAGTGATACCACGGACAATAGAATTGTAAAACATCCATGGATGCTTCCGAAGATCGCCAGCAACAATCAAAGTAATAAAACAATTGATAATTTCTACAACTCAGCAGAAATATAGTGAGTATACTCACTGAGACACACCCTCAATTTTTGAGGTCCTGGATAGAAGTTGTATGGATCTGTTGAGAAATCCTATCGTCCTCCTCGTTCTGCTCGTCGAGGCCTCGTCGATGGTGTGATTCTCTGTCAGCACACCATTTTATGACGAAAATCATAGCTATCTGTAGGAAACTAAATCCGCACATGATACTGTACCCCATCGTAAACTTGGGAGCATACTTTGAAGTATTAAGTATGAGAACTGTCTTTGTGTCAGCTGTTTAAGAAACCTGGCTTAAGGACAATCCATACGTACTTGGAACCCACGCGATAAAAGCCTGCCCAAAAGTCTGCGCAACACCAATGACAATGGCTCTCTCTTCGGGGTCGGAAGCGCAGATTTCGTTTGCCCATGCCTTTTGCAGTCAGTAAATACAATAACAGCTCTGTGCAAATTAGATATGCGCGGTACTTACATATAGAACGGGCCAAAACCCCCAGCTCGCTCCGTTGAGCAGATACCCGAAAAGCGTTGCACCAAATCCGGGCCCAATGGCCACAATGATCATGCCTACCAGATTGACTAGCCCAGGAATGAGAAGGACTTCCCATCTCTTCCCACCTAGCCCATCAGATAGCCAACTGTATGCCAGGGTGGTGACTAGCCCTACAGCCTGCGCGCCCGTGGGTATCAAATTGATTTGATATACTGAGAATTTATCCAGCGCCTTGAGCCAGACAGCAAAGTAATTGAGCGGTTGAGTAACGATACACTGAAATATAAGTGTTGCAGTAAAAGCGTAGATGGGCCAGTGGGTCAGAATCTTTTTAGCCTTTGCCCACGAGAGCTTGACGGGAGCACGTCTATCGAAGGCCTCCATCCGCGTGCGGGCATGCTCACGTTGTTCCTCCTTCAACCACCGTGCTTTGCTCGTGTACGGATTATCTGGAATTGCGAAATATCCGTAGATGCTGAAAGGCAGGGATATGACGCCACAGAAGATGAACAGCCATCGCCATCCTGCAAGCCCAAGGTGACCGTCCATACCCTTATATATGCCAGCTTGGAGATAGCCACTAAACATGCTAGCAGCGTATGAAGCGGAGTAGAATATAGCGATTCGTTTGGAAAGCTCTATGTGTCGATCATATTAGCTTTGTCATCTCCATAAGCCTGCGTGGTGTACAGATTTCACAAACTCACCTCGAGGCGTATACCAACTTCCCATAATTGTTAAGACGCCAACAGCAAATGGACTTTCCAAAAATCCTAGTACAACTCGAAGAGCGAGCACATCTCTCACGTTTTGTACAGCAGCAAAACAGAAAGTCGTAATTGTCCATAGAAGCTCACATGTGGGTAGCCAGTAGGAAGGGCGGACTGGTTGTAGGCAATATTAATCAAACATATCAAACAGGACACTTGCCTTGGTAGAGAATTATCCACATACCTCTTGTAAGAATAAGCTGAGAGGGTATTTGGCCGAGACAGTATCCAATAATAAAGAAACTCGAAAGATAGTTGTACTCCGCGCCCTCAAAGTTCAGGTCTTCCTTCATGCCGGACACGTACGCATTTGCTATATAATAACTCAGCCATGTTCTGCAGGCCAAAGCATCGGATTTAAAAAGTAAAAAGAATGCTTACTAACGTTTGCCCAATCTAACAAGCGAACGAAATAGCCGACAGTCGCCCAGCTCCTTTTTCCTAATATATTAACATTTCATCAGACCACGCATCAAACGCTCAAGGTAACGAACATAATAAAAATATCGAGTCTGCGAACAAGGCGCCTTTCCTCCTCACTCCGCTCACCACCATCCCAAATGATGTTTTCAATCTTCTGCCATCGTGTGAGTGCCTGATCAGATGGATGTTTGGAGATTTCAGGTTCACTGGATGAATGATACTCGTCGGGCCCAGCGGTGGAAGGCATATTGAGCTAAACACAGTAGTTGCAGTATTGTTACAGGTTAAGCATGTTGCTACGCACGTAGAATATTAAGAATTTGGTATGGGATACGACGAGCTCTATATGAACCAGATGTTATCTTTTCGGGCTTCTTTCCGTCAATCACTCTCAGCCGTTTTTATAGAATAACTAGACGGAAAAAGGGAACGTGGGAACTTTAATATCCTACTGATGAGGCGTCCTGTAGCAGTCGATATTGGGCATTAGGTTTTAATTCAAGATTGCCGTACATCTTTGTCGTGTACTATTATATATCGCAATAGCTCGTGGAAATCACTTGATCGGTCGTCATGTAAAAATTTCCTATTTAGGAAATTTTTTGGCGAGGCTACGAAACGAGCTAAACTGGACGGCAAACCTTTGATTGCGAATATAGAACTCCAAATAACACAATAGATCGAGACCCAGTAATGGAATCTCTTGTCTCCTAGCCACTCACTCCGAACTTATAGCCACTCGCAACATGGTCGGATCGCACATGCGACTGGCCCAGATAACGCTCTCTCATCGTGCCACTTTCACCGACTGGCGCATATATGCCCCTTCTCCTCAACTCTGGCACAAGAAGATCTACAACGTCCTCGAACGTTCCTGGGGTTGTCACATACCCAACATTAAATCCGTCCAGATCTGCCACTGCCATCCAGTCTTCCATAAAATCTGCAACCGTTGCCGGTGAGCCTACAGGCACCGGTCCATTCCCACCGATAGCGATGATTTTGCCAATATTCCTTGGGGTCCATTTCGGCAGTTCAGCGCCGTGATACTCTAGATTGCTGACGAAAGAATGTACTCGAGAGTCTAGCTGGACATCGGAGGTGGAAATTTCAACGTCTGGGTCGAACTGACTCAGATCTATGCCCAAATTTGCAGAAGCAAATGTAAGTCCACCCTCAGAACTAGCGTATTGAAGTGCTTTCTCGTATTTTGCTTGGGCTTCGTCGTCTGTTGCGCCTACAATTGGGGTGATCACGGCAAAGATCTTGATTGACTGAGGATCGCGCCCTTGCGCAGCTGCCTTGTCGCGTAGGGATTTGATGCGTGGAGCTAGAATATGTGGTGATAATCCTGACACCAAAATACCTTCCGCATGCGTTGCAGCAAATGAGGTACCAGCCGCGGATGTCCCCGCCTGGAACAAGAACGGTGTCCTTTGCGGTGACGGGTCGACGACGTGAGGTGCTTCGACAGAGAACGTGGAGCTGTGGTAGTTGACTGTCTTGATCCGATTGATATCGACGTAGATTTCGTCTTCTTTATTCTCTTGCAGTGCGTCATCGGCCCAGCTCCCTTCCCATAGCCTTCACCATGAATTAATCTTAACCTGCGGACATGAATATGAACAGTTCGTGACTCACTGATATAGTATTCGCAGGTATTCATCAGCAATCAAGTAGCGTTTATCGTGCTCTACCAACGACAATCCAACCTGCAGAATTTTAGTGTTTGTAACAGGACAGACAGACCTAACAGAACATAGACACTCACAGCCTTTGCTGCCGACGCCTTCCAAGACGTAACAATATTCCATCCAAATCTACCGCCTGTCAAATGATCAACCGTAGAGAACCTTCGGGCTACTAGGTAGGGAGCTTCATAAGATGTCGATCCAGTTATGACGAAGCCCAAATTCTTTGTTGCACTAGCCATTGCCGAGATAGGCTATTATCATTACTTAGCAACGCACATGTGCCTGGTTAGTGCTATAGGATTATCGACACTAACAATTATCGGATCCGCCATTGGAAATTGCGCACCAGTGCGAAAGCACGGTTCTGCACTGCCCTTGTATGTATCATAATGCCCCAGAGTATCGGCAATGAACAGACTGTTGAAGTCCCCTCGTTCCAATACTTTGGCAAGGTTCACCCAGTACGAGAGATCACGCCTTTTGGTGGCAGACCTATCGTCGTCGCGTCGCCACTGGCCGAAAGACAAATGTCCAACAGTGAACATGTCAAAGGCATTGAGAATAATCCGCTTTCGGGGAGCGGCTTCAGTATTGGAAGCGCTGGATGCCATATTTTCAAGGAGTTCGAATGTTTCTGCTGTTCTCAATCAGTTACTTGCTGACTTCCTGAAGAACACCTTTTCATCATTAACAATTACTGTATATATCTGGACTTTAAATTGCACTTCCACTTTTGGAAAAAATACTAGGAGGGGTCGCTGACTCGTGTCGGAAACAGGGCCTTGGAATATTACGGGATATGGTAAAACTCGTGATGGCGTGCTTTGCTATAGTGTGATGCTATCTGTACGAAGCCGACATATCGAACAAGCGGCCAACATGTTGAGATGTCGCCATTTTCGGTCTCATTTTCTTATCTCGTGCCTAATGTTGGACTATTCCTACTGTTCCTACTGTGTCTACGCGGACATTTGTCCGAGCATGTGGGCCAGCATCATATCATATTACTCTTTTATGGAATGGAGGTAACGCATTTAGTTACAAGACTTGACCCAGGGAAATAAAATGTTAACTTCCTGCATACCCAAGTGACCCAAGGTAGAAAGAGAAATCGCCTTCAGCCTTTCAAAATGTCTGCCGTTATAGCAAAGGGTGATTTGATCCGCTCTAAAAATCTCCCGACCTCTCCTTCGAAAGATGTTTCGCACACTAGACCCAAGACTCACACACAAAGACTCGCTTCTCAATATCCACCCCCTTTACGTACCGTTTCCCCCGCGTTTGAGCTGGAAGACCGTCCAGTCGATCAACGGCGGGCAATCAAAGCCATCGTCACCGGTGCCGGTATTTCCGGGGTGACGGCCGGGATTCTTTTACCGGCCAAAGTGCCTGGTTTGGATTTGGTTATATATGAAAGAGCTTCCGATGTTGTATGTGAAAGATACCCTCCTACTATATATGAGTTCTAACAACTGATCTCCATGGGTTCAGGGAGGTGTTTGGCATTCCAACGTATATCCTGGTGTCCGGTGTGATATACCTTCGCATGTGAGTTTGAGCTCAGGAGTATAAATATGGTTTCTCGGTCTCGATACTTACACTGTAGGGTCAGGTTTACCAATCAACCTTTTCACCTTCAACGCAGTGGTCCGAGAATTACGCCAGCGGCAGCGAAATCAAAAACTACTGGAAAACCCTGGCCACCAAATATGACGTCTGGAAATACATTCAACTCAACAGTGAAGTCATCAACGCAACCTGGTCAGATGCAAAGGCGTTATGGATAGTACAAATTCGTCAAACAGATCCAACCAATGGCGATGTAGTGATCTTTCAGGACGAGGCAGACTTCCTTATTACTGCCACGGGCCGTTTCAGTGAACCTCGATTGCCAGACGTTCCAGGCATTGAGGAATTTCAGGGACATCTCCGTCACAGCTCGCAATGGGATCCTGATTTTGATCCTAGTGGGAAGCGTGTTGCGCTGATTGGGAATGGGGCATCGGGCCTTCAGGTACTACCAGAGCTGCAGAAACTGGCAAGTCATGTAGACCATTACGCGCGAAGCCCAACCTGGGTAGCTTCTTCTTTTGGTGGTGAGGATCTCAATCGAGACATACCTATATCCGATGAGGTCAAGACGCGATTAGCAGCCAGTCCGGAAGAGTATTTGAAATATCGCAAAGCATTAGAGACCAGAAACTGGGGAGGATTTACCAGAGTCATAAAGTCTAGCGATGCGAGTCAAAAGGGGAGAGAAACAATGGAAAAACTCATGTTTCAACGGCTTGGTAATCGCGAGGATCTTTTTGCGTTAGCGAAGCCGGGATTTTCTCCTAGTTGCCGACGCTTAACCCCTGGTCCTGGATATTTGGAAGCTCTCACGCAGGATAATGTCTCGTATATAAGAAATCCGATTGAACGGTTTACGGCAAATGGTATCAGAACGACAGATGGATGCGAGAGACAAGTAGATGCCGTCATATGTGCCACGGGAGCCGAGATATCCTGCGCCGCCGCATTTCCTATAATCAATGGGAATGGCACCGATCTCCAAGCGGCCTGGACGCCTGGTGGTACACCAGGGTTCCCCGATACGTATCTCGGTATGGCTGCACCAAGTTTCCCCAATCTATTATTCATCTTAGGTCCCCAGGGGGGCAGTGGGTTTGCAGGGACAGTACCAAACACCGTTGAAAACGAGGTTACATACATCGCCAAGATCCTGCGGAAGGTGTCAACACAAGGAATACGCACTATAACACCATCAAGAGCTGCAGTGGATGACTTCCGAGCGTACACGGAATCTTTCTGGCCGGAGACTGTCCTAAGTGAAGAATGCAGTTCTTGGTACAATGGAGGTGTGAAAGGGGGACGTGTTGTTGCACTATGGCCCGGGAGTGGCAGCCATGTCAATTATGTGAGACGAGATGTTCGGTGGGAAGATTTTGATTATACGTATCACAACGGACAAGGAAATCGATTTGCGTATTTTGGTAATGGAAGGACCGTCCGTGACATAAGAGCTAGTCAGTCGGAGGACATTGTGAAGGATGGTATTGATTTTACTACTTACCTTAAACTTGAGGCGGCCATTGACCATGGCGTGGATTTGAGAGGCTATCACGAAGCATGGTGGGAAGTATAGCTCTGCTATACTAAAACTCAAGCGTGACTTTCTTTCTTTAGCATCTTGGAATAGTAGTGCAGTACATTTGATAATGTACAAACCCGTATTCCATATGTTAAGCGATAACAAAACAGCGAGTTAACACTACATAGGATCTGGTTTATTTCGTATACAAGCAGACGAAACATCAGGTGATAAATAATAAGTATATTACCTAAACTATCAACTATCGAATCGAAGATAACGGGAAAAAAAAGTAGTCGTTCAGAAATCAGACAGAAAGCCACCCAGATCAAATCATTCGTCATATACAAAAAAACATTCGTAAAACAGAGAAAAAAACCCATCGAGATGAAGAGGTGCAAATATTCCACATACCACTGAAAACCGGGATTATTAAGACGCCTCATTCCACGTATACAGTTGCTCTGCTGGAAAACAAAAGAATTGGTGATAAAAGCAAGTATCAATTCGCTCGAAGACAGAGATAGAAAAAGCCTCCCATATTAAATCTTGTTTGGAATAGAAAATGGTATCAATTGGTTGGGGAGGATTCGGCTTTGGTCGGATGATCAGATGTATTGCTATCGACAGCAGCAGCGGCACCGTTAGGCTTCACAAGACCACCGGACAGTTTGCTTTCGGCAGCGTGTAATTGTGCCTTGGTTTCTTCCAACTCTTTTTTAAGCGCTTTGATGTAATCAATGGCCATTTCGACGGTACTAGCTTTGCTGATTGTAGGCGGCGTGGCTTTTTCCTTGGAGTCTTTTGTGTCCTTGCCATCGTTCTTGGGTACGACATTCGCTTCTTTCCCTTCTTTGATCGCTCGTTCTTGTGCAAAATCCGGCGGGAGGAGCGCTTCAATCTCTTTCAACGCGGTGTTGATACGATTCCGACGTCCTTGTTCTGCCAGTTTATGGTTCGTTCGTTTGCTACTCAAATTTTCGGCCAGGGTCTCTGGATATGATACTCCTGGAAGAACGGTGCCGTCTAGAATGTGCTGATAATTCGATTTGGATGCGAGATATAACGCCGAGGATTCGCTTGTCATACCTAGTCAAGGTCAGTGATTCGTCTATATTTGAATTAAAAGAGCGAGCAGATAATTACCATCTCCTCGTACAAGAGGCTGTATGCTAGGACTGATCCTTGGCCGAAGAGCTGGACTGGCGTGCGAAGAACTGATACTCTGTCTCTTACGAGCCGTCGATGATTTCGAGTCGGACTTTTTCGGCACTGGGCCGCTAGGCGACGCCATAGTAGACGATTGTGGCCCCGGTGTCAGGGAGCCGGATGGTTGGCGAGACAGTGGCCCCATCAACGGAGTATTCGAGGCGGATCTATTATTCGATGGCTCTTTCGTAACAATGGCGGTGTTAATGCGGCTGGGTCGTGGTCGAGTATCGGCCGCTGCCTCGGGTAACACCATATCTTCCATCGGCTCATCTTGCGACTCACTCGTGATCAGACTTGCCTGTCCTGAAAATTGCCCAGATGGATCCTGGGAGTGCTGCGGTCGGTTCGTGATTCTCATCAAGGTCGCCGGTGTCACGGGCGCACTTGAACCCGGGTCAGAAACTTGTGGCAGAATTGCTGGCGACTTGTGCGGTAAGGCGGGTGGTGGCATAAGGGGTTCGGAGATAGGCTCAGGTGATACAGAATCCTGGGAGCTCTCATTGCTGCTGTAACGTAGCGAGCTGAGTCCGTTGTTGGCATATCGATTGGAGTTGTGTTCCTGCATATTGGCGTTGTTGTTATTGACAAACTCTTCTGACATGAGCTGAGAACTTCTGCTTTGTTTCTTCCAGTTTTTCGCCTGGATTGACGGCGATGCTTTTGCAGCACGGCCGGCTGCCCGTGTTGCAGTCGATGGCCTACGTCCCTGTCGTTGCTTTTTGAACACTGCCGGCGACGGAGGAGCAGATGTCATGGTGAGCCCGTTGGAGTCAAGTGGTGATGAAACGTATCCTGCATTTTGATGTGGCTGCGTTGTTTGAAAAGGATAGTTGCTAGAGCTGTGATTCTGAGCTTCTAATGCGGGTGATGTGAGCGGGGTGAAATATTCGCCGGGTATGGTGTATTCTGGTAAACGGAATTGGCTCTCCAACGGCGTCATTGCTGGAGATATCAGAGGGGTATAGAAAGCAGCGGCCTGTAACATAGAGAATGATTAGTCCAAGGTCTAGGTACAGTAACACGAAGTACTTCAAGGATAGTTATGTATTGTGTTACCTGCTCATCATTCATGTGTACGTAGCCTTCATAACCTTCGTTATTATTCTGGTCAACACGCTGCATGTATCGAGCCGCACCACCGTGAAGTTCAACACTATTTGGCGTCGGAGGAATCATGTGCTGTCCTTCCTGGTACGAATGCGAAGCCATTTGCGGATGCGGGATTTGTTGGCGTTGTTGCTGGTGTTGTTGATGCTGATGTGCGAGCTTTTCTTGATGCTGATGTTGCTGTTGGGAGAGCGGCTGGKGAAATTGTTGTTGTTGCTGCTGCTGCTGCTCTTGTGAGAAATGGTAAGATTGATCCTCGGCGGGGCGATTGTTCGGGATGCCGAGTCCTAGGTGCTCGCCCATCATAGATGCATATTGCGGTGCTTGACTTGTCGCAGCCATACGAACGTCGTCCGCCAAGGTGGTTGCGATATGCTGATTGGCATGCTGCATTGCTTGCTGGTGCTGGACAGCGGCAGCGGCAGCGGCATTGTGGCCCTCCATGTCGGGAAAATCGATTCCGAACTCGAGAAAGTTGGAAAAGTCATCCTCGTTGCCGGGTGCCATCAATGTCTCTTCTGGCAGCTGTTCCGACCAGGTCATGGCGGTATCGTGATCCATTGCCATTGTTGAACAATTTCTGGCTAGCCAGATGGCGATTGGATTGTGGATGGGAGCGATACGATAGCGTGGGCAGCGATGATAAAGGTGGTGGTCGGGTCACGACGTGGGAGGGGACTCGGGAGCGGCTCCGATTATCGCGACTAAGGTACCGCTATTAATCCGGCGACGAATAATGGCCCTGGTTTTGCTTTTTTTTTTTGTTTGATTGTGCCGCAGGTGGCAGTGCGGGTTGTAATTGTAAATGGGGTTTGATCGAAAAAGACAGAATTCTAACCAGGACGATAGTCGTGTGAGAGCGAGAGACAGTCAAAGAGAGAGAGTAAACGAAATGGTGGTGGTTGGCGAAGAGAAAGACGAAGAAGAGGAAAGAGAGAAAATCTGAATTCGTTCGTTCGTTCCTTCTTGGTCGAACCGGCTAATTCCCACCAGAGCAAAGTTCGCAGTGGAGCCTGAACTACGACACCATTAGACCCTCTTTTGATTGCTGCTTCGATTGTTATTTCCTTTTCTGCTCACACTATGCCATTTTACTCTACACATACTACGTACTTGCAAAGGATCTCGACTCTGGCAGCTCATCAACTGATCTTTATACACAGTAGACGCATGCATGGAAGGATCAAGGGACCACGAGCGGGAGTTGTCTAGTATTAATTTCTGATTCCTCAAATCGCGGCAACTGCGCCAACGCTAGTAATAGACCCTCCTAGTGCAATACGCTCCCCCACTGCTACGTACAATTAATGACAATTTACTCCATCAGTGCATAATATGCATTCCTAATGCATAGACTGAGCAGAATCTAGATCGAAATAGCCGTCAGGGGTTCGCATCAGATAGAGGTACTCCAGATAAGAAGCTGTCCAAGTGTAAAGGATCAGAGGCGCAATTATCAGTATTGTTGCATCGGCGGACGCTGAACAAAGCCGGACGAATGCCCGCAGTGGTGCAAGTGTGTATTTTTGGCTGGTGTTGTTGGTATTCCTGGTAAAATCCCGTATTGACCTTGCCTGTTCAGGGAGTGGTTCTACGAGCAAAAGTGCCAGAGTGGACGGCGATTGGCTGCATGCATTAGCGTGGTGCATATTACTTAGTATTATGCATGTAATAATTCCACTGCGGGGAGAACTGCATGCCGGCTACTCATTGGCCAGCCTGCCACAGCCCACCTGCACGTGACCTTATCATCATCGTCAGCCGATAACAACACAGCATCACCAGACAAGTGCCCAACTGAGTACTGACCTCCATCTCTTGTGGTTGTTCACGACGATGCGCTTTTGTTTCAGATCGAATACTTTGCCAGACTCGATGCCTCCAGAATGCGCCCTGTCGTCCCCGAGTTCTCCCCTTCACCCACTCGCAAGCTTTCATCCGGCGACCCGCCCGCTCCATCATGGGGCGAGTCCGGACCTGGTGTCCCGACCTCATTTTTTCTAGCTCGAGAGACCGGTGATGACATGGGCTCTTCAAGGGATAGTTCTTTCGGAGTCCAGAGTCTAGAAGACACGATCAGTGCTGCAGATATATCTCCCTTCAACGACGAGTCTTATCGTCGTGATGCCAGCAATGAATCTGCCGATCCAACCTTGAAACGTAGGACAACTCTTAAACCATCAGATCTACTCCCTCATGTTGACCGACTGGACACTCCCTTGTCCAAAGCCATTTCTCGAGCCTCCCCAATACCTTCACGTCCGTTAACTCCATTCAATCTCAATGACGATCCGTCTTCCATACCGAGTAGTCCGAAGTCGGTTTCAAGTCGGTCATTTAAACCCTTGGATGACATTTCAATCACGGACGAGATCAGTAGCCAAGCACTGGTTTCAAGTGGAGATGAAGACACTCCTGAGATGAGTGAGCATGCTCATCATGGAATAGGCGACAGCTCTTCCCAGTTGATCATGCCGAGCATTCGAATGCCAAGCCGACGTCCGTTTACCGAAAGAGGCAAGAAGATTGGTCGTTTCAAGATTCTTGTTGCTGGATCAAAAGGTATTCTCTCCTCGATCTATGCAGCATTTTGTAAAAATATCTGACTTTCATAATATTCTAGGTTCCGGAAAGTCATCTTTAATCAAGTCGATTGTCCAAGCATGTGACGATATTGTCCATGTTGACCCTGTCGAAAGCTCAAGTTCAATCGAATATGGTCGACCTCACTCGCGAATAAACTCGAAAAAGACCAATGCAACTATGATATCCGAAATCCATGCGAGTACCAAACCATATCCGCCATGGTGGTCCGAACTTGAGGATTCGCGAATCCTCAAGCGAAGAAAAAATAGTGGGGAGGTTGTGCTGGAACGAAACCTGTGTTTCATCGACACCTCAGCTTCAAAGAATGATAAAGGCCAACCTGATCAGACCACAGAGATTATCATACAATACATGCAGCAGCAATTATCTCGTGCTATCGCTTCCGTCAGCCATCCTAGCTCCGATCTTCAAAATATGTTAGGCGGCGACGGCGGCTCTCAAGTCGACTTGGTTTTATATCTCATATCTGAAGGTTTGCGTGTCCTTCTAATTATGCTAGGTCAAAAATCTAACAAATGGCAGATACCCTGACAAACGATATTGAATGCATCCGCAAATTATCCGACTTTAGTAACGTCATCCCTCTGATATCGAAAGCAGATTTGCTATCAGAATCTCAGATAACGTCGCTTAAAAGCTCTTTTCATACTCAAATCGCACAACATGGTGTGCAATTATTCTCCTTCGAAGACCCAAATACCACGGAGGGCGAGCAGCCTCAGTCGCCGTTCGCCGTATCGTCAATCCAATCCAAGGACGATGAAAATATGGATGCTAGTATACTGATGAGTCCGGATTACGTCCCGCCTCTGATTGCATCTGAAATCGGTGATTTGATTGATAAAATCTTTGATAGCGATAACATGTCTTGGCTCCGCCATACTGCAGCTAAAAAGCTGACCCGAAGTGGTGCCGTTCCAACTATCCAGCGTGCTGATACGGCTGTCAAACGTATGCGGTCTAAGAGTCCTGGAAACGTCGTTGCGACCTCTAAGTCAATTTCCAACAATACAGCGCTAGCTCCCATTAGTAATTTTGGCGGAGCTCCCAATTATGCATTGGCAAGAGTGAACGACTACACACAACACGAAGAAAAATTGGCTCAAGTACGATTGGCAAAGTGGGCTGCGGATTTACAGCAGAGTCTACAAAACGAACGCGAAAGATATGCTGCACTTGCGCGAGGGGAAAGAGCAGCTTGGCTGACCGAGCGTCTTGGAGAATGTGTGATTGACGGCACACTTGTTCCGATTCAGCAAACCCCTGGCTTCCCACGTTGGGATGTGGACACCGACAAAAAATCAGGCGCAATCGTGGTACGAACATCAAACGGACAAACTGCAAAATACCGCCTCACCAAACTCAACCCTGAGGACCCACTGGGACTGGTTCGGTGGAATGAAGACCTCCGTCGTCGTGGCTGGGCGATTGTACAAGTGGTTGGCAGTTTCGGAGTTGTGGGCGGTCTGGCACTTTGGCTGGCCAAATTTTGGGGACTTCCCTCGAAGAGTCTATCTGAATGGCACTTTCATTGGATAGATCCGCACGATTAGGTTGCGGTCATTGCAAGCTCTAGCTACTGACGTAGACATGACAAGGCAATGCGGACCCTGGAAGCCAGTTACTGATTGGGTAGGAATAACGAGTCAAACTAGTGCTTATACGTTGCCTTGCAACCGCTCGGCTTCATAGCCTTAACCTCGAGCTTGAGCGTGACAACCGAGATATATCTGTCTTCACGCTAGTTGACAATCTAGATGGAATTCAACCTGCTCCAATGTACCACTAGAGATACATAACAAGAAGAAACGACCTGATGAGCAAATTAGAGTAGCTGGCTTCTCAAACTAGACAATTTGATAACCTTTTCTTTCTTTGCATCTGTTTCACCGTTGTCACGCCAAATGAACACTGGAGAGCCCGAGCTCAGCACTAAAAAGCAATTTAACCCTTTTGGGAGTTGGATGGATGCTTAGCTTTCTGAGCTACCCAGGCAACGCCACCCCTCTATTTTGCTCTGTTGACGGTTGACCGCCACATGGTCCAGGCTGTCTGTAGAGGTTGGCTGTAGAACCCATTGCCTGCAAGTTTTATTTCAAAAGCCAATTGCCTGAACCGAAGCGCAAAGATTTAAGCTCAATCATAACATAGAAAGGTTTTCTTTAAATTTGAAAATGAGTGGTTGCAGAGTCTTCCAAGGCAGAGTGTAGTCCTTCTCATTGGTTCTAGAATGATCGAAAGTGGGACACTAGACCCTTTCTGGCGTATGGTTAACCTAAAAAATAAGGCAGAACTGCGGTCTGGAGTAAGGCGACTTTCGACGAGTCGTCTGCAAACAGCCTTTCTTTGTACCATTTGACGGTAAAAGCTGAGGCATATCTGTGCAGAGTGTACAAAGAAACCAGCCAAATAGAATAAAACACAGCTGTGGGCAGGACATTCTGGAGAAAGCATCGAAAGAAATCGAAGATCCGTACCATATGGCGCTAAGCCCATAGAAGACTAGCGGCTGTTGGTAGAATAGAATCGATTCGAAGCTACAGGAACTGCTTCTCAGCCTGGCCGTCCTCCACCTCAGAGTATTTTAGCTTCACTCCTCTTTCCTTCCTCACTTTCTTCTTCTCTCCATACACCCATCTTTCCTCTGTCCTGTCAACATACTCTCTGCGTTGCTAGACATCCTCTTACTCTAGCTTCTTTCATCTCTGTGACTCATTTTTCCTATCCCTTTCTACTTTGTGAGTCCCCTCAGTCTATCCAGAGTGCGGAGAAAACTCTGATCTGAGAATTACGTGGTGAACTAACACACTGTCTAAAAGGATACCCTTTTCGCCTCACATCACATCCATCAAAATGTCGGAGACTTTCGAGTTCCAGGCTGAAATCTCTCAGCTCTTGTCCCTCATCATCAACACTGTCTACTCCAATAAGGAGATCTTCTTGCGTGAACTCATTTCGAACTGTTCCGATGCGTTGGACAAGATTCGCTATGAGTCCCTTTCAGACCCATCCAAGCTCGATTCGGGCAAGGATCTCCGTATCGACATTATTCCCGACAAGGAGAACAAGACCATCACCATCCGCGATACCGGTATTGGTATGACCAAGGCTGTATGTTCACACCATTTTACCACATTTTTTCATTGATAAGCAATGCTAATATTTGCAGGATCTCATCAACAACCTCGGTACGATTGCCCGCTCCGGTACTAAGCAGTTCATGGAGGCTCTGACTGCTGGTGCCGATATCTCCATGATCGGTCAATTCGGTGTCGGTTTCTACTCTGCATACCTCGTCGCCGACAAGGTCACTGTCATTTCTAAGCACAACGATGACGAGCAGTATATCTGGGAGTCCAGCGCCGGTGGCACCTTCACTCTCACTCAGGACACTGAGGGTGAGCCCMTTGGCCGTGGCACCAAGATGATCCTTCACTTGAAGGATGAGCAGACCGAATACCTCCAGGAGAGCAAGATCAAGGAGATTGTCAAGAAACACTCCGAGTTCATCTCCTACCCCATCTACCTCCACGTCTTGAAGGAGACCGAGAAGGAGGTCCCCGATGAGGACGCTGAGGAGAAGGAGGAGGAAGACGCCGAGAAGAAGCCCAAGGTCGAGGAGGTCGATGACGAGGAGGAGGAGAAGAAGCCCAAGACCAAGAAGGTCAAGGAATCCAAGATCGAGGAGGAAGAGCTCAACAAGACCAAGCCCATTTGGACTCGCAACCCTGCTGATATCACCCAGGAGGAATATGCTTCCTTCTACAAGTCTCTCTCCAACGACTGGGAGGACCACCTTGCCGTCAAGCATTTCTCTGTTGAGGGTCAGCTTGAGTTCCGTGCCATTCTCTTCGTCCCCAAGCGCGCTCCCTTCGACCTTTTCGAAACCAAGAAGACCAAGAACAACATCAAATTGTATGTCCGCCGTGTCTTCATTACTGATGACGCCACCGACCTCATCCCCGAGTGGCTCAGCTTCGTCAAGGGTGTTGTCGACTCTGAGGATCTCCCTCTTAACTTGTCTCGTGAGACTCTCCAGCAGAACAAGATCATGAAGGTCATCAAGAAGAACATTGTCAAGAAGACTCTTGAGCTCTTCAACGAGATCGCTGAGGACCGCGAGCAGTTCGACAAGTTCTACACCGCTTTCAGCAAGAACATCAAGCTCGGTATCCACGAGGACACCCAGAACCGCCAGGCTCTTGCCAAGCTTCTCCGCTACAACTCCACCAAGTCCGGTGACGAGATCACTTCTCTCACTGACTACATTACTCGCATGCCCGAGCACCAGAAGCAGATCTACTACATCACTGGCGAGTCCCTCAAGGCTGTCCAGAAGTCTCCTTTCCTCGACACTCTCAAGCAAAAGAACTTCGAAGTCTTGTTCCTTGTTGACCCCATCGACGAATATGCTTTCACTCAATTGAAGGAATTCGATGGCAAGAAGCTTGTCGACATCACCAAGGACTTCGAGCTTGAGGAGACCGATGAGGAGAAGGCTGAGCGTGAGAAGGAGGAGAAGGAATACGAGGAGCTTGCCAAGAGCCTCAAGAACATTCTCGGCGACAAGGTCGAGAAGGTTGTTGTCTCCCACAAGCTCGTCGGTGCTCCTTGCGCCATCCGTACCGGCCAGTTCGGTTGGTCCGCCAACATGGAGCGTATCATGAAGGCTCAGGCTCTCCGTGACACCTCCATGAGCTCTTACATGGCTTCCAAGAAGACTTTCGAAATCTCTCCCAAGTCTCCTATTATCAAGGAACTCAAGAAGAAGGTCGAGTCCGATGGCGAGAACGACCGCACTGTCAAGTCCATCACTCAGCTCCTCTTCGAGACTTCTCTCTTAGTCTCTGGATTCACCATTGAGGAACCCGCTAGCTTCGCCGAGCGCATCCACAAGCTCGTTTCTCTCGGCCTGAACGTCGACGAGGACGCCGAGACCGCTGAGGAGAAGGAGGCCGAAGAAGCCCCTGCTGCCGAAGCCACTGGCGAGAGCGCCATGGAGGAGGTCGACTAAATTTTGTAGCAACAAGCTGATTACGGGTTGATGTGACACGAAACTTTCTGGAATGTATTTTTTTCTCTGGACGAAAATCAGGGTCATGGTCCAAGTGGCGGATTGTGATCGGCGTTTGAGCGTTTTACACTTTTCTTTCTCTGTCTTGTTAAGATAAAATAGTCTTGCTCAATAATACTCGTTCAATAATCTTTTCCATCATAATGTATCAAGTAGTAAAGTAGGCTAAATTTTCATACTATCCATTCCATTAAACTACATGTCCGTAGATGTAGTCACTACATGATGAGTCGCCCAGTAGATACCCCATGTATAGGTTCAATCTAGATAGCAATTCGAGAAGCTTGGGTTACCTGTTTCCCCATTCACAAATTGGTGTCCATATCGTTGGTTATTCGAAAGATTCACCCATCGCCTCCAACATAGTCTCGTCTAGATAATTAAGGTAAGTCTGACCTAAGTGCTTTTGACGCATTTACTCTATACAGCAGGGCTCGGATTCCCAAGCAATCTGGTCACATCGTGTAACCGCATCGATTATTCAACGCGGTAATAAGTCCTCTTGCAAAGGTTTGCCGCTGGAAGGGGGAGGGGGAAGAAGCCCTAACTTAACCACCGGCAAGGACTGTCACTACCTGGTCAATTGCATGTGTATACATCAATTTAATCACATTGATCACACTTCTCCCATGCTCTTAATCTCTAGCTGCGTTACATTGCATACCTGCGTTTCTCAAAGATTCGCTCTCATGGCTCGGATATGCGTCCGTAGAGATATTGCCTAAATGGGTATGTAGCACGGCATTGTGATGGGGATGGTACCACAAAAGTATACACAGTTCTAATATATGGCAATCAGAAGTAAGTTGATATTATCTCCTCCGAATATACCTCCCGTCAACATTTTTTTTTTCTCTTCTTCAATTTTCAAAAGTCATAGAAATACTTACAGCATAGAACCCCCTCCTCCTCCCATTCTACAAGAAGACACGTCTCGCTCAGCAAAGACCTTGTGGTCTGATTGTCGGGGTTGGTGAAGTGTGCGGTGATAGTTGTGCTGAACCTTTTGGGATGGGGATTTGATCGGGGAATGATGATGATGCTCTGCTTGCTTCAATGTTTCCGTAGGCTAGTCTCGATATTGCACGTTTTTTACCGTCTTCGTTGGTGGCGTCTTTCTTTGACTTTGTTTGCCATACAAAATTGGTGCAGGATGGAACGTATTCAAGTCTTATTGTTTTTTTTCTTCTTCTTTGGGCTCGGGAAGAAGATTTGAAGCTTCTTATAATTAGCATGCTCAGACGTCAAGCATATTGTTGTCTCTGCCGAAGGATCGAAGCACGGAGCAACATGCCTTAAGAAGAATGTTACAATTTAAAAGACATCTAGTTCTTGTTGTAGCTTAACGATTATACATTCTTATGTCATGGGTTGTAGTTTCTAATATCCAAACAGCATCTAGCCTGTTGCCGCTTTTGATGTGTCCTGAAGCCAGTCCTGGACACCAATGGACATGTATATACCAGTTGATATGGTATGTACGCACCTCCAACCTACGTTGACAACTGTAGGCCAATAATTAAAACAATTATGGGAAACTCCAACGCAGACAAAAATCATTGGCTATTCGATTCCAATAATCAACAGAAATACTATAACATCCATGGATGCTGTCATGCAGCCCGTACGCTCAAGATCTAAGACGCTACTTTGTAGGTAATGCAGTGTCGGAAGTGCGACTTAAGTATAGTGGAGTTATACGTATGTTGAAACCGGTTGTAACCTTATGAGATCTGGGGGCACTGTGTGACGACGCTGACCTCGCGGATCACTTCTGGAATACACATCCCTGATGGCAAGACATAAATATCTCAAGAAGGGTTGAATGAATGTAGTGGGTTCTCAAAAGTTCACAGAGTAGGTCTATCCGAAGGAGCCGTCAAAGAGGACGTCTTGGAACGCGCTACTGGTAATTGTTTGTTCTATTTTATCTCGCTCAGTGTTTGGAAAACGTTGGTACTTTTGGGTAGTATGATGCGTGTAATTGAACGTCTTATGTCTTCAACGTGATCGTGTGCCACATGTGATATCTACAACCCCAAATATCTAATATCTTCTAGAGCCTAATACCCGATTCATAAGGGTGCCACAATCTTGGAAGCGCTCACAGCTTCCCTAATCTCCCTTATTCTACTCAGATTGTAGGTCCTCTCGTAACAGAACGCATCATGAGATCAAAGTCGAGGTTTCACGTCCTTTGTGGTTCCGGAAGGGCATGTCTCTGGACGACCTCGTATCCATCCCTGTGCTTGCCCATCTGTAGATGAAAGCCTTCCATTCTGGTGGTATAATGAGAAGCTCTGGACCGTGATCTATATCCTTGACTAACAATGTGCATAAAATATCAGATTATCAGGCAAGCCTTGATAGTTTCAGTGTTACTAACTCGTCCACACAGTACACCAATGCATGCAGCATACCTAAATTGGACTATATACATCCGGCCAGAGCTGTAGACTTCTATATTCCTGGGCCAGAGTGTGGCAGTATACACATGCCCATGTATCACTCTATATCCATATGTATAACTTCAACTGTAAAAAAATCTCTCCAGGCTCTTGCCTGGTCGTATATGTAAAGAACCATTACCTACCTAGGTAAAGTATATAAACAACTCCTCTCTCCCCCTTCCAGAGTACCATTCGATATCACCCTCATTATCCACAAGTAGCCTTCCCGAACCAAATCGACTATCAAATCAACTTCATTTCCCTTTGAAGTAAACCAACCACCACTTTAATCTATTACAATGAAACTATCTTCTGCCCTCGGCCTCATCATCCTCGCTATCGCCGGCGTCTCCGAGGGATCTCATATGAAAGTCCCCGTACCCCTAGACACCAACCTCATGGGCGCCGTCATTAATGCCGCTGGCCAGCCCGGCGCCGTCGCGAGTGATCCCACACTTACTTGCAGCGTGGATTATGTATTGGGATGGAACTGTACGTGACACGGCCCTCATCCCCTCATCCCATCCTTCACGAAAGATAGCTCGACTTTATCACTGCATTTCTTTGTTCGGTCTGACACATCAGACAGGCAGCGCGCCCACGGGTCCTTGCACCGTTTACCTCGATTCCATCGACGTCACGAACTGCACTATTACCACTCCTTGAAAAAAAGGACTTCAAGGATTGCTTAGGTATTCTATCAAGGCAGACGAGGACTAGATGACTGGCCAGGATTAATGTTAACTATAGTCGTTCAATGTCTTTAACCATGAAGGAACGCTATGTGTGTATTGTATCGATCGTTCAATTGTGACTTGTTGATTGGTGGGCCCTATTCAACGTAGGGTTATTCAAACACAGTCATTACTCTGATATCCTTACCTGTCGTACGTTATATGCAAGTCTAGGCTGTAAGTAGGTATTACCTATAGACAGTCAAATAGGAACGTTTTCTTGTTTCCTAACGTAGAGATCAAAGATTGTTTTAGTTATACATGGAATCTGCCAGTCATCCAGGGGAATTTGAGACGGAAAAGTAAGAAGAAAGAGAAATGAAATTCCCCCTTTATTGGGACTCGCTATGCTTAAATAGAGTAAAACAAGGGTAGAATGAAAATCAAACAATAACAAAAGGGTAGAACCATCGAAACCGATCAAGACAGATAGAGATGCATTCTAACATAAGAGAAACGGACCGTGGGCGAAAGAAAGGGAAAATTTGATACAAGAAGGTTTTCTGAATCAATCAAATCAACTGAAATCGGTTCAGTGAATGAGATCAAATCAACAAAAGACAACCCGCGCCTGTAAAAACATGGTTAGGAAATAAACAACCAAACAGAAAAAGAAAAAAAGAGAACAAGATCAAAAAAGCGACTTTTCCCGAACCGCTAACATGCTCGTAAGAAATCGTCACCAAATGAGAACACTGCCTGTCGTAAAATGACATATGGAAATGTCTTCGATGAATGTATATGCCGTAAATACGTGGTCGTACAAATAACCTGCAAACCGACAATCGAACCAAATGCTTATTAAGGTTTTGCTTTTCTGTATTTTTGGTGTTTCATTTCGGCATCAATACGTGAGAATAACACGTCGCCATTTAAGCAGCCTGTGCCTGGCTACGCTTGTTGCCGTTGACATTGCTGCCACCACGGCCACGACCTGCGAAGCTACCACGTCCTTGATCGCGTTGGAAGCCGCTGCCACCGCGACCCTGGCTTCCAGCCCGGCCATCGGCACGACCGCGGTTGGCACCGCTACCACCACGGCCAGCTGCAAAACCACCGCCGACATTGCCAGTGCGAACGCGTCGCTCTTCGACAGTAATCTGCTCGGTTCCGATCTGGTGGGGGTTGGCTGCAACGGCCGCGTTGTATGACGCCTGATCGGCGAAGTCAACAAAAGCGCAGTTCTATAGCAGATTGAATGTTAGCAAATGTCCTAATTTACATGGAGCCAGTAATAACTCGAAAAAAAGACATACCCTGGAACGGTTGACATCAAAATGAGTAAGCTTTCCGAAACGAGAGAGAACAGTGCGCAACAAAGATGCATCAACCTTCTCAGTGACGTTCTTGATATATGCTGAATACTTTTCTTCAGCGCGAGACTGCTTCTTGCTGTGATCATGACCAGCAGTCTGCCAACCAGCACCATCAGTTGAAGGTGCCTGGCTGCTGGTAGCAACAGCTTCCGTTGCGGAGGCAGTAGCAGGCTGCTCCTGCTGAGGCTTGGTTGGCTGCTGGGATGAGGTTGCAGTTGCGGCAGGCTTGGGCTGAGGCACAGCAGCAGGGTTAGCAGCAGGGGTACCGGCCGCGGCGGCCGCGGCGGCAGCGGCAGCAGCAGCACGGTTGCTGGAGGCGATAGTAGCCCATGTCTTAGGAACAGCCTTGGCAGGAGGAGCAGTCTCTTTGGGAGCTGGTGCAGCTTCCTTAGGGGTGCTGACGGCTGGTGTAGATTCTGGAGTCTGAGGCTCCTCTTCCTTGACGGCCTCAGGCTCAGTGGGGACAACAGGAACAGCGGGAGTAACAGGAACGGCGGGCTTCTCGTGTTCAGCATCGCCATTGACCTGTGCAGGAGCAGCAGGCTCCTCAACCGTCTCAGGTTCACCGTTGGCAGCAATCGTCTCGAGTTTGGCATCAACCTCAGCGACGGCCTCTTCACTGTCCGCCAAAGGTGCAGCCTCCTCAGTCTCAGCTGCGTCGATTGTGGCAGCTTCTGCTTGTTCAGGCTCTGCAGTTACTTCAGGCTCGATAGCGGGTGCCTCGTCAGCGGGAACCACCTCTTCATCATCATCCGCAAGGTATCGGAAGATATCGTTCAAAACATAGTAGCCATTTGGTTGTTGGGCGAGAACGAAAGTCTGGGTGAATTTGCGAGATGGCGCGGCGCGGTTGGAGATCTCTCCAATCACAGCGACAAGGATGTTGTCAAATGAGGCCTGAGAATCGACGTTCAAAACACGAACTTTGCACTCCTGGAAGTCGAGTTCCTTGATCTTGTCGTTGATGGCCTGAAGGCTGTTAGCAAGTGGTCGTCAACATGATCATTCAACATAAACGCTTACCTTCTGACCAACAACAACGGGAACGTTCTCGGCCTCGTCGCCAGAGACAAACTGAGACCGACGTGAGTAGAAGAGATGAAGTTTCTCTGGGTTTCGACTCATGGTTGTGTAGTATTGCTCAACAAAGTACCAGCCAACCTCGTCTTTTGAGATGTCAGCCTTGCCTTCGGGAGCTGGTCCATTTGAAGATGTTGAGACAGGACCAGGGTGATAAGTGGCGGCAGCGTTCATGGTGTTTTGAGACAGGTAAATGTCGGGGTAGCCGTTGGGGGGACCAGCGTAGGTGCCGTTAACGGGAGCCTGAGTTGTGTCCGCCATATTTTTCTGCTGAAATGTGTGAAATGAAATCTAGCTGTGCTTTTGTCTAAGTGCTGAGAAGATTTGCGTTCGTTCGGCAAAGCGAAGGTCAATTGTAGCGTGGAGGGCACCGGGGATGATTTGAAATGGGGCAAAAAAGGAAATGGCCGATCACGTCTGCGACCTGAAAGGATGTCATCAAACATGTTAGCAAAGACTCAAACAAAAATTTCATAATAGCGCATGCGCCATCAGCTAGACAAAGAGGTGCGATTTTCTCACTTACCGGAAACAATAGATGATGTCTGTACAGAATCGAAAAATATGATATCAAGACTGTGCGACGCTAAATGCGATGAGTCGAACTCGAGAATCGAACTCCGTTGGAAAGAAAAATTCGAATCAGCTTAGGGAGACAATGGTGACTCGTATGTCAACGAAAAATCGGGATCGAGGATATTTCGTGTGAGAGAAGAAAGTTTTGAAGAGGGTTGAATGAGAACAACGAATCGGCAATTCGAATTGGCTGTATAAAGTGCGAAGCGGAAAAAAGATGGGGCAAATGTGTTTCGTCGATAGTTATGGATGACAACGGGGTTTCTCTAAGAGATGTGTAAGAAGAAGAAGAAGACGAAAAAGAATTAATGAATCGAGTGGTAGAGGATGAGTCTGATTAATGAAGATGGAGGAGGAGAAGCGAGAGGGAAAAGAAGAGGGAGGAAGAAGAGGAAAGAGCGATGGAGTCCGCCCGGTATCTCGAAGCTTGTGCGGCGTTTTGATTGGTCCGTGTTCTGAAGAGTCTGACTAAGCCCGATATCTTGATATCTCGTGCTCAATATTGTCCTGCTTAGTATATTATTGTCGACAATTATCGCTGATATTTTCTGTTAATGGACTTTAAATATCATTGGGGAGCACCCTCATTGTGCTTTTCTCGTATGTTGAGGATGCCTAGTTGGCTGACTGCTGCCTCCTGGGCAGATATCTTACACCACGGTCGTGCCAAACCTTCTCGAGACTCTCAGAATTTCAAAATCTATATTCAATTGACATCAAGTATTTAAATATAGAAGCAGATATGAGAGGAAATTGAAACAAATGTGATTTGAGATCAAACATCAAAACGGACATGCAAGGCGTGTTACTTCCAACACGATGGGGTAATCAATGTGAAAGAAAAATGGACAAAAGAAAAATCTGGTACCAGAGCAGCGAGAAAAAAATTGAAAATGTGAATCATGCGACTCCGATGAAAGACCAAGGAAAACAGATAGCGTCAGATGCGTGTAGCATAGATCATGGTCTGCAAATTCTCATTACACAGCACCATCACCCACGTAAAACCAAGTAGAAAGATATTCATAGCCAGCAACCATAGAAGCGAAGGAGAATCTAGTTCTCCAACGCCTTCTTCTCATCCAAAACGGCAACAACGGGCTTTCGCATTACAGCATCTTGTCCGGTCATTCTCCTTCCGAGTGCGCGCTCAACCTTGGCGCCGAGAGCGAGCTTATTCAGATTATCTGTTTTTTCGGCAGAAGGCACAAAGCGCTGCTGGCTCAAGGGTTTGTTCTCGAGGCGCTCCACGCCATCGGAATATTCTTTGATCTCGGCCATGCGATCGCCGCTAGGGAGAGTGCTGGTGGTATCGGTAGAGGCGAGAGAGGGGACTCCGCTGTAGGTTGAGAAACGCTTCGAGTTGCGGTTCTACATTTAACAAGTTAGTGGCAATATTTCTAGCCAAGTTTGCGCAAGCTGTCATGTGCTAAAACAGGGAGTAGAACTCATACCGATCCAGTCATGATTGGCCGCTCGGATTCCAACGATGTACGGGCCATTGTGTATGTAATAAAGGTTCGTCTATCGATAGAACCGTGCGTATAAATGTTTTCGCAAGCGGTGGAGAAGAAGCCAGTTATTCTTCCGTCGATGTTGCTTCAGTTGTCGAGGGAGGTCCCCTTTTCTTCGCACGAGGTAGTTCGTCGACAAGGAGCGACGATCACGCGGCAAGCAGGATTGGGCCGGGCGTTATGATTATCGTAGTATATCTTGAGTCGTCGCAAGAGGTGTGATCGAGCAGTCTGGCAGCTGGATATATAATCGTCAAAGAGAGGATGCGATAAAATCGAAGAGAGAAAGAAAATGACGATTGTGAGAGTCACGAACAGCCAACGTTGGTCGAGGACCGAGAGAGGAATGCCGTCCGAGGATCTTCGTCCTTTTTGCTTCTTGAGGGGCTTTGTTAGTTTCGTATTGTCTTACTGCCTGGGTACCGTTGTATTTTACAGAACCGAACCGCTTCAACGATGACGATTAGTATTTACATACTTCATGGACTGATGCCTATGAAAATGCAGTAAGAAATACAGTGGCTTCTCATTTAACTGACTGCATTGTGACTATTCTGTTTATACAGAGCTTTGATGAGAACTGGCGTGTTGAAGGCTTGAAGCTGATCGTTGGACCAACGACAAGGGGTAACAAACAGCAGAGATTACTGGCTCATACAAAGCGACTCTGCCGCAAGCCACGTGTAGCCCTAGTTTCATGTGCGGTAGAGCCAATCACAGACGAATAAAGCCGTACACTAAGGTATTGTAAGATATGTATACGGTATTACGCTTACATAGCATGGCATTTAAGGCTGTCTCTTCGCGTGACCCGCGGGAAGCGTTATTCCGTACCTTACCTAGGCCGTGTTTCAGCTGTCGGATCTCTGCAGTCAGACCATTCCACGTTGTCAACGTATGAGGACTTAACCAAACCGGATTAGCTTCATGTTTTTGTCACTTGTGTCGCGAGTCAGTGACCCATCGAGAGCCCTGGAATCATGTGGGCTAACGGCTTTTCTCGTGAGAAATTGACGTACCGAGAGAATTCTCCATCAGCTTACCTGGACGATGTTGTGTAATGTTTCACAGTAGTGGAGTGTCGGCCATGTGTACAAATCGGTCATTGAGCATGTCAGTCAAACCACACGAGCGACAGGTTATGGACCTTGAAGATGAATTCGACCATGATAAATCTGGGGCCAGTTTATCATTGTATCGATCCGGATCAGATACAAAATAAAAGTGTTCCTGGAAACTGCCTCAAATTTAAGGTTTCGCTCAGCAAATCCATCGAACTTCCGGTGCTCTCCTGATCTCGGGGCAATGACCCTAGATTTGCCGATATCCAACATATACGATGGATGTGCATAACTTCAACTTGTCATGTTAAAAATGTACTCTTCAACATTTATGCTCTCTTCATAACGCCAACTGTCCGATGCATTATCCGATCCATTATAAAAGTCCCTTCAACTCCGCATGAGGGGAAGATACAACACTATAACATATGTCTGAAAAACGCGCAGACCTTTGTGCGGGGACTAGATTGAGAAAGTCTTTCTAGAATGGCGTCAGAAACAGAATGATTGGCAATTCTTCGTGAAGAGATCTTCGATCCCTCTTAGGATCACATATCTTTTTGGAGAAAAAAGATACTATCCCCCACCGGCGCGTGATGAGACACTCCGAATATTTCCAGTTTCGGAAAATGGGAGCGACTGCGTAAATTTTGTTTTTGGTTGCTACAACGAGGAGGTTTAGCTTACCGCAAAAATGATACTCCTTTCCAGTGGGAGGATAATTGGAGTAAGCCGATCTTCGGTGGTGGGTGAACATTTGGGGCAAAGGAGGACTGACTTTCCGGGCGGGGTGTTTGAGATGTGTTGTTTCGTCCTCAGTACGACCATCTTTGTTGGAGAAGAACAGGAGAGCCGGATGCGGATCGATAATATATAAAAGGAACTTAATCTCATCATGTCGTGGTCATCGCCGTTGTGCATGCGTTTACTCCCAAATCAATCGACATAAATTCCTAACTACTCATCCTCTTGGACAACTATCACAATGGGCTTGAGTCTACATCCCCAAATCGATAATGGCCTAACCAAAGGCCAAACCAATTTCCCCGGCGGCAAGCTCTACTGCCACTGCCCCAGCAACAAGGTCGAAGTCACCCTTGGGTCCGACATCCTTCACAACCATGCCTGCGGCTGCTCCAAGTGCTGGAAGCCCACCGGCTCCCTTTTCTCAGTTGTCGGCGTCATCCCAGTTGACAAAGTGTCGGTCACCGCCAACAGCGACAAATTGACCATCATTGACCCGGAGGCTGTGATTCAGCGAAACGCCTGTTCTCAATGTGGTGTTCACATGTTTGGTCGTATCCATAAAGACCATCCGTTTAAGGGGCTGGACTTTGTGCATGCCGAGCTCTCCGACACAAAAGGGTGGCAGGAGCCGCAGTTTGCGGCCTTTGTGTCGAGTATTATCGAGCAAGGTTTTAAGCCGGAGGGGATGGATGAGGTACGTGGGAAGTTTGAGAGTGTGGGGTTGAAGACGTACGATGCGTTGAGTCCGGCGTTGATGGATGCTATTGCTACTTGGACTGCAAAGAAAGCGGGAAAGCTGTAATCTTATCTGATCATACTAGCTCTCCGTACCCGAACAGGGCAAGATGAATAGCACCAATAGTATCTAAAAGTAAACAAGTCATTGTCATCAGAACTTCACTACTTTTATTTCTGTCTAAAATTGTTAATAATATCGCTGATAATGCCGTACTAATGCTCATAAACACACTTCGCCTACTTATTTTCAGTTTGTCCGTACTCTGAATTTGGTATCCGGTGTGATCCCACGACCGCGGTTGAAGCTTTTCCAAAAACAACAAGTACCGGGTCAATTCTAGGAATTCAACCATTGTATACCTTTTTCCATATTCGTATTTCCGGCGTCCTAACTGGGTATGGCGATGTTAGAACGTGGCTCTCGCAGTCAAGCTTCCTGGTGATGCACGGACAGCAGCCCTACTCCATAAATAGATCAACCCTACCGTATGTACCCGCCGTCAGGTACTCCATTCTCACTAAGTATCTTCAGCCTCAACGCTCAATGACATATTCATTATAAAAGACAATTAATATACGCTGTGTTCTTGAATAAAAACAGTTTAGTGTTGGTTGTTTAATAATTATATAATAGGCCGATTTACGTGGTACTACGTACAACAAACCAACAACGACAACAAAATCGTCTCGAAAAGGAAAAAGCTGAGCCACTCAGCTCCCGAACTTCCCCTTCTGGCCATCGGACTGGCGAATAGCAGCGATCCCAACATCTTCTTCATCCTTGCAAGATAAATTAAAGTATTATTGCTCCATAATATTGTTTATTTTTGTTTTTTACTTTTTTATCTGCACAGCCGATCCATATCCATGTGATTAAGTTTCAGCTCGGCTGTCTCGGTAATCCGATCATTGGCTACGGCGTTTCGATTTTCTTTGTGCATGGTTGATTCATTGCTTGATCGATTTACAGGTACGAGATATGCGCTGCGTTGTACAAGCTTCCACTCACTTCCCGGAAGTAACGAGTCAAGATGTTGGCTTTGACTGGGTTTGGTGGAGGCTGGGTCTGTAATATGCCGGTAGATTCACTTTTCGCTGTGAGGTTGACTTCCGCGCCTGGTCGAATTAGGAATGTCGGTGTTTTTGTATGAGGTAACACATTGACTACAATGAGATGGCATCTAGTATAAAGAGGAGTGTGACTCCGGCTGTTTCTTATTGTCTGTCATTGTTAGTCACAGTTCCTCAAAACAATATCCCTTAAAGCAGAAAGTCCAGTTCAGCGACAAAAAATCTACCCAGCTCTCCTTCTAAGGTCCAAGGAACACAACACAATGCGCCCAAATACCATCACCCTGGCTCTTTGCAGCCTCGCAGCTTTATCAGCAGCAGCCCCCGTCGAACGCCGCTCAAACAACAACAACGTCAACGATGAATTCCAAAGTATCGATGGCTTCCCAGCGCCAAACAATCAACAAATTCTCAACATAGAGCAAAGAGCTCACGGTACCTTGTCGAATGGTACACCTCCAGCATCTGTTGACCCCGACACAATCATCAGTCTTCAAGTTATTGCTGCTGAGGAGCAGTTTGAGGCTGCCTTTTTCCAACAGCTGTTGACAAACATTACCAATAATGAGCCTGGATTTGTGATTAAAAATTCAAATGCAAGGACTTTGGGACTTAATGCGTTGAGTGCTATAGTCGCTGTAAGTGTCACCATCTAATCATACTCAGGAGATATTCCATATACTAATTTATAATATAGCAAGAGGAACTCCACGCCCTCAACGCCATTAACGCCCTCAAACACTTCAACCAAACCCCCGTGGAACCATGTCTCTATGACTTCCCCGTCTCCACGCTCGATGAAGCCGTCACGTTAGCTACAACATTCACCTCCGTCGTGCTCGGCACCCTACAAAACGTCGTCCTTAACATGGGACTCCACGGCGACGCCGCCCTAACACAGGGTATCTCTTCTGTTATCGGTCAGGAGGGCGAACAACAGGGCTTTTTCCGGGTGCTTGAACGTAAAATACCTAGCGAGTTGCCATTTTTAACAAACTCGGTTCGCGATTTTGCATTTAATGCGCTCAATCAGAATTTCATTGTCCCAGGCTCGTGTCCGAATGCGGATCAGATAGATGCTTTTAAAAAGTTGCATGTTATGCAGCCGTTGGCAGTCACCAGCTCGTTTGATCCGGACACCAGCACCGATGAAGTCGTTGAATTGAGCTTCTCGTTGCCCAACGGAGCGCAAGCGACAGACTATGAGGTTGCGTACATCAATCAGCAGAACGTGCCGTTTGTGTTGCCTTTTACCGTGTTGAGTCAACAGGGGCAGACTGTCTCTGTGCGAGCGCCGTTTCCGTTTACGGAGCACTTGTTGAATGGGCTTACTATACTTGCTATCGTTCCTACATCAGCTGCTGGGGGCTTCACCTCTAACCAGGCTGTAGCTAACGCTACACTGGCGGGTCCTGGGKTGGTTATTGTTAATTAATTCTGGTGCTCTCTTTTTTGGTGTTATCTCTTTATTTCTTCTTTCTTTCTTTGTTTCATTTAGATTATGTACCGAGGTAGACTGCGATGATGATTTGATTAATGATACGAGTCTTGTACTATATACCTATTGAATGCTAGCATATCCTTCATAGATCCAATAAAGGTGTGGCTTTGTACTGGTTCATACATTAGTCAGGTTATTTTCCCCCAGGAGGCTCCTGGGGCGCATGCTGATTTGCAATTTGGAAGACTTGTACAAGATCTAGGCGGTCTTCAGAGCATGCTATACTTAATGCCTTTCGTCCGTCTTTGGCCGCTACATTCACAATCTCAGGCCATTGTTGAATCAACTTTTCCACAATGCTCTTCTCATCATTTTCGACTGCCCTGTGTAGCATCGTCCACTCCGACTCATCTTGCTTGTTTAGATTGGCGCCACGTAATATTAAGTATCATCAAGAATGCTTCCGAATGACTTTCTCCGCAGCAATATAGAGTGCTGGCTATTCATGGTCCATCCTGACTAGTCGTATCAATACCATTTTCAAGTAAAACTCTAACGTCTTGGAACTTACTATAGCTCTTTATATTATATAAGCTTTATAATAGTATCTAATTAGAAAAATATTATTATATAAAAACAATCTATTATAAATAGCTTTTAGAGAAGAGCTTATAGATTTTAATGGAACGAAGCTGACAAGTCTTTCAGAGCTCCTATAGCCCCCGGGGATCATCGCACTCATCGAGGGCAATGATGATGTTTATTGTTTTTTGAAGGCGTGGTATGAGCTGCAACAATAACGTCATACAATCATCGAGTGAAAGACGACCCGTTCGACTTCTCGGAGAACTCATCTTTGACGTATTTATCAGCCTAGGAATTTCCCAGAGACCAGGCTAGCTGTCGCACCACAGACTGGAAAATCTCTATCGGCTTKTTTCATAAGCCATGCGTCTGTGCACAGGAGAGATAGGAGACTTGTTATTCACGGTGCTTGTGGACTGAGGTTTTCTCTATACAGTGCTCTATGACTCTTGTGCTGAGTTAACCTTGAACAGTAAGCGTGTGTCCACATCTGAACGTAAAATGGTCAGAGAATTCTCTTAAAGTGTGTTGTGATATAAAATATCAGTCTACCCGGGCCGTGCATCCACAAGAGTTTCAGGCCATATTCGCTGCTTGAGCTATCGGTAGTGCTGCCTTCGAGCCATGAAACAAAAGCCTCGTGTTGAAAAAGCCGCTTCCCGATATCTGCATACGTTTTTCCAAGTTTCTGGATTGAAGGATCCTGATTGACAATCAATTGCAAGTTTTCGTTGATCTCTGCTGCTGTGTTAGAACAGTTTCGGTGAAAACAACTCAAAGTACAAGTTATGAAATACCCTCTCGTCTTTCGGCTTCAACGAGCTCATCAACGTCTCGTCTGATATTGAAAATGTCTGCGGAAGCCTGCAGACCCCCAATAAGCGAGCGAGGAAGGCCAAACTTGTTGCAACGTGTACGTCCACGAGGCTCTGGCAGCGTTGATCCAGATTATGAATGCCACCCTTTTGGCTTTGCCAGCCGTCAACAGCCGGAATGGCTCGTTCAGATGACTCGAAGAAATCTGAGACGAAGCAACACATAATAACGGAAGGTGGGACTTAAAAAATCCATGTCGGCAAAAATGGTCGAGTAGGGCAACTTCGCAATCCGAATACAGCTTTATACAAGTCTACAATACACACTTCAACCTTTACGTCTTTTTTGGGTTCTTTATGGTAAATGCTTTCAGACTGTGCATAACGGTATTTCAGGAATGAGAGAAATTTCTAAATCCTTGGGTTTGAGTGCGGAACGGAGCTTGACCATCAATTGGATTAGAAGGTAAGTTGAGGGTATTGGTACGTCCTAAGCTCATCAACGCGTTCGTATATGAGCTTGGTTCTGTGCCTGTCAACTAACCTGTACGTCAGCTTGGTTCCGTGACGGTTGACTGGGCTGTATATTTACTTGTCAACCGGCATCCATTATGCGCCTAAGCATCAAGTAGAATGATTGTCAATTTGATTCTAGGATCTATCAGTTGACTTATTATGAGCCTACCTAGGTAATTCTGCGTCTGTCAATCGGCACCTATCTAGATTTATTATTACACTTGTATATGAGCCTGATTCTGTCCCTATGACAACGGCTAATCACTTGTTTTGACCAGGCTGAGGAGAAGTAGAAGAGGTGCTCCACGAAGAATCAGAATTAGCACGAAAGAGAGGAGAGTAGAGTAAGCGAGAATCCGAGTCCCTAGGGGCCGTTTGTATACCCGTTTATGCGCACACTTCTCCCAGTCCAGCCCTTACTGAGGAGGGCGAGATTATTTCCAGCATAGTCCCTCCCAGGACCCTAGACGGAAGCCGGTAAGCTTCGTCAATAATTCTGGGTGCCGGATCAACCCTTGGCCGCATGTCGGACTGTCACATGTGCTGTGGTCTCGATCTACCAGCACCTTGCGTGCTTGTGTAAAAAGTGTCAAGTTCCCTATGCTCTTTATACATTAAAAAACTGCCCGGTATGTCTTCTATTTTAGGAATTCGGGCCGTGTAGTAACACCAGACGGAATCCGCTCCAAGAAACTAGATTTAGCAGACAATTTTATCCAGTCTCTGCAAGATAGATCTAGGTATGCACGATTTTCAAGTCTGCTTTACGTGATGCTGACTGCCTGCGATTGCTTGGTATTTGAAGCCCTGTCAGATTTATCAAATATCAAACCAATCAGTATGATGTAGAGTGACAGGGACAAACATGTTGTTCCCGAAATGGAAAATGGCCCCCAAACTGAATAAGCTCCTACCCAGGTACAAAGCGTTGTAACATTCCATCAATTGTTTTTCTTTTCTCTCTTCGGATTTTACTTGACCACTGATTAAGTGTTTACTTATCTTTCAAACTTCTATGCATGTGTAGAAGCTGATCTTGACTTAATTAATTCACGTACAATGCCAGCTGGCTGATTATAAAAGGTTGCTTGCCCACCGCTTAGATAGGTCGATCTTGTTCAAACAAACTAATTCCTTTCCTTCAATTAGAGATATCCTTCCAAGGTGGACTTAAAATGTCTTTTACATTCATAGCTGCTGCTATTGCAGCAATGGGCCTCGTGTTTCCTGTTCTCTCAACTCAGACCTTTGCCAACACTGGGACTCTCACTGGCTGGTCAACTCAAAATATTGAACATGAAGGCAGCATCGATCAAGTGACCAATGTAGTCTACAATGGCACAACCGCTCTCAAATTCACTCAGGTGTACGACTCCTCCTATACCGGTCGCTATCATTCCGAGAAAATTGAGACACAGGTATATAAACTCGGAGATCAGGGGTTCTACGGCTTCGCGTTTAGATTACAAGAAGCCTGGCAAGCGTCTCCAGCTCAGTCTTACAATATTGGCCAGTTTATTGCCGATTTTACAGACACTGGTTGTGATGACTGGATGCCATCAAGTATGGTCTGGGTAATTGGGGACCAGCTTGCAACGAGGGTCAAATTTGGAACTATCTGTGCTCAGCAGATTCAGGAATGGAAGGGACTGGCAACAGTGACTCCCGGAGTATGGCACACAATTGTGATTCAAGCTAGCTGGCAAAGCGATGATACTGGCTATTATAAGATGTGGTATGATGGCGGGAAAGTGGTTGAGGAATACAACCTACCTACTATGATAAATGACGCACGTCCCTTCGATTTCCACGTCGGCATCTATGCAAATGGGTGGCATGATCAGGGTGAGAATCTGGGGACCCAGGATACTCGGGAAATCTGGATTGATAGTGTTGGAATGGGCACTACATTTTCCGACGCCAACCCAGCATTGATTGAGGGCTGATGGGGGTTAAAATCACTTGGAATAATTGTATAGCCATGTCCACTGCAGTGCTCATTGAACTATGATGCATTCGCCTAGTTTCAGTCACTTACTAAACCGCAGAAACTTCTAAGGTTACCAAAAATCTATATTTTACGGACACTTCTTGAATGTTCGTGAGTACACGCTCGCCGCCGTAAAAACAGTAGACTCAGTAATGATCTAGGTCATACTACATTTGACTACAAAAAACCTTTTGAAATATGGTTCTAGACTCTCGGAAGTCACATTTATGTGTGCTATGTATTCACGATCCTTCGTTTCCGTCTTTCCAAAAAAGGAAAGATTGCCAACTCGGATACATAACCTTAATTCTAAATACAAATGTGGATGCATCCTGAGATGCGGGGCGTCCGCGTCCCCACTTCGTCGGCATACTTGCTTCAATCATTTGGGGGTCTTTCCTAAACGGGGAGAATGATTCTTTCTTGTAAGGAATCTAAAGCGCGTGAGACATCTGTAAATAAGAAAGCCGGTGCCCGCATATTTCATTCTTGTGCCTCGAAGGCTCTTCTCGAACAATTACTTTCCACAACACTAGAGACTTACAAAATGACTATCTCCCAACGTCTCTTGAATAAAGTTGCGATCGTCACTGGTTCTTCTTCAGGCCTTGGTCGTGCTATTGCAATTGCTTACGCTCGAGAGGGCGCTCGTGTGGCTTGTGCCGACCTTAGACCTGAGTCTCGACCACATATTCATGACGAAACCACGATTAATACAGATGAACTTATTCGAAGGAACGGTGGCTTCGCCATATTTGTTCCGACAGATGTTGGAAACTCCAAGAAAATGAACCATCTGATCCACAGTGCTGTCTCGGAGTTTGGGAGATTAGACGTGTATGTGAAACCTTATGATCCAAATTACTCTCTCACCTAGGTTGTACGAGTACCTAATAGTGGATGTAATTAGTATGGTCAACAATGCTGGAATCTCGATCGAGGCCCATGATCCTCAGCCAATTCATACAACGACTGATGATACTTGGGATTTGACTATGCAAGTCAATGCCAGATCTGTATTTTTGGGGACGAAATTTGCAATCGCCCAGATGCTTAAACAGGAACCACTTCAGCCTCCCGGTGACCGGGGATGGATCATAAATATTTCATCTATAATGGGATCAATTGCCACGGAGGGCAACCGTACGTTAACTTTGACTTTACGACATGAAATATATTCTTATACTGACCTAATAATCTTTCCAGCCTCATATTGTGCTTCCAAGGGAGCTGTGAGCAGTTTGACGAGACAGGTTGCAGTGGAATATGCGAAACATCGAATTCATTGTAACTCGATCAGTCCTGGTTGTAAGTATTTTCTCGCACTTGAATCGACACTATGACATGCGTCGTTGTACACGGACGGATTAATATTTTCTTTCGTGGCCCAGGCTAATGCTTTTATAGACACTCAAACAGCAATATTTGCGGAAACGACAGGCAGTGGAATGTCATCTCTTCATGATTTGCGGCGCAAACACCCATTTGGAGGTCCAGGAAAGCCTGAAGATATAGCAAAATTTGCTGTCGTGCTGGCTAGTGATGATGCCGCCTGGGTGTCAGGCGCTAATATGTTCGTTGATGGTGGTTATACTGCGAGGTAGATACCATAGACATTGAGAGCTAAATTAAGGAAGAGTCTTATACAAGTTCAATTTCTGAATTTCCACGCATTCATATAGAAGTTGAACTGTGATGAATTCGATATTACCCCATTTCTTTGACATCCGCATCTAGTTAGTCGCCCTTACTTAAGGCTCATCCCTGCCACTCTAAAATTCTGCCTAAAAGTTCTAACCCCAATCTCGAATTTTTTCTGACATAATTCGTGCGTAGTGCATAAAGCACCGGAATGGACATCAATAATGCGGACAGTACTAGATCAGGAGCCGCAGAAGCTTCTGATAAGCGATCGACAAAGCGAAATCGGATTCAACTAAGTTGTACCCATTGTCGCCACGCAAAGCTGAAGTGTGATCGCGAAAAACCATGTTCACAGTGCGTAAAGAGAGATCGGTCCTCTCTATGCACATTCCCCCCCACAGTTGCGCGAAAGAAACCAACTGCAAGCATGCAGAATCGGTTGTTACATTTGGAAGGTCTGGTCAAAGGGGCAATGGCAAGCCAGCCGTTAGATGAGCATCGTCCTGCGGGTACGCCGTTACCAAATGAAAATATCGAGAAGGACAACTCTGGCCGGCTAATCGGACCTAACGGCGCTACATACATTGGGACCATTCACTGGGCAACAATGCTGGAAGATGTAGGATTTATTATACATGTTTTCCTCACATGGGCCTGGTTCGACTGATGCTTTCTAGATCGAGGAAGTGAAAAACTATTTCAGCGAAGACGTGGATGAGCACTCACTGGATGAAGAGAGTACACGGTCCGGTATCTCTTTGCTATTGAACCATACTGGGTCGCCAAAAACCCATCATGATCTTTTGGTGGCGCTCCCCGATCGAAATATAGTGAATCGACTGGTCTCTCGATATTTCAACTCTAATAGCCCTGCGTTGCGTGAGTTGTACCTAGTAATGTCCCAACAATGTGTAAATAACATACTAAATTCTTTTCCAGATATTATTCATAAGCCAACATTTCAAAAGAATGTACGTGATGGTAAGTCCCTCACGTTAAAACGCTACATTACTAAACTCATAGTAGTATAGGAAGTTTTTGGAGGACCCTCATAGCTCTCCTATCAGTTTCCTTGCATTAATATACTCTGTTATGTGTTTGGGAACCTTTGCTGCGCTTGGAGCCGACGAAGAACATTCAATTTCTGGTAACACTCGATCAGGGATGGTACAAATTTATCGTCGATGTTGTGCACAGTGCTTGACGCTATCAAACTACGCCAAGAATCCAGGGCCGTATACTCTCGAAACGTTTCTCTTATACATAGAAAGCGAATTTGTCCTCAGTAAAGGTAATCAGACGGGCTGTTACTTGGTAGTTGGTGTTGCAGTTCGTTTAGCGTTGCGAATGGGTCTCCATCGAGATCCGGACAAGGTAGAAGGCAACATTACACCATACCAGGGAGAGATACGGCGTCGAATCTGGCATCTCCTTGTACAGATGGATTTATTGATTAGCTTCGAAAACGGCCTCCCGTCAATGATTCAAGGGGTTCAAAGCGATACCCGGGTACCATTGAACCTACAAGATCAGGATTTCGATGAATATTCCACCGAATTGCCACCGTCCAGACCGGAGACCGAGATGACAGGCATGTCATACACACTTGCCAAGGGTCAAATTTCTCGTGTCTTTCAAAAGATAGTTGAACAGGCAAATCTCTTGACACTCCCAAGCTATGATGAGGTAACGGCCTTGGATCGGGAACTACAACAAGCCTTTTCTGCAGTTCCATGTTTTCTTCGTGTTGTGCCCATAGATCTTTGTATTACTGATTCTGTCCAGCTTATTATCCGGCGATTGAGCCTGGCGGTACTTTTTCACAAATCTCGATGCATCTTACATCGCAAATACATTACGAAGATAAAAGGAAATTCCGACTTTTCATACTCAAAGAAAGCAGCAATAGAGGCTTCAAAAGAGCTTCTTCGGATCCAGTCTGATGTCTACGACGCAGCCCAGCCAGGGGGCGTCTTGTGCAAGGACTTATGGATTATTTCGTCTTTGGCCATGCACGACCTTCTCCTCGCGGCAGTTATAACATTCTTGAGTTTAACAAATGGAGGTTTATCCTTTTCTGGAGAAAAGAAAGTACCAAATACTCATCAGTCAGAGATGATAACAGCTCTAGAAAAGTCATGTACGATTTGGTTCGAGACGAAAGGCACGTCGGTTGACACGAGGATAGCTCAGTCTGTGCTAAAAAACATATTGAAACGACTTAACTCCATTTTCGAGCGAAATGGCACGGTCTACAATGATGTGTTGGAATACAATACTGGGAAACAATTATCGATGCCATTGCCGGAACTGACAACTGGCACTACCGGTAGCCATAGTAGCTGGCAGCACGAAGGCGATGCTCTTCACTTAGCAGGTCCCCCAGTTCAGTCCAATTTCGACCTTGGATCCATACCTATGGATTTGATTGGAGATTTATGTGACACTCAACTGGCTTTTGATTGGGTTTGTGAGACTTGCTATAACGATCCTAGACTTGACGATGCTAATTCTTTAACAGGATGCTTTTGACACCCAGGTTAGACAAAGCTATGCAGATGACCAGTCTTGGGAAGACAGATCTTTACAAAACCTCGAAATTGGAGAGGAGAACAATTTCGATCTCTGAACTGGAAAACCTAGTGTAAGAAGAGAAATACAGATGATGCAACCGTCATTTCGCAGTTCGTTCACTGAAATCCTGTCGTCTCTCGTTCGCAATACTCGACGAACATCTTCGCTCCGCCAGTCCCACCTTGTGCTTCACTTTCCAGACCGTCGGTGATATATCTGGGTAGTTGCGCGATCCTGCCCCAAGCCAAAATATATCCACCATTGTTTTCTGCCTTGATCTTCGGAGAAAATGCAGCAAAAATTTCGGAGTAAGCACCATATATAGGGCCCTTGAAAAGTAATTTCTGCCTGAAGTGTTAGCTTGAAGAGCTTCGTTGTGGTGAAGTGGGGATAATACAGACCATGCTCACTCGAGCTGAGATAGGCATGTTTCGTTGAAGTTCAGTACGCATCAGTCCTGGATGTACAGACTATGTATAAATAGTATAATTAGTAGGCACAGACCTATACAGGAGCTCTCGTTCCTCCTTAAACTCACCACACTAAGAACCCCTTTGCTCCCAAGACGATTTGCAAATTCTGCAGCCAACCATGTTCCTCCAACCTTGGTTTGCATGTAGTTGTCCCCAGGTTGACTTTTCATATAATTGTCTCCCGGCAAAATCTTTGGGTTGCCATTGTTATCGAACTCCATCGCGGTAGCAGGTGAAAAGAATTGCATGAGTGCGACGACGAAAACGACTCTCACGGTAAATTGAGGACTCAGTGCAGCTGTTTGGATAAGAATTGGCTCAAAAAGTTTGGTAAGGAGGTACGGTCCAACGCAGTTCGTGGCCATTTCAAGATCGTGGCCCTGTACCACATTCTCGTCAGCTTTCATAGTCACAGATTTTACAGAGGTCGGAGCTTGCCTGACCTGCGTTCCCTTACTTCCTACAGGAGTATTCATCACACCCGCATTGTTGAACAAAACATCCAGTCGTGTCTCTTGTTGCAAGAAACTGTCGACAGCTGGCTTGATTGTTCTGAGATCTGCCAAATCGAGTAGCATGGACTTCAACACACCTTCTACTTTCTTTCCGCGTGTCTGCTTCTTGATCTCCTCGATAGCACCCTCGCATCGTGACGTTGAGCGAGCGGCAATATATACAGTTCCTCCTGCAATATAAAGAATTCTGGCAAGCTCAAATCCTACTCCAGATGCCGCGCCCGTTATGATGAAAACTTTACCGAGAAGAGAAGGTAGATCTTTCTCCGTGAAAGACGGCGAAGGGGGAAAAATGGCTGATAATGTGGAGACCATGATTGAAATACTTTGAACAAGGATTGAGCTAGAATATTTTCAACTGCAATGAGCTGTTTGTTATTTTCGTTGAAGTAGTGATAGAATGGACGTTCATTCGAGATGGCAGGAGGAAGAAGGTTTATAAGGACTCGATTTTGAAGAACACTCTTTATTGTCATGGTTACAATGCCTTCTTACAAATTAAATAGTTTTTTTTTTCCGTGCGACCGGACATAATATTTCTTTCAGAGACAATGTAATTTGGCTACTTAACGGACATAAGCCTCTGAAGCTCACCACTCTATACTCCGGAAAATCAAACGGATCATGGTTTTTCCTAAGCCGTTTGTATGTCCGATATCAGGGTCAAAGCGGCGATTGATTGGTAAGGACTAGGGCTTCCGGTTACCAGCCCTAAGAGCTGAAGCAAGAGCGTTTTAAATAAGGAGAGAAACACTTGAATACTTTGATCAAAAGAAATATTTGCCCAGCACTCAACTATATTTACGTCTCATTTAAACTTAGCTATAGGCCTCCAAAAAGGATGATACCCTGAACCGCCACTGCATCTCTCATGGTCTTGCTGGTTTGCGTGTCGACAGTCATCATACCGCGGACACATTGATGCTGGGTAACACTGAAGGGAGTTTTCAGAACTCGTGGGACATTCATGGTATTTGGATTTCTTGCTAGAACTATGTCTGCTACCGTGTATATGACCTTTTCTAGATTCTGCAGGCAGAAGTGGCTCAAGTGTTCCGTTTTAACTCAAAGCTCCCGGAATCAAGTATGCAAGTGTTGCTGCAATGATTTCACCTCTTCATACCAGATATGCATACTTATCTCTCACCTACAATTAACTGCTGTCCTATTATCCGGAAGATTTCAAGTGATCTAAAAGCTTCGGCCACGTTCGCCTTAGCAAAACGCAAAGCAACCATGTATTGCCATCATAATCTTTCCCCAGGATCAGAAAAAAGGAAGAAGAAGAGACGCATCATTCTTTGGGTCTCTGCCATGGTAATACGTTAGGTGGCTTGTTTTGAATCTTAGGTCATTTGCTGTCGCTGCTTTCAGTATCGCCGGGCTAAAGTCCATCTCTTAAAATAGATTGGCCTTGAGCCAGTTCGACACTAATCGCAATGACGTATTTTTGTCACCAAATAATACTAGCATGTTGTTCTCTTGCACCGAATCGGCTGCAAGAGAGGCATATGCCTTCAGCTGCTCTTCAGTGGCCTGAGTTATGATTGCTTCACAGGATAGTAGTGCCAGCTTTCCAAGCGGTCGCTCAAGCGCTTTATTAGCCGAGCAACCAAAAAATACGGCTGTTGTAGAGGTTTTTACATAGACTAAAACCTGAAGAAAAAACTAACTTTGCACATTCTTGACATCCTTTGAGATGATCAATGCCATTTCACCTTCATAATCTACTTGGTCATCCTGAACGAATTTCGGAATTTTGATATTCTCGCCATGCCCGGCTATTGCATTCGTGATCTTAGAAAACAGAGCTGGGTAACGAGGAGGTTCTATTCCCAATTCTCGAACTGGGATTGAAATTTCGTAAGCATCTAAAGAGGCCAAAAAGAGTAATTCGTGGCAAAGATGATGCAGACGATGGCTCAAATAGTTTCCTCCAATGCATCGAATCAGGTATCATTTCTTTCGTCAACGGGCCTAGAAATTACTTAACACTGACAATTTTGTCTGTAAACACACAGGTGGTAGACAGGGGATCGCCCTTTGTCACTTTGGCTTTCAGACCATTACTTTCACTAGATAGCCCAACATCGAAATCTGTACTTGGAACGATAGCATCGCTAAAATAGACTTGATCATCCTCAAGGTTGACAAAACGGATCAGTCGAGACCACGGTACTCCTTGTGAGGCCATCGTAACGAAATAGTAAGATGAAAATTGATAAGGACATTCTTAGAAGTGAAGTTTTCCCCCTTTCCCTCTCCTCCCAGCCCTATTTAAGCTATGTTGTTTCTCAATGTATATTTGAAATACAGCCAGAGAGTATAGCAGCCGCACTACTCACTTTTCATCTCAAACTAAGAGATGTGGCTATCTCGAAAAGCTACCCAAAAGTAGTTGTACAATGTGTTGTACTTATTTCCTGGTACCCAAAGCCATGAAATAGCCGCCGATCCCCGCGCTGAGGTCGCATGAGCTTTAGTAGTCAACATTCCCAAGCAAAAAGCATGGCATACGTAGCATAGGCAACTATACGTGGAAATTCCGATTACTATCTGTACATTACTGGACAGCAGATCTAGTACAGTATATGTTTCTTCACTCATGATTGATACGCTTATAATAAGCACTGATGGTACACCGTGGTATAGCATATTATGCTGGAAGAATGTGGCTTTTAAAGAAATATGGTAAGATCATGCACCGGCAATATGTAGTGTTTTGACCTCCTAGACTACCATCCGTTCTCACCGTACAGCCGTACTGGCTTTCGGTTGAAACATAAAAGAACTTCTAAATAGGCCCCAGGCGTGAATTGCACACCTGCAAGCCAGACGTACTCAATCGACTTTGAATTGGCGATGTTGACCGTAGGATCGGCGCTTAGCAAGACAAGATCAGCCCTGAGCCCGGGGCTGATTGAACCCCGATCATACAAGCCAAATGCATGTGCAGCAACTGAAGTAGCACCCTGCAGTGCCTGGGTCGGGGTCAGACCAGCAGCAACTAACAGCGCAAGTTCCGCATGAAAAGAGGTGCCAAAAGGCGGGTTTGCTGGAACATATGGGGATGTATTTGCATCGGTCCCAACCGCAATTGATACGCCAGCTGCATTCATGGCTGTGACACTTCCTTCAGCTGCTGCGGTATACGCAATATATGGGGTCCTTGTATTGTTGACAATGGATTGCATCATAATTAGCGTGGGAACTACATGGCGATGAGCTGATGTGAGATTTTGAATCGAGGCTGCGTCCAGTGGTTTGTCAAGGGGTACATGACATGGAATGTCAGCGCCAGCTGTCTGGGCTTCGCTGTAGTCTGCATAGCTCGTGGCGTGAGTGACAACCTTTATGCCAGCTGCGTGAGCAGCGGCTACAACCGTAGAAAGCGTTTCCTCGTCAGGACCAAGAGGGTCGAGGAATACCTTAATCCACGATGCGCCCTCTTGAATGCGGTTCGCGACAAATGTCCGTGCCGCCTCTGGAGACGCCAGAAAGGAGTCTTGGGGAAATCCGGGTATCTTGCTAATAGCAGTTCCATTGACAGTACCTGCTGCTCCAGTGCCGTAAATATCTGTGACACCTTCTGCTCTGCAAGCTGTAACAGCGGACACAGGGAACGTTCCCATGTCTAATGCGGTCGTGATACCGTTGGCACGCATTGCGGTGAGGTACGAACAAGATGTCACATGGCAGTGACTGTCGATGTAGCCTGGCATCAAATAACCCCCCCTTCCGTCCACTGTTGTTTCGGCATCAGCAGTATTGGCGTTGGTAATGATTGAGTCAATAATAACCACGGTGGATGGAGCCGAAAAGCCAGCACCATTCCATACGTGAACATTGGTAATGGCCGTCTTGCTAGGAATATCCTTCTCGACTAGATGGGCTGGTACGCCGCAGGCAGCTGCAATCGTAGCAAAGATGGTTATAGTAGAGTAGCGCATGCTTTTGAGAAGACGCGATCAATATTTTCTATATGTCTGAGGTATTCCAGAAGAATTGTTGGGATTCAGATCTGGTTTCGGCACAGAATATACCCCTTTATATCTTTCGCAAAAGTCGATCATTAATGAGGAAGTCGACTTGAAATCTCCCGTCCAACCCCTCATTTAGAATACCTACGCAGTAGAAGCCTTCGATAGTGGAAACGTCTCATCTATCAAATCTCTATTCAAGACTCACGTATGAAGATCCCTTACCAGCTGCGTATCACGCCGTACTTAGCAAGGCAGCGGCAGAGAATAGGTGTCCCACAGCTTGTACTAGGGCCGAGTGTCCGACAGCAACCAAATAATCAGGCTCAGAGGGTTCATTTACTAGGTTGAAGGAGGATTAGCTCTGGGGAATGTGAGGAAAGTTTGCGGGGAAAGCACCATGCATAAGACTTGACGTTGCGGGACTTTATAAACTGTGGGACCAAGATACCAGTATCAATGCGATCACTTTGACCGAGGATTGTTTGACCGAAAGACGGCGGCTACCATCGCTCGCAGTCCCATAAGCAAAAGCCGTAGCGTAGGGCAACTAGACGTGGAAGTAAGTATGAGAATTACCCATAGTTGATAGTAACTTTAGTATCGAAAATAGTGGATAATATCTCCCTCGTAGTTACAGCATTCATTTTCGAGGCTACGGTATAAAGTTGTGACTGTTTGTTAGCCATTCGCCAATTCTGGCCTGCTTTAATTTTTGTATAGACACAATAAAGAACATCTTACATCCCAGTTCACAAGCCTTACTCTATTCATGGCAGAGAAACATGAGTGCTCATAATTCTGATTTCAAGGTCCTAATTATTGGGGCCGGGGTCTCCGGGGCAGGTTCTTAGAAAAGAAGGCATCAGTTTCGAGATTTTCGAATGCGATGACGGAAGTCGAAGGCAAGGATGGTCTATATCATTGGATTTGCACGCTTCTAGTCTTCTTTGTTGTTTTTGCGTTCTACCTGTTTGCTCAGAATTGAACGATCTCTTAGGTGCCTCGATGAGATCGAGCCCGTGCTGCCGGACGACGTAAATGACGTTCGAAATTACAGCCCGAATCATGCTTTTGGTAAAACTAACGAATTTGCCTTTTACGATGCGACAACACATGAGCTATTGGGAGTGGTTGGAAATGCAAATGTCGGTCAGCTTGGACATGAGGTGACTGCCAATCGCAATTCATTTCGACAAGGACTTATGCGTCATGCTGAGGTCCAGTTCGGAAATTTCTATTGCTATGAAGAGGATGAGAGTGACCGGTCACTTCGAAGACGGTTGCAAGAGCTATGGAAATCTTCTTGTCGGGGCAGACGAGTCCAACTCGGTGGTCCGTAGCCATCTCTTGCCTGGATTTAAACCGACCCCAAGTAAGTATGTTCATATCCACGGGCTAGTTGCTCTATCTAAAGAGCACTAAGAGCCGCTGCTTGAACGTGGTAACACCGGCGTTATCTGTGCGAGACAGGGACTAAAATTTTATGTTACCCTTGTGGAGTACCTGGATAATGGCAAGATCTTGTTCAACTGGAGCCGGGCATTCCAAGGCAAGATCCAGTGGCTGAGCAGGCATGGACAAAAAGAGCCAGCCGTCAAGGGTTGCTTGACCGCGCTGTCAAATTTACGTATGGCCTGACGTCGTTCATGACGAACGCGGTCCGGCTGACTGAGCTTGTTGATATTTACTAGCCTCCTCTCAGCTTACCCGAGACAATTTTGCCAGATCATGCTCTACCCAAAGGCAGAGTAACATCAGTGGGCGATTTTGCTCATTCTATGGTATATACCATACTTCCCACTGGTATCACATCGTATTGACCATTCGTGCTCATGTTCCACTCCGACGTATGGGTGCTAAAACCGCCATCATCGATGCTTGCGAACTAGGACAATACATCATCAAGAGCGTCAGAAATATCACAGATATCGGTTGGGCTTCAAAATACGATGCCATGATTCATCAAGGCTGTACAAAAGTATTGGAGTGGCGGAAAACTGCAGAGGGGGGAAGCTCAATTAAGTCGGCTGGTGGGCGGCTTTGAAACGCGGTTACTTTCGTGGAACATTAACAAATTTTCACGATTACCCTCGACAGTCTACACCATCAACACATTTTTCATAGGGTAAATTATCTAGTTCATCAGTGAGCCTAAGTCTTTACTTGTGTATTGACATGAACTGGAGTTGCATAGTCCGTTATACTGTTTCGTAAAGGCTGTTCTACCAGTCGCTTTGGAAATTATTTATTAAAAATAGCCTCAGGTGACCGTCCATCTTCCCAAATTGATCGATAACAAATCAAATGGGTAATGCAAATACAGCAACTTATCACCAGCTTGGAATGGCACTCCGCTTTCGTGTATGAAGTCTCTTTTGAATTGGGGAACAACTGGGACTTGTATCAACTCAATGAACGACTGGCAAGGCGAGTCTCCGCTTAAAGTCTACTCGAGCATCATGTATTGATATTTGAAGCCATTATCCGGCGGCACGATGGACCGGCGGGCTTTATGGCTCTTGATGGAAAGCTAAGCTACTTCAAGATCTATTTAATATGGGTTCACGGTTCTCGCCGAAGGCAATAGGGTCAGACAGCATTTACGAAAATAAGGTACCACTACCACAACAACAACATGGAACTTTGCTATGCAGCTAATTGTGCCGGTGAGATGAATGTCACTCATTGGTCGGATGCTGAGACGTTTTGCGTTGTCTCCGGTGCGCAGCTATAAAGGTGCGTGCTACCATTAAGCAGCTGCGTCGATTAAGAGGCAAGGGCATCATGCAATCCATATGTCATATTTAAAAAATAGACTTATACGTGACGTTACTAGTCTCCGAACCATGCAATACGCAGAAAGACCGAGTCGATGCTGGAAGAAGCAGAGAATACAGACGGGCAATAAAGAATACAATATGCAATGTAGGCTGAATCAAATTTTTATACTCATGATGCTATTATACCCCCTACACACCCTCTCCAACCAAGAATACCTGTTCGAAGAATATCGCTAAATGAAGTTTTGTCTAGAAGCCAGTTGAAAAGGGCAAACATGAGTGATAATATCACCATAGTAGATCTGTACAGTGGGATCCATCATGCCGGCTTTGAAATTGTTGTATAATGGAGCGGCAAAGGAGACAGCATCCATGTTTCTGGAGCCAATATCATCCCCCCATGCTAGTAGAATTTTGTGGACGACGTTTCTCAACATTGGGTCCGTACTCCAGCGATTAACCACCCTGAGTGGTAAAATAGTAGTAGTCAATGCACCGCTTCCCGTATGCCCGGTTTTCACATCGATGTAGCTGACCGCGGAAAGCACTGATGCAGAATGCTGAGATACACGGCTCTCGACACCCAGAAAATTGGGATAAATGCCAAGGAACACCATGGACGCCAGTATACAGGCCGCGTGATAGAGCGCGCTCATAGCCGCACAGTTGGGGTCTGAAAAGGACGTTTGTAGCGGGGTTAGCAAGTGATCCCATGTCGACCCATACTGAATCCCATCCGCACAAAAGTCACTTCCTCCGCCGTGTGGTAAGTACGCTGTACGCCATGCAACGAGCTGTCGAAAAGTTCGAAGTAAGGCTTCGTGAAGCTTTGGCTGGGTTCTCCAATCAACCATTGCTTGTTTCATTATAGTCAAAAGCTCCGGTAGTAGTAGAAAAATGTCTACAAGTTCATCCCAGGGTGACTTTGTCCTTTCTAGAAAGGGATTACTAAGCCACTCTGTATCGGAGAACGGGTTTTTCTTGTTCATAGTCATTGCCACATAGACCTACTCATTGTTTAGCGAGGAGGAACACCATATATAGAAAAGAAAGCCTTCCCAACTCACCATACCGAGCCGCACTGTCCGGAAGAGCTGATGAAGTACTCCAACTCCACAGACGTGGATAAACAGTGTCTACTTCTCGCCTGATAGCGGCAGTCTGAAAGCTGCAAGGGGAAAGTATTTATGGACATAGAACGTTGTCAGTGGGAAATTGGAGGATAAGATCAAGGTACATGCAACACGCATATATCACATTAGCTATACACCGGATGGGAAGCGGTTTCTGTCAGCTTCAGATGATAGAAGAGCCAAAATATGGAACACCGCAAACTGGGAGGTGCAATGCACCATCAAACATGGCTAGATATGGCGTGGTGCGAGACGACAAAGACTTGCTCGCGACCTTAGGAGCAATCATCAGCTTGCACCAATGATCCACGCATTGATGTGATGTCAACCAAAATCTGGATAAATTTTTATCTCTATATTGCCCACGGGATATATCAATCTCACCAGATTGCAGCAAACTAGCATGAATCTCGTCAGAGAGCCGCATATCGTTTGTGGATATCAATAACTGGAATATTGAGTACAACTTTTATATCGCCCCCTGTAAAAAGCTGAGATTCTGTCCTGACGGCGGAGAATTGTTAATATCAAATACTAGAACTATTCTTCGATGGAATATTAGCCTTCACCAATTTACTGCCACATACAAAGGTCATTACAGCTTTATTGAAGATATGGCATACCTTCACAGGAGCTATAAACTAGGCACACAGATAGCTCGACACGAGATGGGGATTGAGGCTACCCGTAGGAAATGGTTGTTGAGTTGTATTTTGTGTGTTCTTCCAATGTGCGTGCTGATGTTCCATCCACGTACCATGTGAGTACGTCCGGTGCCCAGTCAATTTCGTGCGTGTGAAGATTCTCGAAGCTATCCGAGAAAATTGCGGCGTTGACTTCTAGCATTCCTGCATGGCAAAGTAAGCTTTGATTAGAGAACGGTACCAGACGAGTCCATGGGATGAACAGTTTTCATACCTGTTTCAATTCCCTGGAAGATATAAATGAGCCGCGTAGTCCGCAAATCAATACCACTAAACTCAACGTCAATCTCATCCTTGACATCAGACATCATGACAAGCGCAGTCACAATATCCATCAAAAGTGCAAACATTGCCCAATTGGCATCCTGAAAATTGGAGATTTTGGGCGTGCTCATACTTGTGTTATAACGTCGGAAACATCTCACATCGGCGAAATGTTACAGCGCTTCTGTACCAAACGGCCATGATTCCGGGGAGAACGTATTCTAAATTCTGATGCGTACACCACTTGCGCTTTGGGTACCCATTATCACACGCAATCTATCATCAGAAGGCTTTAACAGGCAGGTAATTGGTCCAAGAGCCAGCAATATCACATCTTTATAGCACGAAAGGCATCGCAAGAACGGACTGGACGCCTTCCCCTCCGTTTAGGCTCCTGTATTCAAGCTATAGTGCCTGGCTTCCGTTCATTGACCGAGAGTGAGACGAATCATCTGATACAGGAGACCAACAGGGCAAAGTTGAGAATACATATTTGAGCTTGCTGGGATCAACAATTGCGTTGTGCTCTTATCAAGGCGGCCAAGACCAACCGTATCTATCACTGTATTTTGAGTGTAAAATTACGTAGAAACATGCCATTTCTAGGTGTATCGTAAAACATCGATACAAACTCGAAATGCGTCTAGGGTTAACCTAGGGTTGGTGGGGTAAACTCCATCATGATTGGCCAGAACATTCTCCTCCAAAAACAAATGACGATCTCGACAGGTCATAATATTTCTCCAACAGCAACTTCTCTACACGGGACCACAGAATCTTGTGCAAAATGCCGAAAGGGAAATCTCTTCTCAAAGAAGTCAACAATGCGAAAAATAAGTCCAAGAAAAAGGGCAGAAACCAGCATGCTGTACGTGACTTTTTTTTTATCTTCCCCGCAGTTGTGTCGAGGTTGGAGGTGGACTGACTGTTTGTCTACTGCAGGACCCCGAAACTGCCGATGAGTTTCTAGCCGGTATATATGAAATCCCATCTTTAGCAGGGTATGATCTAGCTAACGAGGCCTAGCTGGCGTTGACCAGGAAGAAGGCGGCGAGAAATGGCGCGCTGGCGATGCCGTCAAAGCCATGCGATTCTTCATGCGCGCCATTGAGATTTACGATAATGGGCTTGCCAAGTATCCCACATCGTTCGATTTGGCATACAACAAGTATGTACACAGTCTTCTGGATTGACTACCGTTTGAAAGAAATACTGATTATCTATAGAGCCCGCGTTCAGTACGAAATCACTCAACATCCCAAACTAGCTACCCAGCTCCCCGCACCGCAAATCAAAATCCTCCATATCGCTCTACAATCGCATCGCGACGCGCTCGTACTCGATCAAGATAATGCGGATGTCCTGTTCAACACGGCGCAGGTTTTGACGAGTCTTGCAGAGGCGTTGACTGAATCCAAACGGCCTAATGAAAGTCGTATCCAGGAAGCGATGAAATATCTGAATGAGGCGTTGGAGTTGTTTCAGAGGTGTTTGGTCGTGCAGGAGCTCCGATATACCGAGTCGCAGGAACAAATCAAGATATTGGAAGCTGGGGAGGTTCCGCAGATCGAGACCGAAGAACCGGAAGGAGAAGAGATGGATACAGAGTCAGAGACACCTGCGCAAGAAGAGTGGGCTGCTGTGGTGGAGCCGGTCACGAAGGATACACTGGTTGATACGGCCGTTGCACAGCTGGAGACTTTGGCGACGTTATGCGGTCTGTTGGCCCTCGATGGCGGTAGTGGTCTGGCGTGGGTGGAAGAATACTCGTACGACTTGTTGAGAACGAGAATCGCGGCGTATGTCGAAGGCACAGACAGAGAACAGGAAGTTGCACTAGCTCGCGCGATATTTGTGGCAGCACTGACGGACGTATTGTACCGAAGTGGAAGAGCCGATGTAGAGACGTATCAGAGAGAGCTGAGCGGCGCATTTCCGCCTGAGTTGGACCTCTCAGACAACCCCGAAGGTCTTTGCAGTAAAGCAGAGGCCCTTATATCGTTCAACTCTGCAATTGCAGATAATCCTCCAGCGGGTACTATTGAAGAAGTGCAAAAGTCGCTCGTTTCGCGTTGGCAGGCATTGACTGCAGCCTTGGAGGCGTTGACCGCGGCTTCAAAATTAGCCAGTGCAGACAACGTGCCGAAAATTCACATCGCCAGAGGAGACGCCGAAATGTCGCGGTGGCAGTTGGGCAGACCTCCGTGGAGTTACTCCGTGGCAGACGAAAATGCGGCGACACTGTTGAAAAACGCGCAGACATATTACCGTGGCGCTGCTGCTTTGGCGCGAAGAGACGGCGACGCAGAGCAAGAAAAGGAAGGTTCCTGCAAGGAATCGCTCGCTGCAGCGCTGGCCGGAGACAAGACCAAATTGGACCAACTGAGAAGCGTAGAGTCGGAAAAGGTGATGGGCATTGCGCAAGAAATGATCGAAGATGGATTAGTCGGACTAACCGATGCGGAGTCGCTGCTCACGTGAGCATGTCGTTGTAAATTGTATATGGCGTTCGATTACCGTGATATCAAGAGTCGGTCTGCATTTTCATCTCCTCGTCAATCTGCAAGCTTTCCTGTCGTAGATTATGCGCCTTGCTGTACTTGGTCGACGTCTTTGCCGAACCCTCCAAATCAGCCATCACAGCTTCTAGACCCGATAGTAATAACTCGATCTCTTTTCTTTGAGCTAGCACTTTCTCCGCAAGCGCCGCATTCTGTGACTGAGCAGTTTCGATCTTGGCGCTGAGCGCGACCTGCGCTTCTTGCAGGTACGGTGTTAAATGGGCTTTGTAGAGACCCTCTGCGTCGAGCATATGTGGACTACCTTCGTTAGCTAGACTCTTCGAGAGGCGATATAGCGTAGGAGTAAACGTACGGCACATCACTCTCACTCTCCTCCTGACTTTTTCTCCGTCTCGCTTCGCCGACCAGTCTATCCAACTCATTCAATCCCTTGATTACCTCGCGCTCTTTGATGATCTCGTTAAACTCAGCCGTAGCGCCTTCCTCGAGTTTTGCGTTCAATTGACGATGTACAGACTCCAAACTTGCAGGGACGTGTCTGGCGGGGGTAGGAAAACATGACGCGAAGTTTTCGTACGAGTTTGCTTTGAGCGTTGCGCGGAGGGCTTTGGTGTAGATGTCTTGGAGTCGCGATGCGCGCGGTCCGGGGGTTAACTGGACTGGAGCAGGAGGGGGAGGAGAGGGGGAGGCTGGTTGCCCCTGGTTTTGTTGAGATTCTGACATTGCAATATAAGGCGCTTTGTATATCAGGAACAGATGAATTGACTTGCGATACCCAACCGCAGTTCGTGAGGAGTGGGAGTTTTAGTGCGGAGAATTCGACTTAACGCGACGCGTAAAACAAATTACCTAGGCTAGCGGGGCCGTTCCTATTGGTCATTTTTCTCTATTCTTTATGTTTTCCAATTCACAAAATATTTCAGGCCATTTCAACTTCTTATTTTATACATACATATATACCTGGCCACTCGATTATATTATCGTTAGTGGATTATAACCCCTCCGTATCCCTCGCAAAATTTGTCGTACTCTCCGTATCATCCGAGACCCTTCTCCCAACATGACTCCCACCATTCTCGCTACTCTTATTACTAAAGTACTGCTTCAACCTCATCTCACCAGCCAATGAAGACGATGGCTGTCTTCGTGCTCGAAATCGATGCACAAAGTCCATCACTGTCGACCACGAGACAGCGATGTAAATGATACTATTCCAGAAGCCCTGCAAGGGAAGAACGAAGGCAGAGACAAATTCGAGGCCGAAGACGGCGTTGTTGGGGTATATGAGGCTGTATACGCGGTTTATTGTTGAGGGGACCTATCATTGTCTTTTAGCAAACTGCTCAACTAATACACTTATGGGCGTTGAACTTACCCATGTGACCAACAAGGCGATGAAATATAAGACAGCATACTTGAAGTATGCAAACGCAGCTGAACTGATATCCATCCTTGGGTGACGCCGTGGCGACGTCGGCGATACTTTGACGCTGGCGCTTCCGACTGTCGATGTTGCTGATGGCGGTATTGGGAAGGCTTCACCTCCCGCGACGGTGACTGAGTATGCCGGAAAGGTAGTTATATTGCTGGCGTCGTCGGCATTTCTGTTGACCTTAATATTCACATTACTGCTGCTGCTCTGGCTGTTGTTGTGGCCACTGCCGCTGCTATTGGCATGCCCGTCCACAGCTGGCCCATTTGCCGCCTCGCTGGTAACGTGCACCACTTTGGAAGCATGAATCTCAAACAATTTATTCAATCGATCATCCATCATCATGTTCGCTTCCTCGTTGAAGCTTCGAAGCATGCGCCGTTTCCGGGCAATGTCAATACCGACGCGAGCGTAAATGGCAAATGTGAGCAAAATCACGAACCATACGGGGCCGTAGAAGACGGCGATACGGAGTATGTCCCAGTCCACGGCGATCCAGCACCATAACTAGCATCCATCAGCGATTGATTTCCCAAAAAGAAAGGTAGGAAGCTGGAGGGGATGGGAACTCACAGTGGCAGAACCATATACAGGTCCTTTGGAACTAGACGAAATGAAAAAGTACACAAACGACGGAATGAACGGCAGGCCATAACACAGCACAAGATACTTCCATTCTAAGTGTCTCAATTTCGCGGCGTCATATTTATGAAAAAATGTCAGGTAGACGTTGAACGCCATCGCGAATGTCCATAATGCATCTGCCGGCATGAACCTTTCACCTCTTCATCAGCGTCAATTCTCTTATTAAAGGGCAGACATACCACTGGATAATAAACGCCTGAAACCGACACAGCGCCTCCCCATGCTCCTTTTGCACAATCGCCGTCCGTGAGATGAGTGTCCCGACATTGGTGAGGACATTTGCCCATGAAGCATAGAAGACGACGCGATTGATGGGTTTGCGGAATGATGGAGATGACAGAAACGTGCTGATGACGATGGTGGTGCCGATGACTGAGAGGACGGAGGTTGCTCGTTCCGCGGCCGTGATGGCGGCGAATTGGTCGTCGGAGAGGGACATTCTTTCAACCAGTACAAGGGATGATGGTTTGTTGAAAGTATGAGCAAGACTATGTTCGCAGCTAAGTCAAACTCGACTACCTGATCGATCTCTCGAGTCAAAATATATGTCCATGAGATATGCCTCAGGGGCAGCACACACAAACGAACGATATGGGTGATGCAAACCCGGTTCTAGAGCACAAAGGGTTTTTCTATAATCCGAAGCACGCATACAACCTTCCACAACGCCGATTTCAATATCCCTCTTTCGAGCTTGCGCATGTAACAACGCGCGCCATTCGAAGCAGGTACGTACGTAGTGTGGTGATCGGACATGAGCTACAAGCCTCCTTAGAGGTAAGTGACACGATCAGACCTTGACCGCGACCATTTCCATTCCCTTCTAATCTATTAGAATGAATCTCGATCAATTCACGCTACATATACGGCACTTGGCCTATAGCCCCTTTCCAGGATGCAATACCTGACTCACGTCTCACAAGGGTACAGCACCAATCATCTATACACCACGTATGCCACCCCCTCAATACATACTCCCGGTCTCTCCGATTGGATTGTCTATATAATCCAAGACCGGGGGGACTAGTATTACCCCGTATTATTATTCTTTACCCGGTGGCGCAGAGCCCGCGCGGTTGTTATGGGGGAATATCGGTCAAGCCGTTAAGACCAGTGAACCATTCAGCCGGATTGCGGTGTACATAACTGCGTGAGTATATGAATGTGCCGGCAGGCTGAGCTTGTTGGAACAAAGATGAGATGAGCCGTGTTTGTAGCTAGACTATCCATTGTACGAATATGGTAATGGTAGGGAAAAAAGGACGAGTAAATTATAGTAGTTTCTGCCCTAAGTGGTTTGTGGTTGTGGTCGGGAAATTAGGGCTTGTGATACACGCGCATGAAATGTCGGTCTAATCGACCGCATGCCAGGGTCTGGCCTGGTTGTGGATCAAATTTCTCATAAAGAGAATACCTACCTAAATACTACTTAGGCACGTAGTAAGAGTAAAGCCGAGGCAGTTTTATTACCCTTTTCTGGATTGGGTGTATACCCAGCTAGGATGGTGGGTGGAGATAGTATAACAGTGTGACAGTATGGCCCTACCATACGAACTACTGTTTACCTCATAGATGTGTTGCGATCTATAGAGGACCGGCCGCTGGGACCTTTTCTTTATTTCAATTTCCAGACAGGAAACTGTGCCGACAGAGCACGCATCGTCGATACCCGTGGACATACATGTAGTAGACTCATGATTATTATCACCGTCATTAACAACAATCTTTTTTTCAAGAGCAAAATGCATTACATCGAAATCCCTAAAAGAAGCAAGATCCAGACCGACTCCCTCATCCATACCGACTATTCAAAACCAAACCGAGCAGTGGATCTCCGAATACAGCAGTCAAAGCAACCCGAACGAATATCGCCTCAGTCTCATCAAGGACAATCCCGCCCGTCTATTTCTTCTGCCTAGCTAGGTGCATCGACCGGTTTAAGCTGCAAATAGAAATATCACAACGGCGGCAGAGAGTACCATCCAAGTAGGATGATTGACGCTGGACAGATGTATAGGTGGTTCATGTGTGACCGCACCTTCCATTTCCATTCCCCATCCCCATCCAAGCAAACTCAAAGGTGAAAGACATGTTTGTTGTTTGACTTGACGTTGTGCAAGGACTAATACACCGACTATATTGCGGATAGGACGGCATGCCGTCCAGTCATGAATCCACCGCGGCAGAGTTAGGTGACAATTCCCTTTCACTACCTGATTTGGGTTATATGATAGGAGACTGGAAGACAATGAGGTCATAACACGGCGAATATCATTATACGATTGAGAGTACAGACTAGACAGATCGAGACCGAAGTAAAGTAGAAATGGATGCCCAAAATGACCGAATGCAAAAACCATCAAAAAACAGAATGCAATTGAGAGGAAGTTCCGGGTATCGCCTGCCTGTCATTTCTTTCGCTTTTCATCATTACGTATAACTGGCAGACTAATAGCCCTGCTGCGCTGTCACCATGCCACCATAACCCGGTAACTGTGTTTGTTGCTGATGCTGCTGCTGCTGCTGCTGATGTTGCTGCAATTGGGCCTGCAACTGCGGCAGGTCATTGAACCACGGATGTCGCAGCGCATCGGCCGCGCTGATTCTCATCTCCGGTCGCAGTTGGAGCATTCGAGTAAGTAGATCCAAGCCCAACTGGTCGATTTGAGGTAGTATAAGCCTCAAATCTTGGGTGGCATAGACGTGGAAATTGGGCTTATATTCGGGAAATTGTGAAATACCAGGCCATGACCTTTCAGAGGGTGTGCCCATGAGTCTGAAAATCTTTTGCAGCTGGTCTTCGTTCGTCGTACCCGGGAAAAGTGGTCGACCAGTATACATTTCTGCCATGATACAACCCGCCGACCAGATATCGATGCTAGTGTTGTACGTCCTACTTCCGAGCAGAACGTCTGGAGCACGATACCAGAGCGTCACGACCTCATTCGAAAATGTGTTGACGGGGATACCAAAGGCACGTGCAAGACCGAAATCGGCGAGTTTGAGCTGTCCCTTCTTATTGATGAGAAGGTTCTGAGGTTTCAAATCACGATGCAATACCCGGTTCTCGTGACAAAACGCAATGCCGCGCATGAGTTGGTGCATGAACGATTTGATAGTCACATAGTCCAGAGAGCCGTGATCCCCTTTTGTATCCATGTATCGTTTCAGGTCTCTGTCCATGTACTCGAATACGAGCATGAGTTTGTTTTCAGTGTGGATGACGTCGTAGAGCGAAACAATGCTTTCGTGTTTGAGTTCTTTCATGAGGGAGATTTCGCGGATGGCGGTGGAGGGGGTGCCTTCTTCGGAGTCGAGATGAATTTCTTTGAGGGCGACCATTTCGCCGGTCTGGCGGTTGCGTCCTTTGAAGACCTGCGTCCGTTTAGTCCATATTCCGTTTCACAGGCTAGGAATTGTATGCGTACCGTAGCATAGGTACCTTCACCAAGCTATAAGTAGTTAGCATGACAGAGTGCAGGGAATTCAGCCAGATGAAAAAACCTTCTCCAACTGCTGGAACGAGCTCGGCTGCTGTGGTTTGTCCATATCGACTGTCTGTGCAAACGTTGCTCGTGTCGGTCTCGGTGTTTCAAGGGCCTGTTGCGGCGGTTGGGTGTGCGGGGGATTATTGTATGTGGCGGCAGAAGTCGAAGAAGTCGCAGAAGTCGCGGGTTGGGCGAACAGAAAAGTACTGGGCGCAACGAGAGACGAGACCAGAGTGGAGAGGCTGGACGAAGATAATAAATTAGGAGAAGCAGGAATAGAAGAGGGATTGGAAGAAGAAGTAAGATGGGCCATTATTTAATCTAGGCAGGGACAGTTCCTTCCTTCCTGCGATAAGTTCAGACAGGCCCGCTCCGTTTATCTTCTTTGGCGCCGTCCTGGCTCTGCGGCGGCCAATCACCGCCCAGAATTCAGTCATGATTCTTCAGAACGACACAAGCAAGGGTTTTTGTTTAATATATCTATTGCATTATTTTATGTTCTAATTCTCTTAAGTACTAAGTACAGGCAGCCGTGACACCACTTCAGGCAGCACCGACTCGCTTTTATGGTCACATCGTACATGGTTATGGAGATATCGCTCGTTGAGAAGATTGCCGAAGATCTGCGACTCATTGCGGACACCACCCACGTTGATGATGCCAATCGCCATGCCTCTTTTGTGCGCGCGCTCTACCAATCGATACGCTGAATAAGTCGCCAGACTGCTGCCCATGATCAGCAGTCTTCCAGCATCGTCGATAGCTTCTTCCGCCGCACTGCGAACAGCGGGACTCGTGGATTCGCCAAACATAATGACTGCCGGCTTCAATATCCCAGCCGTAGACGACGGCGACCATGCGCCGTCAGACTCTATCTCAACGACCGCCTTCTGATTGTCTGGCAATGAAGGTGGCTTCTCTAAACAGTGCGGACATGCCGGGTAGCGAAAGTTGGAATACGGCGCATGGGGAAGATCGACGTCACCATCAGGATTGATCTTGAGCCCCCGTTTTCGCTGCTCTTCTGGATTATTAGTATCCAACGCTCCCGACTTCAACATTTCACCAAGAAAATCCGCCCAGGCCGGGTTCAACCGCGTCAGTGACTGCTGAAAGTCGTCTCGAGGAACCAAATTATGACAATTGACACAAACGACCCCTCGTAAGAAACCATGCAGCTCAATCGTAGACAGATCTGGATGGGCAACAAGATGAAAAGAATCCACGTTTTGCGTAATCACATTGCTCACGTAGCCCTTCTTTCCTAAATCTGCAACCGCCTTGTGCGTTGAATTCGGCTTCGCCTTTTGCAATCCAGGCCATCCGACGTAGCTCCGCGCCCAGTACCGTTTCCTCGCTTCATGGCGGGKGATAAATTCGTGGTAATAAGTCGGGCGGTACGACTTATTTCGTACATACGTCCCATTCTCGCCACGATAATCCGACAGTCCCGACGCGACTGAGATACCGGCTCCCGTCAGAATCACTGTCTGCGCATTTTTGCCGACGTCGATACCCTGCAGAAAGGGCGAGGGAGGGGCCGTGAAGAAGTCGACGATGGCGTCGATTGCGCCGGCGACGCTGTGGGCGGTCTTGGGGAAGATGATGGCAGGCGGGAAAGGTTTTGTGTAGGGGATTCTCAGCGGAGACATCGATGCATGGTGCTTAGGCAGTAAAGTACTACTACGATGTAGAGTAGAAACGAATGGTAAGCTGTCCGTAAGAGAGCAGTGAGACTAACCAAAGCCGGCGGAACTTGGCGTGTCCGATGTGATGTCACTCTCTTAGACTCTTCCTCTGCACCATCCACTATAGCGTTCTACTCTTATTTTGCCTGTGACCATTCTAGGCTTATTCCTTCTCTTATTTTTATAACAATGACTGCAACGTGATCATCGCCAACTGCTTCCACTCCAGGCAGCCAGTCTGTCTAGCGGATCTGACGATAGCCAAGCAGTTTAGGTACGGCAAAACTCCCCGGTTCGCAGCCGAACTCGGCCGGCGCTCGCATGTTGCGATTCTCGAACGTTGATAAACATCACACAAACACCGCCCCCCAACTAACATACATTTCGACTCAACCTTTAAATCAATTGAGGATATTCCTTCAGCAGAGAGTTTCACGTTTCAACCCCTGACCGGCCTCGTCAGCTCCCTTCCCTAAAGGCTTAGAGCATGCCCATGAGCACCGGGGCTTACGTATTCTAGACCTTGGCGGCCCTTGATGAGTCTCCTGCCGCCGCTGGGACGCGGCGGCCAGCTGCACCAATGCCACGTACTCACGAGAGTGACACTCCGACGACACGCGACATTCTCTACTTATAATCCCCGGCTTCACCAACAAAGGTTTTCTTTCGTACAGCATCCTTCTCCATCGTCGTCACTTGTTTGGTCCCCTGCTGCCGTCCGGGCGGCATTGACTTTCAGACCCCCTATGGCAGTCCAAACCAGAGGCCACGCCGGCCACGGCCACGGCCACCATCACCACCATCACGACAACGTGTACCTAACCTCCTCAAACAAAAAGGATGCCGGCGTGCGAATCACTCGAATCGGGTTATTCGTCAATCTGGCAATGGCAATTGGCAAATTCGTCGGCGGCTACATCTTCCATTCTCAGGCACTAATTGCAGATGCCTATCATGCATTGACGGATTTGGTGTCCGATTTCATGACCCTGGGCACTGTCTCCTGGTCGCTCAAACCACCCAGCGAGCGATTCCCCAACGGATATGGCAAAGTAGAGAGTTTGGGGGCGCTAGGGGTGAGTTCGTTGTTGCTTTGTGGAGGCGTGTTTATGGGATTGGATGCTACACAAGCTCTGCTCTCTCAATTTGCGCCGCAAGCGTTTGAGGCTTTGGAGCATGCTGGGCTATTGTTTCATGGCCATTCCCATAGCCATGATCATGGTGCTGAAGTGCTGGGGCCCAACATCAATGCTATTTGGTTGGCGGCGGGTTCAATTGTAGCCAAAGAATGGCTATATCGGGCTAGTAAGCCTCTCTCTCTCTCTAAAGTTTTTGTGGAATGTCGTCTAACAAACGTAGCAATGAAAATCGCACAAGAACGAAAATCGTCCGTCCTCGCCTCAAATGCAGTCCACCACCGCATCGACTCGTTGACGAGTCTCGTCGCATTGGCCACAATCGGAGGCGCACACATTTTCACCAATGCAGCATGGCTCGACCCCGTCGGGGGATTGATCATTTCCTTAATGGTGATTAATGCAGGATGGACAAATACGAAAACAGCTCTGTTGGAGCTTGCGGACACTACCATTGACGAAGAAATAAAAGACTCTGTCCGAAAGGCAGCTACAAAAACACTCGCCAAGTCGAGCACAAACCAGGATATTCAGATTCGAGATATTCAAGGCCTAAAGTCGGGACAGAATTATCTGGTAGACATTGAAGTTGGAGTCACGGGATCCATGACTGTACAGCAATCTCGCGAGATTGAGGCGATTCTACGAACGGGCGTTGGCGCCAAGGTGCGCGGTGTGCGTCGCGTCAAAGTGCGATTCGTGCCTAGTGAGGTGGAGGGTGTCGACTTTGCTGAGGAGTTTATTCCTGGTGATGTTAGTCCGAGGGCTAGTCCTGAGCCTGAAGAAAATGGGCATGAGCATGAGCATCAACACAATGGGGAGGTGCATAAAAGGCGTTGATCTCTTCAATTTCGTTTAAGAAAGGTTACGAGATGACGCTCGCAGGTCGAGCTACGTCTAGACTATCATTGACAGCGGTATAACCTCATGTTGAATTGAGCATCAAGGCATGTATATAGAGGATACCTAGGTAATACACAATCTCGTTCAAGATACAATTTCATTGTCAACCAACCCGTTCGTCACTTTCCGGCTCCTCCCTATTGCCAATCGCACATATTGCCACAATTTGCCGAGTAGGGTTATCATGCGGGCCCTCACGGCGAGCTGCTACCGTTGCCTAGGTACCATCTTGCTCACTCACTGTTCTGCCAAATTCTGCGGGTGCTGTATTCATCGAAGAGGGTCGAAAAGATCCCAGAAGTAAGACCTGATACTTACTATCCTCAGAAATGAAGAGAGTATCGTATGTGTGTGGTGGAGGTAATTCCGTATGGTCATTGATTGCTTACTGTTCTATACAATGCTACGGGTTTTGCATTTGTTGTCGAGGTAGTGATGAGAGGCTATCAATCAAATCTTTGTTCAATTGATATACTGTGACAGACTGAGTGGATTGTTGAATACGGAGAGTGGCCGAGAGCCCGCCGGCCGGTTAAATTGGGGATTTATCCGAGTAGAGGGGCTGCCAGGCGTACGAGTCTAGAGTTGTACATCACATGGCCTGAAATATTTTCAATTGAGATCGAATCAATTATAATTTTATCAACTTGAAGCTCCCGAGGATATTCAACCTGTATTTGCATTCGTACTTTGTTGATCTGTGCCTAACAAATCGATGTTACTAGGGAGTGTGGGGTATTGACATCACTTTCTCTTCTAGCTGTTTGCATCATCCCAATGGAATAATCTGCAGAAATATCTTGACGCTATAAATGTTTATTTTATCCAGCGACCCATAAACTACATCTTTAGATTTACCTTCTATTAAATCACACGGTTGTTGCGCTAGAATTTAGCCTTATATCCCGAGTCCATTTGCTTTTGACCTGAGCATACCCACGTCGAACCTTGAAATTCGGCATAGTTGCCGTTCTTGACGTACTGGCTGAATATATTTGAACCCATTCCTCACTGATCCTCTGCGACATCAACTTCCTTCCATCATCACAGTCAAAATGGCCAGCCCATTATACATCGGCTTCGACCTCTCCACCCAACAACTCAAAGGCCTCGTCGTCTCCTCGGAACTCAAAGTCGAATACGAAGCCAAATTCGACTTTGACGCCCACTCGCACGGCTTCGGCATCAAAAAGGGCGTCTTGACCAACGAAGCCGAACATGAAGTCTTCGCGCCGGTGGCCCTGTGGTTGCAAGCTCTAGATTGGGTGCTGAATACACTCAAGCAACAAGGACTGGACTTTAGTCGGGTAAAGGGGATCAGTGCTGCGGGTCAGCAGCATGGGAGTGTTTATTGGAGTGCTGATGCGGAGAGATTGTTGCAGACGTTGGATGAAAATAAGAGCTTGGAGCAGCAATTGGAAAAGGCTTTCTCGCATCCGTACAGCCCGAATTGGCAGGATGCGAGTACGCAGAGAGAGTGCGATGAGTTTGATAAGTATTTAGGTGGGCCGCAGGAGTTAGCGGAGGTTACGGGGAGTAAGGCACATCATGTAAGTCTACATTCGAATCGTTCAGCTGAAACGACTGGGAACTAATTGGCATTTTAGCGATTCACAGGCCCTCAAATCTTGCGCTTCCACCGCAAATACCCGGAGCAGTATAAGAAAACGTCCAGGATCTCACTGGTATCCTCATTCATAGCTTCACTATTCTTGGGCAGCATCGCCCCTTTCGATATTTCAGACGTCTGCGGAATGAACCTATGGAACATTAAAGCCGGGTCATGGGATAACCGTCTCCTCAAATTATGTGCAGGCGAATTCGGGGTCGACGATTTGAAGCAAAAACTCGGAGACGTGCCTGAAGATGGCGGTCTTCATCTAGGCAAAATAAACAAGTACTTTGTCGAGCGTTACTCGTTCAACCCAGACTGCACGATAATACCGTCAACGGGCGATAACCCTTCGACCATCCTGGCACTACCGTTGAAGCCGTCCGATGCGATGGTCTCATTAGGAACATCGACTACGTTCTTGATGTCTACGCCCATGTACAAMCCCGATCCTGCCACTCATTTCTTCAATCACCCTACAACATCGGGATTATACATGTTTATGTTGTGCTATAAAAATGGCGGTCTGGCGCGAGAACATGTCCGCGACGCAATCGACAAACAAGTCGGCGGAGCTGCAGACAACAATCCATGGGCAAACTTCGACAAGGCTTTGTTGGAAGCCCCTGCCATGGGTCAAAAGGCCGACTCTGACCCCATGAAGATGGGCCTCTTCTTCCCCCGACCAGAGATTGTACCCAATTTGCGATCTGGGCAATGGAGGTTCAACTACAACCCACGAGACCAGAGCCTCGAAGAAACAACATCTGGCTGGGATGTGCCTCTCGACGAGGCCCGCGCTATCGTAGAAAGCCAGTTCCTATCTCTGCGGCTTCGCTCACGGGGCCTCACCACTGCGCCCGCCGAGGGTCTCCCACCCCAGCCCAAACGTGTCTACCTTGTCGGCGGCGGATCGCGAAACAAAGCCATCGCCAAAATCGCGGGCGAGATCCTGGGTGGCCACGACGGTGTGTACAAGCTCGATGTCGGCGAGAATGCTTGCGCTCTTGGTGCAGCTTACAAAGCCGTCTGGGGTATTGAGCGAAAGCCGGGACAGACGTTTGAGGACCTGATTGGTAAACGGTGGCGGGAGGAAGAGTTCGTTGAGAAGATTGCGGATGGGTATCGGCCGGAGGTGTTTAAGAAGTATGGTGATGCGGTTGAGGGCTTTGATCGGATGGAGCAGCAGGTTTTGCAGCAGGAGGGTCGTAAATGATAATAGCGAATAAATAAATGCTGTTGATGAAGATATTTAGAGATTAGAAGAAATAGAGGCACAATGACGTTGCGATTTGGTACTTGACTAACCTGATCGGGCAACGGGGGACGTGCCTGCCTGAGAAGTTAGGCGGCTGTTCCACTCTTTTTTTCCACAAAAACAACCGACAAGACAACAACCTGAGCAGAGTCATACACACGTTGGACTGAGAGCAGTATTCTTTTAGTGTCATTCGTCAGTCAATCACATCATCTTTCCCCGTACTTGAAAACCAGTCCAGGCCTTAGCTGCATCAATCGCATCTCCGTCTACTATCCCCGCCTTTTGTCGTCCGGTACCGCCTAAAAATGGCCGTGTAAAATTCACCTCCGCCAACTGACATGACTCCCTTCCGTCGTGATCGCTCCCCTTTCTATCTGCTCTAATCGATACCCTTCTTAAATCAGTCCTCGGAGTCCTTTCGACTCGCCGAGGCAGCCTGGCTGCTCATAATGGAAGATCAGGTAGGTCGTCCATCTAGTGACGCATCTGCCCCGCCCCCTCCGTGCATAGATGCTGAGCTTTCAAAACAGCTTATATACTAACCGCTATTACTCATGCGTATAGGTAGTGAGCGCTATCGAGATCGCTTCGAATCCATCGTCAGACCAGACCCTCAAAAAACAAGCTTTTGAATACTTGAACCAGCTTCGTGCCGATCCGTCAGGATGGCAGGTCTGTCTCGCCATTTTCACTCGCACGCCACGCCATACCGAGGTGACTCGCCATGTTGCGCTCGAGGTGGTCAATAGCGCTGCCCAGGCCGGCTTGATTGATCTTCAGGGCTTGCAATATATCAAAGATGGGTTGATGGGGTATTTGCGGCAGGTTTATGGAGGTGAAGGAGCGAACCCGGACGGTCCTGCGATTCAGAACAAGATTGCTCAGACTGTGACGTATCTCTTCTCGGCGTTATATGGTGCTGGATGGGAGACGTTTTTTGACGATTTGCTGAGCTTGACGACAACCGATCCGTCGACGAATCTGCGTAACAACCCCCTCGGTGTGGTTTTTTACCTTCGTGTCGTTTATTCGGTGCACGACGAAATTGGTGATGTCCTGGTTCCCCGGTCGCGTGGAGAACAAGAAAAGGCAAACACACTGAAAGATCTCATTCGCCAGAGGGATATTCAGAAAATTGCTAGCTCATGGCAAGAGATTCTTTCCCAGTGGCAGGAGGGCAATGATCAGATTGTGGAAATGTCGCTTAGGGCCATCGGCACCTGGGTCAGCTGGATCGATATCGGACTAGTAGTCAACCAAACAATGCTTGATCTCCTGTTTCGACAACTTTCTCGTGCACAAATTACCGAGCTTCGCGATGGGGAAGAAAAGGTGCGCGATGCAGCCATTGATGTGTTTACCGAGATTGTGGGCAAGAAAATGAAACCGGACGACAAAATCGACATGATTGTGTTTTTAAATCTCGACAGCATCGTGACGCAGCTTTCGAACAGCCCCCCGTTGAACGAGAATCGCTTCACCTCCAAGTACGATACAGATCTCGCCGAAACAGTTGCGAAGCTTGTCAACATCACCGTCATTGATATTGTCCGAGCATTGGACAATGATGCTGTTGTTGTCACAACCAAAGAAAAAGCAAACAACTTACTCCAGTCATTCTTGACACACGTTCTCAGGTTTTTCTCTGACGACTACGACGAGATCTGTTCTACAATCATTCCTTGCGTCACAGAGTTGTTGTCCTACTCTCGAAAAGTGTCCAAGTCGAACCCCGACATTCAGAACCAACACGCCCCCATGTTATTGCCTATTCTAAAAGCGATTGTTGCAAAAATGCGATACGACGAAACGTCATCATGGGGCGACGAAGACGATCTGACCGAAGAAGCCGAGTTTCAGGAACTTCGCAAGCGTCTGAACAATCTACAACAAATCATCGCCGCAGCCAATGAAGGTCTCTACATTAATGCTTTGTCAGAGGTTGTTGGCACAACTTTCCAAAATCTGCGCCAATCGGGCGGTCAAATGGATTGGCGCGATCTAGACCTTGCTCTCCATGAGATGTTTTTGTTTGGTGAACTTGCGGTCAAGACCGGTGGCCTATACACCAAGAATAAAGCCAACAATGTTGCTGCTGAAAGACTGGTCGAAATGATGAACAGGATGGTGGAGTCTGGTAAGTGTCCTTATACGGATGTTATTTATATGCTAATCTCGTCTAGACATCAGGTCATTGACTCATCCCGCGATCCAGCTGCAATTCATGGAGATTTGTGTTCGGTACAGCAGCTTCTTCGAGCACCACGCTCACGTTATTCCGGGCGTGCTGGAAACCTTTCTGCAATTCGCGCACCATCCCATGGAGAGGGTGAGAACACGCTCCTGGTATTTGTTCTACCGCCTGGTCAAGGCTCTGAAAATACATATCGGCAATGTGGCACAAACAGTCATCGAAGCTGTGGCCGACTTGCTTGTTATTCGAGCCGAACTACCATCTGAAGCCGACGACAATGATGACATGTCGTCAGATGATAGTTCTGCGGATGCCATTTTCAACAGTCAGCTTTACCTTTTTGAAGCTGTCGGAATTCTTTGCTCCATACCGATAGTTCCGGTCGATAAACAAGTTGTCTACGCACAGTCAGTGATGAATCCTGTTTTCATTGACATGGAGAACAATTTGGCTCTGGCCAAGTCTAACGACGAGCGCGCACAATTACAAATACACCATGATATTATGGCTCTAGGTACACTTGCACGAGGGTTCTCAGACTGGACACCAGGCTCACAAATGACCAATCCTGCTTCTAAATTCTCCCCTGAGATTTCTGATGCGTTCGGCCAGGTGGCCGAAGCCACCTTGATCGCTCTTGAATCTTTGAAAGGATCTTTTAATGTCAGGACTGCAGCGCGATTCACGTTTTCGCGTGTGATTGGAATCGTCGGATTGAGACTACTCCCACAACTACCTAGGTGGATCGATGGACTCTTGACCGAGACATCTTCCAAGGATGAAATGGCGCTCTTTTTACGACTATTAGACCAGATAGTCTATGGTTTCAAGTCTGAGATTTTCGGAATTCTTGATACACTACTCACTCCGTTTCTGCAGCGCGTTTTTGCTGGTATTTCAGAGACTACTGCAGGAACGGACGATGAGATTCAGATGGCGGAATTGAAGCGAGAATATCTGAGCTTTTTGGCAGCATTGTTGAACAACGATCTCGGATCTGTTCTTGTTAGCCAGGGTATGTCTCCCCCAATTAGTGGTAGCGAATGTACTAACATCGATAGCCAATCAACCGATCTTTGAAACGGTCATATCCACTATTGAGCATTTCATCAAAGACATCGATGACCCAACGACGGCAAAAATGGCCTTCTCAGTTCTGAACAGCATGGCCAACGCCTGGGGCGGCGCTGATACGGCCAATGCATCGCAAACCGCTATACCTGGATTCAATCAATTCATGTTTACACGATTCTCGCCTTTGTCCTGGGCTCTGCCTAGATCTGTAGGATTCAATTCGAAAGACGGCCAAACGAGACAAGTGCTGCAAGAAGCGGGAGGACTACAGCAATCGATATATTCCAAGGCTGGTACCGAGTATGTTGATTATCTTCGCGGTCAGGAACTTCCTGGAATGGGTATGGGACCGGATCTAGTGGGAGAGTATACGAATGCTTTGACTCAACTAGATACCAAGGGATTCCGCAATTTCTTCTTAGTAAGTTTTTTCCTTTAGATCTTGAAGATTGAGAATCTCGCTGACATAAAGTAGTCCTTCGTCCAGCGTTTAAGTTCATAAGCATGAATCTATCTTACTCATACCTTGTCCAGTGATGCGAGCCAAAAAATATTTCTGTGTTAACTAGATTCCCCTGTGTCTTTCTCGATATTGAATTCATGAGTACATATCTACGTCATGTCAGTACATTGCCTAGTCAATGCGCTCAGGCACGAACCCCCTTTTTCATACCACACCAGCACATGCAGACAAGATTTTATTTTACTATGATATAAATAATGGCATGCTCTCGGCGAATCGTCGGTTCGATTAAACTGCAACGCGTGGAGATCAGAAAACGAAATGGATCACATCATAATTCAATCCATGGCTATGGTATGCATGACTATCTGGAAAGACAAGGAATAATAAAGCCCGAGATGAATCAGGCATACTTCAACTTTCATATATACCTAGATATTTCTTCTGAACATCTGGATCACCTCGGGACCTAGCGCATACCTAGGGCTTCTGCGACACAACTATAGAAAATGGAGCAAATTTAAACGATTCCAGATGGAGTGAACAATTATATTTTCGCTTTTTCTTTCCTCCCCCCACGGTAGCTAGGTGATGCATGTGCTGGCTAATGCTTACTTCCACCATCATCTTATTACTCACTTAGTTTTGTCCGGATTTGCAAGGTTCTTTTTACGTTTGTTTCCTCGAAACCATTTGGGATAGCAATAATATCGGACTCTTCGCCAGAATTTGAGCTGCACACTTCCAATAATCTTCTCAGAATTTCCATCAACCCAACCTATGCAGTGAGCGCTCAAACAATTGCTAACCTTGAACCGAGATCGGTAGGTGTTCCTACTCCATGCCTGTTACCTGTGGGTGAAGCTGATTTTATTATTTTATGCGAGTCTGCAATACACATGCTATCTGCGTGCCTCCTCCTTGACTGCTTGGAGCCCATTGCCCCCAGAACCCCTCTAATCAAATGTTTTGTGAACAAGCCCCTTTTCTCGTTGAAGATATTCATCGAATGTGGTGAGTTTGATTGGGTACTTCTTCAGAGCTTCAAAGTCCACCTTGTAACCCACTTCGTTTGCCCATAATTGGGAACGAATCACCGGGTTCACCTTGGAAAGCGCAGCAGCCTCCTCGGCGGGATAGAACTCTGTCTTGATATCTTTACCAGCGGCATTAGTCAAACTTTGAGTAATCTCTTTCGGTGTCAGAGCCTCAACACCGAGGTCGATTTCTTCGTGGTTGTATGTTTCGGGTTCCAAGAAAGCTGCCGCAGCAAATTTTCCAAGATCGTCAGGATCAAACACTGTCATTGCATTGCCTGGATTGTAGGCAGTGAGGAAGGTATGGCGTGTGGACAGCTCGGGGAACATGAAATCGGCGACAGGTGAGACATAGTTGTACATAAGGAATGCCGGCCGAAGGATGGTCCAATGTGTGAAGCCTGCGCTCCGCACGTGTGACTCAATTTCGGCTTTAGAAGTCCAGTACCAGCCCATAGGATAGTCCGGACCCCAGTTAGGAAATGACTCATGTTTTCCGGTCATTGTCACACTTGAATAAACAATAGAATCTACTGTCCCAGCTTCTTTGGCCGCTTGGATGATATTTTTTGCATGACGCAGCTCTAATTCGGGCTCGTTGATAGTCGGCGATACATTAAGGAAAACAGCTGTCGTGCCAACAGCTGCCGCCCTTAAGGAATCAAGATCATCGAAAGTGCCAGGACAAATCTTTGCCCCGAGTCGCTCCAATTCTAACGAGACCGGTGAAGAGCGATCGCGGACAACGGCGTGAACTTTGGCACTCGCTGCTAGAAGATGTCGAACGGTCGCGAATCCTTGTTTGCCAGTGGCTCCAGTGACGAGAACAGTAGGCTTCATGGTGGTGAAATAAATAAGACTGGGGAATATCAGAACCAAGATTTTAGCTATTAAAAGAGCATACAAGATCAATAGTTGTAGATTTAATGTTCTTAATGATCTACTTTATATATTCTTATCCTAATCCAATTATATTAAAAAAAATAAAAAAAATAAAAAAAATTGAGTTATTTGTTCTAAAAGCGTCAGTCGAAATATGCACATCTCGGTTCCGGGTGCTCTACTAGGCCGAGAAGGACTATACAGGTTGGCGGTCGATCCCCTTGCGCTTCATTATGTCAGAGCTTAAGCAGAATTACGCCACTATATGGAATTACATGAGTGTATACGTATCTTGTTAAACTTTTCTCTCAACCACGGAAGAATTGGTCCGTTATTTGTAATCCGGACGGGTATTCATCTATCCGGCAAATTATGGAAGAAAACTGCTGTGTATAAGTCACATTATTCTTCGGATGCTATTGCACAGACACTCACGGGCGTGAACGTTGTAATCTCGTGCTTGACTGTGTTTCCGCTTCAGGAAGAGCTGGCTCTCATCTCGGCATCTAGTAGGGCTGGCCTAGGTCGCTATGTGCCTAGCCTTTTTGGCCCGTGCTGTCCACCGAAAGGGGTAATGATGGGTAGGGAATTGGTGTGACCTTCCGTGTCAAATATACATACCTCTCTATCCGAGAGGGCGCCGTTTGTCGAGGCTTTTGGCTAATAATGATTTTGAATCTACAGAAGGAAGACATCCTAAATCACATCAAGATTCTCTACTTCCCATTCACGGCCATTGACTTTGGCTGGTGGTACCAGCTCTCGTTACCGTCGTTGCCTTCTGGGAGAATCCGTGCCAAAGCTGGACTATCAACAACGCATATCATTGGCGACGGTAACACACCATGGGCTCTTACTGATAATCGCGATATCACGAAATATGTCGCAAAAGTCATTACTGACCCAAGAACTCTGAACAAAATGGTCTTCGGATATACACAATGATGTTCGTCGAATTCTCGAGAGCGTTACGGGACAGTCCGTTCCCAAGGAGTTTGTATGGACAGCTGCGCTCACTAGCTCGCGGTACAGTAACCGGCTGACCCCTGATCTTCTATAGGTCTCCAAAGATGAACTTCTTGCCATCATCAGCGAAAATCAGCCGAAGAACAGTTTGACCGAGATGGCCACGAGTGCCATGTTAAAATTTGGAATGGCGCAATATCAGTATTTGTTAGGGATTCGAGGAGACAACACTCCCGATCACGCGAGATATTTGGGGTATCTCGACGTGGAGGAGTTATACCCAGAAATACGGTCTACCTCTCTGGAGACCTACATCAAGGACGCTTTTGAAGGTAGAGTTAAAACAGTCTACTCGTGATTTGATAGTTTGGATAGTGATCCACTTCTAGAGACCAATAATCTTTATTTTAAAATATAAGATAATAAATAGAATTAGACCTCTCTGCAAGTCCCATGGGACCAACCTTGCGGCTTGGTGGCGTCCAGGCAAAAACGCGACTATGTTACAGCCCGTGAAATACGTTTGAATAGTATTCTATATAAGTCTTTTAGCGGTATTCTACGCTTTCAAGAAAATAACCGCACCTTATTGGCCGTATCTAGCCTACCTCCGTACATCTTACACCTAGGTAGTCGCAACAAAACCATACAATCGATTTGACCAAAGAATTATATCCTAGCCTCTTTATCTCTAAACTTCCCTTCCAGAGAATTTCTGCTACACTGGTCAGACATCGACATGCCGCCCAATTGAAAAAACAACCTCAAGAAAAGAAGGGGGAGGGACGCACTAAAACAAATACTTAGCAGCATGCTCAACATGATCATCCGAAAACGTCGCCATAGTATAATAACTATGATCATAATCCGGCTGATAACGAATCTCAACCCCTTTTACGCCTGCCTCTTCAGCGGCCTTTGCAAAGTTTTCGGGCAGTAATTGACCCTGTTTGTAAAAATTGTCGCCTGTTCCGACGTCGATGAGAACGTTAAGAGGACCTTTCCAGGTCTTGACGAGTTCGGTGGCATCGTGCTGTTTCCATTTTTCTTGGGCGTCGGAGCCGAAGTAGCCCGTAAACGCCTTTTGACCCCAGGGGCAGTTGATGGGGTTGGTGATGGGCGCAAATGCGCTGACGGATTTGTATTTGCCAGGGTTGCGGAGGAACTTTCCATTGTTGTCAGCACCTCCCCGTCGGATATACATGTACATATATGTATAGGGGAAAGAGGGAAGCGACGTACGAGAGTCAGGGCCCCATGGCCACCCATACTATGACCCGTAATACTAACTCTACTAGAATCAATCTGATCCTTAAACGCCTCAAAGACTGTCGCGGGCAATTCCTCGGTTATGTAGCTGTACATATTATACCCTTTGTTGTAGGGCGGGAGTGTAGCGTCGACATAGAAGCCGGCGCCGGAACCAAAGTCGTATGCATCGTCTTCGCCTTGGATGTTCAGACCACCTATCTGGAATCAGTATATACTTTCCGTTTTCGTGTTTGTAGGGTGGGAGAGGCGGACGTGGACTGGTATCAGGATACAACACGGCAATCCCCTTCTTACTCGCGCCGTGCTGAAAGAAGCCCTTTTCAGAGCAGTTATCGGCCGTGCATGTCAGTCCACTCAAGTATATCAATAGTGGCACCTTTTGGCTCGCGGCTTGAGGAGGKAGGKAGAGGTTGAAGCTCATTTCGCAGTTGGTGGTTTTAGCATTGTGGCTTAGTTTGAGCAGTTTGCCGCCGAAGGAGGCTATGGTTGCTTTTGTTGTTACTGCCATTTTGTTTTCACTAGTCAGTATCTTGTCGATAATTGAGATGGAGGTGTGGTTGAGGATGAGAATGAAAGGAGAAAATTTATCGGGATGGTGCTCGTGAGGGGCAGCGCTGCGTAATGATGGGGTTATGTTTGACGTGAGGGGAAAGCCTGTCTTCCAGGTGGGGGTGGAGGGTTACCGCGGATTTCCCCAAAAGAGTAAATTTCTCCCTACAATATCGCTCGTCTAGAGGGAATCAGATAGCTTCATGAATGATGCGTCTTATTATAAAGTAAACAACTCCAACAATGCTGAATACAGACCAACAACTCCGTCAAATGCTAAGCTCACTTGCTAAGATATACAGGAATACCATAAATTACAGGCGCCGCTCCGTTCAAATACTTCAACAAACACGAGCTGCGAGATCGCGCGACCGCTTCATCCAGTGCAGACGATTCAGTACCTGTATCAGTATCCTTCTCCTTGGACTTCTTCTTGCCCCTCCCGTTTCCACTACCATCCTCATCCCCAGGCATTAGGCCCCATTGCTGAAACGTGCTTGTCGCAAATCTATCAATATCCTTGTCCGTCACATCCCATAACGTAGCAACCAAGGCAGGCGATCCAGCTTGCATATAGTTCATTGGTGTCCCGTAAGGTTCCAATTCGCCGGCTTCCGTCAGACATCCGCTGCTACAGCCCATGAGAAAGGCCACTGCGCATCTGTCCAACCGTTTGATCGTGCGTCCACGAATGTATTGCGCACCGCTTCCGTGACCGAAATAAAGAAAAATATCCTTTTGCTCTAGGCCAGCCTTAAACTCCTCTTCGGAAGGAGTCCGTCCAATGACAGCCGACCAGCCTTGTCTCTGTGACAGTCCCTCTTCAAACGTGTTTTGTGTTGATTTCAAGTCTCCGCTTGGATTTAAAATGAAGTGGCCGTTGTGACGGTTAACCTCGAACGCTACATCCGACGATTCTTCCAACGACCGGAATGAGACGATTCGCTCGCGCAAACACTCCAGAGACGGCATGCGAGATACAGGAAGTCCATGCAGACATGGCAACGACTCCCATGGAAAAGAATGTAAAGACTTGTCCAATATCAGGATGGTGTGGTTGGGTCGCGCCCACTGACCCGCGCTATTAGAGTGTAAGCTGTTCAAAATGTCAAGCGTGTCAATGACCATCGCATCAAAGTCGATCTCGTCATACGCATTGCGCTCGCCTTGGAATTGAAGAATGTCGACAACAAAGTATAGCAAGTCCAAAATCGAGTCTTCCGGGTTTTCTTGTTTGTCAAGATCGCGGAGACCAATGAAAAGGCTAAGCACGTTTTCATGAATCTTGATCTTTTCTTTCCTGTCTTTGGACTTTTGTCGTGATGGTAAATGCTTGTTCAGCACCTTTTCGAACGAGCCCGCAAATTGCGCCAAAATCGTCGAGTCTCGAGGAAGCGTGTCAAAAATACCACGGAACCCCCCTAGCCATATATTTTCTATATTCTCTAAAAGAGTTTCGAGTCGACGATCAAGCGACTCACGCGTAGCCCACCATTCCTTCTTTGAGTTTTTGTCGATTCGAGTTTTAGCATCATGAGCACTGGCGTTTGCAAGTTTGATAATCTCCGTCATTTCATGCTTTCCCCAGTCGAACGTGAAATCGTCTTCATCTTGATTTCCCTCCTCGCTTCGTTTAAGTGGCAGACGGAGGAGGAATGGAGAGCCGTCACAAGACATGCGAGAGATGATAAATTCGGTGCGGTCAGAATTCAAAGAGATGGACAAGACATTCCAGCCATTAGGTAGAATGTCCACATAATCTTGTGTGAAGTTGGCAATAATGTCCGCCTTCTCCCTAGTCTCAGGTAGCACATTCTCAGGCCAACTCATCGGGTCAGAATAACCAGAAAGACACTTGTCGATAGAAATTGCAAGACGCTCACGATCAAAGGCAGTAATACGGCCGAGTTCTATTCCAATTAGCAAAGCTCATCTTACCGCACGATTTGGACTTACCATTCGCATTTACTGGGGCCAATATATCTTCATCGACAAGTCCCGGTGTCGTTGCATGTGAAAGCATTGAGACACGACCCATGAGACTCGAAGCAATATGACCTTCTACTGTCGACCCTGTAGAAACAGCCTCTTTGACAGTGGCGCTAATTGCGCTTCTCGCTCGAGACATGATTTCGGCAACATTAGACTCCTTCTTCGCAACTATCGTAGCACGTGCCGGTTCCTTGGCTGTAGATTTTCCCTTTCTTGTAACCGGCGTCTTGCTTCTAGCTGCCGCCACCTTTGTGGCTGATATCATTGCTTCGATTGAAGGCATAGACAGAGTCGACTCGGGCAGAACACAATATACTGCATGCGCAGCAATGCTTTTCATGGCGTCAGCAAGTAAGTGCTCCGTCTCTTCGATTTGTATCGAGATTTGCGTGGCTATAGGAGAGGTGTCTCTAGCAATTTGAAGTAAACGTGAGGCCCCATCGAGGTCTTCAACAGCTAACAAGGCATGAATTTGCTGCCTGATTATTTCGTTCCACAATATAATATGAGAACGAGGTAGGACTTTGACTGTTGGCGCGACTGTAGTCTCCTCGATATCGGTCGATTTTGGCGTCCCTTTGGTTCTCCGAGTTGTCCGGGTGGTCAATCTTTTCGTCTCCTTCTGAACGCTAGCTTGAGGTATTTTCAAAAGAGACATCTTCTCTTCAAGAGCAGCAACAGATGATTTGACATTGATTAAAGGATCGAGTCGAACGTCGGAAGCTCGATCAAGCATAGCTTCAGCCTCATACAAGAGACGTAAAACCTCTTTGTAGTTTCCTTGATATCTACTCAAGGCAGCTTGGCTTATTTTTAACTTCACCGTTTCAACGCTGTTGATCAAGCCTTCTGATAGTTTTGTGGCAGCCTCGAGAACAGTCCTGGCATCCTTCAGATGATTACCTCTGATCCACTCAAGGCCAAGTTCAGCTTGGCATGTGAGTAAACGGACCGAAATCCCAAGAGTTTCGTTCACCTTGAGTGCCTGTTCACCATAGTAAATGGCGTCCTGGAACAGACCATTATAGGCAGAAAGACGCATGAGATTCAAAAAGCAAGCGTTATGCGAGGCCACGTGCTTCCAGAAAACCGCACCTTGCGCATATGTCCACGTCGTTGGCGTAACGACACCAGAAAGGTCAATATTTGCAACGCCATCAATCACAAAGTCCACATCTGACATTCGATCTGCCGACTTGTCCAACTCCTTCTTCCGACCAGCTGAACGTTCTAGCTTTGTCCATAAACGCGTACTCAGTCGAACAGCCAATTTACCATAATACAATGCTTCACTCAAGCACTTTTTCTGGTCGGCTAGGCGAGAGCAAAGCAGAGCTCCATCAGCAATCAACCGCTCCCATGCCATTTTGGATTGGCCGCGACTTCCCTGCACTTCCTCCGAAGCTTCCTTGCTACGAAAAAGTTCCTGGGCTTCTCGAAGTGCTATTTCTGCGCCATCGATGTTGTTGGCTTCCATGTTGTATTCCACAAGAACCAGATGGTAAGTGATGAGTGCGTAGTATGATATATCTCCACTAAGCAAGCGTCGTTTAGCACGGTCAAGAAGGTCGAGAGCTGCTTTGTGATCTCCGAGGCGGCAATACTGCAAGGCACAGCTTGAAAGAGCCAATATCAGGGAAGAGTTATTTCGAGATTCTTGTACTTCGTAGATACGAAGAGTGATCTCAGATGCTGCTAACTGTAACTTCCAGTATCCGCGCGCCTCAAGAAAGTCCGAAGCTGCTTGTGTTTGAGCAAGCAGAATTTCATGATCATCGATGACAGCCTGAACAGATTTCCAATCTTTGCAATCCCGTAATGTCGAAGCCCAAAAAGCTATAATGTCTTGGAAGTCATCTTCTTTCATTTCACCGTCGCGGAGCAATAGTAGTAGCTTCAGGGAGTTTGTCACAAATGGTACATATGGTTCATGTTGTGCCTCAGGTGAAAGGTTTGATAGATGTAGTTGAGCATCTTGGGCCAAAGATTCGGTGATCGAAGTTTCAAGTCGATCTGGTTGGTCGAGTGCAAAGCGAAGCACTAACCGTATAACACGAAGACGGCGGGCAACATAATCTTCACTGGAGAAGGTCGATAAGATTTCAGATAACAGCCCCTGGAACATGCCTTTGAACTTTTCGCAGGCCAAATCGTGACTAGAGAAGTTGGCCAAGAGACTCAGCTGCCATTCCAGGAGGAAGCTTCGAGGTATAACACCTAAATGCTTGCCTTCAAAAATGCCGATTTCATCTTTCGCCGGTCTGCGAAGTTGCATCTTGAGGTAAGAAGATAGAGCACGCGTAAGGTTAAAGCCTGGGCTCTTGGAATCTTGGAGACAAACATGAGGCGGCTTTCCTGAAAGATATGCTATTTGCTGTTCAAGTATCCCGGCGTCGATATACTCTTGTATAGACCTCTCGAAACAGGCAATGGATTTGGCGCCCATCCTTGCATCCAGGTAAAGATGAGCCAATCTTTCCAGTTTCAAAGTTGTGAATCCAGTGATTTTGTACATTAGGGGACAATCTCGCAATAGACTAATAGATTGATCCAACAATGGGATTAGCTCTTCATAACCTGCGCCTGATTCCTTTCTCTTGAGGTAGCGAGACCAAAAGAGGTTGGATAATTTCACAAGGGTACTTCGCCAGTCAAGTCCCTCTTCTCTATCATCTGTATCAAGTTGTTCGAAGCTGTTAAGTAGTCGTGCAGAATCTGTGAAAATCGGCTGTAAATCCCCCCACGGTGGCAACTGATTCAAAAGTGACATTTTGCCCAACGCGATTGCAGACTCGGCAGCAGCGACGATAATGTTTTTCGCATTACTTAGTGCCTGCAACTGTACATCCGTCTCGCCTTCTGCGGCATTGGGTTGCTGGCGGTTGATATATCGTCTTAGAAAGCGGATGAACGCATGAAGAAAGTCCGTCGTAGACATGAGCATCCCCTTAGGAAGGTCTTTATCTGAAGAAAGTAGTTCGCCCAGCTTCGCCATGGCTATCTTCTTCAACCTGGCCGATTCCACGAGAAGTGCTTCTAAGTCGCTAGCGCTACCTCTATTGGCGGACTTCAATCCTAATGCTGCAGTTGCAAGCGATTCGACTACCGATGGATAAACTTTGTTGTTCTTGAAAAGATACAAATAGATAATGGCGATTCTGCATTGAATCAGATTCAAAGCCATGGGATCATCCTCGGTTATCCTTTCAGCCGCAGATGAAAAATGTTTCAAGGATTCTTTGAAGCATGAAGCTTCTTGGGCTATCTTTCCAAGACAGTATGATATCCTCCAAGAATTTGTAGTTCCTTTCATGGCGCATTTTGCCATCTTAGACTGCAATCGTTGCACAATTGTGCCGAGTGCTGTGAACCCCGAAGAGTCGACCATCGAGTCGGAATTGGCAAAAGCATCAAGGAACCGTGATAGAGGGTCAAGAAATTCACGTTTCGAGTCGCCTGTGTGTCCGGATAGTTCCCATGAAATGATTCGGTATTCCATTGACACGAGCTGTAAAGTAAGGGCAGAAAAATGTCGTGTGCCGCGGGTTGTTGTCGAATCGGTCGTTGATCCAGCTGCTTTCTGCAGCATAGAAGATAGAGAAAGGATAATATTGGACGTTGATAGTAGCTGTAATGCGGCCTTGTCTTTGTTGAGATTTCCAGCCTCGAGACATCGCATAATAACCCCTGCAGGGCTGCTTGGATTGGTTGTGGATAAAGCTTTGCACGCCTTTTCGATCGCCGAAGTCTTCCTCTCCGCGGCTATCAGTTTCAATATATGCGACTGGAAGGGAAATAGTAAAGCTAGTACTGGGCCTGCAGAGTCGACGTGTGAAAATGTCAGGAGTTCTGCCGTTGTTTCTTTAGCGGAGTCTGCTTTCACATCTTGGGTGGAACGCTCCTTCAAAGTTTTTGACGATAGAAGTATGATGATTTCTTGCAGCCGTTTCTTCAGACCTCTCAATTCCCTATAAGCAAGGTCATTGACCCCAAGCGCTATCAACCTTCCTGCTAAAATACATGCGCCTTGTTCCAATTGTAAATTCCCGCTATCGGTCTTGGAAGAGTTTCCGCCTTTTAGATTCCGTAGGGTCGTGAGGGCAAGTATAGCACACTCAGCAATCGCCAATAGACCGTTTTCGGGCGATCCGTACCCGGTGGGCGTTGGTTTCGATGTTTTGCTCGAGGATTTCTTTGCCGGTGACACGATCTGATTAGGGGAAGTCGGTTGCAAAGGAGTTTTTGGGCCTGAATTCCTTTGTAAGGCATCGGATAGTGCTTTGGAGGCTATGTTGAAGACTTCGGTCGCCAAAACAAGTCTCTGTTGTGAAGACAGCGCTTCATCTTGAAGAGCTTGCGACACGTCTACTTTGACTGTGGCTGGAGGATTGCGCAATCGGGTCGATTTTGTGCGCGTAACAGACTTTGTAGAAGTAGTCGCTTGAATTTTCTTTGCTGATTTTGTCTTCTCACCGGCTGGCGGCGTAGGTTGTAGCAGTGATTGTAGAGACGCCAATGTTGACGTCGTACAGGTCGAAGTCGATTTGACAGCAGTTTTGATAGATGCTAACCGCAACTCTACCAAATCTGCTGTTGTTGCCATCTTTCAGATTGGCGATGGACGTATTGCGCGAGAGCGCCTCGGTGACAGCGTTGAATTGTGGAGTTTGAAGGTGTTCATGGTTCATCGAGTGTAAGATCACGAGAAAGTTGACCTTGCCAAAACGGGCGGTTACCAGGACAACCAACCAGCCCAGCGGTCCGGAAGGAGCTAAGGTGTAACACTAATCCTTTTTTGGATGGTGTCTTGGCATGGTCATTTTTGGAGATTCACCGCGGATGTTGAAGATATTAATCAATCTTCTACAACAATCGGCCACGATGTCAGCAACCCTCAACATGAGCTCTTTTGCTGCCACAGCAAGAAAACACCTTTATACCCCGCCATGGCGAACATTCCGGATCCCGAACGTCGGATTGACGATGAACAAGACCTTCCAAGTTCGTCTACTCTCAACAGCAGAGGCAGTGCCGAAAATCGCTCAAGCCTCAACATGGCAGTCTATCATCCCTAAGTTTTTTCGAGGCGGCGGCTCAAATATATCACCAAAGACGAGATCAAAAGAATGGAATCCGGCAACTTTCTACGTCGTGATATGGACGCTTATAGGATCGCAGGCCATTCAGATGCTGGTCCTGCGCAAGGACTTTGAAAACTATACGCGAAAAGCAGATGCAAAGATACGGCTACTGCGGGAGGTCATACAAAAAGTGAATAATGGAGAGACTGTCGACGTCGAAAGACTACTGGGAACGGGCGATGAAGTGAAGGAGAGAGAATGGGAAGAAGGTCGGTACAAGCGTCATTCGGGACATAATAGCATCAGGCTGCTGACTATTCCTAGTTCTCCAAGAAATCGAAAATGAAGACTCAGTGTGGCGCCAGAAGTCCCATGATCAACGAAGCAGTGACGACGATATTTGGAGCGACGGAAAGGACAAACCTAAGGATCCTGTCATGAAGTCGGAGAAATCTACACAACCAGCTGTTGCCCCTGCAGCTGGAACTGCAAAAAGCGCCAGGTTCTATTAATTTTGCTTTGATGGCTACGGGTCTATTGACCTCAAAAAATGATACCCATACGTTCATAGCCTTGCGGCTTGGACATTTACGCTGTTTTTCCCCATCCTATGAGGCGACCGTCACTGTATACTATTGTACATAGCTCTTCTTTTGTAACATATCTCTTTTTTTAATTGCATAAAGTAACGACCACTTGTTGCCGTTAAGCCTGTGGGAAAGCACCATAACCCTTTTCAGATGCAAGGGATCCGGTCCAAGTTTACCTAAGTGATTATATGCTGTAAAAAATATCATTGATCTAAGGAAATAAGGGAAGGAGAATCTACCTAAATAGGTACATATATAGTTCTTAGTCAAAAAACAGCCTTGGCATTTGTGGGAGCACTCCATTGACTAAGTGTTGGATATTTCGGGGAATAGAAACATGTCGGAGATAGCGGAGATATCATAAGTTTCTTAAGCGGATTTACTTTCGTTCCAGATGAAACCGATCTTTCTCCTTCCCAACTCACTCCAAACTCGCCAGGCGGCAGCTACCAATATCTGAACATCCAGAATGCTCGCTTATTAGAGAGATTAAGTGAATTGATTGTCAATTTGGAGCGTCTAATTGTCAGGATGGTCTATCGCGGCAAGCCATCAAAATCATGCCGGAATTGTCGAAGACGTGACATAAAAGTGAGACCCCATAATTGGATTCAATCCAACTCATCCCGATATGCTCAACAAATGTAATTGTAGTGCGACAGAAAAATAAACGGCTGTTCGCAATGTTCACGAGCTGGTATCTCGTGCCCAGGCTATCCAAATCCCACTGACCTGATCATATACGATGAAACCAGATTAACAATCGACAAAAGACGCCAAGCTGAGGTCTCTCTCATAAGTCCATATTCCTCCACAGACTCCATCCCAGCAAGGCTTCTCCCTTCAATTGAGATCCATGCAAAGAATCTTTTCATCTCGCAATATGTTGCGGATACGGATAAGGCCAACCTTTTCACATACATGCGAGTCTTTTGGCCTCCAGGATCGGTCGGATTTCCCCTTTTAGCTACGGTGGTTAAAGCTGTCTGGTTGGCTTTCTTTTCATTCTCCCATCAATCGGCTCCAGCCCTACATGATGCGCGTGTTAACTATGGCTCGGCATTGATGCTTACAACCACTGCTATCCAATCGCCAACTGAAGTAAAGAAAAACTCGACATTGATGTCATTGCTCCTTTTGAGTGTTTATGAGCGGCTCATCACCTGGGAGGGAAAGATTATTCCTTCAAACGCTCATCTACGAGGCGCTCTCGGGCTCGTACTCTATCGCGACGGCGATCAATTCAATGATCCTATCAGAATGAACATCCTCTTAGGATTATCTGAATTCATCATTATTGACTGCCTTGCCCATGAAACAGACATACCTGGGGATCTATTGACGTTAAAATTGAGAGTGATAACAAACAAAGCTGCCTCTCCAAAGTGGCGTTTTCTAGAATTGCTGCTTGAATATGCACAGCTCAAAGAGATGCTGAGATATGGGGTTCCCCCCGAAATGGCAATCTCTGACGCTAATCGGCTTATGGGCAGATTGGACGAAATGTCCCATATCCTACCTCCATTGACATATAGAGAAGATTTGTCTTCTTCTGAAGCTGCATCAATCACTTACCCAGATCACAATACGCGAAGGAGTTGGAACAACATACGAGTGATGCGAGTTTTGTTAGCAGACATCGTACGCGAACAGTGCACTATCTCACTCAGCGGCACTGACATAACGGATCCTGTCCTTATCAGCCAAAAGCTCCACAATTCAATATGTACCATTGTCTCTGGCTGCTCGAAAATATGTTCTTCTGCTTCAGGAGACTGCATTTTAGGTGCGGCATCAGGAAGCGTCTCAAGCGTGCAAATCAGTACACTATTTTTCCATCTCTATGCTGCGTATACTTTTGCTATCCTTCCACAGCAGCTCAAGCAAATACTATATCGACGCTTACAAGACCTCAGTGAAGGCCAATTCCCGGGCATCCAGAGATTGATGAACCAATTATTACAAGACACTAGTGCCTACCAAAAGAATTTCTGGAAAGTGTGGCTTCGACTTGGAAAAGAGAACTTCTCGATTTGATCATTCTATCCAATTGCTATTCCGCTCGTTAACCCGCTGCAGCAGAATATCATATGTACTCCTCTCAGACATGTCACACCTAGTACTCAACCAATGCTTTTGCGGCCGGGGGATATCTATCGCCCGCAACTGGGTGTTTATCCAAGATGGCACTCAACTTTGAGATGTCATCATCGGTCAGTTCGATGTCTTCTGCGTTCTCAGACAACCTCTCTACGGTCCTTGAACCAGCCACAGGCACAAGGACGGGCATACCCGGCTTTCGGCTCTGGATTTTGATCCAGTTCAAAGCTAGTTGAGACGTCGTGCAACCTTTCTCTGTGGCAAAAGTCTTCAACTCCTTTACAAGCAACAAATTCGTATCAAAGTTCTCGGGCTGCCAACGCGGAAAGTTGCGATGATAGTCATTCTTTGGCACATCGTCCAAGCTCTTGAATTTTCCAGTGAGCATACCCGCTCCTAGGGGTGTGTGGGCTACAACGACAATGCCCATTTCACTGCAGATAGTGGCCACGCCATTCTCAAAGACATCAGTGGCCCATAGACTGATTTCGGCCTCGACCATATCGATTTTAGCGACGGCTGCGGCTCGACGAATTGTTTCAACCCGCACCTCGCTCAGCTGGATTCCTCCGATTTTGCCCTCCGCCTTCATCTCCGCGAGTGCCTTAATGCTTTCTTCCACCGGAACGGCAGGGTCGGTTCTTGCACAACCAAAGATATCAATCTTCTTCTTACCGTCAAGAATTTTGAGGGCATTATCAACAGATGCACGAAGGTTTTCAGGGGAACAGTCCATAGTGAAAGTCCTCATATCCTTTATTCCGCTTTTGATACACAGCACTACCTTGTCCGCGTCCTCCGGATAGGCGGAGAAATAGCGTTTCATGAGATGGAGAGAGTTATTGTCTGGGGTTCCATAGAAATCGCCCCCGTTCCAGACATATACTTCAGCGGCAATGGCAGCTTTGAGGACTTTGAAAGTCTCTTCGTCCGGTTGGCTGAAACCGGGTTGGGTGAAGCCTATCAGAATGATGAGATTAGCTAGTGCACAATGCTTCTGGTAGGGAGAGATGCATACGCATTAGTCCTAGGCCATTTTGGGTGATTCTCTTTCCTGCAAGGTATGGCATTGTGGATTTTCAGGTGAAAATTAGGTACAACTTTAGCAAATATATCGACAGTTGAAAAGCTTTTGGAATGAGGAAAATGGAAGCAAAATGATCTAGTTTCAACAGGGAAAATCGGGCCTACTTATAGCTTCTCAGGCTTCAAATGTTGGTAAGGCCACGGCGATGTCGTTGCAGCCTATTTTCAGTCTTCATACCTGAAGTCTATAATATGTCTGTACAATCCTTGTTTAACTCCGTTCAATGTCCGGAAAACCAGCTGGTTACTATATCTGGTCTAGTCTGACGCTGATACAGCCTATCAGCACTCTTTGAAGTGTAACCACAAGCATCAAGCAACGAATTTGACACCAACTTCTTCGCTCAATTCCATTCTCTCGGAATTACATATGGTAGTCGACCCAATAATGCAATCTTTTGGTAAGTTCAACGGCGCAAAAAGACTTCCAATTTGTTCCAAGCATATCATACCGTATCATACAGACGCACCAAATCAATGATACACATATTTAGTTGTGTTGGTATATCGACAATCAAGATCAATGCAAACCCATTTGTGCAAAATTGACCTCCAGATCAGTCGCATGTGTGACCCCCTCTACAGCCTGGTGATTCTGACCACCAACTGGCGCTCCACATTCAGGACACACAGACCTTTGCATCGCCATACCGCATTCTCCAATTGTGAACGGATGTCCATTTTGACAATAATACCAATGMCCCGTACCGCTGAATTCGSGAGCCATGGCCGCAATAACAGCCATGCGCTCTTCGTTTGTGACTTTGGCGTAAAAAGTCGTGCCACGAAGCATCTTCTCCGCGCCTTCAATGTCGGTAATCAGGCCCTGAGTTTGAGCCGGATGTCCGTTACAAAGTGTCTTAGCTTGATCAATTGCTTCTGTGCCTAGAGTCAAGTGTTGTTCTCCCATTTCGGGTGCTGAGGCGTATGGTCGCTCAAGTGCGTGAAGTTGAGCTAGGAATATGTAGCCCTCTGCCTGATGGAGAAGACGTTTTGATTCAGAGGCGTTTCTGATCAATACCTCGCATTCCTCTCTTATAGTTGATAGATCCATATCGACTTTTATTTCTCCGGATTTGGGAGTATTTCGAAATAGCTCAAAAAAGTCGCCTAGCAGTGCAATATCCAATCGCAGACTCAATGCCGTTCCTTGGAGGAATCCCTTAGTTTGCAAGACCTCACTTCCAAATTCAAGGTCACCAGAGAACTCGACAGTTTCTTGTCGGCGTCGTGCATTTGTGGCCAGTTGACGGACTTTGGCGTACGGTTGCTCCTCTGGGGTGACTCGTTTCTGATACGTGGCGATGCGCTGTCGCAAATCCACAATCTCTTTCCATCTCCTGTTTTGTTTCGCGGAGATGATAAGTCGTATACAATCAACCAGAACATCGCGTTTACCTTTAATGTTGATCGCATTCGGCCAGGGAATAGATCGGTCCAATTTGGTATCCTGTAATTGTTGGATTCGCTGTGGAAGCTCCTGCGCAAGTGGAACGTATTCGCGGTTCAAATACAAAACGAGTTTTTTGAAAGACTCATCCAAAATAGCCCGGCGAACCAAGCGTCCATAACGAGCAATATCTCTCAGTGGCCCACGGCAGCTAGCACATACCTTGATGTCGCTGATGGAAAACGGATCCGACGAGGTGGAGATTCTACTCGGTTTTCCACGTTCGTCGAGAACGTAGTATTTGTTCATCTCCATTAGTCCATCCATATTCTCTATCGTGAGAAAATGTCCACATTTGGGGAATATGCACGGATTATCGTCAAGGTCGATGTCTTTGTATACATCTCCCAAAATGAAGTCGACCGGGTAATCCTTGATCTCTTCACTGCCACAGGTTTGGCAGTATTTCTCAGGCGGACAGATCTCTCCGCAGACCGATGGACATTGGTGTCCACAAGCCAGCAACTTATCGCATCTCATTGAACATGGAACATGATTACATGGCGCAGCACAAGGCATGGAACATGTACTATGTGGACACGACGACAAACACTTCTCTTCAGCACAAGGAGTGCAAGGCTCTGAACACTTCCGTGCGCATTTGGAATGTCCGCAGTGGACTTCGCAGGGCAGTTGACATGGAGGGCATAGCTGTTCACCGTGGCAAGCAATGTCACATCTGTGAGCGCACGTATTTTGATTTCGGCCACATTTCTGTCGACAGATACCATGATCCGTGTTGAGTTCCCCTGAGTCAGATTTTGTTATGCACTTGGAACATGGGTTTTTGCACGGATGACCACATGCCAATACACTCCCACACTGCACCGTACACTTGTACTGAGGCGAGTCGACATCAACATGACATGCAACTCGAACTTTATGGTTGCAATTTGGGACTGTCTTCTCAACAAGCACAGAGCAACGCACGATTGACAGATCCTGGCTCTGCCAGCAGGGAAGCCTTTGCACCACATGACCGCAACTCAGTCTTCTATCTGCCTGAAAGACAACTTCTGTACATTTGATGGGACATCTTTCACCACATTTCCTCGTACAAGAGTGAGAGCAACCCTTCCGCGGCCGCTGACAAGGTTCGAGGCATTGGACAGCGTTGTGGAGAACCTCTGAATGACATTTCTGAATGCATGCATGGCCGCACGATAAGCGGTTGATGCATCGGAGATTACATCCTCCTTCAGGTGAAACTCGTGGAAAGTCGTCGGAATTCGAAACTGTGATCAAAGTGTCGGGATGGCGTGGGCATTGCAACTCCAAGCTTGTGCCAATATTCTCGTTGCGCTTGAATATATCGATGACATCGGCCCACATGGGTATATGCATGGAGGTCATGGAGTTTCCAATGATGTACATTCCATGCTTTGCTCGAGAGAGAAGGACGTTGATTCGGTTCGATGTTCGTAGGAAACCACATTTGTTTTGCGGGTTACTGCGCACTAGCGAAATAACGATCACGCTGGCTTCCTCTCCTTGAAAATTATCGATTGTGGCTACCCGTAGGTTTTGCAGGAGTGTACCTTTCACAGCAGTTGGGGTAGGGCCTTGTTCTTCGTCTTCTTGAAGACCAGCCTTGTCAAGATCATCTTGATCTCGATCCCCTACGGTGATTGCAAATGACCTGCCAAGCCTCCTCCTCAATTTCTGTAGCTGGCCCAAGTAAGGCGTGAGAACGGCTATTTCGCCACTGCCATACTCTCCCTGACAAATCAGGTGGTTGACTAGTGCAGTAGTCATTTCAACTTCGTAATCGTTCCATCGCGACGTCGCTGTTGCCTCCGAATTCGACGGGTTGCCCTCGAGTTCGCGGTGATCTAGCCAGAACAATCTCTTACGGATTCCCTTGACAGCGGGGTACTCAGACACTGAAGGAGCATCTTGAAGCCGTGGGTACAACGTCTCACGCACGAGCTGAGCGATGGAAGGGTGCATACGGCGTTGTGTCTGTAGTGTACTATAAGGTAGTCCGCAGCCCATGGCACTGTCCGTTTCAACAAGACGTTCAAATAGAGACACATCCAGTGAGTATCTCTCTCCACCATTCTTATTCTCGCGGGAGAGATCATAGTTCTGCACCTGTGGACGGAGTTGATAGTGGTCTCCAATAAGAATGGCATGCTCTACTGATGGTAGCAAAGCTGTAAGAAGATGCGACTCGAGGACTTCACCAGCTTCTTCGCATAGCACGATCTTGGAATTTAGTCTTCGCAGCATCTCAAGATTTCTGGCTAATCCGGTAGTGGTGACCCCAATGACATCGGCTTGGCTGAGGCACCGCAGATCGACTTCGCTTCGAATATTGTCAAAGTCGCGTTTAGTATGAGCATACGAGTGGCATATACCGGTCAATTCTTGGTGCATCTCTTCTTGTATTTGCAGCCGCCAATGTGCGTAGAGGCTCTCTCGCTCAGGCTGTGTCATTTGTAAGAGAGGAATTGATTCAAGTCGCTCGATATGTCGAATCTGTTCCTTTGAGACTCTTCCACCAGACCTGCGCCATTGATCAAACACTTTTCCGGGATTATCGTTATGCGCTTTCTGAAAACCCTCTTCGTCAATTCCAAAAAGCTGATTATAATATGTAGGGTAGCTGTCGCGCAAATGGGCCATCACACGAGCCGGCGAGATACCCTCTCGAAGCCCTATTTGGTTGAATTCCTTCTCACACGTTTCCAGTGAAGTATGGTGACTCCACAAAGCACTCTTTTCCATTTTTGTCTTGTCGAATCGTCTGGCAAGCTCCCGCAGATTGTAGGGTTTCAGGGTCTCAGACTTTGACTGTCCTCCCATGCGAACGATTTGCTTCGTGACATTCTTTTCCAACAAGGACTCCAACAATTGATCTAGCGCATGATTCGTGTAGGTCACACAGATTATTGGACCGAGTTTCTTCTTCTTCTTCTTCCCATCCCCCTTGTTGGCCAAGAGAACCTTAACAAGCGCAACACCTGTGTAGCTCTTGCCGGTTCCAGGTGGTCCTTGAATCAAGCCAATCTTTCGTTGCAGCGTGTCAACAAGAGCAGATGCTTGGGCGTCGTCCAGGCTCGAATTTTGACACAACTTTTGCAAATCAGTAGGATGACCGACACGAACAAAGAAGTTGCTGTTATCATGCATCAAGCAACTTAGATTGAACTGAAAGCCAGGATCCGTTGCGTAGAGAGGAGGGGGGACATCAATCGGAGACCCAACTTTTGAGCTGTTTGGGATGAGTAATTCAGAGAAAGGAAGGTTATCACTTTTTCTCATTGACTGAAGCGCTTTCATGGTCGGCTCGAATGCAGGAAGAAGAACACCCGGGAATTCCACAAGAGCGATTTGAGAATCATGAATCTTGGTGTAATGCTTCATGACCATTTCAATACTCCTCTCGCTCGCATTGGTCAATTGCAGATAGACAGAAGCTTCCTCGGAATTTTTCCTTAAAGCATCTGAGTCCTTTATCTGGGATCTGGTATTATCTCGTCCTTGTTGCTTTCGCGTTGGCGCTTGCGTTTCGGGGTTGATGACGGTACAGAACACCACAAAGTTCCGCTGCATGATAAGACAGACCAAAGCCCCAGATTGCAGACGCTTGGACATATTCCACCATTCTTCACGTTGTGTGGCGCTCATTTTGCTGACTTGAGTCGGTTGGGAAAAGCTAAGCTTGAACTGAAGCCCGTCCTGCCAGTGGAATCCAAGCTCCACGATTCTGCCAGCTTGATAAACGTTGGTACGCTGTTGATTCTTCTGTTTCGGGGTGGTTCGTGATGACTGGAGTACGGAGTGGATGGCGTCGCGGAGAAGGCCTACAGTGTCTTCGCGCAGTAACCGGAAGTTGCGATCCAAAAGTCCGTGAAGGCCATCTTCATGCCACTGTGAGGGGTCGTACAGAGGTAGGTACTCACTACGACGACTGCAAATCTCTTGAAAGGTCGGCATAATGCGGATTTGACTGATATCTTTGAAGTCATTGTCGTGGCGGCCACCAGGAGGGTCGTACCTGATAACAAAAGCTCCTTGCGACTTTGGCTCTTTGGATGGTTCGTCTTGAGTCATATTTGGAAGCAGAATACCAATATGAAAGCGGCGAAGTAAGCGCTCCAGATGCACTCGTGACTCGTGCAAGGGATTTTCTGGGTGATCAGTGACCAATGTACTGAATATCGTCTGAAAGTGACTCGCACAGTTCTTCAGGGATTCCTGAACAAGCGCTGTGGAGTTGAGATCCACGATCCGCGAGAATACTACAAGAGAAGCCTCGAGCCACTCCGAAGTAGATTCATCTTCGGTGCAGTGCATGAGAATTTCGGAACAGAATGTCAGGAGCCCTGAGGCTCTTTCTCCCCCAACTCCAAATAGGAAATTGTAAATGGTTCCGACCGACCGTTCGAGTATCAACGATTGCAACACGTCAGGATGAGCAACGGTTTTTAGTAGTGGAACAAATTGCGTTTTGAATAAGTGCTGCTTCGTGCTTACAGAAAGTTGTTCAAAGTTTTGTTCTACCAGCATCTTGATACACGCAAGACCACCCTCCTCAGAGAGCTTCTGAATGACTGATTGACGAACACCTACATCGACTCCAATCAGTCGATACGCGTTCTGAAATATCGCAGCAAGCTTGCCGCCAGGCAGTACAATTTTGCTGTTCAGAGGAATGCTATACTTCCAGGATCGAAACTCTCTCTCCGAGTTGGACAAGTTGTTGGACGGCGGTGCAGAATTTCTCACGGTATTGGATGGTTTCTGTCCATTTGCTATGTGCTGAAATTTGCAGTTCCTGTACTTGCACGTTCCGTTGATCGCAAATTGACGACATACCCTGTTCGAATTAGTGGGACAGACTTGAAATGGGTATGGTGATGCTCGAAAACGAACCCTTGAGGTGCCATGCTAAAGCCTTCGTCCAAGAGAAATACCAATCACTATTACCAATAGTCATAAATTCTCGTGTGTTGAGTTTTATTAGGGCTCGGGACGTCTTCAAGGTAACGACAAAGTAAAGATTTGCTTTAGAGTCGCAGCTAGAATTTATTAGAAGGTTAAAAGGAAAAATGGTCAATATGGATATAATTAATTTTGTCATCCAAGGAGAGAAAAAGCAAGAAATTTTCCACATGATTTATGTGGTCTCTTATACTAATGGATCGATATCTTGACTGGCAAATGCCGTTAAGATATGGCCTCAATTGTAACCAATAAAAGCCTGTCACGTTCATGTGAAACTCATGCACAAACAGCGTCGAGGAAAGAAAGAAAGAATAAATACACGAGGGCCAATTGTTTATGTGTCTGTGATGCAAGGCTGTTACACAAGGATGTGCCACATAGCATGCGCCGCAAGGCTATATCTACCTGACTTGACCTCCGAGGCTATGCACTTTAAGGATTTTAATTGGAAGATTACCTGTTCAGTAATTTGTACTATTTTATCTTACATGGAAGCAAAGCCACAGATAGATAGCATCCGGGAATCAAAATGATGGGAAATGCATGAAGGCGGGAGTACTCTATGGACTAAATCGAGGTTCGTAGTTACATGGATCTAAACCTAACAGCCTACAAAACGATTTCACAATTATATTGAAAGAACACGTGCCGTATTTTGGGTAAGTGGTGTTATTATGAGCTTATCTAACGAGACACAATGCTAATCCCTGACGCATCCTAAGCTGATGATCCAGGGTCCACCTCATCTGGCCCCGGCCTCGCAGTCTCCTTTCCTTTCCCAAATACTCGACTAACAAAATCAATGCCAAAGCCAGTCCAGAGCGTCAGTGCTATAACAAAGCACAACGCACTCGCCCAACCATGAGTGTGGCTAAATTTCGGCGCCTGCCCACTAGGCAGCTGGTACTGCTGAAACGGAATCACCACCGCCTGTCCAAAACTAACCATAAAAGCAAGCGTCAAAGCACGAAGTTGCTGATCACCACCACAAGTTGAATTAACCCAACCTGCTAAAATCGGGGTATAACATCCATAGCAGCCCGAGAGCAGGAAAGCGGCCATCTTGAGAGACTGCGATGCAGGCCAAGCGGTGAAAATAGCAAAACAGAACGTTAAAAGACAGCCTACCGCGAAACAGACGGGGCTGAATTTGCCAATTCTGTCAATGATGATACCGGTGCTGACCATGAAGACGAAGTTGACAGCCCCTAAGCCGGTTGGGATATTGTTAATCTGCGGCACGGAGTAGGTGCCAAGCGACTTCAGCCAGATTTGAAAGTACTGCATGACGTACGAACCAGCCGTCAAGGTCCAGAAAGCGTAGGCAAGTGTAAATGTGTAGAATTGCCAGGATCTGAGAACCCGACTGATCACGGACAAATCGAACTTGCCAATAGGGGTGCGACCATCTTCCTCGATTCGGGTTCTTGCACGCTCCCGTTCAATTTCAGACAAGTAAAAGGCTCGAGTGTTCTGCGGCGTGTCAGGATAGAAAAATAGACCGTAAAGCGCAACCGGCACCGCTAGAATGAAATCAAAAATGAAAAGCCATCGCCAAGCAGACAATCCACCTTTTCCCTCCATGCCACGATAGAGCGCAGACTGCAAATAACCCGAAAACATCTGACCCAGGACGCCGGACATCACAAATAAGCCACTGCGTCGTGCAATCTCGGATCTCTTGTACCAACATCCAAGTACATACTGAACTCCAGGCCAGGCCGCAGACTCAAAGAGACCAACACAGAATCGCAAAGCATAAAACTCGGACGCCTTTGTAGACTTGGAAAAGCCGAGCACGAATAAAGACCAAGCCAAAAGACACCCAGGCAGCCAAAATCGAGGTCGGATTTTGGTCAGCGTCAGATTAGATATAGGACCTCCGATGATAACGCCAATGTTGAAATAGGTATTCATCCAGCTAAGTTCGTTTCCCGGTCCGAACTTGAGCTCCTCCTGCATACCCGAAACGTAAGCATTAGAGATGTTGTTTTGATCAAGCTGTTTGATGAAGAAGTAGAGACAGCTGAAACTGAGCAGGAAAAAGTCGAGTTTAAAGATTAATCTCTTGTCGGCTTTTGATGTGCCTGGCTCATGCCAGTGCAGCCATGGATGTTTGTGTGGTGCCGGCTCTGTCGAGCTGTTCGTCGTGGTGTCGCCATCATGACCATATTTGATACTGATTTCGGGGTCTTTACCCTGAATCACTCTGGGGTCTTGAACGACCTGATGGACAGATGAAGCCATTGTGCTGGCGTATCAAGAACGTGTCTGTCTCTCAGAGAAATGTTACTCAACTCACACCAAGAGCCTCCAACAAAGGACATCGACCTTCTACAGGAAGGTTTAGTTTGGGAATCGCCATTTATGTCGTTCGGTCTCAGTCCATATAACCACGGTGATACTCGTAAGTTCGCAATGTTGCCATTGCGTCCAAGACTGATGCAAGAGCTATCCATGAAGTCGTGATAGCCAGTGACAATAATACGATAGGAGCAAGTCCAGTAGAATCAGACGGAGCGGGGCCGACAGCACATTGGTTTGGCGGACCCAGTCGGCGGAGCTCCGATGTTTATTTCCAGATTGGGCTTAAATGCAACAATTGCCGATAAGGCTCCGATAAGTGAAAAGAAGTCATGAGGTGTTTCTTTTGGAGAACGCAATAAGAGGCCTGGAAGTCGTGCAAAAAAAGGTCTGATACCGAAGATCTTATATTCAGCACTTGCAAGGATCGATTTCATATAAACACCACTTCAGTACTTATTGCTACCTAGGTATCATCTTGGGCAGTGTGGCGGAGACTATCAACGGCGACTTCAAGGTTCATCAGATTGCCATTATTGGAGCCGGAGCAGCAGGATTAGCAGCAGCTAAGTATGTATCCGCCATAGAAGTGAAAACACCGCAGTCAGAGTCCTAATTATTCCATAGCTATTTGTCGAGCGCAGAAAAATATCCACATATCAAGGTCTTTGAGCAACGGATTTGGCCGGAGGGACGTGGAACTATTCGCCTGATACAAGGGTACCTAGTAGAACGGTCCCTAAGACGACGCCGGGCGACAATAACAAGACACCATATGAAGCCGTATCTTCTGATGATGGCTTCGTAACGCCGCTGTACCGTGATCTGGACACCAATATTCCTCACAGCCTGATGAATTTCTCCACGCAGCATTTCCCAGAGGGCTCATCACTGTTTTCTTCCTGCGATGTTGTCACCAAATATCTTTATCGGTACGCCGAGCCATTGAGACATTTGATGGATCCGCAGCTTCAAAAGCACGCATCACAGCCGCAGTCACAACCGGATAACCCATAACAAAATCATGCAATCCAATCTTCAATATCTCCTCCCTTATAACGCCATGATCCGACTTACACTCCACCACAGAGCCAGCAGCACCCAAATTTACTTTTGAGTCCAACTTCTTCTGTTCGAGTTCCTCACTAATATCACCGGCAATAGAAGCGTTGACTGATTGCCAGAACAGTACTTCCGAATGATGCCAAGGGGATATCGTAATCGTCCTGAGTATGTATGTATGTCAAGCGGTATCGCTCGCCATTCACCTCATTCAACCGCACATTGCGCGCAATACGGTGTTTAATTGACCACTTATCCCGTATATAACGTCGCAGATCGTCGAACAGCACCAGAAACTACGCAAGCGGCGACAGCAGCGGAATCACACCTGCCACACTATACATCGAAAGCAGCGTCGCACAATCGATAAACAGCGCAATAAGCACCGTACGCGCAAACACCACAGGCGGCGACTGTAGCGCAAGTCGCTTCGACACAGCGATGCTTACCGCGGCCACCCATCTACTGCCCGGAGATGACGATCTGCGACGCCGGAATACCAGCGACATTTATAGCCCAGTCCACGACGGCGAGAGCGTCAAGCACAAGTCCATTCTCAGATAGCGAGCTTGTACTGTACCCAAACCCGCGAAAATCGAATGTCAAAACGTGGATTTTGCAGGGTTGCCCGGTTGATATGGAAGCTCGCCGTCAAGAGTCTGGATTGAGAAAGGGGTGGGAAAGCTAAAAGTTCGGGGAACATTGAGGTCTTTGAGCCATCTCATTTGCACGGTGTGCAGCTATCCTACGAGTGATAGGGAGGTGTTTGTGGTGAGAAGGGCCAGAAGTGCAGCGTACAGCCCGACGGTTGCCGCTATGAAGATGAGAGCATATTCGACTAAAGTAGCCACGACTTTACCTGCTCCCATGGTGAGTAACGTGCAGTTCGTATACTGTATCATACTTCAAGAGAGAAGGTAAGACTTTCAGCGGGGATGCCCCGTTGATCTACGTACAGCCTTTTGGCGGCCCCACTGCGGTAACTATCCAGGCACTGACTCACTGAGTGTATCTTGAACCAGAAACATTAACTGTATCTATATGTAGAATGTACAATTTACTCTATCTAGACACAAGACCAAGACTGGTTTGATGCACCATCCCAAGAGAAAGCATCAACCTCCACGTCCATCTTTCTATGACACCAAGCTGTATAGCTAGTATTGTTTGATACAGGAAATCTTTCTATCTGAAAGAAGACAAGGACAAAGGGAAGAACATATAACCAACATGCTTGCAATAATGAGAAAAACAAAATCCACGAGGACATGGAAGCGAAATTGTATATCGTGATCTGTACCAATCCAAAGGTCGCACGAAGGTTTTGCGATAGATGCAGTGACATTATGGAGATGAGAAGGAAAGATGTAAGTATTGTCATGCAGTAGCAGATCCGGATATCGACATTGAAGAGAATGCATATTTTTGTGTAAATCAGTCAATGCAGAAGAGCTTATTGCTTAGATCCGCCGAATATTTTGGGAAGTGAAGCACCTTCGGGCACTTTGATGCGACCAAAATTCTCGTCAAGATCAAGAATCAATTTCAGAGCATTTCTTGATCGAAGGTAGGGAAGTGGGGCGGTGGTTGATGGCACCGAGGACGTTCCAGCCGTGGAAATAGGCGCGCCGTGATCCTCGGATCCAGGTAACGGCAATGCCTTTTGCAAAACCTCATATGCGGCTAGTGTGAAACCGAACTGAGGTGATGATCGGAGAATACGAGCTGGGCCGCCCTTGAAGAAAGCCTTGAAGCCTTCCTCCCTCATGATGGTAGACGCGCAGTGACGCAGAGAGGTGTATTTTGTTTCTCCCTTGCGTGCTTCTACCTGCAGACGTGTCTTGATCACATCGCATGGCGTGGTCAGATACGCTGCAGGCATACCAGCGATAGCACCGGCTGTGAGAAGTTGCAAAACACCGAGTTTATGTGTGGCGGTCTCTCCGAAGAAGTCTGATTTCAAGTGCGCGTAGGTAGGGAAGTAAATAGCAGAGAACGGGACTATCAGCTAATCAGAATACTGTTCAAGACACGTCAAGCATGATACTCACCATCACGAAGAAGACAGGCACTTGCACCCTTGTACAACCCAACAAGACCCAAATTTCGGACAATCCACATCGCAGAGCGTTTCGGGGTTCCCTCCACGCTCTTTGCAAGCTCACCTTGCACTTGGAGACGAATTTTGACAATTTCTAATGGGTTGGTGAAAACCTTAATAATGTAAAATTAGTAAAAATCAATAGCATATTAGTTCAAGGCCACTTACGACTTGACAACCACCGGCAGAGGCACCAGCCAGGATCTCCCATGGCAATTTGATCTTGCCAGTCTCCTTATCGGTAGCGTAACCACGGACCAAGTCATTGACCGTCAATTTGATGGCCTTCTCAGGGGCAACACCGATTAATTGCGGAATGACACCGGAGTACAAACCACGGATGCCCTCATTGCGAATGACCTTTCTGGCGCAATCAATGGAGTTGTTGTACAGTCTCTCTCCCGGTCGAGCACTACGTTGATTCTGCATGCGGGTCTTGACCAAGTCAATGGGGTAGACCATGAAGGCACCAAAGGCACCTGCAATACTTCCAAGACCGAAGTGGTGGGCGGACTCGAGAAGACTCTGCAGAAACGATTTGGCATTTTCTTCCACTTTGGCGATTCCTCCGGAAAGGTTATCTAGGCCGCGATCGGCGGTTTGCCACGACGCATCAATCACCTTTGCGAAATCTTTCAAGGACAATCTCCCGCTAGGAGCTTCCAAGCCTGCAAAGTGGAACAAAATGTCCGCTTCCATGGGTGTGAATTGCGAGAAACGTGTGATGCGCGCGGCTTCATTGAGGAATTCGGCACGGGTGATCTTTCCGTCCGAACTCTTCTTGGTTGCCTCCCGAATAATAACATCAATCATATCCATCTCACGGATGATATTTTGAAAGGCGCGCACGTTGGCGTAGGAAATCTTGCTTCCGGACGATATGTTACACAAGGTAGGGAGGTGTTCTAGGAGGTAGTCGGAAAGCTTATGTTTCGAGGTCTCAAGGATAATGCGCTGAAAGTCTTCTGGTGCGATATATCCATCACCGTCCTTGTCGAAAAGGTGGAATGCCTGGCGTATACGCTCTCCTTGAAGTCCGCGAAGCATCTGGGCGAATTGAGGGTAGGTCATGTCATGGCGAGTTTTCTTTCTTCCGATATACAACGAAGCCCACTCGGAGTTCCAGTCGAACGGGATAGTTTCGGATCCCTTGTTCTGGTCGTACAGCTTTTTGAAGGTCTCGAATTTGATCGCGCCAGTTCCTTCCACATCGAACAAACGGAACGCAATTTCGTATTCAGCGTCGGGCTTTGCTAAGAGGTTCTCGAATGCGGCCCAGTCGGTCAAATTGATACGTCCCTCCCTTCTGCGATCTGCGACGCGGAAAAGGATTCCATATTGATCACGTCGGATTTTGTGCTGAAGTACATTCTATCAGAGACAGCATTGAAATGCGGTAAATGCTAATACTCACATAATCTTGATGTTTGGGCGCAATGGCATCGACGAATTCGTCTTCGGTCATGTAGAGCTCTCCGGAGCTCTCATCCTTGCGCGCATGTTGTATGAAGTTGGTCTTGATCTGCTGCGACACTGAAAGCTCCTCCTCCTGGGTTCCGACCAAGGTTGCCTTGACGGCTGCGGTGACTTTTGACATGCTGTAACCGGCTTTCTAGAAATCTATCGCTAAGAAATGATGGAAACGATGGAATTGCGATGACCGATGGTTCATATGCTGGGGTCGGTCAATTGACGATTAGTAAAGGGAGCAATAACAAACGGCGCCTCTTTTGTGAACCAACCGAGAACAAAACAAAGAAATGAGAATGAAATATGGAAATAAGATAAGAAATGCCCTCAACAAGCAATCGCAACACACGAATAACACAATCTACAGTGTATGCGTGGAAAGGCATGAAGCGAAAGACGAGTCACAGCGAATCTCCACAGAAAACATTCAGTCAGTCAGGGCAGGCCCGCTCGGCGGCAATTTGATAGCGAAAAGTTTTTGCCCCGAACCACGAGAGGCACACCGCCTTTGCCGGCTGCTCCTTCTGTTCCTGGCCTGAACTGCCTGTTCGGACTTGTGACCGCMCCTGCCATGCCAGCATTTAACCGAGTCTCTTTTCTTTTTCTCTTATAACTAACCGATGCATACCATCACAGATTATATAACTACTGAAGTGTCCTTCACCTCTCTCGATTCGTTCTATTGTTGATAATACATATGTATACGGATAAAATATCCCCCACGCCCTGCTGTAAGGAGTGCGGCATTTTCTCCCAATCACGGCCTGTCTCGATCTGGCAAGTATAGCGGACACGCAAGTGCCGCCGGCTCGGAGAAGGTCCGTCTGCTTCACACGCCGTCTTCATGTGTTCAGAAGCAAGCGCTGGTTGTACATTATGTGCATCGTGCCCGTATAGGTAATAGCGATCGAGAACAGTCACCGAGCTCCTGAATGATCCGATGTTTGATCTATTTCTGCGCGCCTCGTGACTTGTGACGGAGTCGAGGCCACCCAGTGGATACGTTTCCCCGCACCAACCGCCGACTTACTCCAATTCTTCCACCGAAAGATCCGGAGACATTACATATACATTGGAGATCTTCAGAGTGACTGATGAAACGCATCGATCTGATGCGATTCTTATACCGCTTAACCATCGCATCACCTACGTTGCCGTTTGGATCTCCTGCGAGTAACCACCGTCTCGGCTGCCTGGACAACAAGATCTTCTTTCTTAACCGGCTTGGTATCATCGTCTTCAAGTGGCCGCTTAACAGCAACCGTAGATGTAATAGTCGTCTTCACCGGCACATCATCTTCCTGCTTGACTTTAACCTCCACCTTAGTAGCCAGCCGATCAGAAAAACTTCTGAGATCTGCCGTAAACAAAACACTATGAGCCCACCCGGCTTCTTTGCCCCAGAGTTTGCGAAAGTGTGCTCCAACGGCATCGTAGGTGGCTTTCGTCAAGGACTTGTTACCGCCCTTGCCGAACTTATAATCTCGTTGCGCAATTTGCCAGACTGATTGGTATTTTGTCAGTCAAAAAGTTCCTGCATCGAATCAAATATGCGTCACTGACCGTGTGTGTCGACCGGTACTGCTTCTCCCCAGCCAAGACCCATTAAGCAAACGCAGTCAGCCACCTTAGGCCCGACGCCTTGTAGTTCGAGAAGTTTTTCATGTGCGTCGCGATATCCCTCTCTACCTTCAGGACGCATTTCTCCTCCCGGGCTCGGCGCACAGCCAAACGCAGGACTCTCAGGATTGCGCAGAGAGTCTAACCATCCCTTTTCCTTTTCTGAAACCATAATCGCAGTCTGATATATATATTTCGCACGATAACCAAACCCCAATTCTCTAAGTCGTGCTTCAACATCCTTGCCTGTCAAAGCTTCTGGTGGTGGGAAATCGTGGTAGGATCGATCGTCAATGGTAGCCACCAGATCACCGTAATTTGTGCAGAGTTTCTCTACCATTTGCGATATGCGGGCTATGTTGTTGTTACTACTGCATATAAATGACACCAGAGCCTCCCAGGCATCCTGTCGTAGAATACGGATGCCCGTGAAGTTGGGCGCTTTTTTCTTGAAATTAGGGTCGGAGCCAGACCATTGGTCGTATAGATCGGTAAGGTTGGACGTCAGGTTGAGGTAATGAGTGACTATTTCGCGCGTTTCGTCTGATGCGTTTACTGTACCATTCGTCGGAAGCGAAGGCGTAACCAGGGGTTTTCGGGCAGCGCAAGATCGATAATACAAGTACGACGGGTCCTGTCGCAATGATATGAGACGCCCGCGAAGGACGCACCGCCATTCGTCATTGTCCGACGTTTGCTGCCATCTATCCAAAGCTCAATTAGCTTGCTTCTGAAAATGACTTCGTGTCCACCGACCTGAAAGATTGGCCGCATCTCAACGTGGTATTGATACAGAGCTCACTCAGACTGATGGGCAATTTGCGCCATTCTGTAAAATGTGCGGCCATTATGTAAATGAATGACTGAAAAGAACGCTTGCGCTCAACCCATACCGAAAAAAAGCCTCGATGTCCCCAACAGCATGAAAAGAAGCTCCGCAAAATACCTAACCCAAGCTCCGATAGGCGGGATAGACGCAGCGCGCTAAGTTCCGCGCTAGACGCCGGGCTCTTCTCAGAATTTGTCTGGACCATCCCAGCCGCCTTGGACAAAAGATTTGTAGCAAAGAGAGCAACGTCGAGCCATCGTTTCTCTTCTTTCGCGTACAATTTGTGTTCTCTCACATATATCATCTCATCTTTCTTCTCACAATTTTCTTTTTATCATCGCGATCGTGTAGGTGACTTCAGGTGGTGATCTTTAGCTTCGATCTTGCCAGGCTTGAACGGGATCAAAATGAACGGCGACGCATATTCTTCGAGAGGCAAGCCATCAAACAAGCATACTACTTGGACGAACTCGACTAACATATAATTTCAGACTCCGGTCGCTCTAGGGATCATTACGTAAGGATTCCTCCTACCTCATCCTACGACTATTCGAACCATACTGATTACATCTACAAACAGAGGGACGAAAGAAGAGATCGAGGCGAACGTGATAGAGGCGAACGACGACGCTCCAGATCGCCCCATCATGGCCCCGGACGAGGTTCGCGCCGCGAAGCCGAGGGAGACTCATATTCATCCAGTCGCGATTACAGAGCTAGGGAACGCGAAGACCGATATTCTGGTCGACGGGAGGAGCGAGAATGGGACAGAGATCGAGGCGATCGTCGTCGCAGGGAGCCTGAGGAGCGGCCAGCGCGACGAGAACGAGGCGATCGAGGCGACCTCTTTGAGGACCGACCACGTCGCCGAGAGCGCGAGGGACGAGACAGGGGAGAACAACGAAGACGAAGCGCAACACCTCCCAAGAAAAGAGAGCCAACACCTGATTTGACTAACGTTGTTTCTGTGTTGGAGCGAAAGCGTCGTTTGACCCAATGGGATATCAAGCCTCCCGGATACGAGAACGTTACTGCTGAGCAAGCCAAGATTTCCGGCATGTTCCCGCTCCCAGGAGCTCCTCGTCAGCAAGCAGTCGACCCAAGTCGTCTTCAAGCCCTCGTAAACCAACCTGCGGCGGCTGCCACTGAAAGTTCTGCTCTGCGACCATCCAACTCAAGACAAGCCAAGCGCTTATTTGCTCACAATCTTCCTCCCAACGCAACTGACGCAGCTCTTGTCTCATTCTTCAACCTGCAACTAAACGGGTTGAATGTCATTGAGAGTATCGACCCGTGTGTTTCTTCCCAGATTTCCAAGGATCACTCGTTTGCACTTCTGGAGTTTAAAGGTGCCAATGAAGCTACTGTTGCACTTGCCTTGGATGGCATCACAATGGAAGAACACGAAGCAGTGGCTACGGCCAACGGGGGCGCTCGAGGCTTGGAATTGCGCCGACCCAAGGACTACATTGTCCCGTCCGCACCAGAAGACCAACCGCCGTACCAAGAGGGTGTGATCTCCAATCAAGTCCCCGACTCGCCAAACAAGCTTTGCGTGACAAACATTCCTCTTTATATTCCAGAAGAGCCAGTGACCATGCTCCTGAAGTCTATTGGTGAATTAAAAGCGTTTGTGCTGGTCAAGGATAGTGGTACAGATGAGTCTCGAGTAAGTCGCATCTCAGACCGACGATATGGGTCTACTTACTAACTTCCATTAGGGTATCGCATTCTGCGAATACGTCGATGCCGCAGCGACTGCTATTGCAGTGGAAAGTCTGAACGGCATGGAACTAGGCGATAAGCATCTCAAGATTACACATGCTAGTATCGGAGTTACCCAAGCAGCTGGCCTTGATATGGGCGTCAATGCGATGTCAATGTTCGCGAAGACAACATCTGCAGATCTAGAGACCACCCGCGTTCTTCAGTTGCTGAACATGGTCACAGCGGATGAACTAATCAACAATGAGGACTACGAAGGTATGTACACCATTACACATTCCAGTACGAACTTTTTTATAGATTTTGCTAACTCGACGTTCCAGAAATCCTTGAGGATGTGCAAGAGGAGTGCAGCAAATATGGCCAAGTACTCGATCTCAAGATCCCCCGACCAGCCGGTGGCAGCCGACAGTCCGCTGGAGTGGGCAAGATATTCGTCAAGTTTGATACCGTGGAGTCGGCAACCAATGCCCTCAAAGCGCTTGCGGGCCGAAAGTTTTCAGACCGTACAGTTGTGACAACCTATTTCCCAGAGGTGAGTTGTTCATGTGTGTTGATAAATGATGGTTACTGACAGACTTAATAGGAGAGTTTCGAGGTTGATGCGTGGTAATACAACAAAACTGAGATAATGTGATGTGTCCCAATTATACCCTATAGCAACACATCGGAGGTTTCGTGGTATACTTTAAGATACCGCTCTCAAGACCGGGGGAATACCAGATTCTGGCCTCAAGCCGACGCGAGTTGTTCTACTCTGTTACTGCCCTAGTGTACTTTTACTAGGGAAGACAATCGACCTCTATTGTCCTTGACTTTCAGGGACAATACTCACCAACGGAGAGAGACTCTATCCTCGGTGCTCGCGATCAATGACTGTGGTTTTACTTATTTCTTTTGTGACGCGGTTAAGTGATGTACCATAGCCTTCTCTTACACTTACATTCGATGTTCTTTATGTAGTCTTTTGGGCAATGGTGCTGCTGTACTTGAAATGAAAAAGAGAGTCTTGAGCAATTTTTCATTTTTGACAGGTCTTTTTGCCTGCCTTAGATCCTAAATGGTTCGCTTCGTAGTTGATTGATGTTCGGTACTAAAATGTATCCAAGGGAAATCGATGTATCTCTCTAGGCCTACACAGCCTCAATTCACGGATTTTGGTAATCATCCAAAGTTCTTATTGGGTACTGCACCTAGTCACAACTCAATCCAGAAAGCCTCAAGCTTTGGATGGCTTGCCTAGGAGCTTTTGACTACAGTAACATCCATAATTATCTCAAGTGTTCCGAGGTTTATCTCGTCGTCAAGCTCATGGTTCTAGTACCATTATCCATAAATAATGATGCCTTTACCCGACTTTCCCATCCAGATGAAGTAACAAAGCTGGTGGTACAGACTCGGGACAGAAGGTGTCGGAGTGACTTTATGCAGGGCTGTTCAAGGATGCCAGTCATACTTACGACGCCGAGTCTGAGGTAGATAGATGATTCAATTAATGCAAAACGACTTCCATTTCTATGAAAAGGTCTCGGTGAGGACTTCGTCATCGGAGTGCCATCATCATGCAAAACCACGAGCACGACACATCAGCACTGTCTCACCATCCTCTCTCGCTCCTCCAGATAACAAAATCCCCAGTTAACCCGATGATATCACAATTTGAATATCTGATAATGTGGCCGGACCAAGAATGCAACACCGTTAAGAATCCTATCGGCACTTTTCGCTGTCACACTGTGTCACTGATCCTTCGGTTCAGGGTAGCAGTGTAGTATATCGATCCTTCGAGATTCCCACGCTACCCTGTGCATCTGTCAGATATACTTCCACCCACGTACGAAATGATCCTTCTGCCCCCTTACGTTTGTTTCATTCTGATACATAACACGGGGTGTTCCGCAGGAGTCTCATGGTAAATGGTGGATAGATGGATTAGTAGATACGTAGTAGATAGTGATACACTAAAGAGAAAGTGGACTGATAAGCACGTAGATAAAAAGATGCGACGTGAATGTAACCCTGAGGCTTTTTCGCTATAGCACTTTTGCCCCTTACCCTTAGTACCCTGCCGACTTACGTACGTCGTAGTGGTTAGACATCTCAAGACGCGAGTGTGAATTGGGTAAAATCAATTGACACAAAACCAATGGCAAAAAAAGGAGCGCGACTCGAACGTTTGAGGCTTGACCTCGAGAGTAAACTTTTTGATGTACGTAAGAAGCCCCTAGTCAAAGTTCGTGAGCAGGACTTCAATTTTGCCTGAATAAATCGACGATTTGCCGATCATCTCCCCAAATGAGGCAGGAAGTTATACCACTTCAGGCCATTACTTTGTGGAGTGAGGTGTAGCTCTCAGACATTTTGGGTAGTTATTACTTTTCCATTTTCCCATGGATGTGGATGTGGGTGTGTGGAATCGATTTCGTCTCCATTTTCTTGTCAAGATTGTAAACTACAATACGAACGCGGTATTCATACAGTACGTACGGGTAATACAGCCAAGCGCATAAGTTACCGAGCGGGTCCTCGGCATGGCATGGCCCGTGTTCCCCTGCTGCACGCTAGTCTTTTTTGCGTTATAAGGCCGTTTCGGCTTTTGCATGGCGTCCACTCAGAAAAGGGCCCCGCTAGACCCCGCCGCTAGCTTGCAGAGCTAATTCGATACTAATGCAGGTTATCATGTCCAGCCTCTCCTAGGCCTTTTCGTCTTTTACACTTGAGTGTCTCTTCTTGTCGGGTTGTCGACGCGGAGCATGCCGAATCCGTGTCGGAGACGTGGTGTGTTTCAGGTTGTGCGATCTCAGTTGAATATGGTTCTTCGCTTGGTTTTAACTTTCTCACAGATTCAGTTTTCGGATGTGCGAACTCTTCATCTGGAATGTATCATACCATCATCAGGCGGGAGATTAGAAGTATTAGCACTTTCAGCCACGGTCTATACAATGATAATTGCGCGACTCAAACCGCGTCTGATAACGCCACGCTGAGAAGCCGTAGCCTCCGCGTACCGTACCCCGTATTCGTGCTCCTGCGGTACAAACCGCGGGTGGTGGCCCAATGAAATTAGTTCCAAGCTAATGTATCTCTGTTTCTATCGTTGTTCCAGAAGGTTACTCTGAACTCGATTACGTCGTATGTACTCCATAGAACCAGCTCGGTCTACAGAGTACGTACAGAAACTACAGACCGGATGCAGTAGTCGACAGAGGATCCAAATATTGAGTACAACATAAACTTTGATAATCGCACGGTACCTACGTCAACGAATATTACAAACCGAACTAGCTACGCATTAGTCAAAGCCTAACCGACGGAAAAGTAAAAGTGCATATGTAAATCCAAGGGGGCAAAGAACGCCGGGAGATCGATGAATTGGCACAGCTGCAATCGAGTCGCAATCCATCAATGTTGGCCTGAGTCGCGACTCGTTATTTTCATTTACTTGCATACGTACGGGGTACGTACTGCCATGAGAACGATAGGCTGTTTGTTCATGAGCCTAGGTCCTTGGGGCAAGCCCTACAAAATTACTCCGCACTTTACCAACAGCAAAAATAGACGCTAAGCCGGATCCGGCACCAACATGAGAGTCATGTTTTAGGGTTATCCGAGGTTAGTTGGACGCAATTTATATTTGTTCATGACATATGATTCTACGCGACAATCCTTTCAAAAGTGACCGAAGAAGAGTCTACAAAAAAGATCAATAATGTTGATCCAAGGGTGAATCTCCAGTAGTTACCAACTCAGGAGCGATCTAGGCACGTGCTCACAGCACTAATTACTAGCAACACCTGCTATTTAATTTCAAGGTCTATATTTGAGAGATCGGCGTTCATGTTTTGTCCAAAGTAACTTTTTTTGTACCATGCTCAGGCCGATATAGTTCGGCGGCATGTGCTCGAACTTCCAGGTTCACGGGTTGAGCAAGGGGGGTTTAAGTTTGCAGATCGAACGTGGTCTATTGAGTTCGACTAAGTACGGAATATCCTTGAAACAAACACTCAATAGAATCACTCGGTCATGACATGCAGAACGTCTTTACTAAGAATTGATGTGGACATTAAGCGTACAGTTGTCTCATCTTAACTTAAGTCAAACATGGAACTGGTTCGGCATTTGCTCTTATTTCTAAACCTAATAGACGAGTATACGTCTTAACGAACCATAATCATCGCCAGCTTAGCAGACGGGTCGAAATTGAACTTTCGAGATCGATGCCGATCTCAATTGATAAAACCCTGTTCTTAACAGATGTTTACAGTAGTTTCAAGAATCCGGAGAAATATTTCCTTTTCACGCAAAACCTTTTCTTTGTGTTCAGAGGCAATTTGCATATGAACGCAGGTAAGCTAAGTGAATCAGAGGAGAAACGTAATAGGAGACCTTGGGCCTCGGGACCTTTCCCACCGAATTTCCTGCCTTTGCATGTGTACGTAATACGTACAGCCCACACCTGGATGTTGAAGCCATTTCATTTTCTTCAATAAAAATTAATCTGAATTATGCAGCCGTGCGTGAGTGGCGAGATGAATGCGGAGCACCGAGGACAACATGCATGGATTATTGGGTATAATTGATTAATTGAATTAATTTGTAATGTAATCATTGAAGGCTGGTTAGGGTATACAACCTACCACAGTAGGTACTGTTCAATGAAAAATGATAAAAGTCAAAGCTAGACTAGACAAACATGGAATGAGGGACATAAGTGTACATATAAGCATTTTCGACTTTTTCCCGGGAAACAACTGTCCACACAGAAAGCCCATAGCTGATAAAACATCATGTGTGATAACACCTGCCGGCAACGCCATGCTGGAATAAGGTATAAGCGAACAAGCGCAGCGCACATAAGAGTGATAAGTTGATAGATAAAAAAAAATAGAGATGTGACCAGTGAGTGTGGGCAAAGAAATTATTATCTGTAGCGAGGGTTATGATTGCTCATCTGAGAATTCGATCGAGCAAAAGTGCTAGTAGCATCCCAGGTGAAGTTGGTAGGGCTTCTCTGTCCGGTGGGGGGACGCGGCGTCGAGAAGCTCATTGTAGGACGAGTGTAACTGGCTTGCCGCGAGTGAGTGCTGAGTTCAATGTCCTTTCCATCGACTTCTTCTTCGTCTACACGACCATGCATGTATGCTGGCGTAGGTGAGCGCACCTCAGATGGTGTCGGCTCAGGTGTCTTCATGGTATTCTGGTGGCTGAGCATCTCATAGTTGCGATTATCTCCAAAGCGAGAACGTGCATCCACCGAGACAAACTCGACATTCTTGGCAAAGAGTCCTTGCCAGTACTCAAGCCACCCTCGGAGCATAGTCATGCGCACTGTGAAGATAAAGTTCCAGAAACTGGCTATACAAAGAAGCACCAGTGCTGCGTCCAATGCTGCCTCGGTCAGGCCAAGAGCAGAGGCCTCTGCTGTACATTTTGCGGGGTCCTGGAACTCTGCCAGACAGGTCAACCACGGTGTGGCTTTCTTGAGGTTGGAAGCGTTGACAGCCAGATCGCTATCGAGTTGCAGGAAAGTAACCGCCAAATAGATGACATTGGCGAGAATGACCATGACAAGAGCCATTGATCGCCACTGTAGTTTGAGAACTCGTCGCACGCGCCTGTATGCCTGTCGAGCAGTTGCCGTGCGCGAACTGGATGTATACGACGGCAGCCCCGAATTCGAGGTACTTGTAGGATCTGATGGGTCGAAAAGTGCCTTAATATAGACGTACATGCAGTATCCCATGGTCACGAATTGAAGAATAAGACCCATTCCACCAAACACCAAGACTGGAATCCAGTAATCATGAAGACTATCTTGGCTGTTGATATGGCATACGCTGCCGAATCGATAGGAAACTCCTGTGAAAACCAGCATCAAAGCGAGGATGAGAACGGGTAGGCCCAATCCCACTGCGAAGGCGATCCACATGAACACAGGTCCAATGATCACCTCCCAACAGACCTGTAGGTGAAGCGCAATTGTTCGCAAAAGACTCCATGTAACACAGGCAGCACCGCCGAACAACAAGATAGCACCTGTAAACGCACAAGACCAGTCCGTGTGCATATCATTTGGCGTAATCGCATCATTGCATTGTTGTGGTTTGGTTCCCAGCGGAATGATAAGAGGAATCTGGAGACAGACGACGGACAACGTGAAACAGACGGTGATGTAGTTTCGATTCGTGAATTTGACGGGGAGGACAGCCCAGCTGACGAGGAGGAAGACTGTTAACGGTAGTAGCGCAACACCGAGCCACCCGATTGCTTCATTCTTCTTGTCCACTCCTAATGAAGGCTTTGTCAGTATGTCGCTATATGACTAATTGCAGTCTTCGAAGTGGTTGCTCACCACCGGGGTATCTCCAATCTGCTAAAGGACATGGTAAACAGCAATTGAGTCCTTCGGCAATAGGTTCACAAAATCGACCAGGGATGTCTACGATAAGTCATTAGCACTATTCGATCCGTTTCCTTTCATTCCGTTTGTTCGTCGCTTACATCCCGATGAATTCGCGTAAAGACTCTCTTGTATGAAAGGTGGGGGGCATAAGCCCGATGTACTCGTCATTGTTATCGTCCTCTTGTTTAATGCGCTGAATGTGCTCTTGGGTGAACCGGATATTTGCTGTGTTGTATGTAATGAACGACTACCTCATGGTTCGAGGGTTAAAGGAAAGACTGCATCCAGGCAGTCAAGCAATGCCCGTCTGCTCAAGAGGGACAGACAATTGCCTCTTCACGATAGACAACGGCGATGTTGAAATGGCGTCGTAACCAACAGAGGGGGGAAATAAAATTATAAACGATGTCTGGGGCGCGCGGAAGTATTTACACTAATAAAAGTAATCGGCCAGGGCTGAGGAGGAGCCAGGACGCTACTGATATACCAAAACCCATCGACAAGGGTGGCCGGTCTGGAGCACAGATCCACAGAGCTATTTGGTCTTCATATGGACTTACACTGGTAGGGGCAAATGATAGTAGCGCGTGTCCGGTATCGAAGCCCACCCGATGAGGGCCTATGGTGCTCTCCGGGGCTTGCAAGCCCGTAAGACGAATGGGCCATTGGGTGAGATCCTGAGGGGAGGAGGGGTCTCTGAGTGGTCCGAGGAAGAAAAATGCCATGGGTGCCGTAAGATTCAGTAGCCTGAGTGGTCCCACAATCACAGAGACGCTAGTTTGGAATTGAGTACGCCGTATTTTGGTACTTTGGCTCACACAGAGATCTTTCCAACTGTTGAAAGTTGAATGGTGGCAGTACCTGCATTGGCTGGACAAGCGGGGACTCTTAAGTCTTAGGGCAAGACTTCCCTCCAATAGGCACCTTCGGGTATAGTGCGGAACAGTGGTTTCATCGACAAATACGACCTAGTGTGAGAAAGTCAAATGTGCCATACGGAAAATACCAGTATGGCATGATACGATACCGTATTATTTACGACGCGGTTCGTATTGCATCGGTTCTGCATCTTCCCCGTGCGTAACCGTACTATCGGCCCACTCCGGTGTCCGCTAGTACATGCATGAACCAATTGAAATTAGAGACACGATGGAATTGTGCGTATCTGTATTGTCAAATTCTCCCTCTTGGTATACACGGCACAGCGAGGCGGATACTTGCCGTCTTATACTACTATTTTCGCAGCCAAGCACACGATGGTCGAGTTAGGCAATAGCATCAGGGGAGATTTCAGCAATTCTAGAACATGGATGAACCGTCGAACTTGCAAAGTGTTTGGTAAAAGTTGACTGCGGCGTGATTTTCTGGATGCCACTTTACCCTAAACATGTCGTAATCGGAATCTCCATCTCATCCCTCCATCTTGAAAATTATACTTACCATGAGTCGTCCAATGTATCAGATTCTCCTTTGCATTGATGGGGTTTGATGAGATCCCTTGGTCCGTTACATACAAGTTCAAAAGCATTGTGGATGCGGTACAAAGCCCAATGCGCAATGACATGGCAAGGCCCAGGAGAATCATCGGAGCAAGTGGAGGTTCTTTAGATTGCTTTGCCGATGTAGCAATCTAATCTCTATCCGTAATCACTGATCACTGCTCAGAGAGGCAGGTGTTGGAACTTTGTTGGGACCTCGAACGCATCAAGGGTACTTTGAACCCTGCACATAACCAGATAGTCGAGCCGCGCTATTATGTACGTACTTTGACTAAGCTTGTTCAATATCAGAGCTATTATTACGACTCCTTTTTGTAGGGTTTGCCACGGCCCAGGAACGGTCATGCAACTATTCAGCCTGACTCTTCTCACAATAAAATCATGAATTAAGATTAAACTCGTGTAGAGCCGTGACTAAAGTACTTTATCTAGGTTTTTTATGGAGTACTCGACTACCCCGTAACTTATCAGAAGTCCTTTGATGCATGTCATGCCATGATACTCTAACCCAGAGGAAGTAAGGCTGACCGAACGCGCAAGGCGCTTTAGGGTGAACAAATTAAATATGCCTCAGCCGCAGAGCACCGCGTTGCCGCTAAGCTCTAGGCACCTGAAAACTTGAACAAGGATTAGAGAGACAAGAAATCAAAGGGCATCTCGCGTGCCTAGGGAGGTTCGAAAATGGATGAATGAGCAGTCACCACTTACGACGCCAGGTTTCTGCTTCGTCACCTTGCTGTGCCGTCTATAAATAGAGAAAGGTACACAGGAAAATACTTCCTGAACTCCTGTCTCACAACTTGGAATAGTCTCTGCTTCTCTACGTACCGCGGAGTACTCTCCATTCACCCAGAGGTATGTAGCGACTACGCAATGGCCGGACTGTTTGTTTTTGGTTATTTTATATGTATGATCGTATGGTACGTACCTGCTTGGAGCGATGGAACGTCGCCAGTGCGACGCCATGTGCTTGACAGTCTGACTAAGGTCGTCTCGTTTTTGACCCACATAATTTGTCTCTTTTCTTTTTTTGAACTCGATGGATTTCGGACGTTGTTCCTAAAAGGAGATGGCAACATCTTGCCTTAAACATTAAGTTGAGGAAGTTGAAACAAGAGATTTGCATCATCATCCACTTCCAGGATACGGAAGAAAGCTAGAAAACGTGCAAAAAAGTTTCAAGCAGTTTCAACTGTGAACTGGCGTCGGCCCGCCCGTTCGCGTTCCGGGAATGTGAACACTTTTCGTACTGATTGATGGGTTTGGCGGCCAATGAACTCAACTTGCTCTAATGTGGTGTTGCGAATGAAATGACCTCTCAAACCCCAAATTCCAATGGTGACATGATCTAGCGTGAGAAGCAAGGCCAACTACCGAATCCGAAGTGATTCACCTTGCACAATCTGCGGAAATTCCGCCTCTGTAGGAGGATTCCGCCACCGTGCGTTGACACGTGACTCCATATGAAAGAGTTTCACCTGGAGCGCTTCAGGAACCGGAGTCTTCGATTCGATTCGATTTTGAAAAATTGGCAACTGATCTCAATAAACTGATAAGATCACAAAGTTTTGTAAATGAGCTCACCAAAGCGAAGGAAAAGAGAACAAACGGCGATTGAACCCTAACACTATTTTAGGGCACACACGTCACCTGATATCGGGGAATGACAATTAAAATGTTCCACTCTTCAATATTTGAAGCTCTGCTAATAGTAGCAATAAATATTTTACAGAACTTGGTAATGCTTATTCCTTGAGATTTGGTATTTCGTTTTCGTGAAATCGTCTTTCAATTGTATTGATTGAAATATACGTTAATCGTCGAGTTACCCGAGTACTCGGTGATTTTTCAGAATCCCACTACTATTTGCTTCTTCAATATGCACTATTATTCCTTCCACTCCCTGCAGTTGACCAATGATGATATTTGCAAGGGTTGACAAAAGAAAAAGCAAAGGAAGGCAAGGGAGCAAAGCCAGCTGATCTACACGTTCTGCACTCTCAATGGTCAATTGACTCGACCGCAGCGTCTGTCCGTCACATCCAATCGTAGCCGCGCTGAGCCTCGTCTCCTTGACAATGACAAGGGTGACAGCTTAAACGCTGAGAGCTCATCGAAAGGCTGTCCGGTCTGGCCATTGGCTTTATATATCGTGTATTTAAGCTGTTGGGGTCTGCATAGCAATAGAATTATGATAGAAGCTGCACCGGACAAAAGAGATTGAGCAAACAACCAACCAACCAAGACTGCAGAAGTAAACTCTGTGTTACGGGGATTGCTATTCCAACCATGCTATGCCGACCGGCTCAACCCCAAAATTATCGTGTTTTATGAAACATTGATCTCGCCCTTGACCAAACCCGGGTCTGCGTTATGTATCGGGTTTCTCTCCGGTGTGATCACGAGCATCTTTGGGGTCCCCGCATCTGATGATTAAACCGGGGCCGATGCGTGGTTTCCTCACGGTGCTCACCTCGTACTCGGGATAGCTTGGACGTGAAGCGGCTTGTTGACAAGGAAATGCGACTTAACTACTGGAGCATACTTACCTAAATCCCGAAAACATCCATACCTTCGGAAGTAACTGTTGCATTATGCCGATTATCGCTAGATTTGCATTGGCCAGTATCCTGGATCTAGTCCCCATCTTCCTTACCATGAGGTGAAAACGTGGTCTGAGAGCCGGTTGGGTCCGACGTGGGAGTCCCTCCAAGACTTTGTCCCCAGTTATATCAATACCCCGCGGAGTTCTATCCTCATCTGGGGGTCGGGAGGACTATTTCTTGGAAATTTGTCAAATTGATTGGTGACTAGACTCAGCGGAGTGGCATCCATAGGATTCCCAAGACTTTTCCCCGCATGTTAGAAAGAAGAGTCGGCTGTATAAATATGACCGGAATTCTTCAACATGTCAACATGATATCGGGCTTTTCTCTGTTCTGACTGCACATTTACATCAGAAGATAACTGCTGCCCACCATGGCCGGCGGAGCAAAAAAACCGGTGAACATTTTTCGCCTAAAGGACCTGGATGAACCCAAGCAAGTCTTCAACTGGAGGCTTTGGCTTGCGGTCGTTTCATTCGGCCTCATGGGCGCTGCCCGGGGCGTTGATGAAGGCTTGATCTCAGGCGCCTTCAATTCTAAGGATTTCCAGAATTACATCCACTACCAATCATATAGCAAAGTCGAACAGACCAACATCAAGGGAAACGTTACCGCTATGGTACAAATAGGATCCGTCGGAGGAGCTCTGTTGTAAGCTGGGTTCTAGGCATGCTTATAAGTTTCAATCGCTGACTCCATGTGCTTCCTTATGTAGTGCTTTTTTGGTCTGTGATCGCATTGGCCGTATCTGGGCAACTCGCCAGCTTTGTCTTCTATGGATTGTTGGAATCGCCATCTTCATGGGTAACGGCGGCAACCTGGGTGCTGCCTATGCTGGTCGTTTTATTGCCGGACTCGGTATTGGTCAGACAGTCGTTGTAGCGCCTGTGTATCTTGCAGAAATCGTAAGTTTTCTACCTCCATCGACGATAAAGAATTGTTCTATCATCATATGACTAACTTATACCATTAGGCGCCTGCTTCAATTCGTGGTCTATGTACCTGTGTCTTTACTGGCTTTGTCTATCTGGGCATTGTGCTTGCTTATTTTGCAAATTATGGCTGCCAGGTCAATCTCGGTGATACTACTCGCAAGCGATGGGTGCGTGTGATTGCCTCACAAAAATACTTACACTTGCCAGTTCTGACAGCATATAGCTTATTCCTACGAGTCTCCACATCATGTTCGCTGGCGTCATCTTTATCTTGTCCTTCTTTCAGCATGAGTCCCCACGGTATCTGGTCAAACGCGGTCAGATTGAAAAAGCTATCGCAACCCTATCGAGAGTTCGCAACTTGCCCCCTGATCATGAATACGTTGTTCGCGAGATTGGCATGATCGAAGCCACGCATCACGCTGAAATGGAGGCTACTATGGGATCTGGTCCCATAGGAGTTCTCAAGGAAGCCTTCTTAATTCCATCGAATCTATATCGAGTTTACCTCACCTTCATGGCTCAGATTCTATCTCAGTGGTCTGGGGCCGGCAGCATTACGATATATGCTCCGGACCTTTTCAAGCTGCTCGGAATCACTGGTAACAACGAGGGTTTACTAGTCAGTGCTGTCTTTGGTATCATCAAATTGATTGCCGCAGTTGCCTGTGCTCTTTTCTTGGTCGATGTCATTGGACGCAAGCGAGCCCTCCTGCTAGGCATCATCCTTCAAGCAATCTCTATGATCTATATTGCCGGATTCTTGACTGCCGTCCCCCAAATGGGTGTGGTCAGTACTTTCCAGCTACCAGCTAGTCAGAAAGGCGCTAGCACAGGAGCAATCGTGATGATCTACCTTTCTGGTGTTGGATGGGCTTTAGGTTGGAATTCTATGCAGTATCTCCTGACTGCGGAGTTGTTCCCTCTCCGCATCCGTGCTCTTTGCACTTCAATGGCCATGACTCTACATTTTGCCAACCAGTATGGCAACTCGCGTGCAGTGCCCAACATGCTTCTCCCCACAAGCCAAGGTGGAATTGATCCCAAGGGTACGTTCTGGTGCTTTGCTGCTATTACCATTCTTGGTGGAGTCTGGGTTTGGTTCAGTATTCCGGAAACTGCTGGCCGCTCGCTAGAAAGTATGGATCGGCTTTTTGCCCTCCCGTGGTACAAGATCGGAAGATATGGTAATAAGGATGCGGAGGAGCAGGATCGAGTTGTGGACAACAAGATGGAGATGGTGGCGCAATCTTATGGCACGGCTCAGCATGTTGAAGGCAACGTTTCTTCAAGCAGGGTTTGAGCAGAATCATTTTATATGTTGGGAGAGAAGGGGGGATCCAGGAGGAAGACGACTGTTTTATCTCGTACTCGACTTTTACCTTAAAAGACCCAGTGTCGTGCTAAATACTTCTGAAGTATGCGAGACTGATTGAGTAGAAAGAGAGTAGCTCTTGATTTAGCTAGAATGTAAATTGTGAGTTCCAATGTATCAATTTACTGCGATTGTAATAAGTATTTTATGAACACTAGATCATTATAAACTCAATTGAAAAAGTCACATGACCACTGAAGAGATCTCATAAGTGGTACGTTTTAAGTACGTAGTAGAATTGAGCGCCTCAAGGCAGCTGAACAGACAAAACTGTAATCTCGGATCTAGCCATAAGGCTCACAAATGGCTTCTAAAGCTATGTGTAGATCCTTGGTTCGCCATTACACATGCCGAGAGACTTTTCTAAACGCCACACGTCACTAATGTTGGTCATTGGCTGATCATTCAAGGCTGACTCTTTTTTATCTGTTTGGCGATACAAGATGGACTGAATATCCCGTTACGACTTGAGTCGACTGACTCATTCAGCAGGAGTCATTCCACTCATGGCTTTCAGCGCGAGAGTTACCAATAGCACCATCACATTACGCAACCGAGCACGACTCGGTGATATGTTAGGAATTGTATACAGCTTTCCTATGAACGAATCTGTACGCCGCTCTGGAGATTACTAGGATAGCTTTACTGCCGATGGGTTAATCAAATTCTGTACATGTTTCATACAACAGTTTGACCATTATGATTATTGTAAAATGAGTCGTAGATTTCTGAGCCGCTCTGACCCTTCCGAGTCTTACGAGATGATCCTGGCTAGATTCATACTTTATCGGTCCTTAGTTTGGTGTCGCTATAGGCTCGAGGTAAAAGTCCAGAAGATAAAGTAGACTGAAAGTGTCTGAGCAGACGACATATCCCCGGTCTATCAGACAGTCAAACTGCTGAGTAACGAGTTCTGGGTTTGTGCTACATCCTTGACCTTTCCATATGCATCTCGCACGGTCAGGACTCGTGGGGGGCCATCTTCTCCAAAGAGAGGTGTGATTGCACCCGCGTCAAGCTCCTGTTGTACTTTTGAGCTGACTTCGCTCCATCTCGCATTCGTATCCTCTTCAGCATCGTATGGATATAGCCATCGATTCTAGTTCTCTGTTAGATGATTCGTTCAATACATCGGCTTGGTAAATCCAATCATACCTTGATCTTGATGTCATCTGGATCGAACTCTGTACCGTCATTCATATGCTTCAACGCATTATGCCATCTATTCCTCAAATCTTCGCCAGATAGTTGCGACTGGCGCACTCGGTCGAAGCGCAATTTTTCGTATACTCTAGTCTACATCATGTCAATAATACCGATCAGAAGGTCACACGAACGGGAACGCCGACTAACTGCTAATGGTACATTGCCCTTCCCAGCCAACTTCATGCATAACGCCAATACCGCCGAACTCTCCGTCGCTTGCGAAGCTCCTTGTGCACTAGTCGGAAGATGTGGATGACAACTGTCACCCAGCAAAGCAATCTTACCACTCTTACTCACCCATGTCGGTAATGGAGCTCTATAGCAGATCTTCCAGTCAAGACAACTTGGCGTAGCTCTAACAGCCGATGCAATCGATTCATCCCAACCCTGTACAAGTTCGCGTACATCATTCATGTTTCCGGGCTGAAACCAACTTTCTTTAATATCCTCGGTATCCTTGTGGGTAATGATCCAGTTGAACTCTTCTCCATCACGTAGCGTGTTCTGAACGAGATGTTTGTCTTCGCCAATCCATATATTCACACAGTCCTCTTTCAAGTATTCTTGACATTGAGGAACGTCTTTGAGTATTTCACCTTTGAAGTAGGCACGGTAGCATGCATATCCGGAACTCTTAGGCGCATCACTGAAACCGAGTACGAGCTCTCGAGCCCTGGACTTGATGCCGTCTGCTCCAACAATCAAGTCTGCGTAGAATGTTCTTCCGTCCTTGAGCGTAAGACTCGGCGCATCTTCGTCAAAAGAAACAGCTTCATGACCCATGTGGATTGGTATTCCGAGCTGCTTTACACGATTGATGAAAGCAACGTGGTAATCGCCTCGATGTCCGATGTAGCCCGCCATATCCTGTATCAGCACAGATTAGTACTTCTATCCAATTAAGAACCAAAAAGAATGGCAACCACCATAAGCGGCTGCGTCGCCATAATCTCCCCATTATCCCAGCGTCGAATGTGCATGACAGGATTTTTGTTTCCGATCTCAATCAACTCTTCGTACAAGCCCCAGCGTTTGAGGAGCTTGAGCGCGTTCTCCCCAAGACCGAGTGAGTCGCCCAGACGGAGGAATTCGCGCACTTTTTCAAACACGATGACTTCGAAGCCAGCATAGTGCATGGCCATGGCGCAGGCGAGACCTCCCAAGCCTGCACCGACAATAATGACTCGTGTCTTCCCATTTTCGGGGCGAGATGGTATAGATTCTGACATTCTTAGATTGGCTCTGATTGTACTATGCAGGACAAGTAGTCTACTTCTAAATCGGAGAACGGAACAAAATTGAGCACCAAGTAAACCATCATCAACGAGAAGAAATTCAAAGCTTTTCAGGAGATTCAACGTCTGTTCATATATGCGAACAGGAAATATTGAATATGCGGGGGTTTCCTCACTGAAGATACTTTGGCCGTTGCGAAACCATTTCTCCGGATCATTACGCACTACTACGATGGCGTGGTATTAGGTATTTTTAAAGACAGAAAGCTTGATGCAAACTACGGAAGAAATACCGACGGTGAGTGAAGTCTCATGTTAAGCTAATGTTGTTTTGCGCCTTCTTCGATAGGATTATGTCATGTGTTAGGGTTCAGGGTTTCCTATAGTTTTAGCCTTGAATCCGCTCGCTGTAATAGACGGCATTTAAAAGATCAGAGCACTACATTGATGTTGTAGGCATTTCAAAATTAATTTGGACATAATTGCTCATATACATCATAATTCGTAAACTATATCTGCCATATATATCAACTCCTCCATGTCTCTAAACTCAGCCAATCCGGCTCGACAATCGGGGATGGCCATGACGACAATGAGAAACCTAAGACCGCGGGCTCATCGCCTTCCACGGCCCCTTGTGGTTGTTCAGCCTCCATCATTGCCGTGGATGTTGCTGCTGGCGCCGCGGGACTCGCGTAAAAGTTATAGTAATCCGGCATTGTATTCTCGACTTCATGATCGACACCCTCAATAATGTGCAATGTGCGCGCCGCGCTAGACCATATGCTCTTCATCTTTCGACAGCAATCTATACAATGCATCAATGCAGACGGAGAGAAGAGAACGGGGTATGTGGCGCGGTTGAAAAGGTGCATAATAATCGCTGTGAAACAGTAGTAGTTAAAAAACGGCGGGGCAAAGGTCGGGTTGTAGGAGGATGTGAAATGTTCGAGAAGATTTGCAATTGCTACGGCTGCAGAGGTTGCTGCCAAGAGGGAGGGATTATTGCTCTGGGTTTCGTTCGCAGACGTCACGATACTGTTCAAGTATCAGCCGTGTTCCTTCTACTATACAGTTCCTGCAGGAGGTCCGCCTAAACTTACAACGGTCGATGAAGGAGTACTTTGCAATTCCAGAATTGTGTGTGCATTGTGATGACTGGCACAGCCAGTTTCACTCCCTGTTTGATGGTGAGAAAATCAGGCACCCCAGCTTCCCATTCGTCAAGGTCATGCTCCAGTTCATTTAACGTCGCCCAATTCGGCTCTTTGACGCCCACCGAGTAGAATGCTTTATGTATTCGGCCTTGGAGAATGGCTGAGCATCATCAGCACCAATCGAAAGCAAACAAATTAAGGAGGTGGCGACCTACAGAGCTTGACGACTTGTATGAAGCATGATAGAGAATGATCTCTATTCTCATGCAATGTATCTTCAGGGAGTTGAGTGTCGAAGTCATCTTCGTGTATCGCACATGGTCTGCCCTGCCACGCAGAAATGTATCTGTCCAGCACAAAAGCGCCCCACCATATCAGACGTCGAATCTGCATTTCTACGTTGGACATGTTCCGGAAGCACTGAGTTTTCTTCCATACTGAGGGGTCTCGGTGCAACCCTAAGTCTTGGGCCTGAAATGATTTCAATTAGCTTTGATCCTCCTCGTATGCTCTGAGGATTAACATACCATTCGAATCGCTTTTCCTACATACATCCAGCTTATAGAGCCACCTGTGCCGATCTCCCTGTAAGCCATCATAATCAACGCCAGACAGCAGTTGATGCTACTCTGCTCTGTTAAAGCAATTAGCACAGACCGGCTTATTAGTAGCCACACAGGAAAATGGAAGACAAGGACTCACTATGTTGAGCAAGCAAGGTCTCTGCTTTGATCGCATACTCGTCGCCCGGATCGCTATCCTCACGGGAATCGCAATTATCGACGAAACGAGCCGAGAGTGCAAACATTGACAATAAGAGCACCTGAGGAATACGACGTTCAAGCTGATCGAATGCAGACCTTCCTTGTCGAGGCATGCCACGACGGTCTTTACTTAACTGAAAGAGAAATGTCTCTCTGTGCACGACTGGGAAGCACGGATGGACAAAAGTCCAGTAGGCACTGCCAGCATTTTTGTTAGAATCGAGATCGCTTTTGTAAAATTGAGTATAAGATCACGAGAAAAAGGAGACTAACTCAAGAAGTTTATTCTGTAAGGAAATAGGAGGAAGAATCCCTCCTAATATTGCATCTGCCGCAGAAACAATCTCGTCTTCTGTCCGAAATGTAGTGCGTTTGCTTCGTGGCCAGAAGCCAGGGTTGGAAAAGTGCCAAAAGGGAGACACAAATACTCGTGATGCGGTCATCAGATGCAAACCAGACGTTGGTCCATGGTACCGCATCGTCATGTTCTCATCGACCGAGAGATATCCTAAAACTGTCGAACGCTCTGAGCTGCTGTCTGGTTTTCGAGCGTGCGATCTGCCTGGCACGGCAATCTGCCGTTGCTGGGGCTTAATTTCATTCAAATGTTCATCTTCTTCCAAGCTTCGGTTATTACTGTAATTCGTGTCTGTCGCCGAAGAGACTAGGGTCATATCGTCGGTAGGAACAGGGTCAGCTTCCGCCTGTCCTTCTCGTAGTTCGGCAACCAGGCTCTCCAATGAAGCCAGTCTTTGCTCCAAGGTATTCACATATCCCTTTGGGGGCCCTCTTTTCTTCACCGTACGATTGAAAGTACATGCAATGTCAAGGAATCTGCAATTTTCGCAGGTCTTCGTCCCAGGCCTCAGGAGGCATTTTGACTTGGACTTCGAACCTAAGAACATACATCAGTAAAACAAGGGGTTGGATAGGCAAATTTTCAAAGCTAATATCTCGCTTACAGTTGTCACACGCTCTAGAGACCTTTTCAGCTGTTTGGGAGTCCCGCCTTGTCGGGCTTGGTGATTTTGAATTCTCGGCGTTATCGCCGAGTCTGTCTGCCATTGAGTCGGAGTCGGATAAAACGTTGCTGAAGCTTGACGGTCTACAAAAGCAATGATCCTTGTCAGGAACTCGGCGAACATGCTTGTTATTCAGAGAGGAAATAGTATTCTCATGGCCTCGGAGGAAGGTATGTGATAAGGAAGCCTGGGGTTTTGCCGGGACCTGGGGAAGGGTCCCCAAAATGCGGGGAAAGTATTTGCGCGGCGATACTGGTATTACCGTGAGGTACTCTGTTGAACCTGATTCAAGGCTCTGATTTATGTTATTGATGTCTGGAAAATCCTCATTGACATGACTCGACATCCTTGAGTCATACTAGGATGCATTTAGGTGAGATCCTTGAAGCGCAAAGGAGCAAGCACGGTACCCTTCATATTAGAGCACAATTGCGGGTACCATCCGCGAGAACATACGATTCATATATTAAACCAGGAGCGCAATATGTTACCAGCAAGAGACATTGAGGACTACATAATCGTCAGAGTAGAAGTACTAAAGCATACCATCTCGGATGTGTTGATATTACACGTGGAAAAGCGCTTATTAACATCGAAAGCTGTGTACACTAAAGTTTCTTACAAGACGTGAGGTAAAGCAGCCTGAGGCATACGAGATAAATTGATAATCATGTTTCATTATACGTGCATCTTGCTATTCAAGTGACATTGCACGACGTTTGAGCAATCGCGTTTTTATGGTCATGGTAACGGAGGACCTGGAGCCTAAAAATCTTGGGACGAATTAGCGAAGTTCTCGTCAAACTGTATCATGGACAATAATCAATTGAGAGCAGAAAAATCAGAAGTCCAGTTTGTACATCGAGGCAACACCGACGTGAGTCAATGCACCGCTAAAACAAGAGGTACCAGAAATAAGTAAACATTAGGATGTGTCTCATCAGATGAACTGCCAGGGGAATGATAACGACAAAGAATAGAGTATACATACCAATTAGCATGTTCCAATCATACTGTAGGCGCTGGTTTTTGCGTTTTATTTTTGTTAACACGATCAGGTCAAGGGATGTTGAGTGATGACAGTAGAAGAAAGATGGAAAGAAAAAATCAAACAATTATCCGAAGTGGAGCAGGCGGTGAAGGATTCTGCCACAAATGTCAACTCCTTAGCGAAGGCGCCAAGACAGATCACATGATCCACACTCCACCACGAAGAGTTTGCCGAATAAGTCACGATCTTTTCTTGAAGACCTTTGTTTTGCACTCGACAAGTCGCCCAACGCCTACCGACAGACAATCTTCTTCGGCACACACCAGCATTCACAATGGGTCGGTATGTATCATCATCTTATTCCAGCACACTCCCAGTCCGAGCTTCGAAGGCGGCCAGCGTCGCTATCATCCATGTTTGAGATCTCAAAAAATTAACATATCGCAGTCTTCACTCCAAGGGAAAGGGTATCGCCTCCTCGGCCATTCCTTACTCCAGAACTCCCCCAGCATGGCTCAAGACCACCCCCGATCAGGTCACTGACCAGATCTGCAAGCTCGCCAAAAAGGGGTACGTTCGCAACCGCCCATCGATCGATTGATCGCGACGCAAAAAATTCTTAAAATCTAATGATGGTCACAGTGCCACCCCCAGTCAGATCGGTGTTGTCCTCCGTGACAGCCACGGTATTGCCCAGGTCCGCAACGTCACTGGTAAGCTACGACTCAACCTATCCTACAAAAAATCAAGAAATTATTTTGGGAGTGAAGACTAATTATTTCCTCAATAGGTAACAAGATCCTCCGTATCTTGAAGTCCAACGGTACGAATCCCCGCATTCCTCCCCTCGTTACCTCGTAGATCGACGAAAGGTTTTGACCCGGAAAGCGATCGAGCGCTCGCAAATATCACCACATTGGACAATAGTACATTGTTGGAAGTGATTATCTTCCGGCTTGCGGTGCTCGCTCGCTTTCCGTCGGTTCGATACCGATAGTCATATGCACAACCGTGTCAATCTGGCACGTGAAAAAACAATTTTTCTGCCTCTGCTTGGTCAAACACAAGGCTGACAGAGTGACTTTTATTGTAGGCCTCGCTCCTGAGATCCCTGAGGATCTTTACTTCCTCATCAAGAAGGCTGTCTCCGTCCGCAAGCACCTTGAGCGCAACCGCAAGGACAAGGATGGCAAGTTCCGTCTCATTCTCATCGAGTCCCGTATCCACCGTCTCTCTCGTTACTACAAGACCGTCGGTGTCCTCCCTCCCACCTGGAGATACGAGAGCGCCACCGCCAGCACCTTGGTTGCTTAGATGACCAAATCGCGACGGTAGTCTTCGTTTGTGTGGTACGATAACACAAATCAGGATCATATCCGGATCCAGAGTGCCAGTGAAACGAGCATGTTTCTGTCAATATTTCAAAAGACAGGCAATCCATTACCGAGTTCTTCGATTTTACTCGGGGTTCTCTTTGAAAGCTATGAAGTTCACGATTACTATGTAGCCAGTCAATACATTTCTGGGTCGGATAATCAAAAAAAGTTCTAATGGTCTTTTCATTTTTTTTATATCTCGTTTGGACTGTCGTTTTGTAGATACCTGTAGCCTGGAGTTATATACGGCGTTTTCATCAATGACACTCAACGCACTTCATCCCAGCCTTTTCTTCGTGTAAACATTGTATATCATGTATATCTGACCTCCCTCGCCACGGCATTACACAATTCTACCTTGACACCTGCACCCGTCAGAACATGTATCCATAATCGCTGTGTATCACTCAATCGGTCATTCTCCGATTTGACTTCGGAAAACATGACCTCTTTCTTCTCGGGGTTCCAGAGGAAAAGATCAGGGATACCGCCTCCTCGCTGCTGGTATTCTTGTGCCATCACTTTGCACACTGTTGCCAGGGCCGCACCGCTGAAGCACTGCACAATTTCTAAGAGGTCGTCAAGTGCGTACGTCCAGTCTACGCCGACGATACAGGTTTGTTTGGGGAATTCGCTTTCGTGGACTCTGCGTATGATGGATTCGGCCTCGCCGTTGGCGAGTTGAACCAGTCGGTGATTGATCTCTGAAGCACGAGATGGGTAAAAGGCATCTGTATGGAGGTCCAAGGGACAAGTCTGGAAGGGGGTTTGGAAGACGTTGGGGACGTAGGTGAAAAGTATATCATAAAACAGATAGCCAAACTGTAAACAGCAGTTAGTATGAAGTCTGTCCCAGAAGAGATAGTCAAACATACAAGTGTTCGTACAATGCCCCCCTCGGAATGGTAGCCCTTCCAACCATTCTCTCTGTACCAACTCAAGCACATATTCTCAACCCTACATTCTTCGTCATTTTCTCGCTCATCGATCCAGACGGTAGCACGGCCCCTGCGCGTAGATGGTACTGGGCTATCGCCATTTTCTTTTGACTCAACTTGGGACAGGGTCTCTTCTTTCTCAACACGAATTCCCTCTACGGTTCTCTCCAGTGGTCTGGCGAGAAGCACATGCCCAAAATCGTGCTGTTCTCGCTTCACTATCTTCAATGACTTCTCTAGTTTGACGATTCTCTTCTGAAGGTCATAGTGATAGATGACATGGCAATCCGGATCTTGAAGCCCAGCTTCACATGTGCTCAAGGCAATTCTTTTCCAATGCTTTTTCTGAGCCTCGTCAGATCTACCGTCATTCGGTGTTAGTGCCCATAGATAATGTTCTTCCAGCAGAGCTTTTCTCTGGTACCAAGCGCCACGCCGCGCAGCGTGGAAGAGCTTCTGATCGAGAAGCTCAGTCAAGAGTTCATGCTCCCGCTTATGTTCTTTTAAACGACCAAGTGGGTAAAGGCCTTTATGTACGATTCGTGTGTACACCCAAGCCGGCGAGAAACGGCGCAAGTAAGCACCTTCCCCGCTGAAATATATACCATTCTCCTTTTGTTGCTCTTGCTCAAGTAGAAATCGCCACCTTGGATAGACCTTTTCACTAAGATCTTTGATAGTTTGTAGACGTTGTGCTGTCGGCGTGCCACTGAACTCCAATATGTTGTCAATGTCATACTGTGTTCTTAGAGCTGCTTCGAACTCAAGCAAAGCTGCTCGTGACGGGAATATTGCCATAGATCGGGACACAACATATTTCGGAAAATGCTTCCGCGAGATCTTCGCTAAGATGATCGTGGTGAGAGACTTCTCTGTCCACTCTGTTGAGCGATAAAAGACCAAATGCACCCTTTCAAACAACTTCAACGGAGCTGGTGACAGTCGAATGCAATCACCGGTAAGCTCCAAAATCTTACTGTGAAAGTGACGATCTCTATTGTCGTTTTTTCCTGCTTTCCACCTAAGACCTGTTTGGGTTTGGCTGATCTGGAGTAGAGCTGCTACAAGCTCCTTCTTGTTCTTGCCCTGGACTTTGGCTTCTTTGGCCATTTCTTTGAGTTCATCAAGTAGTAATAATGATGAAGCTTCTTCTAACGTAGTGATCTCTTCGATGCCTTCAGCGAACCGAAAGGAATCGCCAAAGCGATTCGTATCATCAGGTTGTCCGAGCTCAATAGAAAATTCACTTGCGACCGATGTGTTCGAGGCAGAAAAAGGATGTATCTCTCTCAGATCTGCGACAGCCTGATCCAAATTGGCAATGTCCTGATAATAACCTAATCGATTGATGCGATGCCAGGCCGCCGTCTTGCGTAAAAAGAGCCGAACATATCTAGTAACGAAATCATAAATCAATACTGTATTCGCGTTCAACCGAGAACATAGGTTGACTAACAGATACTGTGCTTCATAACTCAGAACTTTCCACCTACAAAAAACGTCCAGCTCCGTCTGATCGAACAAATGAGCCTCTTCCTTCAGCACCGTCTCTAGTGCTAGATTGAATGCGTCCACATATATTGAGCTTCTCCCTTTGTGCCATCTTCTCTCTCCAAGCCTTTGCTCTAGTGTGAGTTGTTCTGTCTCTTCCACTTCAGCCGCTCGAGCAGTTTCGTATTCTTTGATTGCTTCCTCATCAGCTTTGACCGGTGGTAGTGATATTTCTAGGTCTGTTTGGCTGCTTTTGAGGTTACCCGAGTCCTCATTTCCGACTGACAGGTCGGCTGCATCCATAGAATCAGTATCTTTCCTGGACAAAGTGGGTAATTTCAAATTTCGAGATGGTTCCCTGACGCTTTCATCATCAGTCCGAGCTGGTGGAGTTTCGGGGGTCACCTCATGAGAGACTTTTTGTCGCTTTGCGGATGGGCGGCGAGTCTCGAAGAAGTCAAGTAAAGAAGGCATTGTGAATACTTCTGGACCGAGCAATTAGGCACGATAGGTCCGAAGCCACATCCCGATAGATGAGGCGCATCAATAGAATGCGGGGGTGGATCATAAATCAATTCAAATGAAGGGTGAAAGTGAAGACGCGTTCCTGCCGGACACGTCTAAACGAGGCACGACTTTGGCGCCTGATCATGTGACCAATATAGACCACTTTTAGTTAGAATCGTCTCAATAGTTCCTCAACACCATCTATACACCATCTATACCAGTTTGATCTCTTCTGACTTCATTAATCAACGACAAGTCAGATCGATACTCAGCTGGAAGGTTTGCTCGGCACTTTATAAATTACTACATATCAGTCCTGTGGTTGATCAGAACAATTCAAGCTCCGAAAGCTCCAAACTCCCGCACAAACAACACCATATCCTTTCCTCACCTCTTCGCATCGACCAAATACCGCCACAATGAGCTCGAACACAACCCCCATCGGCAACTCCGCCGAAACCCACAACTCATCCACAACCCCAGCAGCAACAGGCGGAAACCCCGCGGGACTCGACAACGTTCTCCCTAAAGTGGCTGGCGGKGCACCGGCACGGATATACTTGAATGAAAAGATCACACCGTATCTGCTAGATGGATTGAAGGATATTGCAAGGGAACAGTATGTCTCACACAGCTCGCTGTGGTGTACGAGAGTGCAGGTTGACTGACGATGAGCTGTGTTTTCTAGGCCACAAAATCCGCTGAAAGTCCTTGGAGAATACCTTATCAAGAAGAGCAATGAAGTTGAGCAGGGCCAGAACACTGCGCAGTAGGCGACCTGCGGGATCTTCTCATCATGGTCGTATTTGTGAAAATGACGCAGGTGCGTATCAAGGGTGTGCAAGGGCTTTTCATCGAGTTTGCTTCCGGAATGGAGTGGAAGTCGGAAAGTCCCGATACTCGATACTGCAGCAAACGCAATTGTGATCTGGACCACGACGAGCTGGACTGGCTTTCGTACTACAAGACAATTGCTTGACCCGGTATCATATATTAATACGAGTCATTATGTCTACGTTTCACCATGCTTCATAACACGATCGACTGCACAACGAGAAATTTATTTCGAGATTTCGATAAGTCAAATCGGAATATCAATCTTCAGATTTGAGTGTTTGAGGGGCAGCCCAAAAATGAAATGTTAAGTTCATACAGAGAAGGATATCATGAAACATGTGTCAGAACGATATTAATACTCATGTGACTATCTTGTCTGTCCTAACAGCAAGTCAGCCATTCATCTCCTCAGAATTCGACCTACCTAGACGATCTGGCGACATCGTCATGATAACGCCGAGAACCAACAACCATGGCCGGAGCGGTCTTGTGGCGGTTTACAGCTTGCATGTTTTGATATAGCCCGACAAGTCAAACCGGACGAGCAGGAGACGCCGCACAAGACGATAGATGACGAGGTCAGCCGGTATCCAAGAATATCGCAACTGTACTGATGAAATGGCGAGTCTGAATCGATATAATTAATAGTGATTTAATGCAGTAGTTCGATCTGTCTCTTTGTTCTCTGCGAAGTCGCAATTTGAATCCAGTCGTTACGTAGGTTTTCGAATACGGGCGCACATAAGCTGACTATCGACTAAGGATCATACCGAAAATAGGTTGCAAACGTAGCAATTGCTGTCCAGATTACGATGCGATATTTTTAAGAAGCTGACTTTTTTTGTGTTCCCTCTCGTCGCCAAAAAAGACATGCCGTACGTAATCCTGAGAGACTGAAACAAGTAGATAGAAACATCATGGCGGAGCGCAAAATTTGTGTGGACGACAAGAATGTGTGTAGAAAGTTGATACAGGTCGATAGTGTGAAGAATTTGTTCTGGCGATGTATTGCGTACTGCCGACACCCGGTAGACGTGCCAAAGCCGTGATAATTTCCTTTCTGAAATTCGAACTCACAGAGGTGATGAAATTGGGGGATATTATTAAGGCGTTGTGCCGACCGTAACCCTTCGCGCCTGAGTCCAGCACGAAACAGAATTGAATATACCGAGGAATACAAATGAAGAATTGAAGTTTCCTTTGAAGAAAACAAATAAAAAAAAACGGAAGAGGGTGACAGCCAAAACAAACCCTTCCAGTTTCCTCTGCAAGTCATATCCAGATCAACTGTCATTCATGAACTTACCTGCTGCCGTACCTCTCCTCACCGCGACCTTCGTAAGATCGACCGCCGGCAGCGCTGCCACCACCGTTGTAGGGTTCACGGCCTTCACGGGGAGGGGCCTGTTCGTAGCTGGGAGGGTTGGCATCACGGTCGTAATAGCCACCACCACGGCGCTCTTCACCACCTCCACTACCTCCACCACGGCGTTCTTCACCTCCACGTGGGTAGCGTTCTTCACGAGAAGCATAACGGTCACCTCCACTGCCACTGCCACTGCCACTGCCACTGCCGCCAGCAGCACCGCCTCGGTAAGAGCCATAGTCGTCACGGTAATCATCACGGCGGCCGTAGTCGCGGCCATAGTCCCGACCGTACTCACGTCCACCGCCGCTACCACCGCGGTATCCGTGGTCATCGCGACCGTAATCTCCACCACGGCGACCGTAAGAGTCGTAGCGGCCATATCGGTAGTCATCGTAGCGACGGCCACCACCGTATCCACGGCGATCGTCGTAACGGTCACGGCCTCCACGTGGAGGACCTCGGCCGCCACCGCGGGGGTCTAAAGATACAACTTTCAGTTACAGTGACCGACAATTCAGAGCTCACAACAAGCTTACCTCGTTTGGGTGGGCCAAAGTACTTGCCAGGAGTGGGTGTGCGGGGACGGCTGCGACGAGCTTTCTCGATGCTGAGAGTGAGGCCGTCGATCACTTCGCCTTGCAATCCTTCCTTGGCAGCATCGGCTTKTTCAGCAGTAACCATCTTGACGAAACCAAATCCACGTGACTCCTTGGTGTGAGGATCAAGCATGATAGAGCAGTTCTCGACGTCTCCATATTTTTCAAAAAGGCGAGAGATGTCTGCTTCGGTGAGACGAGGGTGAATGCCAGTGACGAAAAGGTTGGATCCTGGGTTGATAGATCCTTCATCATCTTCGTCGATTGGGGCCTTTCTAGAGTCGCCTGCAGGGGCTCTATTCGATCATTGTCAGTCTGAGAATAAGCTCAATACGTCCTTGTCTGAACAAAGTATGCTTACCTATCGTCCCCACGAGTGGGAGAAAGGCTACGGTCCCGGTCGGCGCGTGAATCTCCACGGGGAGAGGCGCTGCGGTCGCGATCATAGCGACGGTCGTCTGGGGGAGTCGACAATTAGTCAGGCTGAAGGCAAAAGGAGCTTTTGGCAAAGCTGGGCTGCAAAACTCACCGTCATAGCGACCGTTCTCGTTCTCGTACTCCATGGCTGACATTTTTGTGATGGGTTGAATGGAGTTGATTGATAAGTGAGAAAGGAAGAGAAGAAGGAAGGGAACACCGAGTCCGCTTTGAAGTTTGGAAAGATCCGAAAGAATATGATTCGCGCTAGGGTGGCAAGGCTTGGCGTGCTCCAGCTCAACGGCCCCGAAATCTACTCAGTAGTTAACCGGGTTGAGTCAACAGAGTCGATAGCGATGAGGATGATGATGTGTGTGTGAGAGAAAATCCAATAATGACAAGACGGCAGGAGAAGAAGACTCTCGATTAGGCACGGGCAAAGCAAGGCGTCTCGGAAATTTGTCTGCTGACTTGCCGTTTGCCTCACTCAAAGCTATGACCCTGGCCTTACATCGAGAACATAAAAGTATCGTTATACTACTGCTACGAAGGCACCGTCATATAAGTAATCTTGCTTGCTTCTGAGTACATACACACATGCTCACAACATAGATCAAATACTAAAGCACCCAAATGAAACTGTCTATGACGCCGAATACTGCTAGTGCTAACCATACCAGACTCCTGTACCTCACATAATACGCCTAAAGAAACCCCCAATAAAATTGTATTTACCTAAATCCCCGATAGCGCCGACGCGTCCGGCGAGTCTGGACAGGTTCAGGCGCCCTGCCATTAATTTTGTCGGATTCTTCCTTGATTTCATCTTTGCTCTCATCTCCTCCCAGGTCCTCGAGCTCATCTTCATCAAGCTCGCTTAGTTCCTCGCTCATGCCGCGCAAAACGTCACGACCAGTCCACCGCTCTTCATGTATGGTCGTGCCAACTGGATCGAAAGGTTGCATATACCATTGAATGCCTCCTTGAGCAAGTGGCCCCTGTTGCTGATCGCCTTGTGAGCTCAATGGCGGTGTTAATGGACCTCGTGCAGCTCTTGTAGCATGTTCATTTTGTTGGGATACCACACTTTGGTTATCCTTTTTCACTGCACCGCCAGCCATGTCATCGACGATGATTTCGGAAGCCTCCATTGACTCATCTCCAGCCCTATCACTGGAAGGTGCGGTGATAAGATTGTTCGTGGTTTGAATGTAGTTATCGTCTGCATCCGGAATGTCAATGTCCCCGTCAGCTGCTGGTGTTTGTGTTTGCTCCGTCGTCTCGGGACCTTCTTTCTTGGTAAGATCGTCAGACTCAGTGACAGGCAACCCATTAGTCACAGGGCCATAGTCAAACGAAGCATCAAGGGCGTCAACCACAGATATCCGCCGTGACAAAACGCCGCTATCAAAAATACTGTCCAGCTCTTTAAGCTCCTTCTCAAATGGCAAACCACTCAGCTCGGTTTCCTTGCGAATGGCATCTTCGAGGGATGGTTGAATGGATTTAATAACCCTCTTTGCTAATTTTCTCTTCTCGCGCTGGTCAACTGTAAGCTCAGGTGCGCGACCACTAATTTGTAATTGGAGCTCCGCCGTATCTTCGACTGGCTGGGCGCCTATCTCGGTGGTGAATATATGTGCCAGATCGGCAGAGAAGACGGACACATTTGTATAGTATCTTGATTCCAAGCGAGCGCGAACAGCTTGTAGGGGTGCACGAAAAACGCCTTTCGGATCGAGACTAGCGGTCTTTTAGTAATTGAATGAAAAATTAAGAAAGGAATTGACACTCACGTCTGAATCTTCTCAAAAATCGGCCACAACAACGGAGGTATAGGAAAGTAAACAGTATCGATGATATTGCGGAGCATTTCAACGTCTTCTAGCTTGGCACTTTCACGTTCCTTCACATCGGCGCAAAGAGTCCGTACCCTTTCAACATCCGAAGATAGAACTTCTGCGAAATCAATACGACGTTGCAGGCGTGAGAGTCCAATGGGGCCCATGCCAGCGAAATTGCGTCTAGTCATCTCCATCGACGAGAATGTCTCCAACTGAAGCTGAAGGCGCTTCAATAGAGCTGCTCCTCGTCGAGCTTCCCGCTTTAGGGTCCAGTACTTGCAAGCGTCCTCGGCATATTGCTTTCTCTGGCGCACAGCGAAACGTTGCAACGAAGCCATGACCGAGTTGAGTACGGTTTGAGGAATGACTGGTGCTCCTGAGGCCAATTTCCATGTAGGCTTTGAAGGGGTCGTACGTTTTCGTTTGTTCCCTCCCGCATTAAAAGTCAAATGGATATTTGGACCATGGTGAGAATGACTCTCTATCTGTTCAGCCCCATCTGGTAGAGACGGCCCAAGCGCAAGAGCAGCTGCTTGACTATCGCCCCACCTTTTGCCATGCATCGTATTCTTGTAGTATTCAACTGCTTCAGCGTACGCGGAATCGGTACCATGTTCCTTTCGCCAGTCAGGCGGGACATGCTTGTGACAAAAAGCTTTTAACAAATGAGAGTCCATGATTGCCGAGTTTTGCGCTGACTTCATCTTCAAATACAGCTGAGATCGCCTTGCACATGTGACATGGAACGCCACGAAGCAATTCTTATTACTGCACTGAATTGAGGCACCCATCCGCTGCTTACATATGTAGCACTGAAGCTTCCATCGGCTCTTTGGCACCTTTTCAACGTCCGTAACGGGTTCCATGAGGGACTGGTTACCGATACCCACTTCTGGAATCCAAATAGAACAAAGCAAATGTGACCATTTCGATGTGTTTGTCTGTTTGAAGGCACCCTCAGTATTTGGACAGAAGATACAGTTCGGAGACCCTCGCCCAATCAGTTGGCATTTTCGACAGAGCCATTGACCTTCTGGAATATATGGAACGCCATAACATTCTTGATGCACAGCAAGGTCACATCCATCACAGAACACGATAGCATTAGAGTTTTCGCAATCTCCGTCATCGCAAACTGCGCATTTGCTGTCCTGTTCTTCGCCATCTCCCACTGGCTCGCCGTTGACAGCGGCGGCGGAACTCGAACGTGGACGTTGTGTTTGGGGCGGCTTAGGATTCGGCTTCGGTATTTTCTTTTCTAGAGCATACCACTCTTTCTCGATCTTCGTCATGGTAATCTCGAAAACGGCTGGCTTGATCGCTTCCAGCTGATCAGCCTTCCGCCTATTGTTATAGTCTTCTAGCCACTTCTCGTCTTGTTCGTCCATGTCATATTCCMCCCTTCCGACGCCCAACGAGCCAATAGCTGCGTTAGTATCACCATCCGTAACAGGTGGATCTAGATCTAGATCCTCCTCGATAGCTCCCTCTGCCATACGAATGAGTCGACGATCATGACGAACAAATAAATCGCTTTCTTGGTAGCCAACGCTGGCCATCGTACGATCCACGTAGTTTTGCTGATTGACGCCTTTTTGCTCGTAGCGGACAAATGGATCACGTAGGTGAAAATTCGGTTTGGGAAGAGTGAGTCTTTCGCGCGGGTTTGGGCCCGGAGGTGGGACAACCTTTGGCTGTTCAGGACTTATGATAGCACTGAGCATCGCGTCTGGTCGTCGGGGAGGGCGACCCGGTCGTCGTTTGAAAGGTGTTTGGGGTGTCGATGGAGTGGCGATTGTAGGAGAATCGTGGGCTTCGGACGTAGTAGATACACCATTGGTGAGATGGTTATTGGGAGTGGATTGCTGTGGTTTGCTTGCGCCATCCACATCTTCGGCACTGAAAACTGCAAATTTGGCTTCAATGTCCAGGTCTGGATGGAACTCCTCCCAGCCCCGTTCCTCGCGAGGTTTGTATCCATCGCCTTGTTGGAGCGCCAAAGCAGCAGCAGTCGCGGAACTGTAACGGCCTCGACTCTGAGTGCGTTCTCTGCGAGGGCGAGTGGAAGGCGGAGTGGTCATTGGAAGCGGGGTGCTGACGATAGCAGGGGCTATTTCGCGTCGAGGGCGCGGAGAAGGTTGACTTTTGGCGTGGACAACCGGTTCTGCGACGACGGGGGCTGGAGGTGGTTTTCGTTCAACGACAGCATCTATTTCGATAAAGCGTCCGCCACCGCCAGGACCACCGGGGATGTATTTGCGCTTCTTGAGGGGAGGTCCATCCGTTGGACTTGCGTTCCCGTTTCGGGAGTTTTTCAGCGGCGCCATCGATCGAGCTGAGAACGTCCGTCTCCGCGACAATGGAGCCATTGTATATGTTGATTTCCTAGGCGCTGGGCAGCTATAAACCTGTCGCGCTTCTTGTTCGTAAAATCCAGGGGGAGAAAGTGGCACAACTCCTAGGCTCAAGAGAGCAAGACGGAGGGTGAAACAAGAGTCAAAGCCCGGCTGAATATAACCAGCTCTTGACCTCGAGAACTATCGCCGAGAAATAAAAGGTTGGTAAGTCGACAGCGCAAGAGCTATGGCTCTATGGCAGCGAGTATTGGCAGACGCGAGGCTGCGACGTCGGCATCAACGTGCTCAATCTCGAAGCACGGGGTAGCCACGGCTAGCTCATTCTGGTTAGCTGGTGTATGACTAATGAATAAGCTAGCTCAATATGGGTTAGCTCAACACGCTCGGTTGATAAGATCAATTCGATCACCCAAAGTTCAGTCTCTAATTACCAAGACGACGACAACTTTGATTTGTACTGTCCATACATCAACTGACCGGTTCCTGATTTGGTGCTGAGCTTCATATGCAGGTAGTCTTCTACCAGCAGCGCAGACAAATTTTTTAATACTGTGTGCTTTTTGTCAACAGATTATATGCTTCGCCGAGACGCTCGACCATTAATTTTGCTGGATGCTATAATGCGGGGGAGCTACTGTCGAGTTACTGCTGACGCTACACGGGATCGATCTATGGTAAGTCCTACATAATATCTGAGTCTCTCCTCCAGACTCAGAAGGGGCTTCGAATGCTCAACCAAGTGATCTTCCTACCTTATTTCTTGTGAACTCCAATCCGCAAGCATGTGCGCCACAGAGCTACTTGATATTAATCTTTAGGACCCGTCAAACGTGCGTGTTACGATTCACTTTCTTCCAACGATAGCACCGACCAGAAAACTCGTCGCGATATCATGTCAGAAACGACCACTGGGTAACCCATGCGATTTTGCTGGAGAATCTTCTAGCAGAAATCTCAGAGATCGGAAACTAAATCAATAGCGAATTCTTTATTCTGCAAACAGTACTCGTTAAAACGAGACAAAGATTCAGCGTCAGCTACATAGACTTTCGAAGCAAATTGTACATTGTCAGCATTTTGCACAAAAAGCGAAAGATTAGACAGCGCTCGGATGGAATCCGACAATAACACCGTTCCTTGTTTTGATCCTCTTTTTTTTTGGAGTCAAGTTTTTCTGTTATCCTGGGACTTCCCTCGACGTGGCACTCCTACTTCCAACTACCATATTGGACTGACCGTGATACACCGTAGTGGAAAGAATTTCTGTCAAGTTTCTCCATGGACTGCATAATAGAAGAGCACACAACTATGATCCATATTCAAGTCACACACTTTCATACTGTTGTAGGGTTTAACAGCATCGCCGCACCATGACAGCTTGGCTATAATTAGAACCAGGCACGTACCCGGCGCTACGCAACACTGAATACTCCTCCCCACAGCGGGTGATGCCCTTCTAGAGCAACCTAATTCCCGCAGAGCCAGACTGTTGGACTTCGGTGGCTTGGACAATTAATCTCATTCTGATATAGTCTTCTACGTAGTCTCATGTACATACTGCCTACATGTCAAGACATTATTCTGAATGTTGGCTGGAGGTGTGTACATTTTTCAGATATTTCCACATTCAAGTCCACGTAGCTGAAATGCACTTGGACATTCCGGCACTCCTTGTGATGTCCGTACCAATGGCTCTGGCGAGTTAAGCGCTCGGCCAGAATTTGTGTAAATTCTAGGAACCAAAGCCCATGTTGGATGAGGTACGTACATATCAGATACATGAGAGCCTTGAAAATCTCGCCCTAAAAGAACAGCGCAAACAGACAGAAAGAAAAGGCTAGATTGAATCCAGGCCCAGCGCATGAATAGTAAAGCACTATTTTTCGTCTCTTGAAACAAATAGATGCCGATTTCAGATGTCGGCATTTGGAAGTGTGCCCAGGTATACCTACACAACCAACAGTCTATGTACTACATAGTCATGTAGTGCCGTGCCACCAACAACCAGGAAATAAGACCTCGACGCTATGCATATATTCCAGTCTTTAGTAACACTCATGACCATGTGGCCTCTAATAAGGAAACTCGGCGGAGTAAGCGATTGGATGTTATTGGACACCCGGGGCTTATACATGGGCTGACTCGCTAGACACAGAGCTGAATCGCAACAAGCATCGATCGTTGGCACTTTGGAAACTTTTGGAATCCTGGTAAGATGAGCACCGGGATAGTGTCTAAATGTTGAGCGACCATGAATCTCAGGTTGACTTAAGATTTTATCGTAGAAGTTTGAGTCAGAATATCTTGCTTGCATATGTACGTTGAGTGGATACTGAAACGTGCTGTGAGGTTATGAGGCTGTTGTAGTGATGATTGGTGATTTAATTATCGCAATAGGCATCGTGATCAAGTTTCTAGTAGATTTTTGGAAAGCTTGAGGCCAATACGTGGCTACTTGAGTACACAGATCTAGTAGAGATCATATTGCACTTGTACCTAAGTCAACTAGTTTGTGAATATATATCCGTGTGCCGGTAAAGCTCTAGGTACTGCTAGTATACAGGAAGACATGAGATGAAGCTTTCTCAACGTGTATTCTAGAGGCTCAGCTTCACGTCCTGTGTACAAGAATCGGTCCATCGTCGACATCTTGAATCTATACAGACATTTGAACTGTCGGAGCAAAAGCATAGAATTTAAATATAGAAATGAACTAGTACGTATAAGGTAAGGCGTCAATCGCGCTGGGTCCGAATTCTAATATTGGCAGCAGCCCAGCCAATCCCAGCCCATAAATAGACGGCCCCACGACTCATGGCTGGCTCCAAAATTAACCTACAGTGGATGCCTGAGAAATTAGTACGCTTCAATCTCACGCGATCTCGAAATAGCCCTGCTCTACCCATTGCAATTAACACGAGCAGGCCTACCAAACGGCCTACCAGACGGCCGGGCACAGCCAACCCCAATTTTAAAATATACGCCCGCGCCCCGGACCTGCATTTCTCGGTGCATCGCCCCCAACCGGCTTCAGAGTTGCGGCTAAACCCTGGTCAATGATCATTTCCAACACTATGTTGCTATGTTACGAAATGCGCAGCCTCGGGTTTCAAAACTCAATTCAGCTGGATTTCCAGATTGGGTCGGCTCAAACACGCTAAGGGATATGAACCATCTCAGTCCGGGGGTGTTCTTGTCATGATCCCGCCAGGGTAACGGCTAGCCTTTCGAACTAGTGCCAGCCAACATTCGGTGATGCAGCCTGGCTGCAATGGGCCTTCAGGTCAGAACTATGTATGTGCGTACGTACGTGCATCCCGAAAAATGGGGTCCACCCATATAGCACATGTTGTCGTTGTTGAAAAGGGTGTAGTATCCTGAAGGAGGCTGTGAACTTGTAATTCTTGTAAACCTGAATTTATTTCAGGATGCATTGTCATCCACCACAGATGGTGTGTATAAGCCATTGGCTAGCTTGCTGTCAACAACCTGACTATAAACAGGCACGGACGGCCACCAACATAACATCTTCGTTTAGAGATTCGTTTACCAACTTAGATGAGCATCACCTAAGTAACTACCACAGCTCTCTCAGCCTTCAGCCTCAACATCAAGCCGGGAATATATTTTTTATTGCGCCTGGTCTATGCTTCGATCTTCTTTCATGCCATAGCCAGTGTTTATAGTATATGTGTCTTTTACGACTCAAGCACCTGTCACCAACAACCTGTCAAACATCGGACCTCGTTATCGCCTGAAAATCGAGTCATTTTGGCCCCATGCGACGGTTCTCCCCGTCATCACAAGAAGAAGGTTCGCCGTCCCTGACTCTGAGTGGCCACGATTGTGATTTGGCGGAGATCACAAACGGCTTCATTCACGGCGGGCCTCTCGACATCTCACCCCCACAATCTCCAGATATATTTAGGAGTCTATTGAAAGAGCCCTTCATCGTGGAGATGGGCGCCTCCCCACATCAAACCACTTCTCCTCCGGAAAGCGTAAAGAAAGCCACAAAGCCTGGTAGACAGCGATCTCTGAATGAGTCAGGGTCTAATCATGCGTCGAACTGGTCATACCAGGACGACCAGGTGCTCATAAATGCTCGGGCCAGGGGCCAAGGATGGAGTCAAATACAGAAGGACCATTTTCAGAACAAGACGGCGAACGCTTGCCGAAAGAGGCACGAGCGTCTCGTTGCTAAACGAAGGGGTACAGAGTGGAATCAGGAGATGCTTGAAAAGTTATCGACTGAATATAGTCGACGTCGGGAACAGATCTGGCAGCCACTGGCAAATGCTATTGGTGAGAAGTGGCAGGATGTCGAAAAGGCTGTAAGTTACACCGTTTTCCTTGATGTGTTCTAGTACTAATGTTTGATATGAAGTGCTTCGAGAAAGGATTGAAGTCATTGATTACACAGCCCCGCTCTCAACGAGGGAGAGATATCCTCCATACGCAAGTTCAACCGAGCAATATCTCAAAACCAAACAGTGACGAGTATCCCCGTCAGACCAGCTTGCTTCCTCTCAAAGACATCCTGGCACCCGATTAACAGCCCTTACACGCTCTCCTCTAGCGACTCATTGCTCACTATATTCTCAACTTTACTTCTTACATTTCTATGATAATCAATGACTCACGACGCGACGGATTGTTTCTTGGCTTAACCGGCATGGATATTGCAGGGTGTTTGATGTTGGATGATTTAATTTGAAAATTCTTGCGTTCCATTTTCAGGGTGTTTCCCTATTACTACTACACATACCCATTTTCTTTCCTACCTTCGTAACTGGGCTCTCCACTTGTTGACTGTGATGATTGCATCTATTTACGTTGAGTGCTCTGTTTTCTCTTGTTGAGCGCTGGAATGTCGTGGCTGTTTCAATCTTGATTTGGTTATAACATTATGCATAGCATGGAAGATGGAGAAGGTGTATGTGCGGTTTATAGATCGGTCTCTTTTGAAATTGCACTGTGTTGGGGTATCATTAAGTAATATACTACACATAACCTTGAAACGTACAAGGGTATCACTATTATACATGCTTCTATTTATACAGTCTTCTCCGCTAAGGATCCACTTTCTCTCCCCTGATCCACCCTTCTGCCCCTAGAATGCCACCATCTTCAGCACTGGGGTCCAAAGTCCATTTCCGAATTGCCCTGCAGCTGAGATCTGTGGTATAGCCTGCTTCGAACATTTCTATTCCCGCCCACCCAATCATCGCCGCGTTGTCTGTACATAGATACGGGGGCGGCGCAATCACCCGAATGTGTGAAAATCCACGGACATCCAGGAACGATCGTAGAACTGTCATGAGGAATCGATTAGCAGCTACTCCGCCACTGACCACCAATATGTCGACTTCCTGATGACGGCGACGCAATTTCGATTGTCTTTGCAGATGTTCTAGAGCAATGATGGTTCTCGAGGCTAGATGCTCGAAACATACACGCATCGACTCCCGCGCTAGAGCAACCCGTTCGTCTTGCGTCACCTCAACATTTGATTTGGCCTTGTCTGCCATGATCTTTCTGGCCATACTGGAGACGCTGGAGAAGCTGAATTTCAAATCTCGCGTGTTGGCATACGGAGTGGTGAAGGACCAGCCCCAGATATTATTGTGTTTCACAACTTCCTCCCCGCGGTTCTTCAGCGGTTGGTAGTCAGCGTAATCGGCAGGTCCATTGGGGAATGCAAATTTCTCCAGTATTTTGCCGTACATAGTTGTATTTGCAGATTCTATCACAGATTCTGGAAGTATAAGTCGTGCAGACTTGTCGAGAGTCTCGCCAATGGCAATATCAGCTGTTGTGGCGAGAATTTCATGATTGAGTAGTGACTTTGTATGAACGAGCATGGAATGGCCGCCGGAAACAAGTGCAGAAAGAAAGGGAAACCTGGGCTGTAAATCGATGGATGCGGAGCTATTCAAAGCGGAAACGAGTCGAGGCGTCAAGAGATGCGCCTGCATATGATGCACTCCTACAATAGGAATTTGCCATGCAACAGCTAAACCCTTGGCTGTATCTAATCCGACTGAGAGATTGGATCGCATTCCCGGGCCCCTTGTTACAGAGATGAAATCAGGTAGACGGCGTCTCGTAGGTTCTCCGGTTCTTGGTAGTATATGCGATGCCAATGCGGCATTATTGGTTGAACCGTCTTGCTCAACAGGTGGTAGCGAAGATAGCGCCTTCTGAACGAGTTTCCCTAGACTTTCTTGGTGTGATTGTAGCGCCTCGATTGGGTGGATTCCACGGTATTTTCGGGTATCAGCTGTTATGTTTTCGAGGAAGTGTATGCTTGCAGCTGCATGTGCATCTTTTTCGACGATTGCAACGGATGTATCATCACTGCATATAGATGAAAAGTCAGATTCGTGAGTCCAGAGGTCTAATGAGGAGTCCTCAGAATCATATCACACCATGAACTCTCAATCGCAAGAGTAAGCAACCCTCGGCGCTTGTCCTGCGTGAAGGGAATGACGCATTTTGAGATTGATGCGATAAGTGGACGCCGAACGGCGTGAGCATCAATACATCGCCGAAATGTAAGTCGCGACGCACCCAATTTCAACATTGAGATAATGTCAATGTTGTCTGGGTAAAGAACGAGTCGTTCGGAAGAGTGATCTCAAAGTTTTATCGGAGAAAGCGGAGGTGAATTTAGACTAGCCGATCGATGGTGGACCCACATATCCATTCCATGGTGATCGAGTTTCAAGATATTCATAGCCTATAGATCTAGATTTACGATATACGTATATTATTCGTTTTGTAACTGATTTTTTGATAGTGCGTATGTTTAAAGACCAAAGTCGCTTTCATAAGTTCACATATGTAGACGACCGGATAAACTGATAAACCTATCAACTACCTCACGTAGACTTTTAACAGTCTTTGTACTTTGTCACTCTTGAAAAATGGAGCTGCTCCAGGGTAGGTTTTTGCTAGATGTGTAGTCATCTATATACTCATATCGACAACCGCCTTACCACCATGCCCTTCCTCACATCCCTTGACAAGATCATTGACTTGAGATAAAGTATACTTTTTTGAAATAGGCCTTATGCCTTTCTCTGCAACAACATCGAACATCTCCAGTAACCAAGCCCTACGTCCGGGCAGAACGCCAACAATCTTTATGTCGCGAAGAACTACATCGTGTGATGATACATGAAATCCCTTTGCAGGCGTAGATATCATCATGCACGTGCCGTGATAACGCAGTATCTTCATTCCATATTCAAAGGCCCTCTGAGTCTCCGGTAAGATCATGACCGCATCAACACCACGCTCGCGTGGATCTTTTACCGCTCCGTCATCAATGGCCTTGAGAACATCCTCGGGCTCTGTTACCCTTGCATCGAAAATCTTTGCCCCTGTGTCAAGATTCTTTGCAAGCTGTAAAGGACCATCTTGAGCATCGATGCCTACCATCTCATAGCCCAGAGCAACACCGAATTGCAATCCAACATGCCCAAGGCCACCACCGCAGCCCACAATCCCTATTCGAGAGCCTGGTTTAAAGTCGCCTTTCTTGAAAGCAGAAAACATCGTGTATCCAGCACACATCAGAGGTGCAGCATCAATAAATGAAATACTGTCTGGCAAGACCACAACTTGACGGCAATCCACAATCGCGTACTCGGCAAATCCCCCATAGATATTAATTCCAAGCGTAGAGGCCTGAGGGCAACGCAGTGAAAATTTAACCCCATGCCCTACCCCTATTTGGTCCCCGGGGGCATTCCGACACTCCCAGCATTTGCCACAGGGGTTGAAAGGACGAGGTGCTACACCCACTCTGCTCCCGATCTCAAGCTTGGTAAGAATGCCCTCATTGATATCGTTGAGTTTGGCAATATCAGGTCCAAGGGCGACGACAGTACCTGCAAACTCGTGGGAGCTCACCATGGGCAGATTGCCCCCGAATTTCCCCGATGCAAAGATGGCATCTGTGTGGCAATAACTAGCTGCGCCAACTCGAATGAGAAGCTCAAGCCCTTGTGGGGGACCCGGAAAAGGAACGTCCTCGAGAATGTATGGCGAATCGAAGGTGTGGATCACTTGAGCTTTCATTGTAGAGGGGATTATGTTTCCATGTGTGACTGTCATTGCTCAAAGAGATTATCGGACTTGTGCAGGTGGTCGATGACGATTGTACGTACGTGTTGCGAATCGATCCTTGTCGATTGCTCCACAGATGCACTGCAACCCGCTATCTATACAATCCCGAGCGGATATCAAAGAGTATCACGATAAGGTTCATTTACTGAAATGGATAGGGAGCAATCAGCCTTTTCCATATATTTCTCGATAGAAAATCATTTCAGACGCGCGATCAAACGAACGTAACATGGAGTTGGTGTTGGAGTGTTTTCTCCACAATCGGGCTACCTTATCTCCACCCAGCATAGCCCTAAAAGTTTTCCATTCATAAAAATGTCCTCAATCACCAACGATACACTTTTATAATCTTGCTGCATTCTTGCAGGGTGTTAATGATCACAAGATTTTCGAAGGCTCACATTCGGCCTCAGGGAACAACATGGGAGGAATAGCATTGTAGATTCGCAGCCCGAGAACACCCACCTGAAGGAAGCATAGTCATTGGTTGATACTATACGTACTCTGATTAAATCATAAGCACTAACTAGTACAATTGAGCAATAGCTCCTTCTCAAATAAGATCTTAGCTCAATACAGGACTAGGCTGAACAAAATGTAATTATTAATCCTATTTCGGAATGGTTCATTATTGAACATAGTGGCATATTTGGACAGTTATTGATAAGAATTATTCGCCTCCCAAGGCTATGTATGATCTTTGAATAAAAATATTCATGAGCGAGCGCATGGGCTCAGTAGTGGAGCAGATCTTATGAAGTACTTCAGAATTAGCATTGCTGTAACAGCTTTACAAGTCGTAACTATGGTGTGATACACGGCGTTCTGCATGGGTAACGTATATTACGAGCGTTCGTCCTGTCTTGTAACGTCCTGTGTCACAATCCCCGCTCACTTTAAGGAGTAAACAATACTCGTTCGTCTGCTTTGTGCAGACTATGAACGAGTAATATTCTGCCCCAAAATCTAGCCATACATCGGAGACAGAGTACAAAACTGAAGTCGAAAACATGGTGGCACCGGAATTTCAGCTCAGCCACGTCCCCAATTTCAAAAACCCCTACCGATCGATCCTCCAAACACGAGGATGGGTTTCGCGAGTCCCATGTTTCTTCCAATCTAGGTGGATGACAGAAGAGAACGACCGAAGGAAGTATTTAGACTTGTCGAGCTCCTCGAAAAGCAGTGATGTAGTCTCCCTATATTCTATTGCCATTCGGTTATCGTGAGACTCGTACGAAATTGCCAGAGGTATTATTGATATACTTGATCAAAGACGCCTTAGTATTACCTGAGTAACCAACAAACTATGGAACACCTACCATTACCCGACGGCGTCGAGCCTTTCATCATCGTGCCGTACGAAGCACCGCCAGAAAAATGGTATGACGGTCAAGGGTTCATTGATTACCCACAACGATGTGGCTGGACCGAAGAGCAACTTCGTGGTGGCGACGATACCACAAAGGAGGATCATCTAGATGCTAATGGGTTCAAAAAGAAAGGAAGTGATGACGAAGTTGAGCAGTTCTTCCAGACATGGCTCTTCTTCGGACTGGTAATTGAGTTCTTCGCAATCGGCGGTGTTCACGTTCAGACCGAAGACTTCCTTGTAGACGCGAATACGGAGGGAGATAATCCTGATATGCCGAAGATGGTCAACACCTCAAAGCTACCACAGCTTCTGCTCAATTGGCGAAACGGACTCACGAACAGGGGTGCTGATACCGAAAGAACACGGAACATTTTGGGGTCAATGTTTGACAGGTCAAAGTCTATTCTAGACCGGTTCTGTGTACCAGGACACGAAAAGGAGTGGCCATTGAAACAGGAAAAGCCTCGCCCATGGCCTGTGAGAGACGAAATATCTACCACCATGATCGCATTAACCTTCTCCCTTCGGGAAGCAGCTACGCAATCAGGTTCCATAGACAATGATAATACATTGATCCCCACGCTCCATGGTCGCTCTGAATTGCTGTGGAAACGACTGCAGCAGAAATGGTGTATTGCTGATGTGACTACCGCTCTCAAAGAGCTTGCTATCGATGGCCACTACTATCTCGCTGCATCGCCCGGACTATCAAATAAGGAACTCGACCATCATTCTAAATGCACCGAGGAGCATTGTCTCTACGAGTATGACCTGAAGATGTACGTCACTCGACATGCTGGCTCTCAATGGCACCATTCTGGTTGCAAGTCAACTATACAGTACGGTGGACAATTGGGGCCTGAAAGAGGGCAGAAAGATTGGGTAGACGCAATTAGCAAGATCATTGGCGAAAAGAACGCCATACCAATTGCCCTATGGGTAAAAGGGGAACGCAAGCTTTGGTCCGTAGAGTATCACTTGACTGGCCATCGACAGCCAGACTATGTTGCGATCTCACATGTGTAAGTTTGCAACAATCATAACCTCCTTATATTCAAAAGAGGCATTGCACAAAATTCGGGTTGGGAGCTTTAAAATCCGACGGATGAAAGCAGAAAAAGCTGATAACATTTTCTAGTTGGGCCGACGGCCAAGGTAACCCAAGAGCCAACTCCGTTCCTGAATGCCAATTGGATCGAATTACACATTATGTTGAAAATATCCACTGGCTGGGTCGAAAGCCTATCCCCAGCAATCCCAGTCTCTCTGATGGAATTGGTTTTTGGTTAGATACCATTTGTAAGTTCTCATTGATCAATATACTTACCTTGTCGATATGAAGCTCATGAAAACTTGTAGGCGTTCCGGTAGATGACAAGGGCCTGAAGAAAAAAGCTATTGCCAATATGCGTCATGTATATTCGAGAGCGAAGGCCGTGTTGGTTCTGGATAATTGGCTTGAGCAGATTCCATCCACCTACCCAATATTGGACATTGTTTCTCGATTGTATCAGTCTAACTGGATCAAACGACTATGGACCCATCAGGAGGGATTTCTTCCTGGTCTAGACACCCCCGTGGAAGACGGTATCCCAAAGACTTCTGGGGTGTACATTCAATTCAGCGATAAATCAATCGAGCTGGATGACCTGTGCCGGCAATTCGATGCCTATCGGCAACAACAGATTGATGTAGGTAAATACCTTCAATTTCCGACAATAGCAAATGGGCGGCTACTAGTCTTATATTCGAGGCTGAAGTTTATCATGTCGGGAGTGAAAGATATGAAGGGCAAATGGAAGCTCTATGCTCCCGTGGCTGATGCTATGTCTGAGCGAAAGACGTCAAGACTTGCCGACGAGATAATCTGCATAGCAACTATTATCGGCATTGATGTTAAACCGTTTCTAGAGCTCCCTGATAAGGACAAGTCAGACGAAGAGTCAGCCCAGGATAGGATGGCTCTGTTTCTGGATACGTTGCATACTTTCCAAACGCAGCTGGTTTTCAACAATTACCAAAGACTGGAGAGAGTAGGTTACAGGTGGGCTCCAAGGTCATTACTGAACTTCCGATTGCCTCAGCTATATACCGGGGATGATGAACGTACAGCGAATTTGCAGGCCGTCAACGGTAAAAAAGGATTGTTGGTTCAATATCCCGGTTTCTTGATGCAGTTCGACAGTGGTCGGCCAACATTTGGTACAAGCGAACGGGGCTGTGTTATCAAATACAATCAGAGGTCAGCGAAGTCTCACGGGGGGCCGAGTGTTGATGGCACTTACTTCATTATCGAGCTACCACCGAACAATGTCAGCTGGATTGAATCTTCCTCGCAGGTCTATGCCGTGGTATTGTATGAGGTGCCAACAAAGCGTGGGCAATCTTGCGCGGCAATCGTGGGATTGTCTACCTCATCACCTGTAAATGGTATATACACGTTTGAGCATTGCTCGATTGCGACAGCACGAGTTGTCAGTACGGCCCCAAAGTGGGTGGATATTATCGAGACGCCGCTCCTTACAAGCAATACCAAGTGGCTAGTGTATTGAGTGCTTTATGTTTTAGTGTCTTCCGTCATACGAAGTAGGAGGTTGTGGTCATGTTGGTCTGGAATTATGGGTTACCAAGCAGCTTATCCAATAATATTTTACATAGTTCTACACAATTTTGAACAGCCTAACCCACACCTAACAGTCATACTCATGATTGGTCCAATTATCATCCGTGCCCCTCTCCCATAGATCTTCATGATCGTGATGAGGCTGTGCCACCGTGAATGCATTCACAATCAACTCATCAATGCCCTCGATGTATGTCAATCGTGGCAGTTTCGTGTCCTTTTCAGCGAGCAATTTCTCCAACTGCCTATCAAACACATCGAGCGGTAGACCCTGTATGTAGGGTTTCATACCTTTCTCGTATCCATAGATACAGAGCGATTCGATATTTGGTGGGAGATGATCTACAATTGCAAATGATGCCTCTTCCTCCTCCACCTGATCGCCGCCAATTCCTCGAGCCAAATAGTATAGGAGGTGAATACCGAGGCTCAAATTCTTCAATTTTGGAAGCCCACGAAGCGTACACGGTGACGACCAATCATAGACTGGATGTTCATCTGTTTCGAGCGTTTGGAGTTCTTCTGCCCACTCATGATGATAAGCAGGGTCGGAACTTGGGGGCGGATCGTCATCATCGAAGTCATATGGTTGGAATATCTGGGTCAAAGAAATGTCTCCTTCCATATCCAAATCTAGATGTAGTAGGGATTCACCATGCAAGAGGAGGGCCCGAAGGACGTGTTCCAGACTGAAGAATTTGATCAACCCAACACCATCTCTCGAGGCTCGGCCACCAACCGCATAAGTAAATTCTTCAAGCCGCCTAGCCGACTCGATGATCCTCACCAGGTGATGTAAATCCATATTGGAATTTCGAATAGTAATCTTGGTGTAATTTGCTGACCTGGGCGGGGGTATCACACTGACATTCTCCTCCTCGAAAATGCCGTCAAATTGAACGGATTCTACTCCGGGCAGTCGACGCACCAGATTCACGCTGCCGTAAAGGTCATGGGGCTGATAATAGAACCACTCCCAGATATTTTCCTCAGCATCGACAAGAAACCGAACCTTACGAAGATTTTCTAGGAATGGCATAGTCTTCTGSGAGCCACTATTGACACGGTCAAGAAAGTGTTTAAAGAAATAGTCCGTTTCTGGAAATGGAGCACCATCTGATTGTCTGTTTTGTCTCAAGAGCTTCGGGTGTTCCATGCCGATAAAACAGAGATTCAGCGATTCCAACAGTGGCGAGACGCTAGCCAGCAGTGCTGCCAACGCTTGGGCCAAGAATGGGGTTCGTGAGTCATTGCGACTAATTCAAGTCAGACTGGAGCTTTCTAAATATCACTTGTTTCGATGACAGGAAGTCATTTCGTAAGGCAGTGAAAGATAAGGATTGTGGGAAGGGATGATCATACTGCATAGTGTCAGGATCCTGCAATAGGATGTTGAGCATCTTCTCTTCTTCTTGTGAAGAATCAAAGCCAGCCCGCCGAATAGCCATTGTCAAGCGATCCTGATTCTTCGACTCGAGAGATCGCGATGTACGGGGAAGAAGCCTGGAGCTTGATCTGGAAAATCTCTTTTGTCGCGGCTTTCCATGTCGAGACATACAGAACCTAAAAGCCCAGGAACAACTCTCCCGTTATCATCTCACACTCAATGAGCAGAATGGCGGGACGCTGTACCCAAAAACGAATAAATCACTTCCCGCCTAGCCACATTACTCCTCTAATATCCTATCCAAGAACTCAATATCGAGATCATCTAGACAAAAAGCCCAATCCACCTTCTCTTGGTCCTCATCTGGAGCCCGTATAGTAATCTCAACCATATTAACTTTTCGTCCCCACGACCCTCCAAACATTGTCAAATCATAGTACTGCATTTGTTGATAACCCGCTTTGTATAAGCAATCCAGGTATTGTACACATTTTGGGCTTCCGAGTCACGTATCTCCCATGTAACAATTTCCAATAGTAGTCCGCGCGGCACTTTTCCAAGCGGCTTAATATGGAGTCCATTTAGGTTGAAATATCCCGAATGACCTGCACTATGCAGTTTGGCCGTGTCGGCTACCCAACCTGAGCGTGCTTCATGACCAAGCCGGGCTCCAGTGCTGAATAGTGCATTTGGCTGGGAGGAAGCACAATCTGCGTCGTGAAATGAGATAGAGCCTAAAGATGCCGCTGCGATGGTGTTTACGGTAGTAAAACTGCTAAAATTCATGTATGAATAAGTGGATATGGTTCCGTTTCCAGTTAATACATCAGTTGGCACATCATCAAACTGGAAATCTGGTTAGAGCTGACCGGCAGTTTATGAAAAGCTGATATGCTTACACTGAGAGTGGTACTGAATCCTTGACTAGTTTCAGATAGCAGGCTTTCCTGGGTAAAATCACCAGCGATCGTAGCGCCCAAGACTGTTTGGATGTTCTTCGCTTGTGTATCTCGCGGGGATAACAGTAACCCTGCCAAGGCTAGGTTCATTAAGATTGCCATATTGAGAGAAAATTGATGGATAGAAGAGCTACAATGCGTGAGTTCTCCCGTAGCCTTTTTACATGTTGCCTTTAGCCTAAAAATCATGGCGGTCTGATCGTCTGATGACCTCCCACCTGCCGCTGGTTCTAATTGCTCCGTTTGGATATGACTACGAGGTACTTATCCTGTCCTGGAACCCGATATCAGACCTCAGCATCTAGCAACTACGCACCTACTGTACGTGCTTCAGGGAATATTGATCCCATTCTAAAGCCCTTACACATTATTTGTATAGCACTAGACCCCCAGCATTCCCTTTTATAGGAATCCGATAGAAATTAGAAATCAATATAGATCTCTTTCATGCCTCGCCTTATAGGCTTATTAGATTAATCTGTTCCTAATCTAGTTAAGCTGATCTAAGTAGACTTGTTAAGAACCGAACCTGAACCGCGGACCTAAACTGCACCTCCAGTTGACCCCAGCAGAACCCTTCCTTCCATGACCGTACGGAGAATCTATAGATAAAGATTTACACAAAGCTTGAAACAGGATTTCATACAAATAAAGTCGTGAAGCCATATCCATACCAGTAGATGCATATAACTCAGGTGTGTAAGTACTAGTTTCCCATTCTGACAGCCAGCAAATAACATTTATTGCACCTTAAACCATTACCCAATATTGTACCGTATCAAGTATCATAATTCGCACATTAAACCAATTGACTGAAGAAAGCCTTTTCCTGTTGATACAGCCTTCAGTTGCTCTTCACCTCAACAGATTTTTCAGCATCCTTTTTCTCCTTCCACTCTGCAGCAATAGCAGCCCACTGCTCGACTTCCTTTTCACGCAAATCACCAGGAAAGAATGTACCCAGCATGCTTTTGCCTAGCTTCTCGTATCTCTTCTCGAGCTCCAATAGCGTGCTCATAACCTTGGCTTCACCGATCACATCTACAAATTCCAGCGGAATTCCATATGCATATGGAGTACGCTTCCAACCGGCGACGAAGATGTTTTGGAGCATTCCAATACCACCAACAGCAATCAAGTACCATGAGTCATCCGTCAGACCTGATGCGGTGATTAACAGGGCAACCCACAAAATACCCAGGACAATGACAGAAAGCTGTGAGAAGAGCGAAATGGTCGGGGAGTCGACGTTGGCAAAGCCCGTTGCAAGATCCTCCAAGTCCAGACCATGTCCTTCACTAATAATCGCAATTGCATGCTGGGCTCCGTTGCCGCGTGTCATGACAAAATTCTTATTGCTTCGACCATCCAGGCGTCGGCAAGCCCATTTTTCGACCCTCCATTGCTGAAGGGCACCAGTGAAGTAACAGAGAAGAGTAGCACCGCCAGTAACTAACAAGACTCCCCAATCACCTGTCAAGCCTAACGGTATACAGGCAACTCCCAACTGGATGACAGTAACAATAAGTCCGGACCAATGAAGTATATCATGCCCCGGTTCACCATGTGGTTTTGTCTTACTAGGCTTCCAGATACTAACCACCAGTCCAGCCTGAGCAGGGCGAGGCACTGTGACATTCGATCCAGGATAATCTCGATTTTCTTTTTCTTGCTCGAACTTCCATCGAGCCGCGATTAGTGACTCGGTTTTGTCGGCAACAGTCTTTCCCATCCAGTACTCGTAGTCGCGCATCATGCGTCCGAGGACCCAGGAGTTGTTTCCGCGGACGTAGCCATTCTTGCCATTAATGATGCAGCATCCAGTGTCAGCGTCGGGCATGAGTCTGTACTCTCCGAGAGCCGCACAGACAGAGGCAGTCGCATAAGAAMCCCATCCTGCGCAAGACCACGTTAGCACAAGCCACATTGAAGGTCACAACTCCCGATTATTCGTTAAGAACAGAAATACATACCAAAGGAAAAAGCTACAGGCGTAATCCAACCACCAGCCAGTTGTGCAAGAGCACGATTTATCAAATCTCCTCCCAGCAAGAGAAGGATGGTAAAGGCATAATTGGATGGTTGGGACCACTCCTGGGAGAAAGCGGCCGCTGGAGTACTAGTATTGAAGTCCCGACGCTGAAAGATGAAATCAAGCATTGGAGCCATTGCGGCCGTAGTTGTGCTTTATGTTATTCTCCAATTGAATTAAAGGTCGGCTGATAGATTGATAATCTCTGACTCCAATGGTCGGTCTCGGAAAGTCAAAGTCGAAAGATAACAGCCAAAAAGAAGCTGGGCTGATTTTCTCGTCCTTCAATAACTTTCATAGATGTCCAGGCCACACAGCCCGAGAAGTTTCCGCAGAAGATCAAACGTAGACAAAAACGGATTGCTCTATATCTCAATCCTATCCAGATAATGTGCCAAAATTTTGTCCCACCGGCAAGCTTTCTAGCGAACTAGTATAATTGATAGTTCATGCAGAAGTTGAAGCAAGCGTTCACGAAAATTAGAACTTGAACAGTTTCCGAGGTGGTGAGACGAGCTAGAGGTGGCTGGCTGTGCAGCCTCGCACTAAAGCGAGTTTATTACCGTATAGCGTAAATTATCATGCATGTCGATGTTGTATTGGACAATACGGCTATAGTTACGGTATCTATATGTGAAATTACAACCGTTACGAATTTCATCGATACGGTGTAACTGCCATTACAAAACCCGAGGTCGATCATTGAGTTGATAGACCTGAGTACCGATCACTGCATAAATAATTGAATAGCAGATCGAATGGCTTGGATGACATGCATACAGTCGACATATCAGCATGGGGAGACAATTTCAAGGTTTGGGAAGTAAACTCGGTAATCTCGATAAAATACACAATGAGCCTGTCGCTGCTGAAGGGCTGACCTTCACTCATTTATGTACTATGCCATTTAGTCATACGATTCTGTAGGCTGATGGCTTACCGTCAAGCGTAAAAGTCCCATCACCTCAATGGTGTGTGATATCACCATTGTTCAATACAGGATTCAACCATACCTGAACCGCTTCTCGGACAGGCATACTGTACTTTGGAAGCATTCGAGTATCGGCAACACGGCATTCATTATTCGCTTTGCATTCGCGAGTCAAAGGAGCAATGACTTTTTTGCCGCAAACTTGTCTGAGGCCATGAGCCTCAAATTTGTCAATGCCGATTCCAGAGCAGCAGCCAATTTCGACAACAATCTCGGCTGCGCGGACGGCAATGATGCATTCTTCGAGAACGCTGAATGTATGATCCCATGGTCCTACTATGATTATCTTAAAGCCACATGTCATGACTTTTTTTTGGTGTCATCTTTGTCTCCGGTTGTCATGAAAATGATAGGGCCGAAGGCGACGAACTCTATTCATGGGATACTGGCATATTGCTCCATTGGCATCGCCACGTGTGCGACGTGGTCCAATCATGGGCCTGGTTGTCATGAAATAGCATAATGATATTCACAAAAACAATCTGCAGTCTCTCAGAGAGCTCGACGTTCGTTTCCTTCCGTGCCCGCCGTCCGCAGGATCCTCAAATATTACTTAGGTGGTCAAAATATGTAAGTATACCCATATGATAGATCATCTACAGAGCAGATGAGCCTCGCTTCCTCGCAATTGACTTCCCACAACGCCAAACTGGTGGAGCTCACCCCGCAAGCGTTGCTGTGCCAGTTTCCACTTTTCAAAGATGGCATATCCTGAACCATTTCATGGCGGCGCACGTTGAGATGAGTTGTCGACCATATCGATAGTGAAACCAAGGTCGCTTGTTATGATATACCTACCGTGACTGGAGTGGATGCTTGCTGGGCACATGGAATGCATCGTTGGGCTGACAGCTCTCCATTTTCTAGTTCTTCTGTTCATTTGTATAACACCGAGGAGCTGATGCTACACTAAAGAAGCAAGAGGTATATTAAGTATGCCCTAAGCCCTAAGCCTGAAAAGGAGGAAAGAAGACAAAGAGAAGAGAGGAGAATGGCCGAATATTGAGGTATGTATTGAGACGGTATGCGGAAAAACTTTCCGAGTGGAGATGACAGATTTGACAACCTCATTCGTCAGAACTCGTCTTGTGGTAATCTATTAGCCACCTCACTCGTGGCGGAAAACAATTCCGTTACATTCTAATTACGACAGAAGCCCTCTGTGGGGATCGAGCCGATCAGTCTTTCATTCTAATCTGCTCGACCAAGACATTGAATAAACCCATTTGCTAGACAAGGCACCATGTCTGCTTCCCTTTTTTCTCGTCTAACACGGCCGTGGCTCTCTTGAAGCCCTCTTTTGTTACACTCCACTAGGTATTGCGTGTCCATTCCCTACATAATTCCTTGATCCGCTCCTATTTACTCATCTATTTGACTCCTTTAATTTTGCTAATATCGCTTACGAATCAAACAGCAGGCCTCCGCCTAAGAGCTTCTCGATCTAGTCCATAGTGACTGCTTCGCCGCGCTAATGGCTCCAATCAGTCGTCGGAGCAGACATCACCGTCGGACTTGCAACAACGAAGATAGCACACAAGACGCACGCAATGCGGATATGATCGCACTTAGACTGGCTCAGGAAGAGCTGTACGTCGTTAGTCAATCCGTTGAACAGCTGCTGAATATGATACGAACCGGGAACAGTCAACAACTCGAAACTCTTTTGGCAACCACCACAAGTGGTGCTTCACAAGAAGAGATCCTGGCCGTGGTCAGACAGTACAATCAAGGTATGGAGAGAGCGCAATCGAAATAGACAAAACACGGGAAAACGAATTCATTCGCCATTGACTACTTGTTTCTACCACTGTGGTCAGTTCGACTTTACGCGTCAACACAATCGGACCGCAAGGGTTTGCTCATACTAGAAATTGGGTACGTTTCGCTAGTTTATACTGGAAGAATACGGGATGCAGAAACAACTTCGTCAAGGAACTCCTCTTAGAAACATGATAAGGGGACGATTTTCCATCTGAGTGTACGACCAAGTGACTTGCAGCAGACGTAAATAGAACCACTTTTGGTAAATCTAGTCATGGGGTTCGTCGGAACTAACGTACTTCTGGCTTTTCATCTCGTTGCATTTGATTGCATTTGACTCTCTCTGTCTCTGTCTCTCTCTCTCTCTCTCTCTCTCTCTCTCTCTCTCTCCCTATTTTTTTGTGGAATGTCATCGAGCAAGTAATCAAAGACCCGTGTCTGTGCAGAAAACCACGAAGTACTATCCAAAGGCATCATTGGTACGAATAATGAAACTGCCATAGATCGCTTGTCGGATCCACCAAGGCCTTCCTACATTCCCCGAAGCATATCAATTTGGAAAGTGGCCTGGACAAATTGACGATAGTACTCAACTTAAGATCCATCCATGGGGTTCCATCGCATTTCAAATTCGAGACGTGTCGAATATCAGAGTGGACTCGACTATCGGAAAGCAGGGTCAATAGATCTTCGTACAGATTTAGTGGCATCTGGAAGAAATAGATCGCGCCATGACACGACTAGATGTACGTTGCAGCATACTGCGATCACATTGGTTAGGCCCAAAGGGGGCAGTCAAATGCAATCGGGAATAGGGACAATTTACTAGACAAGAAGGAAGGGTTTGCTAGATTTGCAAGCAAGTGTAACAGGATACCCTGGGCATCCACGGCATTTCCAATTTCTGATGCATCAGAATGAGATTTCTTGACACAGATGGAACCCGTCTCACAGCGTTCTGCTGACCACCGGCTATTTTGTCCGACTATCAGATTCGCTCACTATGCGAGCACCTGATTTCTCCTCCAACATTTCGACCATTTTAGGGCCTCACACTCTCTCTTGCATGTACTGCTCCGTATCTACACCTTAGATTCATCATGCGCTCCGTATCCCGCGAGATGCATGCACCATTTTTCAGAACTTCCGTACATAGTCAAGTCAAATACAAGACGAGTCAGGAATACAGAGAGTCGTGATGACTTCCTGCATGCGATGGTCAGCCCAAGCGTGTGACAGCTATAGAGCAACGTGCATGTCAAAAGCTACCTATCGCACTATCGATAAAGTCGATAATCCAATCTGATCCAACACCAGACGGAATCTGTCGCATCCATCTGCGAGACACCCCGAGATAAGAAAATCCCAACTGTTATCACCTCAGCGACAATGGTCTGAGAATGTCCCATTTTCATGCAAAGGCGGTTGTGTCGATCTGATTGGCTGCTAAAATAACTCGAGTCACGGTGGTGGGTGGTTAGCGGGTGTGATTAAGCAGCGATGGTTGCATCTGCCCGGCGCTTACCAGCCCCTCGAACCCTTTCAACGTTTAGGATTGGGTTGTCACATCACAATCCCCCATCACCATGCACCACAAGCAGCAACTCGACACCAATGGCTTGTGTGATGTCCTTTTCGGAGTGAAGAACAGGGCGACGTGGGAGTCGACCCCGCTCCTCGATTCTTCAGCACCGTCTTCCATCGTGAGTATATAGCCGCTGTCAGCGTCCCCTTCGCTCTCTTGCATGGCAGCTGTTTCATCAGTTACTATTTTTTCTTTACGTTGCTTTTCACTTTTCTATTTTCGTCTCTTATTAATTCATCATAGATTGGCTGGTCCAGTCGTCCATATACAAAATAAAACACAACATAATTCAACACCATAACAATCCTTCTTTTCTGAATCCCCAAGAGCTATCTGTGTGATCTCTTCCAAGGAATACATTTGTTGATCAAATCGTATTTCTAATTTTTATACTGCACTTTAATCTGAGTTTCCCCGGTGGACAATTCAGAAATCACATCATAATTCCCACTCTTGTATCTCGACCAGATCAACTTTCACGTCGAAATAAATATCACAATGTACGCCGCACGCTCAGCCAAGCCTAAGCTGTCTCTCAGCATCTCTGCTGCGACAAACACCACTCGTCCAGCTCTGTCTTTGCGATCACCAGGCCCCATGCCACGAACACCTGTTTCTCCATCTCCTCTCAGCCCAGTCTATACTGCGGCGCGAGACTTTAGCAAACAGACTGTTCCCATGTACTCGTACACCAATGCGAGCTCCGCCAAGAGCATTCTCAAGAAGGGTTCTACCTCTTCCACTTCGTCGCGGTCCAGCGGCAAGGCAATTCACTTCCAGAGCACACCTACTGTGTACTGCGTGACCCCTATTGAGAATAAAGACGAATACTACGGCGGCAAAGTCAAGGTGTCCCGCGATGAGCGACGATGGGGAGCCAGGTCCTGAATTCTCGACAAGAGATTCACGATTTCTACTTGACAACCGATAATTTTCAAAATACTCGAGATAACAAACCTCACCCAGACTCGGTTTGCATCATCCATTTTCCACCACCGCGTCCGGCTTCGAGTGAAGTAGATTCACATCGGAAAAAAGTAACGTCTCTCTTCTAGAGGGCTTCGAGGACCATTGCTATGCTGATGAAGGAAAGGATTTATGACGGCCACTGTTCCCTGCGGACAATCATGTATATAGTGCAGTTAAAATAGTCAACAACCGAAGACGCCAGGTACTCCCTGACTTTTAATAATTCTATGTTCTGTGTAAAACCCCGAGTAGCCGATCGATAGGAATGACAGTTAAGGCTGCAAGGCGTCGACGCTTATCTTATCGCGTGAAAAGGATCTAGTCCATTTTGGTGATAACCATGTCACATGACTCTTAGTCAGCGACTGCTCGATGCGGACGACGACGCAGCGGCAAAGACAAAAATTGCGCGCCGACCTCATCTACAACATCCATCATCGAACCATCAGCAATCCAATCCTCTCAACGTCGCACAGCTGCTGTCGACGTTACGACGCTGAATGTAGCGTTCTCAACTTATTTAACAGCTCTGAACTTCGCTTGAGCCACTCCGCTGTCAAACGCCGACATGTCTGACGGTACGCGCCACTCTCCCATCCCAACCTCATCCAGGATACTAACAGCAACTACAGCCGACTTTGAGCAGGTCAGACGGCTTCAAGCCGAGCGTAATTCTCTCGCTGCTGCCAAAAAAGGTTCAAAAACCTTCGACCCATCCAGTCAGCGCACTGACTTTTCCACAAAGGCCTCCCTAACTGAAAGCTTTGATACCGACCTCTACGAACGGAATGGCGTCGATAAGTATTCTGGCTATAATACCTCCATCCCTGTCGATGGCGATGAGGATATGGAAGATGCAGATACAGGGCATCGACTGGTCGGTCAGTATACTGCTAGTAGGGACCTAATCAATGAAATGGCAAGTGGCAATGGTGTTGAAGAGGAGGATATCTTACTTGGCCGTGAAAAGTCTGCTAGAATCGCCGACCGTGAAACCGATTACCAGAAACGCCGGTTTAATCGTGGTCCTCTCACCCCGACACGCGCTGATCCATTTGCTGCGAATGCGCATGCCAACGTCGAAGCCGAGGGCCAGACTTATCGAGAGGTCATGGCACTCCGTGAGCTTGAGAAAGAAGAAGAGCGCATTCAGAAACTCATAAGTGAAAAGCGGGACGCAGGTGAAAGTGTTGAATACCAAGCCACCTTGAAAGATGAGGCTGACAAAGAGAATATCGACGCTGGCTCGACCGTCTCCGTCGCTGCTGGGCGTAAGAGAAAGCAACGATGGGATGTCGCTTCGGAGGAAAATGCCGCCGCTGCTGCTGAGGAAGAAAACAAGATCAAAGCGAAGAAGTCGCGATGGGATCAGACTCCTGCTGTACCAACACCAGACGGAGAAGCTCCTAAGCGACGCTCTCGTTGGGATCAGGCCCCAGCTGCGCCAGCCGTTGGTGCAACTCCTGTTGGTCAGCCAGGCCTGGCGACACCGGCGCACCCGTCGATGGGTGTAGCACCAATCGGGGTAGATCTTGGCCGTAATGTTGTGTGGACGGACGAGGAGTTGGATATGATGCTTCCTACCGAAGGATATCAGGTTCTCCAACCCCCACCTGGTTATGAGCCAGTCAGAAACCCTGCACGAAAGCTTACGGCCACTCCTGCTGCTATACCCAGTGCAAGCGGATATGGAGGTTTCATGATGCAAGAACCAGAGAGTGCTCGTACTCTTGGCAAACAACTTCCGACAGATATTCCTGGAGTGGGCGATTTGCAATTCTTCAAGGCTGAGGATATGGCGTACTTTGGAAAATTGGTTGATGGCGCAGATGAAAACAGCCTGTCCGTTGAGGAATTGAAGGAGAGGAAGATCATGAGACTACTCCTCAAGGTCAAGAACGGCACACCACCCATGCGTAAGACGGCTCTGCGTCAGCTTACCGACAACGCTCGCCAGTTTGGAGCTGGGGCGCTTTTCAACCAGATCCTTCCGCTTTTGATGGAGAAATCGCTCGAAGACCAGGAACGTCACTTGCTAGTCAAAGTTATCGATCGTGTTCTTTACAAGCTTGACGATCTTGTTCGCCCATATACCCACAAGATTCTCGTTGTTATTGAACCGTTGCTTATCGACCAAGACTATTACGCACGTGTGGAAGGTCGTGAAATTATTTCAAACTTGGCCAAAGCCGCAGGTCTTGCCCATATGATTAGTACTATGCGTCCAGATATCGATCACGTTGATGAGTACGTGAGAAACACTACCGCGCGAGCTTTCGCTGTCGTCGCTTCCGCTTTGGGTATACCAGCTCTGCTTCCTTTCTTGCGTGCAGTCTGTCGCAGTAAAAAGTCATGGCAAGCTCGACACACTGGTGTCAAGATTGTCCAGCAGATTCCTATTCTCATGGGTTGTGCCATTCTGCCTCATTTGAAAGGACTGGTTGATTGTATCGCAGACAACCTCAGTGACGAACAAGCCAAGGTCAGGACAGTTACCAGTTTGGCCATTGCTGCATTGGCCGAAGCCGCCAATCCTTATGGTATTGAGAGTTTTGACGACATCCTCAACCCACTATGGACAGGTGCCCGCAAACAACGTGGAAAAGGTCTCGCCGGATTTTTGAAAGCTGTTGGGTACATTATTCCTCTGATGGATGAAGAGTATGCCAACTACTACACCAGTCAGATTATGGAGATTCTTCTCCGAGAGTTTTCTTCTCCGGATGAGGAAATGAAAAAGGTTGTGCTGAAGGTGGTGTCGCAGTGTGCTCAAACCGATGGTGTTACAGCTCAATACTTGAAAGAGAATGTTCTCCAGGACTTTTTCAAAAGCTTCTGGGTCAGACGTATGGCATTGGACAAGCGCAACTACCGTCAGGTTGTTGAAACTACTGTCGATCTCGGCCAGAAAGTCGGCGTAGGAGAGATTCTGGAACGTATCGTCAACAATCTCAAGGACGAGAGCGAGGCCTACCGCAAAATGACTGTAGAGACAGTTGAAAAGTTGATTGCCTCTTTGGGAGCAGCCGATATCTCTGAGAGACTAGAAGAACGCCTTATTGACGGCGTTTTGCTTGCTTTCCAGGAACAAAGTGTTGAAGATATTGTGATTTTGAATGGATTTGGTACAGTAGTCAATGCTCTCGGAACTCGATGCAAACCCTACCTCCCACAAATTGTCAGCACTATCTTATGGCGATTGAACCATAAGTCTGCCACGGTCCGTCAACAAGCTGCCGACCTCGTCTCACGAATTACCATGGTGATGAAGCAATGCGGCGAGGACGCTCTTATGGGCAAACTCAGTGTCTTGCTGTATGAATATCTTGGTGAAGAATACCCCGAAGTGCTTGGTTCTATCCTCGGTGCTCTACGATCGATTGTCACCGTGGTTGGTATCAACCAGATGCAACCTCCTATTCGCGATCTCCTCCCCCGACTTACTCCTATTCTTCGCAATCGACATGAGAAAGTGCAAGAAAACACGATTGATCTGGTCGGTCGTATTGCAGACCGCGGACCAGAATCCGTCAATGCTCGAGAATGGATGCGTATTTGTTTCGAGCTGCTGGATATGCTCAAGGCTCATAAGAAGGGTATCCGTCGTGCTGCCAACAACACTTTCGGTTTCATTGCCAAGGCAATCGGTCCCCAAGATGTTCTTGCAACCCTGCTCAACAATCTACGAGTCCAAGAACGTCAGTCTCGTGTCTGCACGGCCGTAGCCATCGGTATCGTCGCCGAAACCTGCGCTCCTTTCACCGTCCTCCCCGCGCTAATGAACGAATACCGCGTCCCGGAACTAAACGTCCAAAACGGTGTCCTCAAAGCCATGTCTTTCTTATTTGAGTACATTGGCGAAATGGCCAAAGACTACGTCTACGCTGTCACACCCTTGCTAGAAGACGCATTGATTGACCGCGACCAAGTCCATCGCCAAACCGCTGCCAGCGTCGTCAAACACATAGCCCTCGGCGTGGTCGGGCTCGGCTGCGAAGACGCAATGGTCCATTTACTCAACCTCTTATACCCAAACATCTTCGAAACCAGCCCGCACGTTATCGACCGTATCATCGAAGCCATCGACGCGATCCGCATGGCCGTCGGAACGGGCGTGGTCATGAACTATGTCTGGGCAGGCCTGTTCCATCCTGCCCGAAAAGTGCGTGTGCCCTATTGGCGATTGTATAATGATGCGTATGTGCAGAGCGCGGATGCGATGGTGCCTTATTATCCGGATTTGGAGCATGATGGGGTCTCGCGCGCGGAGCTTTCGATTGTGATTTAGTTTTTGCAAGATATTCATTGCAGTACAGTATAGTATGGTTAGGCGCTTGGCGGTTGATACTTTATCTTAGTTGAATGCTATTTACTGTATACCACAGACTTGAAGTTCCTACATCATGTCGTGGACTCGTGATTCACATGTCCAGAATATAGCGTTATAAGGTTAACAGATCAGTACACGTAGATTCATGTTTTATCCTGCAGAAGAGGTGTATTGATTCCATCTGCTTACACCAGCTGCAACGAGTACAGAAGAGTTGGGCCATGTCGGGGCTCTACATGTATGTCTCGACAGCCGACTCAATGGAACTCTTGTCGATATATCTTCTTGTTCGACGAAGACAGCCGCCATACACATTTCCTCTTTGAGAATCTATCTGACTGCTACTTCGTAGTACTCAAGTGCTATAGATACATGTAGCCCTACTTCGAATGCTGGTCCTAGCCTCCAAGCATCTATCTAGTCACTGTTATCCTGGCAATGGTGTGGTGAGACGTCACTCTCTCAAGGGTATCCCACTGCATATTGTGAAGCCCATCATCCAACGTCATGCCTCTAATCAAAGGGAGTCGACAATTATGATATGATGTCACCGGCGTCAAGTGACAACGTCAACTCGAAATTACGGCGCCCAATGGTCGTCCAGCAACATAACAAGGGTTACTCAACCATGTGGTGGATGATCGATCCATGGGTCTATAGTACACACTCCATAACTCACCAGAGTCCTACGTACGGGCACTAAGGTCGTTGGCACTGGCCCTGTGGTGTCACTGTTTGTATACGTCCTATGTACTATGTAGATGCTATGCTGTAAGCCAAGAACAGTCGAGTCAGTTGTTGTGAGGCCCGCCAGTTTGCGCTCTGACAGCTGTCGTCATAGCCCTTATTTTTAGAGGTGCGACACATTGCTCGTGTGCCACTGGGGAGGAGTGAGGAGTGAGGGGGTGGTTCATTTATTTAGATGTGTTACGTCATGTTGTTTGGTTCTCGAGTTAACGGCAAGTTACTATGTACATACGTACAAACTATGTAGTAAGTAGTATAATGTTTATTGAATTCTTTCTTGACTGTCAACTGCCGATAATGACGCATCACTAATAACTTACATAGTTGTGCTTCATCAATATGTATGCGCCCTGTCGTGGGGTTGTTCTCTGATGCTGCGCTGCACTGCGATGCGATGTCATGTCTACACATACATAGTACATGCCACATCTTTAGTCGATGTTACATGGCACATGCTTGTTGACATGCCTGAGGACGACACATCAGCCTGTGATGTCATGCCAAGGCGGAACATTCCTTCCCGAGTGTCGCGCTCTGATTGGTCGGCTGTGGGCGAGTTTCTATTGGTCAGACAGACAGTCAGTCAGTCGAGATTGATACCCTTGCGTTGATGGCAGATGTTTGGTCCTAGGATGCTTGCTAGATGCTCGATGTCCGAGCACTGTCAACTTGTGTCTGTCTATCTCCATCCGGTGGCAGTTGCCGGCATAGACACCTTCAAACTGAGTCTTCAGGTCGCCGAATCGGCGAGTGGAGTATGACTGACCCAGTTAACCTAACTTCATCTTAGGGACGGATGTCATCTTCCAAAATACGGAGCACAAAGAACCAGACTCCTTATCGTGGATGCTCTCAAGAAGAAATCAACGGCGCGTTTCAGGTTGATGAGCCAGTTTTGGCGGACGGAGTGGGTCGTCCGGGCTCAGGCATGTAACTAGTAGGCAGTACGCTACACTTCTACAGTGCTACTACGGAGTAGAGTAATCAGCAGCGTAAATGTATGTATGCGTGTGTATACGATGTCAAGATCAAGTACTCGCACTCGTTCACATCAGTTATCGTCAAAGTCAATATATCTATTCTCGATGCAAAGGCACGGATTATCGAATTGAAGAGTGGGGGAAAAAGAGTATTGACCAAATCAGGCATACAGTCGTCCTCAGGCACACGGCACTGAGCAGGTTCCAAGGCTCGGTCGCCGTGGGGCCCTGCCGCTTGCTTTGCTCTTCCTTAGTGCTTACAACTACCAACTATGGCCCTGATCATTGAATGGTATTAAATGGCGTTTATGAGCCAATTACTTCTCAACTTACTCAAGAGTTCGCGGCACAAAAAGTCGATCCGGCAGAGGAGGTAACTCCTGAGTTAAAGTTCTGCTAAACTTGATTTGGTACATGGCTTTCCGCTTTTACGGGACAATCGCAATCGTGGCATGGGCCTCTTGTCTACTTCAGCAGACTTAGCATCGATAGCAAGTAATGAGTGAGTCTCAAAGACTACGCTACAAATCAGGATTGGTGATCTGCCGTGGCGCCTAAGGAATTACACCATCTGGGAACTATCGACTAGCAAATCATAGCCTTATGATTATTGCTTTTGCTTTCGTTGCTTTTTTCTGCAATAGATATACTACATTGTATAGTACAATGCACAAGGCAAAAGGTTCAAAGAATCAAGGTGATGGCTACTGCATATGCAGCAGTGTCTGTTCTCGACATGCACCCGACCAATCCACGGCAAGTGTTGGCAGTCCTAAAGAGCGGTGAAAGACGAGTCGAGTTGAACGACCAATGATTAGATTACTGTATGCAAAAGACTATTGAGCATGAGTCTGATAAGTCGGCTTCATATGAAAGATATTCCTTCCCTCGGCTACTCCATACTTGCCGACCGTGAAAGAAGCCGTCGAATAGAAAAACCCGCCCTAACTGAATTAACTCAACAGTGAATCGCAATCTACTCAGTATTTAATTTTTCTCCCTATAGCTCGGGCGTTATATTTACTCTATCAGCAACAGCTACTCAGTACTGTCCAAGTCGGGCATCTTAGCCTCCACCGGGTCAAGACGAGACCATGGTTCACTCCAAAGAGGAAGTCAAATGTCAAAATTTGGAATTACTAACAAGTAGTGTTAGGGCTAGTAGCAACTTGGCAAAGATTTGAGTTTCCCGACAATAGGGGTAGGGCACACAATCTTAAATCAACGATCGTTCGTTTTGGGCTAAGGGGGGACTCACGGAGGCGCACGGTTAGAGCGCCACAGAGATTTAGTTTAATTGTCTTACTCGAGTTTAGTACATAGTCAGTTGACGCAGTAGCCAGCTGCGTACTGACTCTTTTTGGTCTACATAGTAAGAGTTTTCATTGGTCGGGATACAATCCGTAAACACGGCACACGGAGTCGAATGCCCTTGATTCAGCTCTTACGGCGGTCGAAGTATCGTAACAGAAATCTCATCGGTTTTTACTTGATACTCAAGAAAATCTGACGACCGTTGCAGTTGCATCAGATACAGATCGACTTCACAGTTGAGATCAAGATGGATCAGCCTGCGTTGACAGGGATCGTCGCGGCGGATTTTCAGGAACACATGCTGTGATCTGCGACCGCGGCGATCAAACATGCTTTGGATGTTGAAACGTTGTTTCAGAATTTGTCGTCTGGAGTACAATGCAATAATACATTATCATTATTTTGGTAATAGTATAATAGTAAAGATGAGTTAAGACTCGCCGTGTACTGTAGGTATGGACTTCCTATTTGGAACATTACCTCGACTACGAACGAGCGCACTCCACCAGTTCCGTGTCCGGGCGGATTCCATATTCAAACTCACACTTGGACATTTAATTCAACTCAAATTGCTAAAAACTTGATATTCGAAGCATCCGTGCTCTGCAGAATTTTGCCAGTAAGATTAACTCTGTGTGGCAGTGCCGGCGACAACGCCCATTTGCTGCGAAGTACTCCATAGTAACTAACAAAAAGTGTGACAAGCATTTTTTGGCTGTGTCCGGCTTCCCTGATTGAGCCTAGCGCTCCATCTGTATTTCAAGGAGACGGAACCGTAAGAGAGTACTTCTCGAATTCTTTGCGGATATTAGAGAGCTACATAGTAGCTATCAGGTTTTAGGCAAGGAGATGCGACGCTTCGTCATCACATACCTATCTTACATGCAACATTATAAATTTCCGACGCCCTTTTAGTATATTCTTGCTGAGCAGGTTGTATCAAAAAACTATCCGCCGCGCCATACTGAGTCTTGCTCCATAGTAAGCTGTGTCCACTGTCAACTGTCAGGGCACGATCTACATGACCCACGCTCCTTACATGATCCGGTCCCTGTCTATCTTTTGACGGCAACCGCGCAATCAGATTATCAAGAGATCATTGCTCTTGTTTCATTTGACCACAGTGGCACAACCACAAATGTAACGCCAGTGGCACACATTGTTCTGATTCTTAAAAAAGCCACAGATCCCGTGGCGGGGCGGCCGAATCCATTCGTGTGCATGGTGGCGGCAGATCGTGGTGCTGATTGTCGATGGGAGGGCTTGTTTTGGCCCCAACGGCGCATAGTTTAGATGCTTATTTGAGAGATTGTTGCAGCATAGATGTTTATACTTGAGACATGAAGAAGACAGATATCTGATTTTGATCAAGTGTGGAAATGAATGATTGGATAGATTTACGGCGGCTCATCTACTGTAGGTAGACTAATCTTGAACCGGGCAAATATCGGAGAACCACATACAACTTAGTACATGCTCAGCACTGACGTCGACATGCGCTAAAGGGACGCCTCTGCTGTGAACAGATTTGGGCTACATATGTACAGATGTATAGTCATATGTACACGAGTGTGACTACAACCGTAGCTACATATTCCAACCTACATCTCACAATGGTTGGCCGGGGAAAAGAGCCTTGAATAAACTTCGTCAGCATGTAAGACATGCCTTGTTATTTGCTTCTATCAATGTTACTACTTTTCAAGAAAATTGTGGAGGAAAGAAAAATCGATTGTTCAGATGATAATTCCACACGTGCGCTAGGAGTCTAACCTCGGTGTGGTGCACTTTTCGGTATTCCGTAGCATCTCTGCTATCATCAAGGTGGATCAATAGAACAAATCAATTATTTGCGCAAATTTGTTTTTTAATCTTTTGAAATCTAATGAACCAACACGATCAGTAGTTCGCCTGTCAGAATACACCGATGCAGCCACCAAGCCACCAAGGTGTGTTTTGATCCATTCCCACCCAATGTGCACCATCCATGGTCGCCTCCCCGCCGCCCATTCCAATGCCCTCGAATACACTTTGCAACAATTAAACCACAAACCAATAGAAAGAGAGGATTATTTTCGAGCTGGTGAACCAAGAAAAATAAAAGGCTTGCAGCTTGTGTGCCGCTTTGTTCATTGGCAACGGCACAGGGTGGATAGACTCCATCCCCGGATTTATGGCCCGCCCCTCCTTACAGTGTACGTACTATAGTGTGTGCTACATGGTGCGTAAGTACTCAAGCATCCTGCGTGTTTCAATGTTTTCAGGATGGTACCAAACAATACCATCTGTTTCTATTATTGTTCATTCCTTCCAGAAATTCCGAGAATGTCGCGATGACGTGTGTGTAAGCAAGGCACCACCCATTCGAACTCACCGTACGATCCAACCAACCACTGCTTGGTACCTGCCATCCATCTACCATTGAATGAATGGTAGACACCATAAGATGACATGTGATTCGACATATCCCGTGCTGTGTTGCAGTTTGCCACCAACGAAGCAAGCTACTAGTTTACTAACACAGTCGTACGTTCTTGAGTCTTGATAGGTAGTGCTAGCAGAAAAAGAAACTAGACTAGAGACATAAGGCGGATCACCAATAAATGCCGGGGCTCCACTGTGCTAAGTGGCATCTCCCGCAGGCTGGCTTGGGAGGCTTGCAGGAGGATGCCCAGTCAAAGGCGTGGTGGGGCCAGTATCTTTCTTACTTACTCCGTAGGAGTACGTAATAGTCGATACCTTCGTACTATGTAGGTAGGAGATACTTGCAGAAGAACTTCGTTATTGGCAGTAATAGTCGATTATCTTGCCATCACCATGTACAGCAAACTTGAAAGTGTTCATTCAAATGCACCACCGACAAAATACGCACTTTCCCCTTTGGTGCTAGTCGCAACCCCCCGCAATGCTGAAACAACCATCGCAACCAGCGCCAACGAACCAATTCCCATCCGTCTGGGAATGACTCCTCCCTTTGACTAAAAAGTGGCTGACTGCCGTGTTGCTGATTGGGCGGTGGTCTGGTGTCATTCGTTCAGGATTGGTCCCCACTGCTGCAATTTATGCTTTACTACGTACTATGTATGTATGTCGGGACGGCAGAGTATCTTAGTTCACTTTGTTGTACTTGTTATTTCGTCACTTGAGATATTTCTGTCTGGTACCTACAATACACGGATACAGGACGAATTATCAATGTTCAGCTGATGCCCGATTCTCCAACTGCCGAATACACTACGTAGTATGCTGAATGGTCAGACTCCGTACGGAGCCTTCATGTCTCTGCCGTATGTTCAATCTTTTTGACGACTTTCTTTTCTTTTTCATGGTCGGTGCTTTGTTGTCGCGCTTCCCCTTTCGGTGTTGCCGTCTCATCGGGGCCAACCCGAGGTAATACAATTGCTCCGACGCATCGTATGCTACAACAAGAGAACAACTCGGAGAGTATGATGCGAGAACCAATAATGTCGCGACCCGGCCAATAATTAAATCATGCTGCGACCGTAACCGTAAATCCTGAGAGTGGCACACATGTACCAGAAGGCTATGTACGGAGTACTGCAGACAGCATCAACCCCTCCCCCTCCAGTTGACTGTTCAGATGATAGAGTTGACTAGCCTTACTACTAGTAAGGCTGTAGTAAGCAGTACCAAGCATATGTCGCATACTCAGTTGATCAAGATTCTTCAGAATGAATGTAATAATACGGTATTATACATCCCACACATCCCGTACATCCCGTACTTGGCCCAAAATCTCCCCGTCTCCCAGTCGCGCTAAACCAATACCGCCAACACGGCTCGCAAAGCGGTTTAGCTCGCCTCCAACCTGGCCTGGGGACCCTTTTTGGGGCACACTCAGTCTTCTCTCAGAGAGACGGGGCGGTTGGCTTCAGCCCCCCCCCTTTTCCCTCCTCCCCTCCCCCCCATTGTCCACTTTTTCCACCCAATGGCCTCCCTCACCGTCCCATTTTGGGCCTTTTTTCTACCTTTTTCCTTGGGCTTCCCCTTTTTGGGCAAGTCTCAAAAGCAAAACGCCAAAGCCAAAGCCAGAGCAAAAAAACAAACTAGGCTAAAGGAAAAACGATCTACGGCACGTCGTCAGTGGCACAGGCCTTTCTACCGGGCTAAACCAACTCAGTTATGTGGTCACCCTCTTGGTAGTCTACTATGCAGAAGCCCACCACACTACGACGTATGTACCTTTTTACACAATGCTGCATCTCCGGCCGTAGGATGATGCTTATTTTCTCTCAATCCCCTTCTTCTTCTTCTTAAGCTACGTCGATCCCCTTCCCAAGTCAGCCTCAGTTGCAATTTCTCTTTTTCTTCTACCATCTTCTTCACTGTTATACGATCAGACCATTTGCGATCAACACACATCGAATGTCAATCACATTGAACAATACACCAACCATATCAACCTAACAATTTACATCTACTACAATTTGCATATACGTGAAAACACATTGACTGTCGGGGACAGCCAATTCTATGCGAACTGCGGTGTTGTCTTATCGCATGCGAAATACACACCACATCTACATACACAAGACCGAAGGCTATCGAATACCTCTTGACTGAGTCTGCTATTAGCTGCTTGACGCCATCTGTACCACTGTACCACCAGCTCTCGTCTCAGCTTTAAAGTCCTCCCCCTACTTCCTTCCTCGGCACCCGCGTCGCACCTGCCTTGCGTGTCTTTAATAGTCAACGCCGGACGACGTCATCTATTTGCTCTCACCAACAGCGCTCCTTCCTTCATTCCTTCTCTTCTCTTTCTCACCCGAGAAAGACAAAGAAAAGCCCTCATCACCAATCACAGCTACTGCCCCATAAATCATCCTCCATGACGATGGTCATTGAGAACCAGAACCGCCAGTACGGCGGCATGGGAGGCTTCGACCATGTGTACCAGAACAACATGCACCACCACACCCAGACCCCCCAGTTCACAGATCCCTGGGCAGCGCACACTTCCTCCCACTCGACTCCCCCCGTCTATTCTACTGCTTCCATGGGTATGAACGCTGTCAAACACGACGACGTAAACAGACCAACAGCCATCTCGATGCCCTACTCGAGCATTCCCGTGTCTGCTCCATCGCTGGTGGCCGGCACCAGCTACCCAACATCGGGATACACTGGATCAGAGATGTTGAACATGCACCATGAAATTCCTCGCTCGACCTTTGATGCTGCACCTTCCTACACCGCAGCTGCTCCCATCAACAGCTTCACACCCGCCAACTATGCACCCATGGCATATTCAGGATTGGCCACTCAACAAGATGCTCGCCGCATGTCTGAAGCGAGAATGTCTCAACCTGCTTCATACAGCGATGCAATAGATGCCAGTCGCGGAATGGTCGCGCTTAGCCAGGATCTTACTCCCAGGAACATATACGCTCCTCGCAGCTCCCGCGGATCAGCAGATTCTTATGGCTTCCCTTCGACACACTCATCGGTCTCTTCGATGTCCTCTAGCAACTATCCATACTACAGTGCATCAGTCGCGTCAGTGGATTCGTCCGTCACAGATTATAGCTCGACCTCGGAGCAATACGATGGCATGCCATCGCGAACACTTCCTCGACCAAGCGGTCTTTTGGGCGGTGCGACGCCTGGAGGTCCCCAGTCGATGATGGGTCAGTTCAGTTCTAAGATGCCTTCCAATGCGCAAAAGAAGCACAAATGCAAAGTGTGCGATAAGCGTTTTACGCGTCCATCGTCTCTTCAAACGCACATGTACAGTCATACCGGCGAGAAGCGTAAGCCGCCCCCTTCACCGAACCTTTCTGAATATATTGCTAACGTATCCTAGCCTACGCATGTGATGTCGAAGGCTGTGGTCGTCATTTCTCCGTCGTGTCCAACCTGCGACGCCACAAAAAGGTCCACAAAGGAGAAAAGGAAACCGGCTCCGGCGAGGACGAAGACTAGATCGAAGCACCGCTTCGTTCTTCCGGTACAATATTTTTGTGCACGGCGTGCTTTTGCGAGCGACTTTGATTCTTGTTTCGGTTCTTTCCCGGCGTCCACTCGGTGTCAGTCGTGTGCATCATGATATCCTGTTCCAGATGGCTTTTTTGTTTCTCTTGTACAACAGACTTTCGATTCTTTTACGCGTTCCTTATTCTGCTGGCTCAGACTGTGTTCGGCCTCAGAATTTTTTTTGTTTTTGATACCCCAAACCTGGATTTGTTTGATGAATGGGCAGGCATATGGTTCTATAGGGGACCAATCAAAACGGGGATTTGCATTGATTTCAATTCTTGATGACTATATAGAGGTTATTTCGGTCGCCTGGGATAGGCGGCCTTCCACTTTGATGATTATACATTCATGTGCCTCTTGAGACGAGGACTTTTGTTTTCTAGCAGGCATGGACTTGCAATACGTTCTGATTCTGATACCATCTGCACTTGTTTTTGTTTTGATTGATATTGATATTTGAGCCTCTATTACACCGCTCATTACACACTACATTACTTCTTACACTCCTTACTACTAATTTTATTTCTAATCTGGGTGTTGTGATGGTGGAAATGGATCTTGTTTTTGTCAGAAATGTACCGCAATTGGCTTCCAAGATTGTACATAGATATCTGAATTGACCGGTCGCCTTCAAAGAAGTTCCAAATGCACAAAAGACTTGAACACCTAGGATTCCTTCAACCGTCTAGGTAGTGGCAGTGATGCTGTGTATATACCTAGGTGCTTCTTATATGATATCCCAATATTGTGTAAAAAGTTCGGTACGATTCCCATCGTAAACCCTAATCAAAGCTTCCTAATCGAGTAATCGACGTATGTAATCATGACGGCCAGCGACATCACAGCGTTTGCCTTTCGTAACCCTAATTCGATCTACTCGTTTTCACATATTCTGTTCAAATAGAGCAGCGTGATGCTAGACATCTGGGTTGGACGTATATTATCTCTTTATATTTTACAATTTTCCAATCGTTGATTGAGAACCTACACAACCACAGAACAGGTACGAACATCTCATCCGCGACACGAATAGAACCTTTCTCTACCATCGATCGGGGTCCAACTGAAAAACTCATTAAGACAACCAGACCACCGCAAAATTCCAGGCATTCAACACTTCCTACAACGAAAAAATGGCAACTCCATCCTCATCCTCAAACCGCACCGGCGAAACAATGCCCAACCACCTCCCCATAGCAACCCAGGGCGGCGCCAGCGCCATCCCCACAGCAGCAAACAATACAGGCGGCGGAAGCGGTTGGGGCGATTCGGGGTTTATCAAAGGTGGTGGAGGAGAGCATCGGAAGGAGTCGGTGAGTTTGATTTTGGTACTGTTTGCGTTTGATACTGCTGGAAATATAAGTGCTAAGACATTCAATTTTGTGGGCAGGATGGGAGTTGTGTTTCTGGAGATCACTCGTTTGCGAAGCATAAACCGGGGTGTCCGCAGGGGATTACGGGGAAGATTACTGACTTTGTTAATACGTGAGTTCTTCTGCTGCGCAGATCAGGGGATATTACTTGATACCGCGGAAGAGAAATACTTGCTGACGTTGCGCAGAGTACATGGGCAGGGGCGGTAGATATGTATAACCTGTACGTTGAGTCAGGCGGATAGTACTGTCTTCGGAATGAATTGTTTGTCATATCGTAATGTGTTATATCTTTATTATCTGTACACTCGAGAAATGTCCCAATTCCCATTTACATTTCTATACGGTCGTCTCATCACTCGCAATCTCCTGAGAGCTGGGCTTCTTCGTCTCAACCGGGAACTTGTCCAAACTCTCGTACCATTGAATCACAGACCCAATCAGGAAAGCCCATGAGCCCCAGAACGTAGCTAGACAGCTCTGATATTCAACCCCAGAAGATGCCGATGCTGGGCCGAGGGCACCACAGAGCTGATTATATCGTATTAGTTGGTTATGAAGCACAATTGAGGTGGGTTGGAAACTGACTGTAAATCCTATTCCACCGATAAAGTTCCAAGCCCCTATGTGCCAGCCTAATACACTTGGAGCCGGGATAAACCATTTCGGTTGTGTTTCGATAGTGAACAGCAGACTACCAGAATTAGCATGCAAGATTGCGAAATGAGAAGAGATTCTACTACTCACCCACTGAGAATGAAACATGACCCACCCACAATCTGCGGAGTCCAATATACTCCATCCGTCAATCCCTGACTCATATGATCCGTAATCCCCGGCAGGCCCGTGAATCCAGCAATCCAAAAGATAGTAGCACCAATCATCTGCACAAGCGAAGCCAAAAACCCGAGTTCATGGAAGTAGTGAGTACGCAATTCGCTCAATGATGGCAACCATTCGAACGATCTCTGCTCTTCAGGCGAAGCCTCTTTGAGCCCATCGCGAAGTAAGGATCGTTTCTTGGAGTGATGATGGGCACACTCATGGGACGCGATGGGTCTGACTTCTGTCGTATTGGTCAGATCGTCGTGGGACTCCAGTCTTTTAACGACTGTTTCAACGGCCCAGCCGAAACACGAGGTGTGTTTCTCATTGACTGCCTCAAGCAGCAGAAAGACACTACCAATCTCGAAAATAGTAGCGCCGATGAATGCCGTGACACCGCCGCCGATAAGAGACTCGCCGGAGAACTCGGTCGAGGGGTCTTGTAATGGTAACCAAACGAAAAATGCGTTGATAACCCAGACCATGGATCCCAAAGTGAAGATAGTCGCGACAAGCCAGGATACGTCCCAGTAGGGGAAATAGGTCAACATTCGAATAATGCCGCGAATTACTTCTTGGAAAGTGTTCGTGCTTGCCGGCAGATTGTGGCCCGGTCCATGATGCTCGGGAGAGTACTGGACGTGAACCGCATGACGACCTTTCCGATTGTCGCGAGAGCGCCAGAGATATTCAATTCTGGGCTGCTGACGAGGCTTTACTTCTTTTCCTTGCTCTTCCTCGCTGACCGGTTGTGCTGGTTTCTCATTTTCTTTGCTTTTAGGCGCGGGTTTTAGGTGAACGCGCGTCGGATTCAGAAATCCAACTGGTCCCGAGATGTGTGTTGTCTCAAGGGTGGGGTCTATTTGACGGCCGAGGAAATGCGTCTTGGGAATAGAGGAAGATTTACGCATCTTGGCGTTGTCTGAATTGTGTGACACATGAGATGATATTCATCGCAAAGAGTGTAACATGGATCGAGTTAGGCGAATGATATCATCCATCAAAGTCAACAATAACAAGCGGAGACACGCTCAAGCCACGTGGGTCGTGTCCGAAACTATAACTCTGATTGGTGAGAATCAGGGTCAGGGTTGATATCTACGTAGTTAGGGTTTGAAATCCCTTCTCCCTTTCTCTCGTTATGTAATTACATAGTAACTTAGTATGGTAGTGAAGACACAATAGTAATACTAGAGTGGAAAATATGACTTCACATTTTTCTTTATCAAATAGCTGTTTGGCATCTCTACAACGTTAAGCTGGTGCCTTCACAAGTATAACCGGCTTGCCACTTTCAATAGAATCCCCTGGCTTGACCAGAACTCTAGCCACGGTAGCACCAGCTAGATGTGCATCTGCGAGCACATTGATCTCCATTTTCATGGCCTCTAGGATACTGACTATCTTGCCAGACTGCAATTCGTCGCCTTCTTGCACCAGGACCTTCCAGACATTTGCGTTGACTGGAGCCTCGATGACTTGATATGCTGGATCTTTGGAATTGTTAGCGGTTGGGTAAAGCAAACCATTGGGGAGACTAACCCTCAAGCATCGACCGAATCTGATCCATGCTACCTCCATCTGCTTGCTTCTCAGTAAGCCACTGCTCAAGGAGCGCCTTTTCCTTTTCAGCCATTTTCCTCTGCGACACTGCCCTCTTTTCTTGGATCGCACGAGCCTCGTCCATCGAATTGCGCAGCAGCTCATTGTGCTCCACCATATCAAAGAACCCCGGCTCCATCTCAAACTCATATTTACCAGCTTTGAACTCGGCGACTTTGAGATCATATTCCTTCTCATCAACCTCATAGAAACTTATCGTATCCATGTCCTGGAATAGCCACGGTCGCTCCTCGCTGAACCCAGGTTTTGAGCCGTATATATCGAGGCCTGGAATAGTCATGCCCGTCGGCATGTAGCCACCGGGGCAGTCGACGGGGTAAATTGCGATGGCTGATCCTCCCCAGGAGACCGTCCCCTCAGGCGTATATGTTCGGCTTGGGTTCATCTTTGGACTTCGGATTCTATACCGTGGATCCGTGGGCATGCTTTGTGGAAGAGCCATGAAGAAGCCAACCCCAATGATGACGGATTGCAGGGTCAAAAACATTGTTTTTAATTCTTCAATGGTCATGCCGTTATTCTCTGCTACGAATGCCAGTGGGTCGGGCAAGTAGCTGGCTATAGAACGTTGATTTGCCATATATCGTTCCATGGCATCCTCGAGTTTCTTGTGTCTGAAGGTGAGTGGGAGTTTGAAATGGCGGTTGGGGAACTTGGCACTTCGCATGTCTCCAAGTGTGTCCTCAATTGCAACCAGCTCTTTAAGTAGCTCTGCTTGAGAAAGAGCAAGACCGTCATAACAAATGGCCAGCGAGTTACCACAGCCCACCATGTTGAAAATGGCACCACTACTTCTGTTGGCAGATACCAGGCCTGACCGATTCTGAAGTTCACGCGATAATGCTGTTGCCCGGCATTTGAAGTTTAGATCTGAGCATCCATTGCCATAGTCGACTAGAATGTAGTCATCTGCTCCGGCGCGGTATGAGATTGTCGGTCTCTTGTCGGTCTCCTCCAGGACTTTCAATACATCCTGCCCGGGTTCAGCGACCTCAGGTCCAACATTGATACTATCAAAGCCCTCAATCGTTTCCCATGAGCCGGACTTAATTGAAGCGGCCACATCTTCCAGGAACTTTGCATTCTTGCGACGATATTGCAAAGCACTTTCAAGCGACACCCGATGAAACTTGACTTTGTCTCCAGCGCGGAGTTGGCCAAGTTTCCACATATCTCCCTTGATAACAGTCAAACTGCAGATAAAACCTCCAAAATCAGGACAGTCAACAGGGAAGATAACAGGCTCGTCGCCAGTCCAGTTGAGTCCACCGAGGGGATAGCCATACTCAATCACATTACTTGGATGAGCGCCACCTTCTCCGCCATCCGAACGACCAAACTCTGGACGAGGACCAATGAGACGAATACCACCTCGCGCAGCGTTGTGGCTGATTGTCCAGGTCTCTGAAAAGAACATCTCTATGTCCTTAGGGGACAAGTAGCCTGTCTCATAAGGACCAGGCATAACCTGGATAGTCCACTGGCTCGTGTATTGAGGACACAAGTCCTGAGGAATGGAGAGTGAACCGTCCTCCGGAAGTTGAGAAGCTTCTACGATACTGATAAAGTCGCCTGCCCTCAGTGGTCGGCCCTGGTATCCACCGACATTGACCATAGGGTTTGTAGACTTGCTTCCGAACCACTTTGATACGTTGAGTAGTCCCCCGTAGATTGCGAGGTAAACCCTACAATTGGCTGCCATTTTTCCAATTTTTAGACGCTGACCAGCAAGGACGTGAACCCGAGTCCACTGTGGCATTTCCTTGTCATCCAAGTCGGCTGGGATGGGGGGACCACAGAGAGAAATAACAGCATCGCCCAAGAACAAGAGCTCGGGTCCAGTGAGAGTGATTTCAAGGGCTTCTATCCCAACTTCATTACCAACAAGGAGATTGGCTACCTGGAACGCAATAGGGTCCATAGGGCCGGCGTGACCAAATCCATGACCGACGGTTGGGCGACCAGGAAAGTCTTGCACTAAGGTATAGGAGCCTCCGGAGATAATATCAATGGCGGCAGGTGTATACTGAAAGGTATCTAGAAACTTGGTAATGGTGTTGCCGTTTCTAAAATCACCACTCTGAATGACAGCTAGTAAAAAGCCGAGGTTGATGGGTGGTCCGCAAATGGAACTTTTGCTAAGAATCTCCTCCATGCCTGCAACGGCAGACTGGCGGGTAGGGCCATGATACATTACTTTAGCTAGCAGAGGGTCATATTCGGCGCTGACAACGATTCCTCCACGGACCCATGTATCTATACGCGCACCCTCAGGCGTGTGCCATGACACTTGCTGAAGGAGACCGGGACTGGGAGCGTAATTTCTTGCTGGATTCTCAGCATATACTCTGGCTTCAATGGCATGGCCTTGAGGTTCAAGACACCGGAGTTGCAGAGTTTCCATCTCTTCGACTGTGAGACCTCCTGTACCTTTAAGCTCTCGGTCTGCTTGCCTCAACATAAGTTCAACCAGATCAACATTGTAGCACATCTCGGTAATACCGTGCTCGACCTGTAGGCGAGTGTTCATCTCGAGAAAGAAGAAATCTCCTGTATGATCATCAACAAGGTATTCTACCGTTCCCGCCGATCCGTATTTGATATCTTCTGCCAAGCGAACAGCACACTGCGTGAGTTTCTGCCGAAGGTCTGGGTAACGCTCTGTGACAAATGGGCTCGGACATTCTTCAATCACTTTTTGATGACGTCTCTGAATCGAGCATTCTCTTTCTCCGACACTAATGGCTTTACCCTGCCCATTACCAAAAACCTGTACTTCGATGTGATGGCTGTCGGGGTAATAGCGTTCTAGAAAGACGCCGGCATTTTTGAAAAGGGACGATGCTCGTGATATGACTGTTCGGAAATTCTCTCGAACTTCGGCCTCATTTGCACAGGTCAATAAGCCCATGCCACCTCCTCCGGCAGTCGCTTTCAGCATCACGGGGTAGCCCAAGCGAGTGGCAGCTGCCGCCGCGGCTTCCTCATCCTCGAGAAGACCCTGAGAACCGGGAACAACAGGGACCCCCGCAGCCACAGCCAGCTCACGGGCCGTGTGCTTCAGCCCAAACGACTCAATCGCTTCTGGTGATGGACCAACAAAGACCAGTCCGGCCGCCGATGCGGATCTGGCGAAGTTCGTGTTCTCGGAAAGAAAACCGTATCCGGGGATAATGGCTTKGGCGCCATTTTCCTTTGCTACTTTAATGATTTGATCTCTGTAGAAGTCAGTCAAAGCAATTTAATGATCGCGGAAATGCACATACCCATCTATGTACGCCGCTCTTGCTTCGCCTTGCAGCAAAACGGCTGTGTCTGCAAGACGTATGTGCTCCGATTCGCAGTCTGGTTGTGTGTAGATGGCAATTGTTTTGATTCCTGACTTTCTATTCGTTATTAGCGCAAGTAATTCAACAGGGATAAGCAAATTTTATAGCCTACTGTGCAGCTTTGATCAATCGACAGGCGATCTCGCCTCTATTAGATACAAGGACCGTCTTTAGGTATTCCATGATGACAGTACTGACGCGACTCGCGATCTAGCACCATACGTAGTATACCCGATTGCCAACTGCATGACGAAGGTAGATTCCTACATATACCTTGCATGGCCTGACATGAAGCGGGGTAGTTCTTTTTTCCAACTAGGATTCACTCATTAAAACTGCCTGTGGGGTGTGACAAGACGGCCGATCTTGTGTCCAAGATAAAGCTATGATAGTCGTCGGCTCCGGGTATCCATGGAGCTGGCCTGGGACATCTTATCGGCTCCGAGCGAATGGAACCAACGATAGATAACCTTGAGACAGTATGATTCGCTTCTAAATTTGATGGTTGATTTGCGTTTATCGAAGTTGGTTATCCGTTATTCTGTAGAAAAATTGACGGAGATTGGCCAAGAATTTGTCTTTTGACAGGGGCTCTGCACTTGGGGTTACATGGTTTTCAGGGATCCCATTTTACAGTCATCAAATATGGACAACCCCTGGAGGTGATGAAAGATATTAGTTGACTCGACTGATGATTGCTAATAGAAAATGAATTGATAGATAAATTGCCATCGTGACACTATAACATTGTTGTTGACTCCCAGAATTACTCATAGATAATCCTTCCCTTTCTCCGAGAACCTGGCCGTGCTTCTTCCAGTCGAAGCATCGGCTGCTTCCTCAAGACCTTCACGAGTAATAGTCACTACACTTCGGCCCTGAACCTTCTCGGCATTACCCATCATATGCTTGAGAACTATCATCATAGCACCATAACCCTCCCAAATCGGCAGGAAGATGATGATACCTGCAGCAAGGAATGCCCAGATAAACAAGAAAGCAMCCCAGCCGGTAAAGAACTTCTGACTGAAAACGTAGCTGGATGCATACATAGGAATCGGCCACAAAATGACCAGCGAAATAGTGAGGAACCATCCGAGAAAGAGAGAGCGGTTTCTGGCTTTGATGAGAGACTTTTCGTTTTCCTCTTCCTCGCGTCTCTCCTCTTCTATCAATGCTGCAGCGTGTTCTGGACTTGTTGCGCTTACAGTGATATGCTCGTCCGAACCGCGCTTGAGTTCATCCTTCAGGATGTTCCAGTCGAAGTTCTCTGGGCTTATATATGTGATAAGCGGAGTCAGAACTAGAGGAGAACCCAAGGCGACTATGTTTCCGGCCACCAGAGGGAGGTTGCCACTCAGCGTATCGATGGTAATATCCCCGTACATAGTATAAGTAAGGGTAAACCATGCAATTATTCCGGCAACAGAACCTATTAGAGGTACCGTAAAGGCTGCGACGCGAGACTGCTTTCTCCACATGATGGTGCAAGCCATAGGGACAATGGCACTATCGACGAAGATACCGATAGCAGTGATGAGAAATCCCACACTGAATCCTCCATGGTTAAATGCGACTGCGATTGAAGAGCAGAAAATGGCAAATCCAACGGTAATAAAGTGCGAAAAGTAGAGGAGTTGCCGACCCGTTGCATCCGGCTTGATGTAGGCTTGATAAACGTTATAAGTCACAAGTGCAGTAGTCGCAACGGTTTCGGACGACATTGCACTGGTAACAGCCATGAACATCATGAGCAGAATTGCTACTGCACCACCGTTGCCCATGAGTGCTAGGGCTGCGTAGGGCATTGCAAGTCCCGACGAGGCTTCATATGCATTCATCCTGTTCGGGTATGTAGGCCAACTTGGGAGATGTTCTAAAGCTGCAGCAGCGAGACCATATGTACTTGCTAAGACAAATGGAATGGTGAACCAAGAGAGACCGCCAATGATATAGCCCATTGAAGTTGTGCGTGGATCAGATGCGATGGCTTTCTGAAAGAGTTGGCTGTCAACACATGCTGCGAAACCTGCTCCGATAAATACCAGGCCAACATAACCGCCTTCTTCGGATCTCATGGTGAGGTATTGTCCGTCTGCATTTCCAGCTACTGGGTGAAGAGTAGCGGCCTCTTTCAAAAGTTCCCAAACTCGGGTTGGGGATCCTGCGATATCAGAGGAGGTGTAGAACACAAATAACGACACGAGCATGATGAGGTAAATAAGGACAGTGTGTATCTATCATATTAATCAGTCGGGTCCTTTAAGACAATGCCATGTAAGTAAAGACATACCCAATCGGTGATGAAGGTGGCCTTGATACCGCCCATCAGTGTGTATATAACAACTCCGATAGGCAAGAGGTAGCAAATGGCATCTCGGTTTGTGCCGGTGACAGCAGCAAAGATTGCAGAGCCACCGACTAGAAGGTTTACAGTTGTAATTATCTGGTAAACTCCAGAATATAGTGTGAAAAGGATATGAACAGCACTCCCATACCGCACTTTGATTACCTGTAAGAAAGTCTGTGCATTTGGGGCTTTTCGTTTGAGCTCTACAGCTGCGACAGAAAAAAGAAGGATTTGAACACAGGCTCCAGCTGCATACCAAAAGGGCCCAGAGACACCATAGCTGTATCCGTAAGTGGTACTGGTGAGAAGCGTAGTGGCGATAGTCCAGGACGAGACCACAGCGGAGGCAGTTAGACCTGCTTTCACCGAGTGTTTGGCGGTCATGAACATCTCGGAATCTTGTACCTCATTCATATAGGTACTAAGCAACCACGAGATCAAGGACATGCCAATAGCAAAAAGAGCACCGACACCCACAACGATGCCGTAACCCACCCCTGTAGAGAGCGGGGCGGCGATTTGGAAAACATCTGCACTTGATGACATGGCGGTAAGATGGCAATAATGAGCATCACGAGATGATGCAGCCAAGTGATAGCAGCTATTCGTGGAATCATATACTAGTTGCAGTGTTTGGATTTCTTCGAATTTCTGCTGTCACATATGGCTGAAGTATGGGCGTATCAACCCGTATCTATGTGTCGGGGCAGTCGGAAGATTATTGTGATAAGACCTGGCAAAGAATGTCGATGATAAGCAACAAGACTTCTGGGTCCGTATACTAAAATTCTGTTGGACGAGACCCATTTGATAACCCGCTAAGTCTTCTTGATACTTCCTTGTTCCAGATTAGGGCAACTTGTCGGCTCCGAGAGAGCGGGTTGTTATTTGTCTTATCCGCCGATCTGATAAGTAAAGAGACACATACCCCTCACGAAGTCAGGATATTGTGTTCTGGCCTCTTGTAACAACTTTGACCCTTCAATTGTATTCATTGACTATTTTTGTCATCTGTTTTGAAACTCATTCCGAAACATACACACGATTCGAAGAAACGCAGTGAACATGGCTCCAACTACAAAAAAAGCACTTATCAACGTGGACATGGGAGAGGCCTATGGTAACTACGTTTGTGGTCCTGATAAAGAATTATTGCCTATGATTGACCATGCTAACGTAGCATGTGGTTTTCAGTGAGTGTATACATATAGAGTACCAGAATGTGCATGGAACTAATGTGACACAGTGCCGGAGACCCTCTCATCATGGACGAAACGGTTGCGCTCTGCAAAGCTCACGGTGTCAAGATCGGCGCTCACCCAGGCTTACCTGACGTGCAAGGATTCGGTAGACGAGAAATGAAATTGTCACCCGAAGAACACACAGCAAATGTTGTATATCAGATCGGTGCCCTCAAGGCATTTCTTGACCGCCACGGGGTTGAAATGCACCACGTAAAGCCACACGGTATTCTATATGGAATGATGGTCAGAGACATTGAAGTGGCGAGAGCTGTATGGGCAGCTGTTCCAAAAGGGATGCGCGTGTTTGGCTTACCCGGAACAAACATGGAAACTGCAGCCAAGGAGGCCGGTCTTGAATTTTGGGCCGAATACTTTGGGGATGTCAATTATCGAGCTGATGGAACGCTTATTGTGGACCGTAAAAAAAAGCCATGGAAAATCGAAGATGTCAAAAAGCATGTGGCGAAGCAACTGCAGGAAAGTAAGGTCGTTGCTATCACAGGGGAAGAAGTTGATCTTCCCGTTGCGGATTATCCTATCACCATCTGCTGTCATTCGGACTCTCCTGGTTGCATTGAGATTGTCACTGCTACACGGGAAGTAGCAGATAAGTTTAACAAGGAGAGAGGTTTATAATGCACGGATCATCTAGCCTATAAAAACATTTGAATCACTGTACTACTGTCTATATAGTTGAACTTTGGAACCCGCCGAGGTATGCTACCTCTTAAGTCAAAAATAAACATGCAGACCAGAAGTTCGCTCGCGTAAAATTTTATTCATAGCTATGACGGCACATAAATAAAAGTTCGTAGTTCTCCAAACGAGAATCTCAACTTTTATAACCTTTGTATGTCAAATCTAAACATCTAGGAACGTCTTCTATCTACAACCGTGCTAGCTCTCCAGCATTTAACCCCTGAATGACCTCAGCAGCAGCGCGTTCTCCACTCTCAACAGCTCCTTCCATATAGCCTCGCCAGTTAACGGCTGTTTCTGTGCCCGCGAAATGTAAGTTTCCAAACGGTTCACGCAGTCCACTTCCACCAAGGGTGTTCATTACACCTGGTGCGAGTGATGCGCATGGGCAACCCCAACCCGAGTATGGATCTGATAACCACTCATATGTCATCATGTTGACGAACTCACCAGATGCTTCGACTTCGGAACCGAACAGTTGGCCAATTTGTTTTATGAGGGCTTTTTCGCGCTCTTCCGTCGATAATGCCGCCCAGGCCCGTCCGGGATCGCCGGCCATGAAACAAGTTAGAACGTGTTTCTGGTCTGGCAGACTGCTGGTATCGCGGATCACAGAAGCAGGTCCAGTGAACGATTGCGTCAGTCCGCAGTATCCTTTCTCAACCCAGAAGGGCGTCCGAAAGGTCATCATGGCTTTCGTATAATAGCCGTACACTGTGGATTCTGACCATAATTTCTTCGAAGATGGCAAATCAGGCGTGAAGCTGATTGTCTTCAGCACTGGACTAGGTACAGTAGTGATGACTTTACGTGCACGATATTTTTTTTGATTTGTTGTTGTTACCTCAATATCGGAGGAAGTTCCATTCTGTGTAATGGAGCTGACAGGGGTAGACAAATAAATAGTTTCCTCGTGAAGATCTTTGGCGAGGCCAAGGGAAAACAGCTGCGTACCCTGACGGATACGGAGATGCTGTCCACCTCCTAAACGATCTGAACGCATCTGGAGTAGACCACCACCCGATCTACAATAAGTGAGGAAGTACAGAGCGGAGATATCTTTAGGATCCTGACCAAGCATGGCGCGAGTCCATACTGTAGCGGTGGCGAGAGCCTCGGTACTAGCGCCTCTGGATCTCAAGTAAGCTTCAAAGGTCACCAAGTCCCAATCGGCGTTTTGTGGTCGGGTGGGATCAAGAGTCTGGCAATCGGTTTCAACCATATCGCGGATTCGGGCAACGTCTTTGACAATCGCGGCATCAAACTATAGACCACACAGGTTAACATATATATCCACGAGTCCGACCGGAGTTTCAATTACCTTTGGAAGATCTCCATATTCAAAGGTAGAACACTTCCCATCAGTATCCTGTAGTACGCACTTTCCAGTGGTGTTTTGCTCCAAGATTTCTGCACCATACTTCTTCGCTAGGGCATACATCTTGCTCTGATTTGTGCTGTTTATCCAAGCAGCACCAACATCGACAACTCCTTGCTCTCCATCTGGAAACGGTTGTGACCATGTTTTGCCACCAACGCGATCTCTTGCCTCCAAAATTATGAATGAGCGGCCAGCTCGTTGCAGCTCGGTTGCTGCTGCCAGACCAGCGAGCCCGGCACCAATGATGATCACGTCCACGGTTTTCTCTGCTGGTCCGAAAGACAGTTGGCGGGGAATCGAGGACGATGGTGGCGGGCGAGCAATTACAGCGTCGATTTCGAACAACCAACTAGGTATAGCCAACTGAGCGACAGGGATCAACGTAATGGCGGGGCGATGTCCAGTAAGAAACTTCTCTAAGGGCCGGGCATGCTTGCGCTGTTTGTGGTCATAGTTCACTATTAAAAGTGTGAGCTTGAGAATATCCTTCACAGTAACTCCGCCAATGATCATGACTTTGCGAAGGTTATTGAGAGATAGGTGGATCTGAGACTCATAGTCTACGTGCACAATGCCTTCGCGTGTGCTACCTGGTTGTCCCGAGACATACAGGACTTCGGTATTTGTGGGTGCAAGTGTTGCTGGAGCATAGTAGCCGCCGGAGGATTTGGTGAAGTCCACGGTTTTGACGCCAGTCATTGTGTCGGAGTATTAGGACTAGGAGTATCAATTTAGAGGTCGAAAGCAAACGTAAAAGCAAGCTATAAAGCAAAAAACATGACATTACACCATTTTAAACGAAAACACTCTGCACGACCCTAGAATTGACTCTAAATGCTCATTACACTTAGAAATGATTACTAGTCATCTTATCGGCTCCGAGATGGCAATCTACAGCACCGACGCGCCACCGAAGGCAAAGAGGGGTCCATGAATTCTATTGCATATCGATTGCTACAGAAGTATATTGAATCATCTAATTGAAGAATATTTGTACTCAATTCTGTCTACATAGTATTCTGTATTGCTGCTTGAGGAGTAAGAAGCAATTTCATTTGCCGTACAGTCAAGAGACGAACGAATTATGGCAGACCAAATTTCGCCTCGAAGATTCTTCCTTGCTTATTGACAATGAATTTTTCAATAATTAATGAGCTCCCTCAGTATCAAAGGTGAATTTGGACGTATACGGTCTGCCTTAAGTATCTTGCTGAAAGCTACGAGTTGCACAGAAATTGGTACTCGAGTACTATCTAGGCCTGGTTACTGGGATTGAATTGGATCATGCCCTGAATCAATACCTGATGATGCTCGACTTGCCATTGATGCTGTTGCGGCAGCATTCCCAAATTGGCTTGCGCGATCTGGTCGAGGGACTTCTCGTATACATCGCCGTTGGTATGAATTGGTGATGGAGAACAAAGATTATCTGGCAACCCTCATTTACAATCGAGAATGGTAAAGCAAAGAGTGATGCATCTGGTGAGCTCATATTTGCTGCTAGCTTCTTGGAATGGTTTGCAGAAGAGCTGGCTCGTATTCGTAATGTGTTATTCCTCACTCGTCAACTTCATACCATGTGTCAGTTGTCAAAGAGCCGATTGGTGTTTGCGGCCTCATCACCCCGTAAGTCTCTTTCAACTTATGTTATTGAGTGCTGGCTGAGGAAGTAATTCAAGGTGAAACTTCCCCGCTGGCATGGTGACCTGCATGATTGGCCCTGCTTTGACTGCTGAACGTACAATAGTCCTGAAATCACCTGGGGAAACTCCATTTCAGCCAATGCTCTCGCGGTTTTGGCACAACGACCTGGTGTAACACCCGGCGTCATCAACTTTGTCACATGTCTAGCCAATACGCCGTAGATCGGTCAGCTGCTTTGTACCTCTAATGTTGTCCGAAAAGTCTCCTTCACCGTTTCGACAAGGATAGGAAGGTTCTCATGGCACAGTCCAGCAGCACGATCAAGAAGCTAAGTCTACTGGTGGCAATGCCCCATTCATAGCCTGTGACGATGCTGACCTCGACCTTGCCATTCGCGAGGTGGTCTACAGCCAATTCCAAAAGCAAAGGACAAACATGTGTTTGCGCTAATCGGAACTTTATGCACAATAGAATCTTTGACAAATTTGTGCAGCATCAGGAGGAAGCTACCAGCAATCTCCGAGCAGGATCGGGACATGAGACCAAGACTACATATGGCCCACTCATCAGTGTTGTAGCAGTAGTAAAGGTGGCACGGCTCGTCGACGACGCTATAAGTCATGGTGTGAAAATGATTTTGAAGGGAAAACGGCGTCAAGATATAGGTACTATAATCGCACAAATCTTGATCCCAGCACAGCACCAGACTGAACTTGTCGTGATAAATTTTAAATCCCTGTTTTTACGAGCCAACCATTTTGACAGAAGTGGATCATAAGTCAAGTATTAACCAGGAAGATATATTTGGCCCAATTGCGGTTATCCTCGATTTGACTCAGAGAAGTAAGCTTTTACTGCCGTAAATGACTGCGATATTGGACTCGCCACCTACCTCTTCACTCGGGACCTCGACCGAGCGACGCGTCTCTCCGAGCCAATTCAAAGTGGTATGGTTGCCATCAATTACGGGTCTGTCTCCGACGCATTAGTGCCGTAGGTTCCCAGATGAATTTATGTCTCCATATTAGCTTCCGACGCTGATCCTTTACTTCGTACAGGATTGGAAGCATTAAACAGTCAGAGCTAGGCAGAGAGGGTAGCAAATAGGGGCTAGATGATTACCTACAGCTCCAAAATGTAATCACCAGCAATAAGTCCTATCGATCCCACTTGTGATGCCTATTGATTGAAGACACAATTCAAAAATACTACTACATGTCCGACTTCCTGATCATGAGTAAAGAGAGGAGGATAATCCTCGTGAATAATGTACGTAATTGAGATGGGCTCAGCATGCCAGACTAGGACATGCGAGACGGAGGCCCCAATATGTTATCTTATCCGCCTACCTACCGTATCTATTCGGCGTCGGCTCCGAGAGCAATTTAAGCTTATGATAAGATGAGGAGAAATGGCTCCACTCGTGGCTTGTCGGAGCCGGCTGTGATCGTTATCATGTCGGCCAACGCGACACCCTAGTTGCCAACATCTTTCAATCTTCGTTTGATAATTGAACTCATCGACATTGGACAATCATGGATTCCCCTGCGAATCAGTCGTTTCAGTCGCTTCCAGCTCCGCAGAGGCGGTCGAACAGACAACAGAGAAAAGCATGTGATCTATGTCGCCGGCGTAAGGTACGATGCGATATAGTCGATAGACCCGGTGGCCCATGCTCCGTCTGTGAAAGGTCCGAGATAGAATGTCGGTATGCATTTGCGTTAGCACTGATAATCGAGTTACCTTAGTACTGACTGTGTAAGGTCTACCACTCAATGGGCTAAACCGAACCGTCGAACACTGCACMCCCGCCGTGCTCGATTGCAGCCCCGAGACGGTCGGCCACCTGCTTCTACCGAGAGTATAGGATTGTCTAATCCTGCTCAGCTTGAGTGGATCCCTGCGGGTGGTAGCCCTGACCAGAATATTGTAGATTATGATAGCCCCGAGGGCCTGCAAAGAAATAATAGGGCTGCGTTTACATTGAGTACAGCAACGGCTTCGTCTCGTCGATCGCCTCCACTCACTCGCGCACCCATATACACTTCGGCAGGCGAAAGAGAAGATTTTGCCCGAAGCGGATTGGCTCGCTTTTTCAAGCATGGAATCAGTGCAGGCGCATGGGGTGTTTTCGATTCGCTGAATAGCTTTCGTATTGCGTACGTTGGCACAGCCGTATCCAATCTAGTTCATCTAGTCCGGCTTCATCGCGCATCTATGCATGTATCAGGCTCTCGATCCACGGGTCAGATCGGCCCGGAACAATCACCTCCATTCTCGACCTCACCAACCAATCTGAATGGTATCGCGTTAGATGCCAATGCATGCAACGATCTGGATTGGAGAAAAACTGTAGTTCACTACCCCTATCCTCCAATCCGTCCAAATAATGGCTGGAAACCTGGACCAGAGGCATGGAGTGGTATGTTAGCACACGACCTCGCGGCGGAGGTATCGTCTTTCCCGGCCCTAGAAATCCGTGATGCTTTAGTGGATGCATACTTTGAGCACATTCATCCATTCCATCCAGTAATCTCTATGCCTGAGTTTATGGCAGCGTATAAGTCGAAAAACAACCCGCCACCACTATTGCTATTCCAGGCGGTACTAACAGCTGGAGCTCACGCCTGCTCGCATCCTCTAGTCGCCAGCGCGCGACATGCCGTGAAAAACACTCTCTATCGCCGAGCAAGCATGTTATTTCACATACGTCATGAGACGGATCGGGTCTTTCTAATGCAGGCTGCAATCCTTTTTACGCGACACATAGGGGATGGCGACACGGTTACCGCCGGGCCCTGGTATTGGAGCGGTATTGCCGTCCGCATCGGATGCGGCCTTGGGATGCATCGACAAAGCGCTATCTTACCTCCAATGGAAACTTCGCAGTATCGACGTTGCTGGTGGACAGCATTTATCTGTGAAGTGTTCTCTTCGCTAGAAACCGGACGACCATGCGCAGTTCGTGCTGAGGATATAGATCAGCTACCCCTATCTGCCGAAGACATGACAGATACCGCTTCTTCGAGCAGCAACTTGGGCCTACATTCCAATTTTCTCATGCAGATGGTCGACCTCGCGCATATCGGGTTAGATATATTAACCTTGAACGAGCCTGGTCAGCGGCGCGTAATCGATGTGCACGCAATCAACGCCCGCTTGTGCCAATGGTCTCTTCAATCCGGTATACCCTCCTCGTCCGATGAGGAAAACCCATGGGATTACCAACTACATATGCACTATAATCTCATGTTGCTACACCTCCACCGGAATTTTGAGACAGGGCTCAAAAGCCAGGATGTATGCTCCGTAGCCGCTAACGCCATCATCAGAACACTCGAAAAACTCGTAGCCCTAGACTGTCTTTGCCAGTGCCACTTCACGGCGGTCAGCGCTGTCACGGCGGCTGGAATTCAACTCGCCAATGATATTCGCTTAGCAGTAACTATGGGTTCTTTCCTGGTGGCCCTGAACGGTCTCGAAAATTTGAACAGACTGCTTCGATCTGCTATGCTATTGGCTAAATACTGGCCCAATGCAGAAGCAGTTCATAGTTTATTTCAGGAGATATATCACGAATATAAGTCCTACGTAACCAAGGGTCTACAGGGTGAACAAGTCATGTTTTCTGAGAACCAGCCAGACTGGTATCGCTTGTTGGCGGGAGCGCAATCGGCACAGTCCAATAACTCTGTTCCACCGGATTGGATGAATATTGTCAATGAGTCGTACCCATTATAGTATGACTGTTTCAATATAATAGTCTTCATGAACATGCTCCCAAATGCTCCCAACGCTCCGTGTAGCCCCAAATAGCATAGGATACAATAAGTTATGAATGCACAAAGTATTTGGGATTGGGTTGGTAGCATTAGGACTTTGGTCAGACCGGAATGCCATTCACTACCCAGATGCCATCAGGGATGTATCCGATTCGCTTTTGGCTGTTATGAATATGAAATGAAAATGGAGCGCGTCTCGAGAAGTCTTATGATAGTTTCGTTTCAATTTCCAGCCAGTCATCGACCTCAAACATTTTGGAGGCTAGTACATATCTATCCGGTCCATGCTGATAATCTCTTTTAAAGACCGAATTGAAGACCGTAACTGGAATGTGTTATCCTATGGGCTCCCAGTTTGAATGTCCTTGGTCTTGTCTCTCTTTTAAATTGAACCAGATTTGCAACTGAGCCTGTGGGCTGATTTGACCGTCAGGATCGTGCTCATGTTTCAGTAAAAACCAAATACAAGGCTTTCCTGAGTGCTCCCCTGGAATAGAGCCGTACCTGATCTCAAAGATATGGATCTTGTCGTTGTCACAAATAAAGGCTTTATGGTCGAGAATATGAGGCGGAACGTAATCACAATGTTTGTATCCCCCCTGATAGTTTCGAAAGAAGTTAAGTTTGGACAACTCAATTTTGTAACACTCCTACCATGCTATCAGTGCACCAAGAATTTACAATGGATTGAGCTGTCATTGCTCTATGTAGGATTCTATTAGTCACCAATTGACATCCGCCTGCCAAATTGCACATCGGTGGCCATATCCCGGTAGACTGTCCTGTAAATGAACAACCAATCTTTCCCCTGGCCCAATTCTCCCACTAGGTGGAGCTTCAAGGTATGATTGGGCTTTAGTGAAATCTTCTGCCTCTAAGATCATTTCTAATAGCACATAAAGATCCTCTTCATGGGTAGTGATTTTCACAATAGTAGTAGGAAAATATTCCGAACTGAAACTCTCCAGTTTCTCGGTGCCCTTATTGTTTCTAGTTAACCACTGGATGCAGATGCTCAGATGGCACTGCTCGCTGATTCGGGCCATCCTCTCGTCCTGCTCCTTTCTGTGTTTCACCGCAAACCACACAGAAGGCTTATTTGAGGATATGCCTTCTATTGAACCGTAACGAGCCTCAAGAAGGTCTATCTTGGGGTTGGATGTTCCTTTGAACCCTTCAGGGGCAATTGGAGGATCGAGACATTGTTTGTATGGCCCTTTGTGGTCTCGTACCAGGGGAAGTTTGCGCAAGGGACCGGCTATCTCGGAGCCCCATAGTTCGTCAAGCGTCTTCCAAAGCTCAGGGGTTATCCCTCTCGCGCTGTAAATATCTCCGCCTCCTTCAGACATGGTGTATAAAGTAGCGTCTAAGAATAGGTCGATCGAGATGTATACAATCATACAATGATATTTGTTGCATGCATAGAAAGATTATAAGAAGGTCAACCGCGTAAGAAGATATCGGCGGCTTAAATATCCATGAATTAGGCATGTAGAAGTCATTATTTGTCATATTCGTAGTCATAAGTGCTTGAAGATATGACAAAGTGGTTGGTATTGTGATTCAGAAATGTCTGCTTGACTAAGATATGAGCTGACCGTCTGAACTGCAGGTTCATCTAGTCGATGCTTTATACAGATTGTGCGAATTGCGGTCATTGAGTAAAAGTATTGTCAGAATGAATTATCAATCACGCCATTTCAACAATCTTCGTGTCTTATAACAGAAGCAGAATCAGGCGGCAAGATCTTCCACCGTTATCAACTCTCGAGCCCTCAAGGAATTTGAAGGTTATGACACCGCCGATTGAGGTTGTACAAACATGATGTTATACAAAAAAAGGACCGACGCTTTTATGAGACGACTATAGAACATTTGCCATACAGGAATACGAGATTGGTGTCAGTCAAGGAGCTCTTCAGCGTCATCAGAGTAGTCATCAAACTAGTAATGAAAACTAACCGGCCATCGAGTACAGCCTTCAATGTTGCTCATATTGCATCCAAAGTATGAGTTTTTCCATCGCCTCGGGCTATATTTCCACTCCATGCTATGCCCATCTGAATCATGACTCTCTAAATTCCTTTCTCATAGTATGAAAGCTATCAGCCACATGCTAAGACTTCCTGTGATTTACGTTACTCATGATTGACTGTGTTTACATATCAACCATGAATTAGCAGTATGATGGACCGAGGATGACCCGATCGGCGCTTTTTCATGAAAATAGCTAATAACATCTATCAGATCATCCAAAAAGATACGGAAGTTAATCAAATATTTGCCCGGTGGGTCCCAGCAAATAAGCATATTTAGGGTTTGCGGCTGGGCTTCCATGTGGAGCGACGAACAACACGTGGGTAACTAGACTTGTTTCGTAGTTAATGGCATGTACGATATGTCTGAAGAATCACTGTGATCTGGTGCTTATGCTCGCAGTGACGGAGGATAAGCGCTCAGGTCAATCCTCTTGGGGAGATTTCCCTCGGGGGCTTTGAATGCCTAGACGTGACCTACTGGGGGTTTGTTTGCCTTTTGTAAACATTGGACTCACAGAAGGCTTAATGTAATAGGTTACTGATTAGTAGCAATGGGATGGCTAGACATATTGAATTTTGAGATATTTCCACATACTCTAAATCCTAAACATAAGAGTTGGCCCAGAACCCTAGTAATTATAAGTGACACGTATATGAAAGACGAGTGAGTGTTGTTGAAGAAAGCCTAATGAATGCATGTAAATTACTGGGATACAATCGTGTGGTTGCCGGGCACAACATCGATGATGGTCACAAGATTACCCTCCACAGCAACGGCGTCGGTGGTTTGGCCTGAAGACGACCACAGCACTTCCCCATCAAGCGATACCGAATTGGACATAGGCACCGTCACGTTGGCCAGGGTGCCAGCGGGCGAGGTAAAGGTGATGGTGCGCGTGTTGTCCTCGTCGACCGTCCACTCGAGATAGATGTCGCCGTATGGTGTGGCTTCCTGACCGCGTGCCCAGGTCAGGTTTGTCGGGAAGGCCGGCTTGATTGAGAATGTCTCGTAGCCAGGCCCGGTTGGCTTGAGGCCTAACACATAGTGAGTGAGCACCGGTACCACGCCCGTCGACCAGCCGTGGCAGCGTGAGGTGAAGGCGCCTTCGTATGCACTGCCGTTGGTGCCAACGCCTTCCCAAAAGGTAATGCCAGGATCACTCTGAATCATCGTGCCGTACAGCCGGTGGATTTCGTCCAGCGCTGAATCTGCGTCGCCAATCAGGAAGCGCGCATCCAGGTCAAAATAAGAGATAAACGCGTATACCCGGTCCGACGTGCCGCTGCCCAATGAGTCATCGTCCATAAACGCGTTGCCCCAGAACTTGGCTGTGTTGTCCGCCAGATATTTCAGGGCGGACGCCGCCTGGCTACTGTTGGCGATACCAGCAATCACTGCAATGGCGTTACCGTCCTGTGCGTGGCGTGTGCCGCCCATTTCGTCAACGTAGGCGCCTACACTGGCGTCCCAAAGGTTGTCGTTGATCGCCTGGGAGACAGCAGTGGCCCGTTGTAGCCATTTCTCGGCATCGTCGGTCTCATTGAGCACGTTCGCGATCTTTGCAGCGTCTTGCAGCGCGAGTACGTACAGCGCATTATAGTAGGTGACAATGCCGTAGCGCGACAGGAAGCCGTAATCTCCCCAGCCCTGGTTGTCGCTCTTGGTCAGCAAGCCCGTGGTACTATCGGTCACAGAAGGAGCCCAGTTGTTCAGCAAATTCTGCAGGTTGCTATAGTACGGCTGTACCTGGTCGATGTCGCCCGTATACAGAATGTAGTCCCAGAAGCTGATTACCCAATAGAACGAGTAATCAAACAGCTGCACACCGTAGTCAAAGAGCGAGGCTGGTGGGATCCAGCCGTTCGAGCTCTGGTGATTGCCCAAATCAGCCAGCACATTGTAGACGGCGCCCGCGGTGTCCTGGTGCGACAGGTAGGCGGTCTTACCAGACACCGCAATATCGCCAACATAGGGGTCGCGGTCACGCTTGGCACCGTCAAATAGCACTGTCTGGCCCACCAGCGTCTGATTGCCCGTGTTGCGCACATCGACTGTGTCGAGCAAGAAGGTGTCGATAGTCATCTCGTTGGTGTACGTCCCCGCATACCAGTACTCGTTCAGTGTTGTGTCAGACGACTCAAACCACCCACTATAGCTGTCTGGCGTGCCCAGGTACGCAGTGAAGTTGAGCGAAACCGAGGCGATGTCGATCCAGCCGGCCGGCGTGCTGAACATGTCGTCAGTTGGCAGCGTGTCGATGCTGATCTTCAGGTAGCGGAAGCCGTGCAGCCCATCTGAGCACACCTGGGCCCCGTTGTACGTGCAGCCCAAGGTGTCGGTCCAGTTGTAGGGTGCTGCGGGCGTGGCGATGTGGTCGGTGCCCTGGGTGATCTGGTTCCCGTTGTCTGATCGGGTGAAGTCTGATCTATCTGTCAAGTACTCGAGACTTTCGGAAAAGGCGAGCTCGATGCCCGGTGCATTATTGGAAGCACCAGTAGTCTCAATGCTGAGGAAGCCCACGACGTTCTGGCCAAAATCAAACACAGCCTCTGCTACCGCGTCGTCGGCCACCAGCCCTGGCCACAGCTCTGCCACGCGCGAGTACTCACCAGCCGAGAGCGACTGGTCCTGAGTCACAGTCATACGCACTTGGGTGGTTGATATTTGGGAGTCGAAGGTGACGCGCGACCGCAAGGCACTGTTACCCGTGACTGAGCCGGCCGTGTTCCAGTTAGATCCATCCCAGGTCTCGATTGTGTAATCAACAGGTACACCGTCCGAAACGCTCTCAACCGTAACGCCGTCCAGCGTGACGGCGGACGGCGCCGTGATGGTCAGCGTGTCCGGGTAGACGCCAGGTGTGGCGTCGTTCCAGAATGTGGTTAGGTTGCCGTCAATCGCATTGCTGGCGTAGTACGTGCGTACTGCCCCGTTGACGGTGTTCGACCCGGCCTCTGAGGACCCCTGCGCCGTGGTGCCTGCTGGCCATGACGGGAATGAGGTCTGCTTGGGCGCACGGCTGAAGTATGCGACGCCAGAACCGGACACCAGCGCCTCTGCATTAGTCACATTGCCCGTGGTTGACAGTACGGCCACAGGGGTGAGTCGCCTCTCCGACGGCGCATACACGTATTGCTGCCATGATGTTGTGTTGCTGGGCAGCGCTGCTAGCGAGCCGTGGCTCAGCAGCAGCAGCGCTGCAGCCTCGGCGAGATGGCAGAGCTTCATCGAGAAAACAATCGATACGTTATTCTCTCACAGTATGTTATGATTCAACAAGCACGTAGCCCGCCTTATAAAGACTGGACAAATCATACACGATACTACCTTGCGTGTTTGTAAATGGATTGTCGATGTTGCAGTTGATTTTGCGGCTGATGTTGTAGCTGATGCTATAGCTAAAGTTGCGGAGTTAAATGGACCTGCCCAGTCTCCGCTACACTATGGCAGTGAACGCTGCTAAATTGCTTTTCAGTGGAGTCGGTATAATGAGTACCGAGCTGCATGCTCTGGCAATACCTAGTTATAGTTAGTTATGTTACATGTAATACCGTCAGCATTTAGAACGCCCACCAATTAGACATGCCTTCTAATATAGTCGGAGATTTCACACAATCATTCGAATGCGTACTATAACATAGGTCGCAATCTAGGAGGGAGTCAACGTAGCAATAAGGTCTTTTCTATTCTAAGTGCTTCGGTATGTTGCAAGCTCAGTATTATTTGGAGCTTAACATGTTGAGTAGGCGGCAAATCTGTCGATTCTTTTTGAACTTTACTAGCACTATTCAATCAGCTTATGGTGTCTCCTTGGATTACTTTGCTGCCGCTGCTACTCGCCAGGACATACAATTCAGTCGTGGACCTTGCAGCTGCAAATGGCAGTGCTGCTGGTGTGTATTGCGACAACGCTGAAGGGCCCGGGATCTTGGGGGTCCACTGTTTGAGCTGAGTAAGGCGGCTGGATTCTATCTGAAAGAATCTGGGGTGTTCAATGCTCGAACTACGTCATAAAGTGACTGGATCTCTTCATAGGGAATGTTTTAAGTTGACCTGGACATTTTCAAGACAGATTTCTATGAAGCCAGCACTGTACACAATTTCGAAAGTGCGGCTTGTTCTAATTTTAGGCTCACTCGGCATAGAATTCTTTCTACAGTCAAATCTTCGAGGCAAGCTGACAGGAGTAAGGGCTATCTTGATATCTCCTAAATAGGCGTAGCGGTTGTCCATAGGTTATGGGGTCATTGGTGGACTTCACGTGACATCATCGGGAAGCTCAGCCAGCTGCGGTCGGTCGCGCGCAATGAAGCTTTGTCAGTCTCAAAACAACAGCCCCCTGTGTCAACCGCCGCTTTCATTGTCTAAAAATACTTTACATTTTGCCCTCTTTTACGGAATTTTTCAGAGTACTTGTTAGTTTTATGTTTAGTACCATTCGCTAAAGTCCAGCTCAGCGCCACTCGGTCGCATTCAAACGCCCCTTGTCGCGCAAAACGACGTCACCCCGACAGATCCTTAACTTTCCTCCATCCGATAAAAACAACCACCAATATTCAGAATGGCATCAGAATACGAGAAGAAAACGGTAGCGCAGCTGCAAGAAATACTCAAAGGCCGTGGTTTGACCACCAACGGTAAGAAAGCCGAGCTCATTGCCCGTCTTCAGGAAGCCGATAAAACATCCAACGACACAAAATCAACCGAAGCCAAGCCCGACGCTGCCGCAGAAGATATAATCGACTGGGACGATGAAGCGCCTGCTACCGAAGCACCCTTAAAGGAGGCCACACAAGCTTCGACAGAAGCCGGCGCTGCTACTATTGCTGCTGGCGGGCAGGGACAAGTGCCTAACCCCGTGGCTGTCCCCAATCAGACACTCGGAGAAGATCCCGCAACCACTAACGATCTCCATGTTGAGGGTGTCCCCAAAGAACAGCCTGTAGTGGAGGAAAAGCCCCCGATCGACTACAGCATCGGACTTCAGCCAACAGAGATTGAGGAAGAGTTGAGGAAACGCAAAGCCCGCGCGGAGAAATTTGGCATTGTCGCTGAAACTGGCTCAGAGACGACAGAGGCGGAGAAGGTTATTGAGCGAGCAAAACGATTTGGAACGGGTGCCTCCAGCGACCAGGGTGTGGGTGTTAACCGTCTGGACCAAGCCCTTCCAAATGAGCGAGAACGCAAGCGCGGTAGAGGAAATGATCAAGGTGGTCGGGGAGGCAAGCGACGCAACATCGGTGGTGGACACAATGGTGGACGTAATCGTCCCCAGAATAACAACCGCAAGGGCACCAACCCAAGTGGTCGAAGCAACGCTCCTAAGCCCGTGTTTAGTGACAAGGATAGAGCTGCGGCAGAAGCCAGAAAGAACCGGTTCACTACGGCTGCGTGATAACTAGTCCTTGGAAGGAAGGGTGATTTTCAAAGTCTCAAAAAGAAAAATTGTTGTTATTTTTTACTTGTATTTTAGTGTTTTGTTGAGATAGTTCTAGGCGTTCATGAAGGCAAGATATGTATGTGATATAATCTGAGTTTTGGAGCGTGGTACACATACATGTGTGTAGAACAACACAGCTACTACGGTGGGATGATCTTCCCACCTCCTCTGCGTACTAGTCTATGCAATATTATATCTATTGTGATACAAATGTCCTCTCTTCCGATCCTCAATTGGATGATAATAGATCAGGTGACTGTCATCGCATGCGGTGAGCTTTCCACTGTCACAATTCCTCCACACCCTCTTTGCTCTTGGATGTGGACAATTTGTTGACACTAACGATAGTCCGGAGAATATAGACCAATCAATGACTGTGGCGCTATGGTATTCCTGAGCCCAGTCGCTTTATCCTTTCGTGCACTCCTCTTTGCGGATTTCTTGATCTGGTGGCGACATCTAATTGCTTTAAAACGTAGATAAACAACATGAATTTCTCCGAGTCCGTGTATAGTAAGGAGCCTATCCCAACCTCGATAGTTTAAATGCTGAACTCGTGCATCGGAGATTTTACCTATTCATGCTTTTGTTTTCTTTTTCCCGTGATAGTGCAGCACAATCAATGTCCGAATGTCGTACTCTGTCCGGAGCCGGTGCTAGGCAGTAATAAAGCAGATTCTCGAATCATTCGCAGGTGGATCTAGAATGCAGAGCGATATCAGACTAAGCGAGGCTCAGCCCGGCGCTGCCCACGCTAATGCACGTTTAGGATCGAATCAGATTTGCATATGCCGATTTGGCGATCTTACTGGCCTAGAATCAGCCAATCGCTGCCTGATGGCCGCGTGGTGAAATTTCGTGGTCTTCCCAAGTCTCGACGGGGTATCCGGAACTGAACACGGTCATCACAGTCGTGATCCGCATAAGCAGCGGGAACAAAAGAACGGGTCGCGGGAAAAGGTTCGGCTCGAAGTTGGTGACAGCCAGAACCAGAAAATGGTGGGCGAATGGTATCCATCCGTGGTCCATGGATGTTAGGATCTAAATGAAAAGTTGACATGGATAATGATCTGGAGGGGCCGTGGGTGCTCACGATATTAACGTTTTGACGTCTGGTGAAATCCTGGAGATATTATGTAACAGCCATATTATAACCTAGAATGACTGGTCATTTAAAGTGATGGTAAGACTGGTAGTGATCATAGCACCGGTAGCATTGACTGATGATACTCAAAAGCGGGACTAATGTCTAGATCACGTCTCTGACTCGCTGAAAGTCGTTGCATGAAATAGTCTTCGGTGCATGAATCATTTGTAGTTTCCACCGAAGAGAAAGGCAATCCGGTCTGAATGCAAATCTTAGAGTCTCGTGATGGCACATGATCTACAGAGAATCTGTAATCCTTCTTCGGAAAGCGCCGTGCTGAAAGGGAAGGAGCCATCGGGGCCATCACCTGACCTGCCTTTCCTTCCATAAGCAGCAAGCAAACATCCCGACTTCTTCTGGACATGATAATTCCCCTCCGGTCATCGATCACCAGTCACATCTTGTTGGCACTATTCTTAGCAGTGCTATATGCAACTAATTGCTCCTCCGTCCCAAGTGCAACTCTGTACATCGCACTAAGTCACCAACTTGACTTCTTACTCGATTAAACCGTTCTCCACTTGCGCCGTGCACGGAACCTGGCCTTCAACGCCTCTTCACAACGCCACTTATTGCTCTCCTATCACATCCCGGATCCGTGCTAAGAAAAATCTGATTTTTCTGCGCGGATTTTCACGACGGCCCGCTAAGCTGATTTCCGCTTTACTACGTATGTCCCGTCTGCTACAATCCCTCCAACAAGACACTTTAGATGCTTAGTCTCGAGAGGGGTGGGGCCTGGCCGTTCGAAGTCCTGCTCTCTACGGACGAACTAATCCAACCAACGGTCGCTGTCAATATCTTCCATTCTAGCCTGCAGCCTGTGAGAGAACGTACTCGTGCTTTTTAACCGCCCATTGCTCACGGTCCAAGATGCCCGCTGCTTTCGGTGCTGATGACTCGTCGGTGGAAGAGGCCCTAGCTTGTTTGGCAATATAATAAAAAAGCTACCCAGGACGTACGTATATGATTATCCTATTAACTTGATGGGAAACCCCGTCGATCTCTCTCAAGTCTTTCTTGTGTCTTCTTTGCGTGCTGATGGGGCACCATTTCCGTCTGATTTAGTTCAATTTGCCGGAAACAAAGCCCCCCTGCACAAAAGTCAATATAACCCTGGAGTCAGCAGCCGACGTGTGTGGGAACATTCTTTTTCGTTTATCTCCCAGGCTCTATTATTCTTTCTGTCTCGAATTCGCGGCCAACTCAGAGGGACTTTGGTGCTAGAAGTATAAGATTTGCCATACTAAGCTGAGCTCGAGTGACGTGTCAATCCTTTGCCTTGTTCTCTGCACCGGCGTCGCCTCATCTGCATGCTGCACTAGCCACGATTCGCCAATGTGGAGAGTAGGCTGGTCCGAAAGTGTGGCGGAGTCTGCAGGAACAACTGTATGCCTTGCTCTGATATATACAATACAAAGCGCAGTACTAATGATGATATAGTAAAACTCAAGCCTAAAATAAAATTTGAGCGGTCAGGAAATCATACTTATTAACGTCATTTCTTAAATCCTCGGTGTTGCTGCTTATCTTACCCCATCCACATATACACGATTAAAGACTATCGCGAACTCCATAGTTCATATACACAGATCGGATTGCCGTGATGAGACCGCAAAATATCAACCTTTAATTCCAAAACGACGTTCATGAGGTTATCTGGACTGGCGCTAGAATCACGAACATCGTCGTAAGATGTCCTCCCACAGATTAGACCAGGCTCGGGCAGGGCGATTGCCTGAGTCAAGGCCAATGGACGATGTCGTGATTTCGCCGCATAACGGAGGCCAACCTAGAGGTCATTTTGGATATGCGCCTTCAAGATCTCAACTTCCGAGCTCATCATCCGAACGCAAGATCCAATCTCGATCCAATGTCCGGGCTGAAGACCAGTCGATAATCCGACCAGTATCGAAAGCATCGAGATCCCTATCTAACGATGATGCTGTACGCCCTTCAGGACTTCCACGAATGACTGGTAATAGTGCATCTTACAGGCGTCCTTCGGCACCTTCAATACCCACTACTCGCCCAGATCTAACACAGCTGTCATCTGGTACCACTAAAGTGAAATCCAGGGACACCGTTTTTTCTGCCATGGACAGATCAAAAAGCATCAGTGACCGTCCGCGGAACGTTCTTCGCAGGAAAGGGAATTTTAGAAGACAAGAACCAGATAATGAAGCGATGGTTGACCTACCGAGTCTCGACACTACAATGGGACCGTCTCGAGCATTGGCTGAGCCAGAAAATGACTCTCATTCCACTGCCCAAGATGTCCCACGTCAAGAAAAGGCTTCTACTGTCGCAACAAAACTACCGAGATCGAACACTCCCAAGACAATAGAAAATGGCCAAACGCAGCAAATACCCAAAGAATTCATTGGACTCCGCACCGTTATCAATACAAGCAACCTTCCACCTCCTCCAACACCCATCTTTGCATCGGCCAGCACCCCTTCGACTCGCTACTCTGGATCTCCCGGTATGTGGAGTAGTCGAGGTTCTACTCCAACGTCTCTGTCGTCTTATTCACCTGGTATAACTCAGCCTGCGAATTACAGATTCAAGCAACAAAGTCCAATTCAACTACGCCAGACAGCCGGACTCCGGATGACAACAACCCCTGTATCACAAATAGACCCGGATGAACCCACCATGCTAGGTCCAATAGCTACTGATAATTATGCGAGATCTGGAAATGTTGAGATTCCTCCATTGCAAAAGACGAACGAGGCAATGACCCCCACGACAACCGCATCGCCCGAACAGCAACTGCAGAGCTCACGAAACAATAGTTACGATGGGCAGCAGCAGAATATTCATACTCTACCGGCTTCGACAAACACTTTGTTAGCATCTCCTGACATGGGAAGCAATGCTTCAATCAGGCCTCGACGACCAAGCCGCGATGGAACCGATAAGTKGGAACAAGCCATATCTCCAGTGATTCGGAGCAATCTGCCTGCCTTGCGGACAAACGCCACTCACACACGTCGGAAGTCTGCAGACAAAGTGAACTCTCCGGAGCTACTGCGCGTGACTCCAGTCAAATCAGCTGCGACTTCTGTAGAATCTCTTCAATCTAGCGTTTCGAGCCGTGTTCCCTCTCGCAATGATGCTACACAGATTCCGCGGAAAGCTGCACGGACACTGGTCAAACCTCCAAAAGAGCCCAAAGCTCCTGCCAATCAAACTTCATCAAGCAAGTTCAGCCTGTTCAGCAAAAAATCAAAAATCGATCTTTCTTCCCCCCATTCAACTTCAGCAGAGAAGGCCTCTCGCAAGGGACCAGCAGCTGGAACAGGCCATGAAGGCTATGGCAGATATGCTCATCGAGGACGCAAACCGAGCATTAGCGGAAGCAGCAACGATAGTAGAGCACGGTCTACAAGCACTAGCGGTGGCGCATCAGTCGTAAGTAGCAAGGGATCTAACCGTCAAGACGCAGGAATTGATGACTTTCTTCGCGAACGACTGGAACCAGTCATCATCAATGGAGGTGGAAAGGATCGCGGTGAGCTTATCCGAACACAAAGCGGGCAAAGCTTGAGCACGTTGAGCGTCACATCGACCTCTATTTCTTCAGCACTCAATGGCGGGCCTATAATGGGAGGGKACTCATCTGATTCTTTGGCTTCAATGGTCGACCAAGGTAAACCGCCTGCTAGAATGTTCAGTTCAGATACCAGTCTTCCATCTCAAGCTGGCAAGAAGCATCCAGTCAAACCGAAAATCACACGGAATGAGTCTGCTCCTGCTCAAATTTCGAGCCCTGACAGCAAAAGCAGCTTGTCAATCACGCAAGTAAACTCCAGAGCAAGCGAGGATTCGAACTTCTCTGCACTACCGCAAATCAGTAAAGTCGCTTCCAAATCAGAGAGCATTGATTCCACAAAAGCATCGACAAAAAAACCTAGCCGGAGATGGAATTTCTTTCACAGGAGCCAGAAGAACGAAACAAAGCAGAAAGCTTCAGTATCTGACAAGAGCACAGTGTTTGAAGCCCAGCTTCATGCACAGGTTGCTACCATTCCGAAGTTTCGACCTGTCGCTCATTATGCACTTCTTGACGCTGATTCGGACTCCCTGGAAGATATAATGCATCGGGTGGAGGAATCACCTCCAAGTGACGATGAGGCCTTTTTGCAGCTCCAACAGGGTCCTAAAACTGAGCCGTCCTTGACTGCGCGCCACGGAACTAGTGTCCTTCTTCCATCGCCTCCTGCTATTTGGAAGGAGTTCAATTCAGAGCGCTCGAGTCCGCCACGGAATAGGCCAGCCAGTCTAAAAGTCTTCTTTCAAAAGGAGAATGAGACCGAGGGCTCGGAGAAGGAGGTAAAGAGACGCAGCAGACTTGCACCAGTTGGTCGTATACCACGTGTTGTTTCGAGAAGAGACCGAGATCACAGGCCGCCTCCCCAGTCATATTCGCGACCCTTTAGTCGTGATGAAGCGCCTTCTTTGACGATCACTGCTAGTCCTCTATCAAATGTTCAGGATGCCTTTGGCAGATCGAAGCTCGATGTCGCGACAGATCCTCTTCAACGGGGACCATTCTATACGGTGCCTGGTGCCTCGGGACCCTTCAGCGCACCAGCAGTTGAAAATGCCAGATTTATGTCAAGTGCATATGCGACCAATGAGTTCTTACGATTCTCTCCTCGAAAGCCATCTGAAGTCTCTAGCTCTACATCCGAAGGAGATTCCATCCTTGCGACTGTAGCTGCCATGGGTCTCCAGCCCAATGGTACGACGGATGAAGAGGAAATATGGGCCGAATACGATGATCTTGTGGATACCATGTTAGCACCAAACGAGGACACAGTGTCAAAGCCCAAGATTTCAGAATCATTCGAACTGGCAAAAAAAGCGAGCAAGACTTTGCAAGCGGAGATCAGTGCCTCGGATGTCAATCCACGAGGTTCCGCCGCCTCAGACACTCCCAGTCTTACTGCTGCGGATGCTGCTTCACCTACCCGATTGAGCGACGCCTCAGTACGTCTACGCCGTTCCCAGATTGCCGCTGCCTTGCACACTTCCATAGCTCCGTCGCCACAGGTTTCTTATAGTGAGCTTATTGCTGGCTATTCCGAGCGCAACAAGAGCCTCTCTGATTTCGTGCCACCGGACAGCCCTGCAAAGCCGTCGCAGGAAGAAAGCTCACCACAGCCCGAAGATCTTCAGTCGCCCACGCCGACCAACACGCCCGACTTCGAGACGACCCGTCGGCGAAACACAATGCTATTTGACATGGCCGAAAGAATGCGAGAGGGAGCAGCGGCACAAACCAACCTCAGGTCTGCCTCTCTGATGACTAGCAGGTGGCTTTCTTTTGGTCGCGTACTCTTCAGCCCAGCTCATAACCGCATTCAAAAAACTGACTCAGAGTGCATCTTGATTCTCGATGGCTTGGGCAATGACGACTGGTCCTATTACTGCGCACTAACATACCCTAATGCCAACATATACAACCTGAGCATACGTTCTGGTTCTTCTTCATCCTCGCCTCATCCCGATGCATGGAAGCCACCAACTAACCACCATCTTGTTCATCATATCATCAATGGCACTGCATTTCCATTCCCCAAAGGATTTTTTTCGGCTTGTGTTCTCAGATTTCCAGCTGCGTCTTCTGAGGACAGGCAAAGACATATTCTCTCTGAATGTAAGAGGGTATTGCGACCCGGCGGTTACCTAGAAATGAGCATCTTGGACTTGGACCTAGTGAACGTGGGTAGCAGGACACGCAAAGCGTTGAGAGGTCTCAAGGAGAAGATTTACCTTGCGGATCCAGACATCAGTCTCAAGCCTGCAAGCGACAACATTCAGCGACTGTTGGGAATCTGTGGCTACGACAATTTGAATAGATGTATGGTCAGCATTCCAGTAGCTGGTATGATTGGAGGTTCAACCGGCTCTTCAAACTCCAACAACACATTGTCCGATCTTCCCAGCGCAGGAACTGGTCTATCATCGCAACTCTCTTCCACGACGAATTCGTCGCAACCTCATGCGAGAACACCGTCAAATGAGGCAGAACCTTCGCTCGGTGACTTGCTTTCAGATCCATCTCCTTCCGCCACAAATGATGAATCGATCACAAAGGTGGTCGCTAGAGTGGGACGATGGTGGTACACGCGATGCTACGAAATCCCAGTCCTTTCTGACCCGACCACTGATCAAAGCATCTGGTCCGAACGGCGACTATTACGTGAATGCCAGAAGCGCAGCACCGGTTTCAGGTTACTTATTGCTTACGCTCAAAAGCCGAGCGAGAAGCGGAGGACTGTCAGCCTATGACGGCCTCCGACATATTTTTGAATTTATCAGCGACGATTCAGCGTTATCAACATTACGAGAAAAACGATTTGATATTGTTTTTATGATACGAATTGATGATACGATACCTATTACTAATCTCATGAATGATGGTGATGATTATGACCTTTTGTTCTTCAACCGCCAGAGACCAGCCTGGCACCAGACTCCTGATTTAACTTTTCCTGAAGACATATATTGATGAAATTATATAAGACGCATCCTGGACCTCGCGGTCCGCTTCTTCATTTTTGCATGGCGGCTGCTTTGAGCGAGTGATATATTCTTTTTTGGAATTATTAATCGCGCTTTTCTTATTTTCCTTGTTTCTTCTTCCTCGAGATATCAATATTTTCCCCTTCTTTTCTTCTTATCTTCTTGTCCTGGTGATTTTATTTTATTTTTTCCTTTCGATGTCTATATTTATTCTCCCCGCTGGGTGGCTATTGTCTTTCATAATGTACTTTCTCGAGGAAGTCTGTTCAGGCGGGTCTATGGATGGATGGATATTGGGTATTTAGGGAGAGCTGGAACTAATATATCGGAAATCAGCATTTAACCTTTTCATTGTAAAGTAGGTAAGGGTTACAGTTCTAGCTTATGGTCATAATTGGACTCCCCCGAGCGAACTTTCAGCTGGTATTAGTTTGATATGCAGAATGGCTTTGGTAAAATACATGAGAATGAAGCAAAGAGGTAGAATATTTGCGCCTGAAAGCATAAGGCCGTGACTTGATTAGTGAAATAGGCAATGGTTCATGCCTGCTAGTCTTTGGGTATGAAGGCAAGTCAAGGAAGTTGGTCGACTTCTTGATTACATCTATATGCAAAAGATAGACAACCTATTTTCCGACCTTTGATTTCTTCTTCGGTCTCTCTTCTTCCTCTGCGTCATCCATTTCATCCGCTGCGTCATCATCGTCATCCGCATCGTCCATCTCGGCATCGCTGCCACTTCCGCTACCGCTACTTTCGTGTGCAGAGTCATATTCTTCAGCGACGTCAGAGTCGGAATCAGCTTGGAAATCTTCATCAACGGATTCTTCGTCTTCGTCGGCTGAGCCACGGTCTGGACGGACTTCATCGTCGCTGGATATGTCCTCGTTTTCAAGAGCTGCTTTGATGAGGGCAGCCGACTGGAGGAGGTTAGACACGCTGAATAGCAAGACAGGGGTTCAAGATACTTACGTCGTCAACCATTTCATTTTTTATGCGGATGTTCTTTGCTTTGAAAAATTCTTCGAGGGGCTGTTGTTCCTCGCTGTAGACAATATTAGTAAATGAAGTCACTTTACAGCAAAGGGCATGAGGTATACCGATTGATATTGCTGAATTGGTGCTCCCCCAATCCTCCCTTCAAGCTGACTGTGATGTCAAATGTCCTGCTGGCAGAAATCGCGCCACCAACACGGGACATGGTAACCACCGAAATATTCTCGATCTGGACATATGTTGCTGGCTTGGGCACGAACATGAGACTCTTATCCAAGAAGTATAGAGAACCCTCGTTTGCTTTGATCGAGCACTTGACTCCGCTGTGGCCGTGATGGCTAACAAAGTCCTTCGATGGCATGATGACTTTCTTTCCTGACAAGCCACGGAAAATCTTTGTAATGACTTGGTGAATCGGCTCCTCATATCTTGGCTCCAGCTTGTCTTTGTAGCGCTCTTGTAAGAGTTCCCTTGTTGATTGTAAGCGCAGATGATCTTATATATCAGGAAATTGCGAGCACGTACTCTGTCATGTTCAGCTCGATGCTAACTTCTTCATCCAACTTCAACTGCATAACCAAAAAGGGGTATCTTGTTTGACCCTGTCGAAGGGGTGGGTCCAATCCAAGAACGATCAAAGTGTGCGTTTCGTCGTTCTTAGGAAGCAAGAAGAATTTCTTTATCGAAGAATATTGAATCTTGTAATCGTATGTCTTACCACGCAACCTGAACGACGCCTCGTACATATCGATATCGAATCGACCTCTGTATCAGAAAAGGATTAGTACGCATTTTTTCTCCAACAGACAACGGTAGTCGCATACCTGGGTGTGAGATGCAGAACATCCAAGAACGTGGCGTATGTGTCTCCTGCAACATCTCCAATCTCGGCCTTGTCCATAAGGGTCTCGTAGAAAAGGTTGGCAGCGTTTTGTTCCTCAACTTCCTCTTCTTCGCCTTCACCCTCGCCTTCGCCTTCGCCTTCTTCCTTTTTGACTTCGTCACCTTCAGTCTTCTCCTTTTTGAGCGCAGTGCCAGGGATGTAGAATCGCATCTCGACCAACTCATCAGGACCAGCGGCAGCCTTGCGGCCGCGGTTTTTTGTGCTTCCTTCGATGTGACCGTTGGCCTTTTCATCCGCGGGCAACGCGAATTCGACGGCGACTTCGTTTTTACCTGCTAGATTTGTGTTGGAGATTTCAGAGTAAGGAATTTCGAAAGCGGGACGATTCTGAACGTTGAAAGAAAGTTCGGCTTTGGTGAATTCTGCTTTGCCCCAGTTCCATCCTCGAATAGCGTGTTCTCGTTGTTCGACGGCGACACCGTACCAGACTTTGAAGGCTTTGCTCAATCGCTCAAAGTCCTGTGTGAAAACTGAACATTAGTGACAGGTCAACCCATAGGATCGAGAACTGATCCTTACCTCTTGATCGAATCCATCGAGTTGGATGACACCTGATGTTCGCGATAAGATCTTCAACTCAAACCCCTTAGCAGCTCGGCTCCATTGTGCAGCTCCAATGTTGCTGCTGTCCAAAGTGAATGTGTCTCCGCCGCCTGATGGTCGCCATCCCATACCACTCTCTGCAAGTTTGCATTTGCCAGGCTGCTTGGACAGATCGAGATAGATGTTTTCGAAGCTCTCCCTAGGTAGAATGCGTTAGCTTGAAGATTTGATATACCGATCGGAAAATAGTGAGCTCACATATTGGAGGTGCGCCGAAGCAACGGATCAGAATTGCTTTGCTTTTAAAAAGGTGCGCAAGGTGAAGATGAAGTGATCGAGCGCCTTGATACAATATGTGGTTGAGTGGTTTCCAATAAATCGAAATTGTTGTGTCGTCGAAAGTTGTGAGCTCAAAGTGATATGCAAAAGCTCTTCCCTCCGGAGGTGTGCACGCGCTCAGCAAGACGCGGCGCGGCGAGACCACTTTAATTCCAAAAGAGGTTAAGCCTACCAAGACTGTTTGTCAAGTCACATGACTTGAGTAACTCATACCATCGTCTAACTATATAAGTATTAGCGTAAATCCACCACTTCTTAAAATTTACTATAACCTGCCAAATCCGGGAATCTTGCAGTGATGTAAGTAAGACTTTTATCCAACAGGCGATGGTGGTGCCAGCCGTGCTTATCGATGTCTACGCTCTCTCTAGGTAGTGGGCAAAGGCCACCAGGGCGAGGCCCAAGGCCATCAACGATGCGATACCGTTCCCGTGTCAGAGTGCAGCCTTTATGCATTTTACAACGAGATGCGACGAACTATCTGTCGCAGATAGGTCATCTGCAACTTCTCGTCAGAACTAGCATATCGCACTTAAGAATGTCTGCTGATAACTATACATGGAATGGTCGCGATACCTGTGCGAATTGCCTGGATTGTGCGCCAGTTAACACTTTCACGACGTTAGTTGGTTGGGAATATTCATCAAAGGCTATTCTGGCTCGAGCTCCCCCCCC